CCTGGCAGTAGGACTTATAAATATTTCAGCACCATCCCAGCCAATTCGAGATTTGTCAACTGCACTGTGCGTATGGCTGGCAAACATCACTGAGCACACGCAAAGCAGGGCTACTCACAAGGTGCACATCCACCGAGATAATTGCTCTGAACTAGATTCAGTTTTCTTCAAATCGCCAGGAGATGAGTGAGCACCATATCTTCCACCTCTACGCCTGATGTTCGCTCACTATTCTTGCGTTTGGCTCGACATATATCTGGTCTCTCTGAGATGATACAACTTAACTAGGCTTACATATATACAGGTTAGTTCGTAAATACTTTGTTTCTATACTAACTAGTATCCTTACATATGCATGGATGTATTTCTCATTTTTTGTAGCATAAAACCATACTTTGCCTCTCATATAATCATAACATGGCTCTCAAACTGAAACTGAGAAGGAGTTCACCAGAACCTATTTCTGGCAGAGTGGGACCTTCCTTCAACTATTTTGTTTCGTTTGCTTCCTTACTAGTCTGAACTAGACTCTCTCTGCAGTCCAAATTGCACCCTTGCAAACTAGCTTAATTGCTTCTGTCAATAACATGTATGGTACTGCCTTTTCAGCATCATGTTCTATGGCAGTATCTAAATGTTCTAATTCTTCATCTCTGAACTGGCTTATTAAATCCTTCAAAGAAGTTAATTCTGGGGAGTCTTTAATTTCCATGTCTGGCTCAGCTATTTCTTTCCCATGCTCATCATATACTGGGATATCTTGGTACTGGTTCATCAAGATTCTCAATTGTTGGTTGTAATGACCTCCAATAACAGTCTCCACGGCAACCGTACAAGCCATGGCAGCCTCCTTTCCGATTAAAGCAGTGGAAACACCAATACCGAAAGCACCTACTTTCCAGAGTGGAGTCAAAATCGAAGGTCTAACTCTACGCTGCGTTTGAAGCTTATTGAATGTATCATGATGGTGAATCTCCTGGTCCCACATATGTTGCAAGACAGGTTTTAAGTGTGGGTACTTGGTGGCTAGCACAGTGTACTGGCCGAAGTAAATATAATTGGCTCCAAGCTCTCCGGCTTGATCGACTCGGATAACTCTATCGAGAAATGCCTTCTGCGCTTTGGAAAGAGACCCATAAGAAACTTTATCTCCGTAGAATTTTTTAGCGGCCGCCTCCAATGGAGGAGCAGCACTCGACAATAAACGCTTGGAAACGATGGACATCCTGACAATTATCCTACTATCCTGGCTGTTCTTCCTTTCTTCTTCCTTGCTCTTGTTGCTATACGATCTTCAAAATGGACTGATAAAAAATCCAATAACACACAAAACGAAAATTTGAAAAAAAAAAAAAAAAAAAAAAAAGAGAATATTTGCACCCAAAGAACTTGGCCAGCGTTGGTTCGTTCCGGTTAGATCAGCTAGATATTGTAGAAGAGCTTTTGAAAAAGAGTCTGAGAATATTGTTGGCTTGGGACTGAATGTGTTTCGGTAGCCTTGTCACTTTATTTTCTCCTTCTTATTGGTGTTTGGTAGTATTGCTGTCTTCTGTGTGCTTCAGATATGGAATGTGCTTGGAAAATTTTGCCAATACTGGTGAATACTACTTCTAGATAGCCATGGCTGGACAATTTAGTTCGATCGGCGTCAAAGCAAGTCTTAGAGCTAGGCATGGAGCGATTTCTCTACAAAATGATCACATTAATGAAACTGCTTCACCACCTCTATGTTTGGAGAGCCTCTCCACTGCCAGAGCGTAGTCTCTCCTTCCCAGTTCGCAGCCGCTTGTTACTGCGTGGATTTTCCTCTGCAACCACATTTATGTATCCTGCATGTAATGTATGGCATCGATATGGAGATGGCTGAAGTGAGCTATCAGTGCAAGATCTGTTTCAGCTCTACATCGCCATTGATCTACGTGCCATGTCGTTTAAAATAAATCAGGTGGATCAGGATCACATAGATAGGAAGCTTCAAAAGGACTCAAAGTCCAAAAAGTTTCCTAAGATTTTTAAGACCAAAGTTAACGTGAGCAAAGTAAACATGAAGGTGATCAAGAATTGGATTAGCGAAGAGATAGATAGTATACTAAAGGACGATGATATTGTAGTAGATTATTTATATGAACTTTTAATTGTAGAGGAAGAGCCCAATATCAAACAGATTCATCTTCAAATGATCGATTTCTTGGGAGAAGAAGAAGCGCTAAAGTTCTGTTCCAAGCTTTGGGGGTTGTTAATTAGTGGCTCTCAGGATGAGGACGGTATACCGAAAGAATTGATTGAAGAAAAAAGGAAGCAAATGATGAAAGGGAGAGGCAGAGATAGAGAAATAGAGAAGGGAAGGAATCTTCCTGTAGAAAAAGCTGTCACTCCAGCAGTAGTAGCACCAACCAAGACAAATTACAATAGGAGCCTGTATAATGCTAGCAATAGGACGAAGAGCCCTGAAAGGCGAAGAGGTGTGACTAACTATAGGGAAAGAGATTACAGAGAAAACTTTTAGTGAATTTTCTGCTGCAGCTTTAACCAAAATATATTGTAAAATATTTGCAAAAGGAAATTGAGGCAAAGAAGTTAATTAAAAATAAAACAAGCAACATTTAGAAGATAATAGTGCTTGGGAGTCTCGGAATAAATCTATAAACTGAATCGCATAACTAAGAGATTCAAGCAAAACCAGGTAGACGAGCCTACAATACTGACTCTGCCCAATTGACGCAAAGAGCCCCCATAACAGCAACCTTGAAATGGATGTCTCGGTCTGGGTGATTGGGCACTCTGTCGGTAAATTAGGTCCTGGATTGGCTGGTGTGCTACCACTATCTAATGGAAGGGCCGGTCTCAGTCATGCAAAATGCAACATAAAGTCCCACGCCTAATAGAGAGCCAAAAGTGCCAAAAAGCAAAAAAAAAAAAAAAAATGAAAAAAAAAAAATGAAAAAAAAAAAAAAAAAAAAAATGGAAAAAAAAAAAAAAATAAAAAAAAAAAAAAAAAAGGACCCAAAAACAAGGACAGCAACATTTAAAAAAAAAATTAAAAAAAAAAAAAAAAAAAAATTTAGTAAGTAAATAGAAATTAAGAACCATTAACATACAGGACCGAAGCACTAGGACTGCAGCATTGTATAGTCAACCATGGATACCATGGATACCACGATTATTTCACCACAGACCTCACTTCGCTGCTCACTACTCTGATTATCGCCAGACAAAATGCTTTTATAATCCCCTCGATATACACCCTTTAATATCCTCTCATCACCTCGCCTACTACACATTCTCTGTCTCTCTCTCTTACCTCTCCCACTCACCTACTGCCAATCACCACTACACGTGACGCACCAAAAAATTTTCCCCTTCTATGTTGTCGTGCCCCAACCACCCCCGCCCTTGAAATTACCCACACAATCTCCAACGAATTTGGCGTCGTAGCCAAAAATACACTCAAGATACGGTGAAAGCGGTGCAATTGTCGAAAGAGCACGTATAGTAGCCCAAATATATAGAAAACCCAGCATTTTTGTATATTGACCGTCCTCGTACATTCACACATTCATAAAATATCCAGTTTCCCCAGTAATCCACACACATTTTAATCCCTAGCATACGTACACCGTGAACTATGTCTGAAAACGAAGGTGGACATCACCACCACCACCATCACCATCATCACCACAACAATAACAATAACACAGTGCCTCAGCAACCGCAGCCGCAACATGCGCAGCCTATTCCTGGAGCCCAGCAACAACAGCAACAGCAGCAGTCATCCAATGGAGGAAGTGCCCATGGTGCCCCCGTCCAGAGCACCGGCCCCCGCATTGGTAAATATCAAGTTCTTCAAACACTTGGAGAAGGCTCCTTTGGTAAGGTCAAACTTGCACAGCATGTGACCACGGGTCAAAAGGTTGCCCTCAAGATCATTAATAGGAAGACTTTGGCTAAATCAGACATGCAAGGAAGAGTCGAGAGAGAAATCTCGTACCTTCGTTTGCTCAGACATCCTCATATTATTAAGTTATACGACGTGATCAAGTCCAAAGACGAGATCATCATGGTCATTGAATACGCAGGAAAGGAACTCTTTGACTATATTGTCCAGAGAGGTAAGATGCCAGAGAACGAAGCTAGAAGGTTCTTCCAACAGATCATTGCAGCAGTGGAGTACTGTCATAGACACAAAATTGTTCACAGAGATTTGAAACCAGAAAATCTCTTGTTGGATGATAAGCTTAATGTTAAGATTGCGGATTTTGGATTAAGTAACATCATGACTGATGGGAATTTCTTGAAAACCAGTTGTGGGTCGCCCAACTATGCTGCACCAGAAGTCATTTCAGGGAAATTGTATGCCGGTCCAGAAGTTGATGTGTGGTCATCTGGTGTAATCTTGTACGTTATGCTCTGTGGTAGATTGCCCTTTGATGACGATTTCATTCCTGCCTTATTTAAGAAAATTCTGAACGGGGTCTACACCTTACCCAACTATCTTTCGCAAGGAGCAAAGCATTTATTGACTAGGATGCTTGTGGTTAACCCATTGAATAGAATCACTATTCATGAAATCATGGAGGATGAATGGTTCAAAGTTGGAATTGAAGACTATTTGTTACCACCTGACTTATCAAAGACTAAGCACAAGAAAATCGAGGTTGATGAAGATGTCATTTCAGCATTGACCAACGCCATGGGTTACGACAGAGACGAAATCGTCTCTGTGATTAACAAATGCAATGAGCATAACTCCCCACAACAGCAAAGCAATGAGGTTATAGATGCTTATTTATTAATGAAGGAAAATCACACATTGGTTAAGGACTTGAAGAGAAGCCATAACGATAAAATGGATAATTTCTTACTGTCATCACCTCCCCCATCATGGAAGCAACAACAGCAACAATTACAACAGGACCAACCTTCTACGTCTTCATCTAGAGCCCCAGGAGTGCAGCAATCAGTCACTTATCAAACATTAGCCGCTGTGCCAGATTTATCGATGCTTCCTAACTCGACCATCGCCATTTTGCCCTCTTCCTTACCATCCATTCATAGGCAACTTATGGTGAATAACAGTGATACAAACCAAGCGAAAATTAATGCTGTTTCGTCAAAGAAGCTGAAAACCAGATGGCATTTCGGGATTAGATCCAGATCATACCCATTGGATGTCATGGGTGAAATTTACCGTGCTTTAAAGAATTTGGGTGCAGAATGGTCTAAACCTACCGAAGAGGAATTATGGACCATTAGAGTCAGATGGAAGTATGGGCCATGTATCTTAGAGAAGGAACCAAGTGGCGAACTGATTGCCAAGGACAATAACTATCCAGATATGATGAAGATGCAAATTCAATTATTCCAGTTGGAACCCAATAACTATTTAGTAGATTTTAAATTCGATGGATGGGAAAATAAGGGATCAACCGACGAGGAAGCGGGAACGGGAGAAGAGAGCAAGGCAGCAGTTAAGCAGGATGTAGATGAGATGAGCTCATTTTCTGCATATCCATTCCTTCACTTGGCTACAAGACTTATTATGGAATTAGCGGTAAATAGTCAAAGCGCTTAGATAATGTATAGATGACGAATGAATGAACAGAATAAGACATGTTTATAGACGGGTGGGCAGAACAAGACATGGTGGGAGAGGAGAAATGGGGGAGAGGGCGCCAGAGAGTTGAACCAGTAAACGCTAGAGAGAGGGAAAGGTTCACTGCATTCATAGTAATTTGGTGTAAATAAAGCTATTAGAGTCTCTAAATGAACCCCTTTAGTAATTCGAGAGCAATTGAAGAACTAGGAAGTGTACGGAGATGCAACCGATAAACTAGCATTTACAATCGACACCCATCCATAGCCACTTGTCTCTTTTCTCTCTTCTCTTTCTCAGATCACTTCTTCCGGGCCCTGATTTCTTCCGAATTTTTTTTTTTTTTTGGCTCTGTTTCTGCCTTGAACCTCGAATTCCAATTTACCGTTTTGGGATCTATTCAAAACCTCGTCGAACGTATGCATCCCACACCTGTTCTATAGTATTTGCATTAATTGTTTGCAATATCGTGAATCGTGCATTTCCTATTCCAGGCCAAACAAAAATAGATTATGTAAGCGATTCCGTAATATTCGAGATTCAGAAAAAGAAAAAAAAAAGGTTCAATTGTTTTGCGCACGCTTATAAGAAGAGTATGTGCCAGTAGGATAAGAAAGAAGAGGTTAAAGGATATACAGTTATTTATACTGAAAGCAGGGTATTTTATTTCGGGAACGGCATACCACTCTACCCACCAAGAAGACCAAAGAGCCAACTAAAAGAAAAACAGGAGTGAATCAAGCATTTACCATTCTTGCCTTTTACTGACTTGCTCTCCCTTTCATATATTTATTATGAAGACTATCAATTTAATATCCCCTACCAATGATGACTCCATTAAGCTTGCGGAGGTGTCGAAGATAATATTCAAGTCTAAGAAGTCCACAGTATTGACGGGGGCCGGGATATCGTGCAATGCCGGGATTCCCGACTTCAGATCGTCGGATGGTTTGTACAACATGGTCAAGGCCAAGCACCCCAAGCTGGTGGTGCGTGGGCAGGATCTCTTTGACATATCGTTATTCAGAGATGAAGTTTCGTTGTCGGTGTTCTGCACGTTCATGGAAGCATTGTACGTAAGCACAAAGGAAGCCAAGCCTACGGAAACGCATAAGTTCATTAAGACGTTGAAGGAGAAGAATAAGTTATTGAGGTGCTACACCCAAAATATCGACGGCTTGGAAAGGAGCTGTGACTTAAACATGGGCATACAAGAGGGCCACCTCGTGGTGAAAAACGAAAACGGAGTCCAGGTGCAGCAATCGTCCATCACATCTGCAGGGCAGTTCACCAAGTCCTGGAAGGAGTTGGATGTGGTGCAACTTCATGGAAACTTGCATCAACTCTCCTGTACACACTGTCTTACATCATACGCATGGACTCAAGAGTACCAGTCACTCTTGTCTCAGGGTCTTAACCCAGAATGTAAATCATGTCACGAAAAGTACTTAGAAAGATTATACCTGGGTAAGAGAATGACGGGGAACATTGGGCTCTTGCGTCCGCTGATTGTTCTCTATGGAGAAAACCACCCGCAGGCTGAATACTTGGCCCGTGGTTTAAACCATGACTTGAAATCTAGGCCGGATTTGTTGCTTATCATGGGTACATCATTGAAAGTAGACGGGGTCAAAAAATTGGTCAGATCGTTGTCCACTTCGATTCACAGCAAGGGAGGAAAGATCATATTCGTGAACAAGACGCCTCTCTCTTCGTCGTCATGGAACGGTATAATCGATTACCAAGTGTTGAGTGACTGTGATGAGTTTGTAAAGTCAGTTAAGAGAGAAATTCCTGACTTGTTCTTGACCCAGGAACAATTAGATAGTAAGAAGTTGCTCACCCCGGCAAAGAAGGCTGTCAATAAGAGTAATACTTCCGACAGTGCTTTCACACCACCTACCACTCCAACAAAGGTTAAAGTGAAATCTGAAATTAAATCCGAACAGACCATTGGCATGGATTTAATTTATCAAATCAAGAAAGAAGCGGAGACGTACAAAAGAATGAATCTTTCCATACCGACTCCAGAACTTACACCAGCATCGAGTTTTGACGAGGAGACTTTCAAACCAGCATTAAGACAAGTATCCAAGTCACAATTAAACAGGAAAATAAAGGTCAAGAAGGAAAGCAAAGAAGATGTGAAAGATGAGAAATTATTGAAGAGAGTGTCACCAACTCCAACAAACGAAGAAATACCTATGAAGAAGTGTAAAGTATAGATAGAGATTTAATAACGACGTTACGACAAGAAAAATAAGGAAATAAACAAAGTTCAAAGCTAAGTTATTTGTAGTTTGGTAGAGTATGTAGAAGTGTGTACATTCAATGCCTCTGTCTAGCATGGAGAAGTCTACCAATACCTTCAATATTATTGCTCGCTGGGATAGAAAATAATGGCTAACCTATTTTCATAGTGTAGCCTAGTATGTACATCTGTGTGCTCCCCATAGCTTTACTCTGTTCTTAGAAGATAAGCATACTGGTTTATTCAGATTGCAATTTAGTATAGTGTGTACTTCTCTGCTCTTAGGCTGAAAAAAAAAATAAAAATTGGGCCGCCCTCACTCAGTGAAAACTGGGGTAAGACAGGGCCCACTGGCAAGTACAACGACAATGAAAGTGGTGCTTATGGGCCGAAAATTCACCTGAAAAAGACTACGCTCTATCCATTGCGCCAATTGATGAGAGTTCCGAGCCAATCTCGAGTTTCGACGTTAAAAGGGCCCGAAATTCAAGTGTGTAGCCTATATTTAAGCAAATCATGAGCTGAGTTTGATCCTCAGCTTCAATGGGCCAGCCGGGCCAGGCGCATGAAAATCAAGCAACAGAACCAACACTGAAAGTAGCAAGTTACACCCGAAATTCTCTAGTTTATGACTCTTATGGTCTTTATACAGTATTTTCTACATTCTCCACCACTCTAGCCAACCTAATATGCTATTTTCCGTCGTATAACCTTGTTTATCCTTCCCTTCTTACCCCAAGCAATATTGCGCATGAAGAAATAGCCGTTACATGATTTTCGAAATCGCAATTGTACAATTTGAGCTGGTGGTGGAATGTCTGGACTTGTACACCTTTTTCTTTTGTTGAAAGAAGCCAAGTTTTGCCTTTTGTTTGGCAATTTTTGTATACTAGCTCTCTCCGTATAGTACCCATAACATGGACCTGGTTTCTAACTTTTTTGAGAGCATCTTGACTGTGGAAGGCGCTGAAGCTGAACTGAATGCATCTTCACATGCGCCAGATGTCAAAAGAGCTGAGGAACCTTTAGCACGTAGTAACAATAAGGCAAGCCCTCCTATTTCGAAGAGAAGAAACTCGTATGAGTTCGGATTCTGGTCCTCTTCGAAGAAAGATGATGGCACCAGCTCATTGGGCTCAAAGAAAGACGATGTACGTTCGCCTTCAAAGTCTCAGCCATCAGCAGCATCAGCTGCAGCAACAGCAGCTTCCAATTTCTACAACTCGCTATCTTCCAGCACCAATGGTGCTTCGTCAGCATCATCGTCATCAAATTCATCTAATTTGCTTGCAGATAAGTTAATGGAGAAAATGATTTCCATGATACTCCCGTTGAATGCATCAACCTCAGAGGGCCAGACTATCTTGAAAGAGCGAATTGAAATGCAGAAATCTAGACCTTCCCTCTCCGTCAATTTGATGAGTAAAAACTCGATCCAATTGAACCAGAGACTTTCCATAGTGTTCCAGCTGTTAGATCTGTTTATAAAATTCTTCCTGTGGTGCAATCCTAACTTCACTATTGCTCTTTTGTTGGCAGCTACGCATGTAATTTTGACTCCAATATTGTTACCTGTTTTACCCATAGCATATATCTTATTCGAAGTTATGGTACCTCACTATTTGGCAATATACCCTCCTGACAAGTCCATAATAGTGTCTCAGCGACCATTTTTCGAATTCAACCCAGTACCAGCTGATAATAAACTTGATGGCCCCGTCATTCCAGCACCGATTCCAGAGTTTTCACGAGAATTCATTTTAAATTTAACTGACTTACAAAACTATATGGTACTCTATGTAATTGCATTTGACTGGTTGGCATGGCTAACGAGAGATTATTTATATTTTAAGGATGAAAATTTACTGTCGTTGGTGTACCTTGGATTATGTTTCACAATGGTGATGAATTTAATGGTCTTTCCTAAATTGATTCCTATCATATTACCTTACATACCGATTCGATTCATCCTAATTGTAAGTATTTGGATGGGCACTATTGTTTTCCATCCATACTTGAGAAACAATATATTAGAGTGGATATATGAAGAAAATACTAGATTGTGGTGGTTGACTGTTCTGGATAAAGTTGAATTGAAGTTGAGAAAGATATTTGGACTTAGGCAGCAGGTGGAAGAATTTCCTGAGTTTGAGGCAGATGTGGAAATCTTTGAGCTCCAGAAGTTGAACATGAAGACCAAAGTGTGGGAGCCTGTTGGGTATAGTCCTGATTTCTATTCAATTAACAATCCTTATAGGATTTTGAGTGAAAGTGTTTTTGAGGAGCTTGAAGTAGAAAATGAAAAAGAAATCGATGAGGAAGAAGCAGAAGTTGAAGATAAAAGAGAAAATACTGTCTTAAACCACATTGACGATGCTGATCTACTGATAAATGAATCTACTTCAAACGAAGCAATGGAGGCTGGAAATTTGACTGATGTCCATTCTTTACCTGATGAAGCTATCGACAGAGACTATATGATCCCTCGCGTACGACTCTTGGAAACTGTTAAGCCACCAGTTGATTGGGAATTCAAACAGAGATGTTGGAAATTGGATTTGGATTCATCTGAATGGGTTGCACAGAACTTCATTCAAGATGTAGTTTATGTGGACACAGATGAAAAATGGGTGTACGATATTATGGGTCCTGAGCAATTTGAGCGTCAACTCCTGCAAGAAGAACAAGCTGTTGGGGACGACTTAGAACATACTAAGCTAGAAGATATAAAACACGAATTATTTAGAAGAAGACGTTGGATAAGGAGATGCGGTCGTCAAAATAAGATTGAGAAGGAACCCTCGAAGGGTACAAAAGATGAGGAACAACCTCACCGTCCAAATCAAACATTTGCAGACTATTTGATATAATAGGCAGAATAAGGTAATAATAAATTCCTCTTGTATGATCGGGAGAGCATGAATACTAATAAAAAGGATACTTATTATATATAACATAACTTAACTCAACTTAATACAAGGAAATTACATTCTAAAGCATGCGCTTGATATCTCCAGGAGGTGTTTCGTTTTCATTTATTCATCTATTTCATAAAGTCCATTAAGTTTAAGGACATTGTTGGTTTGTCTTTCTCTTGTTTACTCTTTGAAATCAAGTTTAGAAGATTATGGGTTTCCTTCCTCTTTTTCGACCTTTTCTTTGTCTTGGAATCTACGGAAGGTGATTGAGATTTAGAACTAGACTCCAGTGTCTGTGGGGGCCATTTGGCCTCGAATGATGGCGCTGGAGATGGAGATACCGTACTTGGACTTCGGTGGGATGCAATCACTGCAACGGAAGGTTGCATCAACTCATTGCAAATTGTTTGGTTTGAGCCGCACTGTAGGCATTTATATTGGAGCAACCGTTTTCTAGGCTTGGGTTCCAAGCTGGACTTTCTTCCACCAGATTTGAGCTTTTTTATTTTGGAATTCAGGGAATTCAGAGATTTAGACTTGGTCTTAGAATATGTTATCCTTATAGAACATGTTAATCCAGGAATATATAGTATTCCACAAGTTGCACATGTGTTCGATGTAGAGTAATTTTCTGGTAGATTGATAGACTTATCGTTACAATGCTCATAGAACGATTGAGCATATACCTTATTTAGCGGGTTCAACGGGATGGAACGCGATAAGTTGAGAAGATGTAGAGCTGTTGTCTGTGCTGCAGTAGTTCTCAGCTTCTCCATTGGGATTCGTTCTCGAGTTTACTCGGTTATCGGTCACCACCTAGCTAGTTCAAGCCCAATTAGAGATGAGTAGAAAGCAATGCGCACGGGACTTTTTTTTTTTTCAATTTTTTTTTTTTTTTTTTATTTCTTGTCTTATTTCTGAGCATATTTCCTTTTCGGTATTCGTCACGTGAAGATCTTGAACTGGCAGGACCCTCCGAACTTCGGAGCATCAGCATGGACCAAATCTACAGCTCAGATGATATCAATACCCAGCCCCCCAATCAGAAGGATGGGATTTGAAGATTATTTGTTTTCTTCAAATCCGTTTCGCTCAAGAAAAGTCTTATCAGGAATTCGAAAGTAAATAATAAAATGCAATTTACTGAAAATGATGCCATGACAATAGTTTCCATGGGAAGCTGTTGTACAAACGTTTGACGTTTTTTGCGCCCCCTTTGCAAACACTGTAGAGATTTGTCAATACCCAACTAGTTGGCTCAGAGTCAAAACGATGGCACCAATTCCATTATCTGAGCAGATGTCTAAGTTGGTGGGCATCACAGGCTCTTCCTCTTCGCTATCTCTTTCTCTACACCTCCTTCCCACCTCCCACCTCCCCCCTATATCTAGATTTCGTAAGCTAATCTTAATCTTGTTGTGCTCTCGTGTTCTCGCCCCACGTATCTCTGCAACCCTAGCCCACACGATTCCTTTTCCATGTACGGATTACCTTCAACTGTCCCCACACTATGACCGATCTTTGCATAGCCAATCAGCGCTACAAAAAAGTTGCTTACTCTTTTTTCGCGTGTGAGCCCTGGGATTTCACGTACTTTGATCTATTCTGAGCAGGATACAGAGGCACGGAAAAGTAGAAAAAAAAAAGAACAAAAGGGACCGAAGAGAACAAGAAGGAAGAAAAGGCAAAAAAGGGAGGAAAGGGCAAAAAAGTCGGCATATCATTATATCTTTGGTTAATTATGAATACTAGAAAAAATCGTGTGACAAAACCTTACAAAAAGGTGCTCAAATCGTGCACAAGGTGTAGACAGCATAAGACCAAGTGTGATGCTGACGTTAGGAAACCGTTGGCGTGTACGCACTGTTCACGAAAAAGCTTCGAATGTGTGTTTGATGTTATAGACACCCCACCAAAGAGGTCATCGGAAGTTGTTGAGCAGTTAACAGCTGAAGTGGGCGAGTTGAAGGAAAAGTTGTACGACATGATAGAAAGCAGAAGCAAGATGATTCAAATGTTACTAGGCGACCAAAGGCCATCTCCTATGGAAGATCTCCAGGCGGAGGACCAGGCACTGGAAGGAGAATTTGAGTATGAATCACAATCTGAATCAAACTATGACTCAGAAGAATCGGAATCTGAGTTGGAAGAGTCTGAGTTCGAATCTGACGTGGAATCTGAAGGTGGCACCGTTGAAACCGAGCACGGTGATCATATGATGGAGACAGACTCCAAACCACTGCCCCTCCACTCGGACATATCAGTTTCTTCTCTCTCGTATATCTCGCTGAGTTCCTGCAAGATTATTGCTACCACTACCATCCAGATCCCATCGGCAACAACAGCCAAACTTCACTCAACATGTACAGATACATCTTTCAAGTTGGAAAGCACGCAACTTTCAGTTCAAGATGCCGAAAAGCTTTTCGAGATCTACAGAACAAAGTTCCACAAGTTTTTTCCTGTTTTACCAAATCAGTTTTTATTTGACTTGAAGCAAGTCTATAACGAGAGTGATTTGTTGTTCTGGTCCATTGTCGTGGTATCAATGACAGAACTGCAGGAAATTGAAGGCCCTTCAGACTCGCTTATTACCGCTGTCAAAGCGTTAGTGGTAGATAAGTGTTGGTACAACACTCCGAGATCGGTTCATACGTTGTTGGCTCTCTCAATATTGACTACATGGCCAATTCACAACGATGACGCACTTTCTACTAATTATCTCCTGCTCATGAATAATCTCTCTTTGCAACTTGGTTTGCATAAGTCGGAATTTATTCAGGAGTTCAGTCACAAGACCCAAGTTGGAATCTCCAAGTACTCCTCTGACAACAATAAATTGATCAGAGAAAGACTTTACAAATACATATCGAGTCAGTCTTACTACTGGCTCACCTTCTTGGGTTACCCACAACAAACAGAAGAGGACTTCATTTTGGATAGGGCCCACTACCAGGTCACTAATAATCGTAACGATCAATATATCAATAGTCTCCTCAAGCTATCTAGCATTCAACTGAAAATCTCAAAGATCTTTGAAAGTTCGGATCACTCAGTGACTAGGTTGTATCAAATCAACAAGACCAAGCGTTTTATAAATATTGGAATGTTTGAACAGATTTTGAATGAGTTTTCATTGCATTTCGATTCAAATTCTGCTGACTACAACTTGCTTGAACTCTCAATTCAGTATACCAAATTACAACTTTACTTGTTTTCATTCTCACCCTTGGACAAATTCAAAACGGATTTGAACTTGTCTGTGGATGAGTACAAGCAATATGTCTACAAGGCATTACAATGTTGTTATAAAATCGTAGTGATATTTAATAAGACTTTCGCAGGTAGAAAGTCCGTCGACTCGATCCCAATCCAGTATAGATTTGCCTTGGAATTAAGTTTATTAACTATGATGAAAATATACTACAGTCCATTACTTGGTAAGGTGGAAGACTTCAAACAACTCAAAGCTGTATTCCAAAGCGGATACAAATGGTACGAAAATAGAAATTTTGAAGGTGAGAAGGTGGTTTCCATCTTGAAAGGGTATGAAGAAGCATATAAATTGGATAAGAGTTGCATTCTTGGAATTGATACCAAAAGTAGAAAAAACCATAACAAAATCATTAATAACGATCATAACAAATTCTTCCTTTTGAAAACTTTCAAAGATTACTTTGTTTCCACATTGTCGCATGAAATGAGTAAAACTATTGAAAGGGTAAAAAAGGAGGAAGCTAAAGGAAAGCATCTGGAATGTATTTCCTGGGAAAGGTTGGGCTTGAACACAGGCAACGATCAAAAAAGGCAGATAATAGAGTATCTTGAAAACGAAAATTGTGGTTTAATCAATTAATTATATAGAGCATTCGCAATTGGTTTTCTTTCATGTACAACTAAAATAAAATGAACAGATACAGCAAACTCAAATCTCGTAAGTTTTTACTCTTCAGATAGTCTGTGGAGCTAGCGAGACTACCATTAGATGTTCATCTAGTTCATCTACATTAGAATCTCAAAGTAGGACAACTTATCTCTACAACGATCCTTTGTTATGGTCTACAGGTTCCATTACTCTTAAGTTTCGTCTATCTTTTTCTTTTTTTAACTTCTTGCGTCTTATTAGTTTTCAAAGTTTTATTTACATTCCTCCACCAAACTGTCTCATCATTTGTTGCATCATACCTGGGTTTTGCATCATTTGTTGAGCTTGTTGCATCATATTTGGGTTTTGTCTCATCATTTGTTGAGCTTGTTGTATCATGGATGGGTTCATCATGGAACTCATATCGGGCATACCGCCAGCTCCTGGAGCACCTGGGGCTCCTCCTCCTCCAAACATCTTCATAGCCTGCTGCATAAAGTTTGGATTCAGTTGTGCCTGTTGCATCATTCTTTGCATACCAGCAGCCCCTCCTGGACCACCAAGTGCAGGGTTACCGCCGGCTCCTGCAGCACCTGGCATTCCACCCATGTTCTTTGCACCCTGAGCCATTGAGCTCATCATTCTTTGTTGCTGTAACACCATTTCCACTTCAACAACTGAACATCCTGAACCACGGGCGACTCTCACGATTCTTTCTGGTTCCTGAGTAAAGCATCTACCGTCGCTATCCAATTCCCTGGTGGTCATGGAATCCATAATGTAAATCATATTTTTAATCTTTTTCAGTGTCTCCTCTTCCCCAACCTGTTCCATTATCCCACTCATCCCTGGAATCATAGATGCAATGTTTGTGAGAGGTCCCATTTTAAGGAAATTATTCATTTGAGTCTGGAAATCTCTGAGGGTAAACTTACCTTCCTTAAAATTCTCAATGGTCTGCTTATGAGACTCGTCATCTTGTAAGTTCAACAGTTGAACGTGTTCGATAAGGGATTGAATATCACCTATACCTAACAACTTCAGAATAAATGTGGTTGGTTTAAAAGGTTCAAAATCACCTACGTGTTCACCAGTACCAATGAAAACAATTGGAGTTTTAGTAGCGGCAACTGCAGAGATCGCACCACCACCCTTAGCATGACCGTCCATCTTAGTTAAGATGATCGACCCAAAGTTAGATGATTCCTTGAAAGCCTTGGCCTGCAGCTCGGCAGCTTGGCCAATGGCCCCATCCATGACCAAAATAGTCTGCGTTGGGTTAACAGTTTCACTGATTTGAATCATTTCATCGAATAAGGATTGCTCTTGCTTGTGTCTACCAGAGGTATCAACGATAATTATATCGAACTTTTCTTTCTTGAATTTCATCACACCCTCTTTGGCAACCTTCACAGGATCATGTTCTGTGTAACTACCGAAGTAAGGGATCAGCGACTTTATGGCATTCTGCTTCAATTGATCAAAGGCACCAGCTCTGAATGTATCAGCACAGACCAAACCAATCTTGAAGCCCCTCTTCTTGTAGTATAACGCCAATTTGGTACAAGAAGTCGTCTTACCGGCACCTTGCAACCCGACGAACATTATCACATAAGATTCAGCTGTCACTTTAGTGGCCTTTTTCCCACGAATGGTGGTACTATTGGCATTCTTCTTGCTTTGCTGCTGGCTCAACTTCTTAGGTTTAGGTGGCTCTTCGTGAGAATCAACCAAGGCACAGAGCTCATCGTAGACAATTTTCTGAAGCTTTTTCCTCTTGTTAGCACTATTCTCATCCTCATTGATATCTGTGGTGACTTTGGCTTTAATATTATCTCTCAATTTGGCAACCAACTTGATATTGACATCGGACTCCAAGAGGGCCGTGCACAAATCCTTAATAAGCAGCTGGATTTCCTTTTCGGATCCGGACTCGACGCTGGAGAGAGCTCCACGAAGACGAGATCCTAAATCTGCTAAAACCATTGTCAAATACGACTTATTATTACGATATAAGGACTGATTACAATCTATCTTCCCTTTATTGGAGATCACAGTTGAACAGAGAAAAAATTCATGTAAAAATGTTCAACAAATGGACTATATGCAGGATCTTGGTACACTGGTGAAGTATTGGGAACACAACAGCATAGATATAGAGTGAAGAAGGTACCAGAAGGATATTGGCACTAGGAAGATACTTATAGAGAAATAGGAATCTGCAAGCCAAGGTAGACGTAGAAAGAGTTGTGCATTTCTCGCACGGCAGCGAGGAAAGTGGCCATGTCTATGCATGGATGCCGTACTTTGTAGACCCTCTCGTTGTGTGGAGAGCTAGCAGAGCCGTTGAACTAAGCGAACCGTACAGATAAAAGTTGGTGTATGCAGTATGGGTGTGATCACGTGATAGTTGAAAGCTTCCATATGTAAACTGTGAAGCACCACCGCCTAAGTTTGGGATGTGGCAAGCGCTTCGAATGGTGAATTTTGTAAAGAAATGGGAGCTCCACGGTAATGGAATAAGCAAGTGCATTGAACATTTTTTATTTCATATTCAATGTGGCGATTGATGGAAATGATTTAGTGATAACCATTCTCCTAGTATCGGATAAATCTGTATATGTGCAGGACCATCACTTTTTTCTTTGTTTCAAGGCCCTATATAAGATCTTTTGGGATAGTTGGATGAGTTCAAATAAGGAAGCTGTTATTCTTCATTAGGTAAAAGGGTATTTGTAGCGCTGTGTACTGGGTCTAGGTCAGTTATGTAAATTTTTGTTGACCTTTTTCTTTCTTTTTTATCATCCGACACTTCCTGTGAAGTATTGTTCCCTTTCTGGAGCTCCCACATATTCGCTTTGTAGATGACTTGTAAACGTTGAGTACGATCAAGTTCGAAAGAACGTAATTGCTGATAAGAGCCCGTCAGTCAAGCTATCTGGGAGCAAACCTCGTATCCCAAAAATAAACTTATCTCTTATCTCATATGAATCGTGATAAACAACGACGGAGATCTTCCAGAGATTAGGCTGTGGAATATGCAGGATTTGAACTGGCGAATTTCTTGTCCACTGATAACAAATTTAAGGTAAAAAAAAGAAAAGAAGATTGCGGGCTCAATGAGCGATAGGTGAGACGTATTGATAATGACCGCCACGTAATAATAAACTTTTAGCTGGTTTCCCTTTTCGATTGTTTCAGTTTAGTGTCAATTTTCAGTGGTGCAACCACGGTGACCAAAAGTGGAGGAGTGTGGAGAGCGATGGATTTTTTTCACTAATTTGGCTCTATTCCGCAACCAGTAGCGCAATTTGCTGATGTATGTCGCGGCCTGCAGCATTTAGGAGGGGACCTCTCCACAAAGTAAATAAAGGAAAATAAAAAATACTACGTTGTCTCAGACAAATTTTCCCCGTGATAAGCTAAGTATATTCTTGATATGCCTAAGTTTATCGCGCAGTTGTGAGAGGATATAATAAAAAGTAAACAATAGATGCCAAAAACTTACCACTATTCGTCCCGAGTTATCCACTGAAGGGCTACCCCAGTGATAACACAATTGAATTTGTTCTTACTGTCCGCATGACGCAATGATTCCAAGCGGCGATGTGAAAGAAAAAAAGAAAAATGTCAAAAAATAAAAATAAAAAATAAAAAAATAAAGAAAAAAAAAGAGGACGGGTTCCAAGAAGGACCTGGAAAGAGAAATAAACATCTCGTAACCCATGGCAAAGAATTAAAGCTCCGCGGAGAAAGAGGTGAAACAGATTACTGATACGCTTACCTACCGTAATCAATGATCTTTCTCCCATTTACGTGAAACTACGAAGAAAAGCAACTGAGCAGCGTTTCAGTTATCTTTTGCACCACACTCGGACTGATAGCGCAAAAGAACAAAAGAAGTTTTCACTGCGCATCAATAGTCCCGCAAGTAGCAAAAAGGGAAAAAAAAAAAAAAAAAAAAAAACAGGACAAAGCAATTCCATGTAAGCTAGCATGTCTTATCTTCTATCACAATGCCCCAGCAATCGCGGAAGCAATAATATTGTCATCTGGTTCTTGTGTAAGTGCCCAGGCTACAAGCTACATATGTTTACATTTCAGTTGAGATTATTGTATGTATGTATGTGTGGTGCGTGCTTGCGTGCGTGTGTGTTATTTATTTAGAATTATCGTTTTGTATAGCCTGCTATATCTAACACATTATTTTCTAATGCAATGAACTCCCCCTCTGTATCAAAGTATCAATCATATCGATGCTTGGAACACATGTTATATCGTCATAATAATTCTCTTCGGTGTCGATACTGAGCGGGAACTTGGTACATCTGGATGACTTTAAGATCATCCGCGGAACTTGAGAACGTGACACCCTAGTTTGAGGTTGCGCAATTTGTTTCTCTTTGGTAGTTATAGAATTTATTTGCGCCTGTGCTGCTATAACCGCAGTGTTAACATTATGTGATGAATTTGTTGAAGGTGCTGAATACTGGGAAGAGAAGCACGAGTTAGCGTCAGACGACGAAAATTTCCGTTTCTTACTGTCTTTATTTGTTTCGCTATTATTTATTTCCCTTTCCTTCGTAGTTTTGGTTGATGGTTCACGAATTAAACATTCGGCTTTGCGAGCTCCTATTTTCCAGCTGAACATATTTTCTATATCTTCGATGGAAGTCGATAATATTTCATCAAGTCTCTTTCTCTTTAAGCTCATTGTGTATGTGTGTTTCTGAATATGATGTTAATGAAGATGATGATGATAAAAACTTCCCGTTCACCCTATTACCATATTATGGTAACCCCTTTTCCTTTTATAAGTCTCGTCAAAACCTGAAAATTTTTCAATGGGCCACACTTCGACTTTATATCAGATCTGTATGTTATATTTTGTTTTTTCTTTTTTTTTTTTTTTTTTTTTTGCGATCTCTTCGAACTTCTTCTAAAGTCGGCGCAATCCGTTCTATGTATGGCCAACAATTGCGCTTCTAGATAGCTTGTATGCAGGCGATTGTGCTATTTTAAATTATTGTGAATTTCTCCACACGAAACGATGCACGGATCTCCATGGCGCGCCCAATTTCAGTTATCAATTTCTGGAAGATTGGCTATCTTTAACATCTGTTTTGGGTAGTAGCGGAAAAAATTTTCGCTCTGGCTTGTAGTAAACAAAATTCGCTTTGGGACACCCGCACTAAAAGGGGATAAGCGTGATTATTACGAATTTTAAACAAAGATATTAGAATTCATCGATAATGAACGGGGACGATGGGCAGAGCAATGAGCCAGAAAGAGAAACAGGATTTTGAAGGGACCTTTTGCAAAAAAAATTGTCTCTTGCATTATCTTGTGCCTATGGCCTTCGTCGGGCAATTTGCATTTGCTTGCTGTACTTTGCGAATTCAATGCTTATGCGAGCCGGTGATAGAGTTTCTTGTTGCTGATATTAAATCTGAAACGGGAGTTTCTTTTTAAGGTTCGTATTGCAATTTCTTCCAAGTTTTCATGTTATTTTTTTTTTTGGCCAGAGAATATACCCCAATTCCAACTGTTCCTTTAACATTAAGCTTTTAGATAACCGTCATAGGAAAAAATAGCCATGCTACACCAACCCGAAAGAGATTTTTTTTTCATTTGCGAGCAGTTTAATTCCATCACGTGAAATTCGTAAATCATAATTACTCTACAATAGATAAGTAATAGTAAACTCTAATATTGGTCACAGTTAGGGTTTAATGAGTCAGCCTCTCCCTCGATGTCTATATACTAAAACACTACTATCTTGATCAATCATTGGGCTATATGTATTTCCGTTGAAACGATAATGTTATCATTAGTAAACTTTAATATTGTTCACAAGTAGTGTCCACAGTCGAACTTCTCCCAAGGTGTCTGTATTTTAAAACACTACTCTCAAGATCTTTGAATGTATTGCATACCTAAACGTTGAAACGGTAGAGTTCTCAATTAAGTAGCTTCCGAAAAAATTTTCAATAACTCAGTCATGTGTGGTTCTCTTCGTTCCTTTCTGAATATGCTAACGCACTTTTATCACCTTCTTCACTAATAATAGTCCCCATAAAGTACCCTTGGCTCGTACTTTCTGTCATTTCTCAAGATCTCAATTTCGTCTCTCAAAACCTCAATTTCGTTTGGCGAAATATCAATATCATTATACAGATGATCGCTTTCCGAATCAATGAGAAATGTGTCATCGTCGGAATCCGAATCTACCAGGTACACTCTAGTAGCGAATGCATCTAAATCTGTCTGATGGCCGTCATCTTCTTCTTCTCCTTCTTCTTCCTCTGGCTCTAATTCTCGCAATGCACTTTTACCCTCTACTTCTTCTTCATCTTCTTGAAAAAACTCAAACTCATGATCTATCTCATCTTCACTGATTTCTCCATCTTCATCAAAAGTCAAATCGCCTTCATCCTCATCTATCAATTCTCCCGAAATAAGAAGGTCGATGGTCGAAGCCTTGTCCGTTTCCTTATCTTTACTATCAGTTCCATCATTCTTCTTGAACTCTGGAATTTCTTCGCTGAAATTCCAAAGCTCATGCAATTCGCCTCTGAGGAAACCTCCAATGGCTACACTCGACAATACACTTGGTACAATGTACAAAAGGGCGGGTTGGCCATGATTGAAGCGTACTAGAACAACAATAGTTGTAACTAATCCTAGAATATATCCAACTAATGAGATTATGAAGTATGGTTTCTTGAACAGCTGTAAGTGGTGGAAAGCAGTATTTGGGTGGGATTCATGATATTTATAAAGATCAAATCTTAAGCATAAAGCAATAAAGCTTCCAGGTAATACAATATCCCCTAATCCTAATAATGTTTCTGGGATAGAAGCGCAACCAATTTCTCTTAATATATCTAATATTGTTAAATCTTCAATATTCTCGCTCTTGTAGTAAGAAGGCATCCTTGGAATTACAAATTTCATGGGAACATCCAACTTGGTAGCGACAGATAACATGATATCAGTTTGAAATACAAAATAAATGTCGTAAAAGAAAAGCAAAATCAACAATAAACCTGCCAATTTAAAATTAGAAATGGAGTTAGACATTTGCACCAAACCATAAATTGTCAAGTTGAATGCAATAGAATTCAAGAAGAGCCAATTCGTACTATAGTCAAGCTTGAATAAGCCAATGCCAAAAACAATGGTATAAATAATGGCATTAATCTTTACCGTATCAAAGACAAAATTGAACTTTTGATTCCGTAATTTAACGTCGACGGGCTTCAAAAACTTGACTCCATGTTGATGGTAGTGTTTTCTCAACTCTTTATGCTCCAAATATTCATCTTTGGTCTTAAAGTCAGAGCGTTTGAGTTTAGACTCCAACACACCTAAGGGGAAGGTGTCCTTTACCTCATCTTGAGAAATGGTCAATCTAAACCTTTCAGGATCGAAGAAAGAGATACCTGTCCAATATTTCAAGTTTCTTCCCCCAACTGTTAAAATGTAATTACTAGTATAGTAAGCACCAGGGAAGGAACAAAATCTAATATAATAAGTGAAAAACTTCAAAATTTGTTCTCTCGAGTAATTATTGATCGCATAGTACAATCCATATAATCCTCCAGACATGAGAATTGGAAACAACAACGTTGTTGTCAAATCCAACTTGAGCTGCAATTCCTTAATATCCAGAACCATAGTTCTCAAATAGACAGAACCATCGCGATCACTAGGGTGCCACTTTGGATTTTCTGTGTCAGTGATGGGGTCCTTAGCGTTCTTCGGTTTACTGAGCGTTGAAAATGACCCGATGATGACGCACGATACCGCAATACCAACCATAACTACAAATGCAACGTATTCTGGAGAAACCCACTTGAAAATAATATTCGATGGGTGATAAAAAGAATACGTCACATAGTAAGCAGCCTTGTCAAAAATATTCAAGTCATCAAATGGAATAGTAGAATTCATTTTACGTGCTGTGTTCGAATTGCACCTGTATTTCAATGACGTTTTTTTTAATCTCAGTAACTGTTGTATGCCCTTTGCTTAAGTTTTTTTCAAGTCCCACTGTTTTGGTTTTGAGAAATGGTAAACAAAAAAAAATAGTAGTCTCAATAAGTTAGAGAGGGGGGTTTTTCAAATAAGTAGTTCAACTGCTATGAGAATTTTGATGAGATAATTTTTATCATTAGATTTCACGTCCAACATCCACAATTTAAGTATTGCCACGTATTTGCCATCCTATCATTTGAACAGCATGCTAGATTACTCTGTTTGCATCTGGGAAGTGAATACTAGATGCAATTCCTTAGTTTGATCCAAAACCAACCAATAAGAATAGTCAGACTTTGCCCATTTCTAGATTTAGAGACTATTACCGCATTTGGACTTCAGGACACGTTATCATTGGTCAATATGACTGAAAATTTCACGCAATAAACGCACCAAGTTTGCCTTTGCAACTGTAACATCCTTTCAGATAGTAGCCACCATACTGCATGTTAGCGTTCATTATTTTTATTTCGTTCCTTGGTAAATATATATGCAGTACAGTACGACAGCCAAATCTACCTCAGTCTTCCGCACGTTGATGAAACTTGGGGTGGAGAAAACTCCTGCATGTGGAGGGGCTGCATAGAAAATCGCCCAACATCTACAGTTGGATTTTATCACTCCAGCAATGTAACGTGATTTTCGTCACCCCACTATTCCATACAGTGGTTGCAATATTCGATACAGCTTTTATGCCAGAAGATAAGGAAGATGTGGGACCCCCGTCGGAACAAACACCAAAAAATAAAGAAATAGCATGCTGCTGATGGCTGCAAATGAGATGACCCTATCAGTGGTATTACAAATGTAAAGAAGTATAGATCGCGTGCTAGGGATAGTGGTACTACATGGTCATCGGTGAATTGTCATCGGAGTGTCTGGTCTTTGATTTCAGCAATAGGGGCAACTCCAATTATGTGCAGTATTTTCATCTCTGGTTGTTCATTTATTTTCGTTTCGATTCTCCGGTCGAATTTACTTTTCTTGAATAGGTTCCCCTTCATTATTATGTTAGTGCCGTTTGGTGCATGTAATAGCGCTTAGCTTCAAAGGGCAACCTCTGCTTTGTTCGTTGCTCCCCTCTTACTCCACCGGTCATCAATTTATACCACCATACTAATAATTGATAGGTTGAGCATCACACGACTGCGCGCATAAATTCGAATGGAAGCACCTTAAAAATCAGCGAACAAACTTCTTCTATGTTGCGAGCATTGGTGCACGGAAATGTTAAATTTCAGTACAGATGCATGAGAGATTAAAATACATAGAGAGAAGCAGAGGTCTATAAGTGCTGTAGTACGTTTCTGCTTGCAAGCTCATTGCATCGTTCGTACCATGCAGCGAGTCTTTTAAAGCTCAAAGCTTCCTGATCAGCAGATCGGGAAAGAGCAAATCGATTCTAGCCCTTCTCCACTTGTGCGTGGGCCATTCGTAAACGTTGGCTATAGTCGAATTCTCTTATCATACTTGCATATGTTTGCAGTGTGTTGCATTGTAGGTGGAGCCTTGGACTGCGCTGGAAGATAACAAATAAAAAAAAAAAAAAAAAAAAAAGAGGAAAAAGAGAGATACACCTGGGAACCCACTACTATTGCTAATACCAGCTGGACTAAAGATCTGAGCTCCGATGGAACAAACAGATTGGGTCATCTCATCTAGTAGCTCCCATATCCTTTCTGTAGCCCTGCTGGTTCTGAAACTCTCTACATCTCCACCCTTTTCCTATTTGAATTAACTACGCACTGGATGAGCCCTACTGAGATAAGCTGGGAAACGCTAATTTCCTCTTGATGACCAGATTGGAAATAAACAATTACGTACTACAGCCGGTTCTAATCACCTAAAATCTGAACCCAAATGCAATTTCCCCTTCTTTTTACTGATCTCATTCTCAACCTCCATCATCCCCCAGTTTGGAAACGGTGGCCTTACACCAAACTGGATACTTTCCACTTCTCTACAGAGCGTAGTTACTCGTACATCAGATCGCACTGACTTATTTTTCGGCCAATCTCTCTATTCCCCAAATTCATGACTGTTTTAACTGCTGACCAAAAGAGCAAAAACCAAAAAGTGCCTAAAAAATACTCACCAAAAATAATGCTCAAGGAAAAATAAAAAAAAAAAAAAAAAAAAAAAAAATATAAAATAAAATAAGAAAAAGTGTGGTTATATATAAGTGGACCTGAATAGTGTTTTGCTACTTCATCGTTCACATTTCCCTATATTATACCTCCCGGATAATTTTTCATTTTATATTAATATTTATATTTATTTTAATATTTACAAATATAAGAAATAAGATTATAATATATATACACTCAATTATAACTAGCACAGTATTCGGTACGTTCGCCCCATCACCTGCATTCGAAAATCTTCACACATATTTTCAACCTGTATCAAACTGCTACCAAAAATATCCAGCCTTGATATAGTAAAGATTTCCCCTTGCCAAACAGTTGTGAAACGCCAATCTGAAACCTGATTACCCCTAGGCTTTCGCAAGAGAATATAACTGCACTGTTTGTATCTTTACCTGTGGTACTACTACCTTCTGTCGCTGACTTTCCACCGACTCTTGTTCTGGTTTCCATTTCCAGTTAGATAGAACTTTTTCGTGACCAGGTACAGAAAAAAAAATAAAATAAAATAAAAAAGCTACACCCGCCTACAACTGACTTAGTAATTATATATAATCCACTTATATATCACAGCTTTAATCACAAAGAAAGTGTTGTATTATTATTAATTCACGTACTATTGACATGGACGCTACCAGATCCAAGTCCTTTGCATCCTCCCTGAACGAGGGGATCTTCGAGAGATCATTGTCCTTCAGTATGCTGTCGCTTCCACCGACTTCGCGTCAGAAATTAGCGAGGACGTTATCGAACTGCTCGCAGCAATCCAGCGGAGGCTACACCATCCCTGTGCACCACAATACCGAGGACTTCGTCGCCCCAGTGTTGGACACCACGACGGAGATCTTGACCAACCCAGCGTTGGACTTGAACGACGTTAATATAGTGTGCTGCTGTGAAGAGGAAGACGATGAGCAGGCTACAGATAGAGACTCCAATGACGAAGCGTCATCTCAGCCCAATAACCATCTGAAGCTGCTGCTTACGGCACATGGACAGCACCCGCATAACCACACCCACCCAAAGAAGCCGAGATCACGCTCACGCTCGAGATCGTCCATCAGTAAATCGCTTATGAGCTCTATGTCTCCCACCGGCACCTCATCACAACTGCAGTTGGCTTCCAAACTGCACCATAGCTCGGTAGGTAATATCGGCCCAGTGTCACCGTCAGTTCACCTGTCCAAATCAAACGTGTCGCTTCACCAATTCCATCAACAGCATCAAGATATGAGCAACTCGCCAGATCGCAAGACCATCAAATTCTATTCATTTGCCGATATGTTGGACAATGAGAAGCAGGAAGAACAACCCTTCAGCGATGAAGATGCATCTATGGGTTCACCACCTGAATTCAGAGGGTTTTCGTTCTCTGAGCCAGCTCCAGTTGATGACGATATCCATCACAAGAGAACTAACAGTAGCCATTCCCCACCGGTGTCTGTGGATGGGTTCCAGACTATCTCGATGAGAGATTACATTTCCAAATTGAACTAATTGGAATAGACTGTCTTCAGTAAAGGAAAATGGGCTTTAAGCGGTTTATTCTTTTTATTGGACTGTTTGTCAGATATGTACCTGCCATACACTGTGTACATCGCCCATTGCATGTTCAAACTGAACAAGCTCTATTGGTCTGCAGAATCGATGCACCTCTTCTTCTTCTTCTCGATGCCCTTGCGGCTTGAATCAACTTCGTGGTCACATCTTATTGTACATTATTCGTTTTTTTTTTATCTTGTCGTTCTTGCAACGTGAAGATATGGCTGTGAACGTTTTCAAGTCGAGAATAAATCTAAGTAACAAAACAAAGAGAAGAGAAGTGTAATAATAGAATTGTACCCTAGTCAATATATAGTATGTATCAATTCAACGCTCAGTTACATAACGATAGACCCGATTCTATAATATTTCCTAAATGTAAAGCGCAATGTGCAACTATTAGATCTGAACCTAAAGTAGATGATAAAAGAAGACTTGTATGGATTGGAAGGTTTATGCTGGATACACTCTCACACAGTCCTTACAATTGAATATTTCGTTGGTCAACGGATCCTTGATCTTATCAACGTCAAGTAACTGCTTCCTCGATTCCAAAGTCTCTGGCAGGATTCCAGGCTGAAGCTCAGGATGAATCAACATGTCAAACGGATATATATTCCCATTTGGGAGCTTGCGGGGATTGTTAAAAATCTTAGTAATCAACTGGGCATAGGGCAAATTCTTACTCAATGCAAAGAGCTCAGGGGAGCACACGGGACAGTTGTTGACTTTAGATAGTAAGGAATAGTATTGATTAGGTCCCCGGAGCCGCTTACTTGTTGGGAGATTCTTAGTATTATTATTCTGTGTGGTTTCTTCGTCTTTATGGTAATCCATGCTGCTCTTCCAAACTGTATTCTTCTCATTGCAATAACAACTTTTAGTCTTCAAACTCGATAATCCAGCAGATAGATACACAAACAATGGGTAGTTTTTCAGAATGCCATACAATGTGTTAAAGTCGTCCAAGAAACATTGCGCTAGGGAGTCCCAGCGTCCATGTGACAACAATTTCTCATGCTCTTTGTATCCATTGGAATTAATCACCAAATTAGATGAGAATGTGTTCGATGATTCATTGATAGAAAGATACAATAGGAGCCCACCGATGCTTTTGAGTTTGTTGAGGTTAGTGGGGTGTTTCGCCATATCGAAATCGTTATAATTCTCCTTGTTTCCGTACATAGACAAATTCTCTTGACTGTAGCGTATAGCTTCGCTTACCTGATTCTTTTCAATTAAGCTTAGCAATCTACAATACTTAATTTCAAACTCCAAGTTGGAGTTTATCTTCTTAAGCAGTAGCTTATTCTCATTAAACCAGCTGATCACATCAGTAAGATCGTGTGATATGAAAATCAGGGTATACACCTTGTTGAATTCCTCGTAGACATCGAAATCGATTAGCTTAGCTATGCCTGGGTGCTTAGCTGAAAGTGAGTCTAGTAAAGTGATCCCTAAGTTGTCGCCCTTATCCTTAGAAGCTCTTTCGCCTATGTTGGATCTGATTAGGTAATCCACAAGGAGTAGGTTCGTCTCCTCTCTGTACCAGTTGATTAGGGAGTAGTTTCCAAGGTCTAGTTCTCCTGGTAAGGCAGCAGAGTTGGCACCCTTCTCGGTTTCTGTTGATGCCAGATTATTTGCAGAACCTTCATCTGTAATTTCTTGCTGTTCGCCTTCATCATCATTTCCAGTTCCCTGTTGCTCCTCTTTCTTGACAAAGTCATTCAACCTGAGGAGGTGTTCCTTTCTAGCAATTAGTCTCTCCCTATATTCCTCATCCTTCTGTATAGCATCTCTTAGCTTCTTTCGAAACTGCTCGAATCCAGCGATCAACTTGCGAACCAATTGGAGCTTCACTGCTGTTGGCAACGCTTGGTTCTTATTAATCTTTGCGATCTCATCTGTAACTTGCTTCTTTTGCTTCTCGATCAACTTCTGAATTGACTTGAAGTTTTTCTTGATTAGTTCCGTGGGTATCTTAAACTGAGGCAGTCGTACCTGTACGTGGAAATTAACCGTCGGTTCACCCATGCTATGTTGAAGAGAAAGACCAACCAAGAACCTACAGGTGCCAGAGAAGTTCCTTAAGTTTCTGTCTAGGGAGTGTGTGCATATAGAAGCGTGCATATCGCACCTGCACACAGAAAGAGTGGGGCAGCTGATAGTAGTAGGGGAGAGAGAATAGTGGACTGGGGTGTGGCAGACCTACACTGAACAAAGAAAGAGACAGTTAGACTACGATTGTCTCTAGAGATACGATGGGGCCGTCGCTTGTATGCTTTGAGAATATTCTTACTATCGGTCTTCCGTCGCTAGTACAGTGTTGTGGTGTTTATGTTGTATAAGTCTCCAGTTATCAGCATTGGGTTCTACACTTACTTTGTCTTATTATTTTTGACGCACGTACGTTCGCTGTACATTATATTCACACACTAAATAATCACTAAAAAGACCCCACGGAGATCCACGGTATCTTGCGGTTCTCACTGCCATTTGGAGCTGGTCTTTGCTCCTATTACGTATCACTACTTCCCCTTCAATGTGTCCTCAATGCTTAGTCTCTCTTCCTTAATGGCATAGTACAATTTCTCCAATTTTTGAAGCCCTTGGTCAATCTCTTGTACGTACTTCCAGTCTTCTTCTGCTGGATTGTACCTACCTGTAGGTGCATATGCATACAACGGATCAATTAAATCTTGCTTGATCAGATTGTGTGGATAGTAGTGGTAAAATAAGTTATCGGCAGTAGCCTCGACTCTTTTTCTGGACCACTCTTTCTGAACTTCTGTTGATGGCAATGGAGCTTTTCCAAATCCTGACCAGACTCCTGCAATTGCTGCAACACTTGCCTCGATGGAATGAAAATTGATTCCAGAAATTGCAACCCCTGTAATAGCCAAGGTGGGGTCCTCAATGGAAAAAGTATCATAGTAAAGACCACTAACTCTACTTAAATTAGACGGATCCTTCACCTGAAGATAGTCATTTAAAAATGGATAATGGTAATGGTACCCAGTGGTGAAGAGTACAATATCGAATCCTGAGTCCTTTGTTCCGTCGGTGAACAAAAATTCGCCATCTTCTGTAATCTCTTGAATAGTTGGCTTGGTAGTTATCCCCTCGGACTCAAGGGCTTTGTCAATATATGGAAAAACCAAATGTGGACCCCTTCTAGAGATAACCGTTTGCTTTGCAACCGGGTATATGTACTGAACTAAATTAGCAGTACTGATAGATCCTCCCACAACCAAAACCTTCTTATCTTTAAAGGCACCAGCATCTCTGTAAGATTTTGCGTGTATAAGCTTCTCTGGATTCTTCTTGTTAAAAACATCTAAGCCCTTGATTCTGGGGAAGTTAGGAACAGTGTAGTGACCATTGGCAATTACTACGGCATCAAATTCCTGCTGGTACCATTTTTCTTGCTTGGTCTCATCATTAGTTTCTCTTACAGTTATGACCCACTTTCCTGACTTCGGGTCCTTGGCAACTTGTTCTACTCTTGAGTTGAATCTGATGTACTGTTCAAGTTCTTCCTTGGAAATAAACCTCTCAAATCTGTCCACTAACTCCAGCTGAGTTAAAAATGGATGAATGGTCCTGGATTCATCTAAGTATTCTTCATCATTAGGTATATAGGAAAACCTGGTAAACCTTGAAGGGATATTCGTAAATAGACTGGGGTAAACACCAGACCTTCTCCATTCCAACTCTCTCAGAATGACACTGGTATCCTTTATCACAATTGGGTTCTCGAAAGTTGAACTTGCATCCACTTCTGCTGGGATGGTCTGCCTCGGATGAATAGCGTCTGGATTTGCATATTCATCCTTATCAAAGAATTCCTGAGGTGGCACTGGTAAATCTGCGTCTTTGGAAGGAGCCCAAATTCCACCTGCTTTACCCTTCTGCTCAAATGCGATGACTTTGAATCTCGGATTACTAGCTTTTTCTCCACCAACGGTTGAGGTACCGTTCTTATCAAGATGGAGAAATTCGTAAATTGCCGCAAGACCTCCGGGTCCTGCTCCAACGACACCTATAGACTCAACCGAATCAATTGTCATATTATCAAAAATAAGTGAAAAAATTAAAATTAAATAAATTAAATTTGCTGATTGTCTCAACCAGGCTCCACAATGTTAAAATTATACTACTCTATTTATACTCTCCTGAGGATATATCCATCCCACTACACTCTCGTACTTTGTCCCTGTAACACCTCTTGAATGTGTATCCTTAGCGCTTCCACTGTTCCTCCACAGTTTGACATCGACGTCTCTGCTTAAACTATTGCACAATATTTGCTAAGAATGCTTAATGCATAGTTCATGCAAGTCAACGCACATCGGAAATTGCTGCACAATTAAGGTTAATTTTTTCTCATTTATCTGGTGTGGCTGCAAACAAAATCTACCAAGAGAGTTTCATGTTGGCTAAACCAAAGCTGCTTAGTTTAGATGGTTCAGTAACAACGTGCTTATGTGGCATTTGAAGGTGAGGTTAACTAATAGTTTTGGTTATGAACAAGCAACCATATCGCAAATAGGAATGAACTTTAGCAATAGTATCGGTGATTGGTATTCATTTCTTTTTTATTTCTTTTGTTCTCAGATCAATGATTTCGTAGTATAAATACATATGAGTATCAAAAGACATAAGCACATTACTCATACTATACATATATATACGTAAAAACATTTAGGTTGAGATCAGAATGACTTCTATCAAACATTTGAGTGTCAAAGATGTGCACCATTTATCTGATAAGAACAAAGACTCTATTGAAATTGTACAGTTAAGCAGGAATGGTTCATTGAGCGAATCGGAGAACGATGAAGAAGAGCCTAATACTCAATCTGCTTTGGTTATTACATCTTTTGATGAACCATTGAAGTTGAGCAAGATTCCGATCCCAAAATTAAATGATCACGATATCCTTGTACAAAACAAAGCTATTGGATTAAATCCAATTGACTGGAAGGCCAAAAAGTATCGATTTGGTGTATATAGTTTCCCTTGGATCAATGGGAGAGAAAGTAGCGGAGTTGTAGTCAAATTAGGCTCCAAGGTAAGCAATTTTGAGATAAATGATAGCGTAATTGTCAGCAGTACGAGCTATAGAGATAATAGAACAAGTACTTTTCAAGAATACACCGCTATTGACTCAAGATTGGTCTGGAAGTTACCGAAATTCCTCAGCTATGAAGATGGAGCAACTTTAGGAGTAGGATTGGTGACGGCAGGTACCATTTTAAACAAAAGTTTCGACTTATCATTGGTTGCTTCAGAAGCTAACAAGGGCAAAACTTTGATAATCTGGGGTGGTTCCACCGTTGTCGGGATTTATGTTACACAATTGGCCAAAATAATTGGATTGAATGTCATTTCTATATCTACAATCGATCATAAAGAATATTTATTGACACTAGGAGCTGATAAAGTCATCGACCGTAATTTGGAAACTAAGGAATTAATTGAGCACATTCCAGACAAGATCCACTTTGCCGTCGACTGCATTTCGAAAGAGACTTCCTTGAAATTGATTGACATTTTAGTCAACAAATCTGTTTTTAGTGACCATAAACCACTATTTTCCGGTATAGTAGGTATTCCCAAGGATGTACCATCACTGATTGAAGTGAAGGAAGTAATAATTAAGCAATTTCATGAAGACATTGAATATGGGAGTAAATTTGTTCAAGTTACTTCAGAACTTCTACACGCGAAGAAGCTTATTCCTATTCGCTTTAAACACTTCAATGACGGTGGGTTAGACTCAATTACCAGTGGTCTAACAGATTTAGAATTGACTGGTGCTAAGGCCGAGAAGTATGTTGTGTCTTTAAAGTAATGATTTTGGTCATTTTTTTATTGTGCAATAGTTTAGAATTTTACTCAAGTTCGTTCAGTTTATTTATTCAATATATCTACATATATTTTAATTCTTCATCTAGGCATTTTTTGACAATGAGCTTTCAAACTCTTCCTTTGTAACTCCTGCCCTCCATCTTAAATTATAAGCAGGATGGGATGGATTCAAGTACGTTGGATCATCCCCTTCAGTTCCGAATAGTTGTTCTCTGTATGTAAGTCCCTCCTTTGGATAATCTTCCCAAGCAAGCCCTCTTTTCCTCAACTCTGGGATCAATTCATTGACTAATTCTTCGAATGAGCCTGGGGTAATTGTGTAGGTAAAGTTGAACCCATCAACTCCCGAAACGTTAACCCATCTTTCGATTTCATCTGCAACGGTTTCCTTGGTTCCTACCAAAACTGGTCCAATTCCTCCAACAGTAATCTGCTCTGCAACATAGTCTCTAGTCTTTCTCAAATTTTCTGGCTCCCCTTTATTAGCCTTTGTCCAATTTTCTACAACCCCACGAATTGCATTGCTTTCAACATGCGTTAACTCTTCATCAGGATCGTATTTACCAATGTCTATGCCAGTCCAACCACTGAATAATGCTTGCGCGCCTTCCTTGTCGCCATAACTCTTGTAGTTCTTATACTTTTCAACAGCTGCTTTATCTGTCTTGTCAATAATAGAGGTTATCAACTGAATGAATTTTATTGACCCTTCTTCTCTGCCATATCTTTCTTGGGCGATCTTCTTTATTTCAGCAATCTTACCTCCTAAGTCTTCAGGCGTAAAGCTAGAAAGAAAGACCACCTCTGCATTCCTTGCAGCAAAATCCTTTCCTGATGAGGAAGATCCAGCCTGTAAAATCACAGGTAATCTTTGAGGAGTTGGAGAAACAATATTTGGTCCTGGGACTTTAAAAAACTTACCCTCATGATTAATTTCTCTAACTTTTTCGTGATCTGTGAATATACCCAGTTCTCTGTCTAATTTAACTGCATCGTCACTCCAAGATGAAAGGAATAACTTATAAACTACCTGGATATATTCTTCTGCTCTCTGGTATCTCTCGTCATGAGCAGGCAAATCTTCCCCATTTAAGGTATTCCTAGAAGCACTATCCAAGTATGACGAAACCACATTCCACCCAACTCTTCCATTGGTCAACTGGTCCAAAGTGGCCAATCTCCTAGTAAAGTGATACGGTGGTTCACTAACAGTACTGAAAGTGACTCCAAAGGCTAAACTTTTTGTGGCGGCTGCCATAACTGGAATAAATAAACTGGGTTCAATAACTGGCCATTGAGCTCCAGATCTTGCAGCTGCTTCAAGGTTGCGTGGACCATTGTATACATCATAGCCTCCCAAAACATCGGCTACAAATACGGCATTAAATTTTCCCTTCTCTAAAAGTTTTGCTAATTCAATCCAGTAGTTAAGATCTTTCTTTGTAGATTGATCTTCGGGATGTTTCCATAGTCCGGGAGCCATGTGTCCACTGGCTCCCATTTCAAAGGCGTTTAGGATAAGTGGTTTTCTTTGCTTTGTCATTTTGAAGTTTGTTAATCGTCTTTCTAGTAAAGCGAGACTGGAAAATTAGAAATAGAAATGTATGAAAACTTGAGTAAACTTCTTTAAAATATCCTTGGAATCACTAAGAGTATCCCTTCCTAAACTCCAGAAAGAACGAATGTAATTGCGCAATCTTGTCTTATCGTTTATCATATATAATTACAAGGGATTTAACCTTCCTTGTTCTGTCTTTGGTATAGATTCATTCATGTGGCTGCAAATAAGGTTTCACCATGTGCAGAATCTGTGAGAATTCTAATGTAGCCGCACAGGAACCCTCTGGTTAGGATACCCTGTGCAATCATTTTGGTGCATAGCAACTAATTCCAAGAGTTTCACTATATGGCAACATACTAAAGGGAAATTGATATTAGTGTGGATGAGGTGGATTGGAGATGGCTGTAACATTTAGTATTAAAGTTGAAAAGGACAAAAGAATATGCGTGAAAAAAATTAACTTACAAATACTTTAAGCGACTTTCAAAATATATCCATTATATGAAATGAAGTGTTTTAATCCTAACACCAGAAGTGGTAGATTCTATAGTAAAATGGTAAAGTAGCAATTCTTGCCTTTTCTTCTGCAACTTCTTGCTTTATTAAGTCCAAATCCAATTCTCTTCTACCGGTATCAATATCAATATCCTTTGCTCTAATGAACAATCTCCAATTCTTCTTCCAAATCTTATGTGCGAAATAAAAGGCGAATACAATTGGGAAACCCAAGTATGATTGAAAGAAATCAGAAGCGTTTGGTTTTCCTCCAATTGGCCATAACGCAACCCAGAATTGGGCAATAAGAACCAAGATATTCATAGTAATACCCCAGTATGCACCAATTTTTCCAGCTTGAGATGTGAAAGTTAATTCATCGGTAGTTCTACCTTGAGCCTTCAAGGCAGCTCTGAAACGAAGTAAGCAAAAGTTAATTGAACCCCAAGTGAAAAGTGAGGATAAACCAGAAAGTGCGTACAACCAGTTGAAAACTTCAGTTGATTTACCAGAAGCAGTAACGAAACACAAAAGACCAAAGATACTTTGAATAATAATCCCAACTAATGGACGACCTTGCTTATCAATGTAACCCAAGAGCTTTGGAGCCTGTCCAGCAGCTGCAAGAGCGGCCAAGGTTCTGGAAGAACCGAATACTGACGAATTACCAACAGAAAGAACGGAAATCATAACGACAACATTCATGACGGATGGTAAACCACTGATTCCTGCATTTTTAATTGCAATGACGAAAGGTGAGTCAGCAGCACCTGCATCACCATTGTCCAAATTAGGATCATTGTAAGGAACTAAACAACCAACTAAAGCTAAGGAGATTAAGTAAAACAAAGTGATTCTCCAGAAAACTTGCTTGATGGCCTTTGGTAAAGTCTTTCTTGGGTTAGCGGCTTCAGCGGCAGCTAAACCAACTAATTCAGTTCCAGAGAAAGCGAAGGCAGCAGTAACGAAGACGGAACAGACACCCTTAAACCCGTTGGCAAAGGCACCAGGGTTGTGCCAATACTTACCACCAAGGTATTCGTGGTTTGGACCACCACCACAAGTCAACACAATACCCAAAATAATGAAACCAACAACTGCTGTAACTTTGATAATGGAGAAAACGAACTCAGCTTCACCATATCCTCTTACACCAAAGAAGTTGATTGCGATGATAAGGACATAGAATATTACCACGAATGCAGCACTGTTAATAGATGTGTTCCAAAATTCAATAGTCAATGCAGCTGCAACCAATTCCAAGGGTAACACGACAAGCCATTGCATAGCATAATTCCAGGCCATGGCAAAACCCCATGATGGGTCAATGAAACGAGTATTATAAGTAACGAATGCACCGGCAACTGGGAAAGTAATTGCCAATTCTCCCAAAGATTGAACGGTACAGAAAATCATTGTACCAATCAAGAAATAAGCGATAATCACACCTGCTGGTCCACCACTTGCTAAAGTACTACCTGAACCAACGAACAAACCAGAACCAATGGATCCACCAATGGCAATCATCTGAAGATGTCTGTTCTTCAATGAACGAGACAATGGAGAGTTTGCAGTGACAATAGCAGCTTTTTCAACGTCAGATAAATTTGGATCAAGTCCAAGTTCTACTTCATCGTATCTCTTGAAGGAATCTTTGAACTTAGCCCATCCAGTCAATGGTGGGGCATTATCGGCCTTATCGAAGCCATCAATGTAAGTTACACCTTCCTTTTCAGTTGAAGAGCCATCGGCAGCTTCTCTAGAACGTATATAATCGAGTTCCTTTTCTGGCATGGCTACTTTTCGATGATATTAGAGTGAATATCAAACTAGACAAATGCGGGAAAATATCACTTATTTATCTGGATTTACGATCAATATAAAGGATACCCATCGAATTCCATTTCTTTATCATGGTACATTGTAAGGCATTCCTTATCATGCTTGCAGATGGTGCAGATGGTGCAGGTGAAAGCGGCTCAGCAAATTTTTCAGGTGTGTTAGTCTCCCGACTTGTTTTCATGTAAGCGGGGTCGCCCAGCTGGTGAATATTTTATACTGAGTTGGGGAAGGTATGTCACCAAGTATGATGAAAGGCGTTTTATGTCAATAATATGGGCCCACGGGGAATGTGGACTTGACCCAGTGGAGTATTTAGATCATCGCTTTTAGGTATACAAAGTGTGTATAGTTTATGAAATATTAATCGCTATGCCTCACCAACATTATTTTTTGCTCACTCGCTCAACTCGTTCAACTCGTTCATTCTTCTCTCTTTCTTTTGGCTAGTGTACTATGCATGATTACGCATGATTGGAATTTCTTTTTTGTTTTGTTTGTTCTTTATCAAATGCCTCACTATCGTGGGGGGCTCTTTTAATGTTTTCACTGAAAATGGGATTGATTGTGGTGCCGAGTTTCCCAAATTTGACATTGGTGCGGCTCATTTTCAGTTTATGCGGGAGTTTAGACTTTTTTTTTGACATTGACGTGAGGCGATTGGCTGAGAAGAGCCCCCAGATAAAGGAAATGTTCCAAAAGTGGCGTTGAAGAAGATATCGTTAGTAGGACGTTCTCTTAGCGGTAATAAAATTTTGGGCAAACACTGGAAATAATAAAGTAGCAGGGGATCAAAACCATGATATTAAATTAGTTACATGGGTAAGTATACGAGCAACTTAATAGTTACCGGGTGAATTTCAAAGGGCTGCACTGACCATGGAACAATTTCGGGGGAATGTGGCAGAGAAAGCTTGCTAATAATAATAGTAATAATAGTAATAATAGTAATGTTATGCAAGCTGAATTAGTAGGATTTATTCTTTGGTGGAATTTTCTTAAAGAATATGCGATCCTCTCGTTATTCCCCGAACCTACGATTTTGCCTTGGTTACCATTTCTGACAAGAGTGTCCGATTCGATCCTTTTAGACGAAGGCGTACATGAGCCTAAGCAGTTGGAGCTGATGTCTCCCCAATTTCGATGGTCCGAAAAATCACCCGGTGTTTTAACCAAAAAATGCCTTACCTTTTGCCTGCACCCGCCATGGTAGATTAGATAATCAGTCACGATAACTGATTATATACTCCAAAATATATCTGCTTTGAGATAACGTGTCTGCTGTATGCATGGAAATAACTTTCGAATCACGGCGCAAACTTTTCGCTTATCTATGTGTGGTCGACTAAAGACGGCGATGAGTTTGTCTTACGTCGTATTATTCATCTCGTTTGATGTACCTATTCTTGGTGCGCTCATTTTTTCTTGCTTTGCATACTATCAGACGAGAGTCAGAGATACATCTTAATCTGAGATGCGGTGGCTGATTGTAGATTTCTATTGTCCACTTGCTATGTAGTATCGAACTCACTTTGAAAGCGCACCCTAGTCGGAAAAATATCTCCAGCCTCTAAGATTTTGTGATGAACCAAAATGAGCAGGGTTCCCGTAACTGTTTCGACAACGCTCTCTTGTCTTTGTTCTCTTTGTTCAATAAGACTGTTCTTGGTCTGAAGGACAGCATCAACGAAGTAGTATAATTTACGACTCTGAGATACGATAGAGCTTACCAGGCCCTAGATATAACTGAATCAATTCAAATTAAGAGATAGTCAAAAAAAAAAAAGCCGCATGCTCTGCCCGTTAAACTGCGACTGAAGTGTGTGATATTTTCACAGTCGAGCCTTCCATGAGCAGCAGACAATATCGTGGTTCAAACAATAAAGAAGTTTAGAAGAAAACGATGAAGAAAAGAAGAAGAAGAAGAAGAAGAAAAGATGTAGAGACTTTAGAGAATCCTGGGCTCAAGAAATTGAACAACATTGGAGAAAAGCTTGAAAGGTGACTTTTTCTTGGCAAATTCTTTATCGACCAAACCAATCTAGATTTTCACAAAAAATAATAGTCTATACATGTCTATACTAAATTCTTCAGATAACAAAGTTTCATCTTGAATAAAAGTATTTACCTTATCTTATTCCACCAAGTGAAGAATAAAACTTAGACTACATCTTCCCCCCCTGCTTCAGGACTCTACACTGTGGCTGCGAATAGACTATTGCAATATGTAGGATGTAATCAAGCTGCATAAATAAGCTCTATAGTGTGGCAGTAGCAAAAAAAAAGTGAGCGTTCCTTGCATAAACCTTAATTGGGTGCAACAATAAGTTTCATATTACACCATTTGAATAGATATCAGGGAATCGTTAACGTTATTAGTTTGTTTAGAATGATCTGCATGTATGTGGCAATGAAATACTTCAAAGCTAATCCGAGACAGAAATGTGCTTAGGGTAGAGAAGTTAGGAGCAACTCAATTGCGTCATGGGGAATTGCCGTACATTAAGACTAATATTGAACTTCTTGTGAGACCTATATCAAGCAGCACCTCCGACGGTATGAGTTTGGATTTGATTCTAATTGAAAAATAAGAGGAAAAATTCAATTTGTAAAACAAAAAGACTTCAGTTGAATAAAAATGAGTGGAACAACTACAGAAGTACACCTTTTAGGTCAGGCACCTGGATATGGAGTTCTAGTTGGAGTTGGGGCATTCTTCGCAATTTCAATAGTGATTGCAACCAAACTCATGTCAAGATACTTACATGAAAATGCAAAGTCAACCGAAATGTTCATGGTTGCAAACAGAACCGTTGGAATTGGATTGACTGCAAGTGCAGTCTTTTCGTCTTGGACCTGGGCAACAGAATTTCTTTGGTCCGTAACAATGGTCTACAACTATGGTGTGATGAGTTCATTCTATTTTGCTTCTGGACTTGCGCTTCACATTTGTCTTATGACGGTGGTCGGTATTTTATCTAAAAAGAGAATCCCAAGTAGTCACACTTGTTTAGAACTTGTTGACTTGAGGTATGGTAAGGCATGTCATCTACTCTTCTTGTTTTTATGTTTGGTTAACAACTTACTTTCTTGTTCATTCATGATTTTAGGTGCAGCTGGTGCAATTTCTGTTATTGCAGGGAATCTTCATATAGCTGCAAGCAGCATGTTAATCCCATTTGGAGTTTTACTTTATACTTCGGTTGGTGGGTTGAAATCCACTTTCTTGACAGATTTCATTCATACTTTTATACTATTGATTATCCTATGTTATATTAATACGGCTGTCATATCATCTCCTCTTATTGGTGGGCTAGATGGACTCTACGATAAAGTCATTCAACATGAGGGGAGTAGATACATTGAAGGGAATTACAAAGGTTCTTTCTTGACAGGAAAGTCAGAGGGTGCAATAATATTTGGAATTATTCACACTATTGGTAATCTTGGGTTGACTGTTATGGATAGTTCCTTTTGGCAAAAAAGTTTTAGTTCAAACATCCACTCTGCGGTTCCTGGTTATCTTCTAGCAGCAGTTTTCATTTTCGCAAATGTTTGGCCACTAGGTACTATAATTGGCTTATCTAATATTGTTTTGGAGGATAGCCCAGCCTTTCCTACGTATCCTAGAAAGATGAGCACTTATGAAATTAATAGTGGATTTGGAACACCCTACGTTTTGAAGGCTGTGCTCGGTGATGGTGCACTAGGTGGAATGTTACTTGTCTTTTACCTATCAGTCACATCTACCGTTAGTGCTCAAATGATATCTGTCAGTAGTATAATTTCTTTCGATATTTATAAAAAGTACATTAGGCCTGGAGCGCAAAACAAACAATTGATTAGGGTTTCACACTTTGGAGTGGTGTTTTTTGGGCTATTTTCTGCCGGCTTTTCTATCATGTTACATTATGTTGGTGTTGATAACACTTGGATGGGCTACTTCATTTCCATGGTTATTTGCCCCGGTGTTGTTCCATTAGTGTTAACAATTACTTGGGACGGACAAACTGCATTGGGGGCATTTGTCGGTCCTGTAGCAGGTGTGATTGTGGGCATTGCTGTCTGGCTATCTACAGCATACCATTGGTACGGTGAAATTTCTATCGTCTCTACTGGACAACAATTACCTTGCTTATACGGAGGTTTGACGGCAATTTTACTTCCTGCAATTTTATCTGTTGTGATTAGTTTGACTATAAAACCTCATAAATTTGATTGGGAAAAGTTTAAAGAGGCCAGGATCATAGTTGCAACTGAAAACGACGAAGGAGCTGAAAAGAACAAATCCGATGATGAAGAAAAGTCTGTTTCTACGGGTAAAGAAAGTGTAAAGAATGATTTTACTATAGCAGCTGAACCAATAGATAGTCCAGATGCTATAGCCAAAGAGAAGAAGAGGGTTGACTTGTTGGTTAAAATAGCATGGGGTGCTTTCATCTTCGTATTTCTCTTAACCTGGGTCCTTTGGCCATTGCCATTATACCGTGACTACATCTGGAGTAAGGAATTTTTCAGAGGCTGGACTACCGTGTCATTAATTTGGATTTACTTGGCATTCTTGGCGATTGGAGTTTATCCATTATATGATGGAAGACGTTCTCTTTACAAGGTTTTCAATGGAGTCTATCAGGATTATGTGAAGAGAAAGGGAAAGTAATATAATGAATTTTCTCAATTTGCAGCCAATGACCAGTATGGGTGTCTGGGTGATGTAAATTTTATGTCCCACATTTATAGTTTGATTTTTAGTTAGGTTAAATGCTGTATGTTTGTTATAATCATTTTTTAGTTGTCGTCGGCTGGATGAACTAAGTGCTGTAGGATGTAATAGTACCTTAGGTTTGGGTAGATTTTTGCAGAGAATCAATCATGACAATACTTTCTCTGTAGAATTTGCACGATGGGATAATAATAGCACTGTAGCAGAGTGAAAATTTTACAAGATACAAAGAGGTTGATTTGTCGGCAGATATAAAGTCAATTTTACAGGATTCATAGTGAAAGGCCAATCAAAATGAAAATTCCTGGGTATGTAGTAAAAGATAGCTCAACTAGGTTGTTCACTTCGTGTTTATACAATAAACTGAGTGAATACAGAGTCGTGCGAAGCACATTCACGTGATCACGATTTTTCACTTTCACTTTTTTTTTTCTTTCAATATTTTAGAACTTCACCATTGATGGGTTGTTGAAAGTACTTATAGTCATCCATACCTTCGAACATGCCTATCAATAGAAAACAGGTGACGTCCTTGCCACCTTTACCACGTCTCAAGATCAGAAAGGCCACTGTAAGCAAGTCTACGAATCAATGTATGGTTCTCATGTCATCCCTCTTGAACTGTTGGGCAGCAAATGGTGAAGGTGCAGTTGCTTGTGCAAGCTTTGAAAACAATTTAAAAACGTGTATGGAGACATTCAAGCCAAAACCAGAACAAACATCATCCATTAACTACCATGCATCTAGATTATATCCTAAATTAAGGGGGAAGAGGAATGATTAAGGGTGGTTTGTAACAGAACTGTATCAAGCATGGCTTATGTACAGGAACATAAAGTGTAAATAGAGCAAAAAAAAAGAACCGTGAAAAAGTTGGACAAGCATTTTTCACGGAGGTTATATATAAGGAATAAAGAATTTTAACGAATCGTTAGTTACATCTGTAGTTAAAGAATCTAAAGGTATGTTAGAAAGCCATATAAAAAGTATGGTTGATTGCCAAATAGAGAAAAAAAAAGTTAAAACATGCGACTTGTGTGGATCGAACACACGACCTTCAGATTAACTGTGACTGATGTTTTACTTCAGTCTGACGCTCTCCCAACTGAGCTAAAGTCGCAGATTTTCTGTAACATTTTCGTTTGAAAGCGCTGGCCGCGGTAGGGAATGATGGGTGTATGTGCAGTAGGAGAAGGGAATTGAGAAATGCCATCCAGGTGTCCGCTGGACGAAGTGTAATGTGGTGGTCTTGTAAGCTATGTATTCTATAAGCATATTCACTTCCCATGGAAGATGTAATTCTCCACTCGGCCCAAAAAAAAAAAAAAAAAAACCATTTCTTGGTTGAAAAAGCTCACAATTTACCTAGTTTTCGGTTCTTCCTTTCTTAGGTTTAGATTCTTTTAAGGCTAACTGGACTAATTGTATGCATAATGCATATGCAACGGTGCAACGAAAAAGTAGGACTTTCCTCGTATAACAAGAAACCAATTAGACTCTCTGCGAAGCCCTGTAGAAGCACTTAAGCTGTACCATATCTGATAAGACCGATGAGGTATTAAGTGCCGGTACATTTCCGAACAACAACAACAACAACAACACTCTCACTCACCGATTTTTTCGTTTCTTAAAACACTTACATTGTAGAGATTTTTAACTCATTCTGAGAGATGTTAGCTGTTGCATAGGCACGAGAATTCCCAAAAAAAAAAAAAAAAATAAAAAGATGCGCATCGGCTCAGTGACAGTGAACAAAGAAATAGCCCCTAACGGGGGTAGCTTATTTTTCGTTCCCATTCATCTACCTCTCTAGTCCTACTACTTGTTCATTTATCTCTTGCAGATTTGTTCTTCCTTATCCGCGAATTCCTTCCTTTACTACTCAATAACCCCTATCGTGGCCGAACCCAATGATTAACCTTTTGTCAAGTCACACCGGATAAGCCTATTTTTCTTCCTTTCCCAGGCGCTTTGGCTTAAAGAGCGCTAAATTAGCGTAGGGCCCTGGCCACTGTGCAGGGGGCTCCAGTGCGTAGTGCGTCATGAACACTACAAAAAAAAAAAACCTTAAAAAAAATAAAGAGAAAGAAAAGAAGGAAATTGACAAATTTTATGGAAGATAGTCCAGTTTACACACACGGATAGCTCAGGTAACACAAGCCACAAATTTATCCAGAGGCTGCAGTAAGAAGTGGATCTCCGGTATATAGAAACGCATACTGATTTTCAAACTATTTTACTGTTCACCTTTTCTTTGATTTTAACGCCCGAGTGCTGCTAGAAGAGGAACTGTTTCGGTGTAACACATGAAGTCGCTACAGTTCGTTGTATTTGCGGGATGGCTCTGGGTGCTACCTTGTATCGCGTCACTCGTTCAATCTACATCATGTGCCTCCAATGCTTCGGCGGTTAGGTTGGCCAATTATGTGATGGACGTGGTGATTTCTGATAACCATGATAAGCTCCAATTTTACATAACCTCAGAAGTGATAAATAACCATGACGTGCTGGACACAAGTGTGATCATAGATGACGTTAATACCACCTCAAACCGTTGGACCAACATGCATGTTGAAATATTGTTCATGGGGAAGCAGTTTATTGACGAGAATGTGAGGTTCTGTGACATTGTCAACGTGAAGAATACTCTGGAGTACCTATATAGTCCCAGGTTCCAGGATTCCCTGTCGGTAAGCGGGCCCGATGTTGTAAGCAATTCCACCTTGACGGTTAATGAAAAGAGAATGCTTGCTGAGGGACAGCATGACTTCGAAAGCAGGGACTTGTCACCACTCACAGGGAGGGACGATAGAAGTGAAGATGTTTCTTCCGCCAGAAATTTTACTCGTAAACCTCAAGAAATCTCGGACAACAATGTTTTTAACTACACGTCTACCTTGGTAGCTACCCACTGTCCGCTATACGTCAATGATACAATAACGTTCTTCTACGAAGCAGATATCGGGAAGAATTATCATCGGTTAGGTTCGTACACGGTTAAATTTACACTCATTTCCAACGAGGTGGAATCACAAATTATTTCTTGTAACAAGGCCTACATTACCCCAACTCAACCATCCTCAATTTACAAGACTATAATGATTGGAGTACTTCTTTTATTGCTTGTCACTGGAGGCATCAATTTCTTTACAGTGATGTACTCATCGTACCAGGAGTCTTCTAATCCTCTCTTATTTACAGCAAGTACCATTGGAAACGAAAAGCTTTTAAAACAACTAGAATGCTCGGTGACCAGTATCTTGCAATATTTGCAATTTGCCCTTTTTATCGGTGCATTGGATTTACAATACCCTGGGTTTTATCAACCATTAATCTCTCAGTTCAAATGGTGTGCCCTTTTGGGGATAAGTCTAATTGGAATAGATAGAGGAGGAAAATTTCATAAACATAGCCCAAGAGGTCCAAGCACCAAAGATTATGTCTACAGCACGTATAACAAGCGTGGATTGCAAAGCTTAACTGAATATAGTACAGACCGAAACTCCATTGATTGCTGGCCCAATTTTATGTTGGTCTTGACGATTTGGATCTTTTTGCAAATACTTGCTAAACAACTTTTCATCTACATCAAGGAATTTATTCATTTGGTCAGGGGTAACAGGTATATGATGATTGGCAGAGAGAGCAGACTAGATTTATCGAAAAACCTTTCGTTAATTTTGGGAGAGATATTTAACAATTTCTTGAATTTGTTTTCCTTACCATTTTTAACATTAACATTGTACATTTTCTCCTTGGCCCTTGAAACAAAAGAATGGGAAAGCTTCTATCCGTTCTTGTCAGCTTTAAGCTATGACATTTACGACCCCTACACTAGCTACAAGTCCTTATTCTCATCTGGATTTAGCAGTCATCAATGGCAGCATACTTATGGTAACTCCACCCTGAGCTTCAGCAATAATTCAAATTTAACCACAACTCCAAAATTATATCCGTCAACATATAATGATACACTGAGTAATATTACTTCCACGTTTCAGAGTCGTCGTCCACAAAATTTTGCAATACCTGCCAGAGTTATGGCTCCTGCTATTATATCCTTTATTCTTTGGTGTGCATTGGCATTATTTTTCACTTTTAATTATCTTTTTACAATAAGAAAGGTTTACCTGAAAGATAAAAATAATACGTTCTGGGAAACTTTAATTCCATTCAGAATATGTCAAAATAGCAACGTTTCAAAACTATACACTTCTTTGAAAACAATATTAATCTGGGGATTTAGCTACCACCACCTTGAACCTACTAAAATCTTCTATGTCACGGTTCCATATTCATCGATATTTTTGAAGCTGATAGTCATTGGGGTATTACAAAGCCATGGATGTGCTCAAGTTACTATCTTATCCATCATTGAATTTTTGGAAATTTGCGTTTTGATTTATTATAAGCCTTACGTTATTAAGATAAGGTGGTTTTCATCTAGATTGATCACTCCGTTTGCAAAGTTAGTGGTGACTTTGTTATGCATTCCATACATTAGAGAGTTAGATTTAAGCGAAGTAAGGAGGACGTATGTTGCCTATGCACAATTATTAATTCACGTCATTGTAGCAGTGATTTTCCTTATTCAATTGCTTTATGGACTTGGCATGACGGTGCATAGCATTATCAAGGAGAGTTGCAAAAGGTCTGAAAGTGATACGAAGGTACTGAATATGAAAAAGATAAAATCCCATGAATACAGAGGAATAACAAAATTGGAAGAAGAAGGATGTTTTGATGGTGAATCGAGTATACCTGCCTACCGTATGAGTGACTATATTAATGTAAAATTTGACGGCCCTCCTGAAGAAGACATTGAAAATGAAGATGCCTACTATTTTAGGGGTGCAGCAGCGAATAGAGTTGAAGGTAAGCTTGAAACAGCAACAAGTGATCACACAGAAGAGAATTTTTCAGAGATCTATAATAAACCTGAAAAGGCATGCTTCCGTAATGACTCGTTCACTGACGCAAATGACCACTTACTAAGATCAATTTCAGACTTAGGATCATCATTTCATGAGCAACAAAAGTCTTCATATAGAAGAAGAAAAGAAAATGATTATACGTTTAGAGAAGGAGATTTCATCTACAAGAAATTTTTGATCGACGATTCTATTGACCCAGAAATTAAGGCTCTTTGGAATTTAAGAACGCAGAATCAGAATCAAAATCAAAATCAAAATCAGAATCAGAACCAAAATCAGAAGCTTTTTAGTAGGCAAGGTGAATCAGAGCTAAGCCTTAATTCTGCAAATTCTCCTCGCTCATTTTCACCCTTGCGTAACAAAAGCATCCAACTGCCAAACAGTGACCAGCAAAGTCATAAAGTGAAAAAACCTACCCCATTCTTTATCAATCTTTTCAAGAAGAATAAAAAAGCAGACATTCCAGTCAAAAGCTTCGAAATAGATAGACCAAGACATCTCATTGTAAAAACAAGAGAGCAAATGGAACAAATGAATGAAAAAAGCATATCCTCCAATATAAAACTGCCTTCACCAGCATCGAGCGCAAGTTTACTGTCAACATTACCAGAGGAAAATCAACTAAATATTGACAACCAGCATTCTTCCGAAGAATATGGATCTACTGATTCACTAGTAATCGTTGAAGACAACAACAGGTCTGATTCCTGGCTGTTTATACCCCAGCAATATTAAGATAAGTGTTCCTACAAAATATATGGACCTTATATAGCATTATATATTAATTACATAGAGATTCAACTTATAATTCTGTAATTACTTTTTAAACCTTTTTTTGTTACCCGATTGTTCTTCCCCAACTCTTTTCTTCACAATATTTCTAAGTAACTTGTCGTCGTCGATTATTTTGAAAGATTCAAACACTTTATTTACATCCAAGCAATTTGTCAAGGAACTACTTTCAGACTTTAGTACAATCTTAGCCATTGATCGCCTCAGTGATCCATCACCTATTTCTGAGGTGCTTTCAAGGTCATATTCACCTAGTCTAAGTTCAAGGATCTTTTTGTATTGTGCAATAAATCCCTTGGTCAATTTTCCGGATTCGATCAATTGCAAACACTTCTTTAATATTCTTTTAATGGAAGATGGATCACCAAAAGAAACAGGCTCAACCAGGTTAACACTCAGAATAGTAACTAAGAATTGGACAAGTAAGATAAATTCGGGTATAACTTCACCCGAGCTATAACATTCATAGGCCTCAGAGAGTAATTCAATGCCCTCTTCAATTTCATCCAAATCAATTTCATCATGTATGTATTCGATGAATTCGTCAATGGTTGGAATTTGCTCAGAGAATGATTCTTTTATGTTTGCCAAAGTAACTTCTCCAAAATCATTTTTAGAGCCGTTGAGTTCAACGTATCCATATCTACGAAGAATTTCCGCATTAGGGTGATCCAGATAAGTATTATAGATCTGTTCACCTTTCGCAATTTTACTGGTAGCTATCATCGTCAAATATGACTTAGAATACGTCAAGTTTGCGTTGCAAAGATTCGAATCTGCATTTAAAGTATCGGCCAATGGGACCATACTTTTGATGAGCTTATCCTCAACCTCATCTTCTTCATCTTCTTCATCCTCTTCATCACCGTTTAAATTATTTTCATCCTCTACATCAAATGAATAGCTCATTATAACCGACGCTACTTTAAGATAGTCATCATAAGCGATATCTCCCATTTCATTTTTGATTCCTAGGTCTTCTACTGTTTCAGTAAAAAGTCTTTCGTACATTTCTTTTGCTTCCTCTTTACCAATTCTTCCTAGAATTGATGAAGGGTTTAAAGATTTTAACTCTACATCTGTCCATACCATAAGGTGATTGAAACTATAAGATGGATCATTTAAGGGCAATACATTGAAATAATCCAACCAAGCGCTCTTGGTCTTTAGCACTTTCCATTCCCACATGATTGTTAAGATTAATGACTCCCAGTCATTCAATTCTTCCAACTTCAGTTTCAAATCTGAAGTTAACCTACTCTGGTATAAGTCACCATTTTTAAGGTTTAATATTTTACTGTGTGGTATTGAGAAGAGTTCTTCGTTCTCTTCGATGTCTTCCAATGCGATTATACATCTGCCTTGGTTTTTTTCACGAAGATCTGATATTTTAATCTTTGGTGAAGTTTTAAATTGGTTTGTCTTCAACCAATTTTCAAAAGTTTTAGTCCTATCTTCAAATGACATGACAATGATATAGTCTATAGAATAATTTAGATCACAGTCTATACAAAATTTATAAAATTTTTCATATCTGATATGCCATTAAGAAAAGCCGCACCAATGCAACTTTGAAATCATCGCTTACCAAATTCGTTAGTCTTCAAGTGTAACACCGACTTGTGTGCATCTTTGTCGAATGAAGATATTCCTAAATACTTGCCGCTATCACTGACACTTATCTTATTAACCTCTCCTCCTCCATTTTCGGCCCCGACTTTATATTGCTTAACTCTTTTTCTATTTTGGAAGTTCCATACACATACTGAATCATTACCACCAGTATATAAAAGATTCTTCTTGAATTGAATAGAGTTGACTGGGAAGACTACATCCTCCTCCACTCCAGGTACCCTATGGCATTTAAAGGCATATTTCTTCTCTTGCACGGAGTCTGATGGGTCATAATACTCAATTGCAACTCTTCCATCGATAGAAGCAAGGGCGTACCCTTCTTCCCAGCACTTTAAATCCTTCATCTGAAACTTCAACCCACTCTCGCGAATCTGGAGCGGTTCCGAATAATTCATCCTATGATCATATATATGAATAGTTCTACCAGACATTCCAACTACTAGATATTCGTCTGAGGTGTCCATGGAAAAGATTTTTTTAGGCATCTGTGTAGTGGACGCTATATTATTAGATCTTACATCAATTACGTTTACTTTTCCATCCCACGAAGCTCCAATCAAAACTGGATCATTTGATGCTGGCCTTTGGTTCATCAAGTGAGCTACTCCAACTGAATGATCTTCGTCAAGTGTGTCATTTTTTTTGCTCGTTAATTTTATTGTACTAAAAGATTGATTTTCCAAGTCGATCGATCTCACTGTGCCATCAATGTATCCCGAGTGGAAAGTACCCGAATTGAATATGGTACTTAGTGGGGTAGATGGTGCTTGTATGCTTGACAATAGGTTAGAAGATTCCGCATCATAGAGCCGTATCTGATTGTCCCAAGAAGTTACTAAAAGCTGATCCCGAGGGGAGAATTTTAAGGACGTTACTACATCAACAGGAGGGTCAGGCAATGTATTCATTAGGCTTACAGTTATCAATATTTTTCACTAAAAAAACATTCGTAGTTCAGGCATTTCATTTTATAAACATCTTGACTGATATCGCGTATATTGATTTTGGATCATTACACAAAAGTAAAGTAGCATAGAAGTGATGGCTGCAAATTATTTTTTTAAAGGTGTATTAGTAGAAGTTGACAAAATGAGATAAAGGGGCATTTTGATCATCATGGACTCATCTCATCATTCATTATATATTTACAAGTATTTAATTAGGTACGTTTTTGAGTTTCTAGCTTGATAATTTCCGCTGGATCTTGGTCTGGTTCGCACCAATCGTAATCTTCACCTTGAACAAGCCAATAGTCAAGAAACATAAGCTCTTCTTGAAGGTCATTTAAAACCATTCTTCGTTTGTTCAATTGGTTTCTAAATAGGATTTCAATCTCACTAGTAGCATTTTCGGTAGGTAGCTCCAAAATATAGTCATTCCTTTGAAGCATGTTTAGCTTGGGAACAATTCTTACATCACTGTGGTGGAAGTTTCTCACGTTGACTTCAGAATGCTCTTCAAAGTGAGTTATAATCTTATTTACTATGAAAAGCTCATCATTTCTAACGCATCTGTGGATGACTCTAACGTGAGGCCGCCAGCTTAATCTGGGTAATTGTTTGCTGTAGTTTATCTTAGAGAAACCGACTTTCAAAGCTGTGCCACAGAGAAACCATAGGGCACCAATTAAGACCAGATACAGCCAAGCCATCACTGAGCTTAGAAACGTTAAACCTACTAGATATAGCATATTACCATATACTATGCTTTCCCATTTACGCTTGATCCATTCTTCAGATAAAATTGTGCAATCGATGAGGTTGAAGGCATTATAGTAGTCCTTATCGTATAATAACACCTTTGTCGCTACGTTGAGCAAGCCAATTTTACTGGCTATGTCACCTCCATCTCTTTTAAAGGAATCTTTCAAAAGGTCAATTATCATTTTCGGATTTGTTGGTTTCGGCTCTGTTAACAAATACGCTTTTATTATTGAGTCCTTTTGGGCTACTATGGAATAGTTTGACTTTAAAAATAAGGCTATTTTGGATTCAATATCGGAAATTGAGTACTTATGTCGTATTCCTAGAAAGTCATCTTTGGTTACTATGTTAGAATTATATATATTTTGGTTGAGCTTCTCAAGTTCAAGCTTCCTTCCTGCTTTAATAAAGTCGGTTAAATGGTCAGGAGTCACATTTACCTTGTTCTTCAATGCAAAGGTTAGCCTTTGATTCAAAGTTTCATAGTTCAATGGTGGTTTGGAGAAATAGCCAGACGATAGTCGAAGTAACGCCGGGAAAGATTTCATTAATGCGAAAAATGACAAAGAATGAAAGTTAAAGATATAGAAGACGAACCAACTAACGAGAAAACAACAAAATATACCTGGTTATTGGATTATACAAGAGCCACATACTCCACCTAAGATTCAAAGAGCCATACCAAGCAGAGTGATACTCTGTATCTCGCATCCTGCACACTGCTTCCTTTTTTTTTTTAAAAAAAAAAAAAAAGAAAATCAAAATTATTTCTTCTGCATATAAAACAATCGTATTTTCTGGATGTGTATCCTGCATACCACACATTCCATTCGCGGCCACCGCACAAATCTCCCGTTTAGTCATAACACAAACAAACCCTAAGTGGAAAATGCCATATAACGATGGTATCACTAATTTAGATAAAAGAATAACCCAAATATCAAAACAAAGATCTAACTGATATTTAACTAAACGGGTATAACAGGAATTCTCGAAAGAAAAAGCGAAAAAGTCCTTTATTTATGCTGTCTTTTGGTACACATATTGCTTATTATAATTTTCATTTAGCACACCGTCCCTATCAAATCTGATAAATTAGCGAGGCTGGAGTCAAAAGGTAAACATATTACTCTTTTAGGACTCTATATTGAAGTTGAGTTTTTTTTTTTTTACACACTCCAGCACAGGTTTTGGATCTAGTACATATTTAGGTAATTTTTCGGAGTCCAGTCTATCACGATTCACTTCGATCCAGTTCCATGGACGAGAAACAACAAGAAAGTAAGAGAATGAGTTCGTTTGACCAGACGTCAAAACCAGGTGACAGATCATCCAGTTCTACCATCCGTGGGAGTCAATCTTATGACGATGACGATGACGATGCTGAATCGCAGTTCTCGTATGTCCAGTCAATGTCAAAGACAGACTTGTCATATAAGCCGAAAGCTGATTTATCTTACCAGCCACCCACTGCTAACACACTCTCTTCTAGCGGCGGCGGCGGCGCCGGCGATATCAGTGGTAGTAGCGGTATTGGGGCCACCGGGGGCACAGATCCAAGCTCTAGTCCAGCATCGTCCAAATCGGCTTCCAAAAAGCTTTTCGACGAAATAAGAGATAACCTTGATAATCTTAATTTGAATTTGCCCGGCTTTGGTAGTCGACCAGGTGGGTTATTCCAACAATCCAACAGTCACAACAAGAGAGAATCGTACAATTCTTCAATCTCACAGTATTCTGGAAAAGTTGAGCCTGACTTGGTTGAACCAGTTTCAGTGGTTCAAGTTAACCAGCAGGAGTTACTTAAAGAGGAAGAGGAAACAGGATTAAAAAGAGGACTTAGTTTAACCAAGGTGACTTCTAAATCTCCAAAAAGATCGGACTCGAATATTGAGTCTAACAATGAGTCCACGCCTAAGATATTACAGGAACCAAACAACCCCATTTCTAATTATACTGATACCAACAGTACCCCCGTAAATAATATCAACATAAGTCAAAGGGCGCCATCAGAAGCTTCGTCTATGGCATTGGGTACCCTTGAAACGGTACATGTGCAGCATAGAGTTGAGACTCCAAGCTCTCTATATTCCGATGGCGATGGCTCAGGTGGCTCATCTGAGTATGCATCTAGTGGTCGAATTAGAGATAGCTTTGTGCCTGTAGTTAAGAAGAAAGGGACCAGACCACCAGATATTTCTACCAATACAAACATTGAATCAACAGTACCCCCAAGATCAACCAGAAGGCCCAAGAGTGGAATATTTGATGAAGGAACGGAGGATGATAACTCATCGCTCGAGTCTTCTTCTGATAAAAAGAAGAAAAGAAACAGCAAGAAAAGGATGTCTCTTAGTGTTACTGATGGCTTAGACGAATTAATGAGGAATGCAAATAACATGAGTCTAGGACAACCAAAGGGATCCTCCACTTCAATTAATAGCGGTACGTCGAAAAACATCCCACTTGACAATAGCTCCCAAGAAAAGTTACACACTGAAATTTCTCATGATGTGTACATGACGGCTGATGATGGGTCTTCCAGCGGTGCAAGTACCGAATTTGTTCCTTTATCAGCACAGCAATTACAAGAGCGTCAATTCCACGAGCAAAGTCAGATACAACAACAACCCATCCCCCTTGTATCGAAAAGGAACTCAGCTTTGCCACCTAGACCAACGGCCGATAACATCAGAAAAGCCAGAGAAGTCTCACAACAAATTTCTTTGAAGGAATTGGAAGATCAAAAACTGTATGACGAACTGTATGGTGGAGAATCAAACGAAGAATCTATCAGTGGAATAGATAGATCGGCTACTTTAATAATACCTCAAGGCAAATTTAGCGAAAATCAACCATTGTCACCAGCAAAGGAAGTCGATGCCAAGAGAATATTTCCTGCTGAAGATAAAGCTCTTCCATTGCCACCACAGGAAGAGCAACTTAAGAACCCAATTTCTACTGAGCAAACCCAGAAACCTATTCCTGCCTTGGTAAGTGATTCTCTTGAAAATGATAAGGTTCCAGTAATCGATTCCTCCCCAGATGTTTCTATTGCCCAGAAAAAGGAGACTGAGAGAATAGACCCACCATTGCAAAAGTCATTACAAGGATTAAGTTCGAAAATTTTACCTGAGCAACAACAGCAGAATGTACGCAAACCAGAGGCGTACGCAGATAACGCAACTATATCCACTACGACTACACCTTCCATTGGCCCAAATGCCCTAAATGCATTAGAACAGGACGATGAATACTATGATATTGAACCAGTTGCAAAGCCTGCAAGAGCTAAATCGGTCAAACAATCCATAAATGCAAACGCTGCAGCTCATCCTCAACAACCCAGAACACAAAGGAAGTCGAAACTGCACCTGCTGAAGAACAAAAAGCACTCATCAAGGGCCACCAGTGGATCATTGAAGCCATTCTCTTATCAAACGTTGATAAGTCTCCTTGAAAGTACAAATGGTACAGTAATTGGAGAAGAATTTAGTCAACTAGACTTACCAGCGAAAGAGAAACAATTAATTGAAAAGATCATCGATGCCTTATCCAGATTGAGTGCTGATATGGTACTCGATAGAGACAGATATGAAATCGGTATTAGAAGGTTGGAAAGCGCACTTAGAGTGTTGGAAGGGTTTATGTGAATTAGCAATATATAGTTTTCTTACATAATAATAATATATAACAGTGAGAGAATAGAGAATTGGAAATAAAAGTGGTAGGGTTCCGTATCTTTAAACTGTAATGTACTGCATCATTAAAGCAAGCTCTTTAATGAAGATGTCGACAGGGTAGGACGTCTCGTAAACAAAATATCAGCCATAGCTTTTCTATCAATTTCTTCAGTGAATATCTCCGCTAGTTACGTCGTTTCAAAAAGCAATCATAATTACTAAATCAATTCCTTCCGTGAACATTTCCACAAGGTAAACCGTGCCACATAAAATTGCAACCAAAGTTTCCTCGTTAATTTCTTCATTGCCTAACTGGGACGGTCGGGGAATCTGTTGCTCATTCCCGCGTGAAAAGTAAACCGCCCGATGTGAATTTCTCCCCACAAAACAGCTACTAACACCCAAAATACCCTCCAAAAATGTCAAATTAAGAAACAGATTACTTGAAACACGAGGAAAGGAGATTGTAATACGAAGGAATACCTTTCCCGATAAGCAATTGGCTTAATCGTGCGATAACATTCCCCAATCACCTTGCAGTTGCTGGCTCCAGCCTCGCGTAATCTACGAATTCATGATGACGTACTGCATATAACCAATATTATATGTTTGGAGACTCGCTCTGGTTTGGGTTTAATTTCTGCAGAGACACAGTGAAAGACTCCGTGACTGGCTCTTCTAGTTACAGAAACTCCAAAAGCAAGGGTCAGAAGTCTTCGTAAAAGGAGTACGTATATTCGTATAGCGAATATATAGTGCAGTAACTAAAAAAATACAGTGTATACTGCTTTAATTGTATAGTTTCGCTTAGTTTGTTTTTATCTCGTGCATTTTTCAGACAGTGGGGGAGATGAGTAACATTAAAGCAAAGAAAAACGTTCTGCCGCCGGATGAGAAGAATATGTCAATGACTGGCTTAGACAAGCGACTTCCACCGACCCCTAATGATTCACCGTGCCCATTACCGGAGAGGTTTACCAATCCGACGCTTCCAGATATGACTCCAGGTGCACAACAAGGCAGCCCCATCTCACATGAAGCGCGGCAGCTACCACCCCACCCAGAGGTAAACACAGATGATGACGGCATGACAATTAAATCTAAACCAGAGAATTCTATGAGGAGAGAGCCATTGTTGCCGCCCATATTAACGTCTACTAGACCGCCTTCTAAACTGCCATTAAGCTCGGCATCTCCAAACTTCGACTTCATAACCAAACTCCCCACACCAATTGTTGGCACCCCTAGTTCCACCTTTCCTCAATTCCAAGCGTCGCCTCCTAGGTATGGGAATGAAGAATTGGACATCCGCAAGAGGTCACAGCAGCATCAATTTCAGCATCAACATCAGCATCACCAAGCCCAGGGTCTTGGGCAGGCACCTTTCAAACCAAATAGAGTCATATCTGAGTATCGACCGAGTCTCGTTGCGGACACTTCGGCCTATAAACTACAGCAAGTAATTGGCGATCATAAATCGAACACAGGGAGAGCCACTGCAGGAAAGAGATTCATAAGTAACCCCCACGCAGATGACATCGTGAAAAGTGAAGGACTAAAGGGAGAGGCAAAGTCTGACCATGGAGAAAACCAAGAAGCGCAGAAAGACCATTCGTCAGAGCTGATCCCGTCTGCAATTCAGCAACCCGGTCCACTTTACACTGGTTTCATCCATAACCAAATCTCCTACAGGCATATACGACAAATAGGGACTGGACTGTTCAGCAAAGTGGTCCTCGCCGAAAATATAGACACTAACGAGCCAATTGCAATAAAAATCATTGAAGTGCCGCATAGGAATAAAGATGAAGTGAAGAATTTCAAATCTTTCATTGAAAGAGAACTTAGGATACTATTTCAACTACACCACCCAAATATCATTAACTTAGTAGACTATAACGTTAATTTAAAAATAGACTTGACTTCGAATAATGAGATTGATGAGGAAGAAATAGATATGAATGCAACAAGTGATGCTAAAGGGAGAGAAGTCAATGATGAAGAATTTGCTTCGATTTCAGATTTGAATAATAAGCAGTTCATGTTCTTGAAATACTGCAAAGGTGGGAATTTGTTCGAATTTCTGCTGAAGCATTACGCTGATAGTCAACTAAAATTGCAATTCTGGAAAGTAATCGAAAAAATTGTTATAGAGTTGTTAGCAGCAGTTGGCTATTTACATCTGCGGAATGTGATCCATAGAGATGTTAAACTAGAGAATATACTATTGAACTATGATGCAACCGAATTATTGGGCGAAGGAGGTTGCAAACTTGATGACAAGCTCATTTGTCTTGCAGATTTCGGGCTCTCGAAGAAGGTTCTTCTGCCTGATGAACTCTTAGAAACTAGATGTGGGTCTGAGGATTACATATCGCCCGAGTTATTAATGGGCTTGCATTACAATGGACAATTGACCGACTCCTGGTCCATTGGGGTAGTAGTTTACGCCTTATTGGAGAACAGGCTACCATTTGATTTACCACCCATCAGCGCGAGCAATGGAGCCGCTACTAATGGAACTACTGGAGTCTCCCCATCGGTTCTTAAGAGACAAAGAAACAGGAACAGAACTCCACACAGAATTGCCATGATTGACTGGGGGTGGTTCAAGGTTGTGGATTTATTGAGTGATCCAAAGCTTGATTCTGAGAGTAAACAGATTATTGGAAGGTTGCAGTCTCTTGTGGAGGTATTACTAGTTCGAAAGCAAAACAGAATGAAGGCTCTAGAGATCCAGGCTAGCGAAGATTTCGCTTGGGTCAGAGATGATAAATAAAATATAGAGAAGTGAAATGAATGGCCTGGCCCGGCTCAGTACAGAATAAGTTCTTTTTTCTCTTTTGGTGCTCTTTTTTTAGCAAATCTTCTAATTTACATATAGATAATAGTATCTCAAGCATTTTTCTTACCACACACCTAGGCAATACCAGATCTTTGCTTCTCTTAGTAGAACACTTTTTGAAGCACCACCGACCCAGACATCTTCTATGCATGCACACTATGCAGGACCAGAGTGAAACGAAAAATCATAGGCCAAGTGAAAAACCGAGAAAATCCAAGCGAACCACAAAGAGTTGAGCAAGACAGCCGAAACATACACTGTTGTAGGACTTAGGGCAAGGTTCGTGATTCATTTTTGAGCTGCGTTGGATATAGAAAATGTCTTCGTCAAATGGAGTATCCAACGGTAACGGAGGACTGGATACCAACGGGAATGGAGGTGCAGTGAATGGGACGGTGAATGGAAAGGTGGAGCAGGCGGTGCAAGTTGGAGATATTCCTCATATAACCACCAACATTATCCCGCTATCCAGCATCCTCAAGTTCTACTCGCAGGAGTCGTATAAACAGCTTACCAATGTAATAGAGAATCTTTCAGCCAATTCAATCACCGAATTGGATTCCAAACGGAAGAGCCAACTTTTGCAGGTGCTCATTTCGTTGAGGAAAGATTTCATCAAGATTTACACGCTAGTGAAATGGGCATCGGTATCAAAGGACGTATCCAAACTAATTGACTTATTGAATTGGTTCAGAATTCAAGATCTGTATTTCGAAAACTTGGCATATGGGATAAATGAGCTAAATAGGTACCTGGGTGCCAAATTACCAAACCCCGATTTGATAACCGCTATCGAGGTGTTAATCCAAGGGAGACCTCAACTCCCACTGTACAATATAATACCCCAAGAGAAGATAAGCTCTAGCAAGGTATTGAAGGTGTTGAAGTCTTTAAACTTGGTGTTGACCACCAGAATGGCTCTTCACAGCGGCGATGATGATATACCGAAAAGACTTCTTTCCAATTACGTGGTGGGTAACGGTAGAATATACTTCACCATCCCGAACGAATTCCAAGTGTCGATTTCAGTGGCAAATGACAATATAGTGTATGATCACCTGGATAAGGAGGAGTATTCAAAGTCACCGTTTTACTTTGTTGACTTTAAGTTTTTGTTTGGCATAAACCCAGAGACCTTATTGATTACACATGATAACCTGGCCAGTAATAACAAAGATATCTCTAGTGTTGACCTTCAAGGAGAAGAAAATGGGGACGTGGGGACAGTCGCCACCAAATTGCCTATCAGTTCGTTCCAGAAATTGGAGAAAATTTCTAACCAAGTGCTCTTAAATTCTGGGTTGAAAGGACTTTATGAATTATTGCACAGGTATTCCATTTCGTTTAAATTGTATTTGATATCCAGGCAATTACGAAACTTCGCTGTTAATAGTAAATGGAGAGGTAACATCCAATATCAATATCAGAAGTCTTTGATTGTCATTAACTACTGGTCGAGCCAATATTTGTCCAGTAAATGGAAGAGTTTTATTGAATTGGGCGTTGATAAGGACTACAATTTGAATTTCAGGTGGTTCAAAAACGGTAAGTATATCGAAGATCATGGCATTGTAGGCGTGTTCCAGAAGGACTATACTCAACTGTTGGAAGGTGAGATTAATGAAAACAACTCCAATTCACCAAAAGCAATAAACAGCTCATCGAGTTCAACACAATATCAGGATTTATCAGTTGAAATGATCTTAAATCTTGTTGCAAATAAGCATTCCGAAGGAATTATCAACAGAATTCATCAAAAATTGAACGATGCCTTGGGAGGAGGAAGCTCGAATGTGAAAGATGTACTGAACGTAGCAATAAAAAAGGATAATCTAGAACGAGAACGTATAGAATCACTTGCACCTGAATCACCCTCAAATGTGCCAGCAAATGCACCTTGCACCTTAATTACCCCACATCAGCTTTTGATTAAACTCACGAGAACAAAAAGTACAGTATTTGCAATAAATCCACTAACTGGATTTTTCTACTTTGTTGATCCATCTCCCATTCAACAGCAGACGACGCGTCTCATCAATTCCCCTCCACCATCTAGGAACAATAGTGTAAATAAATTTATATCTGAAAGGGAAATGATCGACTACATAATCAACCAACTTCTCCAATTGAGACTTGAGACATTCAAGAGAGAAATTAACAATAAGTTGATCACTACAGAATGGATTGCTAATGATATTATTAAGCTCTCTGACTATGAAAGTGGGAAGCTTTTCAATTTCGTATCCAACGAAAGGCAGATTCAGCATTCTCAGACTAATAAGATCCAATATTATCGTAGAAAGAATTGGCCATCCTCTTGGTTTTTATTGAACTTGATTAGTGGGATTAATCTAAAGCTGTACTGGTGGGTTGCAAGAATCAAAAGTATCAAGGGAGAATGGAAAATTCAATGGGTAGAGATGATCAAAGATGACGTGGATGAGGAGGGCTATGAAGAAAGGGAGAGAAACATCAGTTATCAATTTTGCCATAATCTTTCTACCAAATGCTCCAATATGATCATTGATCACATTATTCTTGAAGAATTACATTCTAGAAAGATAAAATACGTCAAAATATCTAAAAAGGATTCTATATTAAAGAAGTTTGATATTAGAGAGCCTTCGCATGTGAAAAAAGAGGGGCAAGAAGTGGTTTACGAATCTATGATTGGGTTGTTCAATGAGAATTTAATCCCATTATCCAACTCATCTTCGATTATTATATTGAAAGTGGAATTGGTGCACTCTTCTGCAAATGGCTCACTAATGAAGTTGAGCTTATACGGGAAATTAAGAAATTTTAAAATTAAGGAAGGGTTAACCGATACAATTAGGTTAGAGAATGATTTGTTTGAAGTAAATGACGAAATAGTCATGATTCAAGCTCTTGGTGCGCCTTCGAACAACCCTGTAAACGAATCATTCCTTGGCAAATTATTCCAACATTTGTCTAAACTTGACAATCTTATCAAGATCATCAACCAACTTAACGAATACTATTCGTATGAACAAATCAAGACAATTTCACTTAATCAAGTTGAATTTACCATAGATAAGGAGTTCGGAAACCTTACCATCAACATTGAGGACACCGGTATTTCTCTCACCATAGATTCTAGTAACCAGTCCTTACAATTATTGGTGACTTATCTTAATAGATATCTAGCCAGTGGTACCACTAAACGAGATGTCATTACAGGTGTAATTAAATATTTTCAATTGTTCTTACGTCCAATCAAGATGCTTTCTACAATGAAATCCAAATTTATTGAAGAACAGAAATTGAAACCTAAACTCAACAATGGAATCAACAAGGTTAACTTTGAATTTCTGCTCAGGTCGTTTGATTCTTGTAGAATCAACATGACAGTTAATTCCTTTCAACCACAATCAAAGAAAATGAATAGAGATAAAATCAGCTTCGACCTTTCTCTCAGAACGAACAAGTTCTTCAAAGGTGGTAATGAAATTTTGTATTTGATTTCCTATAAGAGCAACTTTTCAAATCCATCCAGTGTAAAATATAAGAGGTTGTTTGAGCTGATCCACAATGGAATAAACGAGTTGAGAGCCAAGGAGAAACTAATTAAATTAAACCATGATATAATGTTCACCGATGCTGCAAGTTTGGAAAAGGTTTTGGATACTTTGAGAGAGTGTAGTCTCAGTGCATTGAACGAAGCGTAGTTAGTATATAAAAAGCTAAAAGGGAAGTAGAGCAGCATAACTTATAATAAAGTTAAATCTATATTAATACACAGTAAAGAATTGAATTTGAAGAAATGTACTTCACTTCTTCTCTTCAGTAGTCTCTACAATTTATACTTACATTAATTGATATAATTGTAACCGTATTAAGTATTAATTTACCATACATAAGATAAAAGTACATATGTTAACAATCAAAAGAACATGGTCTGTTCTTTCTATTACAGCCTTCACATTTACCCAACTCTTCATTGAAAATACACTTAACCTTTCTTTGTCTGCAAAGGTTGCAGGAAGATTTTCTAGTTGGAGAATCTTCTTTACCGCTGCCCAGTTTCTTGCTAGCAGACAACTTACGACTAGGAGTCGAAATCTTACCAGAGTCTATGGATTTTATTATGGCAGACGCAGTGGCGGCGGGAAATGAAGATGCAAGTGGCTGTGATGGCGAAGAGCCGGAAGTTGAGTTATTAGACGAAGATGAAGAATTAGATTTTGAGATTTTGAATGACGAGTTGTTGTTGTCGGATTTCTTCGACAAGTAGATAATGTCTTCTTTGGTGAAACCCTTGGAGAAACAGCATGGTAACTGCTTGTTTTCACATGATCTGCACGATTTAAATTTTACCAATTTTTGATTTTGAATGATAAGCTGATTCAGTTCACTGAGAGTCACTGGAGAACCAGCGAGTAAACTCGAAGTTTCAGATGCAGAAAGGTTAAACTGGGTGTAGTGGTGCTCGAATTCAGAGTCATCGGTACTAAGGATGTTAATTTCGGCGTTACACTTGACTTTCCTTTGTCTGCACGAATCGCATGATGGCCCTGAGCGTTGTCTTCTCTTTTTTTGTGGAGATACAGCCTGCTGTACTGAAGGAGAATATGGAGAAGTTTCTTGAAGATCAAGTTGGGATGGGTACAGTTTCAGAATCGAAGGCAGAACCACTGGGGAGACTGAGCCGACGGATGATACGGATTTTGGAGGGGATGGAATTCCTGTGCAGTAGTTGTTGCTAACCAAGTTCTTTTCGGTTAACTCGTGATGGTTATGCTGGTGTTTACTTTCAAAAGGCGAAGGTAAGAGCAGACCAACCAAAGACTGTTGGGTGGAGATGACTCCGTATGAGTTGCATAAGGAAGTGGGAGGGTGTAGCACATCGCGACGAGCCTTTGGTGCAAAAGACGAATGCAATGGTGGGAGCACAATCGGAGCAGAAGGCACCGATGACTTGGACGGATAACTTATGGAATATGAAAGTAAAGACTGGGTATACATCTTTTATTCTATTGTATGTGGGACTTGGATTGGATAGGTTGACGGGGAGTGTATATAAGACGTCTTCTTGGTAGTTAGGGGAAAAAAAATTAACGTGCTGATCGGTGTATAATAAATAGTATGGTAACGAAAGGTCTTGCTTCTAGGTTGATGAACAAGCAAAGGTTAACAAATCGTAGTGTTTCGAAAAATTCCCGTTTTGAAATTCACAAATGACAGCCTCGCTATGCTATATATATAAATTATTGGGTGAACAAGCGTGTGATCGTTATTTGCCTCGGTTTCTGGGGTATCCACGACATGCAACAAATAGGCGTTAGCTCGGAGGAGGGGTGGTAATTTGAATGGGCCTGCATCGGAATAAATAGGGAAAACGAGCAGCGCCAGTCTCGGAGAATGGCGCCTAATTTGGCAAGAAGGGAAAGAGAGACAGAGGGAGTTAAAGACAGTGGGAGTGGTATATTATGGGTTATCTATGGGGTCCATATCTCCTTTACAGCATGGAGAGCCATCGTTAGAGAACTTTTTCATGGTTCTGCTTCTTTCTTGCTTAACACCATTACTCTCCATTCCGTTTTCCCGCCATTGGTTCTCCACCATCGCAGAGAAACGGTGAAGCATAGTCCGAACAAGCTTCTCCAGGTGCGCACTCCATTCACCCGGGCGGAAATTATCGGGAGAGTTTTTTTCATTTATTTATTTTTTTTTTTTTTTTTTTTCTGGCAAGACATTTGAATCATTTGAGTCACTTAGTCTACGCCACATAGAAGCATACGATGATCACAGGATAGAAGAAGAAAAAAAAATACTCTTACAAAGGCGGACCCATAGGATGATGCTCAGCATTAGAACCGAACATTCGAGTTTAGCGGCCTATGACTTTTCCGTTTGTTTACATTTACAAGCAAGTGTGGATTTTCTAACACACTCTTATTTCGATTCCCCCCATTCCATGATGTCCTTTTTTATGTTCTGGCTCTAATGCCGCTAACTCCAAATTTTTTTTTTGCTTTTTTTCTGCATTTTTTTTTTTTTTAAAAATTTCTCCACTAATTTTACGTTTATTTTTCGCATTTCGGAACACGGACTTTTATCGGAGTCCCCCCTCATCAGCAATTTTCTAATGTGGGCGACTTAAAACGACCTGAGAGTTTTTTTTGTACGCTAAGCTGGTGAAAAAAAAAAAAAAAAGAAATGATCCAGAGCCCAAAAAAAAAAGTTTATCCGGGCGTTAAGTGACTCGATGAGCGTTCAGCATTCAAATCGACTGATGGGCCGGGGTGGTGGAAAATTGGATCCTTTCTCGTATCGCAGGATTCCAGCTCCCTTCGGCGCACGTTGTAGAACGAATGTAACGAGAATAGTCTAAAAATTCGAGAGAAGCTTGTTATTTGTTTATTTGTTTGTACTCCGTAAAAGCCTAATTTCCATTTCTCCACCATCGCTGTGAAGATGGAACATGTAAAAGCCACACGTGATTCTCTCCGAGGAGTTTCGGTTAAAATGAACAATCGCAAATCTTGCGGTTTCAAATTTTACATGTGGAAATGTCCCACACAAGAAAGAGTAAATTGCCTGTATTCGGTAGTTTGTGTTGAGGCAGAGGAAGGTCCGAGAGCTAAGAGGGAACACACCTAAGGAGGGCTATGTACTTCCCTTAGAGTGTTTTGCCGAGGAAAGTACTAAAGATAAGCAAGAGCAATCGTTTCACAGAGAGTGCAATTTTAGGAATAGAGATTAAGCACCGCAGAACCGCAGAACCGCAAAACACAAGCTCCACCAAGGGATGCTACTTCCATACGTCCTCCGACCAGAAAAGAAGAGTGAGAGAAGAAAAAAGGAAGAAATTACCGAACAGATACTTTTAGAGTTCTCGTTTGCTTCGTAATCTGTGAGAGAATTTGAGGGTCTGGGCTCTGAGAAAAGGGCTCTATGGTCTGGGTGTGTTGGATGTGGGGTGTGGGGCCAAAGGTCTGGGCTACCAGGTAATGCTGCTTGATTTTCCATTTCTCACCGCTTAACCACTTCTCCTGCCCTCTCGTCTAACCTTCCCTAGTTAACTGTAAAGCACCGATGTACCACTCACTCTATATGCACGCTCAGCAGAAGAAAAACAGGCAAGAAAATGCACTCGTTGCAGGTCAGAATGGGTTCAGGCTTTGGCACTGAACTCCGAACTATTCAAAAAGAGTGTACCAGTAAAAGACAATGAATAGCCTCTCTCATAAGTATCTACCGTTTTCTCTCCAAATTCCAAATTCCTTTCTCTACTCGTCCCACTTTTCCCTCTACTTCTCTTTTTAAGTTTAGTGTATCTCTCTTACTAACCTCATTTCCCTATCCAGCCTAATTATTTTTCATTAGCTTCCCAAATTGAGCAAATCTTATCAGGTTGTTTAACCTTTGGAACCATCCTGCACATAACACATCAATATGGCTTGTTTACCATTCCGTAAAGGGCAATTTTAAAACATCTTACTATAATTCACTAAAGAATGCAAAAAGAGAAGAGAAAAAAGTGACTGAAGTAAAGGAAAGTCTCGGTACCTTTATCACGTTGTCTCAACCTTACACTTATCACAGAGCCAGCCATGGACGTGGACTTCAACGTATCTCAGGAGTTAAACACTCCTATTAAGAAGATCAAAAATCTTACATTGACTTCGCCATTTCAATTTTCACCTCCGAACCTCTACCCTTCGCTAGATGATTTGGGCACAGAAATGAGTAACAAAGGGTACTCCAGGAAACTCACTAATAACGTCCTTGACGAGTTGAATGCTAGAGCTTCAGAAATCTCAAGATACATCAAGCAACCATTGACTAACACTACCAACATCGGTTCCTCTCCCACCGCCCAACGTAGGAAAAGGTACTCCGGAATCCATAGACAGAAATTTAACAAAATGGACCTGATATCGTCGCATTACGCTGCGGGAAGACAACACCAACAGCTTCATGAACACAGCCAAGTTGTGCATCAACACCAGTTGCCATACCATGCTGTCTCTCATACTTCTCCACCGCCCATGAAGCGTACTGAAATGTATCTGCCCAACAGGATGAGGCTCGATTCAGAAGACAAGAGAGAGCCCGACGAAATTATGTCTAGTGTGACAAAGAGAAGAAGAACGTTACATGGACCGGAGGAAGTGCTCCCATCTTTGACTCAACCAGGCCACAACCAATCAACTGCAATAGACTTGGAGCCGGACATGCACGATGTCTCCTCCCCTTTTGAGCTCAACAGCAGCCCAATTCGTAAAATATCCCCTTCCAAGGGAAGCATGAACTTGAACGAGTTATTGAATGATTTTACCACAAAAACAAACGACATATCACCTACTAGATTGCCCATGCCAGTGGCTCTGAGAAATCAGCTTATGAGGAGCCCTACAATAAAGGCATCGTCTACCACAGTTAGAAATCTCAGCACCACCTCACCAGTACAGCCACCACAAGCAGCAGCTGCCTCTGCACAACCAAAATTCATGGAAAGACAATTCCTCAAACCAAAGCCAATCCTCAGACCACAACCACTTGGAAGTAATTCTCCAAGCAGAGTTAGAGTATCATCCCTCGAGATGGCCGGAGTTAAATCCTCCAGCTCCAACAGCATATCGTCTCTTTCCAAGAAACCTTCTACAGTTTCTTTGAACGTTCCAACTTCTCATACTGCCTTAAAAGCACCCCATGGTGGATCTGGTATCCCGGTACTCAGCAGAAAAAGTTCTCATTCGACATTAAATCATATTAATAACCCAACTCCGACACTTCAAAAGAAGACCTCAATACCTACGCTTCAGAAGAAGACGTCTATACCCAAACTTGCGCTGAAGCCCAGTATCCCGAGATTTGATTCCCTACACCCAAAACCTTCCCCCCTGTCTCATTCCACCACTACCCCACAGCCATTTTCCTTATATAACAGACCAACAATATCTTCATCACAAAAGTCAATCGAAACTTCAGCACCACACTCCACATCCACTTCTCAATTGAAGCATAAAATGTCAAGCTCGTCACTTCAACCTCAAAAGAGAACAGAATCAAGGTTTCTGAGATTTTTGAATTTGGGAAAGGAAAAGCAGTGGGCCTAATCCGCTAATAATACTTTGAACAAAAGTTTAAAATATCGATAATATCATATATAGTTGCATAATAAAATTTTATTTTAGTTTATATAGATATACATTCTGTAGGAGTAGAAATAATTCTATGAAAATGACTAGAGATGGAGTATGCTACGACCCAAAATTGTGCCGTATATCCATGTTCCGAGTATACAGTCATTAGTGACATATAACGGTCCCAGCGATCCCCGAATACATGATAGACATGGACAGCAATACTCCTCGGACACTGGAGATCCAGAAGTCTCATAAAGACCCAGAGTATTCGATCCTACTACAAGGCTACACCATTCTGCACCATTTCTGAAATCAAATCAATGTTTATTAGTCCCCTTTTACGAAAAGATATTTGTTTGGACCTTAATTTCTCCTCCAGAGACCAATTCTTGGCTGGCAGTCCATTTCTTACCCAGAGCCAACTTGTAGAAATCTCCGACATGACCAGGTTCAATACAAAGCATGTTGTGGTAACCAGACTTTGGCTCAAAGTCTCCCATTCCTTCAGACTTCTTAATCCAAGGGTTCCAAACAACACAATCAGGTAAATTTTCACGGTGCACTTCAGTTAACACCTTACCCTTGTCAACGATTTGGGCTATCTTATGTTGTTCGACGTCTTTGTATATTCTATCGAATTCCTCATGGAACAGAATAATTGGAGCCTTTTCGGAGTATTCCTCTGCCAACAATTGATCGTAGCACTTGGCGTCGGTGAAGTTAGTAACCAAAACGTCAGTGATATCAGGCACTCTGTTGTAGGTATGGAACAACCAATTGAATTCAAAATCGTGTTTCCCTGTGTTTTCCACGTCAATGGTAGTTTTCAATGACTCTTCATCTAAAGCAACAGTCAAAATCAAGGTGAAGTCGTTCTGACCCTTGTCCCATAACTTCAATGATTCCGGGTCAACGTTTTCAGGACCTAAACCGAACTGAACCGCAAGTGGGGACTCAGTGGTTTGGCCCAAAAATTCCCAATGCGAGTTCCTAGCAAATCCGTGTTGTGGTAACGGGAACGTTGGGTGATCTGGGTCCTTGGATTTCCCGAAAACAGGGAAAACTAACGGAATACCACCTCTAACAGCCTTTGAACCATCCAATTTCGCAGCTGTAGATAACCACAACTTTTCAGTTTTGTCAGCGAGCTGCCAAGAGAGGACATTGGCTCCGAATTTCAAAATTCTGACGGTAGAGCCGTTCTTGTGGGTCAACAAGACTTCAGTTTCAGTTTCTTCAACAGACATTGCGATGAAATTTGCGTGAATTGAAGGTGTTATGTGTACCTGTGCCATGGTAATTTGGAAAATCCTATGGGCATAAACCTTAGGTGTACATGGACTGCACAGTACCGTCTGGGTGCGTGTGTGTGCGGTGTTCCGCAAGGGAAGCGTGCGCGCGCTCCTTTCTTCACAGTTTGTGAGACCGAAGAGCAGAGTGGAGAGCGATTCGGGGCACTGGCGCTGGAGCACGGCTAGCGGTTAGTACGATAGGTTAATAGGATAGGCTGTCCTGAGATCTGGCCCGTTTCTGGATCTCAGAGGCATATAGCACAGATGTATGTTCAGCCGAGAATTGAAATTGAGAACCTCCCCGAGGAGCCAGGAGGAGCCAGGAGCTGCTCTCCCTCCGTCCCTCCGTCCCTCCCATCTGGCTTATTGTCTTTCGCAGTTTCTCACCAAAGCTAAATGAAAAATGCATGTATGCAGTAGACAATGCAACTTCTATCTACTGGCCAAATTTATGCAGCTTGATCATCTATTTTCCTAGAGCCATAGGCGATGATACAAGAAGAGAGGAGAAAGAATATAGCAAAGAAAAACTAGAATTCAGCCAAGTGTTGTGGATTCGGGATGAAAAATGATAGCCAGTAGCTTAATTGCTTGCTTTCATGCTTGCTGAACCCTTACTATGAAATTTACCTATGGTACACCGATTCTTCATGCTCTGTGAACTTCCCCTATCTCAGTAGTTTAAAGTTAAGCAAAAGAAACTATTTTGGAGATGTACGTCATATGATAGAACCAGAAAATTAGCCTACCAGGAACAACCGGGACTGAGAAAGCGCTATTCTCCATCCAACACCAGGCAACCTGTTTCATTACGTAATGACTTATATTTCACGGAGCCCGCTGCTGAAACTCTCCTCCCTCCAGGATGCTCTGTTGTTTCTATACTGTAGCCACTTCTCTTGCTCACTGTAGACCAATTTCTCGTACCTCTTGCTTGGGGGAGCACACAATTTTCTTTTTCATTTCTTTTTTTTTTTTTTTTTTTTTTTTTTTTTTTTTTTTAGAAATACAAAAAAAAAAAAAAAAAAAAAAAAAAAAATTTAAAAAAAAAAAAAAAAAAAAAAAACATTTGTGTATGATAACGTCCTGCATGTTGCGCAAAGCTATGAGCTGTCTACCAGTACTTCACAAGAGATAAACATCGCTGAGATGAATTATGGGTCATTAAAATTCATTGTGACATCTGAGCTATATGTATTTCTTGAATCCTATTTGCTGATTCTCATCACTTTTTTTGAGGTTCCACATAACAGATGTACTGGACTCTTCTGGTTCACTGCTAATCTGGTTGCACCGTCGTTCGAAATATTTCTGTCCTGCACATACTACCACTTTGCTCTTTATCACACTGCTTTAAAATATTTGTCAACACTTCCTTACCAAATCAGTGTCTTTTCGAAATAGTCACGTTTTACTTATTTGTAAGGCTAGGTCACTTTCCAGGTTGACCTTTTTCTCCTTTAGTCATTCGTACATACAGGTCATTCTTCAGTAGAATTTTGTAGGACACCATTTTTTTGTCAGCTTCACTCGGTATAAATCTATTCCTTTCCCCGACCCCACTTTTTACCGAGGCAATATCTGGAGAATAATAGTTAAGAGAACGACTGTGGAAAGAAAAAAAAACGAATCAAATCAAATCTTTCATCTTTCTTTCTTTCTTTCTAACTTGATAAACGTATACTATTCGCCATGGATGCAAGTTGTGGACCCTCAAATGCCTTGACTAACTTGTCTAAGCATTCTCAAAGGGACACTACACTACAGAATGAAGCAAGTCAGAGATTCAACGCCTTTAATAAAGGGCAAGACTTCAAAACCAATTCAAATCAGATTGATCGAAATTTAAATAGAGATTTTGAGCAGTTCCTGGGACATCAAAATCAGTTTCAAGCTCAGCACCAACAATATCAATTCCAGCCGTTCCAACATTCGAACCAACAGCAACAGCAACAGTTTAACCAACAGCAGCACCACAATGTGATGCATGCCAACCAACAGCCCATGCAAAATGGGCAAGCAAAGTGGGTCCTGGACTTTTCTCAGATGAACATTGGTGACCAGCAACAAAAGAACAACTGGCAAAGTCAGTTCATGGCTCAACCCCAGCAAAACATTCAGCAACAAAGACACCAACAGTCACCACTGCATCTACAACAGCCTATGGTAAACCGGTACATTGCACAGACGATGCCGTTCAATTTATCTATGAGAACTGATTTGTCTACCCCACTAACAGAACACCAGGAAGTGCATCAGGCAGAGCTGGTGCAAGAGAGCTTTAACCAGCAGTTCGACGAAATTGAAAGAGAACTACAATCCAATGAACAAGTGTTAAACAAACAACTTTCTGACAGAGGTGGTGACGATAAAGCAGAATTTGCCAAGACGGCACGCCAGGTACATTCTTCCATGATGTCAGTTCAGAATGAAGAAACGAGTAACAAGTTTCAAAACTCGAACTTCCTTAAACTAATGTCATCGATCTCTAATCGTTCGGTGGAACTTGAAGGTGATAAACTTGTAGATACTGATACTAGAGTGGACATCAGAGAGCATTTAGCAGACCCTTTACAACACGAAAAGGCAGAAGCAGCAGCAGATAGAGAAAGGGCAAATGTGGAGCAAATGAATTTGGATAATAATGTGTATCCTTTGACACAAGCTGAGACAGCCCCTGCAATTAATGTGCCATATTTAAGACCTCCTGGCATAACAAGGCCCGTTCAGCAAAGAGAAGAGTCACAAATTAATACATTACCCGACCCATTGGCTCATATCAGAGATGGAGGACTTGATGGGATTACAGATCCGCTTATGGCTGCTAAGATAATATCAGGTAATCAAGTTAAGGATAAGCATTGGCTAGGATCGAACAATAACGATGATGATTGGTTGGATATGACTGAAGATGCTCCATCTCGTCCTGGGAGCATTCTCAATCCAAGAGATCAAGAAATGTACGACGACTACAGGCACGATGACGACTACCATTAGGAAGGAGTTTGACGACATTTAAGGGTGCTGTAATTTGAGGTAGCTGAGAGGCAGGAGAAGGTGGAGCTACACAGGAGATAGATAAGAGAATGAGGAGAGAAAGCAGCAGTATGCTTGCATTTGAGATGAACGGTCAGCCTTTCACCAAGAATTTCTTTGTCTTCCTCCACCTGGTACATACAACACTTGTAAAAGTTTCATCTGAGGACCGGGAAGAAAATCACTACCAAGCCTGGGCTGGACGCTGAGTCTCCTATGTACATATTATTTATGATGTAATGGTTATATTTATTTTTCTTTTTACTTTTCTTTTTTTTTTTTTCAATTCAATTATTATTGTATTTACATTTCGGAGTGTAGTATTGGTAGATAAGTGGGTCTGTTAAGGCGCAAATACGTCATCGTGAAAATCTATAACGGTTCGATTCGATTGTGTGTTGAAAAGTGGGAAAGTCTATCGTACATATTGTTTCCACTTGTTGCGAGCCCTTGCAGGCAATTATTCCGAGATTTATTTGATACTACCTTATGACATAGATATGCAGTAAAACAATTTAAGGCTCTTGTGGTATCCGGATATATGGAAAAGACAGGTTTTAAAGTCCGATCCAGTATCACCGACTAAAAGGTTTTAAGTGCAACAGGATCGAATAGCAAACAGATGGGAAGCAAAAGAAAATATTTATTTTTCCATGACAGTGAGGTACCCCTCAGCAATAAACGAAAAAGTTGGGTAAGTTAAGTGCGAGACAAGAAATGTTCATTAAAAAATGTGAGATGAAATCTTCAATGAAACTATGGAACCCTTGGGCAAAGTTGACTACGATACACCTCTCTGGATGGACTTTCGTTCTGGGAATACCCACCAACGAAAATATATTTCGGGATACATTTCCGGATTAATTCTAGGCCTTACGTCATTTAAGGTTTTTGTGTGCTTTTTCTTTTTTTTTTTTTTTTCTTGTAATCTGTTTTATGCATAACCCAACGTAACTGCATGCACTACTTATATTTTTCTTTTCTTTTCTTTTTTGATGCCCACCACCTAAGATTATAAAAGAGCCTACTCGCCAACAAGGAATTGAAAAGTGGTATTAGTTTATCATAATCAATATATTATATTTTTTTTAACACAATTCAGAAAAAAATGACTTCCGCCTCATACAAAATTGTTAAGCCATTCAAAATTGCAATCATCGGTTCCGGTAATTGGGGGACTGCAGTGGCCAAGTTGGTTTCTGAGAACACCAGAGAAAAGCCAGAAATCTTTGATAAGGATGTTAACATGTGGGTTTTCGAAGAAGACATTGACGGTGAAAAATTGACCTCTATTATAAATACTAAACACGAAAATGTTAAGTACTTGCCAGGAATTAAACTCCCAGAAAATTTGATCGCCAACCCAGATTTAGTCGAAACTGTTAAAGACGCTGATTTACTTATCTTCAACATTCCACATCAATTCTTACCAAGAGTGTGTAAACAATTGGTGGGAAAGGTTTCTCCTTCAGTCAGAGCTATTTCATGTTTGAAAGGTTTAGAAGTTGGTCCAGAAGGCTGCAAATTGTTGTCGCAATCGATCACTGACACCTTGGGAATTTACTGTGGTGTATTGTCAGGTGCTAACATTGCCAACGAAGTCGCTAAGGAAAATTGGTCCGAAACCTCAATTGCATACACAGTTCCAAAGGACTTCAGAGGTGAAGGTTTAGACATCGACGAATTCGTTTTGAAAGCAGCATTCCACAGGACTTATTTCCACGTCAATGTGATACAAGATGTTGTCGGTGCATCCATTGCCGGAGCATTAAAGAATGTTGTTGCCTGTGCCGTTGGATTTGTTGAAGGTGCCGGATGGGGTGACAATGCCAAGGCTGCCATTATGAGAATTGGATTAAAGGAAATTATTCACTTCGCCTCCTACTTCGAAAAATTCGGTATCAACAAGGGTGGTGTCATCGCACCACAACCAACTACATTTACTGAAGAATCTGCTGGTGTAGCCGATCTTATCACTACATGTTCAGGTGGAAGAAACGTTAAGGTTGCAAGATATATGATCGAAAACAAGGTTGACGCTTGGGAAGCTGAAAAGATCTTGTTGAACGGTCAAAGTTCTCAAGGTATTTTAACCGCAAAGGAAGTACACGAGTTATTAGACAACTTTAAGTTGCATGATGAATTCCCATTGTTTGAAGCTACTTACAGAGTGATTTATGATGGTGCTGATGTCGCAGACTTCCCAGCTTTGCTTGAGAAAGATTAAGCTTTTAACATCGAGCTGCGGCTCATACTTTAATTTATAGATACATATAGGCACATAATCAATTTAACACAATTGAAACACATTCAAATAATTTTGAAAACACAATAAATTCACACATGTAATGCAGTGTGTCTAAGTATGTATATGTGTAGCTGTAAGGAGTATTACTTCCACCCCCCACCCCCAAATTAAAAAGTAATGAAAATCTTGCATATTGCTAATTACTAGTTAGCAGTATAAAGTATAGTAAGGAGTTAGGAACTAAAATCTTTAAGCATTTCTTTTCCATACGTTCAGGTATTCAGCTTGTACTGGTAAATGTTCATAAAAAAGTTCCAGTTGGACTCTCCTCCGTGTATTATAAAAGTGAGTCTAAGGCTAAAAAATTAAGACCAGCTTGAGGTTAGCCATGGCTAGGGACTCAATTTGCCTACTATTGTGGCTAAGTAGTTGAATTTTGTGTCGCAGTAATGAGTTCCAGACAAAAGAGTCTTGCATACTAAATAAAAATGGTGAGTTCTGAGAACTTAGTGGTAAATGTTGTGGAAAGTGTTGTGGAAAGTGCAATACGCAGTAAGTGCAGTGGAGAATGAAGTGGCAAGAAAAACAGAATGACACAACAAAATGAATGAGTAGTCAAATCCGTAGCCTTGTCCATCAGCATCGTATCATACCAAACTATTCGTTTATGTCTATTGATTTTCCATAATATTTTAATCTACTCCACAGTTTTTATATCATTTCTTATCGTCGAATTTAACTCCTTTTTTGCCCTTCTACGTTTTTTTTTCAGCTTTTAGGCTTATAGAACTCTTCAAAAGACAATGTACATACCTAAACGAAGGTCTTCCTTAAGTCAAGAAATAAATAGTCATGAAAAAGTCTTCGAAGAAGAGACTGAAGAGAGCCAGCACATAGGGTGCTACCTTTGTACCAAATTTAATAACACAAGGCGAAGGTCATCTTCTTCATTTAAAGTGGGTTCATTCATAGATTCGCTCCTAATCGATCGAACATCTGCGTCCAAATCCGAACCAGTAACGTTCAAATTTGGTATATTGGTGACAGACTTCTCTTATCATATTCGAAAGGGAGGTCAACTCCCAGCACTGGGAAACACTAAGAGAGTAGAAATACCATTCGACGTTCAGTACATTGAGTGGTCAAATGCCTCTGCCAGTAGCACTTTGCCTCATCCAGCCACAGGAGGATCTACAGGGGGCTCCTCATTTTCATCGCCACTAGTGGGCAATGTAGAAATTAGTAAACGTTATGCGTCATACACATCCAAGCAATTCCCTGGCTTTCTGATTCCCTATAGATCAGTTTTGAAATTAAGCATTGAGAATACTGAAGGTACGACCATCTCGATTTGCTTGTTAGAGTACGATTTGTCTAAACTTCCATCGGGTCACAAGCGACTTGTTCGGTTCAAATCAAATAGCATTGTCATACAGATACTATATTTTCATTTGAATAAGAAATTTTACGTCGGTGACACCGCTCGAATAGTACTACTTAGTAAGGAAGAGGGAATTACGACTAATGGAGAAGTGATTGTTATAAACGAGAGCAAGTTCGATGAGAATCATTACAAGAAATGTGACAGATGTCAGCCATACAGCCAAGGTTAGAAATCATATAGCCTGCAGAAAAGAGTGTGATCCACCACCTTTTCAAGCTAGGAGTATGGTTTTAAATAACCACTTGCATATTTGAGTGATATGTACATAGGCGAATGAATTGGAATAAAATTACATACTCCTCCTTATTATATCAAGCTATTAGTAAGAATTCTAGAGGTACACTCGATTTTTCAGCAGGCATATGAAGTTGCTTAAGCTATGCGATTTAGTGTGCCCCACAGTTTTTCTTTTAGGCGCTAAGATTTTAACTTGCGTAATCATATGCAATGAAGAATCAATAACTTTTTCTTTTGTAGAAACACCGAATCATCGACGAAGAGTACACCATATTGATGAACTGAACGTAGGTATTTTCCGTTTATTTTTCTTTTTTATTGTTAGTAGTAATTTTTTGTTTTACTTGGTAATGGTTTCTGAAGATTTTTTCTTGATCAATATCAAAAGGTACAGACCTAGACACTTTGCCAATGGGTTAACACCTATATGGCTGAAGGTTCCCGTATCTAGAAGATCATCAGTGTTCATTTTATTATTCTTGGGTAACATGGGAGAATTGAGAGTCGTTTTAACTAAAAGGTCCTCGAGATTAAGAAATTTCCCTGGTCACATCTCCTTACCTGGAGGGAAGTCTGATTCAGTAGAGGAAACAGAATGGGATGTTGCACGAAGGGAAATGGAAGAGGAAATTGGCTTAAGTGCTGACAATGAAAAATTGAAGAATGATTATGGTTTTGAAATTCAGCACCTTAATACTTTGCCCTGTTATTTATCTAGAACGTTTTCCGCTGTTAAACCGTGTATTGGGTTTATGCGTAGTACATCAAACTCCTCAACGACTCAATTGGAGAAAACTATTCAAATGCACTTGAATCCGGGCGAGAGTTCACTGATATTTTCATGTCCTTTAAAGGATTTTTTGTACCCTTCACCAATCGCACCTAGGGAAAATGACCCAAAGCCGCTTGAATCAATAGACAGATCCTCGTTAAAGGTTGAATGGGGCAAGATTCCTTGGAATTTGAGGAGCTACACATTCCCTCAGTATAATCCGAATGAAGTTGAATGGTTAAAAAATATCAAAGATTTAAGTGAGCTGGACCTGGAATATCTGCGTCTGCCATCTCCGCTCGGGGAGCCACTGGGGGGTGACCCACTGGGGAAGCCACTGGAACTGCAGCAAATGTTAGAACCCTTAGAGCGTGCCCTGGAAGAAGCCGAGAAGCAGATTGCAGCCGAAATTAAAAAGTCAAAGAAAAATAAGTTGAAAGAATGGGGTAGGCTCGGCTCCAGACGAGACTCATTGACAAATGAAAAGATATATGATGTTTGGGGTTTGACTGCTAACATCTTACATGATTTGGCGGAAATTACTTATACTCTGCTGCCCGATTCTGATACCAGAGAAATTTCCAGAGAGTTGGGAGAGGAAGAATTGATTTACCTGTTATTTGAATATGGGAACCAGTTGCAGAAAAGAGAAAGACTGCCTGAAGAGCTGAAATTGATCAGTTCCACAACTGCGGAAGATGAGTTAGGCTTTAACGACGTATTGCCACGCACCGAGTTCAATAGGTTGAAAAGATTATACACCAACAAATAGATAGTTAGAGTTAGAAGTGAAATTTAAACTTTTAGAGAGTAAAAAAAAGAAAAGACAAGAAGGAACCGTGTAGTAGAATAGTGACATATTGTTAGCTCCGGGGGCAATACTTATTTCCGGTGGAGAAAATTAAAACAGTTTGCCCCAAGCAGCTGAATATTAAAATATTCAAAGAATAGGCAGTACATGTTACATAGTGCTTGTCATATTCACCAAGAAATATTACGCTTCAGCTAAGCTCCTGTGAAAAATAATAATACTCTGCTTGAGCTCCAAGCAGGCTTTAAGCCATCGGAAGTTACTTAAGTAGACTCTTCCGCTAGTTCCTTTGGCTCACACACTTCTCCTATTCTTTTTTTGACATATGCACCATGTACCTTCTAAAAATAATGTGACGCTAACAGCCACCACTTAACATTCGCAACCACGTTTCCCATCGTACATTCTTTTTATATAAAATGAAACACTATTTCTTTACAGGCTGGACACTCCTTTTTCATCTTTTTCATGGAAACCATTATTCAGCTACTACTAAAGACGCTGAAAAATCGAATTCCGCATAGAAAATCCTAAAGGTTCTAAAAAAGCAGTTGCCTTTTATGACTCTGCCGTTCATTGCTGGGCATAGAGGGTTTAAGGGGAAGTACCCCGAAAATTCCTTTTTCGGCTTCGAGAAGTGCTTCCAAACCGGTGCCACATTGATTGAAACAGATGTGTGGATAAGTGCAGATAATGTGTTAGTTGTCTCACACGACGTCAATACCAAAAGAATCTTCGAGACTCAAGACCATCAAGTCGCAGACTATAACATCCTTCAAACAAGTTATCGAGATATTTTGCAACACTTGAAAATCAAGGGCACAAATGAAGATTTGCATTCGTTTAAAGATTTGTTGTACTGGTTTTCCAGCTATAACAAGGAGCAGTCAGACTCCAAACAATTTAATAGAATAATGCTAGATGTGAAAAGACCAAATCCAGCAAAAGTTTTGAAGTATATGCTTCAAGATATGCTTGAGGTCAACCCTAATATAGATTACTGGATTGACAGAGTTCAAATTGGTATTTGGGATTTGAAGAATATAAAATATTTAAATCAGGAGCCTGTGTTTGCTGAAGTGTTCAGTAAAGGTGCAAAACCTATTGATATCTTGAACATTTCAGTTTCCTGGACAGATTCTTTGCATTATATTCAGTACAATAATTATATAGATCAGTTGAGCAAAAATGATGGAAAATTCAGATTCAAAATCACTGGTATATCATTGCTTTACCTTCTGACTTGGTCCAAGGACTTCTTGACAAAGTTTATGCCTCTAGTCAAGTTGAACGATTTAAAGTTTTACTCGTGGACTATAAACAACAAGTTGCAGTTTGATTACCTTTGGAAGGTGGGAAAGGTTTACGACATAAAAGAATTTGGCTTGATTTCAGATAGACCCGATCAAATGGTTGAGTATAAAGAAAAGCATTCAAACGACAATGAACAGAGTAAGCTTCTTGATGCTAACACCAAGATTGACATATCATTCTCACAATGGTTTATTCATGCGCTCTTCAGTAGATTTTTAAGAAAAAGAAGGGTCACTGATGAAGAGTTGGATTTTGGTGGGTTTGTCGATGATGAGAAAGTTGTGAAGTTACCAGTCGGGAAGGTTGCTATATTCATTTTCCAATTCTGCCAAAAGCTTGGTATATTTTAGATGCTAGAGAAATTTTCGACAGAAATACTCTCGAAGAAGTTGGAAGAGTTCGTTATGTATATATAGACGACAGCAACCTCCGAAAGAAGTTGGAAGAGTTTGTTATGTATATATATAGATGTATATGTACTGCTTAGTATCCCATTCTATATGCGGAATTCATTAGAATGAATATACCCCAACCAGATTAGAGAGTGTAAATGTTAAAGAAATTCTCCTATCTTGGATGTTTGAAGGTAAAAAGGTAACTATTTTTCGAACTAAATTTTTTTTTCTGAGTTAGGAATCAAACAAGAGACCCATGTAATCCTTTAATATAATCCTTTAATATAATATTTCATGTCCTAGTTGTGGTGGTAGGTAGTACTACCTTCAACCATCAACTCTCCATATAATCAAGAATGAAATATTTTCCTGCATATATCACCTCATCGATCCATATCTTCATACTGTCTTCACATACAGTGAAGTTCTTGTGTTATTCACCCTACGGTTCTTTAGCGTAAGTTTAATTCTTAGGGTACATATTGTGTGGCCAAATTGAACATGTTCAGCAGCTTGCTTCCAATTCCAAAGGTGATAGGGAAACAGATTCCCAAAAGCAATAGAACCCAGAAAAATGATCCTACTAAATTAATGTTGACAGACTCTAGCAGCTCTAGTAGTACCACCATAGTTCACCAACCTTCAGACTCCAAGTCTTCAAATGTGATAAAAACCTTGCATTTGACTAATGGGTCTCTCGACTATAGCAAAACCATAGCATTAGCGTCTTCCTCAACCCGGAGTGTGCAGTCCTCTTATGAAGATACCATCCCATTGAAAGTACGCTTCCCTCATTTGAAGCATTTCTTTCCCAAGCCCACTAAAGAAGAAATTGACGAATGTGTTGCAGACACTGCAGAGACTATTCAAAAGATTTTATCAGAAAGCCTTGGTGTTGATAAAAACCAGAAGAAAGACGAGGTTTCATATGTCAACTATGAATCGAAATCCATTGTTGGCGATGTAGGGGACTCTGATGAGGTTGAGGGTAGCGGAGGCAGAGGCAGAGTTCTCCAAATTCGAAATTTCCAAGAAGATCCAATGCTACCACCTAAGTTTAAGTTGCGTAAAAATAGGCATAAAGACCCATCCCCACCTCCACCTATACTTAAGAAGAACAGCAGTGGAGGAGCCCCTCTTACTAAGGAGGATAAAGAGAAGTGGAATATTCCTTCGGCTATTTCGAATTGGAAAAACAACCAAGGTTTCACTATATCGTTGGACAAGAGAATGGCTGCAAATGACCAACTGCAAGAGGGAGATTTGGGTTTGAATGTTGAAAAGTTTGGTAACTTGTCTCAAGCACTAGAAGATGCAGACAAGAAAGCAAGAGAAGAAATCACTATAAGAAACGAGTTGATGAGAGAATTGGCAATCAAAGAGCAAAAGGAAAAGGAAGAAAAGTTAAGGGAATTGGCTGAAGCTAGTAGAAGAGAAAGGTACAAGAGGCCATCTAACGAAAGTTCAAATCAACTGGCTAAGAGGAGATTCTAGGGTGACGAGGGCGAAGAAATGTTGCAGGCGACATGAAAGGCTATTCATTGTGATTTGCGGTGATGTGATTTATTAGTTTGAAATTAATTAGGTACTTATAATATTACAATTTATACATGATTAAGGTAGTACTTTTTGACTACTTCTTCCTCTTCTTAGTTTTTTGTTTATCTCCACCTTCATATAAACTTTTGTCAAATGCTTCTCTTGCTCCCAAGTTAACCCATTCCAAGATCCTCGAGAGTTCCTTTTCCTTCTTCTTCTCGCTCAATTTCTCACGTAAATCCTCTTGGAGCTTTCTCAATTCTTCCACGGTACCATTGGCAATAGTATCAGGAGGACCATGGCTGGTATCTTTCCTCTGGCGTTTACTAGTGGACATTGAACTAACAGCCGCCATAGCGGCAGCTCTTCTTTTTCCACGAGGTAATATCTCGACCAGATTTTCTGAAGTATCAGATGGCACATCAGATGCTTCAATTTCAGGCTCAGTTTGTGTGTTACTCACTTTTTGCTTTATTTTTTCAGTCACTTCTTCCAATTGTTTCTCAATCTCCAGTTCATTGTCTGGGATCTTGTCCAACCATAAAGCTTTTCTTCTACCATCCATACTCTGACAAATGGCATCCTTTACTACTAAAAGTTCTTTCCTTAATTGTGACTCTCTAGAGCCCCATGGATTGATCCACTGCAATAGCTTTTCAATATCCTCGCGCTTATCGTAATACCTCCAATCTGACAGACTAATAAGTGGATCAGAGGCTTCTTCAATCAATTTTCGTTGCATAGGAGTTAAACTCTGCCAGTTAGATTTTGGGGGAAGCAGTCCGAAATGGTCAACAATTATTTCATCGGTATTTTGCTTAACAATCTGTTTCTTGAGGTATGTAATTCCATACAATTTTTCCACTCCTCTTCTGTAGTATTTGGGAACTGTTGATGCAAAGTCCATCTCTTTATAATCCTTGCGCACTTCATCGTACCAGCCTTTCTCTTCGATCTCTGACTTAATGTAACGGTTAATATCTTCTTTACCATTTCCCGTAGGAAGTTTCTTATCTAAAATATCGTGCAAATTTACAATTTGTGTGTCATCTAAATGTAACAACTCGCTCACATCCTCCTGAGATGGACCCTGGATCCATAATTTTCCCATCAAGTAAGTCTCATCGAGTAATTCATCTTCATCGTCATCCATATCGTCTGTAGCAGTGGTTCCGTTGACACCCGCGGCATTGGCACCACTGTTGTCCTCATCTTCATCTCCATTAGAACTTCCGTGTAAAGTTGGAAGTCCATTATTTTCAAACCACCAATATCTATTTCCAAATCTATCTTTGCCAAGTAATTTCACTCTTTGACAGTCCATCTCTACAAGCTTCAATTCGATTTCCTTTTTGGCCTTCTTTAACTCAGAGATTTTGGTTAATTCAATACGCTTCTTTTCCCAAAGTGATGAAAATTCCTTATCAGTAGAAGCCAACTCCTCCTCTTGTGGAGTCATTTCAGCCAGTAAAGAGATTTTCGATCTGCTTCTCGAATCTTTTGAGTCAGGAGCAGTAGCTGGGGTAGAATCTTTTTCATTTTTTTCATCTCCAGCTTTTTTCTTCCCTTTTGCTTTCTTACCATCAGCTTCTATGGTATCATCCGCAATTTCCTTCTCCTTCTCCTCAATCTCTTCTTTTATTGGCTCGTTCTTTTTTATGAACTCTTCAAGTTTTGCTTGAATTTGAGTATGGTATTGGCTGACTAATTCTAGCTGAACTTTGTAGTCTCTTATATTATCCAACCGATCTCTTCTCAAAGATGTAGAAACATCTAAGCAGTCATCAATGTATCCACGTACGACTTTTCCACCTGATAATAAACTTATTAATATGTTTAAACACTGAATTCTAAGGTTAGTATTCAATTCTTCATAAAATTGACGAAGAACACCGCTTGGATTGACGACTCCGCCATTTCTAGTAGAAGATTCATCATCTGTTGGAGCTAATAACTTGAACACTTTATCAATAACTGGTTTGAAAGCAGGGACATATTCAACTATAGAAAATACCCCCATCATGATACATTGCCAATTACCATCCTTAAAGTTTCTTTTTCTGAGTCTTTCGTACCAAGGAATATTTCTATAATTCATTACTAGGTATGCATTATGTTCATGAAAGTCATTGTCTCCATCCTCACCACCCTCGGCATTTTCATCTTCATCTTCTGCTGCTTCATCGTCCCCATCACCTTCATCTTCTTCATCTGCATCTGCATCTTCAGCTTCTTCAGCTTCCTCCACTTTCTTGTCGCCTCTTTTTGTCTTAAGCTTTTTTGGTTCTTTGGATTCTGGTTCATCTTCACTATCCGAATCGGTTTCCGATTTATCAGAATTCACTCCATTCTCGTTCTCATTCTCAGTATCTGAGCCCCTTTCTTCATCCATTTCATCGGTATCCTTTACCTTTGCACTGCCAACTAACTTCTTAGGTGGCAAAGTTATTAATAAACCTGGAATTGTTTCTTCATCGTCGTCTTCATTGCGAGTACCCTTTTTCGGAGTCTCGTTAGACACAATAACGCCTAATACAGCACAAAACATCTCATCTAGTAATTCGCACCTTCCAATCTCTTCAAATTGATCATAGTTCCAACCTATTGCATACATAAAGTCGTCAAATGTGAAAGTATCAAGGTTGAGAACCTTATGATATATGTTAAGAAAGGCCCAACATTCAAGTGCCTTTTGAATTGGAAGAGGTTCATGAGCCCCAGCATCATCCTCCTGATCATCATCTTCCTCCTCTTCATCATCATCGTCATCATTATCCCAATAATTGGAATTATCCGGCGGTGTGTATTGAAGAGGAAGTGGTCTCAGTCTTTGAAGATCAAACTTGAGTTCAAGATCGTCTATAATAGTCTTTTGCGTTGGTTGAAGTGTGGATATTGGTACAGATCCAGAAGTGGTAGTATCTGCAGCGACTGGTGTACCAGAATTCACACCCGAAGTAACAGGGGGAATTATTTCCTTCTTCAATAAATTGTCTGGGACATAATGCACTGGAAAACTCAAAACCTTTTTCTTAGGAACGACAGGAGGAGTGCCGACTTTGGCTTCTGTTTCAGTAATGGCATCCTTCTTCTTATCTTCTTTTCTTTTCCTCTTACCCTTCTTCACGTCAGTGCCTTCTGCTTCTTCTGTCTTCTTCTTCCTTCTTCCTTTCTTTGCAGGAACAGTTCCAGATTCTTCTTTAGTGTCGTTTCCATTGGCGGCAGCACCATCAGCATTTTCTTTGGTAAGCTCATTATTTTTATTACCTGCTTTGCCTCTTCTTTGTCTCTTCTTTTCACCTTCCCAGGTAACCTCTCCGCTTGGCGTGAACAGTTCAAAGTGCTTCAAGTCTTCAGGGTATTCCTGAGGAATCCTATATTTCTTTGCATACTTGTCCTTAACTACCCATGGAGCTCCTACCTTATGACTTCTCGTCATAGTCAACTTAATAAATGTCTTGATCAACCATTTGGTGAAATGATTTCTATCCCGCAGAATCTTATCCCCAGTGACAATTGCCTGACGCATATCGTTTAACCGTACTACAAGATATTTGGTAGAGGATGTACCATCTTCCGGATTGTTGTATTGCACTTTCTCTCTAACAGTACCTTTCTGTTTCGTTTGTCCCACTGTGGCACTTGATATAGACCCCTTTATGTATATAGTCTCTCCTGGGAAGTAGTCACCTTTAAACACCAGATACACCTTGTCCACTAACTGATCTAATCGAGTGATTCGATTGAACTGCAAGAATCTGAGAATATGTTCTCTTAATGCTTCAGGAAAGTCCCTTTCCACGCCCTGGATCTCCTTTATTTCACTCTCAAGCGCTTCAAAGAATGTTAGACAGGAATTTCCGGTAATCTCGCACACGAATTTGCGATGCTTATAGTAGTCGAGCCTCTGGAGGTATTCCTCGTATTCCAAGAACCATTCTCTGGTCTCTGGGATAATATAAACCTCCGTGGAGAGGTCTTGCGGTAATTGCGGCGGGTGCACAAAAGTAACCTGTTTACGTTTGTACAAGACCATTATTTTTGACTTTTCCGTGGCTCGTTGTTATGATATGGTAAGTTCTTCCCTATTAATATGTTGCCTGGATATTAGGTGTATGCAGTTTCAGAGTTATCTGCTTGAAATGGACGTTATTGAATTGTTTCTCTTTACTTCGATGACCCCTGTAACAACCTACGGTGTCTTCCACTTGCAAAATTTTGAACAAAAATGCAATGCCAGGAAAAAAGAGTAAGGGGAAAAAGAAAGGGAGGGTTGGAAAAAAAAATATCAAAAATGAAAATATGGTGGTATTAATTCTAGATGGAAAAGGCTGCAGCAGGGAAGTCAAGAAAATAAAAATAAAAAAAATTAAATAAATAAAATAAATAAAAACGAGAGTAGATCTTAAGTTGCGAAGTCGTTACCAAGTTGACCTAATAACCACGGAAATAACTCGCAGTTGTAATGGAAGAATGGCTTCAATAGTAAGTCCATCCCATGCGCAAGTTGAGCAGGAAAAAATAAAGTAAGAATGCCCCAGAATGCTCTTTATTATGGCGGGTAAACCACTACTCACTAGCTAGGTGTACTGTGCTTTAAGATAATGAGCGCGTCAATTTTGACGCAAGTAATCAAAAAATCAACGATGAACTGTTGATGGACAACTTTGCATGCATAGAAGATTATATGGGATGTGACAAATCCCGCAGCAATTGAAGTTAACTGGATATTGGAAGAGGCCTGTGTAATTTCAGTTGAAGGGTTTACAGTTTAGGCAAAAAGTTGCTCCAAGTATTTTTTTTCCGTTCTTTTTTCCTGGCACAATTTGAGGTGACGTTGTGAATCCAGTTGTGGAATATCCTTTAAACTGTTCAGTCTATGGTTTGGCCCAAAGCTTAAATTGCGCATCTATACGATTTTCTCATCTCGGTTATATGCCGGATACTTAAAAACATATAAACTAGTCAATGTTTCAAAAAGACGATCTGGTGGTTGGTGTACGGGTGTGCAGATATACAGCGCAATGGACCCGTACGAACCAGAGCTAGCGATGTCGTGTAGGGGCCCTTACTGTCAGAAAACGTACAAGCCATGGGTAGCAATGTAGTAGGGACCTCAAATATGGGGGTTGGGAGCAGAATTTATCTACAGTCTTGAATTACCTAACTACGCAACTCTAGCAAATGCATTTAAATGGCAGATTGCGCAAAAAACGCAACATATTGCAAAAAAAATCTGGACTATGATTTCAAGAAGTAAGACTTAAAAAATTGGGAGAAGAGACTGCAGCACGAGAGATGCGCGTATGGTCTCCCCTACACTATTAGTCTCGCTCTTAGCTCAACGACAGTTGATCGGACGAGGAACTGCTTTCTGCTGGATATAGCCGCGAACGAGAGTCCCTACGTTGACTATGATTACTATTGCCCACATTAAACTTTGCTTACATAATACATTTACAGAATTGAGCTGAAATTCGTATAGAAACAGTACCAATGTACATCGCTTTACTACGAGTTCACCGATTGTATAGGCTAACACCAAGATGAATAGTGAGGACGATCAGACTCATATTTCGGTAGAGTTGCTTTTAATCATATAGTAAAAGATACTTCCTGAAGTGGCTACTTCTTGGTACCTTAATCTGCAGCTGCATTTCTCAACGTGCGAACAAAAAAATGGCACTTTAGTCCGACTGCCGAGCCAAAACTACCTCGAAACCAGACTCCACAAATGACTGGCATTTGAGTCCTACTTAAACGCTCCTTATCGAAAATGTACTATCTTCAATACGAGTTCACTTACTGTTATTGTATGCACCAAAAAGCACGCTGCACTTAAGATTGGCCAATATTCACTTGATCCATGATCTTTAGGGCTCTTCCCCAATCGGGAAAAATTTTCCGCTTTGTTGAAAAATTGATTAGATTACAAGCAAACTTTAGGAAATTTCACCAAACGTTATGCGCCCTAGCATGGATTTTGCTCTCAGAGTATTGTAGTGGAAAGCATTCGAAGTAATTCTTGTTAGTTTCGGAATATAAATAGTACAGAGTACCTTCTTAAACATAAATTAAGAAACTCAATTTTCTTTTTAATTTAAGACTTTCAATTTAAACTCGTAAATTTAAAAAGCCCTCTCATTCATAATGTCCGTAGTCCCAGAATACTTCCAAGGGTTCGGTGTTGATAAAGCCGAAAACTGGAACAAACCAAAATTAGTTAAGTACAAGCACAAAACCGTAGGTGACAATGATGTTGTATTGGAAAACATCGCGTGTGGTCTTTGTGGCTCGGACATCTTGACCGCATCTGGTCAATGGTCCGACCTCTTGAGAGACGATTTAGTGGTCGGACACGAAATCATTGGACATGTCATTGCAGTTGGTTCAAAGGTTACCTCAGTTAAGATCGGTCAAAGATGTGGTATCGGTGCTCATTGTAGCTCATGTATGAAATCATCATGCGGTAGATGTTCCAACGACAACGAACAGTACTGCAAAAACAACGGTGTAGGAACTTACAACGCTGTAGACAAGTCAGCTGGAAATTATGTCACTCAAGGTGGATATGCCTCTCACTCCGTGGCCCATGAACAATTCGTTTTCCCAATTCCTGATGCTTTGGAAACTATTCACGCTGCTCCATTGATGTGTGCTGGATTAACCGTCTTCAGTCCAATTGTCAGAAACGTCGGCTACGATGCCAAAGGTAAGACTGTTGGTATTATCGGTATTGGTGGATTAGGTCACTTGGCTATTCAATTCGCTCATGCAATTGGTGCTAAGGTTGTTGCATTTTCAAGATCTTCAAACAAGAAGGATCAAGCTATTAAGATGGGTGCTGACGCCTTTATTGCAACTGGTGAAGAAAAGGACTGGACATCTAAGTATGATGATTACTTCGATCTCGTCTTAAATTGTGCCGCTGGTTCAGATTTGAGCTTAGATTCTTTCCTTTCAACATTGAAAGTTGATGCCAAATTTGTCTCCGTTGGTTTACCTCCATCTAAGGATAAGTACGAGGTTTCACCATTTGCCTTTGTTGGCAATGCTGGTAATTTCGGTTCCTCCTTATTAGGTAGTAAGAAAGAAGCATTGGCTATGTTGGATATTGCTGTCAAACATGGTGTCAAACCATGGGTTGAAGAGGTTCCAATTAGTGAAGCTGGCTGTAACACTGCCTTGACAAGATGTGAAAACGGTGACGTTAGATATAGATTTGTTTTCACAGAATTTGACAAGGCATTCAAATAGTCTGAGGTGTAATAGAGAAAGCCGAGCGTTTATATGTTTATAATTTAATTATAGTCTATAGGAACGTAATGCAAAAATAATTTATTAGGAATTTATCGGGGTATTTATGTATTTGTTGCAAGGTAGTGGTCGATGAGGGGGAATGGCTACCAAGGTTATGGTGGGGTATGTCAGCCGCATGCAGAATTGTTACAGCTGCGGTAGAAGGGCCTCTCGCTAATGCACCAAAATGTGTTACGGTGCGAGTTTCTCGAAGTGATTCCTGGAAATACGAAACTACAGTTGGGATAATGTGGTGATTAACTAGTGATATGCTAGTTTATAACTATAAATATTATATTATATTTCTCAATGGACAAATCTGAAGTCCAATCTCTTGTTTCCGATATCAGTTGTATATCTGACATAGTCTTCCTTTTCTTCCTTACTAAACTTGCTCCACTTCTTTTCTCTTTGATGATTTCTGAAGATGTAGTATCCCTTTGCAATGAAACACATCGCAAGAGCACCAAAGGCAATTGCAATCAATTGAGTGTTACCTCTTTTATATAAAGGAGCATCATCCTTCCTATAAATGTTAGCTGCACAAATAGATGCAGACTGTGAAAACATATTAACTAGCGCTGCGGATACCGCTCTGGCACGGACCCCATTTGAGTTGGCAGAACACCAAGTAATTGTAATGGGCCAAATTGGGGCATGCCCTAATAAAATTGTTAAGAGTGCATATGTCCCCCAAACGTCTTTCTGAGATCCTGGCCAGAACCTTAACGGAATTAAAGATGATAAAATCCAAATTGGAGTTGCAGCAAGAGCGAATGCCCTATGATTGAAAGTCTCGGTCAAATATCCTGTTACAAGCATAGTTATAATTGTAAGAATATTATAGGGAATAGTTAAAGCATTTGTTTTAAACGTTGAAAAACCCAACTTCTTAAGGGTCAAGGTCATATAATTCTGTATGGGTGCAGTACCAATGTCTCCTAATATACGAATAAAGTATATTGGCCATAAATCATAATCCAATAATGACCTTAACAATTCTTTGGGTCCGACAGGTTCTCTGTTATGCATATCACCTTTTGCAGGATCATCTCTCAATACTTTGTTGACCAATATCTTTTCCTCTCTTTCAGTGTACCAGCCTTTCTTTCTATACCAAGTCCTAGTTTGAACCACAGATGCCGGCATCTTGAAGAAAGAAATTACTCCAACAAGAAAGGTGAAGAGTCCTTCAATAAGGAATAACCATCTCCAACCTTCTTCCATGCCAGAAGTGTGAATTTTTAAAAGCCCAAACGCCAAAAGACTTGACCATACTTGAGTTAATGGATTTGCAATATAAAACAATGACATTCTGAAAGGTAATTCCTTAGAAGTGTAAAAGTAACTCATCCAAAGACAAATGTCAGGAATGAAACCTCCTTGTAAAGCACCAAGTAAGGCTCTTGTTGCTAAAAAGCCCAGCCTAGTTTTAATAGTTGATTGACACACTGAAACTATACTCCATAACACAATTTGAGAAGGAATCCAAACATCGGGCCCAATCCATTTCGAAATCAACTGAGAAGGTAATTCTGCAGATAAAAAGCAAACCAAGTTGATAGTGCTTCCCAAGTTGTAGTCATTCGTTGTTAACTTCAAGTCACCCAACATATCATCAGACAAAGCCTGAGCAATGTTACCCCTATCGAAATCAAGAGCGGTAAACATGATAAACGCCCAAAAGGTCACGTACCAATCATTTTTCCAGCCTATTTTACGTTCTTCTTGCTTAGTCCATGTGAGATCATGGTCAACATATTCCCTGCATTCATATTGCGTCCTCTCATATACCTTTGCATAATAAGCTGCAACTACAGGGTCTTGGAAGACATGGTCTAAGTGTTTTTCGTCAGTTGACAAAGAACTTAGTTCATTTTCGACTTCGATTCTACCTGTAAATTCATTCTTTTCATCCTCCAAAGCATGGTTGTCCAAAGTAGATAAGATATTAGACGGAGTTGCGCCTGCGGTTGTTTCCTTATTCGAAAAAAATCCCATTATTATTAGATTTGCAGCCTTTATTCAAGTAAACGGTTTTGAAGCTCTCAAAGAAAAAAAAAATAGCTTTACAATTGTGATATTCGAATGACAACTATAACCAATGATTTCGTAGACTATGGACTCTTTAAATAGTCTTTTTTAGGCCACATCCTACTTCATTCCCGAAGATTCATAATCGATTCCTGAAGTAAAATTATAGTTTAATTGCTAAAAATTGGTTGCAGAATTTGAGAATTCAAATGCACTAAGCCACAGAATTGCGCAATGATCTTATCACGAGTACCACACTTTTATTGACAAAGCAATGAATCAAGGCTAAGAAACTCCAGGAAGAGAAGAAATTTTGTGCATATCTCGGTAGTCATGGTGCATTGTCAGTTCTAGAAATTTTAGATAACGAACTGAAACGGGCAACTATAGTAGCAATAGTAGTAGTAGTAGTAGTAGTAGTTGAAGACTTTGCATTTTTATAGTATCTCTCAGAAAGGCTTAATGATAGAACTCGCTCATGTGAATTTGCGGAACATTTCTTAATCTACCTTGCAACTGAAATTGTTTCGGTTTGGTCCGGATTGTGATTCCTTTCGTCATTTTGCAGTGTTATGTGATAACTTATAAGGCGTTCTCTCTTTCATTAAAGACACTAGATCCAGTTTAGGGAGGTAACAAAAGCTTAAAAATTCTTTTGAACAGTATCCCATCGTATTCCACCAATTTTATCATCAGAAAATAGAAGAAACAACTTAGATTTGACTTACGTATTGGGGATACTGCCATATCTTTCTGTAGCCTCTACAAACTAGAAGAACCTTTTTCTTGATCTAATAAATTAATAAGTATATAATATTCCCATGAAATGAAATTCAACCTTTATGCGTGGCGGAAAATCGTCTAGTTCTCCTGAAATTTCTTTAGTCTTGTGATGTTCAACCTTTATTCAATTCTTTCTAGTGAACAAATCTGAAATCCAATCTCTTATTTCCCAAATCGGTAGTATTTCTGACATAGTCTTCCTTTTGTTCCTTTGTGAATTGATCCCACTTCTTTGCCTTCTGTTTATTTCTGAAAATGTAGTAAGCTTTTGCAAAAAGACACATAGCGACAGTACCAAATGCAATTCCAATTAACTGTGTGTTACCTCTGTGATATAAAGGTGCGTCATCTGTCCTGTAAATGTTAGCAGCAATAATACCACCAGATTGGGAGAACATATTAACTATTGCTGCAGAGACAGCTCTTGCCCTAACAGAGTTGGCATTTGCAGAACACCAAGTAATCGAAAGTGGCCATGTTGGACTGTGTCCTAACATGACAGTTAGTAAAGCATAAGTACCCCAAACATCCTTTTGAGCTCCCAGCCAGTATCTTAATGGAAAGAGACAAATCAAAATCCAAACCGGAATGGCACCCAAAGCCAAAGCTCTCTGATTAAAATATTCACTCAAATACCCTGTGATAAGCATCGTAATAATACTAAGAATGTTGTATGGAATAGTTAATGCATTTGTGTTAAACGTCGAGAAACCCAACTTTTTGAGCGTCAACGTCATATAATTACTAGCAGGTGTAGATCCAATGTCTCCCAAAATACGGATAAAATACACTGGCCATAAATCATAGTCTAATAAGGATATAAGCAATTCTTTGGGTCCAACAGGTTCTCTATTATGCATATCACCTTTTGCTGGATCATCTCTCAATACCTTATTGACTATAATCTTTTCTTCTCTTTCAGTGTACCACCCCTTCTTTCTATACCAAGCCTTAGTTTGAACCGCAGATGCCGGCATCTTAAAATATGAAAACAAGCCGACAACCAAGGTGAAAAGCCCTTCAATAAGAAATAACCATCTCCAACCCTCTTTCAAATTTGTTGTGTGAATCTTTAAAAGTCCAAAAGCCAATAAACTGGATAACACCAGGGTTAATGGATTTGCAATGTAAAACAACGACATTCTCATTGGCAATTCTTTAGAAGTGTAAAAGTAACTCATCCAAAGACAAACATCGGGAATAAAACCACCTTGTAAGGCGCCGAGCAAAGCTCTCGTTGCCAAAAATCCCAGTCTAGTCTTGATAGATGCTTGAGCACATGAAACAACACTCCAAAGTACCATCTGGGATGGAATCCAAATATCAGGTCCAATCCATTTAGAAACTAACTGAGAAGGTAATTCTGCAGACAAAAAGCAAACCAAGTTAATTGTACTTCCCAAGTTATAGTCATTGGTGGTTAAATTTAAATCAGCTAACATGTCATCAGATAATGCCTGAGCAATGTTAGCTCTATCGAAATCCAAGGCAGTAAGCATGAAGAACGCCCAAAAGGTCACGTACCAATCGTTTTTCCAACCAACTTTACGTTCTTCTTCTTTTGTCCATGTGAATTCATGATCAACATAATCCCTACACTCATATTTTGTATTTTCGTAGACCTGACCCCAGTATTCGGCAGTGGCTGGGTCTTGGAAGATATGGTCTAAATACTTATCGTCACTTGACAAGGAAGAGAGCTCATTGTTGTTGATTCCGATTATAACTTTGTCCTTCTCATTAATGGAGCTGGCGGAGCTAGAAGAAATCTTAGCAGCTACTGAATCGTATAAGCCTTTAATTCCCATTTTAGAAGTTAAGATATTGAAGCCAATACTTAAGGTTTGAACAAGGGAATAGAATATACTTCAAGGAAGGACCCCATATTTATACAAAGCCTCTTGAAGGATGTCCAGCTGCTAAATCAGCCTTTTGATGTCATTGTTACATTAAGATCGGCTGCAAATTGGGTATTATAATTCTTTTCATCTCCACAGTAGCACGCAATTAAAAGAATCCACAATTAACCTGAGCAGATAGGCATTTTATAAGTGATCGCTTACAAAGTGACACATCGTGCTAGACATAATCCTCTCAAGTATACCCATTCAAAAAGAGAACAGTTTGTAGAATACAAGATCTACATCATTTCAGTTTAGTAGATCTCGAAGTATCTAGCTGTACGGAACAGTCTTTCGAACTTAAAAGCTTAACCAGGTGAATTTTCTTAGCATTCCAAAATCTAAAATATTCTTTTGTCCCAGTTAGCGTACCGTTTCTTTTTCTGGCACATTTCATCTTGCGCAATAATAGGCATCAATGTGAAATTGCAACATCCCAGCGAATATTGCAAGGTCCAGATACGAAGGGTACCTTATTAACACTGGATTAATTATTGGCTGAATAATTACTAAATGTGTCGAAATTGTGATACGGGGACCTGGGGAATTCCGAAAAGATTTTCAGTAACCCTTCTGTTCGGGATTCAAGTCCAGATTTGCTGAATATGTCAAGGTAACGGTTACGGTAGTATTCTGCACTTATGCCATGAATAAGGAATATTCGTAATTTACAATGTATTTTTAATAATTAGAATAGAGAAGTAGCGATTATTTTTTTTATCAAAAAATAACAATATGAACAAAAAGAAGATGAAAGAATGACGAAAGAATGATGAAAGAATGATTGCAAATCTACTGGGGCACTATCGGATAAAAATAATGGCTGCAGCATGGTTTCCCTTCATTATATCTACTTATTCGTTGCTTTAACGCTTTCCTTAAGGTGAATGAAAAAGTTCACGCACTGAATGGGGTAGCATTGAAGCTCATAGATTAATTTTTTTGTGGTTAGATGCAGTACTGAAAAATCTTGTTCCCTCTCTCATCAAATGAAATGAAGTGGAAGTCAAATACAAGGGTTTACTTTTGGAAAGATATACACCATAGGGACATCGGCATTCATGTTGAGAGCATCTATCACCAAGAACCGCATACTATGCGGTACATCGTCCACTACCCGTTTAAGCGGTACTGCTCTTAGGCACGTCAGATTGTATTCTAACGATGATATATCCAACCCATCTTCTTTAGCTAAGTCATCGAATTTACCAAAAATTGAACAACAGTTACTTAAGAAACCTGCCAGACAACCAAAGAAGAAATCGCCATTCCTTTCATCGCATGCGATTGAAAATGATCCTAACTACAAGATGAACTCGTTTTTGCAGCTGTTTGGGCAGAGTCTTATCAAAATCTTCAACATAGACATGGATAAATCAAGAGCAGGACCTATTGCCGGATCCAAGTACTATGGTGAATGTAAGAAACAAGCGTTATATTACCCAAATGAACCTCTCCTGGAGTCTGCCAAATTCTATTACGAAACTCTTAATTTACCACAGTCATTCTCTCAATGGTTCCAGATCACTGCGTTACACTATTGGATATTGTCTGTCAGAATGAGAGCATTACCCTTCAAGTACTATAGAGCTTATCAGCAAAAGCTCGTGGATAGATTCTTCAGAGATATGGAATTAAGAATGTCTGAGGAAATGGGGATCAGTTCAAATAGAATCATTGAAGGTTACTTGAAAGAGTTTAACACTCAATTATTGGGTTCTGTATTGTCCTACGATGAAGGTTTAATGACTGACGACATTACCTTGGCTGCTGCTTTATGGAGAAATATATTTAATGGTAACCCTAACGCTGATATGAGACACATCGAAGCCTTATTGGGACATGTCAGACAACAATTATACGTTTTAAACAAAATGTCAGATAGACAGTTCGGTTTTGGAGATTTCAAGTTTGTTGAGCCAAATGAAGTGGTGAAGCCATTGACAAAGGCCCAAGAGGTAGAGTTAAGAGCAGCTGTCAAGAGAAATTATGAGAACATGGATTTACCTTCACAGAGAAGTGTCTTAAGCTTGAACGAGTAATAGAGCAAAAAAGGAGTGTTGCTCATGCTTTCCTTCACCCAAGTAAGTCTTGTGACCACCTTGTGTTTTAGTCTGTACATAGTAATGATATTTAATCGATAACCCAGTCCGAATATTCTCACCTGTACATCTCCTACTGTCTACCCTCTACTGTCTGTTTCCTGCGCACTTCTTCACTACCTGCAGATGTACAGCTTCCTCAGCCTTCTCTGCCCTGGGCGCTCAACAAAGTTCCCTTTAAGATTTCAGCAATGGACACCCGTCGTGCTCTATATCACCCATCCCTAACATATACAATAATCTACAAGTCCTTCCAGTTTTTCCGAAGAAAAAGTTTTTTTTCGTTTATTTGTTTTGATAATTTTTTTTGTCATTTTTTGGTTTGGTCCACCGTATAGTATAGTAATAATTTTTTTTTGGTTTTTATGTTTGAAGTAATCAAGAGGTAATGATAAATAATTTAAAGGATAGTACCAAATGTAATGTTCATAATGTAAATATACTTCTCCACACATAAGAAATATTTTCACCATCACTTTTGTATACTCTGCTATAAATTGGTAGTTAAGAATTGAATTTCACTAAAACAATGGTAAGTATAAAGAGTTGTTTGCATTCATTTTTTTCCTTGTTTTTACTATTTTTCAACTTTTATTGTATTTTTTACTGGAATTCTAAAAAATAAACAAAAAATGAAAAAAGACAAACAGGAAAAACCGATAGCAATAAAAAAAAAAAACAAAAACAAAACCCGAAACAAAAAAATAGAACTCTTACATGACGTGTAAGATCAAGACTGTAGTAGAAGACATGAGCCAGATAACGGATTTCAACTCCCCCAGTGAACAAAATACTTAAGTGAACTTGATAATCTCCAAGCCAACACGCACTTCTGAAGAAAAAAAATTAATTCAGAAGAAGTATTGACTCAAAAATTACCAAGTTCATTTGAGCACCTGCGCCCTGTTCCCAGTTCACAAATCATCGACTACAACTTGCCCTTAGTTGAGTTATTCAAATTTTCGTCATTGGTCCAGTCGTGACCAAATGACCCCCTAATCATAACATTCATTACTGCGTAATCTTTTCCTGCAACACCATCAATGGTGTTACCAAGTACAATATCTTCATAACATTTGAAATCAAACTTGTTATAAATTGGAATATTGTTGACACTTGAAGATTCCAAGTAACCAATGTTATTTGGCGATGCATCAATATAGTTATCAAACATATATTGGAACATCTTTCTAGAGTTACCCTTTCCTCTAGCTGCTTTAATAGATCCAAGGTAGACTAAAGTGTACACATTCTTACCGATAAAACGAGTGTCAGTACTTAAAATACGTTCATACGTGTCAGTTAAAAGTGGCATCATTCCCTTGAAGATCTTTTGTCTGGCTCCCTCATCACAAGCAAGCCAAACCTTGTAGAATCCCGACTCCATTAAAGTCGCACATGATTCAATACCGCTATGTTCAGAGTCTGGTAATGCCCAGACTGCAACTGATTCAAAACGGTCTTCAGTTTCACCCATACCTAAACATAAACCTTTATAAATATGTTGAGCAACATAAGCTTCATAAAGTTTAAGTTCGATTTTGTCCCTCCTCCTTTGATCTTCCATATGCGAGGTTAACATATTGGCGAGATCATCACTACGGAATGCTTCAAATAACGTGATGGCAGCCTTTTTACAGTCTGCCATAGTTAAGGTTTTAATATGATCTTTTGGCGAGAAACTTATACTATCAGGTTTCTCGCCTTCATCATTCGTATTTGAGGATTCAGTAATTGGAGGAGCGACTTCTGTTGACATGACTTAATTTCCATAACTTGTCTATCAGTTATTAAGGTACTAGACTGGTTTGATAAAGTACTATAAGAAGTTTAAAGTTAATAAAACTATGGATATAAGAAGGGAAAAAGAAAATCTTCTGTAAAATTTCGGCAGTAAACATGGAGGGAGAGGGGGCTATATATACTTTTTGTGTCTAAGATATTTTTCGGGACTTTGTTTGTGGTGGACTAGGCGGCGTGCCTGACTAGGAAGGAAGTTGACAGATAAGAATTTGTGACACTATAATCATGCGGCACCCGCTTGGATCTTCCTAATTAAGGTTACTACATACAGGACAACAAGTCTGAAAGAACAAAAAAGTATGTGGGACCGCGGAATTAGCATTAGCGGGATACCTGCAACGCTAGAGGGGTATACGAAAAATGTCATTCATCAAAAGCGTTGATTGTGCTCTATTCCGACAGGCAACATGTGGGGGGTAGCCATGAGACATAGTTTATTTAGGGGGACTATGACAACATTCCATATATTTCTATATTTGACTTCTTTGTTGTATCCCTGTTTTGAAGCACAGCTTTGATTTCTTGTATTGTTTTGCTGATATGTTGATCTTTGCATGTCCTGCATACCATTTGCGTAAAACTACTTATCTTGGGCACCTGTTGGGGGTGATATGTTGTGGGCGACGCCTTCCGCATGGGTAAAGTACACAGCCAAATGAGTGATGGAAGATAAGCCCAGGTAGGGAAAAGTATCCAAACTAGTAGACGAGATTCATCACATTTGCCGAGATTTCTCTTATTGGCAGAAATCGAAGATTTTATCTATCTTTCGTTTGACGTGCATAACCGTTGACTTCTGGTCTGATCTCTCTGATAGCCTTTTGGGTGGGGGACTCTGATTAAACTTTTTAAACATAGACTGCATATTGACGTTATGCTTATAGGTGAATGATGGTGAAGCAGCTTCCCCTAGATTACATAATCCTGTTGCATTCGGGTACCAGACGTACACTAGTCCAATCAAAGAGCTCGGCGTAATATATCTCTGTCTCCTGTCTTCATGTGGCTTACTTCTACACGCTAGCTTTATGCTACAACGGATATCTCGCTTTTTTATGTATGTGCTGATATTATTTTCACTTCTTCTTATTGTATATATGACTATTACACTATTTCTTACCCTTCTTCTTCTTCTTGGATGAATTTCCGCTTGAGGAAGGCGTAGGAGTCGAACTATGCTCTACCACACCTTGGTGCCCTCCTGCGTTTTTCTTTTTATCCTTTTTGCTTGGCTTATAGTAGCTACGAAGCTTCATTGGTAACCATCTTTCCTTGTCTAGTCCAGTTGGATCAAACTCGTCCTTGTAAATCTTCTTGGATGAGAACTTGGCCCTCTTCACCTTGGCCACCTTGTCAATGGCAGCCTTTGGTTTAGTCTTAGCTGCAGACGGTCTGCTCGTGGATACATCGTTGGCGGGCTGTCTAATCAAATCTTCAATCTCAACTTTCAATAACTCTTCCACTGTCTTGGTTGCTGACGATGTGAGATTTTTTATCGTATCCAATTCGAAACTGTCATCACCACTGAGAACAGACTTGATAAGCTTATCATTAGAATTTTCATTCAAGAGCTTTTGGAATATTCCCTTCGCACTCTCTTCGTCAATCAGAATTAATTTAAACCCAATAATCTTAGCAAAGTTATAGTAGTTGATATCTTTGAAATCAGAAGAACGGAAATTTTCTGTCAAATATGACAAGAACGATGTCAATTTATTGGAAAGGTTCAAAGTTTCGTAAATCTTGATCAATATACCTGAAAATGCGGGCTTGTATGTCTTGAGTTCGGTGAATTCCCCGCCAATACACAATTTTTCCAAGATAGATATACTATGGTCATATTTATGAGCTTTGTGATTAAGGTGGAAGAGGATGAAGAGTGCTCCGATGGTAGTCCCTACATCGCTAGAAGAAGGAGTCTTCAACTGTTCGGTGACAAACTTGTAGACAACCTTTTCCTTGCTGGATGCATCTTCTTCTAACTCAGACAGGCTGATTCTCAATTTAGTTAACACCTTATAGACGTATGGGGTGTATTCACCTCCATATAACTCAACCCAGTTCTGAAGAAAGGCAGGTTTGAAGTAAGAAGACAGCGTCGACAACGTGCTGGAATTGTAGCTTAATATGAAATGGTTCTTTATGATGGATTGGTACTGTGGCTTGGTCAACTTGTTCTGTAATGTATGTAAGTTTTTCTGGTAGTTCAATTCTCTCTCTAAAAGAATTTCTTGTTCTCCTGTTCCATTAACTGAATAGTAATTGTTGGCAACGATCAATTTGATCATTGGATCGTTAATTGTTTCCAATTTTAACAGAAACAATATATCCTTTGCTACTTCATCGTTGTCTAATATTTGATTCACATAAGCAACGGTTAATCTGATTGGAGTTACTTCAAGCATCAAGTCTTCTGCATCAGAGTCCACGTTTTGCTCCAAGCATTCTGATTCAGCCTTGGACAAAAGGCTCAAAGCGCCTTCAAAGTTGTTTTGTGATAGTTGAATCAAGGATTGGTTGAAGAGCAAGTCATAAGATGAGCTCGACAGAGAAATAGAAGAAGACGACAAGAGATCAGCACTTTGGCTAACTTCATGGCCCATAAAATTACTCTGACTGATGATAGCACTTTCGTTACAGCTCAAGTCCAATGTAGAATCGATTTCTTTATTGCTTCCAATCAATTCTTGATACAACTTCAATGCTGGAACACTAGCTCCCTCCTTGTAGTGGTTCTGTGCTACAATGTGCTTCAAAGCTCTGGCCCCAATACTGTTGGAGTCTAACTGGTCAATCTGTCCTGCGTACAACTCTTCAAGTAGCTTAGTCTTCCCCAACTTGTAGTAAATGTATGCCTTTTCCACTACAAAGCTACTATGAACGTCTTCACCCACCTTCTGGATCAACTGGAAAGCCTTGTGATATTTGTCCAAATTAATAAGGGCCACCAAACAGTTGTGGAATGAGTTTACGTCTTGGAAACCACGAACATTACTCAAGTACTGGTACGACACTTCGTAAACGTTTTCATGCTCTGAAACCGATTCAGCGCGGCCAAGATTCAATCCTTTAAACGCCTGAGAAATCGAACTGGACATTCTTGATACCTTTGTCTAAGCACCTTAGTGTTTTACTTCCTGTGGAGGTTTAGGCTTTTTAACTTGGTAATTTTTCGATTTTCGAGTGGAAGTTTTTTTTTGGACAAAAGTGGTTGCGAGCGCGGGTCCAACACAGAGTAGGAAGAGAACGCTACCACCCAAATAAGAAGAGTGTAGACTTCAGGCTACAGACTCTATTGTTCAACTGGATCCACTATTAATATACAGAGCGGTTAGTTTGTATCTACAAATGAGAGCAAGAGAGGGTCACAATTACTTCAGTTCAGATGTTCCACGAGTCTTCCACCTGATTCAGCGTCAATCTACAGCCGTAATTTACTTTGGTATATATTATAATATACATGCACAATATCTAATTCTCTAAGGGGTATAATGATTTGGGCTTTAGGGCACCAGTGGGTATCAATAGTACGGCTATAATTATATGGGTATAATGATGTGGGTATAATGATGTATGATGGTATCGTAGCTACTACTTTCGGTAGGGTATCAAGAGCTCGTCCTACAACCAGGCAGGATAGAGACCAACCATCTATGTGACTGACAAGACATCATTTGTGACTCTTGAAGTCGATGGTCGCTTGAAAATCAGCTAAACTCACAAACTTCAGCGGTGCGAGGAAAGTTAATTTGTTTTGTTCATCTTTTAATGAGCCGCCTGTTCTCAGGTTGACAAAATTGTAAAGCTGTTCTTCTTGACCAACTTCAACTTACTTTCATTTTTGCCAACTGAGTGACTTCTTTTCCTCGTTTGGATGCGATTGGCTTTACGTTGAAGATGAATTTCCAATTCATCCTCATTTTGCTGTTGCTTCTGTAAGCTTTCCTCTCTCAATTCTTCCTCTTCGTCAAACATAGGAACGTTAGACCTAAATAAGTACTTCTCAGTCAATGTAGTTGACGCAAAGTCCTTCATGACTGCATCTAGTCTGATATACCTCAGGTTTCTTGGAGGGGTTATGAATGAAGGAATCCCAGTATGGAACTTTTGAAGAGATTTCTGCTCGTTGTTGGAATTAGGGGGGATCCATGGCTCGGTCAACTTCATTGGTCTGTGAGCTCCGCTACCAAACCCATTGCCAAAGGCACTGGTTATGTAGCCGGGGAAATCGTGAACGTTCAACTGAGCTAAAGGTGCTCTATTGACAGATAATGAAGATGGAGACCTAATAAGTCCCCTTTTTGAAGGTTGGAGGATATTTTCCTGGTCCGAATGATTTTGCTTGTTGGAAAGTGGGGTGCTCTTTGAGTTAGACTTGTTTTCTTTGTCTAAGGATGGAAAGTCTTCTTCTTCTCGGACCTCGGCTGAATCTTGTGATGATGGCTTGATTGGATCTTCGAAAATCTTGAAAGAAAGCTGGCCTGGCTGCTGTTTCTTTGGAGGTGATGATTTCCTGGAAATGGGTTGCAGGTGCAGCTTTGATGGGGAGACTAACCTTAAGCGATGGTTTGCAATAGGCGACTCAAATGAATTGGCCTTCGTTGGCGAGGGCCGGGTGTTGCTTGGCTTGGGCGACAACACCGATCTGTTGTATCTAGTGGGCGAGGACATGTTGAACAAGAGTAAGGAAGAGTCTACGGTATAGTCGTTGTTGTGTTTTGCTACTGTCCAGTCAAACGCGGCGCAAGTAAAAAAATTAATGTCACGTAAAAGAGAGAAGGTCACGTGGAGAGTGAACGTGATCTATGTCTATGGCTTTGGCTTTGGCTAATGTGCTGTGGGTATGTAGGGGACCTATGTTGTCTTTCAATCTCTCTATTGTCTATACTGACTGATAATAAATAGCTGCTCTTATCTCACGATAAATACACCTCTTTCTTCTTTTTGAAGGTCAGATCCATCCATTTTTCACTTCCTTCATAACCTTTATATATATTTCTCCCGGCCTTTCCTCCTCCCCCCCTAGACACGAATTTTGATGGTCCACACTCGGAATGCTAACGTTCCCTAGAAAAGCAGCGCTAAGGTTCGCGAATTATCCTTTTTTTTTCGAGTCCCAAGGCGCGCCAACCTTTAATGACGTGCATATTTTTTTTTTTTTAGGTCAATGTTTCGAGCTTCTTACGTGAATGCGCGCAAATCGATTCCATTACATCTCACAATGAGGCAGCAACTGGACATGCTATTGTAATAATATGATCAACTTTATTCACTATTGCTTTTGAATGAGGTACCAATGCATCGTCAAAAATTTGGAGGTCAATTATTAACGGTAAAGTTTAAAATTCTAAAACATGTAGATACTTGACGAAAGCACAGATTCTATAATATTCCTACCGTCCATATGATTTATTCCCATTTGGTACTAATGTGTGAATCAAAGATTTTACCCCAAAAAAGAATTTCCGAAGACACGATTTGCATTATATAAGAAGCGAAAGGGACTGATTTCTATTCTGGGTGCAGTGGAATACCAAGACCGAGAGTGAAAAATTATCAACCGGGGGGTAATAGGCTTGAAATTTGAAAATAAAAAAAATAATAATATTTTTAACCCACTAACAGCTTACATACATTGTACAGAGGTACTCCTTCAACAAACAAGAGGCAGATGATAATAGTGGAGACAGCTCGGGTAATAGGGTGGTGCATTGTATAGGAAAACACTGGCCATACTAAATCACCTTTGTTTTCCATTTTTTCATTGTCACTGCTGAGAGATCACAGGAACTGAGGAGATCTCATTGTATGGAACGCGAGTTATCTGTTTATTAATGCGTATTCTATGCTGATTTATAATGAAGCTTTCTACATCATTGTTTATTAAATCATGTTAAGATTTTTCATTCTGTTCCACTTTTTCTTTTTTTTATTTTTAATTTCTTTATTTTACACATTTTATTGCTACTTACTTCTTCAAATGTACTTGGTATGGCTTATCCTCTGAAAAAGTTGTTTGGTACAAAGGGCATCTTTGAAATTACACCAGGTCTCTTTTTTCCTCTGATCTCTATGTCAATTTCAGTACCGCTCTTGTGTGAGCCTCTCTTCACATAACCTTGTGCTACATTTCCACCGAGTGTTGGAGATGGAGAACCAGATGTAATGTAACCGATTTCTGCTCCGCTCTTATCGAAAATCTTAGAAGATGAGTCTCTTGGTGCAGGACCCTTGGAAGTTATACCAACCCTTTGGTGGGATACCAACAGTCTATCAGATAATTGAGACAAAATCTTAGAAGAACCATTAAATGTGGCCAAATCCGGGGTACGTCTAGCCTTAGGAATCAACCAAGCCAAACTTGCTTCAATTGGTGTTATGGATTCATTTAATTCATATCCGTAAAGGCACATTCCTGCTTCTAATCTCAATGAATCTCTGGCCGCAAGACCGATTGGTTTAACAACTTCAGGGTATTCGCTAATTAACAAATTGAAGAAATCTTGTGCCTGTTTAGTCTCCACATCGTTAGAGGAAGCAATTGATAATTCAAACCCATCTTCTCCCGTGTAACCAGATCTAGCAATGTGCACTTCGGAATCTATTATAGAGTTGAACTTATTGAATTTGGTTTGACCGAATGTCAATTTGTTTAAATCAAAGTCAGATACAAATTTTTGCAAGATTTCCTTTGACTTCGGTCCTTGAACAGCAAGCAAAGTACCTTCGAAGGTGTTGTGGTTCAAGTCTCCTTGAAGGGATGAAATTTCTTGCTTTATAAATTTGACATCCTTTTCTCTGCATCCAGCGTTGGTAACCATGTAAAATTGCTCTTCTCCATGCTTGGTAATAATACAATCATCGATTATCCCACCTTCGTTGTTCAACAATACAGTTAAGGATGAAGAGTTTACTGGCAAAGAAGCCAAATCAATTGGCGTAATTTTTTCTAACAAAGCTTTGGCCGATGGTCCAGAAAAGTTATGTTGCAACATGTGAGACACATCAAATAACCCACAGTTAGCTCTGACCCAATTGTGAGATTGGATGTGAGATTGATCTTTATAAAGTACTGGCATTTCGAACCCAGCGTAAGGCACCATTTTACCACCGAGGGCTAAATGACTCTCATAGAGCGGAGTTTTCAATAAAGCTGCACTGGAGGAAGAATTAGAACGCTTTGAGATAAGGCTAATAGATCTAAGCATCACGTAGAGAGTTTTTTTGGGCTAAAGTAAGTACAATCAAGTTGATGAATGGGGTGGTTTTGATTTTCTATTGCTTTTATACCGATGTCACATTTGACTCTGATTGACTCTGAGACGTCAGAGTCAGCGCACTGTGAAAAAAAAAGAATGAAAAAGTTAGAGCTTAAGAAGATCAAGCATTAATAGAGCCGATGATCGAGCTCCAACAGAGTATAGGTTATCTAAGTAGTAAATAGAATAGGTGAAAAGTTATATATGTATTGATTTTCGAACTTTCATTAAATAACATTCTAACAACTTGCAATACCACTGTCGGCAGAGATTTGTCAATCAATTATGTTTTCTTTGTTTTCTAAGCAAATCAGGAACTAAGTAGATACCTTCTGCTTTTACGATGAGCCAAAAGCTGCAAATAACTATAAATTCTAGAACTAAGGCACTGATGCCATACCCAAGATAGTCCCATAGCTTGCTTCTATTTTTGGAGTGATCCAATATCGCCTCAATATGATCTTCGTTACAAGTGCCTTCAGAAGTGCGAGTACGCTTGTTTGGGTGCAAAATTATAAATTTGACTAGTATCCAAGAGCAATACACCCAATAACCTGGGATAACCAATCCCCAGTAAAGTAGAGAAACTATATAGCTATCTTCTGATCGATAGATATGGCAGTATCTGCATTCACATTCGAATTCTCTTATGGAAATCTCTTCTAGGCATAGCTCTTCAGCAGATAAGTAACTCATGGTATGTATAAGAAATATGAAATTTCTTGTCGTAGGCTCTCAGTCTTCGATTTCTTGTTGTTACCACAATTAATTTTGAAATACTAGTGAAAACAGCAATTTAAGTATACCATCAAAGACTTCTTTGCAATATTTTTTAGTTTCAGTGAACCTACCTATTTGAGAATTACAATTACCACCGTCAAATGTGCAACAGAGGAACTGAGATTCCGGCACGCAAGACGGCATTTCTCTTACCTGCTCTATCTACATCCATAAGCCACTTTATTCTGCCTTTCCTAATTGCTCCTGCGAGTATACCGTGATTGAAGTGTCTCACGTAGCATAGTTTGACCTTAACAATTCCATGCTTCATTAGGCGCATCTCAACTTCTAAACGATGCCACTAATCACCAACAACTCACTTTTAAATCAGTATATATATATAAATATATAATTTCGACATTTAAGGTGAAGAATAAATAGTACCATGATAATATGAAACTCTTTTTCCCGTGAATCAACCATAATGAGTACTTAGTTTGCTGACGTGGGGTGTTTGCCAGTACTTACTCTGACTCGCAGCCTTATTGCAACAATTTCACTTCGTATTATGTAAGCGAGATTATTTTGAGCTATCGATTTTTCGCTTACATTGATTGTTGCATTCAAACAGATACCTCCTAAGCTTCTGGATGGTTAATTGCCAAACACTAATGCTAACTACATGTCCAATATAGATTCTATCTGCATAGGACTTCAATCTACAAGAATAAAGGACAGGAATGATTCCTTAATCTTATTGGATGAAGTTCTCTTGTCGCCATCATCATGGTCTTCGGTATCTCCGAAACAATATTCGTATCTCATATCGCTGATCTTCAAACTAATCGAACTAGAGAAGAAGCTATACATAAGATCATCAACTAAAAATTTGGCAATAGAGCAGCGTCTGATAACCGCAGTCAACTTCATAAAAAAGATTATAGAAAATTCGATCAGAATTAAAGAAACTGGCTCTAGTACAGGAAGGAGTAACTTAAAATTTAAGCATTATCAAATTATATTCAATGAGATTAAGAGCCTATTACCAATTGACTCATCCACATTGTTTTGGCCATGTGCATTTGAGCTTATTTATATAATTAACATTTCTCTCAAGCAGAATTTCGTTAGCGAACATCTTGGTAATAATGATTGGATTCAGATGGTTCGGTTCATTGTTCGAACGATAGAGACTATTCAAGATGGGACCGTTGGCGGAGTAGGAGGCGGAAATACTGATGAAAATATAACCCTAGAACTATTCCAGTGCCTTGGTATTCTTCTACTGGCAGATAACTCCACGTCCATACACCCGCTAGTTCTGTCTAATGATAAGGTGTACTTCCTTCTATTACCAGTTATATACAACGCTTCCAAGAGGATGAAGAAAGAAGGAGCTTTGACAGTAACACTACTCAAAATAATAAATAAATTAATAATGGTACTATCAACTGAAGATCTTTATTTTGTCAATAAGTTGATATTAATAGGGATATCGTTATTGGTATCATTTAGTAGCAGCAAACTTTTATCATTACAATTGCAAATGGTCATCTTTCTAAACTTAAATGGTGTACATGACTACATAGATTTATCACACTTACCTAAAATGAACTCAATTGAAGTAGCAGGAGCAGATATTTCGATTAGATCTGATAGTGACAGTGAAACTGACGAGTTTCTCAAGGATTTTGAAATGGAAAATCAAGTGTCTATGGATTTCAAAGTTTTACAGTATAGTATTGGAGTTTTAATTCAGTCATTTTTCCATTCCTTGGGTCAAGCAAGTTTTCAAATACCGAGCAGTGGAATCAGTTTATTCACTCCTTTCGACAAAAGAAAAATTACCTGGTTTAACTTAAGGTCAATCTACTTGAATAATAATACGGAGAATTCAGAGAGATTAGTAGTAGCATGGCTACTTAATTTAGGATTAGCAAAATTGATGGAAACTTTCTTTAAGTTGAAACGAAATGTATCTTCTAGCCATTCATCATCTTATAAAACAACACCAGAGCCTTCCAGACTGAAGCGCCAAAAACTAGATTTGGTACAGCAAGTTCTACAGGATTCGAAGAGCGTTGTAGACTTTGTTTGTAAAATTTTGAATTCAAAGCCGGTCCTTGAAGTCCAAAAGAACTCATTACAAGTTTTAGTCTTTTATATTCAGCAGCAGAACGAGAAAAATCAAAAACATAAACGTTCGAACACAGATCTGGCTCCTACGACTGATAGGAGTGTTCAAAGCTCTTCGTCAACGGCTGAAAAGTTTGCAAGTAGTAGTGCGTTGGATATTGACACAACAATACTAAATATAGCTTTTGAAGTGGAATCTGAAGGCACTGAAATTGCTCACTCCAAGAATTTTGTCATTCGTACTCTCCTCAATTCATATGATGTCAACAACAACTATTGGTTTTTGCTAGCCTATCAATCAACTACTGAGGATAACACCATTCTCAATGGAGGACTTTCTCATAAGTATTATCTACAATTATTCAAGCTGGTTTTACCTTCGATAAATAATTCGTTGAATAACAATGTGTCAGAATTATCATGCAATTTAATTCATATTTTAATAGAAAAACCGGATATAAATCTAAACAACTTGGTCGATTCTACACTAATCGTTCAGTTAGATAATATTCTTGAACTCTCTGAAGTGAAAGGACCTTCCATTATTTCTAAGTTTAGTTTCAAATTCTGGTACTCAATTCATAAAATAATAAAGAAGACCAATTTGCATAAAAAAATTAATATCCAAGTTAGAATTCAAGAGTGGGCATTGTCCAATTGGGACGATATAGTTCACAACCTTAGTGAACTGCAAGAATTTGTAGAATTAATGGAATTTCTTGTCTGGTTATTTGGAGTTGATGTATCAAACTCGAGTTATAAGTGCACCTTTGAAATTCCTACTAATCGATATCAAGGTCCCTTAGTTGAACTATACCAAGGTGTGGATAAGTATTGTATGCTACAGAGTTTTATAGTGGACCATTATAAAAATGACAATTATCGAATGAAAGAGAATATTGCAAATTTTGGTATTGAATCACTTGGCTCAATTTCTGGAGGTAAAACTGAAGAATTGTGCTTGAAGATCTTAACCTACACGAATGAGTATCTACTTGCAGAAAATCCTTCCACCACAATCTCCGCAAAGTTCGTATGGACATTATTTCTATGTCTTTTGGTTCTAGGTACTCAAAACGCTCAAGCACTTCAGCTGTTTGTAAATCCTATTCATCTAAAATGCACTCAATTGATTGACTACTTTGCAGATGCAAATTTCGACGCTTTAGAGGCATTACCTTTACTTCAAATTGTTAACCAAGCTAATAAATCAATAATTAGAGACTTGTTTTGGTTGGTGGTAAAAAAGTACAATAAGGATGCTTTCTCGTTTTCTCCATTTACGATAAAGTCACTAGTAGAGGGAATCAAAAGTGACAAGGTCGTATCAAGGTTTTCTAAAGATGACGGATTTGAAGAGGATTTCGCACTCACAGTTAGTTCCTATTCAACAGACACCATTAAACCGTTGAATGTTGGGTATAACGTTATTTTAACTTTCCTTCTATTCTTGGCAAATGATTTGAAGGTTGCAAAATATGAGTCGATATTCCTCTGCGTTTTAGATATGCTAGATTCGTTGGATGATGATTCTCTCTTGAAGATTGCGGACTCACTTTTAAGTACTAATGAATCTATACTATTTGACGAGGTTAGACCCGAATTATTAAGAAGATTTATGAGGATCCTTGGGGAGGGTCCATTAACGTCTCATGAACTTGAACGAAGCGAACTAACAATAGTTGTGATTTCTAGACTTTTGTCTTCACTAGTCCCTATTTTTGACAAATGCATGGACGAAGAGTTGAATAAAGATTGGTTAGATATGTCCAATTGGCTCCTCTTATGTGGTAAAAAGAGACTTATTCGGACCGAATGGACGCTTATAGAACAGTCAAGATTTTTGATTTCTACCATCCATATACTGAAGGATAATGAAGATTTGTTTTTTGAAAATTTCCACTTTTCAACCAATAATATGAAGATTTCCTTGGTGCAACAATTGGAATGCATCTTCAATGGAGAGAAATCTCGCTTTACATCCCAGAGGCAAATGGAGCTTTATAAAAAGTTATTTAGCAATTTCGAAGCACCTCAGCAATCCATAACTGCTGCTGCCACATTTTGCTTATTCTTCGCTTCCGTATGTAGAGGCCAAGGTAGTATCTCTTTGCTGATATTTGTTGCAGCAGTCTTCAATCTTGTAGAATACGCAAGATTTTCATTTTTTGTCCCATATATCAAATACTCAATTAGAGCGATTCTATGTTCATGTTTTGATAATTTTACTCCAAAAGATCTATTTGAATTGATTAGAATTGATTTGCTTAGGAATTGGTGGTCTTACAATAAAGGTATCGAAAATTTTCCCTTTGAATTGTTCGACTTCCATGATTTTCAAGCATTAGTGGAGTTGAACTTCAAAGAAGTAACAGGTTTTTGTATTGCACTTGAGGGAGAGAGAAGCTTTAGTGAAAGCAACTTGGCAAAGATTGCCAAATTTCGAACGACTGACATTCAAAGTATTACAATAGATAGTTTTCCTTTAATTATTTCCTTAGCTTATACGGAATCTGGAATTAAAAATGAAGTGCATGGTGTTCTAAAGAAGCTTCTAGGGAAGTTATATTCAGAACAATTTAGATCAAGACTACCAATTATCGTTCTTGAAATTTTGTCCTTCTTGGAAATAGCCAACGAGAATTCGTTGGTAAGTATGTACCCAGAATCGACCATAATAGAGAATTTGATTTCAGTTGGGGAAAGTGTTATGTTTGAACCTATTGGAACACTAATTTCTTTTAGAACTGGAAATGAAATGCTCAAGTCTTTAATTGGAAAATATCTGAACAACGAAGAAGCATTCTGGCAAGACGAAAGGGTGGTGTATTTCTTTATTAGAAGACTATCCTTAAAATTAACTCATTCCAAAACAATTAAAACTAAGCATTTCTACCTCAGAAGGATCAAATTTGTCGTCATTAAGAGCCATTCACAACAAAAGAGAATAAAATCAACTTCATTGACTGGATTATTGTTTGAAACACTATGTCCCTTAATTAATGATTCACAAATTGGAAACGAGGTATGTCGTATTCTTTCTCTTTGTGAAATTGATCATTCAGCTTCATCTATTCCTCTTTTGGTGACGGTTTTAAATCAATTGATCAGAAGAACAGCTATTGATAAAAACAACAAGATTTTGAGGATGCTACAATGGCACATTGAAACATCGGAAGAATCAAAAAGGAGGGTTGTCCTTTTAGCAGTAATAAGAAAACTTCAAGATGTACCCTTTGTATGCTCTAGAAATGAGATAGAAGGTTTCATGAATTCGAGACTCGAATTTGAGAGCTGTAGAATCAATGGAAGTCTCAGAGAGATCACATTTTTGATATCGTACATTTTTCCGAACTCTAATCAAGCAATTGATAAAGCTGAAGATGTTGTCGTCTCCTATATTTCAGAAATAAGAGGAGACTCGTTTTATAATTTACTGACATCATCTTTTATTGAATGGTGCGGTAGATACATTGCAGAGTTTTACCTCTCTGGAAATGCAGAAGTTAAGTACCTCTCTGAAATCTCCAATGATGAACCAGTCATATATACCAAAAAATTCGACAATTTACTTAAACTAGCATTGAAATTATCCACTAATAATGACATCAAAGCTAACGTGGAAGCTCTAATTGGTGTTTTGCTATGGAAATATGATGTAAGTAAATCAGAAGTAATGAAGTATGTTGATTTAACTGAAATCATTTCAAAATACCTGGATTATCTAATTCCTATTGATTTTCACTCATGTATAGCATTGAATTCAAGAGAAGATGAGATGATAATTCCAATTGTCTCTTTGAAACATATAACTAAATTAAATCTGGGGAAAACTTCATTTGAAGATTGGACTATGCAAGCATTTTTAGTCTTCATTACTGAAATTGCAAGATTTACTAGTATTGCTCCATTATTTTCCAATTTGGTGGTGAAAGTACCTTCATTTGCAAGTGGGGCCATGCCTGATCTCATCTGCATATATCTTGGTCTCAAAGGAGATGAAGGATCGGCTGATGTTGTAGAAATTTTATGCTTTTTATTGAGTACAATAAAGGAAAGAAATCCTGGCTCGACTGAAGAAATTAAATTCTCAAACTTACTAATAAGGATAGTTTTAGCAATTAGGCTTGTCAGTAAGCAAGATGAACTTAGCTTTGAGAGAGTTTATTCAAAATTGGATTTTATCGATCTATTCAAAATTGCAGCTCTTCAGGATGCCTCGACATCTCTAATGCTTTTAGAAGACAAATTGAGCACAGGTGAATCAGAGATTGATAAAAGCATAGAAACGAGAAGACAAGACTTATTGAATTCTGAAACAAAGACCTTGCAAACAATTTATGAATCAATTGGAGATGAGGATATGATAAATGGATTACCAATCGAGCCATCTTTGCAATTCGCAATTAACATGTTAAACAAAGATAGCTCTAATATAGATCAAGTGAAATTTAGTAGTAGTTCTTACGATGCAGAATTAACTTTGTCTAACACTGAAGATCAAAACAACACAAATATCATTCATTCAATGATGAAGAACGGATTTATGGGAATCTCTAAGTTAGTAAGCTGGGGTAATAGCAATTTTGAGAATACAGAAGACGAATCTTCATACGAGTGGGCTTGGAAGTTGAACTGTTGGGATACTCCCGTACCTTCCAGTCCTTTTACGGAAAATAAAATAATCTACAAGACGTTAAAACAAATCCAAGACTACCCAGATAAATTTGAATCGATTTGCAACAATTCTATTACGGAGGCTTTTGAAAATAGAAAGTGCTTGCCGGATAAGATAGACTGGATGAAATCTTTGGCTTCAATTGTAAGTATTAGTGATTTAGCTAACTGCTGGCATTCTGGACCAAATTTAGTTGACAATTTAAGATCTTTCGATTTGAAGACAGCATGGTTTGAAGAGATGAATGATCTTGAAGCAATCGAGAATATATTGCTCTCCAGAAGAGCGTTGTTACAAATTTTAAGCTCCTCTTCCATTTCCAGTGAGAAAGAGGAACAGTCTTGGCTATGCTCTATGAGTGAATTGATAAGATACAACAATGTAACAAGGCATTCTGACAAATTTTTGCAAAAGTCGCTTAATTCGACCATGTTGCTAAATGAAATATCAGAAATGAAGTTTAGAAATTCAGACCCAGTTCTCCAAGAATTTGTAAAGCAAGTAGTGAAGTTTCAATCTGCTTGTACACTTTGGTCTCAGGGAGAAACTACGATCCCCGTCACCATTTTAAGGGATATCAACAATTATACCCACGCTAGCTTGGAGATAAAATTTGATCTTCCTGATAAGTTACGAGTTCTCACTGGAGTAGTTAATTCTTTGCTCGTGGAGTGGATCTCTGCATCTAGACAGGAATTGCCTTCTACCATAATGAGTCAATATATAAACCCAACTTTGGAGAAGTTGATCCCTGGAGATAAAAATAGCAAAATATATGAAAGATTTGCTCGCTTCTGTGAAAAACAGTTAAAAGCTCGATCACTTCAAGATAAATTGAAAAAGATTAGCAACCTGATTGAAAGTAGAAAGAAAGAAAAAGAAGAATTGAAAACTCACTACAACAAAAAGGTTGTAAATCATGCGGAAAGAGCGTCCATTCAAAGGTACTATAGTAAATTGAAGGCCCTGTATGAACAAGATGTTCAGGAATTTGAAGCCCTTGAAACTACCAAGGATGAACTTTCAGACAAAGCTGTTCAGTTTTACTTGCAGAGTATTGATTCACACTCTGAAAGCGTCGGACGAGTTCACAATTCTACGTCTATCGATGAAAATGTAGATAAGTTCTTTGCGCTCTGGTTGGAGTTTTCTAGTAAGGAAGATCTAAATATCACGATAAGAGATGAGTTATTAAGATTACCGACCCATAAGCTCGTTAGCTGGTGTCCACAACTTATATCAAGAATTTCTAATGATTCTACGGAATTTCAAAAGTCACTTCAATTATTAATTCTAAAGATTTGTCGTGCCCACCCTTACCACTCACTTTACAATTTAATATCTTTGACCCGACACGATTCTTCTGCTAAATTCAACCCAACTTCAACAATTGCTGCAAAGAGTATTTGGGATAAATTGAAGAATGAACCAGAGAATAACCCTATATTGCATGATATAGAATCATTTTGTGATCATGCAATAAAACTTGCAGAAGTTAAGGCATCAAAAGGTAGAAGCTTTCAATTAGATAAGGCTAGAGGCGATCTGGATTTCTCATGGTGGCTAACTGAATTGCCTCCAATACCACCTCCCACTCTTGAAATACCAGTTGATTTGAGCTTGAAATACAAAAATATCCCTACTTTAAACAAAATCGACTCCAAAATTGAAATTGCAACATCAGGCTTAAGTCTACCAAAAATAGCAAAATTCATATTATCTGATGGTTCGAAACACAAAATGCTATTGAAACATGGAACTGATGATTTAAGGCAAGACTCTATTATGGAACAAGTCTTTGAAAAGGTGAACCAGATGTTTTGGAATGATAAAGAGACAAGAAAGAGAAATCTAAGAGTTAGAACTTACAAGGCTGTGCCATTGGGCCCACAAAATGGAGTTATAGAATTTGTACCAAATTCTATGGCTTTGATAGATGTAATACGCCCTTATCATCAAACACGAGACAAGTTGAAGGTTGAACTTGCCAGAGAGAAGATGAAAAAATGCCAAGCTGAGTCGAAAATAAAAAGAGTTGCTGTGTATGAAGAAATTACTATAGAGAAGATACAACCAGTCTTAAGGTTCTTCTTTCTTGATAACTTTACGACCCCTGAAAAATGGTTTAAAAGTCGGATTTTATATACGCATGGAATTGCATCCACAAGTATCGTAGGGTACATGTTGGGTTTAGGAGATAGACATTGCAATAATATTTTGCTTGATAAAGAAACCGGTGAACCTATCCATATTGATTTAGGTGTCGCATTCGATCAAGGAAAAAGGTTACCAATACCTGAGACTGTTCCCTTTAGACTTACAAGAGATATAATAGACGGATTTGGAATTACTGGAGTAGAAGGGACATTCAGAAAATCATGTGAACATAGCTTTAGGGTATTAAGAAACAACAAGGATCATGTTTTAGCTATCTTAGATGTATTACGTTGGGATCCATTATACTCGTGGTCATTGTCACCTCTTAGAAAACACAAATTACAAGATGACGACAATGCAGATCAGGGCTATGGAATATTACCCCCAGCCCAATCACACGAAGATGGTTCAGAAGCAGGAAGAGCAATCAATAGAGTAGCTGACAAACTCATTGGAGAAGGATTAAGTATTGAAGCTACTGTTCGAGAATTAATCCAAGAATCTACCAGTATTGAAAATCTAGCAATGATTTATTGCGGTTGGTGTCCATTTTTCTAAATATTACCACTATCTTCAACTTCCATCCAAATAGTATCTAAAGTTTACGTTATCAGTCTTTTTTATACTTTTTGAGATGAGTATTCTGCTCTCACAAGGAAACAAATCTATTCCATTATCTTCAAGAGACATCTCTGTATTTTCAGGTATTATTTCGATACATTTCACAGGTGAAGTGGTGGATAATCTGATATACCCATCTTGGACTTCTACTGTAATGCTTATATTTGGGAAGTTCAAGTATTTTAAAGGTTGGGGCCAGTCGCTGGTAGAACTTATAGAGAGTTCGTCTTCATCTATTAGCTTGCAAAAAACAACAATATCCAATGAGGAAGGTAGACTGAGATCGGAGCATATCTCACTAGTTCTGTTTTTTAATAAATTAACATTTGGTATTATTTTTTTGCTTTGCAATAATCCTGTAGATACTTTGTAAAAATAAACTTCAAGGGTTCCTTGTATGGGAGAATTTGACATATTGACTCCCCAAATATCTATATAGGTTCCATCTATTCGTTGAATCCCTAAAGTTATCTTCCGCGATTCTCTCTTAACTGAATAGTATGCTAATTTGGGTTTCCTATTAAAGTCCACAATTGACCAACTAGTCCCTGGCCAACAATCATTGAGCTGCCAAAGGATGGAACCTCCAATATATTTTCTGCTGGAATCATCTTGACTACCCTTCCAATTTCTTCTCCAACTTCGAAGTGCATAAGCTAAGCAATCAGATTGCATTAACTGAGTTGCGTAGATCCAGCTTTCTAAATCCATGTTTTTAATTCTAATATTTTCTATTACGTATGTAGCTAATCTTCTTTCAAACCCAAGGGCCTTGTTATGAAAATCAAGAAGCTTACTCTGAGGGTACAATTGGGACGAGTCTGTAATGCATTTCCTAATAGTCCGTACATCAGGGAACGCTTCCATTCCAAATTCTGATATAAATCTCCCACCTAACTTATACCAATCTTGATACCTTTCTTGGGTACCATGCCATACGTCCCACTGGTGAATATCGCCCACGGAATTGTCTCTGGTTGTTTTACCTCCCCAAGGCGATCCCGCTCGATATGCCACATGATCAACTAGTTCATTAAGAAACTGAGGAATAATCACTTCATATATTGTCCTTGCAGGGAAATTTGTACCCAAGTAATCTCCTGAAAAATCGTTCTTGTCCCACTGCAACTTATAAACTTCTGCAATTTGATAATCTTCATTATTCCCTGCAAATAAAACTATTGAACAGTGACTCCTTAGTCTAGTTATTTGATATTTGATCTCACGTTTGACACTGTTAAGAAACCTGGGCACATTTGCTGGATACTGTCCACAGGCAAACATGAAATCTTGCCAAACCAATATACCTAGTCTATCACATTCATCATAAAAGTGATCAGATTCATAGCACCCTCCACCCCACACACGGAGCATATTTTGATTGCATGATATCGCCAATTCTAGCCAACGTGAATAATCTTCGTTTGTCAATAACGTAAGATATGAGTGAGCTGGAATCCAATTTACCCCGTTAATGTAAATTGGTATATTATTTACTTCAAAGTAGAAGCTAGTTCCAGCCTGATTTACTATTGGCTCTTCAACTAATCTTAGCTTTCTTATCCCAAATTTCTTCTTCAATAGTTGATGTGATGTACTACCTTGAACAGTGAACTTGAGCTCTACAGTATACAAACTTTGGTTACCATATCCATGAGGGAACCATAGCTCAGGCTCAATGATTTTGAAATGCATGCATTTGTCAAGAAGAGCATAAGACTTCTTCTGGCTGCATAAGACCTCATCTATAGGTGAAATTAATTTGCATTCTATCTCAAAGTTGATTGCTTCATCTAGTTCGAAACACACTTGTACATCAGCAAAAGTTAAACTAGGATGTAAAGTGTATTTAACATACACATCATCCATCTCAACCATGGTAGTTGGTACCAATACTACAGGTTTATATGGTCCGCAACTGATTAATCTGGGTCCCCAGTCCCATCCAAAGTGATACTGAGCCTTTCTAACATAAAGCCTGGAAGAATCACCATTCCAACACAAGAGTTCACCATGCTGCCTTTCCAAGCTCTTGGAAACATTTAAAGCGCTTTCAAACAAAATCCTTAGCTCGTTATCGCCCAAAATTGGATCTATGTCCACTGCATATTTCAAGAACATGTTGTCTGTTGTTAAAATAGGTCTTTCGTTGAGGAAGATAGTAGCATATGTATCTAAACCTTCAAAAACTAGTTTGTAAGATGAAAGTCTTTCCCCTTGCCTAACGACTTTAAACTGGGTTTTATACTCCCAATCTTTTTCTGCAACCCATTGCACTTTCAATTCATTAGCATCTACGAAGGGGTCTTCGATTTGACCATTAGATAAGAGATCTGGAAAAATCTCCGAGCATGGTCCTTTTCGTGAAGGAAACCACTCGCTAGTCCCAGCTTCCCTATAGGACCAGTCTGAAAGTGTAATTGACATTTAAGCCAAAAGTAGCCAAGGATGAAAGCCGTTAGCTTGAAGTAATACGTAGAATACATTTTGTGGGGAAAGACAAGAGATAAGCCCAGTATACAGTATCATAGTAGTTTTTTCCAGCTATCGCATATTGCTGCAACGTTAATATATATAACATGGCTATACAAGGGGAATATATGGAATTCAAGTGCACATCTATAATAAAACGAAATTGTGCATATTCACTAATCTAAATGGAATAGCTTTTTCTTCATTTTTTCCAAGTCACCCTGGCAATCCGCTAACTGGTTCCAATAAGTTAAGCTAGGAGCCATAGTCTTAGGATCCTCTTCTGGATATTTTTCTCTAATCAGCTTCATAAGCTCTTCAAACAATAACTTGTACGCATTTGGTGTAAAATGAATCCCATCCCATAACAAGTCTTTCACTGAAAGTCCAGAATTTTGGAAAGAAGTGAATAAATCTACAAACCCAACATCATTATCATTTGCTACCTTCTTAGCAGCAGCAGCATATTTTTGATTTGTTCCTACAGAGCCAATTGGTTCTTTTTCGCCTGAGGCTTCCAAAAAGAGTGTAGGGTCATGAAGAGCAGGGCTAATTACAACTACTTTAATATTATCCTTCAATGCTAACTTGACCAAATAATCAATATTTTCCAGATACCTTTCCAAAGGTACTCCTTGGAAGGTGCTAAAGGCATCATTTGTACCGAAGAAAATTGTCATGATCTGAAATTTATCGTCCTTGAGAATTTCTGGCAATATTAAGGTTGCGTGATCAGAATTGTACCCACCGAAGCCTCTACATATGATATCATAACGACGAGCATAAACTATGGTGTTAGTTCTTTCATCCTCTTATTTACATGATTTTGATCCTATTTTTACATACCTTCCGAAATCTTTTGGCCAAAACCACCATCAGTGTACGACCATTCAGTGATTGAATCACCAAATAATAAAAACTTAGGATATTTAACTGACATTGCTGGCAAGAAAAGAGAGTTGTTTGATATCTTAAAAGTGGTTGGCTCTTTTGAGTCGCGAATTTGAAAGAATCGGTGCATCGCAATAGCACAATGAAAATATGGGGAAGTACTTACTCTATAAGCAGTATAGTCGTAAAAGACTACTATTTTCCTGTACGAAGTCAATTGAACGATCGGTATATTCGTTAGGTCGGATTCAGACTCATATCACGAAGATTAGTAGTGAATAGTAAGGTTGGAACTAGCCATATTCCAGTTGAAGCCAATAGTTTATGATAACTTTTACACCTCTCTTGAAATTCTAAACTTTATCTGTCAAAATTTTGACGGTATCTAGCTGCCTTTGTTATTTTCTTCCACCTCCACACTTTTTTTTTAGTTGTAGCACTAAAGGTTGTGCATTCCAGTAATGAATGCTCTTCAAGGAAAGATTATCAATGCTCCATTGGTAATAGAAGATGAAAATTCTCATGCTTTAATCAAGAATGCAACGATATATATATATTCCACATTTGAATCTGATACTCTTTCCATAACTTCTCTAATCCCTGAAGGTACATTTCAATTGAAGCTAAATTCGAAGGATTCGATAATAAAACATAGAAAGGTTAAGGATTCATTTACAGATGAGCAATGGCTCAGCACAGTGAAAGAGTTATTCAGTGGTACTTACGACAATAACGATTTAGAATTGACTGGTAAGTATTTAACCAGTAGTGATAATTATGTAGATGGCGAGCTTGTAGAGGATGGCGATGAAGAGAATGAAGACTTCGAAAGAAATAGACATAAATATCTCTCCATTGACATAAAGACTTCCAATAAAAAGTTAACAATTACTGTGGGAACTTTCCAAGTTCCTCTCATGAAAGTTATAGGTGGAGAAGATGAAACGAATCTATTGAACTGGTTGGACTTATTGATTAGCGGTCATAGAGGGAATATAAGAATAATCAAGGATTTGACGAAAGAAAATACGAAATTGCTCAATGAAAGGGATTACTATAAGAAAGAGGTGATTAAAAGTGCAACAGAGCACTTAGAAATAATGAATGACATAGAAAGCAAGTTTTATAGAGTTTTGAATGCAAAGAAAGATAAAATATGGGAGCTTGAACAGAAAATGAAAGGGAATGATGCCAATTTTGCCTTAGTTGGATTGAATGAAAAGTATATAGAAGAAAACAAGTTTAATTTGAATACAGATATCGATATTAAGGAAATTCCTAGCAAATTGAGGGATGAGTTAATTAAAAAGAGGAAAGTACGAAAGGTAGCAGATGGAAAGAAGGGAGGTGGTGCTAGGAAGAGAAAAAAGACAGCAGGCTCAGTTTTAAAGGAAGAGGAAGAGGGTGAGAATGATGAGGAAGCAGAAGATGAGCCTGAAGAAAGTGAATACGAATATGAGAATGAGAATTTAGAGCAAGTCATAGAACCAGAGATTAAAGTTGAAGAAGTTGATACAGATGAAGAAGATGAAAGAATTTTAGAAGATGAGGACCAAGATAAGGAAATGAAATTGCTGCCAAAAGACGCAGACAAGTCAGATTCTATAGAAATTAAAGAGGAAGATGAACCTCTTAGCGTCAATGAACTAGAGAGAATCCAAAAAGAAAAGCAGAAGAATAAGTTCAAGCTTCGAAGATTCACCAACAAGTATGAGCGCCAAGCAAAGGAGAGGAAAATAGCAGACGAAGAAGAAAGAGCTCAAGAGCAAGTGGAAGAAGAAGATGAAGAAGAAGAACATAGCAATGATGATGATGATGGTGAGAGAGTGGGACCAGAACAGTACGGATCTATTCATAGATCTACAAAAACCCTTTCTGATCGGGACATAGTTGAGGACTCTGTTTCCATATCCCCGCCAAATCAGGACAAAACAGATATTGATACCGATGTTGAGAATAGTAACGACAGCGGCAACGTAGATATATCGGACTTTGACTTAGATGGCTTTGAGGGCCACAAGGACAAAGATAATGCAAACGAGGAATCAACGACCCAGTCGGCCATTTCGGATAGTTTGAAGTCGTAGTTGGTGCTACATTGGTAAAACATCCTTCAACCTGTTCTAATGGGAACCAGATCCATCCAGTGGGACCGCGACACTGCACCCAAAAAATGGGACCGCAGAAAAATTTAAATCTTGCTTATGTAATGAGATCGACACAGACAAAGAAATAAAGAAAAAATTTGAGAACTAAATCGTTAGGTGAAAAAAAAAAGGTCATCGTACAAACTAGTTTTCTTTTAGGCATCTCTCTATTTATCTCAGTGATCTGACGCCTGCAAGTTTTACCTTAGGATTCTAATTCTTATGCAAAATCGAACATCATCTTAAAGAAAGTCAAGTCTTAAGTTAAATAGAAAAGAAAGCAAGAGAGAAAATACATCCATACATTTGGAGGAGGCGAACCGAAACCAGATCAACATCGATATAACAAGCCAAAATCTCATACTTTAGCATTTCATACATTTAATTTTTCCTTCCCCAGAAGCAGGAAGTTTGATTATCATATTTTACTATTAGCATATTATTAATTTCATCATTTTTCCTTTCTAGTTCATTTCGATTTTATATACTGTATTATAAATTTTTAAAAAATGTCTTATTATGATCCATACCAAGGGATACCACAGCAGTATATCAACCAGAGCTACTACCAGCCATATTATGAAGAAGAGCGTTCGATCAATCAGCAGAACCTCCAGCAACTGCAGCAACATATCCTGCAACAGCATCTTCAACAGCAACAGCAGCAACAACAGCAGCAGCAACAACTTCAACACCAACATGGGTATGAGCAATATGGCCAATATCAAAGTGAATATGGGTTAGAGAATGATTACCTTAATCAAGATCAAGGACTTCAGCTTCAACATGGCATCTATGAGCAGCATGTTCCTCTGCTTATGGATCAAAACCTTAGAGATCCTCTTCAACTGCAGGACCATTTGCAACACTTGCTTCATCAGCAACAACAGCAACAGCAGCAACAGCAGCAGCAACAACAACAGCAACAGCAACAGCAACGCCAATACCAACAGCAACACCTTCACCAACAGCAACACCTTCAACAGGAGGATATCTACCAACACCAGCAATCCAATATCCCTCAAGCTCAATTCCAAGGTCAGCAGTTGCACCAGGGTCAATCTCAAGGCCAATCCCAGGGCCAGCATTCCAATGGCCAGGATGACTTCAATGTTGGATCTGGAGGCGGAGCACCTTCTAGGACTGTTTACCTTGGAAACATCCCCTCTGATATCCAGCCCAATGAACTTCTTGACTTCGTGCGTTCCGGTATTTTAGAATCAGTCAAGATTCTTCCAGCGAAAAACTGTGCGTTTATTTCCTTCATTGACCATCAATCTGCTTTACTCTTCCATTCTGACTGTATTCTTAAAAAGCTCAACATTAAGGGGAACGATATTAGAATTGGATGGGGGAAAAACAACGCCATTTTGCCAGCGGTTATGGAACTGATTCAAAGAGACGGTGCCACGAGAAATGTCTACTTGGGTAACTTAAATAACCCGGTCACTGGAGAAGTTATCACTGAGGATGAGCTAAGAGACGATTTATCATATTATGGTGTTATTGATTGTATTAAGATTGTCCCAGAAAAGGGTATCGCTTTCATACATTTCTTATCAATCTTGAGTGCAATTCGTTGTGTCGCCAACTTACCCATGAAGGAGAAATATTTGGATAAGAAATGTTTCTACGGAAAGGATAGATGTGCATTTATTACCAAAACCCAGCAACATAACGCTGCACAATACTTGGGATTAGCTCCTGGTATGGAAAACATTGTTACTGCAGCAGATCGTGAGTTCATCTCATCTGCATTAGTCCAGCAATCAGCTGCTGCTGCCCAAATTGCAACTCAAGCAGGAGGTGCAAACAATTTAGGAAATAGGACTGTCTATTTGGGAAACTTGCACCAAGACTCTACAGTGGAAGAAATTTGTAATGTGGTTAGAGGTGGATTATTGCAAAGCATTAGATTCTTGAAGGAACGTCATGTATGCTTTATTACTTTCATCGATCCAATAGCTGCCGCTCAATTTTTTGCCATGTGTCAACTACATGGGTTAACCATCCATAATAGAAGAATCAAGGTTGGATGGGGAAAGCATTCCGGCCCACTTTCCAATGCTCTTTCGTTGGCTGTTTCCAATGGTGCCTCTAGAAACATATATGTAGGAAATATTGTTGATTTTGAATACTTCAATCCAATGAAGTTGAGAGATGATTTCTCTAAGTTTGGTGACATTGAACAGATCAATTATTTACAAGAGAAGAACTGCGCCTTCATTAACTTCGTTAATATCGCCAATGCCATCAAGGCAATCGATGGAATCAAGTCTTTTGAAGATTATAAGAACCTTAAGATTAATTTTGGTAAAGATAGATGTGGAAACCTTCCAAGACAGTTCCAACAAGGTGGTAATAACAATAAGAACAACGGTAACCAAAATCACCTGCAAAACGATGGCAATCATGTCCTGACTTTCCCACCACAACGGCAACAATCTTTCTACGTATATGATGATGATGATCTGTTGGAAGGTAGCCAGCTGTGAATGGACCAAGAAAACTCAATGGAATATTATTAAACTAAGAAAATGAACCTATTATCTTGTGTATAATCAAGTAACAAGAAAAGAAAAACGAAAAACCAAAGATAACCTCTCAACTCAGAGGTATATACATGCCGAAAAGACTCCAGAAATGCAGACAATGAACTTTATGCTTCCCACATTTCCACCAGTTGCATTTTAAAAAAGTTATTCATACAATAACCAAAAAATAACGTGAAAAAGAAGAATTTGATGAGTCGTCGTGGTCGTTCTTGTCGTCGTCGTCTCTCTTCCTTTCTACACTGATTTCCTTCTCTGTTTATATTATTAGCTAAATATTTTTAACAAGATATATATTTTAATCCTTATTTGTATACATGGTTTCTCGTTCGTTTGGATATTGGCTTTCATTTAGAACTTTGGGAATATTTTAATTAAAGCAACCATCAAGAAGAATATCACAAACACTCCAGCTAGCACCTTAATAAGAAACCAGAACGAAATCTTCCCACCGGTTTTGTTCAATACATAGTTATTTAAGTTCTTATCTATCAATCCCATAAGATCAGAGTTCTTCAATAAGTTCTCATTTGTCTTCTCTACTATCGCGGCATCTTCTACGATCTTCGAAGAGAGCCTCAAGGCAGAGTCCTTCAAGCTGGTTGCAAACCCAGTGAGTTCCAGAAGGATGTCTTCTTGTATCGAGTCATGATAGTCATTGGTCTTGTCAAGCATGGAGTGGGGATTAGAGGTGAGGAGCCGTTTACGCAAGGAAGACAAATTCTCTTGATCTGCCTCTGAATCATCTGCTATTTCATTTAGGTCATCTTCCACCTCATCAGCTGTCACGGCAGCATTGTGTGTTTGCACCTTCGGGCTGTAAGATTCAATCCATATCTGCATTATTTGGTTGTTCACGAATGTCTTCTCATCCAATATACTTTGCAAGGGCGCTATTTCCTGTCTACATTTCTCTTGGTCATTCTTATATGCTAGTCTTAAATTTTTCAATTCATCGTTGATTTTGGAAAGCTTCAACTTCGTTATTAAAGGTGATTTTGAAGGGATAGTATAAGTGGAGTTTGGGGAGAAATATGAAGGAATGTCGAGATCATTCAATTCTTGTTTGCATTTGGACAATATCCTGCTTGTATCAGACATTGTTGTGTGCAACTCCGAGAGTAATAGCATAGAAGCAATACGAAAATAGGCTAAATTTCCTTGACTTGATCTAAGAAAAAGTAAGGGCGCTAAGCTAAATGGCGATAGGGTGATCAAGAGTTCGAACTGCGTACGCGCCAGTCCAGTAGGTGAACGATAGTGAAGGTTAACATAGAGGGAAAAAGAAAAGATGGAGGGGATAGATGCGAATATGCGAAGAGATGCCAGACCTTGGAAGTAGTGCTAAGATGGGCAGCTACCGCGAGCATAAGGGCCGGGAACAAGCAGCGAAACGCATACGTGAGTGCATTTCGTGCAGCCTCTGGCTAGAATTCCTAATGCTAATCCAAAGTTACATGTGGTAGGTCAGTGGGCTTAATTTGCACTCTCTTTAGCCTTGCTCCACGAGAAAACGCCAAACGCCAAACGCCAAACGCCAACACGAAAGACAAGGCTCAGTTGTAGGGCCAATAGCACTAAATTTTCAAAAGAGGTAAGGAAGTGCTACACACACAACTAGGCGAAGAGTTCGAAAAATCGAAGGCTAGTAAAAAGTTAAAAAAAAGTCCAGAGGTTTACTGATGTACGCCTAACTACTATCAAACAACGATCTATGGAAACTGATCGTGGTTAGCGAAAAAGGCAAAATCTTTTCTGGAACCCCTATGCTAAACCAGCTTCAAATCAAATCCACTGGCGGTTAATTAGGATAGTTGTCCCTACTAGGAAAAGAAGAAAGCAAGATGACACTAGTAAGATCTTTAGCTTTTTTTTTCATTGGTACGGTATGGTTTGGTGGTGGGATCAAGGGTATCCGGGTAACCGCATTGGGAAATTCCTGCACATACATGGCCCCAAGTTAGGTTATGGTCACCTGAATCAAGAGCAACCTCATCCTAAAAGGCTGCATATGTAAAGGAAAAGAATTCTCCATTGCACAATTTAGGGTAAGGTTATGAGTACAAGAAGGTTGAATATTCATGGAAGGAAGTACAAAACCGTGGAATAAAGAACTATTGGTTTTGATATTGGAGAATAACATGCAAGAAAAAAAAAAAAAGAAACATCACAGTCTGATTCGTTTCTACGTTCGATTCTCTAGTGGTTTGTGTATCTCCTGAGTATAAGCCCATACTTCATCAAAACCTAGACCACATTCATTTCATACACTTCCGAATGTGGCATGGCTGCGATGTATCATCTGGACCCTCCGGCTTCTTCGCTTCTTCGTTACTTGTTTACTTTGCTTCGGGGTATTGCCCAAGGCAGGCGCGTGGAGGAGAAAGCTCCACTAAAAAGCTACCTCACCGTGTTGACCTTACGTTTCTTTTTCTAGTTATTTTTAATTTTTGGTATTTATTTTTAAATTGTTTTTTTTTTTTTTTTTTTTTGCTTTTACTTTCTATTTTCATAATTTAAAGATCCAAAGGCCGAGAGAATTTTTTTTTCACTTCGCTTCTCCTCTCCTGAGTGTCAGCAGGAAATATACTATTTCTTTGTTTCTTTCTTTTTTCACTTCGTTTGTTTTCTGTTCTCTAGCTGTTACTTTTCGTTGTCCACATTTCTGGTTCCCTATAATTCACATTCGCTTGCATCCTCTGTATACACACGGTGGACCTTGCATAACGAACGCATCAATTGACGCATCTTCAATTTTTTTCCCTCATACACGAACAAAGAAGGGAGTGCCAGAAAATAAATTTCGATAACAACAACAATAATTGATTTCAGGGTGCACCCTTTTCTGAAACTGAACACACAATAGCTTTCACTCATTCCAACAAGCGAGGGTTTCAGATTCCCAGGCTGCTGCTAGTAATACTCACTTACACGCATACATTCACTTTAACTTCCCAAGTTTACTTGTGTCTTTCGCTCAATATACCCCCAACTCAGCCTCTCCTTAGCTTTAGTGGATTTATTTTTTTACTGTTATTGTTTTTGGTGATTGGCAATTTTTTCAGATCAGATTTTTCTTTATTTTTTGGGTATTCCTTAAGAAAATACATCCAAAATCAAAACATCAGGGACTCTTAGTATAAGTCAATCCTTTTTACAACAACTCAATTGAGACTCATACCTTTTCAAAAGATGATCTTTCAAATAGTAGCGTTGCTCCTTCTTCATGCGGTGGGCGGCGTACTTGGAGATCTGTGGACCCAGTACGGGTGCTACAAGTTGTCTGATGTGAAATCGTTGTTCGCAAGTGGATCGTCGTATCAGTGGCAGACTTCTTCGTACTGTCAAAATCAGTGTGGAACGGATGTCATAGGGCTCGTGAATGGGAACTATTGTTACTGTGGTGAAGATACAGTTCCATCAAGCGACTTGGAAGCGGATATGAGTAACTGTGACGTTGCATGCTATGGTTACGGATCACAGGTTTGTGGTGGTGACGGATACATGTTGATCTACACTGATAGTAGCGATCTGATCCTGACTGAAGCGGATACTTCCAGCTCCACTACTTCATCTTCATCTACGTCCAAGTCTTCGAGCACTTCAAAGACATCGTCGTCATCATCCACTTCTTCCTCGTCGGAGACTTCGTCCTCTTCGTCATCCACATCAGCTTCGTCATCATCCTCCGCATCTTCGTCGTCCTCAGATACATCCCTGAGTCTATTGACTGTTGTCTCAACGGTGACATCTTCACCTTCAGAGACAAGTAAAACGACTAAAACTGCAAGTCACACATCATCTTCAACTTCAGATTCAGAGTCCACATCTTCGTCCTCAGCTTCTTCGGGCTCGCTCTCGTCTAACGCCAAGAATTCGTCCTCTTCTTCCAAATCATTATCAGGTGGAGCCATTGCTGGTGTAGTTATCGGATCGATCGTAGGTGTATTGTTAATTTTAGGATTGATATTCCTCTTCATATGGTACAGAAGAAGACGGAATGAAGAAGACGACGATGATATGTTCACTTTATCAGGAGGAGATGGGGTAGTAGGCGCCAAGGGAAGTGGTGGAGGAGGCGGCATGCACAGAAGCGGTACTAACTCTATGCAACAGATCTACGACATCAATAATAACCCATTCTTGTCAAAATCGGGCTCCAAAAGAATAAACACAGGAAACATACCGGAAGCGGCCGCTCAAGGTGGTATCATGACAAATGGTATACAGAATGAAAGCAATCATCAACATAATCAGCTGAATTCATTCTCTTCGCACGACCATGATGAAGAGTACTTCTTATTCGATAGGCCAAAGGTTGACATAACAGGAGAAGCTAATAAAGTATCGTCTGAGTACGGACGTAGAAGGCTCAGTAATGGGTCTTTGCCAGATATGGCGACTAGAAAACCAGGATCTTTACAGGTTGTGAATAATTAATCTATATTATTGCATTGGCGCATGGCGCTAGTCATATTCAACTGACATGGAGAGAGAGAGAGAGAGAGACACACACACACATTACATGGAGAAAAGAGAGAAAGAGCACTGAAAACTGCTTGCATAAAAGGAAGGTAAGTTTCGGGGTATTCTTCTATCACACCTCCTCTATGTCTCTCTACGCGTGTAATCTTGAGTCAGACAAAAACTGACGTCTTGACTGATTAGACGGACTTTGCATGATCATGAAGCATTTCAGTTGCAGGAATCACGGCTGTTACAGCGCTACGAGGTACATTCTAAGGCCTACACAGGTCTACCAAAGAGATGTACTACAACATTTTATTTCAATCATACTTTCAAACAGCTTGGGGATTACGAGAATTATTCCTTCAATAAATAAACTTATTCTTTACACTACTTGTAGCATTCTGCTCTAGCACAAGCTGTGATGGGCTCTTCCTCTACCTATTTGCAACTATTGCAACTTGCACCCTCGCATATGGCTGCATAGCGCGAGCGGCCATTGCTGTTTTGGGACGAATTGGAACGATCACGTGGAATGTGACTGTTTTCTCATTCCCTTCTTTTTTCGCCTCAGTATGCACTACCCCCATTTCGGGATGAGCGACACCTGCCCAAACCCTCACCACCGACTTTCGCTCTCACTAGGGCGAAGAAAAAATAAAGAAAAAACCATTTATGAAAATTTTCAATACGTTTACTCTTATATACCCTATACACTAATTATACAAAATGTCTGGTTCTGGTGCTTCCGGTAACAAGTTCCGTATGTCTGTATGTATTATAATGAAGAACCGTAACTAGGACAAGATAAAAGGATGATTTATTGCAAAAGTTGGAAGTAGCGATGGATGTGAAGAAAAAGTCGATGAGAGCGAGGACGATCGCAGAATGAAAATCTATCCAACTGAAAGAGTTCAACACAAGCGTAAGAGGAGATGCAAAAAACCCGGTGGATATGTCGCCTATTGTTGTAGATTATTGAGAGAGATGAATTAGTTGCATTTTAATAGGGGGAAGATGAGCAAACCGAACCCTCATGTGTCTTGACAGTAACATCTACCCGGTTCAGCTCTCTGCGAGTATTCCGGACGATGAGAAAACCTAAGCAGAAGGGAAACCTTTCAAGAACACGTCATTGCGGTCGTAAACTTTCACGGATTTTTCTTTTCTTTCACCTTTGATTCTTGTCGTGGGTATTTACGTAACAAAAACCAACATTCTCTTCAGTTTTACTAACAATCCGTTCTAGTTAGGTTTACCTGTTGGTGCCGTCATGAATTGTGCTGACAATTCTGGTGCTAGAAACTTATATGTCTTAGCCGTCAAGGGATTCGGTGCTAGATTAAACAGATTACCTGCCGCTTCTGCTGGTGATATGGTTATGGCTACCGTCAAGAAGGGTAAGCCTGAATTAAGAAAGAAGGTTATGCCAGCTATTGTCATTAGACAAGCTAGACCATGGAGAAGAAAGGATGGTGTCTACTTATACTTCGAAGACAATGCTGGTGTCATCGTTAACCCTAAGGGTGAAATGAAGGGTTCTGCCATCACCGGTCCTGTCGCTAAGGAATGTGCTGATTTATGGCCAAGAATTGCTTCCAACTCTGGTGTTGTTGTTTAAACGAAATATCTAGTAATATTAAGTAAAACTCGAGAAAAGCGTCGATGTAGATAAAACGTAGAAAGAAGTATGGGCGAAGTTGAAGCTTAGAGTTAAAATACGGAGCTGAACCATGTTCGCCTTACAAATTGATTATTCGAAAATACATTGAATGATTATATATGATACAAAACTTTTATCTCTACTACTACTGCTACTTTTTTTTAAATATGATCTACTCTACTTCTCTTCATTATCGCTTCCAACACTGGGTAATGTATCAACTTCATCTTGCAAATCTTGACGGTCAAGAATAATGTCTCCTTCTTGAGAGATTACATTTGATAGGTTCTGCGTAACCGTAGTTGAGTTATCGGTGTTAGCCTCCTTATTTCCATTGTTCTCCCCTTTCTCAACTGTGGATGCGATTGATTGGTTTGGTGCTGAAGTGGTGTTATTAGTATGGTAGTCTTCATGCATCAACTGGACTGTTGGGGGTGGCATGTTGTTGGGAGGGTATGGAAGATAACTCCCAAGAGAGGCAACATCATTATACTGGGGCTGGATTTGAGGTGATTGTGGGAAGTAATGGGCTGTACTTACCGGGAATAGCTGACCTCCTTGTTGATTACCCTGTTGTTGAGTTGGCTGTTGAGATTGTTGTGGTGGATTGGCCTGTGGTTGACCGGTAGGGGTAAAGTACTGTTGATTTGGCTGCTGGGGTGTAGCCGGGAAATATTGCGGTTGTGGTTGCATTGTTGGCGAAATCGTGTAATATTGCTGCTTTACAGGATCATAAAATTGTTGAGGTTGCCCCGGTGGTGCACCGGCTTGAGGCTGGCCAGGGATGTAATATCCTTGGTATCCACCAGCTGGTACGAATCCATTTGGATTACCGGAAACTGGAATTGGTAAATACTGTTGCTGTGGTTGCAATGGCTGCTGTTGCTGCTGCTGTTGATGTTGGAGCTGCGACTGTTGCCCTTGGTTCTGCTGTTGCTCCGCAGTCTGCTGTTGCTCTGCAGTGGTAATTTGAGACACATCAGGGTTCACATTTTTATCTTCAATACCTCTGCTTTCAACCGGTGTTATGATTGTTCCATCACTGTTGATCATCTTGGGTAACCTGGGAGAGTTGTTATTATTCCTATGAGAAAATGTAGATGACAATCTTGGATTGGTTGACGACTTTATGGAAGGCGCAATCTTGCCTGTCTCTATACTCTCGCCAGACTTGATAGTTCTAGCATTGGTACCAGTTGAAAAGATACTACTAGGTCTTGAGGGCTTTGCAGCAGTCTTTTTTGAGCTACCGTCTCTTTTAGCTATAAACCTGGCCCTAGCAGCAGGAGTGGCCAAGGTAGTCAAATTTTTAATATCAGTGTACCAATCGATCATGTTTTTATAGGTGTCGGTTCTGAAAACCCAGTTGTGAGATCTGTGTCTTATATTCAGGCCTTTAGAATACAATACGAACTTGTATACACCTCCACTAATCTTACCATCATCCTTGGAATGCTCACTAACCAGACAAGCATCCAACAGTAAAGACATAACCGGTTGAGGGTCCTTTTTACGGTCTGGAGATTTAAATTCATGAATAAAGTTACAAGTTAAGACGTACCACCCACTTGAATACGATTTAAGGAATTTAGATCTTCTCTCCAAGTAGCCCTCTCTGATACTAACATTTAAGGCTGTATCGAAATTAGGGATTTGAAAATCTGATAATTTCCTTGCGGGGAATGTTAAATCAATGAATGTTCCGGATTTGGGCGAAGATGATGAACCAACGTTACCCACACTCAGTTGCAGCAAGGCACTCGTAATTGGCAAGTGTCTTGATATGAAAGAGTCCCATTCGAAGCCTGCATCCTTTGTTAAGAAACCATTATTAATATGTGGGATTAAATAGTTAGGGATAGTCAGATGTTCACTTTCAACAAGATTTAAAAACATTCCAAGGTAGTTTTGCACTTCCAACACCACAATGGATTCTAACTTACCACCTGAGTTCTGTAAGTTGGCATATGCATCGTAAAGATAGTTTTCTATCAGTAACTGCTTCTTCAATTGTCTGTCAAGTTTCAATTTGACCAAAAATGGATCGAATTTTGAGCTTTCTGCACTCATGGTGCCGTCAACACCTGCTACTGTATTGTGCAAGTGATGCGACGACGCAGATGTGCTGGCTTCCAATTTATTACTGAAGTCAATTGCCTGCTGATACTGACTAAGCAATTTCTTAGTTTCTTGGATTTCCCTGCCCAAGTCAGTCTTAAAGTCGCTCTGCAAGTTCTTGATTTCTTTAATTTTGATCAAAAGATCCTTTCTCAATTCTTCTAACTTAGGAATGATCAAACTGTTAATTTCCTTCAATGTTTTCGAGCCATTGGTAACATTCTGTTGATGGAACTTGGTTAAAATGGTTGGCAAATCTTGAATCGAACCATTTCCGATTGGAAGGAAATACTTGTTGATTGCTACAATGTCATCTTTAACGCCGCCGTTGTTGGCAGATGTGGTTGAAGCATGACTGGAAACGGTTGCCGATGTTGTGGCAGTGCCCACTGCCTGCTGAAGTCTGACTTGCTGTCTGATTATTTCCTCTTGCACACTGGCATATTCTTTCAAGTAGTTCAGAAGGTCTTTGATAATCGACCTCCACGCTTGGAATCGATTAGCCAAGACCTCCGTCGGATACTCATGGGGAGATGTGAAATTGTACGGAAGAGAAACCGCCAATGGGTTACTATGGTCGATTGACATGGAAGTACGGGGAGGACCTTGTTCTTAGTATAGCTTTGCTCTTGAGGTTAGAATGGCTTTTGAATATATAGTTGTTCCTCTTTCCTTTTTTTTTTCTTTCTTTTTTTCACCTGGTAGACTAGATGGGATTATTGTTAGGCAGCACGCGCTAGCTATGTCAAGTAGGGTGAGTGGAATGTGGATAGCTTTTTTTTTGTATTCCAACAACGTAGACCCAAATTGGAGCAGTTCAAGAAACTGGTGACGAAAAACGAGAAAAGGAAAATTCTGAACAAAGCTCTGGCAATGAGATACTGCAAAAAGGGTTCAGCTATTTAATACTCTAGGGTGAAAAAAGTGGAAAGAGTAAAAAAATAAAATAATAATAATAATAATCTAGAGTTTGTGCAGTAGAATAAGCAAATGCGGTTGCCAGTATTGCTGAGAGGAATTTCCATGGGTCCAAATTTAGAAGGTGTCACGCAGTACCGAGCCGAATGGAGATTGAGTGTGGGTCGTGAGATGGGGGTAGCAGGGTGAGGGAAGAGCAGCGCAGCCAGCAGGTTGGCGCCAATGAAAGTAATACGGGATTAAAATAGATAAAATAAGATAGAAAAAAAAAAATAAAGAAGACAATAAGCACTACAACAATGGAAACTGTGAAACCATTGAGTAGCCTGCTATTAGCGAAGATGTAGAAACAATAGTGGCCCAAACAGGTAGACATAATTGTAGCCAGCCGAACATGAAAAAGGCCCTGCATATTTAGTCTATTTATGAGCACTCGCTCCTTATTGCATGGCTTCATTTTTGTTTCTGCGCAAACTATTTTCCTTCTCTAATCTGGCGCCATCTTATCTGGGTTTTCTCTGCTTGGCCGGGTGCCCATTCTCGCGCCTGTAACATATGTTCTCCCCACCAAAAGAAGCACCGATAAATGTTCCATATGGCGCCGGATGCAGGAATCAGGGAGGAGTAAACCAGAGTTTGGTTGGGTTGAGCTGGTCTGGTCTGGTCTGGAGATTATGCAGGATAGGAAGTTCTCTATGTGCAGGTGGTATACTTCTAATTTTCACCTCCTGTATACAGTACTCCAACGTTCCTTAGTACGATTTGTAATGCATCTGTGTTGCAATCTAGAAAGACTACGGTGCCAAGCGAACAAACGATGGCTACAGTTATAGATATCTCAGAGGATCCCTCAGATCGGTCTTCGGATGACGACGATATCCAAATCATAGAACTTAATACTGCAACAAGCAATATCCTTGCTCAGGAGACTCCTAATCAGAACACCTCCAAAAGCCTAAATCAATTACAGTGCCCCATTTGCTTTGACGATATCACTCTGGCCACAGTGACCTCTTGTGGGCATGTTTTTTGTCTCTATTGCATTCAGCAGAGTATATCTAGTTCCACGGCCAGGGGCCAAACAGGAGGAAGGCTGGGGGTTGGCTTGTGCCCCTTGTGTAGAAAGAGAGTGAATTTCAAAGACACTACTCTCTTACGAATGAAAATTGCTGTATCCGATTCCATGACTCCACCTCCACTAAACGGTGAAAGGGAGACAGGTACCGACTAAATGGCAGAGATTTGAGGCAATATAGAGGCCTAAGGACTTCATTTTGCTATAATTTCTAACTCCTTTGCTGTGATCTATATTTATTAAATGCTGCATTCTATAAACTCACTTCATCGTTTAACCTTGAAGGACCGTCTAATGGACCTCATCTCAGCGGATTTAGTTTTCACCAAGTGAAGGACAAACTTTTCAACGGCTTCACCAATTTCCCTGCTAACATACTCAATCTCGGGTGCCTTTGGCTTAAACCGCAAATTCAACTTGGCAGCATCTGTGAACGACTGCACATCTTTCTGGTATAAGCTGATCATTATCGCCTCGTGAATAGTGTCAAATATTTCGAAAAGCCATTTCAAACATGCTTTTGAGTCCGTCATGAATGTGACGGCTATAAACTTCTCGAAAATATCGCCTAATCTTTCCAACTCAAAGTCATTTATTCCCTTGGCCAACGGCTGGTACTTTTCCTTGTCCTTATTGGCGCGAAGATTAGCTCGCGGGAAGTCATACAAGTAAACCAATCTACCAAGCAAGGCGTTAGATCTCGTTAAGCTGTCAAACAGTGCTTTCCTCTGGGAATAGTATTCCTGAGCGAGGATGTGGAGTATTCTGTCCCCGATCTTATCGAGTGTGTATGACATTTTCTTGATCCTCACTTCAGTACTGCTGGAATATACATTTTCTTGCATGAATGAACCTCCAAATACTAGCTCTAGTATGAAGGGAAACTCGGAAACAGCTTTGATATTAGGCAAGGATGGTAATTTCACATATTCATTGTTGAAACGAAGAAGTATTGGCCGGGAAAGCGACGAGAATACAACTTCATTCAATTGACATGGAGGTACTTCGCCCCTTAGTGAGTTGTTGATTTCTCGAAGAGCTGATTCATTCTCATTATCAAATTCTACCTCATTGGAATCCCAAATGGTTTGTTGCAATGTCTCGTTTTTACACCTTCTCAAGAATCTATAAATAACCCTAGGGGCAAGCTTCAGTGAATCTTCCACCGTCGCTAGACCAAGGTAGGTGAAGAAAGTATGGTGTTGAGTGGGTATTTCGTGGCGCTCTATAGTTGATGTTCCATTCTTTTTGCTTGTCTTCTTGATCTCTAGGACAAATCTAGTGTCACCAAGATTATGATTTTTCAATTCGAAATTGAATTCGCTTTCTAGTTTCTGAAGAATTGCACCATTAGGAGGTTCCAATCTATATTTTTGAAGAAAGAGTATCTGTGCCGATTTGATCACGCTGAAGTTCCTCCCCAATTTTTCCAAGTGCTTCATCTTTGCGTTTAAGAGCGTGTTTTTATCGTCAATATTACCACCTCCATCGTGAATCACTTTATCTAAGTCCAAGAGACTCCATGCCTTAGTTATATCTAGTTTAGGTAATACAAATCGAAGTCTTCCATTATTGACTGACACGGAATATGTACATGAGTATGGGCTATCGTTTGAAGCTTCCGTAGCCGTAGGCCCTGCTTCTTTCTTCTTTGCTTTCACATGTGCGTTTTCCTTGCTAGAAATATATGAATATGTAAACTTTTGCATTTCTCCGTCCGGATTATTCGTCGTACTTGTTGACTGATCTGCAAAAGACGACCAAAACTCAAAATCTTCCACTTGATTATTAAGGGTAAATTCCTCGAGGCCTAGTTCATCTGTATCGAGCAAGTCGAAGATATCAGAATTTGAGTCATTTGCTATCGGCTTTTTAGGAACCTTAGGTTTTATGGAGGCCCTCTTCGAAGCCGTCTTGGACATTTTTGGATTCGGTTTATGGATAGGCTTCATAGCATAAAATCTGCCAAATGATGTAGGTATTCGCTTACAGCATATTCGGAGCCCATTTGATGCAAGTACATTCATATTTGATGATTTAATCGTGGAAATGGGGACATGAAAGGTGTAGTTAATTGGTAGGCGAGAATGATAAGATTAAAAAGATTATTCAGCTATATGCACAATTATCATCAAGAAGTGATCCGATTTACTATTTTTTTCTTCCCTAATATATTATTCACACATCTTCTTAAGGTAAAGTAGAAAATAGAATTGTTGTACAGGTGCAGCCCACAGTACTTGGGTAAATAAATTTCAATTTCGCACATAAACGGTAATTTTTACGAAAAGATCAATATATTCAACTCATCTCATCACCTAGCTAGGATTAACAATGGACTACGATACTGAAGAACCGCTTACATCGAATGTTCGTCCTCCCACGGATTCATTGCTAACAATTCGTATTATAAAATCGTTTCCATACAGAAATGTTAAGAACCACATATTGCCATCGGTCGACCTAAAGCTGACCACACCTCAGCAATTGTTAGAGAAAGTGCAAACTGTTATAAATACCACTGGTGGATTGAGGCCATACAGAAACATTATATACAATACAGTAAAAGTTTATTCCAAAGCGCATGGATCCAAGTCAATGAATTTAGTGATAAATTTTGAACAAGATGAAGAATTGGTGTTGGTTTGTGAAGACGAGGATAACCAGAGAGCCGGTACTTCCAAGACTTTATGGGATTTAGGCGTAGAAAATGAGACTGAGTTGAGTGTATTCAATTGGGGAGCATACGTAGAGTTTAAAAAGAATCCCGAGGAAAAATGGTAGTATTTGCAACAGCTGCCAGAAGCCAAGCCAGTGCTAACTATAGAAAGTAGAATAGTAGAAGAATAAGAAATACAGGGTTAGGGTAAGGTCTTTTGTTAGTCGTGAAGAGCGAGCGCGAGCGCATTTATTGAAGGTATCATACATATCACATATCTATAGGTACATATCTGCAACATCACATACATTCACCCTAACACACCACTTTATTTAACAAAAAGCATACTAAAATCTTCCTCTTCCCTCTCGTATCCCCCTAAGGCTCCCCTAGCTACCCACTCTCCAGCGATCTTCATCTTATTCCACCCCAGACCCACATACCGTTAACTCCCACACAGCATCACCATATGCACTCCTAGCCAACCTAACTTCTCAAGTCGCTCTATATTTTTTTAATCCAATTTTTCACCTCCTGCATGCATTCCAGCCAATGAAACAATGTCTTTTTTTGTTTTCATCATCAATAGGAAGATTTACCCTCGCAATTTCCTGAAGACTAACCACCACACAAAAGAATTCGGAAAATTGCTTTCTTTCTTTCTGTAAGCTGTTTGAAATAAACCCATATTAAACAAAACAAAGCAAGCGAATATGTTTAGAGCTGTTTCGACGCCATTGGCTCAAAAATTCATCACTGGTGCAGTTGCTACCACTGGATTGGGTGCTTCTTACTTGTTGTACCAAGACTCAATCACTGCAAATGCCATGACAGCTGCAGAACATGGATTACATCCACCAGCTTATGGATGGTCTCACAACGGTATGTTTGAAACCTTCGACCACGCCTCTATTAGAAGAGGTTTCCAGGTTTACCGTGATGTCTGTGCCGCTTGTCATTCATTGGACAGAATTGCTTGGAGAAACTTGGTTGGTGTTTCTCACACTGCTAGTGAAGCCAAGGCTTTCTGTGAAGAATTGGAGTACGATGATGAACCAGATGATGAAGGTGCCCCAAGAAAGAGACCAGGTAAGTTGGCCGATTACTTGCCAAGCCCTTATGAAAATGAACAAGCTGCCAGAGCCGCCAACCAAGGTGCTCTTCCACCAGATTTATCACTTATTGTTAAGGCTAGACACGGTGCATGTGACTACATTTTCTCATTGTTGACCGGTTATCCAGACGAACCACCAGCCGGTGTTGTTTTACCTCCTGGATCAAACTATAATCCATACTTCCCAGGTGGATCTATTGCTATGGGTAGAGTTCTTTTCGACGAATTGGTAGAATATGAAGATGGTACCCCTGCCACCACCTCTCAAATGGCTAAGGATGTCACTACTTTCTTAAACTGGGCTGCTGAACCTGAACATGACGACAGAAAGAAGTGGGGTTTGAAGGCCTTAATTGTTACTTCTTCCTTGTACTTGGTCGCTATTTGGGTCAAGAGGTTCAAGTGGCAACCAATCAAGAATAGAAAGATTAGATTCGACCCACCAAAGAAATAAGGAAACCCTGGGCGAAGATCTAGTAATTTAAAAGGAGATGTAGAGGAGAGACAGAAAGGAAGTGGAATAGTCATCGAACCTAAAACCAAAGCATTCAACGAAAAAAATTCATAAATAATCCAAACAAATTTTACATACAATCAAAAGACGAAGAAGAAGGTGGGAAAGTTCGAATAATGCAGCATTATAGTTGATATTTTGCTGGTCAAATTTTATTTGCTTCTACTTTTTCTTTTGCTTTGGAGGTATTTAAGCAATTGAAAAGAAGAAGAAAAACAGAAAAAAGATTAAAACTTATATACACATTAGATAGTAGGAAACGTAATAAACTATACCGAAGTAAGAAAACAAGAAAAAGATATGTATCTCTGCTACTTTCTTTCCCCAGAACATTGTAAGTGTGTTGTTAACGTTACAAGTTAACTCAAAAGAAAAAAAAAAAAAAAGAACTTTCCACTTTGGGTTTTTGTTCCTGCATGTATCGATGTTATGTAATCCACACTCTTATATAGCGATTGCTAAGTATTTGTAATATTGGTAATAGTTAATAAAGGCTGTCTATATATTGACGTCTTTTCCAAAGTTTTAAGTATCCGGTAGATAGGCGTTTCAATATACTCGTCGATTAAGTATGTCACGTTCAATATTTAAAGTAATTAAAGGATTTTCCAAGGTGGAAGGGTCTGGAGTTCAAATCTTTAGATCTTTGGCAATTCGTGAAATGAGAAATTTCACGCCTTTTATGCTCTTGGACCATTTTAATGCCTCTTCCAAGTCAGGGTTTGGTCCACATCCTCACAGTGGCATGGAAACAGTGACATATTTATTAAAGGGCTCTTTGGCGCATGAAGATTTCACTGGTGCTAGAGGAATACTCCTACCTGGAGATCTCCAGTTCATGACTGCAGGTAAGGCAGTGGTGCATACTGAGATGCCAATACCCCAGGCTGATGGTTCAAACGCTGAAGGATTACAGCTTTGGGTCGATCTTCCTGAAAAACTTAAAGAAACAAAACCGAGGTATAGAGATTTGAGGTCGTTTGAAATTCCCGAGGCCAAAAGTCCAGATGGTAAAGTGGAAGTCAAAGTCATATCTGGAAAGGCTATGGGAGTGGAAAATGTTCAAGAATTGAGCTACACTCCAGTGGAATACTTCCACTATAAATTGCATAAAGGTGGGAAGTTTTCACATGTTGATTTGAAACCCAATTTTAACTATTTCTTGTATGTTATTTCCGGTAATGGGTTGCACATTAATGGTACCAAAATCGACGAGCATCATAACGTTTATTTTGAAAGAGATGGTGGAAAAATTGAAGGTGAGAATAAATCTGCAAATTCCACTCCTATAGAATTTGTTATTGTGGGAGGACAAGCGTTGGATCAAAAGGTGCTTCAAGTTGGACCCTTTGTGCACACCAATAAAAAGAGAATTGATCAGGCCTACCAAGATTATGGCAATGGTGTCAATGGGTTTGAACTTGTAAAGACTTGGAAGCCTTCAATTGACAAGGGGATAGATGAGGAGATGTTGAATGGAACTCTAAAGGATTTGGTAGAAGACAGAGAAAGACAGAGAAGAGAGTACGTATAGAGCAATTACCTAGAATCAATTAGACCTAGAGTCAATATATATATATATATATGTAGTCTCTATATAATTTTGGCCATTGGTCCTCTCTGTAGATTGTATACCACATTATTGCAGCCATCCACTTCATGAATGCTCAGGAAAATAAAATAGAATAGAGTGAACCTTTGGAGCTACTATGAATCAACATCACATGGAAAAACTTGAGCCTGGAGCTGACATATAGGTGCTATCTCTCTAGACCTGAATTAATTAATCCTCAATACCAGTTCCATGGACTGCATATCGTAATGTTGCAACCTCTTCATGCATGCTTGTGCAGTGGGGCACGCAGAAAAAATCACATCAAAACTTACGCGTTTGAAGATTCACTCACAAGTCATCTATTCATCATCAATAGTGGCTCCTTCTACTTCTATCGAATTCGATTATAATATGACGATGGACATGACAAGTTCGGAAGTCGAATACTTAACCGAAAATCTTTTCCAAAAGCAAGAAGCGGTCACTTTTCACACACTTTCAAGAACGTTGAAAATCCATCACGCTCAGGCTAAAAAGGCATTGTACGAGTTCTACATTGCTCACAAAGACAAGTTGAGTGCAAACTTTGTCGTGACTGGGACTAATCATGGGGGAAGCACAAGCATTAAACTATGTGATGAAAATTCAGTAGAGGAAATCTTGAAGGAAGATTCCAAAGGCATTCACGGGATCCATATCTACTCCTTAACTCAGAAAGGTATCTCTATCTCAGACATTCAACTTGCAGTGCATGAGAGAAGCTTTCCTGTAAATTATGAAAACTTAGCTGATTTATATAAAAAGGGGTTGATTCAGGGCCCTAAGCTCACAGTGCAAGATCATTCTGTGCAAGCTCCAGTGATTAAGCGGGAGAATGTTTCGTTGAAGAAGGAACCAACGCCGTCGGATTTAAAGAAATCAGATCTGAAGCCAGTTTCAACTGGATTGACTTCTGGCTATGTATCTAGGAAAGCAGGATCTGCTGCAGCTAAGAAACAACCCACGGCAGATATAACTAGTGGGTACACATCTCGTAAATCAGAAAAGACTCCACCAGTTCGAACTACCACTACATCTCCTACACCCCCTCCTACTAAAGCTGCGTACCAATATAAGTCAAGAAAAGCAGAAAAGAATCAGCCCAAGGAAAGAGTGGTGGTATCTTCTCATCAAGATGAACCTGAAGATTTAGAAGATGAATCAAGCTCTAAGAAGACGAAAGCCAACTCTGAGGAATTACAGAAGCTCTTCGAAGACGATGACAGTGATTTCTCCGATGATACAGAAGACGTCATTAAGAATGAGCCAATTGTAGTCGAGCAGACAGCTGATCCAGCCGAAGCAGAGAATAACATTGAATCAGAGCGAACAACAATTCCAGAATCCTTCAACGAGTCAGAGGCGGAACCCAATTTCAAAGATTCCTCAGAATCTACTGAGCTGAAGCAAACTGAAGAAGAAGAGCCAGAAGTTGAATCGTATGTGGATGAAGATGGATACTTGGTGACTGTAAATAAGAAGAAGAAATCCCCTGCACCTGTTGCTAAATCACATCCAGTGAAAAGAACTGCCTCTCCATCAACTAGTGCATCTTCCACCAAGGACACTAAGAAGAAGAAAACTGGTCAATCATCACTCATGAGTTTTTTCAACGCAAGTAAGAAATAAGTACATAACTGCTTGGAGTAATTTGGAACTGAAAAGCCAAGACTATACAATTGTAAAAATTATTTGTGTCTGTTCCGTGTTTGTCATAATATACACTAGTCAAGTAAATTTACAAGTAAATATATACCCCTCTTACCATGGGGTTTATCTTCTGATCTATATCCGGTTTTACTGAGTTCGTATGTCCCTCCAAATAAAGTCTATTCATTGACTAAAATAGTCGAATTTTTTCCTTTTCGTAGAACAATTTCCTTTTTGAGCAGCCAAGGAAAATCCCAAAAATCCACTCTAGAGTAATTTTGTACCCCATATGGCAGGTAAAAGTCGTAAAAATTTCAACATGGTCAAACAAGTCATGGATACAATTGAGTCCTACAGCGTATTATAGCGATGTACAGACCGTATGTACATATCCTTGTCCGTATCGATATGGCTTTGATCAATTTGAAGCCCCCTAGAAGAACTCAGTTTAAGCCTCTGGTCTACCGTTTTTAGTTTTCGATGAGTCTCATTTAAAATACAATTTCCTATTGCGGAAATTTTTTATAATTTTTACGACTTTGGTTGCATACTTTTTCCTCAAGTTGCATAAAAATAGAATATAGTTGAAGCTTAAGTTGTTTTGATTTCATCGTTAGTGTGGAATTAACTATTCCCTGTAACATGAATTCTCTTTCTATTTTGAGTAAAGTTTATTAAGGAGAAAATTCTGGGGTGATAGGTATTTTTTAGTATAAAGTAAGGATTTTCCCAGCATTTATTTTTTACAAGTATCTCACAAGGTAATCCATATATTTCCATTCGTTCGTTTTCTATATCTACTACTTTAAATGAAATTCACCACAGCTTCTATTACTGCATTGATAGCACTTAGTGCTGCGGTAGAGGCTTCGCCTATTGCCAGCAATTCTGGATCTCGTAGTGTTGCTGTTCTTAAGCGTGAGCACATTGATTCCATGCAAGCGTTAGTGGACGAATTAAACTCATTACAGGTACAAAAATATAAAAGAAATATAATTGAAAGAAACCTTTCAAAGGGAGAGCTCTCGACAAGAGAATACGAGATTGTAACTGAAGTTTTATCGTTATTAAATGATTCAGGTATTGCTCCACAGGTTATCCACTACTTTGCAACTAATCCAACATTCCAACCAATTGTTATCAAAACTATTGTTGCCGTGGTGAACTCGGGCTTATTGGATATAAACTTCTTATTCAAAGTCTTGAATGAGTCCGGCTTAATTGTTCAAACTATCCAAGATTTGATTTCTGACTGTAGTTTATATGCTACTCTCTTTAACTATGTGGGAGGTATTGTTAAAGACTTAGCTTCAAATGTTGAATCCTTGATTTCAGGAGGAATAACTCAATTGATTTCAAGGGATGTTGAAACAAGATACATGGATTCAAATCAATATATGGAGAGTCAAATGATGGCAAGAGACTTAGACTCAATAGTTGTTAACTTATTGGAATCTTTGTCCCAATCTGGTTTGGCTACTTCTGTTATTAAGTCAATCATCACAGACCCTTCTTATCTTCCATTTGGAATTGATTTGGTGAAGGCAGTCTTACAAAACAATTCTTTAGATTTAGGGCTGTTACTTACTGCACTTAAAAACTCAGGCTTAGTTGAAAGTTTGATGGATCAATTTTTGAACTTTGGAACTTTACAGACTGTTATAACTAATGCGTTCGCTGCCTTTTCTGGAAAGTGCTCTAGTTATTCTGGTAGTTCAAGTTCAGGATCTGGCTCCTCAGTTGGTTCTTCCAGTGGCTCCAGTAGCTCATCTGGTGCATCAACTGGCAGTTCGTCAGGTAGTTCCGGTTCAGGAACTGTTACTACTGGCACAGGAGGTAAGACTTGTTGTAAGAGAAAGAAGAAGAGATCCAACAAGGCAAACAAAGTCAAGAGAAATTTCAAAACTTTTATGTATTAGTAACATCTCCACTGCAACTAGAATTATTCCCTCAGAACTGAAATTATCTGGCATCTTGCCACTTATGAGATAGATGTTTATATCCTTTAAAGGTCCGAATACGTTTAGACATGTTTTGTGCGTTTGGTTTTTTTTTGCAACCATTCACATTTTCTATTCTGCGACCTTTTTGACGAAAAGAGAAAGATGAAAGTAGAATTGCGATTTCCGAAACGAACAATAAAATATAAAATTTAAGGTAATCTAAGTTAATACTTACATTAGCAAGAAGAAACATAAAATAAACTTATTATGCACCGATGATTCAATAGCTTGTGATGAGTTCTTTTTGTATAACTCAAATTGCAAGAAATAATATTCACTGCTCTACGTCTTCTTTACATATTTACTCTCTTTCGCTGGTCTTCTAGGCGTCGTAAAGTAACGCATGTAGTCAAATTTACGCGAAGAGAAAGAAAAAGTTGATTCGAGGTTAAACCTGGCCCAAATAGGAATAACCAAAACAAAAAGCAGCCTCATTAAAATAGGCCTGCAGTAATTTTTTTTGATCCAGGGCAGCGATCAACTTTAAACTTTCGTGTAGCTAGAAGAATATTTTCAAGATAAGTTGTAATAAAAAAAGGGCAGAAGAAAATAAAGAGACTTGTCTTATATGTATATACAATAGTTACAGTTTGAATATAGCTATAGAACGATACTAGTTGTTATAGCACTCGAGATACAACATTGAAACAGTGGGAGAGATGAATCCATTTGATGCGGAATCATTGGATTCTAAATCTGAAGCAGATAACCCACCACCTCGTTCAATTCAACAACTGAATTCACAACCCTTTTCACATATATCGAACCAAACATCTCAACAAACATCAATACTTTCATCACCTTCGAAATCCATTAAGAATTATTTTAGAAACAGGTCATCTTTGAAATCTATAGACAGTATCTCAGAAGGCATAGTGCGGCACATTGATGAAGAATTGGTGGCCGGCGGATCTCCATCGAAAAGGGCCGCACTCCTTACAAGACCTCTATTTGTAAGGTCAAGGTCATCTGTAGTTTCTATAGGAAGTGGTGCTGCTAGAGGTGGTGCAGTTTCACAGAGCCCTACTAGAATAACTAAGACTAAACCCGTAGAGATTGAGGATTTTGCAGACTCTTCGTCTGGCAGTGAGTACGATGCGGAATCCATAAACAGTATACTAGATGAATATGAGCAAAAACGTAAGACTACGGAGAGATTAGACATCTTCAGAGAAGATTTTGATGATAGTCGTGATAGAACCAACCAAACTGTCGAATCAGAGGAGATAAAGCCATTGAACAAATCAAGAGAGAAGAATACCTACCTTAATAGAGATCACTTGAAAGACAGGGCCATTGCAAATAAAGAAAATGCGCAAAATAGCAACATTCTCAAATTGAAGCGTGAACTGGATGGACTGAGTGGTAATAGAAGCCTGTCAGGGCTGAACTCCCTGGGGAACAGACAACTGGGTGGTAACAGATCTTCCATAATAAGTGGGAACTCATCTAAATCACAAAATTTATTAAATAAAAGAACGCTGAGGACTAAATCGATTATTGAATTGACCCTTGGCGATACTCATCATCTCACTAATTCTGAAAACTCAGTTAATTCACCTACCAGTTATTATGATGCAAAGCAAAGTGAAGCTAACAGCTTATCCACTAGTGGTGCACACAGTGGGTTTAGAATATATAATGACTACCAGCAGCAAGATTCCAACCCACCTCCCTTGCCTGTACTTTCAAAGGGAACCTCTAATGTAAGGATGCCAATACTGGAAAGAAAAAAGGTTATTAGTGCATCATCCAACGTGGATGTAATGAATAGGTCGTCAATATATAATATGACGACTGTCTCAGGATATGATTCTATACAAAATAATGAGAAAGGAAGTATGACGGAGGGTCTAATAAGGCCCAAGGTAGAAGGGAAAGTATCGACTTATTCTATATTTGGGTCTGCTCATGCAGAACCTTCTAGTAAAGTGAATAGCCCTGTTACTCACACTACATCTTCTGAAACTTCAAGTTTGTATATGTCAGTTGTTTCTGATGAACTTACAAATAACGAAGTGAATGCTTATACAGAGAGACTGGAATATCCACTCCAGCCTCATAATAATAACCAGCAGCAAACATTTCATAGCGATGAGACAGCACTTCATAATAATAGCAAAACACAAAACACAGACACTTTTTCACTTTCCTCGGGTGAACTTCTCAATACATTACAAAGCTACTATGGCGCAGGAACAACCGCACCACAAGATACCAAGGAAAAGAGTAGCACAGGCATTGCACACCCCATATCTGTTGCTAAAATAGTGGATGTGAGGTTATCTAGGGAGTCTCCAACAAGGAAACCAATCCTCACGCCTGTAAGGGGTAGATTCTTTTCTGAATCTTCCGCCAGCGTTAATCTTGGAAGCATTGGGAGTTCAGGTCCAACACCACCATCGACTGGAAGAGTCGTTAGTCCACCCGGAAAGGTGGCTAGTAGAATAACTTCGAGTGTGACAGTATCACAAACTTCACACGATACCAGAATTACTGAATACATCAACAAAAATTTGAATAATGGTTATGATGACTTCAGACGTAGTCAACCAATGAGTATACTGGGGTCCCAAACATCATTCAGTTCTATTAGACCACCTACGCCTATCGGCCCCTTACAGGATACCCTCGAGAGACAGACATCGCACGAAAGAATGTTAGAAAAGGAGGCATATCTCTCTGACAAAGATGGACTGGTACATCCAAACCCTAGTGACTTAGAAAAAGGAATATTCACACCGCATATTTCAAGCAATAACCTTCTTCTGCTGTCGCTGCTGTTTAACAACTATTCCTGGGGAAGGTGGGCTGTTTACTGCATATGTGGACTTTTAGCCCCACCCGTTTTCTTTTTACTATCCATGGGGTCGTTCGATAGCAGAAGTGCACCTAGTTCTTGTTACTCCGGTGTGTCACATTACTACACTGGTGAGCAATTGACCAAAAGGAGGAAATTTTCAAAAGCCCAAAAAGTGGGCAGTTTAATAATCGGATTGATATGGTGTGTGATAGTAGTAGGCATGATTGGAGTTGGGTTTGGGGTAGGTATAACCAACGAGCATCGAGCGTGACGTGGATGAAAAACTTTGAGTAAGCAAACCGCTTAAACAGATCTCTGAAGCAGAGAATAATAATTGGATGAAAAACTTTTCAATACCAAGTAAAGTAGACAAAGATTTTAGGGATTACTAGTACTGTAGATGAAAGAACATATATATATATATCTTATAGTTTAGAATGAATACTAATATCGAAAAGCAGTAGTACCATACTAGGTAATGATTATGTGAAGTGAATATAACGAGAGAGACTGCAGAGACGACCCGGAGTTAACTTTGACACATAGGACTTAACGCTTCCCCCACAAAAAAGAGGTTCTTAATACCTTCGTATCAAAGTACTGCATGTGAAGTTTGGAGTTAAGGTTAAGCTGGGAACACAATATATCTCAAGGGTATCCGGGGGGCTATGGAACATATGACTACGATTCTATCTGTAGAAAGTACTTTGGTACTAGGACCAGTCTCCACATTTCATTGCCAGAAATATGTGAAAATTTCATAGTCAAGAAAATGATGAAAAAGAAAAAGAAATGTGAGATGGTGCCTCCCACAATTTCTTCAGAAGATGCTCAGTAGTCAATCTTCCAAAGCAGCACCGAATGTAAAAAAAGAAATGCTAAAACTCGACGCTAATCTAAGCAGTGTGTAAATACTTATCTCCATCCTTCAACATTCCTATTTCTGTCTTCGTGAGATTATCTCAATAGCCTTCCTTCCCTCTTTGCTCTTTCTCCACATATCTTACTGTACATTTAATTCGACTTGCCGCAATTTCTTTTGTTCAGCCTAGTGCGACCTCCTATATATGCTCCTGCATGCACGCCTCGGTCACTCAGTTATCCATAAACTTGGGATACTGTGCCGCTGATCTCGTTTGCTTTTCACCTCCTGTAGTACTTCTGAAGGAAAAGCTAGCATAAAAGAATAAAATCAAGAACTGCTTTTTCTATCGTTGTTTGGGAACCTGCCATAGATAATATATGTCATCTGAGCTCGTTATCAAATAAACCTCAACCTTCTTTTATATATTTATTTTTAAAAGTTATTAGTGGTAGTCATTTCGTTGCTAAAAAGGGGAAAGAGTGAGAATCGGAAACTAGTCAAGGAGACGCAATAAGAATAAGAAAATTAATTAAACTGTGTCCGTATATATATATATATGTGTGTGTGTATATATATTTGATATATTCATACATATTCACTCCTGTCTATCCAGTAAGATCTAGACTGTGTCATAGAATAAAGAAACTGTGAAGTTTCTTGAACGAAAGAAAAGGAAGTCGTCTGTAATATTATCAGTTACTTTCTCGGCCGTATAGGCAATTTACATATTTTATCACTGAAACTTATTCATGGGAAACGTTCCTGCTAAAGAGTCTCCTCCCAACAGTGGGGGCAGGTCTCGCTCCAGCACATATCTGGGCTCTGGTGGTGGTCCCTTTGGCCCAAATGGCAGTTCCTCTTCCGCTAGGAGGAATACCACTTCATCGGCTTATCATCAATCTGGTGGATTCCTTAACGGGATAGCTAACGCTAACGATAAGCGACTGAAGAAGACGGAAGAAAAGGATAGATTGCATAGAAAGCACTTGTTGGGGCTAATCGTCCGATACACGGAAAATGTCGACGGAGGCTATTTAGCTCCATTTGGTACGTACAAATCTAATCTAGACTACAATTGCGACATAGTTCGCGGGTTAATAATGAAGAGACGTTTAGCTCCATTTTATACACCTTTACAAGACTTCGACGAAAGTTGGACAAATGAGGAATTAATTGTCATCTTGAATCAGTTGCCCTTGCACCTGATTGAAACTGCATACTCGAACGAGGAAGAAGAAGATGACATTGATAACCATAAGATACATAAGCTGACAAACTTTTACCGTAGACAAGAGCAAAAGGCAAAGCTAAAGGAATTAATGTTACAAATGAAGCAAATTCAAAAGGAAGAAGAAAATAAATACTTAGAGATCAAGTCAAGCAGCTCTGTTGGCCAACGTCTGGTTGAATTATCATCGAACGATCTTTTACTTAGGCTTTACCGAAATGCAACTGAATGTCCAATCTGTTTCTTATACTATCCTGAGAATATGAATATTTCAAGATGCTGTCTTCAACCTATTTGCACGGAATGTTTTGTTCAGATAAAGAGATTGGATGCACACCCTCCTCACGATGAAGAACACAATAGTAGAACTAACAATGATAGTGAAGATTTGCCTCATACTTTAATATCGGAGCCAGCACATTGTCCTTACTGTGCCAGTTCGGAATTTGGAGTTACATACGAACCTTCACTTGATATATGTACTGGCTTTGGAGGCATAAAACCGGGAAAATTCAGATCAGTGGACGAAAGTAATGACGATGCGATAGCTTCGTCTTCGACTTCACCATCACCAGTTTCGCCTCGAAAGGCAGTAAAGCCTAGAAGAAAGAGTTCTTTAGCTATCAACACACCGGGAGTAATATCTATCGATATGATCAGACCAGATTGGGAAGCGAAGTTGGCATCTGCAAGGAACAAGCTAGCTAGGAAGGCAGCTACTGCCAGTGCTATACATGCGTCCAATTTGATTATGAATGCAGATGAGGATTCGTATAGCCCAAGTGATTCCAGGAGGAATGTGGGCAGTAGTGCATTAAGTAACGTTGAACAAAGAATGATTGAGGAAGCGTTGAGATTGAGTCTTTTAGACGAAGAGGAAAGAAGGGCAAAGGAAAGAAGGGAAGAAAGAAAATAAAGCTAAGGTTAAAAATAGTTTCAGCAAGGGTTTAATTTCTGAATGGGTTCAATTATTCGGTGATGTTTCTTAGCCCTTTTTTTTTTAAGTCTAGATGAGTAAAAAATTTTGACTTAAAACACCTCCACTGAACAGTAATTTACACTCAATGCGTGTAGCATTACACCCAAGATAATATCTTGGAATAGGTAAGAGATTGGTTGGCTATTCGGATAAACACACTTAAATTATATAAAATATCTCTCTATTTAACATACATAGGAATAAAGATACGGAAAATGCAAATGAAATTTTAGAAAGAAATGTGTACATTATGCAAAGTTGAATCGCTACGACGGATGTTTCAAGAGTACATAGAGAATTTTTAGTAGGTGCATGTTTCTCTGACATATGTCGACTTTATTATTCCATATTTTTAGTCTTATTAAGGGAAAAATATGGACTTCAGGTAACTAATACCGTACGTCTGGTCTAAAAAGGACAAAATACCACAACTTAGATTACGCGTTTTACTGATATTGGTACCTCACATGCTCGTAATACCAGAGAAGCAGGGGTAAAGTTTCTAGATAGTATGCTAATCCATGAAAGACGCTCTATTTCTGTTGAATTGGCTTGTCAACCAAAAATTATCCAACTATCCAGAACTTTATTTTTCATAGTGGATCAAAAAAGGCACTGAAAAATGTAAAGTCGATGAGGATCTGATGTGGGAATCCGCCTACTTCATAAAAAAAATAGGTGCAATGGAAATTGAGTGATTTGATGCAAGGTACAGCTTCAAGAGAATGAAAAAATAAATCGAAGAAAAAGAAATGAGGAATGAGCATGCTATTTGCTACCATGTAGCAATTGGAAAGTAAGTAGTCAAGAAAAGTGCTCGTGCTGGGCTGTTTAGAAACGGCTAAGCGACAGATGCTGATGCCTGTATTTTCATGTGAGTACAAGTGCGTCTAAGTCAATTTATTGTGCGACGTACATAAGCGTACTCGCCCCTTTCTAACCGTAAGCAATATTCCCCTACAAATACAAGCAGTACATGCATTGACGAACTACCTGTTAATAGAATTGCGGCTCAAAGTCCTTAATTTTAACGACTCGCATTGGCTCCCCCATTACGAATGCAGAAATCGCGGTTCTCAAAAAAAATAAAATGTTAAATTAAGGCAATGGCAGAAAAACAAAAAAAAAAATTAGGTAATGACCCATTGTTTTAAGTATAAGATCTTGTCTTGTTCCAGAAAGGAAGTACATTAAGGGAGAGTTCAGCATAATTGACGAGGAATTTGCTTGCAAAGATTGTGTAGCATATAGCAATAGTGTTACTTTCAACAAGTTTAAAGGCAATCCCTTATCTAGAGCTGGTGTGTAACCTTTTGATTTGCCAGACTACGAGAAACAAAATTTTTATATTCTCTTAAAAAATAATCTTTACCGTTAGGAGATAAAAGTACCGAAGATTGCTTAAGAAAGTCAAAAATACAAAAATACCCAACACTTCTAATAAAGTAGCATAATATTGGACGATGATATCCGAACCAGTTCTTCTATTACCTACAAAATGCATAGTAGATGAAAGATTGCGACTAAGAGAAACTCCTAAGCTTCATCAGGAATGCTGCATAGATCCTGACCCAATGCATACCGAAGCCGTTTTGAAAGTGAAGATGACCGGAGTGACGTTCAACAAAGATTTTGAGCTTTTTAAACTCAAAAACTTCCCAGGGAGACCAGTAGTACCCGGAAACAAGACTGTAGGAAGATTACACCAAGTGCTGCCTCAAGCCAACCTACAACCTGGTAAGTATCTAATTTTCCCATACAGTAATTGCTTACTTCAGCAGTCTTCACAGATATGTGAAAATTGTCAGTATTTGAAAGACACCAAGACCTATCCTTTGTCATACAAGACGATACAGTATCACAAGGAGTACCAATGCTTGTATAGTTGGGAGTATGGGTTGACGCTTGACGGTGGGATGCAAGATTATGTCAAGGTCAAGAGTCCTGAACAGTCTTTGATAAAAGTGCCCTATACGATTAGTTTGCACGATTGTTGCTTCATCTTGGATTTAGCATTGCCACTTTATTCGTTTTTAAAGGACATTAACACAAGCATATTTGAAGAGAGTGTAGAAGATCTGAATGACAGTGAAAAAATCCTTATTATCCTCAACGACTGTACTAAAGAAGCTAATGACATTCTCATCGTCTTGAAACACTTCAACATATCGCAAAAGCATGTTAAGATATTGGATTCTCTGCTCTTGGAGTCTCTCAAGCATGCAGACAAGGCACGGCAATATGAGAGTAAGTTCAAATACTCTTTCCTTTTTAACACGCTGAAGGATCTGGTTGAACTTGGAACTCTCGCTGTTTCTACTGGCTTAGAGGCTACTAAATCTCGTTACCACATGGTATTATTTGATCAGTATAGCCCAAAATCCTTGTTACACAATAAGAATTTAGATAAGCAAAATCCGGACATAACAGTCACCCATTTCAAGCTTTCTTATAAGGACAGGTTGAACTGTGTTGAATTAATCAATATAATATCTCAACTTAACTTGGTGACAAGGGCAAACAGTAACAACACCCACAACAAGAATAATAGCACAGATGAGGATAGTAATATCATTGATGACTCTCCTCTTCAAGGAGGACCGAGACCCTCAGTCACATCTATCGACACTTCTACATCCTCACTTTCTGCATCTTCAATTCACCTGAACTCAACTTCCAATACCTCACTTTCAAAGGGAGGAAGCATGCGCAAAACCTTAAGATTTAGGGACGATGAATCAATAATAGCCCCTCCCACACAACGCACAAGGTCTTTTAAAAATTACTCTTGGCTTTGGTATGAGAGAGATTTCAACTTATGCAACGAGCATGAGCACGATCAGTCTGAGGATGATATGGAAGAGCGACCTAGCAAATGCCATTCGGTCAGACAAATAAACAGATTAATCAGGACAGAGAACAATAACTCGAGAGTGTGCTACACAAAGAAGATCAAAAGCTCAAATATAAATGCATTATTATTTAAGTAAGTTAAATGTTCATTTTTTTCATATATAACTTGATGCAGGGCATTTAAGTTACAATTCTATTTATATGTACTATATACAAATTACATGTCGGGTAGAAATGAAGGATCATGTAGTTGATATTGCTGGAGACTTAATCTATATTTGATATTTGCTTAGACAGGTCATGACAGTTGTTAATTGGATATTTCTCCCAATTCTTTGAAAGTATCATATAATACATTCCTTAATTTAAATAAGTTCAATACTCTCAATTTTTCATCTTTAAGATGTGCATTGTCACTAGCTTGGCCGCATGGGATTTGTGCAGCGGGAGCATTAAAACACTTTTCGAGGAACCTAATTGATGGGATCGAGCCACCTTCCCTAATGAACAAAGGTTCTGGGGTTCCTGGTCCCCAATTTTTAATCAACTTTTTGTACAAGATTTGATAAACGATATTGGAAGGATCTCCAAGCCATGGTTCAGCTTCATGGAAAATATCAATTGATAATTGATTTTCTGCTGGAGGATTTAATTCTTCGAATTTATCTTGGAGGTATTTGATTAACAGCGCCTTAATCTTTTCTAAATCTTGGTTTGGAACAACTCTAATAGAAATGGATGCCTCAGCAGTCTGTGGGATCACAGTGTTGTTATTTGGCCCTGATACTTCAATTTTGTGGACTGTCAATGAAGGGTTTCTCCATTTAGCTAATAAGGTCTTCAAATCTTGATCTATCAGAACACTTTCATTTGAAGCAGAAAGTTCTATTTTCTTATAAATTTCAATTTCTCTTTCAGTAATTGGCAAGACATCATCATAGAAGTTTGGAATTTGAATTTTGTTAGTTTTTGGGGTTATCAAAGTTCCTAAGATTTGAACCAAGCTCATAGTTGGCTCTTGCAGAACACCTCCATCAACCCCTGAATGCCTATCAGGCTTTTCGGATTTGATCAGGATGGAAGCATTGATTACTCCTCTTAAACCATAGTTAAGGCATGGTATTTGGTCATCTAACCAATAAGAGTTTGAAAGCATAATGAAATCAATGTTTCCAATCAACGATTTGTTGGCATTGATCACTCTTTGGAACCCAATTGACCCACATTCTTCCTCACCTTCTATAATGAAAACGACATCACATGTTAATGCATTTTTGCTATACAATTCAGCAACTGAATAAATGGCTGCCAAAGTTGGACCTTTATTGTCCGAGACACCTCTGGCGTATAGGTTACCATCCTTGGCAGTAAGTGTAAATGGATCTGTCGTCCAATCATCCCTTTCATCTTCAGCGTCGACGACGTCATAATGGGCATACCATAGAAGCCTTTTAGTTGCAGATCCAACGATTTGATTACCGCTATTCCTACTAAAAGCAGCATACACAACTGGGTTACCATTTTCAACAGGTAACATCCTTGTCAGTTTTGCACCAAACGATATCAACAATTTGGTTAAAAACTGGGCACAATGGCGTGAATCTTCAACATATAGGGCAGGGTATCGTGAAATAGTTTTGTACGCAATGTATCTTTGAAGTGATTTCAAGAGAGAATTGTTATCTAATTTAGTTGTTGATTGCAAAGACTTATTTTTAATAGTTACTGCATCAGTTTCAAATTCTGAAAATCCGGAAGCATCTGACGCAATAGATGCACTATCTCCTCCAACGCACTCAGTTTCCGTATTATTGTTGTCCTTAGGATCACCTACTTTAGTTATATCCCATAATCCTAAAGATTTATTACAGCCACTTAATAAGTATGTAATTCCAGCTGAGGTGGTGAAAATCCGAACGGCTAACACTGATCCATAATCTTCTTGGCTGAAGACGCCTTCGGCATTTCCAGTCCCCAATTTACCTCCAATACGAACTTCCTCAAATATCGCTGATTTTGGTGAGTGCAGTTTCAATGTAAGTTTTGATAATCCACCTTTATTAGATGCCTTGAAAATACAATGATTATGGATACCCAAGCTTAGTATTTCATCATTATCAAAGCTCTCTTCATCATCACCATTATAATTGTCGTCGCAATATTTAAAAGATCTGATAAGTTGAAATGTACAAAGGTCCCACACATTGATAGTAGAATTTGACAATCCAGCATATATGTATGAATCTTGAATTGCCATAGACAAGACAGAATCCTGACTATCAAGCGAAGTGATCTTCTCTAAGGAAATTACCAGCCCACCCTTTCCACTTTCATGTTCAGACGTGATACCCCAAAAGTTTATAATCCCATCACCACCACATGAAATAAGTAAATTTTCGTATTTGTCTTGATAGGAGGTTAAAAAATCATTTGATTCAGACTGTTCTTTACAATTAAAAATTTCCATGCAATAGACATACCCATTATGAGCAAATCTTATTATATCATCGTTTGTAATCTCCATTAATTTCGGTTTGAGTGACTGTTGCGTACGCTTACTTGAATTCTTGGCAAATTCTCTATGAAGTTGATGTTTTGATTGTAAATAATTTATTGATCCACCTGGACCCTTGGAATCAAAGAATTTGTCATAACGGAAATGAGGGAGTCTTTCCAAGTTAGCATTTAGTGCTTGATAATGGACACCCACGCTGCCAGCGTTAACTTCTTCAACGCTATCGCTGGCCGCAACACTAACGTACTCTTCCGATATGCTATCGGAAGATGTAGAATAGCTAAGGTCGGAATTCCTATGGAAGCAGAGAGAACACCACAATATTGAAGCATTCTGAGCCCCAATGAATAATGTAGATAAGCTGTTAGACCACGAAATGGAGAAGATATCACCAATGTCCACCAAAGAATAGATAATATGAGTACAATGGATTTCGTTCAGTGCATTGGATGAGGGCTTGTTCGTAGTTGTTGATAAGTCCCAAACCTTAACCAAAGAGTCACTCCCCCCACTAAATAAGTAATTTTCGTCTTGGCTCAAGGTCAAGCAAAGAATTGATGAGCTGTGGTCTTTACTGCCACAAGGTATCTCATGCTTAAGGCTGTAATCGTCCATATCGAACAAAAGTATCTTGGAATCTTGGGTACCACAGATCACCAAATTTTTCAGAGGTGCGGCGATGACACATAAGATTGAATGCGAATGGGTCCATTCGTGTACTAAAGTAGGGCCAATCACCAGAGCAGACGATGGTGATATTGATCTGGTTACTGTCTCATCAACCACACGAACAGGCGTGATTTTGGACGCTTCAGAATCATATAGATGACTATTATTGTTCCCAATGTTACTGGTAGAAGGGCCATGAATAAAAGACAAGTCAGGCAGAGCGATGCGATTAGGGGTCTCGGGACCAGGAGTTCCCGACGTGCTTATCGGCAATGGCCTTGAAGGTAGCGGGATATATTCGCCTTCATGTATATTTCCACGATATGAATGCACTTTTGGTTTATGTTCGGAATTGGCCCTTGGCAGATTCATTCTCCTTAATGACAACGGTATGTGAGAAAGAATGAATGGTGGAAAATGTGTGAAAACAAAATTACTCTTGGGACTTACGTATTATAAATAATTCGCTGAAATGAATGCTCGTGTAAACCCTAATTTTTGGCTAAACTGTGGTTTTATCTCTACACTTGTTTATATGTTTTCTTAGCTCTTCTCCGGAATCTGATATGTAAGAGAAGTTTCAATGGAGCCACAATTTTGATGACACGAAAAAAATCCTCTATCTACTCTCTATGTGTGACACTGTTATCTCAGATCGTTGCACGTGACATGATGAGGTTAGCCAGAATGCGCACGAGAGTAGAGGAATATTCAGTGCGAGACGATCGAGGCTTATTGGTGAGAGATGGAGATGATTGGCAGAAGAGAACTGTTTTAAGTCAAATTCTATAAGAGCTAAGACTGTTATGTGATTGGTGAGAGGAGTTATGTTAATGAAGTCTTTGGGAACAGCAACTTCAATTGTACAATGAAAACTAACCGATACTTCAGCCTTTCGTACTGTTCATGCTTTTCGTGTTGACTGAGGTGAGTTTTCAAGCTTTTCGAGCTTTTTAGTGGTTTTCTCCTTGGGCTTGCATGCCTTGAGAGCTGATGCTCCAAGATGCAAAGAGAAGAAAATAGACATAGAAGTTAAAAGACTTCCCGCATGGAAATACAGCATGCAAATACGAATATAATTCCGATACCTTGTAGGCGTGAAAGGGAAATAACGTCGGGTGAAAAAGGCTTCGGGCTTCGGTCATTAATAGCGGTTACTCTTTTGGTAACAAAATATTTTTTCTGTTTTCTTTCTTTTTTTTTGACCCCATGTACTTTTCGTGGAGCATCTGCATAATAATGTTATCAACATTGACAAGTTTTGTCGAGACGTTAGCCCTATCTTTGACTCTCACTCCCCTGTATTTCTATCAACGACTTGTATTCCTTGTTTCGAGAGCAAATTCAGACCCATAAAGGAATAGTTTTCTGTTTTCCGATTGTATTCTTTACTTATTCCAAGCAAAAAACTTTAAATTCGAGTGCCAAGGCGCAATTTGGCCGTTGGGACCTAAAAACCCGAGAAAAGTGGTACCGAAACCTGACATGAAATGGAAGACTGAAAAGAGCGTAGCGGGAAAAGAGTATAGCGACTGAAGAGTAGCCCAGCCGTTCTCCCAAGCGCTCTATCTTCTCGCCTCCTAGCTCTTACTTTTCCAACCGCAAACGAAGTGTTGTATTGTAGTTTCCCTAATGCGTTTCATGACCTTCCGTTATTGGCTTCCTTTAGAGGAAGGCTCACTTTTTTACTCACCAACATCATCGGTTTGCTGCGAAAAGGCAGAACAACAATACAGCACCAATTTCTGCAACCAGGCAATCGCCATAAAAAATACTGCCCCAGGGAAAAAAAAAAGAAAGAACAAAAAATTTTCTCTCTCCCCTTTCGGAACTGTCACACGATGGGTTTCCTAAATAAAATTCTCACATACAAAAGGGTTGCATTTTCTTGTAGTTTTTAAAAAAAGCACCCAATAATTATTTTACCTACCAACCTTCCAGTAATTCTGTTGTAACTATAAGCTTATTATAGCTATTTTGTTCTTAAACAGATTTCAATGAAGTTTGCACATTCTCTTAAGTTCAACGCAGTGCCAGAATGGCAAGACTATTACGTCAACTACCCTGCCTTGAAAAAGACTATTTATAAACTTCAACAAGAACAATTACAGCAAGAAATCGGTAACAATGGTATAGATCTAACCACGGTCACTGAATTGTTAGAACTGGAAAGTAAGAAACTTCATGAAGAAAGCAAAGTTTCCGATAGTAATGTCAAAGATTCCGCAATCAATAATTCTTCTGATGAAGAGAATGCGGACGACAAGCATAAATTCTCATCAAAGCTTTTAAACAGATTCAAAAAGAATAAGAAAATCACATTTGATGCTGACTTAGAAAGTGGTGATAAGCATTCAGTCTCCAGTTTCACCGTAGAAAGTGAAACCTATGCGTTCCACCGTTTCATTAACTCTTCAGATGAAGAAGGCTTTGACACCTTGAAAATCTTCACGAAGCAACTATTGCAACAATTGCAAAAGATTGATGAGTTTTACATGCAACGCCAACGTAAGATCTTCAAAGACTATGACAATTTGGTAAAAGATTTAGAAAGAAACGAAATTTTCATAGAAGAAATCTTCAAACGTACGCAAGCATACAACCAAAACCCTTTAAAGTATAGAAGAAGGTCTATTGTTACTGAGATGAAGATAGATAACCTTACTGGTTCTTCTTCAGCTACTCTCAATAGTGCAGACTTGGAAAAGCAAGATACTCATGTCACTTCTATCGCAGAGGAATCAGACGAAGATTCGGAAGAAGATGAAGACGATGATGATGACGACGATGAAGAAGAACATCAACATTCTCATAATTCTGCTTTATTAGATCATTCGCATTTCCAAGTAGATCAACAGAAGAGAATTGCCCTTAAGAAAAAATCTACAAACATTTTCATTGAGCTTTCAGAATTGAAGTCCTTCATCGAATTGAACAAGATTGGTTTTACCAAGATTACCAAGAAATTTGACAAATCATGTAATTATGCCATTAAGCAGGATTTTGTCTCAAACTTCTTACCAAGCAATTCACAAGCCTTCGTTCCAAAGACTTTGGCTACCATTGATTCCAAAATCAATGAAATAATCAAAATGTATGCCTTTATGATTGACAAGTTAAACCCAGCAACCACTGCAGCAGACTTAGAGGATATCAAACTCGAATTGAAATCTCATTTACGTGACCACATTGTCTGGGAAAGAAACACTGTCTGGAAAGATTTACTTTCTTTGGAGAAGAAGTCTTATGATTTGGAATTACACAAGCATGCGGGTGCTCATAATAACAAGATGGGTGATGAATCTAACGTTGTAAACGACATGATTTTACAACTAAACGTTAAATCGTATAAGTTGCCACGCGCTGTATTCGGTTATGAATCCATTTTGCTCCCAGCATCCTTATTAACTTGGCAAGTGTTTAAGCTAGTCTTAATTACAATTGTTTTCATCATTTTAATGACGGTCAAGACTATGAATGACCCAGAGGAACACCGTTGTTTAGCAGTATTGGCTGCATGTGCATTGCTTTGGGCAACAGAAGCAATCCCATTGTATATTACCGGAATGTTGGTACCATTTTTGACAGTTACTTGTAAGGTTTTGAAAAATACAGATGGCACAGGACATATGACAGGAGCTGATGCATCCGACTATATTTTAGGTGTGATGTGGAATTCTACCATTATGTTGTTAATGGGTGGTTTCACTTTAGCTGCTGCCTTATCGAAGTACAATATCGCTAAAATTATCTCCTCATGGATGCTTGCAGCCGCTGGTACTAAGCCAAGAAACATCTTGTTAGCAATTATGGCCATTTCATTGTTTTTAGCTATGTGGATTTCGAATGTTGCAGCTCCAGTTTTATGTTTCTCATTGATTCAACCTGTTTTGAGAACATTACCCACAACTTCTCCCCTCTCACAAGCTTTGATGATGGGAATTGCCTTGGCATCAAACATGGCTGGTATGGCATCACCAATTTCTTCTCCTCAAAATATTATTGCAATTGAGTCTATGTCACCAAACCCAGGTTGGGGTAATTGGTTCGCTGTTGCCTTACCAGTTTCTATCATAGGAACTCTCGGTATTTGGGTTATGTTACTATTCACATTTGACATTTCTCACGTAAAGGTTCAAGCCTTCAAGCCTATGAAGGATAAATTCACCGTCAAGCAATGGTATATCATGATAGTTACTATTGGTACCATTTTGTGTTGGTGTTTCATTGGAAACCACCATATGGCAGGATTTTTAGGAACATCAGGTATTATTTCAATCCTTCCAATGATTCTTTTCTTTGGAACAGGTTTATTGACTGTTCAAGATTTAAATAACTTCCCTTGGAGCATTATCGTCTTAGCCATGGGTGGTATTGCCTTGGGTAAGGCTGTATCATCATCAGGTTTATTGAAGACCGTCGCCGAAGCTTTACAAGACAAAATCATGGATTTTAATATGTATGCTATTGTCATGATTTTCGGTATCTTAATCTTAGTTGTTGCAACTTTCGTCTCTCACACTGTTGCCGCTTTGATTATTGTTCCATTAGTCAAGGAAGTTGGTGAAAGTTTACCAACTCCACACCCATTACTCTTAATTATGAGTACCACTTTAATTGCATCTGCTGCCATGGCATTGCCTACCTCTGGTTTCCCTAACGTTACAGCCATTAGTATGACGGATGAATTGGGTCAACGTTATTTAACAGTGAATACATTCATTACCAGAGGTATCCCTGCATCCATCATTGGTTATATATGTGTCGTTACCATCGGTTATGGTATCATGACAGCAATTCAATTCTAAAAGTAAAAAGGAAAATGCTAGACGAAGAAAAAACAATATATATATATTTGTTATTTAAGGCTAATTATTTACAATAAAAGTTTAAATATTTTATATCGCTTGTAGAAATTGGTTATGTTTTGTAACTGATTAGTAGGAGTTCAATCATGCCGCGGAAAAGGCATTACTCACTACATTGGAATACTTATGGAAATGAAATTTATATTAAACATACCATGAATGGCTAAAGAATGAAATAATCTATGACTAAGTAAATATTCTTATTTTCTCCTCTTGTGCTCTGATTTATTCGGATAGGTCTCCCCGTATAATCGAGGTAGACACCGATCTACTTCCTTATATTGGTATTTTGATGGAAGGTTCTTACTTGAATCATCTTCGTGGTGTTCAAAGCTCTTTGTATGGAATTTGACTAAGAAGTACAAGAATCTTTAATTTTTGTATAAGCTCTAAGCATTAATACTTCTCCCTTCAACTATGGCCCAAAAAGATTGAGTTTAACTTGATAGTATACGCCTGCCTCATCCATAGTTTTGAAGAGCCTTGCTAATCCAGGTGCCCAAGTTGGACTTGTGAAGGCCCATTGAAGCGCATGGGCTAAAGAGTGAGTCTTTTTGGATTCGTCGAGTAATGGTTGTATTTCAATACCATCTAATGCTCCAGCGTTATACAACTTAGAAACCACAGCAGCACCAATAGTGTACAAGGAGGAAGTATGATCTAAGGATTGCTTGACCAAATCCAAAACAAAACCAGTTTCGTTGAGTGCAACCAAAATGTCGTCAATAGAAGTGCTAACAAGACTAGATTGGAGTACACTATTAGCTATATTATTGAGGAATGCTTCGGCTGAACCTTCAGTTCCATTTTCGTTACGTTTAGTATTGCTGAATACTGCTTGCTTCTGACTGTCTGTACTGAAGTTTGGATCCTTAGACGTTGAGTTCTGAATTAAATCAGCAAGAAAATCAATTGTTATTTTTTTACCATCACCGGTTGCTTTCAATACTTCAGCAACCCATGGGACAGACTTCAAAACATGCCCAACTACACCTGCAAGTTTGTCATTAGTTGCATTGTTGAGTAATAATCCAGAGGCAGTGGATTGAATTATCCCACTCAGCATTACCTTATCTAAAAGCTCTGAAGTGTTAAGAGAGATATTAAGGGACAATCCTGACGATGATGAAGAGTTACCGCTGAGTAACGAGATTGCCGTGTTAGCAAGACTATCTAAAGTAGAATTGGAAGCTGCTACCAGGTCTACAAGCGTCCAAAGAGCACCTGACAGATTCACGGCTACCAATACAGATTCTATAGCTTGGGCTGATGCAGACGTATCATCTCTTTTTGAAAGAAGTAACTCTTCAGCAAATGAAAATATATCGTCATAAAATTCTTCTCCGAATTCTCTTTCTTCTAAATTGAATTCAAAATTAGTTGGTGCTACTGCTCCTTTTCCAGCAACAAAAGTGAAAAATGTGACAATGGGTATTATTTTAAAGAACTTCATATTGCCTTACAATAGATAAATCCTTCAACAGTTAGAAACGAAATCAAATAGATGATAATTAGCTCAAGAAAAGCGGATGATAGTAGATTTAAAAAAAAAACTGAAAGCAGATGGCAGTGTAGGTGGTTTTTACTTCCTTTTTACATCCCCAATGAACTTTAAATCATCATTGCCTAAAAGGGAAAGATGCATATAATGCTGCGAATTTAGAAACCGCACCGCATTCTCCGCATTTGCGAAGATACCCCAAGAGGGCTCGCGAAACAACTCAAATTTGCACCCAATTTCAGCATTCTTGAAGCAAATCGGGTTATGACCATAAATTTTTTATTAACTTTACTAGAACGTTGGTAGAAATAGAAAAGGAAAAGAGCCAACACTATGCTAATACATTTTATATTATGGATACTTTCAAATGTGAGTACCAATTAAGGTTTGTCAGTATTTTGAGCGCCAAATGCTTGAGCCAGTTGAAGTTACAACTTTACTTGGCTGCTATTACATATGAAAATGAACCTGAGTATCTACCATTATTCTATCAAGTTAGGATCGTGGTCATTTGAAGTGAACCAATACAAATGTCTCTAAAATAGAAAATTGTATCTTTCACAAGATAGAGGTTTGGAACATGTCTACCAAAATAGAAGTAGAAGAGAATTTAAACAATAGCAAGAAAATTGTTAAACACGAGAGGGTCCAAACTTGATAAAAATAAATTTCCAAACTCTTGATTAACCTTTTCTTTACAAGATTTGTTTTTATATTCTATACCTGAATTCCATTTACGTCAAGTCATACCTACAAGAGTTATCCTGGGATAGAAATTTTTCTACTGCATATTCACACCCTAATATATCCAGTTCTGCATATAAAATGTGCTCATCGTAAATTTCTTGATGTCATACCTATTTAGGAAGGAGCCAAATCTCTTTATTCCCAATATGGTAATTTTCGAACAGCTGCAATTGTAGATATACATTACCACTAGTATTAGTGCTTTGGCAACTTGCCTATTGAGTATAAACTAGGATTACCCCCTGTACGAGTAAAAAGCCTTTATTGATCGAATGATATCTCACCTTTTTTTAAAGAAATTCAATTTCTAAAAATTTATACCACTTCTTTTTCTTTTCATTCTCATTAGAATTAAGAACTATTGTAATAAGAGTCCTTATTTTATAATAAAGTCCAATATGAAGTTTACATCTTACTTAGCTACGGGTTTACTTTTAACCACTAGCTGTATTGCTACTCCGATGGCACTTCCTGTTCCAGACTCTAAATTTGAAATTCAATTAGTTGATGACGGAATATTTGAAAGGGAAGCAACTGAACTAATCAACCAATTCATAACTAAATTGAATGGAAATCTCGACTTGTCGAAGAGAGATGAATCTACTATAGCTAATATTTTAATTCAAGTGAATAAATCGGGTATAATTTTTGAACTTTTGGACTATGTTGCAGATAGTGATTCTATTATCAATACTATATCAAATGCTACTGAAAATCTAATTTCTGGTGTCAATATCAGTCTGTTATTGAGTGGTGGAGGACTGTCATCATTGCTTAGTTCTCTCAATCTCACCCAAATTCTTGGCGTCGTTCAGGATTCTGGATTATTGCAATCTATACTTGATGGTACTTTGCTTGATACTAGCTTCCAACCAACTATTGCTGGCATCATTGAAAAAGCAGTCAGAGCAAATGAAGGTCTTCTTGCAATGATTTTCAATACCTATTTGAAACCAGCCTCAAATTCAAAGAGACAGTTAAAGGCCGTAACTTCTGATGGAGCTATTGTATTTTCTCCTAGTGAATCGAGTGCTGTTGATTCCATTCAGTCTCAACTTTCGACTGCTTCAATCACTTCTTTAATTTCTTCCGTTGCTTCAAGAGTATCTACTGCAGGAACCACTTCGAAATCAGCAGCCACTAGTTCAGTAAAAGGAACCACTTCTACTACAAAGGCTAGTGCCACAGTGTCTGCTGGAAATTCTTCGTCTTCCTCATCCGCTGCCTCCTCCACTGCCTCCTCCACCGCTGATACTAGTGGATCTTTAAGTTCATTTGCTGGCAATATTGCTGGAGAAGTTTTGGGATCTCTGGTTTTCATAGGCACACTTAATGACACGCTTGTGGCCTTAAATGACACAGGTGTCGCTCTTTACATTATCAAAAGGATTCTTTCAACTGAATCTTATATTGACATGTTTGGTACGATCATCAGTAATGTTATGTACTCAGGAGCCCTTAATGTTACCGCTCTCACATCATCAGTCAACATAACACAGCTTCTTGACAAATACTTAGATGATCCAGAAAAACTTCTCGGATTGGCTTCTTCAGTTCTCTCTAGCAACAGTTCGTCCTCGCTGTCGTCAAGTTCTCCTGACTACAAAGGAGCTTTAGAAAATATTGTTTCTATTATGGAAAATGATGGACTTTTCGTTGAATTGAACAGTTATCTTTTCCCAAGTTCTTCCACTGCTGGTAATAAAGCTGTTGCAACTTCAACGTTATCTACATCCACCAGTGGAAGTACTTCAACCGGTTCTTCATCTACTTCATCGAAAGCCGAAGGAAGTAGCGTTATTATTCCAGGCTCCTTCATCAGTATCATTTTAGGAGGTGCCTTATTTTTCTTATAAGAAGTAAGTTCAAATTAGAAATCAAACCACCCATTTAGAGGTCGAAAAGAAGAACTGATGTCATTCTATGACAAATAAAAGTAAAAGTAAACAAATAGGCCCTCAGGAGACAAACTAGTCTGAAACAACGTCTGTTTCGAACTTCATTATTACCCAAGTTTAATCCATGAGAATCCACCTAACACACATTATCAATTCCAATTTGATTCCCATTTCAATTTCGTCACCTCTTTTTATTTTCTTTCCACGTTACGGTTAATTTAATTAGACCTATATATATCGGCTCATTAATATAAAATGTCCTTGAGTGTATTGTAGAAGACAATTAATGAAAAGAATGTTGACAGACAACAAGATGGCAAGATTCAAAGATAGTTATTCTATTTCTATTTACCTTTATCTACTTTAAATTTACTTACTGGCTCTCTATTCCAAAATTTCTTTCTGTGCTTCAGCAAAAATTCTTGGGTACTTGTCTGAATCTATCCTTTTATAGTCATCTTCATCTATTTTAATCACTCCTCTCTGTTCTTTAATTTTAAATTGGACTAAAGTCAACAAGTTATAAAGGACCAGTAAAATTGGAGCGTCAACGTTGTTCTCCTTCGCAACTATCAATGGATTCCCTAAGATAATCTCCAACTCCATAAGTTGTCCCTTTCTATGATCCACCAACATGGAAGGGGAATAAAATAATCCGTCACCAATGTGAATAAACTTATCCTTGGATGATGGTTCGAGAGTGACACCATCACTTGCTGCAATCTTTATAATTTCATCCATTGCAGGTCTAAAGAGTGTTTCATTGGCAGATGCAATTTGGCATCTATTGACATCCAAGTCAACAAGTGCAGTAACAGTGTTCAAAGCTGAATTGTAGATCAACTTTTCCCATCTTGACTTCTTTACATTTGCATCAAAGTTCACCTTATTGATCGCCTCGTCTTCATGTTGATATAACTCCATGAACTCTTTCACCTTCGCATCGGCTCTCTCATAATATTCTTCAGGATTTGGATGGTTCTTGTTCTCAAAAATCCCCACAAATGATTGGTCCTTGTGCAGATTATGGACCTTGCAATTTAAATTAGTTGAACCAATGAATTGAATGTCACTTAAGACTACGTTATCTGGGAATTGCTCTTGCATGGGTTTTTCAATACCCATTCCATTTTGCACCAAAATTATGGTTGTCCTTTTCTCAGTAACAGCTGGTCTAATAATATCCTCACAGGTCAACCCACCATCTGGAATATTCTTTGTAGTGAGTACAATGTAGTCGAATTCTCCGAACTTGGTGACGGCATCTTGAACAGTCTTAGTGACATGTGGAGGCTTCCAATTATTTATCTTACCATAGGTTACGGAATCAATATCATAGCCATACTTAATAACGTGTTCGTAGTCGGACCTAACAACAAGAGTTACGTCACATTTTTTATTTATGGTAAGGGCCAATGCAGCTATGGTTCCAACACCACCTGCACCGACGACTAAAACATTAGGAAGTGACATATTCAGTAACGAGCTTCCAAAAAGATATATCTAGCGAGAGAAAAAGATCCTTGAAATAAAAAGAAGGCGATACTTTTAGTTAGATATATGATGCTTCAATATAATAATAGCAAAAAGCGTACAAATATATACCTCTTGAAGTGCTTAGTCATTTTGTATAGGAAGGTATAGAATTTTCCATTCAATCTTAGCGGTTCTGCGGAGAAATCAGCGGCGCGGAATCGGAATTTCCTCTCCTGCTAATACCGAAAAATGTCCCACCTCCCCAGACCGACATCTTCATATTCCTTCAATTACCGAAGTTGTCTTAATGTGGTCGTTATTCTGATATCGGATAGCGTTTGAATGGCAGAAGAAGTTTTCATTTTTGATTAACAAATCACAGTGATCATAACGATCTTTTGTGCCAACTCTATTCTTTTGTATTTGTACCGTCTATAGTGTATTGTTCTATATTATACTACACAGTTCTACTCTATTCTAGTCTATTGCTTGTTTAATGTTTTTTTTTCCGTGGCTACTGTAATATCGAATCAAGTTCTAACGGAAAGTATTCTCCTTTACCCTCATAACTGAAAAACTCTCTTGACTGTATGATCTTTAACTCAAAGTACTTCATTGAATCACCGTCGTTTATTTTACCCACTTTAGATGACGACCGACTAGCTTTGTCGTTATTAAATGCTTTCAATCCCAAAGAATGCGTTAATTTGAGTGTTTTGGTCATTATTGTTAACACTTGATTCACAGAATGTACAAGCAAGCCTTTATCGCCTTCTCGGTACAGGTTTGATTGTAAATTGGAGTATACTTTATCTAAAAGTAAAGCACTGAATAAATCTCCAACTCCAGTGAAATATGACTTTATGATGGGTATTTTAAACAAGTTGATTGAGTTGTCGTAAGATGCAGTTGAGGTTGCGCAGTATATGTAATCGCTTTGAAGACCTTCCAAATCTGTCAAGCTGGAAACTACCACATACTTGACTCCATATGTCTTATGAATGTGGTTAACGCACCACTTCAAGTCATCGACAGTTTGTACCTTTTTCTCACATAATAATTCTAATTCAAACTGGTTAGGGGTTATTATGTCAACAATTTTAGTAGACAATAACTTCTTGTATTGTGAGATACAAGTTTTGTCGACGTAAAGGTAGCCTTGATCTCCCATGACCGGATCCAATAAATAAAGCAAGCTCGAAGAAGACTTCATAAATTTTACGTAAGCTGCTATTGATGCGATTAGTTCTTCATTTGGTACATATCCAGAGATAATTGCATTATACTCTACTCCGATATTCGATATACCTTCAAAAATATCTTCAATTTCCTGCTTCTTCAAGGAAGTTCCCTTGAAGGAACCATAACCAGTATGGTTCGAGAAATTCACCGTATTTATCCCATCAACTTCCCAACCTTGACACTGAAGTGGGAAGATAGCTGCTTTACCTCCAACATATCCATGGACCACATGAGACTGTATTGAAAGGAGAGATTTAGACATGATCCCCGAATTTGATTAAGACAACAAGGAATTAAAACAGAGATTCAAATCAACTAAAGTAACACAAATAAGACTGTGTCAACGTTCTCAGAAGTATATCGTTAGCTTTTTGACTTGGTGTATTCAAAAAATCCTTCGGTGCCGTACTTTCACATTTAAAGCTCTCAGTTGATGACTCAATTGATAAGCAGTCCAAAGATCATCGCAAAAACGAGCGCAAAAAGAAATGATCTCAATCCTGTACATAGGCGAGACTGTCGCAAAATTCCATTTGAGAAGCTGATAGTGGAGCTCTCTAAGTAGTGCTGTTCGCATTAGCAGGTTCACTAGTATGGCCACCTTTATTCGGTAGTATTATAATGTCCCATAGTCGATGTTATGCATCTGATTGGATTGCACCTAAAAGTAAGCAAGTTTTAGCAAGACTGAGCGGGAGAGGACCCTCAAAATAAGACGGTAGTACGTGGGAACAAAGCTACTGAAGATTTCCTAATGGCATGCAAAATATGTAAGCGAATATGGGATTTTAAGAGAGTTGTTTACCTTACAATTTACAAGGGATCACGGATTAAGGCAAGGGACTCAAAGCGGCATTAGATTGCAACTTCGATCCCACATCAATCTTGCAGCAAATCTATTTTGGGTAATTGGGTAGTTGCACCCTTGTTTACCACATCCCACAGAGAAAAAGAAGTTCTCTGCAATTGAAGAAACGTGATCTCGGTTTGCATGCATAGAGATAATTTTACAGTGGTTAATATGCACTCCATGTTATTCAATTGTGTCAACTAGACAAAAAAATCATGCAAGAAAAGGACACGTATGCTAATATGACCTTCTAGAACAGGGCCAATTACGACACTGAGGAGATCCCATCGGCTTAAGTTCGGTATTATATACATTGGATATTAAAGCTTGCGTAAGTGCTGCAATAGATTGTAAAAGCGTTAAAAATATTTCACTAGAAAAAAATAATAAATGATTGAATAAGGTATTCGTTTGACATAGAGAAGGTAGTAAGGGAATAACATTACCCTTCTGAAGTTTTTTACTATCTATGGATAGTGGGGAACAAAAATCTTTTTTTTTGTATTCTTAAAATAGGCTGAAATAGCTTGGAACTTACAATGGAATTGATTCGAATCCGGTCGAATGTAACAAACTAGAGCCAAATAGGAGAAAAGAAATTTTTGGAGAAATTTGCACCACAAAAACGTTAGTAAATAATAATAATCATGCGTAGATGGAAAATGAGCAAGAAAAAGATGTACCAGGAGGAACACAGCATGCATAAGGAGGTAAGCATCTGTCTGGGCGTTGTACCACTTCTTTCCATGTAAGAAAACCATTCAATAACTGTAGCAAAGAATTAATTACACCCTCAACTGCCAAAAACCCATTGGTATGTAGGCTCAGGGCTCTTCTCCCCCTGAACGCGATATTCGTTTGATTGTCTGCCATTTCCGCCTGGTTAGGGATAGCAACAGGGCTTGTGCTGGTTTCATGTTTTTATGCCATGTACCCGCTCTCGCTCTATATTTAGGTGAACTGAGAGTTAGACGTATTTTTCACTATTACGGTTATTCTCAGAATTCTTTTTTTTTTTTTTTCTGTTTTTGATTTTTTTTTTTTTAGTCTGTCCCACACTGCACCGTTTCGAGGCGAAGTGGTGAACTAATTATTTCCAAGGTCCGATGAAGAGGATGTTTAATGCATAGAATGGTAATAATATCGCTCTGGTGTGTAATAGAAGCTCCAAAGCTAAGGAAAAATAATGGATATATCTCGTTCTGTGTGGGAATATTACTTATTTGGACCAAATGATACTGGCGTGTGTGTGTGTTTGGGCGTTGAATTGGCGTTGAATTGGCGTGAGATTGTTAGAAGTGTTTCAAAATATCATTGACGGCTTTGAAAGTTGCTGCACAATCTATTATAACTCTCGGACGAGGTGAGAGTTTATTTCATGCGCACACCCAAACACCCCGAGGACCTTCCCCATAGACTTTGTTCACCTGCTACTTGTAAACCCAGTTGTCTCTTACTACCAAATTCTTTTTGTTTACGTTTTAAGCCTTTGCTACAGGAATGCAAACCTTCAAGCCAACTCGTATGAGCTTAAAATTCTAGATTTTAACTATTTCGAAACTCTTTTAATTCCTACTCCTCTCCTTTCTACCAAGGAAGGCGCAAAGAGACATTCGTGTATGGTTTGAGCCCGTGCGGTATTTATTATTTTTTTTCTGTAACTATAAATATTATTACTATTGATAGATGCGAGCACGCACGACCCCTCTCTGCACTTTCACAGTCTCTCCCCACCGAAAAGCAAAGGTTAATCGTCGATCCAGTTTGAAAATTATATAAACCCTGCAGCAGAAGGCAAAAATCTAAATCACCTAGTAACAAATTCACAAACACTTTTTTTGCAAAGCTTTTTTTTTTACTTACAACACACATTTCTTTGATAGTGTTCTTTACATTTCATCTTTTCATATTTTTGTCTTGTCGTTTGTTGTTAATCAAGAATGTCTACTGAGTTCAAATCAACCCTTCCACCTCGTAAGAGAGCTAAGACTAAGGAAGAAAAGGAACAACGTCGTGTGGAGAGAATACTTCGTAATAGAAGAGCTGCTCATGCTTCAAGAGAAAAGAAACGTAAACATGTAGAATACCTTGAAAGTTATGTGTTGAAATTAGAGGCAAACTTGGAAAAGTCTCAAGGTAACTTTCTTCGTTTGAAAGACCTTGTTGATGGTAGCGTTGTTGAAAAGGCTCAGGTTACTGACCTTGACGATTTAGTGCAACTCAAAGAACAAATACATTCAAATTTGAACAATAGTGCTTCAAATAACTCACATGAGGATGATGGTGAAGATGATGATGAAGACTGTGAAGTGAAGAGTGAATCTTTTTCTACTCCAACAAAGAAGAGAAAGTTATCAGAAGATTCTATAAAAACTGAAAATGTTGAAGCTTCCATTCCACCTCCAGTTACTACCGTCACTTCTGCTCCAGTTGTTTCGACTCTCCCAGTCGTAAAATCTACTGGCAAGGATGATCTTCTTTCCATTTCTCCAGATAACAACTCATACTACAACTACCTTTCACCTATTTCGATGAATTCACCAATGAGCTCACCAATCGATTTAAAGCTTGAAACTGAAGCTAGTGAGCAACTTCCACAACTAACTTTAGATAATGGTTCTTTATCACCAGAATCAGAACTTACAAGAGGGTTTAATTCAATGGGGCAAAATTCAGAAGTAATTTTGTTGCCAAAAAGCTATGATAATATGATGATGTCAATCCATTGTTGAAACTAGAGAAGAGTGATACATTTGAGATGTTCTCTGCTTGTCCAATAGAAGTGTATTTTCAAAAAAAAATAAATGAAGGGCTGGTACCTTTTTTTCAATCGTTTAGATAGTATATTAATTTAGGGCTTAACTATCAGGAGATATTTGGATTCTAAATTAATGTACGTGAGAAAGTCTGACATGGTTAGAAAAAAGGTCTGGCACTTTTTCACTACTATTTGCGGATTTATAGCATAGAAGTAACATCTTGAGCATGTATCCTCAATTGATTCTCTTGCTTTAACAGCTTTTTCTCACGTATTATTTTAGTCTTTTTATGGTCTGCAGCACCAATTAATTCCCACATGTTTGATTTGCCTTCTGGTGATTTAGATAACAACTATCTTTTAGTTGATGGACAAGTTCATAATCAACAAAATTCAGTTTCGCAATTTATAAAGCTTGAAAATGACCAAAAGATTTCTGAACTCTCTCAACTTTCACATCAACATGATATTGATACTGAATTTTCCAGTTATATTAATATTGATGAATTTTTACAGTTATAGAGAAGTAGGAAAGAAACGGTTTAATTTTTGGGTTTTATTTAATTCTTAGACTCATAAACATACAACATTGGTTTATGGTCTTAATTTTTAATGGTAATATTTGGTTTGGTTTTGAATATGATAAAGGAAAAAAAATATAAAAATATAAAAATAACAGTATACGGATAAAACAGAAAATACAAAAAAAACTTAAAAAATATAAAAACGGAAAAAAAAAGGCTAATTTTTTCGTATAAGTCTATTTGATATGTTTTTTAGGAATATTGTTTTCAGGTTTACTAGTGACTTCAGCGGAGTAGTAGTTCAAATGAATGAATTAACATTGATTCTAACGGCGCTCATCAATATGGTTAGATGCGACGATTATTAAAGTTTATCATTGATTATGAATTTCGAAATGGTGAAAGGAACAGCAACTGAAAAGTTTACTACTATAAACTAATCTTTAGATCCAATTCCGCTTTTATATTTAGTAACTTTTGTATTGTTTATAGGTTTTTAATATATTTGATATTATTTTAATTACATTGATTGTAGAGCCTTCGTAAATAAGAACTTTAGCGTAAGGTTGAGAGACCGCTTTATTGAGGATGTATAGAAGAAATCATGCGGTCCCCTCTGCAGAGTATATACAGTACGTTTGAAGGCAATTTCATAAATAATTAAGCAACCTTAGAAATACTTCAATAAGCTCATTTATTACCTTCTAAAATAGCTAGTATGCTTGAATTGGTTGATTTAGGAGAGGACATCATTGTATCAAATGTGATACCGTACTTGAAAAGTGCAGATATATTCTCATTGTCTATGACATCACAACTTCTCCACAATATGCTAACCACTAATGAAACTTATCATCAACTATATCTTAAACATTTTGGAACCAAGCCAGTTCCATTGAACTTAGAGAGCTATTGCTGGGAGGAATTATTCAAACTCAGAATTTCTTCGAAAGCTAAATTCTATACCTGGGGGACGAATGATTTTGGTAGGTTAGGTCATGATCCAAGAGATCTTTTGAAACATAAACGGTTTGGCGGGATAGATATCCCACTTGTAGTGAATGATCTCGAAGGCAAGATTATTACAGCAATTGAAGCTAGTGGTTATTCCTTTCAAGTTTTGACTAATTCAGGGGAATTATATTGGACTGGTCAACTTTGGAAGAAGAATTACTCTTCTCTGCCGGGGCCAATTGCAAAAGACTTTGAGCCACCACCACCACCACGAAGTGCTTCTGGAAGGAATGCAACTGGAATTTTTGGCATACCAGGATTACCAGGGATGGCACGCAGGTATCAAAATCCTCACCCAAGAGAATCTTCAACGTCAAATAATGAAACGCAGATTCATGCTGAAACAAATCCCAACTTAAGGTTACCTCCAGAAGAGCAAGTTAACCGATTGAACTTGGCAAATGTGAGATCTCCAAGACCCAAGTTGAGCAACACCCACCAATTTCATTTACCCATAGTTCTGGATCTGCTGGGAGCACTCGGACCGAAGTTAATATCGATATCGAGTGGCCGAGAACATGTTATTGGGTTGGATGAGGAAGGAAAAGTTTACAGTTGGGACACTGGAATATCAGGCTCAACGGGAGTTGAAATGATATTCCCAAACATTCCTTATGAAGATCATAAAGTTACAAAAATTTCTGCAGGTTGGAATCTTTCTGCCTGTTTCGTCGAGAACCATGGTTTGATTGTGTGGTACAGCAGGGAAAGTATTAGCAAAGAGCAGTACTATGAACAAGACTTTAAAGCGAAAGCTAATTATATTTTGGTTCCTGGAACTCAGGAGAATAGAATTATTGATTTTCTATGTGGGGTAGATTACGTTTTATATATAAAGGGTAATGGGAAATTATATAGATTCGATATAGATGCACAGGGATATTTCGATGGAAGAGCTGATAGAAACTTAATCGGTTCACCATTTGAAGTGCACAAATTCAACCAATGGTTATCGAACCTTAATCTTGAAATAGTAGGAGAGGGTGTTAAATTTTCAAAAATTACTGGATGTTATCATAGTTTTGCTATTTTCACGAATGATGGAAGAGTTTTATTAGGTGATTCTAATAGAAGCAGATACGTTGAAATCGAGGACGATAGTGACGATGATGAAGATGAAAATGGACCTCGCAACCCAATTGTCTTACCTCAACTACAGCAGAAAAATATTGTAGATGTCGTGATGGGAGACTACCATTTTTTGGCACTTACAGATGACGGAGACTTATTTTCGTGGGGAAGAGAATCAAAGCAATGTGGATGCTTAGGGCTTGGTCCACTTAATCTTAACCAAGTAGTAGAATTACCTACGCACGTAAAGGAACCAATTGAGAAGCGCAAGGGTAAATGGCTAGCTGTAACAGCAGCCGGTTGGCAAACTGGCGGAATATATATTTTAACTGATGGTGAGGAAGAGGGCTCCAGTGAGGAATGAAAAGTCAGCTGGTAAGTGACTTACATTGATTTAGAGTTGAAAATTGCTGGAGGCGATACCAGATGTTAAATTCTGAAATTTCTTCAGCCGGTTGGTGGTATTTGGAACCGTTGCCTTATATATTATTAATAGCTACATGGTAAGAAAGACTGTGTGCATTTAGTGCCATGCATTGAGATACATGGTTGCATACTAATTACAGAGTATTGCGCGAGAGAAGTCGAAAAAAACTAAATACGAAATAAATATTTTAAAAGTATAATACAGTGTTACAGCATTTAATTTAGCTAGGTTGGGTTCATTCTCTTACTCTGTTGGACCAAGGGATTTTCTAGTGCCTTCTGTTTGAGTATAAAGACTGCAAAATATAGATATGTTTTCAGTAGTACCAACTACACACCCAAAAGATACTAACGTAATAACAGATTCTAGTATCATTCAGCCCAGGGTTTATCACTTATTTCGACCTTGAACATTCCAATCTATACTATATTAGCTCCCATGAAAGTCTATGGAACTACTAGGCTAATCCGGGTAAAATGCTATACGAGGTAAATCTGTCAAATATTTTATTTTTATAGTTCTTTTTCCGCAGTACATCACGGTACTTAGGAAAACCAAGATAAAAATTATTCGTGTAGTCAGTGAGGGCCAGACAGAAAAGCAGAAGGAAAAAGTAAGAAAAATTGAAAACACAGAAAAACAAAAAAAGAAAAATTTAGCATCATTCACACTTTGCCATCGTATTCAACTTTATACGGACACATATCCAACATCAATTCATAAAGACCAATTTTGAGAATTAAATAGGAGCATTATCTGATACTAAGAGACTCACATTTGCCACTTAACTGAGGACTTCTTTACTTAAATTTCAGCAAAAAGCAGAATACTCCGTATAAACTCGCTCTCCAACAACACATCAACACAGAAATAATGTCTAACAGTCCTAACGTAGAAAAGGAATTTGGAGAAAACCTTACTCCTTCTCCCTCTCAGCACCCACATACTAGGCAAAGAAGATCTTCTTCGATCATTCAACATTTAGAACCTGACAATTTGGAAACAAGAATTGATCAGTCATTGAATCCTAATGTTAACGCCAATTGGGTGCATTATAAAGGTGCTTGGGTAGTCCACATTGTATTGATTTTGTTCTTGAAAGTGTTTTTCAACTTCATATCAGTGTTAGATAATGATTGGAAGTGGACTTTAACTAATTTGACTTACAATATTGGGTCATACATTATGTTCCACCAAGTTAAAGGTACCCCTTTTGAATTCAATAACGGAGCGTATGACAACTTGACTATGTGGGAGCAGATTGATAACGGTGATCAATATACTCCAACAAAGAAATTTTTAATGCTGGTACCAATTGGATTGTTCCTTATTAGTACTCATTACTCCAACTATACAAACTTAAACTTATTTATACTCAATGGTGTGAGTTGTTTATGTGTAGTTATACCAAAGTTAGCCATTGCACATAGACTCAGGGTGACTCTTTATTAAGAGAACAAACGAGATCAAATACAATACTAATTACCAGACTCTTGAAACTATAAGAAAAACAATAAATAACAATAAAAATACTGTGCAAGATGGCCAAAGGAGAGATTAAAGGTACCATGTTACTACAGTCATCTCATTTTGGAAGTTTTTGGGTTTTTTTTATAATCCTTTCAACCAAGGTAGGATTCAGTCGTTGGTCCTATTAGTGATTCCAATCATGCTCCTACTGAACAATCTACATTCACTTAGCATTTTTTTATAAAAAATATCAATAATCTTAGCCATTGGGGCTAAGCTTAGCTAGTCATATTTTATCTAATACTCTTCATTTTTTAATTTAGCTCATAGTGAGATTATTTTTTTACTCATAACTTTAAATACAGAATATAAACTACTAATATACTACTTTGTAAGAGATGTCTCTTTCAGATATGAAGGGACTCGCTGTATTACGAAGCGGTTATGTCGGTTCTTACTAAAGTAAGAAGACAGCTTTCGTAAAAATCGAATTTGAATGATCTGAAGCTTCTCGTATTTAAAAAAATAAATGGACGAGTCCGGAGTCGAACCGGAGACCTTTCGCATGCTAAGCGAACGCGCTACCAACTACGCCACACGCCCTATTTGATATGGTACTAAAATCTTTGATTTCTGCAACAGATTCTATAACTTTTCCAATGACAAACCAATCTAATGGTAGTGGTGGAATTATTTAAGTATTGAGCCATTTGAAGTGAATACTATAGAAAAAAGGGTGAGGATTCCCGGTATCAGCCACATGAATATCACTATTCTTTAATGGAGCTTCAAAGTGCGTATAATCTAAAGGGTGCACATCTTCTATTTTCCATCTAAGTAAATTACTTTTTCTGTATCAATGCTACTTAGTCAACAAGGGCTATTTTATGGGGATATCTTCATATCGTCTTTGTATCAAGTTCGACAATGGGCTCATCAAAACTTATAACACTCTCAGCTTAAAAAAAGGAATAGAAGACCGGTTTGGAATAGTGATTTGTGAATTGAGTTGCTTTTCTCTTTTTGAACTTTCTACATTGCTTAACAATTTCAAAATGGCTGCAAAACTGGTTTGTGTGTAGGAGTTTGAAGAAATGTTCTCAACTCTGCCACAAGAGCACCATAAATTGAAGCTAAAGGATTAATTCAGAGGAAGATGTGTTTATCATTATTTTCCTTAATTAGATTATTGATGGCTTTTTAAAGTTTTTTAGTGGTATCCATTTTTTCAGCATGTTCCATAAACGGTGATTAAAATAATAAAATATCGCTTAACTTAGACATCAAATCAAATATGAAGGATTTTCCCATCAAAAATCAACAATCAGCTATAGTACCCAAAAAATGAGAAGATTCTTGAATTCTGTTTTGCCGTATGAAGTTATCGTAGTCTGACTTTACCAAGGCAGTGGTTGAGTATGACCTGGGCCATCATAGATGCTCATGAAATAGAATTTACCCCATTTCATTCACGTGACTATTGACTCTGATCTCATTACTCGTTAATTTATTACTGGCAGGCACACGCTGTATAAATGGGGAAGAGCTTCCTAAGGGAAAGAATTTTTTTCAAACCTTATTCTTCTCCAAAGATATAACTTTTTTAAAAGACTAAGATATCCACTGAAAATGCCTTACGTACTCTCTAACGCACATCAACAATTAGTTGAAGGTCACCTTAAAGACTTTGACCCAGAAGTTGACCAAATCATCAAGGATGAAATTGACAGACAAAAGCACTCAATTGTCTTGATTGCATCTGAAAATTTCACCTCAACTGCTGTTTTTGAAGCCTTAGGTACTCCAATGTGTAACAAGTACTCTGAAGGTTACCCAGGTGCTAGATACTATGGTGGTAATGAACAAATTGACAAAATGGAAATCTTATGTCAAAACAGAGCATTGAATGCCTTCCACGTTTCTCCAGAAAAATGGGGTGTTAATGTTCAAACTCTTTCTGGTTCCCCAGCTAATCTTCAAGTTTACCAAGCAATTATGAAACCACATGAAAGATTGATGGGTTTAGATCTCCCACACGGTGGTCACTTATCTCACGGTTATCAAACTGATTCGAGAAAGATTTCAGCCGTTTCAACCTACTTCGAAACAATGCCATACAGAGTTGATTTGGAAACTGGTTTAATTGACTACGATATGTTAGAAAAGACCGCTATTCTTTACAGACCAAAGGTTTTGGTTGCTGGTACTTCTGCTTACTGTCGTTTAATTGATTACAAGAGAATGAGAGAAATTGCTGATAAAGTCGGTGCTTATCTCGTTGTTGACATGGCTCACATTTCTGGTTTAATTGCCGCTGGTGTCATCCCATCTCCATTCGAATACGCTGATATTGTTACAACTACTACTCACAAGTCTTTAAGAGGTCCAAGAGGTGCTATGATTTTCTTCAGAAGAGGGGTTAGATCTGTTAACCCAAAGAATGGCCAAGAAGTCTTATATGATTTGGAAAACCCAATCAACTTTTCTGTTTTCCCAGGCCACCAGGGTGGTCCACACAACCATACTATTGCTGCTTTAGCAACTGCCTTAAAGCAAGCCGCCACTCCAGAGTTTAAGCAATATCAAGAACAAGTCTTAAAGAATGCTAAGGTATTGGAAACAGAATTCCTCAGCAAGGGTTACAACTTAGTTTCCCATGGTACTGATTCTCATATGGTTCTTGTTTCTCTTAAGGACAAGAATATTGATGGTGCCAGAGTGGAAACTATTTGTGAAAAGATCAATATTGCTTTAAACAAGAACTCTATCCCAGGTGACAAGTCTGCTTTAGTTCCAGGTGGTGTCAGAATTGGTGCTCCAGCCATGTCCACCAGAGGTATGGGTGAAGAAGACTTCAAGAAGATTGTCTACTACATTGACACTGCTGTTAACTACGCTAAAGAAATCCAAGCTAACTTGCCAAAGGATGCAAACAAGTTGAAAGACTTCAAGGCAAAGGTCTTACAAGGTGAAGATGCTAAGTTACAAGAATTAAAGAAGGAAATTTCAGAATGGGCTGGTGAATTCCCATTATCCGTCTAAATGGATAGGATTGAAATTCACAATCTGCAACATAAATAAATTAAAACCAAAAACAAATGATTCAACATGAGTGTTTCTCTATTTTACTTCAACAGGTAAAGCTTACGTATAATGTAAAGTAAGTTTATTAATATACATATTAACGAATAATCCTTGTAAGATTCTTCGCTTGATGTTTATTATTTAAATTAATTTTTCGGTTCTAAAGATTGTTTCCAATTTATCTTCACTCTCCCATCTCTTCAAATCTTGTTCAGTTCCCAACAACTTTCCGTTGAAAAAAATCGTAGGAACCCATTTTCTACCAGAAATTTGAGTGAAAGCCTTTTCAAGCTCAATAGCTTCCGTTTGATTTTCAAATTTATCGAATTCAATAATGTGAACTTTATCTGATACATTATATTTTGCCCATACTTTGTAAGTGTAGTGACAATCTGGGCACCAAGATTTCGAAATCATCAAGTATGGGTTAGCCTTAATCAAGTCATCTGCTTTTTGGATGTACTTTTGAGTAGCCATTGTTAGGATTTAAAATAGTCGTTTAAAACGATGGATTAATAGAGGAACTAAAAAGAGGGAAAGTTATGCACTATTTATGTTTAAAATTGTGGCTCCGTAAAGTACAAATAAATGCAAATTTTCTCGTTTACATCGTTCTCTATTCGCTTCTAATGAGATCAGATACTTTAGTAGGAAGTGAGGTCAAATTTCAAAAAAATTTCACACAGTTAAAAAAAATTAAAAAGAATAACGACAGCCGCAGGATTCGAACCTGCGCGGGCAAAGCCCAAAAGATTTCTAATCTTTCTCCTTAACCACTCGGACAGGCTGCCTGTTAATAATTTGATTTTTATTACATATTAATATTATTTTGACTCGATTCAGAATTGAAGACTTTTTGAAAAGTTTTTACAGCTATTTGTTGAGACATAATGACACATAGGGAGCTCCAGTCTAAAGATTGGTATCAGTAGAGTAAATGAGAGTCACGGATTTGATCATCATAACATCATTCCAATATGTAAGCAAGTAGAGATATCTATCCAAGCAGCGAAAAAATCACCAGACTTATGTAGAGTGCGGCGAAATAAATTGAACATAGTATTTCCGAGCAATTAAATCTATGGCGTCCGCGTATGTCTACGGAAAATATAGATCTAGAAGCCCGAATTTCACATTGAACAACATATAATAAAGAGAAAAGATTTCATAATAGAAGTGTAAAGAAAGTACCGATAGCTAAAAGATAAATATATGATGTAACTTCTGAAATATCAATGCTTTATTCTGGGCTTTTTGTTGGAACTAAAAAGGGTCATTCGTATATGCACCCCTCAAATTTCGGAGTATTTTCCAACACCTGATGTCCGGAATTTGGAGTCGTCCGCATATAAACTCTGGGGAATCAAAAAATTTTATCTTTAAATATTCACTTTTTTCCGAAAGAATAAATATCATTTTAGATAATTCAAATAAAGTAAGCAAAAATGAACAGTAAATTACAAGCTGCCGTTGACGAGATTGTCGACCAGTTCACCGTTGATAAGGATTTCCTTTGCAATGCCACCGATCATTTCTTAGAGAGTATGGATCTGGGATTGCAACATCATACTCCAAAGAGGGAATTCATGCCAATGATTCCAACTTATGTTACCGCTATTCCTACTGGTAAGGAAAAGGGCCTCTTTTTGGCTGCCGATTTAGGTGGGACTAATTTTAGAGTTTGCTCTATTAATTTGAAAGGAGACCATACATTCACTTTAGAGCAAGCTAAAGCTAGAATTCCGGACGAATTAATGAAAGATTCAACCGCAGAAGACTTATTTGCTCACTTAGCTAAGAAGGTCAAGCAGTTTTTAGAAGAATTCCATCAAGAATTAAATGTGCTGGAAGATAAATTGAAGCTTGGCTTTACATTTTCTTTCCCAGTGGACCAAAGTGCCTTGAATAGAGGAAAACTCATTCGTTGGACAAAGGGTTTTGACTTACCAGACTGTGTAGATAAAGACGTTGTTATTTTATTTCAAAATGAGCTAGACAAGTTGGGAGTAAAGGTTCATATTGCTGCATTAGCCAATGATACAGTGGGAACCTTACTTTCTAGGGCATATTCAAACAATCCGGCAGTAACTAATTCAAATACAGTCGTGGGAGCAATATTTGGAACAGGAACTAATGGTGCGTACTTTGAAAAGTTGGACAAAATTCCAAAATTGAAAAAAGAACAGATTACTGAGGGAACTACTGGTATGGTAATCAACACTGAATGGGGTTCTTTTGACAATACCTTGAAAGTTTTACCAAAATCAAAATTTGATGAAAAATTAGACTTGGAAACAGCAAATGTTGGATATCACTTATTTGAGAAAAGAATTAGTGGAATGTTCTTGGGTGAATTGCTTAGAATCATTTTGATTGATTTATTTGACCAAGGATTGATTTTCCAAGATTTGTACAAGTCCAGAGGGGGTTCTTTACCGCATAGATTAGCAGAACCCTGGCAATTATCTTCTGAAGTATTGTCCTACTTACAAATTGATGATTCAACGAGCTTGAAAATGTCAGGATTAATCTTAGAAAACGAGTTAAGATTACCTACAAATGAGGAAGAGAGACTTGTAATTCAGAAGATAACTCAAACTGTTTCCACGAGAGCCGCTAGACTTTCTGCAATCCCTTTGGCTGCAATTGTTAAACGTGTCAGCGAACAATACGAAGATGATGACAAGGACTTCGAGTTTGGTTGTGATGGTTCCGTAGTTGAGTTTTATCCTGATTTCCAAGCCAAGATATTAGAAGCAATTGCAATTATTAACCCATTGAAAGGGTCGAACAAAAAGATACACTTGAAAATTGCGAAGGATGGTAGTGGAGTAGGCGCTGCATTATGCGCAAGTGTTGCAAAATAGAATTGAAAAGAACGACTTTCGTGTAAAGTTGACAATTTGAATAGATGATTAAGTAAAAAAGGACAATAAACATAAAATGAAATAAGAAAATACCCTCTTTCGTACTTCCTCTACTACAATCGATTGGTGATAAGTGCCACCATTAAATGATACAAGGCATGACAAAAAAGATGAAGATGTGCGATGAAAACACAAAGATTACAAGAGGCTCTCTCAAGTACAAATACAAAAAATCCAAGGTTTGCCAGTGAGGTTTACCTTTATTATAAAACAATAACTAGATATTATAAATTTGTTAAATCTCTGTATGCTCTTTGCATCCAAATCGCAGCATCCCCTTATTGTAGTATAATCTAAGGAAAGGCGCATATGAATAGCAAATCATACATATGTCAGTAGACAAATCCATTCCTGTAACTACTGTAAAGTTCGATAAGTCTTCAAGTGAATGCTGATCGCTCTTCCGATTGAAAGCTCACTGATCGAGTAATGAATTGAATGGAAGCTTCCGCTTGTACGCTTGTTGCAGCGCATCAATAAGCAATGTAATCGAAATGTTCCCGTATTCGACTGTTGTATACTTCAAAAGATAAAGATGACTTTTCACACAAATTTCTAGGAATACCTACTTTGCATTTTGCGAAGCTTGCTGTTAACTTCTCATTACCTCAACTTGAGGTGAATAGTACGTGCTTTAACGTGTCGATGTATTCAAAAAATTAATAGTTCACTTTCCAATGTGCTACTAACATGCCTAATGTGTATCCCATTCTACTTTCAGAAGGTGAATGATCGCTACAATCAACGTATTAGCAAGATCTAACTCGATAGAAATGCACGAAAGTGCACTTTGTGCTGAGCTAAAGAGAAGTTTACAGTAGCTTCGGCAAACGCAAGGTATCCCTAGCAAAAATCATAGCCTCTTGTGGAAAGTCATAGTCTCTCGAAGTATAGAACTGTCATTCCTCCATTGAGTAGCCATTGTTGGTATCGATCATTCTGCTTTCAGATACAAATATGGAATACACATTAGGCAAGTCAGTAGCACATTGCGAAGTCTATTGTCTATATTTTAACTACGTCGATAGGCGCTCTATTTTTGTCATTAATAATCCATATAGATTCTGTAAAGCTATTTAATGTGTGCAAAGCAGAGTATGAAAGTGTACGTACGCGAGAATCTATACACCAGAGATTGAAAGGAGTTTGTGTTTCTTATCTATTTTCATCCCCAGGTAACACTGAAAGAATAGACGAGAGCCATGTACAAGAGAAGTAATGCATCTACTTAGGCTTCACTAGTATGTATTCGATGAGGGATACTCATTTGAAAACTGATGTTATCGCTTGCCTCTTTCCTTTCAATCAATAAATTGTTTTTCATTGATTAGTTCCTGGCACTGAGTTCGAAGCAAGCCCTCCCCATAGTTGTCTGATTCTTTTCAAAAGATGACTGTGTTTGAGGTTCTCCTCTCGTTTTGAGTTAAATCTATTCGTACTTAGATTTTCAACTCTAGTAAAATAGTATGGAGCAGTGGTAGTACTTAGGAGTAGTATAGATGCATTATCTGATGAGAAGAATGAAACAAAAGTCATCTTAGAATGTACAAATACTTTTTAAATATATAATAACAGAAGATAGTATTTTAAGAGATCATATCTTTACGTGCTTACGTTTTTCTCAAACGGAAATCATAAAGGATAATTTATCTTTTGTGAGAGATTCGTAAATGAATCGAACTCAGGACATGCCCAAAGCATGTTGTTCATTCTGAAAGTACTTTAGCTGGCTCTATTTTATCAGCTAGTACTAAGTAGCTATTTTTAGTGTTATAAAGTGTTACCCAGATTAGCTGATACTTCATCATTATTTACACTTAACTTTTATATTATTGCGCTTGGAACTATACAGAAGTATTATAGCATTAAGACAACCTGAGCTAAAAGTTTTAGTTTCCAATTAATTTTAGTTTGGTTAATTGAATTCTGAATAATTATCTCTCATATTTAGAAGATCTTCATTGTCATTGTAGACATGCCTTGCTCACGACTTCATTTGACATTGTAATGAAGTGTAATTTGATTCACTTTAATGGCTGAAAGGTAGCTTTTGCTACATGATATATTATGCATCTAGATAATTCTTCATTTGTATTTGCCCTTTAAAAATAGCCTACGAACATGTGACTAAGGCACTCCTTTTATTTAGTTTTTTTTGGGGGATTCACCTGTTTTCATGAATAATTTTCAATTTCTTATTGGAACTTATTGTTCGGTTACATAGACAAGTTTATAGGTAAATTTAGAGGAAGCCTGATATTCTTACACACCTTAACTTGAAGTTTTTATTATTTGTACATTCTGGAATTCTATTTGAAGAGCAACCCGTAAACAAGTTCAATACTTAGTTTCGACTGAGACTATTGCTGTATAGGTTGATAGCAAAACACCCTCAGTCTGCTTGCTATCAATATTCATTTTTTATTACATGTAGAGCTTTGATTATGGAATGAAAGTACCCAGTAATTGTTGCTTGCCTACTAATGGCTTACCTACACGCACTTTTGATAGACTGGTTTGCTTTTCTTTTTACAAACAGTACAGAACCATTGCCAATAATGAAGCTGACTTGCATCAGATGCCTACTTAAATATGATTTCGGAGAAGGCTTTTACAAAAGTTAATTCTTAGTTGCGTTTCATTAAATATAGGAAAATATTATTTTAGGTTATAAGTATGTTGTATCAGTAATTTTTCCAAGTCCCATCTAATTCATCATGTCTCCTCCTTCCAACTCCAGCACGTCTTTTACTTGAACTGAAATCGTCAACTTCTCTTCTAATATTTTCTCTCTTTAATCTTCTAATGTTTCTTTCTCTTTCAATTTCTCTCTTCTCTATTTCCCAAGGCGTTAATATTTCTACAATTGGTTCCCATTGGTCATTTCCATTGTGACTACTGGATTCTGTCGTTATCCTAATTCCACTTTCGAAAATTAATCCTCCTAGTTGTTGGTATTTATGTAATTCATGATTATAAATACCTTCTATGATTTCTTTTTTCATTCTAATAATGACTTCATGTAATGAATGCGAAATCGCAGGTTTGAATTCTAATGGTAAACCCATATCACCAACTACAATGTCTGCAAATAATTCTGGTGTTATCTCATTTTGGTTCAAATTCCATTCAAATTTGTCCTGGTACAATTTTTTGTCTAAATTTACTGAGAGATCAATAATTACGTGATATTCCTTATCAGGTGGAAGTTGCAAATTGGATGCATAAGAATATTCATCAATCTGCTTTTGAATAGATTCTGCAATTTCCTGTTGTAGGTGATTTGGTAATTCTAAATCACTACAAAGCATTACGGAGAACTGATGTGGCGTGATTAAAGATTCACTCAAATTCCACATAAAAAAATCAACAAGTTTCGAATTACCATTATTATACTCGAAATCAAGGCGGATAGGAATCAACACATATTGCTGCCTGGTGAGTGCTTGAACCTTCTGTTCGTCATCGATTCCAACAGGGTGATGTGTTCGACGAGCTGGTTTGAGAAAAAGCTTTTGAGTATTGGCATGAATCTGATTGTTGGCTGCAGATGTGGCTGTGTGACTGGTGTGATTAACAACTTCATCAAAATCAAAATCGTCGTTAATGTTATCGAATTCTGCATAGTTTATTTGTTGAGCGTGCCTCTTTGCTTGTCTTCCTTGAGGTGCAGTGTGAACAAGAAGAGCATTGCTTGAATCTTTAGAAATTCTGGAATGAATACCAGTCGCTAATGCTTGTGGTAGGAACGACTTAGATTGATACGTAAGTTGTGACATTATGGAACTTGGAGTTTCCGTTAAGTTAATGTGTAATGGTAGTTTCTCAATCGTTCGTGCTGTATTTTTTTCACCTTGAGTTTTCCTTTTGTTTGGAAAAATCAAATTAATTACCATACACGACCGAGGATAACCTTTCTACAGTAAACATAAACATGAATGAAATCAGCTGTACGCCAGTTGCATTGAACTGTAATGTTTATTATAGATTGAACTCTATCATTACGCGTCAACCATGGAATCTTCCGTAATATTAAAAGATTTTTTGATTTCGAGATCATACTTAGAGGACATAATATCTTTTGATCAATTCTCAAAATTGCTTAAAGGAGAAGCAGATGATGTTGTACATCAACTCTATTCGGATCTCTCAAAGCAAAGAATAGACGTTGTAGACCAAGTAAAACAACTGGTTGACAGAGAATTTCAGTTACCGTTGGACAATGTAAGGTATTCAGCACAAACAGATTTGAAGCAAATAGGAAAGCTTAGCCTTGTGGATTTACTTAATAAACTAACTTCTTTGCAGGAGAGTATCGCTTCTGATTCTACTTCATTAGATATTCAAATTAGAGAGATACAAACTGAATTGATGAAGTCAATAGAAAATTTAAGCAATCTTAGATTTGGAAATTCATGGGCTAGAGGTGGAGATAATACTGAAGTGCAAACAATAGTACAAAATTCATTAGAAAGCATAAAGAAATGTGAAAGTTACATTAAAAGAAGAAAGATAGTACAGAAAGCATAAAGTAAATATATGGTGCTTATTATTCTATATGAGTCTTTATATTTCTTGCTCGGAAGGGACCGCATCTAACTCAGCTAAAATTTTTAAATCTTCTTCGCCAATCCATCTCCAGATATCGAATTTCCAGTTTAGTCCATCCATATCTCCAAGTTGGTAGTTTGATTCTAAACTTCCATTTTGCATATTTTTCATATAAATGATCCTTCCTATTCTCGAATGAACAAGTGCCATAGCACACATAACACATGGTTCATGCGTTGAATAAACAAGCAAATTATGACATAGGTAATTGTTTTCCTCCTTACCTTGCTGGATATAATTGCTGTTCTCATTTTCAGCTAAATTATTTCTGCGTTTCAACTCAGAATCTGCAACTTTTGCTATTGCTTGCATCGTGCTATGTTGTAATGGGTGCTGTTTCCTATTGTCTGTACCAATTGCCAATATTTCATGATCGTCGCTAGTACTTTCCGATTCTCTAGCTATTATGGTAACTGGCAATCCTCCATTTTCCTTGGAAGTCTTGAGTAATTGACCAATCATGCTTTTCTCTCGTTGAATATTGAATTTCACCGATTTTAAATATTGGTGATTAGGATTCCCCTTCCAGGACAATGGCCAATATTTTTGAGACCACTCTACTGCTAATTCTTTCGTAGGTGGAGGTCGAACTGGAATTTGAGTTTCATATATAGAAATTTCTGATAAATCTGAATTATTATCATATGTATGCTCATGAAATAGATTCTGTAATTCTTCCTTCGTATCCAAGTATTCTTTAGAGCATAAAATCGCTTGCAACACTGTTGAAGTCCCTTCTGGTGTTGTGAGTTCCTTCTTGTTGAACCGTTTCACATGTGATAAGGGCAAATTGTCAAATGGGATAAGAAACAGTCTTATAAATACAAGCAACAGCTTTGTTTGTTTAGGTTCAATATTGCAACACCAAACAGTGGTTAGCTCAGGTTGTGACTCTTGTAAAAGCAGTTTATGCTTCACCTGTTTCAACAAGCCATATAGGACCCCATCTTCTAAGTCCACGTGGGAAGGTGAAGTTGGATCATTTGACATTGACTTTGCCTTTTCCAAACGAATTTGCTTGTTGTTACGTCGTATTAGTTTAAGCAGTGTCTGTATATCTTGCAAAAACGAACGACACACTCTGAACATTATAAAAATTTTTAATCTTGCATCTGCAAGTTGCAATGGATTTTTCGTAAGAAAAAGGAAAAATTAATAGTCTCCAGTTAACAAGGAAGGGAGATTTTCTGACTTAGCAGGATGCTCTTGTTGATTCTGAATGAAAGTTGTTCAATTATAGATGAGAATATCAGTCTGATTATTATGCTGGAAATAGAAAAATGAAATATTGTAAGTGGTAAGAGGCAGTAATCTACTCACACAATCCAAATTAAACTTCTTACCCCGGGGTTTTCTTTTTCAAATTGCGGAGACATGGGTGCGTCTTATTTTCATTTTTTGAAATAAGCAATGTTTCGGCATGATTCCTTCAACTTCGATGAAATACGTGAACACATCTAAGGATGAAACCCTACGACAATATCTTACTCGTCAAAATGTGGACATAGATTCACTATTACTGATAGAGTCTGATTTCTATTCAGATACGAAACTATTCACAAGATTTCTAGATTCCACTCTAATAACTCCAATATCTGAATATAATACTAATTCTGAGACACTCGATAAGATCAAGGGTTCATTAGATCAAAATCTTCCTTATTCACATGTGATAAACACTTTGATAAGACATCTATTAGATGAAAAGATTTATAATGTGTTGGCATTTGGATATAGCTATCGGTCAGATAAGTATTATGTTAATTCCGAAGTTCATAACCCAAATGTCAGTTTCAACGTGAACCAATTGAAGAGCCATCTCTGGGAGACACTTTATAGGAAAATTCCTATTCATAAATATCTTAGATTGGTACTAACGACTAATTGCTTCATTCGATTAGAAACTGGTAATTATGCTCAAATTTTTGGTTCAATAGGTGCTAATTTGAACAGGGAAACTCTAGGAAATGATAAGATATTCATGAAGAGTAAAGTATTGTACAGGGAAGAAAGCTATTACAAATTTATCTTACCTAACTGTGTTGATAATTTGATGCTCAAATTAACAAAGTCGAGGACTTCTTTGAAGAGGAAAAAATTTCGTAACTTAAAGCTTGTATGTCAAGAGATACTTGAAAACCATGCAAAATGTCCATACCTGGAAATTTTCAAATCATTAGTTCTGGATCCTTTCCCTGTAGGAGAAGGAAACTTTTTTGAATTGTCAACTCCTCTCGCATTGATCATAAGATTTGTTTCTGTGATACTTGGTAAAGTTTTCCCACTCAAGTTGTGGGGCTCAACAAGGAACAGATCATTGATATTCCATAAAGTTGTCGAATATATCAGGTTAGGCAAGAATGAGTATTTGCAGATTCATGCAATATTGAGTGGGATCAAAACTACCGATATTCTCTGGATAAACAATGTGTCTAGTGGTAAAGTCAAATCTAATTCTTTACAACATAATGAAAAGAGTAAAACACACTTAATACAGCTTCTCAGTTGGTTCTTCAACGAATATATTCCCAATTTAGTTGGATGTTTCTGGTATGTTACTGAATCTTCTAAGGGTGTTACTTCTGAGCTTTTGTATTATCCCCAGAAAATATGGAGAAAGATGTCTGTACCTTGGTTTGAAAATTATAAGAGGAATTATTTAAGGAAGTCATATAATTGTTTCGTACATGACCCCAACAACAATCAAAGGCATACCGGTAAAGAGTATTTCCATGGAAAGCCAAGACTAATTCCAAAGCAACATGATTTCAGATTACTTTGTATACCTGTAAAGTCTGATATTCGGAAGTACAATAGTTATTTGTACAATTATATCTATCCTTTACGAGCTCTTTTAAGAAAGAAGGTTCATGAAAAATCGTCAGAGTACAAACATCCATGCTGTTATTCTACTTCGGATGTAATAATGAACCTACAGGGATTCATAAAACGTCTAAATTTGAACAATGAAGGCAAGAAGTTATATGTTGTTAAATTTGATATGAAGCAATGTTATGACATGTTAAATAAGCGACAGATCATCAATACCATTGATAAATTGTTCGAGTTTCAAGGAAGTAGAGGTGAATATAAGTACTTTATACGTGAATTTGGCAAGGCAAGATCAACAACTTCCAAATTTAGAAATACATTTTACGAAATTAAAGACAAGCTTAACATTAATAAATTTGATATATACGAAACGAAAGAAAAATTAACTGTGGACAATGCCAGTGAACCCGTTTTGGTTGATAGATGTATCACTAAAGTTTTTTCGGGATCCGAAATTTACAATATTATTTATGACCAAGTGTTTCATTCAACCTTGGTTTTAAAGAATGATAATAATAGTGAGGAGTATTGTTTTGAAAGACAAAGAGGGCTATTCCAAGGATTTCCTCTACTGGGTACATTGTGTGATATTACATACAATGATCTAGTTCAGACCTACTTTAATTTTTTGAAGAAAGAGCTGTCTATTCTTTTGCGATTAGCTGATGACTTCTTAGTGATTTCAACTGATAGGGATCAATGCGAACAAGTGAATATTTTGATTCAAGAGGGCTTTGATGCAAGTCATGGTGCATTTGTAAATACTGAAAAGACTGTCACCATCAACCTTGACATAAATTCACAAAGCATAGTACAATTCGTTGGCCTTCAATTTAATCCTTCGACTTTAGAGATTATTAGGAGCAATATTTCTAAAATACCAATTAGTCAAGTTCATTTAAGAAACTCTAAGTCACTCTTTTCGTACTTAACTCTTTATTATCAAAGAAACCTTAATGAATTTAATTTCGATTTTGAAACTGAATCTGCTTGCTGTATTTTAGACAATATTGAAAGTGTTCTCCAAGCTGTTTTGGATTCATTTTGTACAAATATAAAGGCAGTTTCAAAGACCGATGGCAATTTTGAACAAGATCAAAGTCTTTTATTTTTGCTCAACTTGTTAGTTGTCACATTAGACAATGACCTTGAGCTTACCAGTTTGGAGGTTGATATAGCAAATATTTTCGAATTCTGCCTTAAACTGAAACTAAAAAATTTTCCGTTCTTACAAGGTGTGATTGATTTGGCGATCTCCTTTATAAAAACGGAGAAATTATAGAATATGTAATTATGTAAATAGAAAATAATCAATAAGAAAAAATCACCGCCAGAAGCAAAGTTACTACAATTAAACTAAAAATTTGAAAATGACAATTGAATTATATTAAGCCGAATGAACTTTTTAAATTCTCTTCGTCTTTTAACTTTCTCAACCTCTCTATTTCTTCAAAACCTCCGGATTTCTTCAACTTAGCATCGTCAACATAATCTTCCAACTCGGCTTGGAACTTTGTTAATTTCATCATTTCTCGTTCTCTTTCTCTCAATCTTTCTGCTTTCTCAATTGCTTCAAGTCTACTCTCATGATTGGGCCTTAATGCAGCCACTTCACTTAGCACAGCATCTTTCATTGAATGCAAACTTTCGCCAGGTTCAGGGATGTGTAAATTGGCCATGACTTTGTTCCTTTTGTACCCAACCTGTTTACTCTGCTCAAGAGAGCATTGCTCAATAAGTCCGTAAGTTTCCTCAATTCTTCCTATATCATCTTCTAAATCATTTGTTAAATCATCTTGCAAATTGAAGAACTGTTGCTCTTCACACACAGTATCCAATTCGCGTTCCCATATACGCTTCCAATTCACCTTTTCTGTAGATATATACTCTTTCATCAAATGTAAACGAGTCTTAGCATCTCTTATTTCTTTTACGGTAGATTTGAGTTGTTGTTCTCCAACTCTCACACCTCTTTGAGCAACGTCTTTTCTGAGTGCTTCCATAATGTCCTGCAAATCATCAACTTTGGTAAGAAGTAAATCTGATTCTTCCGAAAGTTTCGCGTGACATCCATCCATATATGTACGATTTGAAGTCTTTGAAGACGTAAGAGCTGACATTTTGAGAGTAGAGAGCTCTGCTAAAGATTCCTGAATGGATTCACTTAAAACAGATTTATTTTTGGATTGAAGTTGTCTAATGCCTCTGAGTTCTTGCTGAATTGAGTTCAATTCGGCAAGATCTGAAGGCCTCATTTGTGTTTTCATTGTGGGGCCACTTCCTACATCCTTGTCTTTAGAGATAGGAATCTGCGAAATTAAGTTTGTAATTGTTTCAGGAGAAAGCTCAATTCCTTTTACAAGGCTCTTAATTTCTCCTACCATGTGAGTACTTACTTCTTCAACTTTGGTGCTCAAATGTTCAAATTTACCTTCTAAACTTTTTAGTTTTTCTAATTGAGGATCAGGTTCGTTTAGCAATAACAAGCTTCCATCTTTGATTTCCGCTGATAACATATGCTCTTCCAACTCATAGCTAATATTATGGTTAAGCAAATCTTGAATATATATTTCTGGAAAAGCATTTGTTCCTGGAGAATATGCAAACTTTTCAACAAATAGCAACCTCAATGAATTAAAGGTTATTGGATTGTCAACTTTGGCCTTTTTTGTTCTATTATTTATCCTTAAAAATATTGAAATTGATGAGCTATTATCGACAGAACTGTTAACCATAGTTCCATTCGTAGTGTTTACAATACTATCAAACGATTGATCTCTTGTATCACTGGGTATATCCAAGGTTCGATCAGAGGTAGCTTCGCTTGTTTTATCTGAGCTTGTGATTGTGGGCAAGGATGATAAAGTAGGTTGATTATTCGTCAACTTTGCGTATTGGTAAGCCGAAAACCTCTTTGATGCTCTTCTCTGTAGCGAGTTACCCTTTTGTAATTGCATCAATGCATCATGGCTGTGGACTGATAAATGGTTGTTACTTTGGTTACTTGCTGCACCGGAGCCGTTTGAAGGTGAGGAGCTAGTATTATTAGTTGAAATTGTTGGGATACTAGATTTCACTGACGAGGAAGACAGGTGGCGAGCAGAAATGGAAGCAGAGGGCGTATGTGTGGCACTAGTTGGTGTTGGTCTACTGGGAGTCCCTTCTCGTTCACGAATTCTTTGAGCAGTACGTTCTCTCTCTTTTTCCCGATCTCTCTCATTTTCGAGTTCTTTTGCTTTTCTTTCTCTCTCCCTATCTTTTTCACGCTCTTGAGATAGAAGTTTGGCCTTATTTTGTTTAAGTTTTAAGTTCTGCAACAATGTTACAATTATATTCCGAATATTTGGTAAAAACCTATCCAAACTTTCTTGGCTTGGTGGTTCACTTAAAGCGGCTTCCAAGATTACCCTCAATGCTTGGGGAACGTCCCCAAGGTCGCTTATATCTACTCCTACATGCGTGAATGCTCGTACTGATGCTCTGAAATCATTTCCTAATTTCACATAAGCATCAGAAACATACTTATCATCAACTTCACGCCTTGCCCATTGAGTCAAACTCTCTAATAAATGCTTAGTCGATACTAATAAGCGAGTTACACTCGATTCAATAGTGTTCAAGGATTGCCTCTTTACTTTACCCGACATATCGCATGTAGCTCACAGAATTGACTTTATTATGATTTGTACAAATTTTTATTTGAATCAAAAGATTAGTCCGTACAGAAAGCGCGATCATGGGTGTATTTGTATTTTAACCAAATAGTCGAATTTAGATGTTCCTGCATCATAGGCGCAAATTGTGCATTTTATTTCGTTAACTTTTAAACTACAAAACTTTAATTTGATAAGTTTTACTTGGTGGTAACTATATCAATGTTCCCTTTTATTTATCCATCAGAGTCGTCATCCTCTTTCTCTTGTAAGAATAACTTATAAGTTGTTTCAAATTCAATTTTGTATGTATTTTTTCTTCAATTCACTCTATACAATCATATTACATTCTCACATAAGCGCTAGCCCTCAGCAAACTATTAGTATATGAAAATAATATACATAAATGACGAATACACTACAGTATCAGTCATAGTGAAGAGTAGGGTTCATTTAGCTTCCCTTTATTCACTCCTTTTTCTTAACAGAAATGGATTATTGAAACCATTTTTGAATGACAATTTGAACGTCAGCAGGATACTTTCCTAAAATTGCAACTGCGTCAGGTTGTGGAATGGAAGCAAGCAATTCCTTGGTAGCAGCAGCAGCACGGTCCGCACAAGAACCCGCAATAGATGCATGTGTTAAAGCTTGGACAACTGAATCTACAACCTTTGGGATTTGAGTTGTAACGCTAGAGTGTTGGCTCTTGATAAGTTCACTTAAGAACGTGTATGCAAATGGTGCAGCTTCTTCGTCTTGAATAATAGGTAATAAACCTACCCATTGTTGAAGAACAGCATCCAACAGAGGAATACTACTGCCAAATGCGCGACACACTTTAGCAATTGCACTAACTGCATTTTCAGTAGCGTGAATATTCTCCTCCGCCCTAGCATCAGGTACTTGTGTCATTTTAAACATGGGTTCTAAGCAAGCTAAGCAGAAGTCTGAATATGATGCACCGCCATGTTGAGCTGCCATACCTACTGCAAAGAAGGCAGCTTGGCGTATACCAGCATGAGATGAGGTTAAGCTTTCACCGATAATATTAACAAACATTTCTCTATATGTCACGGATTCGGCTCCAGTATGCTCTAAAATATCACATATGACACACAAACCACATAACTTAATGTTAGTATTGTCATCATTGAGGAATGTGGCAATAGTTGGCGCTAAGTTACCAAAAACTGATAAGAATGCGCTGGCAGAATTTTTGAAAATAGCTGAGATAGCTTTATTAATTTCGTCTAATAACTCCTCATCAGTGTATTCATCTTCTTCTTCCTCAACATCTTCGGTATATTCATCGTCGTCATTATCTCTTGACTTAATTCTTGTGTAGATTTCGTGAAGATTCGTGTTAATACATAAACTCAATGGTTCCAATTGAGAAACTGGGAGAGAATTAACTCCCAAAGTATTGATACATTCCACTAATGCAGTATAGTATGCCACTAAAAGCTCAGCAACTGGTTCATTTGTCAAAACGTCCAATAATTTGTTCGAAATTTGAGCCCACAATTCCAATGTCTCGGTCGAAGATACTCCAGTAGCAAATACACTGCACTTCAATAAAGAAGCTAAAGTCAAAGCAGCACTTGCTCTAACTCCATCATGTAAGTAAAAGTCTAATCCTGGAATACCGATATCTTGAACAATTTCCTTCACCCAAGGCATGAATTCAGCTTTCAATTGAACAGCATAAGTCCTTAATAAATCCATTGCTGAAACTTTATCATCCAAAGCAGCAGTGTGAACAGCAATCAATTTTCCTGCAAGATTGATGACGTCCCATTCTTCATTGGATTGGAATTCTTCAGCTTCTTCTTCTTCGAGTAATGAGATATCTTGAGTTGCCTTAGCTTGTTGAAGTAAAGGTGGTAAAACAGCTGGTAAATACGGTAAAAAGTCCTTACCAATAATTCTACAGATTCTACCCCACCCTTGTTCAAGGTATGGTTTCACTGGATCATCGTCCTCCAATTTCAGATTTTGAATATGTCCAAATAATTGAATCAATTCTGACAGTTGTGGAGCAAACTTTTCTTTACCAACAGCCAATGCAATCAAAGTTGAACATTCAATACATTTTGCTTTAAGTAATCTATGTTCTTCTCCCAAATCACTCTTCAAAACGTCAATAAGCATTGGCATTAATGTATCGTAATATTTGATGAATTTAGTTTCTGCGGCATCAGCAATTATAGCAATGGTGGTCAAAACTTGTTCTTGAACGTATCTCTTAGGAGATGAATTTAACAAGCCTAACAAATTATTCAAAAGGTCGTCCAAGTATGGTTCTAAGACTTCTTTTGATGCGGCTTCACTGAAGTTGACTAATGCAGCTGCTGCATGGGCTTGAACTCTAGGGACCAGCTTTTGTGTTAGCATTGAAATTAAAGCAGGTAATACACGGTCACCTGCAGTTCTTTGCATGACATCAGCGAAGTCAGTGGACATTTGACCTAAAGCATTACAGCAAGCGTATTGGACTCTTGGATGAACATCCTGTAAAGTAGGTAATATCATATCAAGAATTCTTGGAATTTCGCTCATCAAGACATCAGAACAACCTTCAGCAGCAGAAGAAATAGCCATCAATGCAGCCTGTCTCTGTCTCCATTCACTCGATTGGATCATGCTAGGTAAGTACTGAAACAATGGACCGGCTAGAGCCTGGCCGTTCAACTTTAAACAGACTCTATCTAATGCTTGTCTTGCAGCATCATATTCATCCTCGTCTTCATCATCTTCAGCGCCATCTACGTTTGCATTATTCCATTCACTCCCATCTTCATCATCAATACATACTTCAGTCAACATGCTTAAGGTATTACTAACCATACTTTCAGTATAACTAGGAGTACGTTTACACATTGATGGGGAAACCTCAGCAAAGCCAGTTAATAATTCTAGAGCAGCCATTCTTGTACTACTTTCCAATTCCTTATTCTTGGCAACGGCTGAACAAAATTCAATAATAGTAGGGAACATATCTTTGAACATCTTTGGTGCTAATTCAACCAAATCAATCAACAGCTCCAAGACACTAGCTAAAGCTGCATCCTGTCCATTTTGTAAAAATCTTGGCAAAGAATTCAAAAGATTTGGCAACAATGGGGATAATCCTTGCCAGTGTTTCTTAGGCAATTCACGGAAAAATGATACGAAGGCATAACAAGATGCAATTCTAACATCATCACTTTCATCTTCAAAACCTGCATTGAAGACTGGTACTACTTGATTGAAGTATGAAGTGTCGATCAATTCTGGAGCACTTGCGAAGACTCTGAATGCAGATTCTCTGAAGCTTGAATCAGAATTCTTAGTAGCTTCGAAAAGTGCAGGAATCAATTCCGGCCATGATCCCTCTTTTGCAACTTCACTAATAGCATCAGATAACTTGTGTCTGACCTGGTTTGAAGTATGTCCCCCGGCAAATCCTTGTAACAACGTCTTTCTAATTTGATCTCTAACTGGTTCGCTTATAACTCCTATGGTTCTATCGGTTACACTGGCTATTTCCTTCGGTGATCTAATTGCAATACGACGGAACATAACCGCAGAAAAGGCTCTGATCGTTTCATCACTAGTGGCTCCACTTGCTTGCTCTGCAAGGAAAATCAATAACATTTCAACATTTTCCTTCTTGGTCCATTCAGTGTCTAATGATTTCTCTCCAGCTGAACGTACAGAGTTATCAGATGAAGACAAGCTAGTGACTAATTGAGTCAATGCAGCATGAACTTCAGGTTGTAAAGCCGACATTATATATGTACATATATATTACAAGTTTGGTTATCGACCTTAAAATTATATATGGAGGTATAGTAAAGACTAAGTTCAACTATCTGATTTTAAAAGTATTTTAGTGTATGGCTAGCTCTAGTTGTATGAAATTTTTTCGTTTGTTTATGCGACGTAGAAAGAAAATGAAATCAATCCAAAAATTTTTTTAGAACTCTGCTCCAAAGATGACACAAAAGCCAAAAAGATGCAGACAGTTGCAAACACGATAGACATCTTGAATATGTCTGTCGTGACAAATAAAATACTTCTTTGTAAGACTCTACATATATTTCGTTTAATATATTACATATTATTGTAACTACTTCCTAATGCTATCCACCTATTACCAATATTCATCTATTATTTCTTCAATATAGTGATCACATCTTCATCCTCAAGGCAATGTCCTAAACCTACCACTTGAGGTTGATGTTTCACTGAAGTACCAAACACCAAGGCATTTCTGAAATCATCCACCAAGGACTTGTGAATTGAGTTACAGAAATCTTCGACAGTACTGCGATCGTTTCTCAACACAACCGGTTCCAGGAAATCTGGGAGTCTACCTTTAGGCTTCGTATAAACTCTAACAAGCTTCAACTTGCTCCACATCATTTCCAACAAATCATCAAGGTTCCATCCATTACCTGATGAAATAGGAATAGCATCAGGAATCTTATATAATAAATCTAATTCTTGTATAGAGAATGAATCAATCTTGTTCAATACATAAATGGCTGGGATATATCTTCTAGCCTTGGCTTCTATAGCATCGATAAGGTCATCAACACTAGCGTCGCAACGGAAGGCGATGTTGGCAGAATTAATCTTATATTCACCCATGACAGCCCTGATTTCATCATTGTCTAATTTTGTTAATGGAACTGTGTTTGTAATGTTAACACCACCTCTCTCCTTCTTAGTAATAACAATATTAGGTGGCTCTTTGTTGATTCTAATTCCCATACCTTCTAATTCATGCTCAATTATCCTTTTATGTTGTAATGGTTTGTTAACATCAAGAACCAAGAATAATAAGTTAACAGATCTGGCAACCGCAATGACTTGTTTACCTCTACCTTTACCGTCCTTAGCACCTTCAATGATTCCCGGTAAATCAAGCATTTGAATCTTGGCACCTTTATACTTTATAGTCCCAGGGACTGTGGTTAAAGTTGTGAATTCATAAGCAGCAGCTTCTGAATGAGTACCAGTTAACGTATTTAAAAGAGTAGACTTACCAACAGACGGGAAACCTACAAATCCGATAGTGGCCACACCAGTTCTTGCCACATCGAAACCAATACCAGCTCCTCCACCACCTCCTCCAGATCCATCTGTCAATAATTCTCTTCTAAGTTTGGCTAATTTAGCCTTTAGTTGACCCAAGTGGAATGAAGTGGCTTTGTTCTTTTGGGTCTTCGCCATTTCATCTTCAATAGCCTTAATCTTTTCAACGGTAGTCATGATGTAGTTTTATTCTCCAAGATATATAGTTTATTGGCTGTGAAAATTTAATTAAATGTGAATACGAATACAAATGTCCGATCTAACTATTGTGAATTACAGACAAATTTGAGAGCTATAATGGATATAACTCCTTTGATAAAGTCAATTATTCAAGTAAAGCGCTATGAATCTGCCTATAATGAACCTCGTAGACTATTTTAAAAGCTAGTAAAACGTATACAAATACTTTGTTTAGTTCTTATACGAAACAAAACAGGAAAAGGAATTCAGTCTATTGCTGTACTACTCTTTTCTCATCTCCTACATATCTCCATTCCTGTGTGAAGCTCTTCAAGAAAACGCATGAAAAATTTGTCGTGCTTCTACCTGAAAAAATTTCAGTTACACAAAATCAAAGATATCTGAAGAAGTGAATTATCCACTGAGCGGAGAAGATCGAAATTGGTGAGACACCAAAGAATAGCGTAGTTTCTCAGTGTGTGAACAAAATTTTTGATAGTGTGCGAAGATTTACAGACGCTAAAATAAAAGACTTCTGGTAATTCCATACTTTTTCTACTTCTTTATAATCAATTTTGTATTACCCTAGTTTTTTGAATTAAAATGGGTAAGAAATCAAAGAAGCAAGTTCAAGCAGGTGACTGGGATGTTGACTCGGCCGATGAAGCAGCCCAAGAAGTGGAACAATTAGAAATTGGTACCTCATCACCAGCTGATGATGAAAAAATAGAAGACGCCACTACAAGTGAACCTGCAGAAGCTGAAGAAGCAACTGCAGATGATTTCCTTTCTTCAATTCGTACTTCAAAGAAAAAGAAGCAAGAGAAGGAAGAAGAAGACAAGAAGAATGCTAATGGTCCTAAGATTTTATCTAAGAAGGAAAAGGAAAAGTTGAAGAAAGAAAAGGAAAAGGAACTTAAGAAGGAACAAGCCGCAAAAAAGAAAGCCCAACAGGCAGCAAAGAAGGAAGAGATTAAAGCTGCTAACAAGCAAAATGCAGCTGCCGCTGCTGATAAGACTTCAGCTACTCCTGAACCTGAAGAACCAAAGAAGAAAGCTCCAGCTGGAAAGAAGGTTCCAGCAGGTCTTGCAGCCCTTAAGCGTCAATTAGAGTTGAAGAAACAACTTGAAGATGAACAACGTCGTCTTGAAGAGGAAGAAGAGGAAAAGGCTGCTGCTGAAGAAAAAGCTGCTGCTGAAGAAGAAGCTGCTAAGGAGGCTGCTAGAGCTGCCAAAAAAGAAAAGGAGAGGTTGAAGAAAGAGCAATTAAAGGCAGAAGGTAAGCTTTTAACTAAGAAACAAAAGGAAGAAAAGAAATTACAAGAGCGTCGTCGTGAACAATTATTGCAAGGTAATGTTGTTGTTGCAGGTTTACAAAAGCTAGATGAAGGAGAAGTTCAACCAAAACCAAAGAAAGTTGTGTATGGTAAGAAGAAGTCGACTAAACCAAAGACTTTTATCCAAAAGGATCAAAAGAAGGCTGAAGAGACTAAGAAAGAAGATGACGAAGAAATCTTAGATGACTGGGAGAAATTAGCAGATGATGAACCTATTGCTGACGATTGGGCAGCCCTAGCTGAAGATGATGAAGAAGAGGTTGCTGCTGAAGAAGATGAAGAAGAAGATGAAGATGACAGTGAAGATGAAGAAGATGCAGAAGCTGCTAAGCAGGCTGCTGCTGCCAAGGCTGCTGCTGAAGCAGAAGCTAAAGCTGCATTGGAAGCTAAAGCTAAGGCTGAAGAAGAAGCTAGAGCCGAAGCTGCTAAAAAGCAAGAGGCTGTTGTCGCTGCTTCGACCACTCCTTCGGAAAAGGACCTTCGTTCCCCAATTTGTTGTATTCTTGGGCATGTCGATACTGGTAAAACTAAACTTCTTGATAAAATTCGTCAAACAAATGTCCAAGGCGGAGAAGCAGGTGGTATTACCCAACAAATCGGTGCAACATATTTCCCTGTTGATGCTATTAAGCAAAAAACTGCTGTCATGGCCCAGTATGAAAAGCAAACTTTTGAAGTTCCAGGTCTTTTAATCATTGATACTCCAGGTCACGAGTCCTTCTCTAACTTGCGTTCTAGAGGTTCTTCCCTTTGTAACATCGCTATTTTGGTGATTGATATTATGCATGGTTTAGAACAACAAACTATTGAATCTATTAGATTGTTACGAGATAGAAAGGCCCCATTCATTGTTGCATTAAATAAAATTGATAGACTTTATGATTGGAAAGAATTCCCTAACAATTCATTCAGAGACTCTTTCGCAAGACAAGCTAAATCAGTTCAACAAGAATTCCAAAATAGGTACGAACAAATTAAGGTTGCTCTTGCTGAGCAAGGATTGAATTCCGAATTGTATTACCAAAACAAGAATATATCTAAGTACGTTTCCATTGTTCCAACTTCTGCTGTTACAGGTGAAGGTGTTCCAGATTTGTTGTGGTTGCTTTTAGAATTAACTCAAAAGAGAATGTCTAAGCAATTGATGTACTTGTCAAAGGTTGAAGCTACTATCTTAGAAGTTAAAGTTGTGGAAGGTTTTGGTTACACAATTGATGTTGTCTTATCAAATGGTATCTTACGTGAAGGTGACAGGGTTGTACTCTGTGGTTTGAATGGTCCGATCGCTACAAACATTAGAGCTTTATTGACTCCACCACCATCTAGGGAATTACGTATTAAGTCTGAATACGTTCATCACAAGGAAGTCAAGGCAGCTTTGGGTGTCAAGATTGCGGCAAATGACTTAGAAAAGGCTGTTGCTGGTTCTAGATTAGTTGTTGTTGGTGAAGATGATGACGAAGAAGAAATTATGGAAGAAGTCATGGATGACTTAACTGGATTATTGGACAGTGTCGATACATCTGGTAAGGGTGTAGTTGTTCAAGCCTCTACTTTAGGTTCTTTGGAAGCATTGTTAGATTTCTTAAAGGACATGAAGATTCCTGTTATGTCTATTGGATTAGGTCCAGTTTACAAGAGAGATATTATGAAGGCAACCACTATGTTGGAGAAGGCACCAGAATTGGCTATCATGTTGTGTTTCGATGTGAAGGTTGATAAAGAAGCAGAACAATATGCTGAGGAAAATAAGATTAAAATTTTCAATGCTGATATTATTTACCATCTTTTCGATCAATTTACTGCTTACCAAGCAAAATTAATGGAAGTTCGTCGTAAAGACTTTATGGAATACGCTATCTTCCCATGTGTGTTGAAGACCATTCAAATCATTAATAAGAGAAATCCAATGATTATCGGTGTTGATGTTGTAGAAGGTGCTGTTCGTCTTGGAACTCCTATTTGTGCTGTCCGTCAAGATCCTGTAACTAAGACTCCAAACATTATGGTCTTAGGAAAGGTTGTTTCGTTAGAAGTTAATCACAAGTCTTTAGATGTTGTTAAAAAGGGACAAACATCAGCAGGTGTAGCCATGAGATTGGACAATCCTTCAGCTGCTCAACCAACCTGGGGACGTCATGTTGATGAAACTGACAACTTGTATTCATTACTTTCCAGAAGGTCTATTGATACTTTGAAGGATGCTGCCTTCCGTGATAGTGTCAGCAGAGATGACTGGTTATTGATAAAAAAATTGAAACCTGTATTCGACATTAAATAGAATAAAAAATAATTATAGTCTGAATTAAGTGATAGTGATTGATTGTAACACCAGTTCCTTAGACAGTGCCTCACTGTGACAAACATTTTGCAGCCAGAGCTTGTCACGTGATTTTACTCATAAAATTCTATACTTTTTTTTGTCTCTATTCATTGCCCAATAAGGAAGTCTAGGTTGCCCAATGAAACATTTTTAAAATGAAATACACATAAAAAAATGCGTAAATAAAACTAGTCTGTAACTCTCCATTACTGCTTACAACTGATATATTTACATTGAAAATGCAAGATCTCCCACCTATTGGAGGATATGATCCTGTCCAGTGGAAAAGAAATGTCCCTTCAAGAGGTTTTAGGCCTGTGATTTATTTCTGGGGAATTGTTGGATTCATGTCCTTCGGATTCTACAGATTCTACCAAGGTGTAGATGAGCAAAGAGAATTATCCAGAGAAAAGCAATGGGCTCGTTTCTACTTACAGCCATTATTGTTAGCTGAAGAAGACAGACAAAAGGCTAGAAGGTACTTTGCTGAAAAGGCTAGACAAGATTTGGTTGCTGAATCAATGTCCCCAACAAGAAGGGCCAAATTCGAAGAAGAAGTGTACGAAGATAAATCCAAGTTCCGTTTCCCACGTTTCCGTGCTACAGTTCAACCAAATGATCGTTAAGTAGTGAAATGCTGCAACTTCGTTCCGTAGAATCAAAATCTCATGGAATTCAGAACTTACATTCCACCATTTTGAGAGCAAACCAGACTGTGAATTTGAAGCAGTAGGTATGAACATTACTTTACTTCATAGCATTGATTCACCTTATTATGTCTTTCGATCAAAAGATATCAAACAATACAACCTAATCCAAAACTCTCACTGCATTACTAGCACTTTCATAAATATAAAGTTTAAAAATCGTATAAATAAATATATAAAAATCTAAGATAAGAATTGAATTAGATGAGATTGTAATTCTACAACGACGTCTTCGTACAGTTAAATAGCAGGGCTAGCCAGTAAGGAGACCACTTATTGGTATTTGGTGCATCAGGTGCTCTCTAATTTAAACTGTACATTGCTCATATGGATTGTGCGACATGAATCGAGCGGATGTTTTCCGAAGTTTATATAATTACCACTTTCACCTTGGAAAGACATCAATAGTTAGCAAAACCTTCCCATTATCAATAATAACATGTCTGTAAAAATCTCTTCCAAAGAACAGGTGGAATCCATCTTTGACAAATATGAATACTTTTTATTTGATTGCGATGGAGTAATCTGGTTAGGTGATCATATCCTTCCAAAAGTGATAGAAACAATTGGCTTATTAAAACTGTTAAACAAAATTGTCATTTTTGTCACGAACAATTCATCAAAGTCAAGAAACGACTACGTTAGTAAGTTTGAAAAGTTGGGTATCAAGGGAATTACCAAAGAAGAAATATTCGGATCCTCCTACGCAGCTGCTGTTTACGTAGATAAGATATTGGAACTTCCAAAAGATAAGAAAGTTTGGGTTTTAGGTGAACATGGAATCGAGCAGGAATTATCGGAATTGGGATATACTACTATTGGAGGAACTGATCCAAAGTTGATTGAAAATGGTGTTGGTTTTGACCCAGAATCTCCATTTTTAACAGACTTGGATCCAGAAGTCGGATGTGTAGTTGCAGGATTAGGATTAACTTTAAACTACTTAAAATTATCTGCAACTTTACAATACTTACTTAAAGATAATAAAAGTCTTCCTTTCATTGCTACAAACATTGATCTGACATTCCCAATGAAGGGAAAATTGTTAATTGGTGCCGGTTCCATAATTGAAACTGTTGCATTTGCTTCTGGTCGTCAACCTGATGCTATTTGTGGAAAGCCAAATCAAGCCATGATGGATGGGATTAAAGAAGTCAATCCTAATTTAAAAAAGAATCCAAGCAGAGGTTTAATGATTGGAGACAGATTGAATACGGATATGAAGTTTGGAAGAGAAGGTGGGTTAGACACTTTGTTAGTTCTTACGGGTATTGAAACTGAATCAAACGTTTTAGCCCAAGAAAAGCAAGTTGCACCTACTTACTATGCTGATAAGTTGGGTGACTTTTATGAATTGACTAAATGAATATTTACTAGAAATAAATATATAGAGCAGATAGAGTTTTAAAACATCTTTTAAATTGAATGAGAATGTTGTAACTGTACTACTTACAAATTAAATCTCAATTATCGATTGGGTCCGAATTCTACTTGGTCCTCTTGAAAGTTCATCAAAGGTAATAAATTAAAGAATGAGATTCAGTTTTCTTTGGAATTTCATTTCAGTTACACGAGAAGTAGAAATAGACTTCCGGAAGAAGTTAAGAAAAGCACTGGCAACTAGTGTTAGACGAGTGCATGTATTAACTAGAACTCTGTATATCTCATTCCATAAAATATTTGTACGTTTTAGGTCAAATCTTACATTTGACTTACCCCTAATTCAACTTAAATAAAGTACTACTTTCTAATTCCATTCCCAATGCTCAAAATTGCAATCTTCAACTGATACATCGTACTGATTTCATCTTCAAGCAATTGAGGAGATTTCTTTTCTAAAGCAGATTCCTTCAAAAAAGAAAATAAAAAGAAGTTTAGTTTACCAATATAAAGCGACTAAATTTTTAGGATCCGGAAGTTGACAGGTCAACTTTGACTCACGGTAAGGTATACTAGTCATTCCAGTACTCACTTGTGATTTGAGTTTAAAGAAAAAGTTTAAATTTAAATAGAAGGAATTGAAGGCTCTATAATGCAATGTTTTTGTGCGACATATGACGTACTTCTGGATTCCCCAAGATCGCATTTCTTCACATTCATCGGAGCCTATTGAATTAACCCCAGAAAAGAATAAGGAGAGGATGCTATTGTTTCTTTTCTTTTGAATTATTCTCCTTTTTGAAAGCTCAAATCTAAACGGCTTCAAAGAACTTCTTAAATTAGGAGTCACAATTGACTGTAAATTGTGATTATAGGTTTAATTGTATTTCCCTTCATCCTACAATTGGCACTTGGAAAAGTTTAACGAGGTTTTATCTCTTTTAGTACATATTTTATTTGTATTTTTTTCTTTCTATTTTTTAGGAAATCCTCAACTCTGACACTTTTACAGGTTTGTATATTGTGAAATAGAGTGCGTTAGCAAAGAAGAAAAACAAAACCTGTCGTGATTTTGGATTTGTCGTGATTAATAAGAGAAAACCCGTACAAGATAGAAATCTGTGTTTTACATTTCTTTTAAATCAAATATTTAATACAACTAAAAAATACCCAATTTGCCTAGGAATTTATAGGGCTAGAACATACAATTGATCTAAAATCAAATAGTGACTGATTTTTTTTTTCATTTTCCCAATAGTTGAGTGGTAAACAAGAAATACAAAGAGTTTCTATTAATATACCAAACGTCATCAATTATTCTTATATATCTAATATAATCTGTGTCGATTAAGGTAATTCAAAAGAAAAATAGAACTCGATTAATTCAGTAGAGGAGAGCCTATTGAGAGAATAACTTCTAAAAATAAATCAATACTTTCTTCTGGTAATTTTATTATAGCATTCTACATAAAATACGATGTCAGAGGATGAGGATAAAAACCAAAGACTTCAAGATTCGGGGTTAATTGAATGGTCTGTATTTTCTGAGCTTGTGGCTATGGATGAAGATGAAGAAGGTTTTTCCAAATCGCTATTTCAAACCTTTGTGGAACAAGTAAAGGAGACATTTCAAGAAATAGATGCTAATCTTGAATCTAAAAACTTGGAAAAACTTTCATCACTTGGGCATTATTTAAAAGGGTCTGCTGCAGCCTTGGGCTTAGAATCTATTTCGGCACAGTGTGAAAGAATTCAAAATTATGGCAAGAAGATTAACTGTGATAAATTTAAATTAAAGGACGAGCCTGATTTAAAGGAAGAAGACGACGACTTTTGGATAAAGTTAATCGAAGATGCTTTAGAAAAGGCCAGAGACGATTTTGAAAGGTCGAGGGAAGAATTGAATATCTACTTTGAAGAAGAGATATGAGACCATATTCCAATACACTGCCCTTTCCCCTAACTTAATTAAGCTGAATGAATCACAATTCAAAGATAAAGTCAAATTACTAATAGATGAGTCTTGTCAAAAAATCATTGGATTTTCTTGATTTTACATAAAACATAGTACACAAAAGTCTGCTACTTTTCTTCCACCTAACTTAGTTTTATTTATGATTTATTTGTCAAACTTTATATATCTAACTAATAAACAATTATATGTATTTACTATTCCTTCTTTTTCAATGCACAATATTGCATATATTCAACTCTGTATGCAATAAACTTTCTAAAGTAATGAGGTATCCACAATATTTTACCCAATCCAGAAGAGTTACCGTCCATTGATATAAGCTTTGAGCAAGCCAATAGCTCCCAATCATTGTCATTCACAATAACCTCACCACTCTTACTAAGCTCAATAATGGAGTGTTCTCCTTGTTCGAGATCGACAGGTAATGTGTTGTCAATATAATACGAGCATTGGTTGAACGAAGTGACTTTTGAATCTGAAAATTGATTCTTGTTATTCATATCAAATGGTATCGATGAAGTCACATCTGAAATTGAACTTAAATTATCCTCATCTTCCAAAAAATCTCCAGGTAATAATCCATTAAATCCACTTTTGACGAACTTGAGTCTAGAATTCGAAGAGAGGAAGAATGAGTTGGGATAATGATACCATTCTCTACCAACACATACATTTGCATCCCCATTCCCACTTTCAACCAATTCACGATACAAATCTTCTGCAACAGTTAGTGGAGCAGAATAATTCTCAACCAAGTTAAATATTCTTAAAATCGACACCAATCCAACAACGCCTCCAAAGAGCAATTGAATGCTCCTGGATACCCATTTGTTGCTAAGCTTGATAGATTCGAGCACGTTTGAAGTAGTGGTGAAAATGAAGCTAATTAATATGGAAGCGTTTAAGCAAATTAATGGATAAATCGGATATAAAAATCTTTCTTCTTTATGAGGTTGAGAGCCAAAGATAAGTGACCATAGTAATAAAGGACATGTCGATACTAAAAATGCCTTCTTACCAATGAAAAGTGGGTTCAAGATCGATCCCGAATAACCTAAGATGAACACAATATTAAAATTTAATAAGAGGTTCAAAACGTAGTAGCTAAAGTCTTCTACTCCGAAAATCTCTGGACCTTCACCCTCACCTCCAAATACATTGTACAACACTATGTTAAGTGGAACAAGTACAAGCTTTTGATAAAACCAAGAGTCTATAGAAGTAATTGCGGCAAGAATGGCACCTAGCGACATAATAGAACCAGTTATAATTTTGAATAACTGCGAAGGATCTTTGAGGATGTTGCTTCCTACTGTATAAATACCGAATGGTACTGCCAAAACCAAGGCAAATGGCCATCCAATAACACCCCCAACACAAAATTGGGCTATTGCTAACACACTCGTAGAAGCTCTGTACTGATGTGGTTGTTGATTCATGGCTGACAAGACATTGGCAGATGCAAGAGTCACACAATTCATCGCCAACGATGAAGGTAATAGGGCAACACTGGCATGAGACATACCAGGAGCAATAGTGCTAAAAAATAAGAACCAATTGGCAATTTTACTAGATCCTAAATTCTTTTGTATGCTTGTAAACAAGCTAAATTCAGTGTAAGCTGTAAACCCACACAATGCAACAAATCGAATCCAGTAGAATTGCGCTACCGAAGAAAAAGACATTAGCTGCAATGGATATGCTAGTATATAGTATGGAACAAGATAAAAATATGATCTAATAGCATATTCGGGAGAATATTCCCATGTTTGTTTTCCAAAACCCCTAATTAAAAGGTTTAAAGGTTCCCAGTAGTTGAAAGTTTCATCACAATCTGATATTATCATATACAAAGCGCAGTAACTTCTTACTATCCAGTTAAGTGAAATGAGAACCCATTGGAGTCGGGAATTTGGAGTTCGAGCCATATAGATCAATATGTATTAATACAGGACGAATTATGATAACTGCTTCCAAAAAGAGTGAACACTTTGCATTGGATCTGACTAAAAATTTCAATTTTTCATCTTGATTCACATACACGCGAAAATAAACCAAATTATATTAAAACCATGTGGCATAACCACACCCTTACAATCTTACAATATTAAGTCCTTTTTTACTTTCTACTTATATTAATAATCTAATTCAAATCTTTATTTAAAGTTCCTTCACTAACATGGATTCACGTCCAGGTCCAGTTCCAATCCATTGGATTGGAACATCTAAGTACTCTTCAATGAATTTCAAGTACTTCTTTGCGTTTTCTGGTAAATCATTGTAAGTTTTTATTTTAGTGATATCTTCATTCCAACCAGGTAAAGTAACATATTCGACGTCAACCTTGGCCAAAGTATGTAAATCCTCTGGGAAAGAAGCAATCTTCTTTCCATCCTTGCTGTATGCAACAGCAACTTGAATTTCCTTGAAGGTATCCAAAACATCCAACTTAGTGATATTGAGAGAAGTGTAGCCATTAATCAATGTAGAGTACTTCAACACTACTAAATCTAACCAACCACATCTCCTCTTTCTTCCAGTGGTAACACCAAATTCAGCTCCGATATCTTGCAACTTCTCACCATCAGCATTCAATTGTTCAGATGGGAATGGACCTTCACCAACTCTCGTTGTGTAGGCTTTGACAACTCCATAAACGTTACGGATAGCCTTTGGTGGGAGACCTAAACCAGTTAAAACTCCACCAATACCGGTATTACTACTTGTAACATAAGGGTAAGTACCGAAATCCAAATCTAACATCAAAGCGTTTGCACCTTCAATCAAGATTTTCTTGTTTTCTGCAATAGATCTGTGCATGAATTCAACGGAGTCAACGACAAATGGTCTGACAAGGTCTCTGTACTTCTCATAACGAGCTAATTCAGCATCAAAGTCATACTCAAATTCACCATATCTCTTAAATCTCGATTCCACAAGTCTCTTATACCTTGCCTTAAATTCGTCCCAAGCTTCTGGTTCTTGAGAGACAAGGTGATGAACTCTGATACCAGATCTTGAAGCTTTAGTAGAATAAGTTGGACCAATACCTTTACCAGTGGTACCAATAGACTTCTTATTTTCGCTTAATTCTGCTTCCTTCAACTTATCAGTTCTTTGATGGAAATCAAAGACAAGATGAGCTCTTGAAGAGATGAACAAACGATCTCTACAGTGTAAACCCTTCTTTTCCAAGTTTTCTAATTCTTCGAAAAGAGATGGGATGTGAATAACCACACCTGAACCAACCAAATTTAAACATTTTGGGTTAACTAAACCAGATGGTAACATGTGGAAATCATACTTGGTCTTACCAACAACTATAGTGTGTCCCGCATTGTTACCACCTTGACATCTGGCACAGACATCAATGTCATCACAAAGAACATCTACTAATTTACCTTTACCTTCATCACCCCATTGGGCTCCTAAGACAACGTCACACATAGTTATAAGTGATAGAGACTTTCAGTTAAAAAATCAAATGAAAATAGAAAAGAAAATTCTTTGATAGAGTTTTCAGTTTTGAAGGGATAATTATAATTATTCCTTACCAACTTTCAAAAAGAAAAAAAATTAAAAAAATGTCTTCGAGGAGTATTTAAATTTCATGGAATGCATCGGTGACTGTGCGTCGGTCAAGAAAATTGGTGAGTACCATTGAATGAGAAGTACGACTCTGGTACACGCCTATAGTGAAAATTACTATTTGTTGCCTATTGTGATGGTCAGTATTTTCAACCGGCGTGCACAGAGTCAAATAAAATATTTCATGCAATGCCGGGGCTGCTCATTTTAATTAAAATAAGAAAGTGACTCGTAAAGTGAATCACAATAATATGGGAGAAGCATAGGAGATGAAACATGACTCTTCTTTCTGTGGTATACTACATGTAACTATACTTCTGTAAAGAATTACAATTTGGATCTTAAAGTAGTTCCACCCAATCTGGGAGCTGACAGCTGCAGTAGCTAGCTATACAGTGATTATAATTCTTCCTCAGTGCTGCTGCGCACTCGGGTTTTATATGTACGTTTGTAAATAATTTATTCATTCTCCTCACTTGAGCCATAAATTGAATTCAGTACACGGAAGAGAAGAGATGTACGTTTTGACGCATCTCCGGACCATCATATACAACTAAAACTAATGGTGCTAATTCATGTAGAACTCTGACTCTAATTGTTACTACTTACTGGTTCTTGCAAGTATTGCAAGTATTGCCCATCCAGAAAAAAAATGATCTGCCAGCCTCACTTAATGCAGATGATCGTAGCTGCAAATTGGGCCCAGTTAAAGACACGCTTTTGCTTCTACAAAACTGAAGTAGTTCATTGTACTTCTTTTAACTTGTTACCACAAAACGAGATGTGTCTGATATTAACTCTCCCATTTTTTAAATTTCAGAAATGGTTTCGTGGTCTAGTTGGTTATGGCATCTGCTTAACACGCAGAACGTCCCCAGTTCGATCCTGGGCGAAATCAGTTCTTTTTTTTTCATTACTTCTTATGAATTTCATCATTATTGACCTGATGTGAAAATTGTCTCTCTTAATGCAATGCAATGCCACCTATTTGATTTGCAAAGTGTCAGTTTTATGTCTTGCCTTTTTTTGCTGTAATTTCGAATACTTTCCAGATAGTGTGAATATCTAAGTTCAGAGTCATTGTACCACCTTTCCCTTATTCTTCGTATTCTACTTATTTACATAATAATTAAATTAATTGAATATGTATGTATGTGTATTTATCTCTCAAATATATCTACCGTTCAAATTTTTGCTTCTCTAGTTTAACTTAGCTAAGATGGCATCAGTGAATTCAGTGGTTGAAGATGATCCACCAATATCCCTGGTTCTAACAGAACCGTCAGCAATTACATCGTAAGTAGCCTTTGAAATCTTGTCAGCTTCTTCGTTTAATCCTAAGTGTCTCAACATCATGGTAGCAGATAAAATCATAGCAGTTGGGTTAGCAGTGTTTTGACCCTTGATATCTAAACCAACGTGTCTACAACCTGGTTCGAAAACAGCGTATTCTCTACCGAAGTTAGCACCTGGAACTAAACCTGGACCACCGATTAAGGCAGCACCAATGTTAGATAAGATGGAACCGTACAAGTTTGGAGTAACAAGAACATCGAACTGTTCAGGATGGGCAACGGCTTGCATAGAAGCGTTATCGACAATCAAATCGTTAACCTTGATACCTGGGTAGTCTTGGGCGATATCCTTAACAGTTTGTCTGAATAAACCATCACCTAACTTCATAATGTTAGCCTTGTGGATAGCGGTAACAACTTGTCTGTTGTTCTTTAAAGCGAAATCAAATGCAAACTTAGCAATTCTTTCAGACTTAAATCTGGTCATGATCTTCAATGATTCAACAACACCTGGGTAAGATTGGTGTTCTAAACCAGAGTATTCACCTTCGGTGTTTTCTCTGACAAGAGCAAAGTCAATTCCTGATAATCTAGACTTAACACCTGGAATATTCTTAATTAAGACAAGGGAAGCGTAAATGTCCAATTCCTTTCTTAAGGCAACATTTAAAGACTTACCGGTAGCCCCAGTTGGGGTATAGATGATTCCCTTTAAACCAACCTTGTTTCTCTTTAAGGAGTCAACGGCTGCGGTAACACCGTTGGAGTGGTCATCTAAACCGGAGACTTCAACAACGTCCCATTCAATTGGTACACGTTGGTTTTCGAAAATGGTCTTTACTGAATCAGTAATTTCCTTACCAATACCATCACCTGGAATTAAGGTAACAGTGTACTTTCCACCGTATTTCTTTGGAAGAACAGATTCTGGGGATGCAAAAGTGGCTAAAGAGCGCAAAGAAGTCTGGTATTGTTAGTATTTACTTCGTGAAACAATTAATAGAATAAAAAATGAAACTGGGAAGTTTAGTCTTCAACATCGGCTAAAACGAGAAGTCTAAAGGGCATACTTCAATCGCCAATTATTGGAAACTACATATCAACAATGTGAATTTCTCGCTCAATTACTATGCCCCTTAGGTTCATAAAGATGTTCGTCATTCAAGGTCCAACATCTACGCTTTCTTCGAACATGCCGAGTCTTTCAAGTTCTAAATAGTGATTTTGATATTTGATTGAATGGTAGACTTCTACAACTCCGATGATGTCAGTCCCAATTCCGGGTTTTAGACAAGTATACACACCTTCTGGGCAATAACAGATCTCAACATTGTGAATTTATTGAATAATTATGGTAATTGTTTGGAAAACGAATTATAAAGAAAAAGAAAACTTTAAACAAAGTATCCTTCACAAGTTGGTGGTTTTTTCTTTTTTTTTTTGCTGAGTTTGATTGATTGATTTCGGTTACTTTTTTCTTCCCTTTTTGCTGTAAAACGAACTGCATACAATTCCAGTCAATTATTGAGAAATGGGTGCGACAGAGGCATTTGATTGGATGAGAAGGTTTTCGGGAGCGATCGTCGGAATGAAGTCCGTAGGGCCCGGAACATTCATACATCTACAGAGGAAACCACACTAACGCAGGGTGCCAGTATAAGTTGCACGTAGATATACAGAAATATTTACAAAACTAAAGGTACATTTGGAGTTTGTTGGCACAAGCTGTGCTTTGTATGCAAGAGAAAAATGTGAACCCTGCTCTGATTCTTTATTCAATGAAACCAGAATTATCAATGTTGAAACCTTATATGCAAGGTATTAACATTTTTTCGGGGTACTACGCTCAGTCCGTAAATATTTTTTTTTTTTTCTTTAGTGGAAAGGTTCCGTGGTGTATGGGTGTACACGGGTAAAGCCAACTGTGTGAAGAGTGAACTTGTATATTTTTTGTAAAGTGTAGAAACTGAGAAGAAAATATATTTGTCTATAGAGATTGAGCAAGGAGCAAGATTATGTGCAGGACGGAATATCGTGGAGTAGTGAAAAATTATCAGACAGACTGGAGCAGGTAAAGGTAGAAGAATTACTTGAACAATCTATAACAACCATACCACATTCGAAGCTGTTGACGATGTCTTTCCAATCCCTTTATAAAGCTCTTCAAAGAGAGCTCGCTACTATCCAAAAAAAGTCCTTCATGGTACATGCTGCTAAGGAGCTCGAGAGGGAAAAATCAAAGTTGAACTACCAGAAACTTCAACTCATAAAGCAGAGAGTGCCTACTACAGAGATTGATGCCAAAATCACTAATTTACAGAAAAATGGACTACAGCCACCAAAATTTGACCACTCCCTTTTGAGGAAATTGGTAGCTGAACTGGATTACGTAGAACCAAGCACAAATTCTCATCAACAAAAGGTGAAACTACAATACTTATCTAATATTTCTTCTTTCTTACGCTCTCAAAGAGAGTATACTGAATTATTAGAGAGGTACAATCCAGGTTTAACTATGGATCAAGAAGACAAAGTAAGAAGAACTGCCAATAGAGTTGGTTTGTCAGTCCCTGAATAAGGTTTTCACATCAAGGAGAAACTAAAAGAGATTCAAATACACTTACGACAATGAATCGATTAAGAACATAAGAAGACAACATATCTGAAAAGTTCAAGAAAAGAATAGGACAATCCTGAAGCCATGAAGAATAGAATAAGAGAAGCTTTGTACATAGTTGGAGAGTTTAAAAATTTCTGTATTGAAATATGAACTTAACATATTTTCTCTCTTAATCTATTTTTTTTTTTTTTGCTAATTGTCTTTCTTTTGGAAGTGTTACGTAACTTTAACCATTATTTATACATTAATATACAACTTTTTCATACTTTTATGGGTACTTTTATCTTTTTCTTTTCCCCTCGATCACCACATTATTCATTTCTTCATCATCATTTCTTCTTTTCAACTTAGAGTTGGTTGTTAACAAATCTTGACTGCTCTCTTTAATCATTATGTTCTCATTGTAGAACTTTTTCAAACTTTCAAGGATTATCAAATCGTCATAGTAATTGCCGTTCAACGGTGCTATTCTTGGATCACGCATTTGTAAATGTTTCAAGCTTGCAGCAAAATTGAAATTGTAACTATCCATCAAGTATGAGATGCAAAGGGCTGTGGATAACAGGCCCGAACCCTCTTTCGAAATTATTAGCACCTCCACCAGTGTGTTAATATTTTTCAACAATTTGATAAGTCTATTTATCTGAAACAACAGGTTTTGCAAACAACCCCCACTTAAAATCGGGCTTTCAAACTGTAAAGGTTGGTTGTCGAACAGATGATGAATTATACTATGCAGTTTTGGGTTCAACGTATAGAAGTGATTAATGTAATTCTGCAATGTACGGTTGAACTTGGAGATTTGTTTACTAAGCTGAACTTGTATGTTGGAATCGTAATTTTCAAGTGAAAAGGATGGGTCCAAGCTGAGTAGCACAATATCTGACGAAAGTGAAACATCCGAAGTTTCCAATTCAGAAAGGAATTCCAAAGTTGGAGAGCAGTTTACAATAATCTTTATATTTCTAGTGTGAAGAAAGTGGTTCGAAAGGCTCAGATATGAACCACACCAGATACTTGGTGCAATTTCATAAGGTGGTTCGTCAGATATTGAATCTGGACTATCTGGCATATACATTGACATTTTGCAACACTTCAGTGAGAGCGCTAATTCAATCACAAGAATTTACTTCTTTCTCCACAAAAAAGAATAAAAAGCTAAAAAAAAATGCTAAGTTAAAGGGCTATACCTGTTGATTAATATAGTACCTTTCTTTTTTTATTATTTTGCTAAACAGTTTCTTGTATGGTATGGGAAGTTGAGTTCCAATATTCCAATAAACCTTCCTTTAGTTCAACTGCTGCACTCTTTTATTCGCGGCAGTTTCCCTTACAAAATAATACGACAAAAAAATGCTTTATTTCTTTCTTTTCTGTGAAAAATAATTCAGGTTGCACAGATTTCCTCTCTTAGAACAAACGGAATTCCTGCCTAGACGTAAAAACTGCTCAAGTCCAGTTCTTTAATCTTGCTAAAAAGTGAAAAAGAAGAAAGCAAAAGTCAAAAGGGAAAGGTAAAAGAAAAATATACGGAATTTATAAAAAATTCTTAAAAACTTTTGTGGAAATTCGTAACGCCTATCAATCTGTGTAACTCTAGGAATTGGTGCTTACCTCCTGCAAGCCATCCTCTTTGAGAAATTTAGAAGTATGCAGGCAATTATTTTATTTTTGCTTCTGCATTGCGGAACGGCCCATTAGGTACAACGGATGGGAAGCCCCACCTAACAAATTCGTGAAAGGTTCAGAACCGGTGTGCATGTAATGAATCCGCTTTTGGTGATAACGTAAGGCAAAGAAAAAGGCGAGAAAAAAAAATAAAACACGGAACTGCATAAAAATAATGTACCACATTCATCCTGCATATAACAGGATACGGAAAGGGAAGAGATATCCATCAATGTGGTCCAGACCCGAGCCTGTAGTGAACCTGACAGACCCCGCCCCATTATAAGGGACTTATTGTTGCTTGTAAAAGGTATAATACACTCCATTTAAAGGAAAAATTCTTAAGAAGGATTGCCCACATTTTAGTGATCAGCTGAAATCTGATCATATGACCGAGAGAAACATAATGCTGATTCACAAGGGCATATGCATTTACTAGTAAAGTCCCATTTCTCCACTGTAGTTATTTGTAGGCTCTCTTTTGTTGGTGCACAACTTTCAAATGATCATCACTTATTCAAGAATGTCGGAATGCCTATTGTAGACAGAAACTATAATGCTGGTACTGGAATTTGGATACGGTAATAAGTGAACAGATATGTAGATGTAAGCAGAAGCAAGAATTACATTAAAGCAGATATAAGGCTATTTCCAATCTCAGTGGAGAAGTCCGATAAACATAAAGCCACATTTATCTCCAAAAAAATATATAAACTATCAGACCAAAAGTACTATTTATAAGGCAATTCCAAGGCCATAAGATTAAGAATAAGACTATGAGAAGATGTAGAAGTAGTTATCTTCCGAAATATGGGAGGAATATGCGTTCGGTATGTCCTGACAGTAGCGTTTGTTATTTTTCAGTGCAAGCGTGCAAGCGTGCAGCTGATTATGTCAATTATACGCCTAAGCTTGTATGCACACTCTCCCAACATGTGAGGAGCAACTTACATACACCACCCCACAGAACGTCATACTTTTAAACCAACTAAATCGGTTCTAGCTTTTCAAAACAAAACCAAACAGTTTAATACAAGTTTTTACTAAAGACGTATCCGACACAATGTTCAATCCGTTATTCAGACATTCATTAAGAAAAAACACTTTCAACAACCTTAAATTTACTTTCCAAAGGTTCCAACATTCAGCACCTGCAGCAGTAAGAACATCTGCACACCAGCAACGCAACAGTTCGGTTCTTAACACCAAATTGATTTTTGGCACAAGTATTGCTATCCTTACGTTTAATACATTCGGAAATCCTTATAACAAGCCTAAGATCCTAAATGACTCAGCTTACGCTTCTGCTACTAGATTGGAAAATACCATTAAGTCTAATGTGAAATCAGCAGAGAGAGATCTTCATGGAAAATCTGGATTCGGAGGAAGAGTGAACTATAATGAATTAACTATTGGTTCCTTAACTGGATTATTTTTAGGAATTTTAGCTGGAAAGTTAAGTTCAGCTATTGTATTTTTAACACTCTCGGGATATTTCTTGACTCAATTCTTGGAATCCAGGGGAATCATTTCAATTCCATGGAACCAAGTGATTCATATTGGCTCAGAAAAGATTGATGTCAAGAGCTTGGTATTGGACAAACCATCTTTCAAAATTCCCTTCGTATTAACATTTTTAATTGCAGCATATAACATTTAAATTTGTCATATAAAATAAAAGTCTTTCGGTTTATATAGAGAGTATGAAATATTAAATTCTAAAAAAATACACTTCGAAGCTACACATTATTAGTTCATTAAATAAACAAATGTATTAAATATATGCAATTTTTATTTTATCGTGTTTCTAATTTATACAAGGCTTTCTCGATTTTTCTATTTCTTTTTCTATTATCTTTAATTATTTTAGTACCCTTTTATTCGATCTTAGGCATTGCTGCAAAAACATCGAAAGAACCAGTTCCAACGTTGGATAATTTACCCAATACAATTCTTGCAGATGGTGATTCCAAGTCTTCTCTTTCTCCGTCCAAAACAGCCTTAGTTAAGAATTGACAAGTGGTCTCATAGGACATCTTCATGAAAGCAGATGTTGACGTATCAATCCCTTGTCTATTGAAAGCCAAGTATGAACCTTCTCTAGTCATCATGTCACCTATCAAATCTAAATGACGAGAAGAGACAACAATGGCGTAAGTGGAGAAAACATTGTTAATTTCATTAACAATAGTATTCCTAGCTGCTTCAACACCATATGTCTTTAATACAGATGCAATGTCGTTAGACGTTATACCATTAACATCAATAAAGTCATCTTGTTCCCACATTGCTCTGAAGTTAACACCTTCAGTGGTGAGAATTCTTCTACCACTGGCGTCTGGCTGTGGATGAACACATCTACCAATTTGAGGAATTTCTCTAACAACAACCTTTCTACACATATCTTCGACAATGTTGACCATCAACAACTTTTGGGTATCTCCTGGTAATTCTAAGTTAAATTCACAGAATTCACCAGCTTCGTCATCAAAGTTGAATGAAGAGATGAGGTTGTGCGCTGAAATAACTTCTGCTTGACGGTCTTTAGCTGACTTTGAAAGTACCTTCGAAACCTTACTTGGGACTGCTTCTTCTTCACCTTCAGAATCGCTGTCATCAGATTCAGAATCAGAAGTTGACGATGAGTCATCATCCATTTCTTCATCTGAGGTTTCTTCAGCTCTCTTCATTGTTTCGATTTCTTCATCATCTGGTCCATCATATGACACGGCTTGCTTTCCATTAGATCTCAACTTATCATCTGATGCATCTCCATCACCTTCAATGTCATTTTCGAGATCAGAAACCTTCACGGATCCAACATCCATGGCCTTGGAAACTGCCTTTCCGACGGTTGGTAAAGAATCTGTTCTACGTTGCTTCTTAACTTCCTTTGTAATTTGTAATTCTAACGCTTTCAAGAACTTTGTCATAATGACATGCTCTAAATGTTGTTGAGAGATATCATATTCTTCTTCATATTCTTTTTTAGTGTAGAATAACATCTTGATAGCATACAGTCTAGAATCGTCACCACCCCTGGAAGAACCAGTTGTTTCGGTAACAATAACTCTATCAAGAAACTCAGACATGACAACCTTTGCAACTGATTTACAGAATGAATCGGCCATATCGTCGTTGACATCCTTGAGAATTGGTAAAGTCATTTGTGGAGTCTGAATAGCTGAAGAAGCAGTCATAATAATTTCTCTCATACGTGGAATACCTAAAGTAACATTTGCAGCACCATGACCAGCAAAATGGAATGTATTTAAAGTCATTTGAGTTGATGGTTCACCAATAGATTGGGAAGCAATAATACCAACAGATTCACCTGGATGAATCAATGATCTCATATACTTCAATTGCATAAGGGCACGGAATTTCTTTTCAGTTAACTTCTTGTTACTGTTAGAATCCTTTTTGGAAGCAAATAGTTCACCATGCTTGCTTATGAAATCATCTAAATTATCCTGGAATTTTTCAGAAACAGAACCCAAATATTTGGCAGGGTTGTATACGGATAAGACTGGGTCATATTTGTCGGTCTGTTCGTAATGAGGTTTATCCATTTGTTTCTTCAAGTTCTTACGCGCCTTCTTAGCATAACTCAATGCAGTCTCAGTGTCCAAATGTTCAGTTAATTCACCCGGGTTATATTTAGATAACAAGGCATCATAGTTTTCAGCACAAAACTCGAATTGATTCATATGCGATTGTTTAGTTGTATCAATAGAGTCACCACCATAAAGGAATTGGAGTACTGAGCCATCTCCATCTCTGACAGAGTTGTCGTACCCAATGTGGACACCTTCTAATTGTTTAGTCAAACAACGTTGCAAGTACCCAGATCTAGAAGTCTTAACAGCAGTATCAATCAAACCTTCACGACCGGCCATACAATGGAAATAATACTCTTGTGGTCTAATACCAGAGTAAAATCTGCCTTTGATATAACCACCGGCTCTGGCATCAGTTTCAAATGGCTTAAATGATGGCAAAGTCTTTCCACTGACCATGACTGGAACCCTTCTACCTTCTAATGCTTGTTGACCTAAAAGACACATAATTTGAGAAACATTAACATTGGAACCCTTAGCACCCGATAAAGCCATAGCTTGCATACTGTTGTAAGGAAATCTCTTCATAGTTCCACCAGGAACACACTTGGAAACAACTTGAGAAGTAATAGCATTGACTTTAGATTGTGAAATAGCATCTAAAACACCCAATTTATTGTCATCTCTTAAGATTTCTTCCAATCTCTTCAACAATTCCTTGTCCAGAGAAGATACGCCAGAATCCAAATTGGTGACTTCAGCTGCCGCAGCCCTACCAATATCAACAGACTTTTTCAATATATCTTTTCTCCATTCATTTCCTTCTTCAGTTAATCTTAAATCATCCATACCACATGTAAATGCAGTTTGCATGATATAGTTGGTGAACAAACGACCCAAGACAGATAAAGATTTACCTGCAATATCTGGTCCGTAAACTTCATGCAAAGAGTGTACTAAACCGTATTGAGAAGCACCATATTGAGATTTATCTAATATACCACATATCAATTCACCGTTCTTAAAAACGACTAAATTTTCTTCGGAATCAGCACCCCAATATTCATCCTTAACTTTATTTTTACAGGTTAAATTAATACCTGGAACATTCTTTGGTTTGATATTTAACAACAAGGTGGTAATAACTTGCTTACCAGTCCATAACATCTGAGGTTTGTAGATGGTTGGCGGAACAGTCTTAATTCTAGCTTCACCATTGGTGTGTCCATCTTCAGGTCTAATACATCCATAAATTAATTGTTGATATTGTTCTCTAGTGAAGTATGTATCTTTATTCGTCAACCAAACACCAGCGGAAATATGATCTTGAATTAAACCTCTCAATGGAGAACCGGAAGTTGGAGTTAAATATTGACTGTCAGTATTTGCCAAGTTCAAAGCTTCTGCCTTTGCATTTTCATTTTGAGGGAAATGCATATTCATTTCATCACCATCAAAATCGGCATTGTAAGCACCAGTATTAGCATAATGCAATCTTAATGTTTTTTCTCCTGGCAAAACTCTTACTTTGTGTCCCATCATAGAGGCCTTATGCAATGTTGGTTGTCTATTCATAATGACAACATCCTTGTTCTTAATATGTCTATAAACCTTTTTGTTTATCACACCTCCATTACTTCCATTTGAAGGGGTCATTAATTGATTGGCAATAGCTTTTCTTTGTTCTACAGTCATTCCAATCAAGGATACTAACAGACCATCTTCATTTTGAACTTGTATTGCACCGGGCCATTTATCGGGACCATTGATAACAGCTTGTCTTAATTCGCTTGCATTGTGAGCAGTAACAGGTTCAGGATAAGTCAATTTGACGGCGAAAACAGGTGGCACACCGATTTCATTCGTTTCCAACATAGGATCTGGCGAAATGACAGATCTTGCCGCATAATTAACTCTCTTACCCATCATATTTTTTCTGAATAAACCTTCCTTCTTCTCCAAAGCTTGCTTAATACCAGGGTTTGGTATCTTACCAGCTTGAGCATTTTGATTCTTTGTAGAATCAATAAAGGCGTTCACATCGTTTTGGATGGTGACAAACGAGTTCATCAATCTGTTGAAAGTAATTCTCTTATCTTCAGCAGTTCCCTTACCCTTTTGTTGCAAGATGGAGATTTGATCGTTTAAATCACGAATAATTAATGCAGTTTTCAAAATGTTAGATAACAATTCATTTTGAGAATTTTCATGAATTTCGTCTCCAAGCTTAGAAGGAAGACGGAATCTAGTTGGTGGAACCACCAAAGATTGGACGAAGAATAAATCAGCCGTAATCTTGTTTGCAAATTTTGAAGGTCTTGAATTAAACAATTTTTGAATTATTGGCTGTTCCTTTTCAAAAACAGCTCTCAAAATGTTTCTAACTTCAGTGGCCAAAACGTACTTGGATCCACTCTTGTGTTTCAAGTTTGGTAATGAAGAGTTCTCATTAATAGTAGACTTCTTGTTTGCACCAGGTCTTAACATATCAGGTCTGGAGAAACCTTTAACTCTGTTATTGGTGATTTGTTTGTCCTTTAAGGCATTTTCAAATAACTTGACAAAACCGTCCTTTCTAAAAGTTGGTGAATACATTGAACAGTTATCACACTTAGGTCTACTTAAGATTTTCTTGTAGAATTCATGAATGGTACTTTTTCTTTCTTCCATCACAGAAGCAGTATGGATACCATGGACACTAGTCCTACCTTCACTGAGTGCCTTGGCAATGGCAGTATCCACAAATAATTCTCTTCTCTCTTTTAATTCCAGCTTGGCTTCTGGAGAAGTACTGTCGAATTCTTCTTCATCGTCATCTCCTGAGACATCATATTTACTCTTACCCTTGACTAACATGTTATCCAATTCAAAAACTTCGCCCAATAAACCGTACTGAATTAATTTTAATTTACAAACATAACGGTGTACTTCCAAGCTACTCAATCTGAATTGATGACAGTATAAACATGAAGATCTCAAGTAGATGTACATTTGGTTGAAAAATAATGGGTTATACACTGGCACTGGAAGCTCTATATGACCTTGATGACCAGGACAAAATTTTTCGTCCAACCCACAAGTGGTACATAAGTTTCTAAGGAAGGCACCAAGAGCCAAGTCATAAAGACCACCATTAACAGGATGTCCTAAGTTATCGAAAACTGTTGGATTGGTAATCTGTTTAGCAGAACGACGACGAACTTCATCAGTTTCTAAAGCACAAAAGTCAACTGAAACAATTTCAGAACCAACAGGCTTTGAAATATCCATATTGAAAATTGGTCAAATGTGAAATAAGTAGCGTCAACTGAGTTGGATAATTGAAAACAGAAGACTACTAAAACTGGAGGCCAATTGAACTTTGTACTTTAAGATTTCTGATGAGATGCGATGCAAACTGAAAAATCGAAAAAAAAAATCCCGATCTCATCTACAGGATTTTTCAGATAGACTTCCTAATTGGGTATGAAGTAAAGCTGAGGTCGATAGAAAGAAGAAAGTATGAAAAAAAAGTATGAATTATTTGCACCCAAGCACCACGTAGTGGTTTGCTTGCTAGAATACTTGTACTACGAAAGACACCTATACTTTGCAGATTTGGAGAATTTTGCTTGAGTCTACATTGATTCTTTTACTTTCAGATTACCATTTCTCCGAACTATTCTACAATAATTAATAATCTTTCATAAAAACACAAAATACTTTAGTAATACATACTACAAATTTAAGTTAAAAAATACACAATTTTTAGTTCAAACTTTACTCTTCAGAAGTCTTTCCAAGATGTAAGCCCTTTTTCAAAAATTTAGCACCTCCACCAAGACCCTTCACTGCACCTCCACCGAGACCTTTAACTGCACCCTTTCCTAAACCACCAACAGCACCAACAGCGCCGAACGCAGTATCTCCCATGTTCGTTGTGGATGCCTTGACATTGAGAAGGAATTCAGGTTTGAAATCAGCTTTGAAGTATGCTATACCACCCTTGTCGCCATTTTCTTCGAATAATTCAACTTCAAATTCTTCATGGTTGTTCATTGGGTCAACATCTTTCAAGGAAATGTAACCAATACTAAGTAAATCGTCTTGTTCAGGACCGATATCCCAATCATAAGCAACAACTTTAACTACCGAATCGTACAAGTTCAACACTTCAACGCTTGCCTTTTCATTCCAAGTTGGATCTAAAGTTTTCTTTACCTTCTTGGATTTAAAGAAATCGTCTTTGTTAGTATTCAAGAATAATTTTACATATGGATCGGATTTACCGTTACTATCACCAGCAGGCAAGTCGGTAGCTCTCAAAGCGTCTATGTGAAGAATACCGGAATTATTGACACTATCTTGTGGTGGAATTCTATCATCATCATAAATAACAGGTATCCATTGTGTTTGAAGTTTGAAAGAAGCATTACCGGTACCCTTTAAGGAAATTGTGGTAGGTTCATAGTACCCGTTTTTGATAAGTTGAACGGTTGGAATAGTAAGTTCAGCAATTGCTTTATCCAATCTATTATCTTCCTTGTTTTTAGAAATACGGAAACATGCCTTTGACCAATCCAACTCCTTAATAATAACATCACCAGTGTTTCCAATTTGGGCTTGTCTTTTAGTAATCTTTTGAGAGACATAGTCATTGTAACCATGATTGTCAAAATAAACATGAAGGTAAACGTCCTCCTTGGAAACAGTTCCGTCAATGAGTTCAAAAACAAACACACCATGCTGATATTCAAGAAGTTCATCAAGTGAAAGTTCCATTTTGGCATTTGAAGCAACTTGGCCATCATCTTCCTCATCATCACTGTCTTCTTCGTCACCATCTGAAGCCTTCTTAGTGGGTTCTTCCTTCTTCGCATCTTTAGACTCATTAGGAACTTCACCATTTTCGGCCGCTTTCTTTTCTTCCTCCTCTTTCTTCTTCTTTTCTTCTTCTAATTGCTTTTCAGCTTCTTTTTCATCCTTGATTTCTTCCAATGTCTTTACAGGCAATGTTGGATAGAAACTCAAACTATAGCTAACTGTACCTTTTGGACCTCTCTTGTGGATCAATTTACCGACTCTCTTCTTATTATCTTCATGTTGAATGAATTTTCCTTGTTCATTCTTATTGATAATTTCGTTAAGTTTAACATCAAACAGTCCCAATGTTCTGTCATTTTGACGTTTTTCAACATCCATAACTTCTATAGTTAATTTTTGGTTCGCAGAAGCAACTGAAACATAATGTATTTCATTCCAAGTTGGGTTTAATGTAGAATCTTCTGCCATTGTTCTTGATCTTTCAAACCCATTAACCAATAATCTAACATATGGATCAACTTTTCCTATAGTCTCCAAATTTCTTAAATCTTCAGCCTGATCAATAGATACTCTTACAACACCAATTGGTGGGGAATATCCACCTGAACCACTGGCATTGGTTAATCCCACAGGTTTCCAAGAGGTATTAATACGAACTTCACCACCAGTTTTCAATGGAAACCAAGTTTCATCAACTTGGGAAGCATCAATAAAATTGTTGAGTGTAGAAAATACTTGACCCAAAACTTTGTCAGTTTTAGGATTTTTAACTACAATTCTAACCTTGGCTTTAGAGCGATTTGCAATAATTTCTTCGTGATGGGCTCCCCAGGAAGGATTCTTAGTGCTCTTTATAACAGGAGTACTTAATTTCTTTTCATTGTTAATGTACAACTCAGCCATAACAGCCATGCCTTTTTCTTTGCCTCTCAAATGTCTAGCTTCAGTAACTTCAATTCTTGCTATACCAGTATTCAAATCAGGTGCTGGAATTACAGCACCATCAGCTTGTACTTGTGGTTCAATGGTAGGCATGAAATTCAAATCAAACTGTAAGCGACCAACAGGCTTATTATTTCTAAGGAATGGAGCACTAAGGTCAGTTTGTTTTGGTTCTTTAATAAGCAGTTCTAAATCAAATTGTATAGTACCAACGTCACGATCCTTCCTCTTACCGTTGTGATCAACAACTGTTATATTCAAAGGTTCACTCAACAGCTGGACTAGGATATAGTGAGTTTCCTTCCAAACTGGTTTGGAAGTATCAGAAACATGTTTCGTAGTTGCCAAGATATTCTTTTGGAATCCAATGTTCAAGTAGGGATCTAAGGTATTTCCAATAGTAGTGAAACCTCTAAGACCACTGGCTGATTTGGCAGTAACTGCTAAAACACCAATGGATGAATCCAAGGCATTACCTGCCATTAATTGCTGAATGTTTAATTGGAAACTTAATGGAGTGATAAGGATCGGACCAGCATATTTCTTAACCATTTCGTTTATGAACAAGTAAAGACCTGGAACAGATAAGACTTCCCAGTTCAAAATTGTATCACCAAGTAAACGACTAGTGAAATCAAATTGTGGAGGTTCCAATAAAGAAACATTCACAGTTTCAATATGTGGAAAGGACGTCATCATTCTCATTCTGACTCTTAATATAGCCTTGAAGGAGACATCACTAACAGCAACTTGAATGGGGATAATTCCAAACAAATTCATTTTAACAATAACCTTTTGGTTGACCTTATTCTTAATCTGCTTGTTATTAGCATCGGCCAATGCATTCGGAGTAAATGAACAGCCCCAATCCATGACAACAATGTCATCATCAGTTCCAGGCAAGGTCTTTACACAATCAATTCTAAATGGTTTGGTACCAGCGGTGAAACTATCGATCCAAAGTTGTTTAATGAATCCTGGAGCAGGTGAAGCAGCCAAAATAGGATTTGCTTGCTCAGTCACAATTTGAGAGATTGATGGCTCCAAAAAATACCAAAACTTTTCTAAGAAGACGTTAAGCCAATCCATAGTTTCGTAATCATTCTCAATAGACTTGATACTAAATTCCCTTTGAGCTTGTTCTCTCAAAGTAGTTCTGTACTTACGAATCGAGGTTCTATACAAAGTAGCAAATACTATCATAATGAAGAAGATGGGGGCCAATGAGAACCTTAACCATCCAACAAGCCAGGATAATAATCCACCAACAATCAAGTAACCAGTATTATGATACCAATCACCATAGGCAACAGCAGGTAAGTATTGGTCGAAAACGGTTGACTTACCAGACAAATCTTCTAGTTCATCATCAGCGGTTAACGCATCGGATTCTCCCCATCCTCCAACTTCCTTCCAGCCTCTGAAAGTTGGTTCAACTGGAAGACGAGGTTGAGGCTTAGTAGTTACGTTAGACTCATCAAAATCTTCACTAGGAGTTAAGTCAATTGTTTTAGTGTTCACATCATCATCATTACTGTACTTTCCCCTAGAAGTAAACTTGGAAAACCCACTGGCAGCTGTACTTGATTTACGTAAAGTTTGGCTTGCATTTGGGGTCGCTTGAGAATCAACTTCTACCTGTTCAGGAGGTTCAAGTATTTCATCAGGCTAGAAGGTTAGTTAGTATATCATAAATAAAAAGGAAATCAAATGAAAAGCGATTGAAGTACCACTACCCTTGAATACTTAAACAAGATATTGTAAAGAAAAAGAGGTTTTCAAAGAGAATTGAGGTCCATTGCTATTATCGTACTTAATGTTGCTTAGCCCTTCTTATAGTATTGATCAATGGTATCACACCCTGAGCTTCGACAATTGAATCTCAATTGAAAGTGTGCACTATACATATAAGTGAACTTGTTTCGGTACTTACATTCGTCGACATCCTAACGTCAATATCTTAATGAAAATTTAATAGTTTCTGTCAAAATCGATAAAGAACTATCTCTTGAAGAAATAAAAAAGCACCTTGGCCTATGCGCCAGAGAATAGAAACTGACACAAAAACGCTCCATGAGATTTTTCACTGTTTTTTAGCTTCACAAGGGGTAAAGAAGGAACCAAGGGCTTCTAACGTCGAAATATTTTGTGAGAGAAGAAAGCTGGAGAGAAGGTTTAGTTATGTAGGCATACACATTCTGTGATACGAGATTAGTGTTTCGAAAAGTATAAAGTATAATTAGAATGCAATAAATATACACGGTAAGCTACGACCACAAACAGCATAATTGGCCATGGTATACCTGACGTAAAATATACCCACTAGCAAGGCTGATGCCCTGCTTTCATTATTTCTTTAAGTTGCTGCAACCGTGGAGCGGCTCAAATTGAAAAATTCACCCACACCGCAACTGCAGTCTTGCACACAACCGATGAAATGCCTGTGCATGTCGGATCAGGCAAGCCCTAGCCACGAAAAGCTTACCATTCTACAGGATACTATAGCCAAGCGGTTGGTTCATGCATTTGCCAATATATTGTTTCACAAAATTTCACTAAATCATGCCTTTTAACTGCTTATATTGAGACCTACTCTATTGTTACAGGATCCTCCCAGCTGCCTATTCCCTTAGTTCCTAGGCTTAACAATTCTTCATCTAGTCCATCGTCAAATAACTCCTCACTACTGTTTCTATTATACACTTGGTTCCCGTTTTCCTTTCTTCCATGCAATTCGCTTTTTATGGTCTCACTACGGCCAGCAAGGTGAAGCCCATGGTCATGCTCTGGTGCAGGACCCTCATCTTTCTCATCCCTCTCATCATTCTCTTCATTATCCTCATCCTCATCATCGCTTAGCACGATGACTTCTTGATCTTGGTCTTGTGGGCCCCTGGAAGTTGTCCGATCATCAAGTATCCTGTACTTAACCATATCGACTAGTTCGACTCTATTGACCTCACGTGGAGTGGTCTTAACGAAAAAATTGTAAGCATCACTTATATACAACTGATTCAACGAAAACATTCTATCGCAAATGGGACATTTATACGTTGGATAGCTAGGCGGTGCAAACCGACCTGGTGGTGGTTGGGGTGCTGCATATGGGTTGAAATTTGCCGTATATTGTGGTATAACCATCTTGTTCATAATGAATTGCAACTCCGAATTCAAAGACTTATACAATTTAGTGCCCTTTCTTTGATGCTTCATCTTCTCAGAAACCTCATAGAGTTGTTTCCTCCAAAGTTCATTCTCAGGTATCTTCTTTTCACCTTGTTTCTTTAGCCTGTCTAAGATCTCTTGTTCCCTTTTCTCTGTTTTCTTCTTTTCAAAATTCTTCCTAACCAAATCCTTCCTACAGACATATTTTATTCCATCTGGAATATGACTAAAGATGCAAAAGTTTTCGAAATCGAAACACTCAAAATGCATGCACATGGTTGATTTAACTGGGAGCGATATCTTCGTGGCCGAAATTGGGTCCTTCAAGGAGAAGATCATTTTCTCGATCATCCCTATATCTTCATCATCGTTAAGAAGCTCTTTTTGAATGACGGTGGTTAGGTTTTTTGGTATTGTTCTGTACTCCGGTTCGTTGATGCTTCCTTTCCGTACTAGCTCCTCTTTCTTTACCTCTTGCTTAACTTTAACTTCTGCACCATGCTGAGTCTCACCGTTTGCTGGAACAGTGGTGGTCGAGGAGAGAATCTTGTTTAGTTCCATATCTAAAGATAGTAGATCATCGCTGAAATCGGTGATATTAAGATCATCATTACCGTTGTCCTCGATGTCCGTATCTTCAACTACGGTGTTTTTGTACTTCGGCCCCTCCATTTCCTCTAATACATGAGGAGGTAGTCGTATTACTACCTTCAAGACACTACCCTGCGATCCATTACCGACGCTGTATTCATTTGAGACCACTACATGCTTACTGTTTCGCAGTTTAGGACCCCGTACTCTAAGTAGTGGAGCCATCGATCCCAAGCTCTCTATTGACTAATTTATATCGGGTTCAACTACTATCCCCGTTTCTTCTTCTTTTTTTATATTTTTTTTGATATATGGAAATCGATCCACAATTAGCCCCCTTACCAGTTTGGTTTTACGAATAATATAAAGAAAGAGGCGTATATCCCAGTGGCTAGTCGCCATTATGGTGATGCTTGGAGTGCTTTTTTTTCTCTCCTAACCAACTCTGATGCTGGAGTGCATAGAGAGGAATTGCACCCAAATATCTACGGTACCCTAGCATAGTGTCTATGGTGCATCAAAGAGGGCCTATAGGACCCTAACGAGTGCCTATGACGCCTATCAGAGTGCAATTATATACCTACATTCGGTCTTGGATCGGATTGTTACTCTTTTATAGATTTACATTACTAATCAAATACAACAGGAACTTAATAACGTCCATGATTACCATGATTTCCGTGGTTACCATGATTGCCATGATTACCACCATAGTTGTCATTATTGCCATAATTGCCATAGTTGCCGTTATTCCCATAATTTCCACTATTACCATGATTTCCACCATGCTTGTTAAATTCGCCCAGGATCATATTTTCAAGGAAGCCTGCACCACCACTACTTCCATGGTTGTTTCCGTGGTTGTTGCCTTGGCCCCCGTGATTACCACTGAACTGGCTCGAAATAAGACCACCGATGGCACCAAGCCCTCCAGAAGAGTTTGAATGCTGGCCACCACCGTAGTTATTGTTGTAGCCACCACCATTTCCACCCAGTGGACTGTAGTTGCCAAACAAACCACCACCACTGCTTGGAGGGTGGTTTGGCGCATTATAGCCGCCGTTGTTACCGTAGTTGTTGTTACCATAATTATTGTTACCATAGTTGTTATTTCCGTAGCTGCTGCTGCTGTTCTTTCCGCTTCCCATAGCAGCAGAGACCAAAGATCCAATAATTCCAGAGGCCCCAGAAGATTGCTTACCATAACTGTTGCCCCCACTTCCACTGTGCATTGCCGCACTGATTAAGGTACTGGTAAGGCTTCTATCTCCATTAGCACCTTCAGCTTGAGTCACCTCGGTAGTTTGGGTTACATTACCGTCTTCGTCTTTACGCTGAGTTTCCACAACCTGTGTTTGAGTAACTTGAGCATTTTGGCCCTGTTGTTCTTCAGGATGAGTCCACTGAGATTCACCAGTTTCCTTGTTAACGAAGAAGAATCTCTTGTATTCTTCATCCCATTGGGCAACCCAGCCTTCAGGTACTGGGGGAGGAGTAGGAGCTGATGACATAGTGTTTGTTAGTGAATAACTTTTCTTGCTAAACGAGAGAACACTACTTTTACTTCACACTTTTCACTTTTCAAAGCAATCGCTTCTGGTTATAAGCGCGTGCGGAGCTGAGTGAAACTTCTCTGCGTATATCTCATTACTGGACCTTGAATATTTTTCTTGGCAACACTCAGCCCTATACAGATAAAATTAGAAAAAGAAATGATGGAGTTGATCAGCAGCACTATTGCGGGCATTGATATGCAGTGATCATTTGGAGGAACAATTTATCAGTATATGTGTGAACGTTAAATTGAATATTTTGTAGAACAATTACGATGTGATATGCCTAAGCCCCCATCTTATGCTTCCAGTAGAGTAAAGTAACTAAATAGGTGAATGGGGGCATGGTTCAGAGAGAATTAGGCTACCGTAATTGAATTGGGAACTCACAAGCTATCTATTTTGGATTATTATATCATGGAGTGTACTAGATGCGTTGATTGAGGCCCATCCGATCGCATATACCTGCTTAGTGCTCGAGCATGGTTCAAAATTTTGCTTTACTTTTCATAGAATCTTGGAAGTGTAAACCTGGTGACTTACAAACTATCTATTTTTCACTACTCTCTCATGAAATACACTAGTTAGGGGATGTTCGGGGCCAATTCAATCACAAATATCTACTCAATGCTCTAACATGGTTCGGGGTATCGCTGTAGCAGTTACATAAAACACTAAGTCATTGGAAGGGCTCTCTTATGTGCATTCCTTTTAATCTATTTACAGTTTACATTCTTAAATTACAAATATAAGGACCATGTCAGGTCCGTCTCAGTTATCGAGACCTTCAAACTTGAATTTAATATCCAAAGCTTGGCTTATTTCGTCTTCTAATAACCCTGTTAACCCACTATTATCTCTTAGTGTAATCCATTTGCCTCCAATGAGGTCGTATCTTTTTGGTCCTGAAAGTGGACTGCTTAACCACATTTGCTTATTGGGAGGCTGCTTGTTTATTACATAAGATCCTAGAGGTGGTAAGTCCAACTTCAACACTCCTTGACTCAACTCACTATCGACTTGTGGGTGGTCTTCCGAGAGCGCTTCTAATTCGTCACCAAGTGTCTCTAAATAGTTATTAGAAATGGAAGAATACTCGTGGTCTGTAAGTACATCAATTTTATCTTCAATCAACTCGCCTTCTGTGCTGAGGGAATACATCCTTAACTGTGGCTTCGATGGCTTCGATAAGATAGCTGCTTGAAAGGAGCGTAAAGGAACTGCTTTTGAACACCTCAACAATGGGCTCGAAAATGTCCTGACTGGATTTCTGGAGATTCTACGAAACATCATTCCAAAGATTAATTTAATTGCGCTGCAAGCTAAATAAAGTGAAGATGAACTCGACCCACTGAAAAGATTTAAAGATTGAAAATTTGAAGATCACTATTTGAAATTTGTCCTGCACATACGCCACAGAGATCAACCAATTCCAATCTGTCAAAATGTAAGAGAGAAATAGAGGACTAAAGCAGTACAGATGGAGGAAGATAAAAATACTAAAAAATGGTAGAACACCCATCCCAGTAGTCTAGTAACCATCACAAACATGATGTTTAGCTCAAAAATCACATTTTGTCTTCCTTGTTTCCAACTCCTCTGCATTCGTTAAATGCTGCACTTATACTCTACACCGACCTGCATACAGAATGCATGCATATCAATGGCCCATCATGGAAAACTTGTACCCAGGGTTTCCGACCGGCACTTGAGGTTACTCTTTCGATACCCTTTTTCCCACTTGTTGTCTGCTGTCGATATCTATATAAATGTTTTTCCTATTGTTTATTGGCGCTTTGCTTATAGCTTTAATCATAATCCTCCCTTCTTCTGCAGGTCTTCTCAAACTTGAGAGAAACACAAGGACCAAGAAGTCAGCAGAACCAGAAAGATCCAAAAATCCATCATCTTCCTCTGGCCAAGAATATTCGGGATATCTCCCCCCAGATGAATATAACGCTTTGCAAGAACAGAAAAGAGAGCAATATCAGAAGGAGAGTTCAATCAAAGCACGCGCATCTGCCTTAAAGGACAAAATCAACTTCACTGCCAATGACATTCCAGTGAAGTTTTCACTCCAGGATCAGCAGAGATTACGTCACCGTAACAAGGAAAGGTTGGACATTGACAACAACCCAAATAATTATGATTATGACTTAGATGAACTTATTAACGAAGAGAAGGAAAAATCATTGGAAGATCAACAAAGAGAAGCATACAAAAACGAAGTATTAGGTCAAGATAAGGAAGCCATGGTGTAAACATTCTTTCAACAATTGGTCCCATAGAACTCTGTAAATACTACAAATAATAAATTTAAATTTAGAAAGTATAAATATCTTGTAAATTCTATCATTAAATTCATTAATCGCTATCCTCGACACTGAATCCTATATCCAATAATTCAATCAAATATGCCTTACGCAAAAACTTTGCCTCTTTCAAATTGTCAATAGATTTGGACGAGACATTTCCCCACAAGACTGCCTCTTTGCTTTGTAGTTCTCCTCTTAACTTTTGAATCTTCTCAACCATATCGATTTGCTTGCTTCTGAAACTCCTAGAATACGCTTCAAAGATAGTATTCATTAAGTCCTTTGATAGCTTAACAGTGCTCATTCTGTCATTGTTCAAGTATGACGGAAGATTTGCAACTGGATTCTGGCTATTCTGTAGCAATACCTTCAATTTTGGAGTCAATGGTAAACTTCCCAATTTCTCAACTACTGCTTCGTTGCTTGAATGCGAAGACAACTCATAATCCTTAAGAAGATCCATTGTAAGCCTTTGAACATTCTCAAATGTCAGGGTGTGCTGGAAGAGTTGCTTGTATATTCTTGATGTTATTGGAAGTTTGAATTGTGATTCCATAGTAGAAAGCAACGGACCAATCTTGTGGATATGACCAGGGTTTGATGTATAATATTGAATGAACTTGAAAAATGTGTTTTCTGTAGGAAAGAGCTTGAATTGGGGGATATTACTCCCCGAGAGTAGTTCACTGACTTTGTCGTACTTGTAAAGCATGTCTCTATATATTAGTTCGTCTTCAACGCTCAAGATTTTGTACACTACCAAATTTTGACTTGCCGAACAGCTTTCATCATAGCATTCAAGGTAAACCAGTTTAACTAGACTTTCAGCAAGTTCTACATCGTTGAAAGTTAAGAGTCCTGCGATAACTATGTCAAGCGTCTGAGAATCCAATTTCACGTAGGTTGAGCATATTTCAATTAGTTTTATGAACCTTTCCTCTTTTTTCTGGGAAGCAAAGTATTCCAAAAATAAACCTAGTGATTTCCTGTCTCCCTTTGGCTCATCTGAAAACAATCTACTGTAAATATCTTCGACGATTTTTTGGTTGCCATGTCTGATTGCTGCAAAGAGAATTGTATTGTAAGTTTCAGTACTGATATCTTCGCCAAAAGATTGAAGCAAGCTTTGATACCCATCCCATTCAAACTTTGTGAGATTGAGACTTTTGCCTCGTTGTGAAAGCGCACGAACATGTCTCGAATGAAGCTCTTGTTGGTCCAAAGCAAGTTGCACCTTTTCCAATATGTCCTCTCTATCTCTGAAGAGACTCATAGCTATTAATTTATTTCTCTCACCCATGCTTAAGGGAAGATCAGCCTTTCTTATGTCATTCATTATTGAACTACACCTTTCAACATGTTTCTTTCTATTTGCCAAGGTCTCCTTAAATACGGCAATTAACCGTCCTCTGCTCACATCTGCTTTCGAGTTGAGTATGGGATGGCCATATTTAAAATCTCTTCTTTCGAGAAACACCTTCAACAAGTCTTCTAAGTGATTGGGTTTCATGAATAGAGGACGGGGGGAAGGCAACTTTTGATATGCATCGAATAAATTATCATGATTTATCTTGGAGTACTTCTTAGACGGATCTATTGCATCTCCAGTCGCATAGGATGATATGAGTGTGGAATTGGGGTACAAATGTTTTAGGAAATTGTAATAAATAGATGAAGAAGGAAGGGGCTTGCTATTGCTAGACAAAGCTTGGAGCCTTTCATGATTTCCATTCTGTTGTGTTAGCTGATCCCATATGGGTAATAATGAAGATGTATTTGATTTGGCCAATTTTTCCATTAAAGCTCTGGAATTTTCTCCTATAATCATTTGAGTCGTCTCTCTGAGAGGAAGCTTGGCCTCTGATAGTCGAGATCCAAGGTTCCGTATTATAGAATATTTAGACATAATCCGATGACTCCATGTGGTAAAGGCGTATCTTGGGAGTGAGGTATTCCGTTTGTTTTACTATATACAAGAATATTCTTCAAGGTTTTTTAATTTCTCTCTCACAGCTGTCAACTATGATCCCAAACAGATATATAGATATATACAAGCAGTGTTCTGAATTTGGGGATACTCCAGTTGGTACTATAGGATGTTGCAAAGGACATAAAAAATAGTAACGCTTTCTATGTAGATTCATATTGGATTTATATGCAGGAGATGAGATATGAAGATGCTACCAGTGAGAGACAGAGTCATCAAGAGAGGGAAGCAGAACACAAGCAATTTTGATGAAAAGTGAGATTTCTCTGGCCCTTACCAAGCAGTGCAGTTCGGTAGATTTAAAATAGAGTCCAGTTATCTCTTATTTCACTGTTTATATAACTCTTAGCCAACATCCATGTTACTTAATAGGCTACCGAACGACAGCATGGGAAGGTCGTGCGGGATCAATTCTCGTACCAATATTTTTTTTTTTTTTTTTTTTTTTTCACGCAATATCAAGCTTGAAAAATCTCGATCGGAATAGCCTTGACAGCCTACTAGTTGCCCAATTAAACAGCACAAACCAGCATGAAGTTACAAACAGGAGCTACTTCCGTGTTGGAGAGAACTTCGCACTACTTAAAGGCGGGTCTGTTAAGGGAAAGACCTGCGTGGTTCAACGTAGTTGGATCCAACCCTCCCATGACCGACTTGACCAAAAAGGCCAAACTCTTCCAAGCAGAGAATCCAAGAAAAGATCCTGGTGAATCCATTTACCAAAAGAAGAACCGCCAATATCATTTCAACAAAGTCCAATATAAAACAAGAACAAGTTCGGTAGATAGGAAACACAGACATGATGTGGTATCCAAGTTACCCAAGTTAAACTTCTTGGAAGATCAATTAAGAGATGTTTTCTACCACCAACATCCATGGGAATTCGCAAGACCAAAGGTGTTAGTAGAGAATGAGGGTAATGATAATGACACCTGTAACTGGTCGCATATGTTACAATTGTCTAAACCATTGGATGGTGAATCTGTCGTCCAAAGAACCTTGTGGTTGTTGAAAGATTCAAAGAAACAAAAAGGAGAAGCTAGCCAACCGTTATCTTTATTCGAAGCCTACGACAAGGCCAGATTCGAATTTTATAGGTTGAGAATGGATGAAGAAATGAGCAGCACTGTATCCAAGGAAGAATCCACCATGCTTGGTACCGTGTTCAATACTACTCACCTAGACTGGGGTGTGGCACAGGAACAACAATTTGTTGACGTTTGGGCACAAGTAGCCACGGAACAGACTCAAATCTACGAAGCTCAAAGAGGAGGTAAAATGGCTAGCCATGGTTCCATGGGAGCCGAAGAAGATGAAGCTGTAAACGACTCATCTGCATGGGTGGCAGCTGAAGAGAAGGTTGAGTAAATTCTTGTACATAGACAAAATTAATACATATACATAAGTGAGTGAAAGAAGAGAAAGAGGAGAAACCCAAAAGGAAAAAGACAAAGAAAAGACTACTCATTCAAATCTACAGGAAAGGGGCAGTCCATCTCCCATCCGATACTTGTCTAATGCATGTATTTCATTTCTCCTAAATGTACCATTGGAAATGCTATGGCGACACTCAAGGCCGCCCTACGTTATCTATATTACCAAGTTCTTCCGCCCTGAATTCATTTTCTCTCTTTTTATTTCGTATTCTCTTTCTTTTCTTTCTTGTTTTGCACTGAATTCGATCATTCATTCATTCATCCTAATGGTGTTCATGATGTTCATCCTTTAAGAAAATTTGTTCATAGGCAACATAGACTGCGAAGGCTCCTACAGCAATGCCAAATCCTGGGAAGGAAGTCTTAAATCTGTTCAAACGAGAAAATTGGCCTTGGTATCTCCAAGCATCTCTCTTAGCCCATGGATTGTTAGCCATTTTTAGTGTTTGTATATATGTGTAAAGTCTACCCTCTTGAGGTTAGAGTTCATTACAATTTGCTTTTTGATTTATTTTATTGGAAGCTCAAGTTACACAAAAACGCACACTCAGGCCAATCAGATGCAGTACCAAGGCAGCCGGGATATATGCAGTACCAGAGCACTTCAGCTTTCCTTCAATTCTCCACTGGTGCAGGAAGAAGGGACTGGATTTTGCCAAGAGTTCATATCACCCATACACCCAGGTTATAGCCGCATATGGTTGCCTGAAGAATATCATTATTTATAATATGCAATGAAAATTTGTAAAATCTGTGGAAGGGAGGTTGCCAGGTATTTACACTGATATAAAAGTAGGTACTACTGGTTTAATAACAGTCAACGAATAGCGAACGCCGAAAGAGCGAGGTTTCCTGAATTGACCTAGTACTTATCCTGCAATAACAAAGCAGCCAAGCTACCCCAAGTCCTAAATCTATTATTGGTTAAGTCAAGATAAGCTAAGCGTCCTTATTTTTCTTGGTTTTCTAAGCATTTAGTCAAAATTTATCATGTCGAAGAGTCCTGGTGAAAACCTCGAAGCTAGTCGCTCTAATCCTCTTTCTCACTATGAGGAAAATGAACATATTGCTGATGATATCGTTAGCAGAATCGAAGAAGAACGTGAGGAGATAACAGACGATGAAGATGCAGAAGAGTTCATTAGAAAGTATGGGGATATAAATTTCAAGTATATTAAACGTCCTAAAGATGCTGTTTGGTTCATTAGACCCCATGCATTGAACTATTTCAAAGATGGGGTGCTTTATCGTACCAAAGGTGAAAGAACCTCGTCCAAGACAGAATTGTTCCTTGATTTGATGTACGTTGGTATCATTGCCAATTTAGCAGGTACTGCATCAGAAAACGCAAGTGGAGCTGCTTTGTTGAAGTATGTCCTTACATTTGTCCCAGCTTGGACTGTGTGGGCGGATATCAAAGATTTTACCAATTACTATTATAATGAGGATTTATCCCAGAAGTTGTACATCATGTGGATCTTGGCACTTTTAACCTTGTACGTTAACAGTCAAGGTGCAGTGTTGGAACTGAGAGAAGGTGCTGCGTATACAATTGTGCCATACATCATGTGTAGAATGTCATTGGCGCTAAGTTTATTATTGTATTCCTTTTATATCCCAGAGCACAGACCACAACAAAGATTATACGCCTGCTTCATAACATTTACTTGTTGTCTTTGGATTCCTGTAATTTTCATATCAACGAGAGCTAAAATTGGATTGTCAATCACTATTATGGTTTTGGAAAACGTTTTGTTTATGATTGCCTATCATCCATACACGAAGAGAGTAATGAACTTGAGAATGTCTACTGCATTAAACATTGAACATGAAGTAGAAAGATTTGCAACCTTCGTCACCATTGCGATTGGTGAATTTTTATACAAGGCAGTTGCTACTGGTGGATTGGGCGTTGGATTTAGCGATAAATTCGCAAGGGGAATATTTTTGATTATGATTGCCTACACATTATTTTGGATTTATAACAATGGATCAACAGTTAAGTGTGCTACCCATGCTTTAAGAAGGAACGGTTTTACTGCTTGTATTTGGATTTACGCTCATTTACCATTGGTAGCAGCCTTAGTTTTGGCAGCAGATGCAGGTGGGGACATAACTTTACTGGATACCACCAGCTTGGCCAAGACACACTCTTCCACATCAGAAGAGATTATATCAAGTGGAGAGGAACACTCAAGAAGATCAGAGTCCAGTGGGGAAGAAGAGCACAATATGTATGCATTGTCATTGTTTTTCACGGGAAGTCTTTGTGTTGCTTTGGTTTCACTTGCAGTTCTTGGATTACTTGATGAGTCAAAAGATCCGAAAGACATGTTCATTATTCCAAGATTTTGGAGAGTCATAATGCGTGTTCCAGTTGGAATAATTATTCTTTGCTTAAGTTTTGCCGAACTTCAATCTACTGTGCTTATGGGAATAGTTGTGGCTTTGCTAGTAGTATTATTAGTTTTCGAAAGTTTTACATCTACGCCAAAGAATTGTTTGAACATCACACGGCCCATAAATTTAGCTTCCGATTCGAACTAGAGTCTCTAAAGCACAACGACAAATACATGACCATAAATCTGTGCCCAAGAAATCTTTTGAAATTACATGTTAGTATTATAATTCCATAGAAATATGGATGTACGAGTGGAAGATGTGTAGAATTTATGCGTAGAAGATTTGTGTCAAACAGACATATGCAAGAAGACAAAAAAGAAGAGATAGAGATAGGTACGTATACCGTCTTCTATATAAGGATCGTGATTTTTTTGTCTTTCTACCAATTTGAATAAAATCCGCTGATCTTCTTTCCTTCTTTGTCTTCCTTTCTCTATTATTGTTTACTGATCAGGAATACATAATTTACATTCATTACACGCAGAGAAGCTTATGTTTCTATTACATCATCAGGAGTGAGGACATCCCGCATCTCAATTACGACCATTTGAGGTAATATACATATATAGCTACACACATATGCGGAACTACATACAAATCTTGACCAATTTCCTACAGTTGTTCCACCTAACTACTCGCCTACAGTGTTCCATGCATTTGGGGTACATGGTCTTGAGCTCGTCTGCAGCAATTTTAAGTAGGAAGCCCCTGGGCGCCACTTCGCTATTGGAGCAGCTCTTCTCGCGTCACGCACTACTTTTTTTCTTGTTCTTTGCCATTCCTCGTGCGGCTTGCTGGGATTAATTTTTCTAAATTCGAGTCTTATATAAATGAGGATTTCATCTATGTGAAAGTATAACGAAGATCAGGAAGAGAGCCGAAGAATATTTTCAGTTAAAGTAGTATCTTGCGTATATTAAAAGCCTACCTTTTTAAATACAGTATAAAAGTATAATATTTTTTTGACGTATGTATCGAAGAGAGAACGAGGAGTCGTATTATTATGAGAGTAGAAGTGAAGGAGGGCCAGGAGCAAGAGAAGAAGTGCAGGCAAACGAAGTGAATTTTCCATTCCATTTTTTTTGTTCAAGGATAATGAAAGGCTAGAAGCAAGGAATAACGCAAAATTTCCACTAAATTCCAAGTCTGGTCCCGTAGAGATTGATTAGACAATAATACTTTATCCCCAGCACGCAACCCATCTATCAGATAACACGCTATGCACTGAGCATCCCCTCTTGGCATCGTAGATACCTTTAGGCACACCATCTAAATTCCACTCCCCCTAATTAGATACCGATGTGCCTGCGATGGGGTTTCACTAACCCACAGAAAACTTCCACCGCAGGAACCTACCCACCCACCGAACATTTGACACTTTGACACCAGCTACCATCAAGTTGCATCCAAAGCCTCAACACAACTACGTATTTATTTTTAACCAACCGCGGTCTCCCACAATTCGTGAAATTAATTTGAAAAAATAAATATCAAAAAAAAAAAAACAAAATTAAACGGGTAGAGTGAACGGATAAATTAGACTAGGTTGTGCCAGTTACAGATTAGTAATTTCATTTTTAATTCATAGGAGTATTTCACTGCCAGGCCGACAATTTACTTCTTCATTTTATACTTTGAATTTAGATATATATATATTTCTTTTGCAGTTGAATTCATACTAACTATCCATCAGCTATGCCACGAAGAAACATTTCAAATGGTGGAGTTTCATTAACAAGCGGTAATCTCATTGCTAAATTAGTTTTCATAATATCCCAGTTGGTACAGGCCGTTAAGGCCATACCTCTCGCTGTACGATCGGGAGCCGTCAGCACAGCACTTAATGCTTCAAAACACCAGGAAGTCCCTATGACTAGGGAAGAGTTCTACATCAACATGTTCACTTCAGTATTTCTCGTCTTGGCAGGTGGTGTCTTTGCCGGGTTAACCTTAGGGTTAATGGGCCAAGATGAAGTTTATTTGAAAGTTATCGCCACTAGTGGAGAACCTGACGAGCGTAAGCATGCTAGAAAAGTGTTAAGATTGATCGGAAGAGGTAAGCACTGGGTCTTGGTTACCTTGTTGTTGTGCAATGTTATTACTAACGAAACCTTGCCTATTGTCCTTGACAACTGCCTTGGTGGTGGTTGGCCCGCGGTCGTGGCTTCCACTGCCTCTATCGTTGTCTTTGGGGAAATCATCCCTCAATCCATCTGTGTGAGATATGGGTTACAAGTTGGGTCCATGTTTGCTCCATTTGTTCTCGTGTTGATGTATGTTATGTATCCAATCGCATACCCATGTTCCCTTTTGTTAGATTACATTTTAGGTGAAGACCATGGTACCGTCTATAAGAAATCTGGATTGAAGACTTTAGTTACTTTGCATAGAACCATGGGATCCTTGGGCGAAAGATTGAATGACGATGAGGTCACCATTATCAGTGCCGTTTTGGATTTGAAGGAAAAGTCTGTTGCAGATATCATGACTCCAATAGATAGAGTCTATACTATGAGTTCTGATACCATTTTGAATGAGAAAACAGTCGAGGAAATCTTCAACGCTGGGTTTTCCAGAATCCCAATTCACTTGCCAAACGAGCCTCTTAATTTTATTGGTATGTTATTAGTCAGGGTTTTAATTAGTTATGATCCAGAAGACGCCTTACCTGTCTCCAGTTTCCCATTGGCAACGTTACCGGAAACAAATCAAGAAACTTCATGTTTGAACATTTTGAATTATTTCCAAGAAGGTAAGTCGCATATGATCGTTGTAAGTGACCACCCTGGTGAGCCATATGGTGCATTGGGTGTTTTAACTTTAGAAGATGTTATCGAGGAATTGATCGGTGAAGAAATTGTAGATGAACTGGATGTATACATTGATATCAATAACAACATTAAGAGAACAGCACCGGGTCCATTATCCAAGAGAAATATTACTTCATATTTGCACAATTTGTATCAGATTAGTGCCAGTAACTCCAAAAGAAATTCACTTGATGAGGGCACTAAATTGAAAGATGGGCCTACGAGTCCACTTCGTAACAATGTTGTTGGCGCTAATCTTGCGAAAGTAATGAGTAACGAACGCCTGATGATTCCGCAAAGTCCTAATTTTGGACCGGTTGACGCAAAGCATTGGAAACCTAAGAATCCAGCATCTAACCCATTGGAAACGAACAAATCATTTGTGAAAATCAAGAAACCAACTACCTTTGATAATGTAATGCCACCTCCAAACAGGCCAGCACCCGATGGCAGCAATGGATATGGAGCCATCCACGCTACCGAAGCCGGAGCGCTTAGAGAAGCACAAGAGCTTCATAAATCCAATGGCCATGGACACCATGGACCTGATGAATCAGCTACCCTGCAAAAATTCCTTCAAAACGATAAGAAGAATTCGAATGAGGCTAATGGATACCACGATAACCTGATTACCATCCCACATACGGACTACACTGAGTCAAGATCTTATAGAACTGGAGGAATCATTGAGTCAGTTGTTAACGTTCAAGGTGTCCATAAGACAATTATTGAGAACGTCAGCGAAGATGAAGAAGGAGGAGAAACTTTCAGCTTACTTTCGGGATATAGAAAGGAAAATGACAGACTGCGTTAAAAGTTTATAGACATTAGCTATGCAACAGAATAAGGAGAACAAGAGAGCGAGAGATGAAAACGAGACGAAGCGACTTATATACATTTTAGTGATTGTGAAACCGTATACTGATAATTGACTCAAAACATATATTAGTTGTTTGTAAATATTGAAATGTATGCAACTTTTGTATAGTATTGTACTTGAATACAAATCACGGTAGTGAACCATATTTTTATTGAAGCATCCTGTATAGTGATAGTGAAGGTGGTAATACTAAAGTTTTATCTGGGAGAAGGAAGAGTGGACTTCAGGATATCTTCTGAAATTTCTTCTTCTTGGTGTTGTTTAGTAACCATATTACTTTTGTAGTTGCAGCCTGCCACCTACCATCCTACATTTCAACAATAGACAACGATCTACCTCTTAAATACTTGTTGATTCTGAGAGGTCGGATCCCTTGGTGTGATGTCCGGTTTTAAGTTGGCTGCGAAATTGCCTAATGTAATGCTACAATTGAAATGTGTTAAGCAGAAAATAATAGACAGAAAAATAAAAAGTAAACTAGAACGAGAACGAAAAAGTAATACTTTGAGATAGGGCCAGAACAAGGGAATGCAGTACAATGAATCCGGGTGAAATCCGCTTGACTCGGTCGAGTCGAGTGAATGTGCTATCTATCCAATGCTCTAATGTTCAAATATATGCATATCTACATATATACTTATTGTCACAGAGTAACTAACCACACTGCCCAAACCACTGGCCCCCCAGATAAATGAGCCGAGCAATAATGCTTTTTCCCCGACTCATCGTGGGAAATTTCATCTGGCCTACCCGCGTGAAATTAAACTTGGGGTGCTACTTTTAATTCTCAGAAAAGTGGGACAATTGTTTAACACCATGTTACCGTTTGAGAACTTCTGGATCTACCGGAAGCTGAGTTGACTGGGTGCTTTTTGCCAAAGCTTTTGTGTAAGCTTTGCCTCTGCTTCTCCATTCACAATCAGATCGAAATACAGATACTTCAGTTAAGCTTGATGAACAAAACCTTAATCGTCGGTGATAGTCGGCTGTAGACTTTACAAGCTCAAGTTAAAGTTTGATTTAAAATTTCTCCTAATTTTCCACTGCTTTTTTTTGGAACGGACATCAAGAAACGGCAACAGGTGCAAAGTTAGCGGCAATGGCAAGCGGCCTGCCGCGCTTTTTGAACCCTTGGAATTTTTGATTCTGCAATCAAGAAATATTTCTCTAGCTAGCTATTTTGATACTCTGGATACGTACTTCTTTTCTAAGCCCCAAGAAAGTGTCGTTATAAGTTTTCTTATTAAGTGATAGTGTTTAATTCGCGTAGGTGAAAACGAATTGGCCCTTTTTCATATCTGCAGATTAGGAAAATTTACCAATAGATTGTTACAACTGCACTCAGGCACAAGGTATTATTTATTTACAATATTATATTTCCTTTTAAACTTTATTAATAATATTATTATACCCTTTTATACTTTGTCTTCCATTGTCCAACGGTACTGCCCCCTACACAATTTTATCCAACGGTAGACTGGTCATAATTTCACGGCAAGATTCCAAACACAAATCAATTCCTGAATAAATATGTCCCTTGATAAGAAGAAGAATTCATCGAAGTTTTCTCTTCGAGAGGTATTCAGTCCTAACCAAAAACTGTCGCTGCCTCCAGCAGACGAAACGAGCCCTTCATCTCATAGATTTTTATTGAAGAAGAAAGATTCTAAATCTAGTATGATTTCTCCGCAAACGAGCTCTTCATCGTTAGGCTCCTTACTCAGAGGAAGGAACCACAGTAAAAGTGCCGAAGCTCTCAATCCAGCAGCTTCTGTACTGCATCACCAAGACACCACCACAGATTCTGTTCCTGGCCTGCTAGACGTTACGCCGTATACTCTGAATGAAAGAGTTTCCGGGAAGCTTGATGATCACAGTGTGCCAGTGAAAGTAGCCGAGGACAAGCTGCACCACCACCACCACCACCATCACCACAACAATACTAACGCACACAAGGCACCTAAGCTCACTTCCAATAATCATGGTCATAATTCTCACTCACATCTCTCGCTCAAGAGATTCTTAAAAAAGTTTAAACACTCGCCAACCTCAGATCACCATCAACACCCACACCAAAACAACTCCTCGACTGCTTCAATTGCCTCTTCCTTGCATGCACCACATTTCTTCCACACCTCTAGCTCCTCGTCAATCTCCTCGTCGGAAATGTTTAAGAAATATGGTAACATAGGTAAGCTTCTTGGTACAGGTGCTTCGGGTTCTGTTTCGCTCTTGACTTCAGAATCTGACCCAAGTAAGATCTACGCAGTGAAAAAGTTTAGAGCTAAATTGCCGAATGAATCAGAGCTGGACTACAGAGTTAAAGTAAAGAATGAATTTAAAATTGGTGAAATCTTAATTCATCAAAATTTGATTCACACCTACGAACTTATTAAAGAAACTAGCTCCAAGTTTTTATCTGACACGGAATATTTTATTGTCATGGAATATTGTCCTTACGACTTCTTTAACTTGGTCATGAGTGGACTTATGGATAGAAAGGAAATTGCATGTTACTTCAAGCAAATTATTAACGGGGTGGCATATTTGCATGAGAATGGGTTGGCCCACAGAGATCTTAAATTAGATAATTGTGTGGTAAACTCCAACGGTATTTTGAAATTAATTGATTTTGGACTGGCCGTTCACTTCAAGAGGGAAAAGGTTGTAAGTAATCCTAACTCTAGCGAAGATGATTTGGATGAGAAATACAGATTAATTAGAGCTAGAGGAATTGTCGGCTCAGATCCATATTTAGCACCTGAAGTTTTTGAACCTTCCAATTTTGGATACGATCCACGTTTAGTAGATATTTGGTCAATTGCTATTATCTATTGCTGTATGATATTGAAGAGATTCCCATGGAAGTTGCCGAGAGAAAGTGATCCTTCCTATAAGGCATTTGCTGGAATTGACGATGAAGTACAGGAGAAACCAAAGAGTAATGGAGTAAGTAAGTTGGAAAAGGAAATGAAGGGATTGAGTGTAGATAACTCAGAGGCATCATCAATTCAAGCAAGTGAAAAACTGGCATCATCAAAAATTGATGCTGTTCCAAGGCATCTCATTCCTGAAATTGACTCAACTAACGTATCAAACTCGGCAACACCAGTAACAACATCAACTAGGGAGGCAACACAAACACCATCGCCAACCACGACGCCAACACCAACTCCAGCGCCTGAGGCTACGAAAGAAACAGCCCAAACATCAGCAGGAGATGGCTTGCCTCCACAAGCGCCAGCGCAAACATCGACCCAAAAGAAGTTACCACCGAGAGGTCCAGAGAGACTTCTTAGAATTCTTCCTTCTCAAGCCAGACCACTTATCAGAGGTATGCTCACTATTGACACTAGCAAGAGATTTTTAATAGAGGATATTATCAAGGATGATTTCTATAAGGTCATTGAGTTATGCACTCAGGACCCAACAACTAATGATTACGTACCAGCAGAGGACCATACTCACCATTTAGTCACCGAAGAAGAGTTGCAAAAAATTAACGAAGAAAAGGAAAAAATGAAACACTTAAAAGATGCTGGTATGGCTTAAATAAATGTACGACTTCGACTTACAGGTGGAGAGAAGAGATGAACTGATCACTATCCAAGGTTTAAATGACTCCTTTGCTCCATATTTTTACGTATCAATTGTACCACTTTAAATATTATAAACTATTTTATATCATAGATATCAGTATACATTTATTAGGATAACCTTCTAATATATATCAATATACTTATCCTCAAGACTAGTCATGTACATCTTTATCTGCATGTTTCTGCTATCACCCAACCTGCATATAAACACACTGTTTTGTAAATAAAAAGTGCACAGCAATGGGTCACTACAGAAAAGAAAGAGAGACCACTACTTGATCATAGCAAACTTCGTTCATATAACTCGAAATAGGATTCTGGTAGGGTCGAAATCGCAGTGAATTGATTCTAATATCAAAATCTTTAAATAAGATCGGTTTTCATACATATAAAAATTGGAATTCGCCCCTACTTATAGTTGTTTGTGGTTCGCCTACTGCTCAAGATGAACTTGCCATCATGGGTTTATGTTGTTTCTGGGTATTCTTCGGTAATATCTTCTCTCATCATATTCACTTGCATAAATTTACATTTCCTCAATTACCGTAAACCTTTCGAACAGAGGCTAATGGTGAGGATTCAATTGATAGTGCCTATGTTTGCCTTGTCGTGCTACTGTATGCTTGTCAACCCCCACTCGATATTCAATAAGTACATTTTGGAACCAATACGAGAAATTTACGAAGCTTTCGTCATTTATACATTTTTCCTGTTGCTTACCCAAATGCTTGGTGGTGAGAGGAGTATCATTATCAGAACCAGTGGTAGAGAACCTGTTCTGCACCCTGGGCTCCTAAGATACATCTTGCCAGCTATGGATATTTCTGAACCGACTACATTCCTAAATATCAAGAGAGGTATTCTTCAGTATGTTTGGTTAAAGCCTATAATATGCTTCAGCATACTATTCACTGAGGCATTGGGATACTATAACGGTGATGATCTAGGCTGGACCTCGTTAAACCTTTGGTTGACTTTGTTGTATAATATGAGTGTTTCTTTGAGTCTATACTGTCTTGCAATATTTTGGAAGATCTTGTGGACAGACTTGAAACCCTTTAACCCTGTAGGGAAGTTTTTATGTGTCAAATTAATTATTTTTGCCTCCTACTGGCAAGGTGTGATACTAATGATTGTCAATTTTATGGGATGGTTACCGCCTGTAAGTCCTGGAGACGGGAAAAGTAGAGATGACAATGGCCAGGGAGCTGCAGATTTGGGACCAGGTATCCAAAACGCATTGCTTTGTGTTGAACTAATTCTATTCTCCATTGGCCACTGGTACTCATTCTCCTACAAGCCTTTCACGATTTCACATATACCGAATGGAAGACTTCAATTCATATACGCAGTGAAGGATACTTTTGGAATTAATGATTTGATCCACGACTTCCAATTGACCTTTTATGGTGACTACTATAAAGACTACCAACAGTTTGACTCTGTCGAGGCGCTTATTTCCCATCCGGAATCAAGGGGTAGAATGAGCAGAATTAACCAAGGTTTGAGATACCATAGCGACGGAACTCAAAAACACTGGCTACCAAGCAACCAACCCAACTCAAATAATGTTTATGTGGGTGTCAACGGGGTGGGAAATTCATCAACAAATAAGCATAAAATTCAGTCTACCTCAGAGAACCAGGCATTGCCCTCTGAGAATAACAATAGCATTAATAATTCAGCGCCATCGGTTCGATCCATGGCGACTACTGGAACTTCAATTCGTGGCATGTATCTGCCTTCAATACCACCATCCATCTCTCCAAGTACTGGATCTCCGTCATTGTTACCACAGCAATCTTCAACTCTTTCAATGACTGAGATTCTTAACCATGATTCCTCAGTGATGTACGACGATGAGTATCTTGATGAAGATGAGCTCTATTACTCTCAGGCAACTTCCGTGATCAATAACTATAATTTGGATCAGATTGAAGTGAAAAGGCTCTTAAATTATCCAATCGTTGACGAAGTCATCGTTGGTCATGAATTTGGCCACAAAGTAAAAAAATTAAGAGCGGAAAGAGAGAGATTGGTTTCCGCTAGAAACTACGGAACAGTCGATGACGATGTTTGAATCAACGTGGTATGCAGCGAAGCATTACATAGATACAAAGAAACTTTATTATTTATCTTCGATTTATTCTATTTACATATGTACATTAATTGATGTGTTCAATCATCAAATTTAAGATTTTGGTATAGCAGGTCCAAATCCTCTTCTTTGACATTACTCTTTGCCAGTTGCTGTTGCTGCTGTTGCTGTTGCTGTTTCTGGAGCCTCTTCAACCTTCTCTGTTCCTTTGGCGAGATTTCCTCTTGCGCTCCGTTAGTTGCAGCCTGAGCTTGTGTGGATTTCTTAATTTTGGAGCACATATAAGTGATTCTTCTATCTAAGGTACCGCTCACCTCCAACTTTCCCACACTTTCTGTGAGGAATTCTTTGATCTCAGAAATCATCTTTTCACGCTTGGCCCTAGTAATAATATCCAAATCTTTCGCAACGTAAGAGTCTATACTTTGCTGTTGACTCTCATCCTCTCCTTCGCCTTCTTCACTTTCGAGATCAACTTCTTCTGCAGCACCTTGCATCTTCTTGACCAACCCGTCACTTCTATCAACGTTTTTTCTGGCCAGTACTAAATTTTTCTTATCTCCAATAAATATCACAAACGATTCTCCTTTGTCAATTTTCTTCTGTATTTCTTTTATCTTTTGGTTATGGAAATCCGAGAAGCTGATTTCCCAACTGATGGTTACAATTTTAGTAGACGATTTCTTCTTTTCAGCCCTGTCCTTCAGCTGCTGTGCTCTCTTAGCTGCCCTACTACCCTTCTCTAAAAGCTCTTGATGCCTTAAGTCAGCTAGTTCGTCACTGTATGCCTTTAACATCTCAGGTAAAGTATTCACTCTTATTATTGGGAAACTCCCTTCATCATCTTTCAGAGGTACAATGAATACACCTTCTTTCTTTAAATCCAAAGCATTGGTAATCGACGCTAAATGGACAGTTTCAAGCTTTTTGGTTGCTGGGTTCACATAGCGAACCATGTATTTTCCGTTATTTAAATGGTGAACTTTATCAATGATAGACCTGAGAGCATTGTGTGAAGAATCAGTCCCCGTGTTGAATTCAAAGGTTAGTTTCTTTGGTTGTGGTAGCTTTCTGCCATGATGTGGTTTTCTATCATGGTTATTCTGACGACGATTTCCGCTTAACTTCTGTCCTTCTTTCCCCTTAGATCCACCAGTCTCGTATTTACTGGCGAATCTGTTACTGCTGGGCTTGTCTGAGGTCGATGTATTGGGTGCCTTAAATTGTGCAGCAAATCGATTCGTAGCATAAGTTCTAGTGAGTAGCACCCCATTATTGCCCTGTTTCGGGCAAAATTTTATAAGTGAAGTTGGTATGGACCTAAAAGCATATATCATGACTTTACTACGAATAAATACGGAATTTCAGCTATAAAAGAGCTTTTTCAATGAAGAAAGTAGCTTCAAGATATTTAGTCTATCTGTGTAGATAAATTTTTCATATTGGCACTATATACAGGATGAACACATGTTGCACTTCAAAGAATGCTGTTGCACCTCATTGACATTATCCTTCATTGCTTCCAATAACTACAGCTTGTTGTGTTTGTTCAATAAATAATAATCATTAAAGATTGTCCCTATACGTACATCTATAAAAAATACTTTTGCTCTATAAAATTGTTCCTTGTTATTTTCGTTTCAATCATCCTTTTAATTAGTTTTACCACTTTGCACCCAAAAGAATAGCATTTGGATCAGTGGGCTTTTCCACTTCTTTGAACCAAGTCCTCAAGAGCCTGTCCTGATTAATTCCAAATTGATCACAAAACTTTTGAGTCCACTCAAATAGGCTCGAAGAATCCCTCTGGATTTCGATAATCGGTATTTCATGGTAAGCATCCACGCTTGCGGATATCCATTCCTTAGCGGAAACTTCGCTTGGGGCACTGATTTGTCCCCCTCCATTAATACATCCTCCTGGACATGCCATAATTTCAACATAGTCACATTTGGATGCATCTGCAGAATCTCCCCCTCCATTTACGCTCATACCGCTTGTTGAAGAATCCATAGAAGATGGAGTGCCTTCTTTGCTGGCTTCCTTCCTAGCTCTACGGCGAGCAACCAATGGGTTGACTTTAGTTGTCTTAATAGATCCATTAGCACCTGCCTTTTCTGGCTTGAGCTTACGAACCAAGTTTTGAATATTTCTGAATCCATTTACTATTGCTGCAGTTGCAACTACTTGTGAGTTATCTTTGATCAATCTCAATTCGGTGATGTCCGAGTTTCTTCCTGAGATTGTTTCTACTGTAAAAGTGGAAACTGTTGAGTTTCCTCCTTCTTCTGAAATGAGAGCGTTCTTCACATTCTCAAGGTAAGAGAATGCATACCCACCAGATGTAGAACCTGCATCGCTTGACCAAGTTAAGTCTAAAAAGGGCCAGTTTCTTGGTGCTGCGAGCCCATACGTATCTGCCATCGAATAGTTTGAATCTGAGAAATTCAAGCTGTATTTACCATCCAGTTCTTCGATTAACGTTACTAATTCCTTTGCCGTGAGCACACAGTCCACATCAACAGTAGGTTCATCCTCATTTTCTTCCTTTCTCGCACTTTCCAACTTCTTATCAAAACATGGCATCACCGATAAATGATACACATCCAGCTTACTTACATCATGATCTTGGCTAACTAGTGTCTTGAGTAAACACCCAGTGATCTGTTGAGCAGACTTGACGGTCGAAATTCTGGGCAAGATGTAAGGATGTGTCTTCTCAGCGTATAGCACCCATCCTGGGCATATGGATGATAAAATAGGACCTTTAAATCCCGACTTCTTCAAGTCCATAATGTTCCTAGATTCATTAAGCAAGGACAACTTACGGCCCAACGAAGTCCCAACAACATACAGAAAGCCCATTTGGTTGATAAACAAGTCTATCAACAGCTTATCTACCTGTTCAATAGTCTTATTAAATGCTACGGCCAACGAAGATCTTGTTTGATGTGAAACACTAGCAACGAAAACTTTCTTCCCTTTGTTCTTCAGCATTGCCTTCAAGAGTTGATCATGGGAATGTTGCGCCACAAGAACCTCTTCGGCGGATGTAACACACCCCGAGCATGCCAAACAATCAGCAAGGGATATTTGAGCAGCAGACAAAGTAGTCTTACTTCCATCCTTACCCACCTCAGTCGCATTACCTAAGGTATCGATCTCGATTTCTATTTCACCATCATCATTTTCTTCAGAACCAGGAGCAGGTGGAAGTGATTCTACAGGTTTAATACACGCAAGACCTGGCGATATGAAATCATTCAAATCATCTGCAGATAGAAGAGCACTCATACTATTTGACTATACTTTCTACTATTAAGTCCAGAGGAATAGCTGCTCTTCTCTGCTTTTGTACTTCTGCAATCTGACTAATCCCGTGCGATTAAGCGGAATAGAAAAAAATAGAGAGATGAGATGCAGGAAAGAATTCGAAGTATTATGTACAGGAATGTAATGAGCCAGTTAGAGGGGTGTGATTCATAAGCTGGGGTAGGTTGGAGAACTACCAGTGCTTTAGTATGGAAGTTGGATTTTCATCGTACGAGGAGGCTATTGAAATTGTAGTAGTATTCTATTCACCTGAAAAATTATATATAAAAAATTGGGGTGCCACTTTCACCTCTTCTAAGGTACAGCCTTCTTCGGTTCTTCTGATCACTGAATGTTCGTGCAAATGGCTGCAGGCCATGTACTGCATAAGTGCAAAGCAGCGTCTATATATAGCATCTGTGGGTAGTAATCTCTCGGGTCCTATTTATACCATTATTTGCACCGCTTTGTCTAATCCACCGTTTTGTCTAGTTCAGTAATGATGCGTTGTGTACGTGCTGAAAAAACCTAAGTCATAGCTCGCTCCAATACAAATGCAGATCTGAGATATCGTTTCTTGCCCTTTTGTCAAATATATTTAGATCTAAGGGAATCTTTATAGTAAAGCACCTCTCTCATTCTCCCAACGTCCCCATTTATTTCTCCAGGAATAGCTAGCGGGTAGATTAATGACTCCACTGACCCAGCCATCCGATTTTATTTCTCCGAAAGTAGTCCAAGGGTAGCTATCGCGTTGATGGATGGCTCCACTGGCCCAGCCATTTCTCCAGGAGTAGCCATCGGAATGATTTATGACTCTACTGGCCCATTCTCACGCTCTTGCCCGAGTTCATTCTCATTGTCACTTAAATCGCTCAATTCAAACTCTTCGGCTGCAGTTCTTTCGTACTCCATGTTGAATGCATTCAACTCCCCGTCTTCATCGTACCCTACAAGTCTCAAATAGAATGCTAAGAGAACTTGCATCCAAAGATAGGTCACAAAAGCAGCTGCAACTAATACCATGATGTAGGAGGAATGGTCTGCTGCAAGGTCCTCAATTAAATTGATTTGCTCTTCAGTGGCTCCCATAAATAAAATCCCAGAGGCCACAAGACAAAATGGTGGGAAATATTGGAATGAGTAGATCTTACCTCCGTTTTCTGATCCACAAGTCTTGTCCCAAAGTAAGAACAGAATTTCAATGATTCTCGAAAACCCGGCACCCATCAAAATGAGCCCAAACATCGCATGCACTTTAGTTGATACTACCAGATGCTGATTGTGTTCCAGCATTGCCCACCCGGTGAAAACCAAGAGTAATGCTGGAATAAAGGATCTCCTATTTTGGTTTCTTGTTTGCCACATACCGACAAGTCCACCACCCCACCAAATGATCCCCATAGCAGTATGCTGGTAGTCTCCATGATTCCACATTTGGCCCCATCTATGTTCCGTGAAGGTGTTTACTATACCCCAGACTGTCATTAAAGTGGAGTCATAGAACTCCTGCGATCTTGCAGGGTTAGGGTGCTTTCTGATCCACGGCACAATAAGCAACATGGTGTACAAGAACCCATAAAATACAAACGATGTCCCCATAATTCCATGGGCAATGCATTGACCTGTATGAGAATCATAGCAGAAACCAAAGAGAGCAATCACAGACATACATACTCTGACCCAGCCGGTCAACACGGCAATTATCGACAAAGCTCTGTAGCACTTGAAGCCGAAAATGTATAGTCTCGAGGACTGCTGGGTTGATTTCGAAGCCAAGTGAGGATAGAACTTGTTTATTACCAAATTTGAACCATTTATCAAAGTCCCTATGAAAATTGTAACAACATAAGCCAAACTCAAAAACCACAGCGTTCCCTTGGATGTCTTGTTTTCATGGTTATCCTTATTATCCGGGAAGTCAAGGAACAATGATTCAAAAATGCAATATGCTGCTGAAATGTACTGAAGGGGCAAGGACCAATGGAAGCGGTCTGCTACAGCCAATACGGCTGAAATTGATGGAAGTATAAGGAGTAGTGCCAAAGAGAGGATCCAGTGGAACGTTTTCGAGCCTGCATTAATCGGATGGAACTCCTTTGGCGGTTCCATTTCCCCCATCTCCATGGCGTATGCGACAGGAAGCAAGAAAAACGTGTATAGCACCGGTCTCATTATCAGTCGAGGAATTGAAAACAACTAAGAAGTCTCAGGCTATGTATGGAATCAATAGAGAGTAGAAAATGGGATGATTTGTTGTTCATGAATTAAGTTCCAATACGTATCCAGTGCAATTCCGAGATTTTCGAATTTCATGCACACGGGACCAAAAACGTTCCGGACTGGAAAAGGGCTGCAGAAGGGTTTGGAAAGGTGGGAGGGAAAGAACATGAGTGGCACAGGAAGAGGAGGAGAAGTTGCGCAGGTAAGCAACAGAGGAAACGAGCAAAAGAGAGAGCTGGCTGGCGCGTTTGAAGCTGGGGATCGAAGAAGGTTGTTGTGATGTAAAAGAAATGAAGTAAAGCATCTAAACGGAGTATGGATTGATACTGGTGAATACTTGAAGCATTTCGCAGCACATCGCAGTACATCGGGCTGGAGCTCAGCTGGTATAGCGTGGTGCACGCTACTACAGCTAGTGCAACCTAGTATGCACGCTTCCCCAGTACACCCTAGCGCGCGCATTCAGCTTGTCCTAGCGCGCGCAACCTTGCGCTTTGCTTCTCTAGAACCTGAAACAAAACAAAATTGCAGCAATTGGGGTGGTATTTTTAGGCACAAGCGAATCCAAAGCCCTTTCGAAAACTAAAATATTTCTTCACTATCTACCCCACTTACACCTGACAGCTGAACACCACTACACTGCACAGCTCAAACGTTCAGACATTCCTTCTGGGTGATCTGCTATGTCTCACCTCCCTGAAATTTCCCATTATCCCTGAATTGTTTTTTCTTCCTGGTACCTTCTATTTCCACGTCGCATCTTAAGTATAGAAACACAACACCCTACGAAAAACACATGGAAAAGGTAAAAATTTGGCTCTACCAGGCGCTAAAAAAAATGAGAATAGACTGAAAAACATGAAAAAAAATGAAAAATTCGAGCCTTCTCGAGCCTTTTCGAGCGTGAAACATGCCCACTAATCCAAGGCAGAGAACTGAACATGCACCATCTATTGACGCTATAAACATCTTTTTTTTAAATTCCAAATCACCTCGGTTGACTGCTTATCCTACTCTAATCCTTCTCTATCCACTCCCTTGTTTTCTCCCCTTTCTCCCCTTTCTCTCCTTGTCTCCTCTTCTTGCTCCCATCTATCCTACTCTTTCTCTCCACGTTTGAGGCACACAAACTAGACACGCACAAAATCATTTTTCAACTTGAAACGGAAAAAAATAAAAATCCTCCAAACTCAAACTTAAAAGTTTGGTTATTTACGTTCACAGGTTGTTAGAGTAGCACAGTCTTTTCTTTTTCTTTTTCTTTTTCATTTATTTATTAGCAAAAGGTCTCAGACTTGTCATGTTACTTCGATATATATTCTCGTTAGCAACATTCGTTAGCATAGTACTTGCCAGCGGCCAGCAGTCTGCGCGTATCCCTAAGAGGGACTACGAGAACAATCATTATTTTGTAGTAGACATAGACACTTCCAGCTCGCTGAAACCTTTGAAAGATTTCATACAGTCGCACCAGGGAGACTTCAAATTTGAACACCAGGTGGTGGGACTTGACGATCACTATGTGTTCAGCTTAAGAAAAGACAATGCAATCAGCGAGATTATGGGGAGCTACAATGCGGGGCAGAGTGATGATGACAGAGTGTTGCATAAGAGAGATGGATTCGAAGACGTATACGACAAGGTGGTCAAAAGCAATGGATTGAGGAGTATCTCTTGGATGGAACCCAAGAGACTTAAGAAAAGATTACCAGTATACGTCACCGAGGAAGAAGCTCAGGATTTCGATTCTGTCAAAAGATTTGAGGCAGTGGATGCCTCTCAGAAGCCAATCGTTGAAGCCATGGAAAAGCTTGCAATCAATGACCCAATTTTCCCCGAACAATGGCATATTATTAATCCAAGATTCCCTGGCCATGATATCAACGTTACAGGGTTATGGTATGAGGGAATTACAGGTGAAGGTATAGTGACCGCAATTATAGACGATGGATTAGACTACGACAGTGAGGATTTGAAGGCAAACTTCAATAAAGATGGATCCTGGGACTTTAATGAAAACACAAACTTACCATTCCCAAGGTTATTCGATGATTACCATGGGACAAGATGCGCAGGAGAAATTGGAGCTGTCAAAAACGATGTTTGCGGAGTTGGTGTAGCTTATGGCGGCAAAATCGCTGGTATAAGAATCTTGAGTGGTCCTATAACTTCAGATCAAGAGGCTTCTGCATTAATGTATGGTTTAAAGGTCAACGATATTTACCTGTGTCTGTGGGGGCCCACTGATGATGGGAGGACTTTATCACAACCTGATTTGACCGTTAAGAAGGCTATGATCAAATCGGTTCAAGAGGGTAGAGATGGAAAGGGTTCAGTGTACGTCTTTGCATCTGGAAATGGTGGTAGAGCCATGGATTCATGTAATTTCGATGGATACACCAATTCCATTTACTCCATTACTGTCGGTGCTGTGGATTACAAAGGATTGCATCCAACTTATGCCGAAGCCTGCAGCGCGGTTATGGTTGTCACTTATTCTTCAGGATCTGGTGAGCACATTCACACCACGGATATCAAGAATAAATGTTCTGCAGCCCACGGTGGAACTTCTGCGGCTGCACCAATTGCAGCCGGTGTATTTCAATTAGTTCTACAAATGAATCCTAATTTAACTTGGAGAGATTTACAATATGTCTGTGCTATGTCCTCAGTGCCAATCAACGAACAAGATGGTAATTATCAAGTCACTGCTTTAGGAAGAAAGTATTCACATAAATATGGATACGGTAAATTAGACGCCTATGCTATCGGACACTTTGCCAAGACGTGGAAGAATGTTAAGCCTCAAGCTTGGTATTATTCAGATGTAATTACAGTTGGCGAAACGATCGAAGGTGATAAAGAAGAGACTAAAGTAATTTCTAAAATTCTTCTGATCAAAGAAGACGATTTGAAAATAGTCAACTTAGAAAGAGTTGAACATATAACTGTTACAGTCAATATTGCAGCTACCTTAAGAGGTAAAGTTGGAATGAGACTTACTTCTCCTTTTGGTATTATTAGTGATTTGGCAACATTTAGACCAGTAGACAACTCTAACGCAGGATTTAAAGACTGGACGTTTATGTCAGTTGCCCATTGGGGTGAATCGGGGATAGGAGATTGGAAAGTTGAAGTATTTACAAGTACCCCAGGAACTGGCAGCATAATTGAATTCCAAAGTTTCCAATTGAGGTTATTTGGAGAATCGATTGATGCGGAAAAGACGGAAGTTTACGATGTAACGAAAGATTATGCAGCAGAGAGAAGGGACAAACAAAGTGAGAAGGAAGGAGAAATCGGAGTTGATCCACATCATACCAGTGATGTAATATCATTGAGCTCCACATCAATTCCAATTGCATCCGAACAATCCACTTCTGTTACCAAAGCCCCAATTGACGATGAAGTGAATCCAACTGGCTCAATTGCTTCAACTAGTACAACCTCATCTCTGTCAAGCTTCATATCTGGAAGCTCTTCTGCTACTGGAGATGTTGAAGATGATGAAGGAAAAACAAAGCATTACACTTCAGACCATACCGGTCAATACTTCATGGCGTTAGCAGTTGTTGGATTTCTTGTTGTAATCATCTTCATGAGATTCCATAAGTCTCCAGGATCATCCAGACGTCGTAGAAGAAGAGAAGAGTACGAATTTGATATTATACCCGGTGAAGATTATACCGATAGTGAGGATGATGGTAATGAAGAAGATTCACTTGACCTTGGAAGATATAACAACCAACGTCGTACAAGTGATGAAGAAAGAGATAGACTATACGATGAGTTTAATGCTGACACCTTGCCGCTGTACGAAGATGATGGCATGTTCAAGATCGGAGGCGAAGAAGATGAAGATCACAAACCAGAACAAAAGCATACTAAGGAAGAACCAAGTGAAGAAGTAAATACTGACGAAGGAGAAGGACAAAGTAGTAAATAGATAAAATTAAATTTCAAAAATACGACGTTAGATTTTATTTTAGGCTTAAGAAGAGCTTGTAGGGGACAAATACGAAGAGATAGTGAAATTTTGCATAAGAACATTACAAAGATTTCAATTTTTTTAGCCTTACCCGCATAATAAGATTTAACTTCTTCAGGGTTCCATGCAGAATAATGATGCCCTTTACTCTGTCTCTCAACCTTTTATGTTCCGGAAGTTGCGAATATTTTTAGCACTTTGGTACATTTCGCCCATAGTTGGAAATACGTAACTCCGGATTCGAATGGGCTAACAAGCAATAATAAAAAAAAAAAAGGAGAAAACCTGAGCCCTAGCTACAAAGAGAACACAAGCGAGAGCTCGCTAGTCTTCATTAGGCAGACATACATATAACTCTGCTTCATAAGCACTGGTTGGCCAGTCCAGTCCCTACCTAGACTAACTTCCTGTCTCTCTCTCACATAATCACACGTGAGAAAACGTGGTCATGTGACTAATTATCGGCACCCAAAATCCCGAATCTCGGAATGACATTTTTTTATCAATATCGTTTGTAATTCTGAATAATGGAAACGAGCTAGTGCTGCTGACTAACGGGTCCAGATTCATGTTACAGTATTCCATATAAATACGAAACTGCAAACACCCCTTTGTCAATTGTGTTGAACTTTCTTTCTTCTCTCCTCCACGTATCGAATTAAGATAAAACCCACTACGCTTGCGCTTCCTGTGTTTCCATATTTCCTTTTTCTTTTCGAACATCTCTTGAGTCTTTTATCAATCTGCACCAAAGTAATTGCGTAGGCAAAATTACCGTGCTTATCAGACTCTTCAACACTAATTTTTGAATTTTCCGCACCGAAGTGATCCACCGAACGAGGAAGATTCTCCCCCAAATTATATTTTTTCCTGCCAACTGAGTAATCAAACTCCCCAAATTGCTGCCCCAGGAAACTTCTTAAATAGCCCAACCACAAGGAAAAAAAAAAAACGCTGAAAAATCAGAAAAAAGCGGAAGAAAGGAACCATAGAAAAGTTTAAAAGGTTCGGTAATTCCATCAATTTGATATCAATTAAGCTCATATTTGCTTTCTAAGTTAGTCAATTCTCCCCTATTATAGTAGTTATATCGATCGCCATGTCATCTCCCTTAGGTAAATATACCAGCATCGTTGTCTTCGGTGCCTCTGGAGATCTCGCAAAGAAGAAAACGTTCCCAGCATTATTCGGTCTTTACAGAGAAGGTCAATTGCCTGCCACAGTCAAGATAATCGGGTATGCCAGGTCCAAGCTCAGTGACGAGGAGTTCAAGAAGAGAATCCTGGAACATTTCAAGCTCAGAAACAAGGATGCAGACGCTTCAAAAGTGGAAGAATTCTTGAAGCTTTGCTCATACCACCAAGGGGCATACGACACCAAGGAAGGCTACGAAGAATTAGCCAAGATCATTGGTGAATACGAAAAGGAAAACAACGTTGAACAACCAAGTAGACTCTTCTACTTGGCCTTGCCTCCTTCTACATTCACTGAAGTTGCCGACAAATTGAAGGAAAATGTTTATGCCGATGGCGGATTGACCAGAATTATCGTTGAAAAGCCATTTGGTCATGATTTGGAATCTTCAAGAGAATTACAGAAGAACTTGGCTCCATTATGGACCGAAGAAGAATTGTACAGAATTGACCACTACTTAGGAAAGGAAATGGTCAAAAACTTGTTGGTGTTGAGATTTGGAAATGAGTTGTTGAGTGGAGTTTGGAACAAAAACCACATCAAGCTGGTTCAGATTAGTTTTAAAGAAGCTTTCGGAACTGAGGGTAGAGGTGGTTACTTTGATACAATTGGTATTGTTAGAGATGTCATGCAGAACCATTTATTACAGGTTTTGACCTTGTTGACCATGGAAAGACCTGTTCTGTTCGATCCAGAGGCAATTAGAGACGAAAAGGTGAAGGTATTAAAGGCATTTGAGCCATTGGACTCTGATGATTTATTATTGGGTCAATACACCAAGTCTGAAGATGGTCTGAAGCCAGGTTACTTGGATGATTCCACTGTGAAGCCTGATTCCCAGCAGGTTACCTACGCAGCCCTCGGATTAAAGATCTCCAATGAGCGTTGGGACGGTGTTCCATTCGTTATGAGAGCTGGAAAGGCGCTTGACGAATCTAAGGTTGAAATTAGAATCCAATTCAAACCAGTAGCTAAGGGCATGTTTGAAGAAATCCAAAGAAATGAATTGGTTATCAGAGTTCAACCTGATGAAGCCATATACATGAAAATCAACTCCAAAATCCCTGGTATCTCCACTGAAACTTCATTGACCGATTTAGACTTGAGTTATGCTACCAGATACTCTAAGGATTTCTGGATTCCAGAAGCTTACGAAGCATTAATTAGAGACTGTTTCCTTGGTAACCACTCCAATTTTGTGAGAGACGATGAATTGGACGTTTCCTGGAAATTATTTACACCATTATTGAACTTCATTGAAAGTGATAAGGCTCCTAAACCAGAAGGGTATGCATACGGATCCAAGGGACCAAAGGGCTTACGTCCATTTTTAAACAAGCACGGATACGTCTTCTCCGATGAGGGAACTTATCAATGGCCATTGACCACCCCTAGTGTCAAGGGTAAGATCTAGATGCCACAAGGAAACGAAAACGATCGTATGAAATGAAATTGGAAGTGTTAACTTTTATATATATATAAAATACATGTTATAATGAAAGAAATGCCTTGGTTGTATAGGAGAACTCGACACAGTACATTAAGACTTTTAAGCAGGAAACCATCAACGGGAAAACAATAATGGTCAGTTACATCTTCTAAGAACAGCAATAGAAGACAGAAATAGAACAATGTAATAGGATTGAGTTAAACATTAAAAAGGAAGAGTAAAGAACTAAAGTAAATACTATAGAAAACTTCCGAATTTCTCTTGCATTATCACTATCAGACATCCATGGAAGGTCAATTGGCGGTCACTGGCATACAAAGATGGGTTCTAACGTATGCTACCGAGGAAACTGCGAATGTTTATGGTAAATTTCATCACTTAATGATTGCAAGAGAAACCTAGTTTCAATTATAAAGAAAAAAAAGAAGGAAAATCAATACGGCTATGTAATACATTTTGTTGTACTCTCTTAAGCACTCTTTAAGAATGCACTTGAGAAGTTGAATTTCAATATTGTCAAAAGCAAACAACAGGAAACATCGACAATCGTCAAAAAATTATTTTCATAAGCCTTAAGAATCAGAACTGCTAAATACTGGCAAGTATAAGTCTGTTCAACCATCTCCTGCAACAGAGAATTAATTTGAACTAACGGTTTTCAACCCTGTCGTCATATTCGTATAGGACTGGGAAAGAAGTAGGCTTAGTATCATCATATTCAGGAAGGTTTTAAAAACAAATTTTGATACCAATAGTTTCCAATTATTTCCTTTCTCAATGGAACTCATAAATCACAAGAGCATCGAAAAAAGTACAAACTAAGATCATACACTACTATGAGCTTCTGTTTAGCTTTAAAGAGAAAGAAAGAAACTATCACTACAAATTTTTCTTCCTCATCAACCTTTATATATTTGAAAAATTTGAGAAATGCGCAGAGGTTACCCGGACTTGTATAGAGCTGTGAGTTCAAAATTTGTGTAGGGCATGTCACTTTGAAAATTGCTAGGGCAAGAAATGCTGCACACGCATGAGAAGAAATAAGACCTCAGAATCATGGGTAGAGTTTTATTAGTTGATTTGGAGAGCCATGAGCCGTTGATCCCATACATTGAAGAGATGAGAAAAGAAGAAATTGGAGTTCACATTGGTCAGAGAATAAGTGCAAAAAAAATGGTCCCTAGCAGGATCGAACTGCTGATCTCGGCGTTATTAGCACCGCGCCTTAACCAACTGGGCCAAGGGACCTTCTGTACTTTGAAGGTTAGGAGGTCTGCAATATCTGAAACGACGCTGGGTAGATCCAGTTCCAGTACTTGATCAGAGCTCCTCTACTTTGTGAAAGTGTTTTTGTATTCAGTGAGTAGTAGCTTGGCTCACTTTTGCATTGGGTGCTTATATGAGCGCTATGAAGAGCTCATAGCTTCAAATGGCGCTAGCTGCGAATACGCATAGGAGCTGTGTTATCATTTATAACTGTGTTGATCATACTAATAATGCACATATAGCTTCTTACGAACTAGATGTCTACGAGGGTATTACCTAACTGTAATTTTATGGTCTTTCAACCATTATTGATTCGAATTTACTCACCATTATTGCAAGAATAGACCTAGCAGGAATAGTATGTGCCAAAACTTCTCTAATACGACCAAACACTAAATAGTCTATCTAGCCATGGGCTGCATGAACATAGCTGTTTGCGAAGACTCAGCAATTCTGAAGAAACATGAAAGTGGATGTATTTTTGATGGAGATGCGGCTGGATATTACGCAAAGGACTCATATGTTGCAGTCATATATATAGAGCAAGTTGCGGGGATAATTATTCAGCAATTGATAAGGAGCATTTGAAAAAACCCTCGATTGCAATGGCAATGAAACATGCCCAGAAATCAAGCCTCAGTATCCTCATTCGAGCATTGACGGTGAAAGTGTTGCAAGAGCTGCCGTTGAAAGTGTCGCGGGCGAGTTCAACCCACCGGTTACACCATACTCTACTAGCAATTCAGATTGCGAATAATTCAGCTTATAAGCTGACCTCACCACTATTGATCCTGAACGAGGGCATTCATTCAAAGGTGAATGAACAGAGTTGATTTTAGAACATTTAGAACTAGCTTCAAGTGTTGCAGAAAGCACGGGTCACACTACTGTACCTCCCACGAATAATGCAGTTGTCATGTCCCCCACGAGCGGAAATGCAGCCTTCTCATACTAATAAAAAAGAGGAGCCAAATATCTGACATTTAAAATTGAAAAAAGAAAATCAAATGATGTAGAAAAAACCGCTCCTAGTGCTACTAAACACCGGATTCTAGTCGATTGAGCCTATTTCAATGCTCCTCTCCATATTTTTATCGCTAATGCTTCTATCTTATCTTGCACCAAGTTTTGCAATCTGCTGCTCACTTTTAGCCATGCAGCATGAATTTTATCCAGATAGTGTCAAATATTATTTATGCAATAGAAGCCACGAAATTTCCGAAACGCGTAAGTCGAGCCCGTACATGGAAAGTAGGCCATCGTACCATAGAGCTAGAGCCATGGCCACTAGCATTGACGGTGGTACCTTTATTCGACAGAGTGATTCCAGAGAAGATCAAAAGGTTTCTGTGAATGTTCCAGAGGAGCTATATACGAAGAAATGAAAAATGAAAAACAGTAGCTTGTCCACCCTTGGATGGGACAATACCATTTAAGCTATTACTATTTAAGCTATTACTACTAACCACAGGCGCCTAAGCTTGCTTGCTTTTTTTTTTTTCCCCTTCAAACGGCCCATTATAAGTACGTACAACAGGCTTAATCTTAAGTAAGGCCTGGTTATCTCAAACTTCAAGATATCTAGGTAGCTCGCCGTATCCCTCTCTTCTTTAAATATCTTCTTAGAATATTTTTTCCATCTCTTGTTTCACCGTCGTTTCGAAATTCTCACTGGCCCAACTGATGGGCATAATAGAGATCTGATCCCCTTTACTTTCAAAGCACCTTCATAGTAACCACATTTCCACATTTGCACCCTTCGACCTTATTGTAAAGCCATATTTGGCGTCGATGCATTACTATCGGCGCCCGTAGTTTCCGTCAGTTCCTGTTCGGTCCCTTCTACATGTTTACTTTTCGCTGTGTATATTTGAATCTCTAAATAAAGTCACTTTTTGTGCTAACACATAATACGAGATTATGACATTATTGGTAATTTTCTATTGATTTAGAGAGAATTAATTTGAGAGACATTGAGCAGAGTAACGGGGTAAAATCATTGATTGAATTTTGTGACGCATAATAAAAAGGTGCAATGGGTCGGCAGATTGAAATCTATCCGTTATTATGTATTTGGAGTGGGAGTGGGAGGGTTTATGTTCATGGAATAGCACCAGTGGTCGTGGAAGTGGCAGTGGCAGTGGCAGTAGATAGCTAGCTAGCTTGTAGGTTGTAGCTTCTGTAATGTCTTTCCGTGCATTGTAGTGAATTTGTGATTGAAGCCTTTCCTTCCAAATAACATAATTGATATGGGGGGAGCAAGTTTAACGCAATTATAACGTTTATGATGTAATTGTTTCCGTAAATATAAGTAAAAAAAAACTAATAAGAACCAGCCCAGTATAATTTAACAAACAATAAAAAGGAAGAAGTAACTAAGAAAGAAGATAAAAAGCAAATGTGTTATGTGTAGACGAGACAAAGCAAAAAAGAAACACCAACAAATAATGGATTATTCATGGGTTTCTCTCCCCCTAATCTTCATCTACAAGATGGTACATTTCTTTGACTTCTTAATCACTGGAGGTTCCAACGCAGCTACTATAGCTTCGTCGAAAACCGTCTTCAATCCTCTTTGAGTCAATGCAGAACATTCAACATACTTAACGGCTCTCAATTCCTTGGCCAACTTTTCACCCATATCGTTCGTGATTGGAGACAACTTCTGTCTCTGTAATCTTTGCGTAATCACTTCGTCATTTCTCAAATCAGTTTGAGTACCTACAATAAGACACGGAACACCTGGGCAATGGTGATGTACTTCAGGAAACCATTTTTCTTTAACGTTCTCAAACGAAGCAGGGGCAATAACTGAGAAACACACCAAGAACACATCCGTAGACGGGTAAGAAAGTGGTCGTAATCTATCATAATCTTCTTGACCAGCAGTATCAAATAATCCCAAGGTAAATGGTTCATCACCGATCATCACTGTTACCGCGTAGTTATCGAAAACGGTAGGCACATAATCGGCGGGAAACTTACTGGTGGTATATGAGATTAAGAGACAGGTCTTACCGACGGCACCATCTCCTACAACGACACACTTTATGGTTTGCATATTGAATTCTTGGGGCTTTTCACGGTATTCTTATTACGAGGAAGGGGAGGGTGGGCGATTCTTTTCCAGAATATCTTTCCTACTTGCTTAGTGGAAGTGGTATTACTTTAGCTATTGTTGTTGTTCAAGAGGAAGAAAAATTTTCTTTCTTTTTTCCCTCTGTTTTTTATTTTTTTGTTTTTCCTGTTCTTGTTATTTTTTTTTTTTTTTGCTTTTGGCCAGTTTTATTATTATTTTTTTTTGCTTTTATTCCTTTCGGTAGAAATCCTCGCTCGCTACTAATGGGGAGCGTATGTGTTAGGGAGGAAAAAAATGGTGCACTACAGGCTACTACTAAAAACAAAGGGTACGGCAAATGTGGCACGACTGCACTGCTAGCGAATAAGAGGGGAATTGGGGTTACGGGCTTCCTTTAAGTGTGACACTTAACCGACTTGTTTTACTAGTGGGTCTTAATAATAAAAGTACCACCCAGAGAAATTAAAAATTAAAAAAAAAAAAAAAAAATCCTCGCTCCGTACAATGTTGCATAAAGAATCTGGGAGTACTACTAGAGATATAGAATGATGCACGCGTGTGCAACTCTCTGAATGATTCCACTACCACTAGCACACACTGGTGCGTGTTACCGGCTAGGTATCTCCTTAGACTCGCTTATTTTTGTTCGGACTCTTCTTTGCAACCAATTGTGGGCACTCGGGCCCTATTTTTCTGCATTGGTAACTGTATGTCCTTTGTTCACTTTATTTATAGATCAGCTAGGTTCTTCGCTATTCCCGTTATCGTTCTACCTCTTTTCTTGACTTCCCACTCGATGCCACTAAACGGACGCCTAAGATAATACGATAAAAAGGGGGAAAAGGGGCCAGTATGCAGGCCACCACCAAGTAGTGCATTTCATCCCACTAGATTATGTGGCGCTATCAGTGCTGATAGACAAGGGCACTGGCATGTTGAACCCCACAAGGTAGCAGAAGAAGGTCAGCTCGCTTGTGCAAATAACAGCAATCGCCTGGCAGCTCTCTTGTGAAGTTGAGGCTATTAAATAATGGTAAGGAAAGTCTATCTTTTCTCTCTACTCGCTTCTGTTATTTTTCCCGCTTACTGTGTGCTATTATTTTTTGTATGCCATTCTCTACATGCTCTCGCTATTGACGAGGCGAACCAGTACAGATTCTCTGCAAGTTAGAAAAAATTGTGTCTGCATGAGTGGACCAAATGCTGGTCAGCTAATTTCAACGGTTATCGAAAGCTCTGCGATGTTTTTCATCAGGGGACAGGAGAGGGAGCACGGATTGATAAATTATGGGAAGTCACCATGAAGACATTGCGTAGAGAAAATGTTCATGTATTTAATTTAGCGCTACTCTCTACACTGCTCGCATTTGCACTCTTCTCTTTCTCGCTATAGATGTCTCCTAGTACAGATGCAGCGGAAAAAGTCCCTCATAAGATGGTAAACCGCTACTTCTTGGCAGCGGATAAGAAGACTTTCTCTCTGTCTTACTCTGTAGTAGTCGCTATTTTGCAGTTTGATCTTCCCAACTGGGCTAATTGTCACGCGAAGCGAAATGCGAAAATTCACCACTGTTTCTGCTCTCTGCACTGAATGAGCAGCTCGTTTCTCGTCACTTGGATATATCTCCAACCAATGGAAGTCTATCTTACATTTAAAGCCCCTTAAATCTTCTAAAAACATCTGCATAAAATCATTAATTTACTTATATATTACTGTGCTCTTCCATATGTATTAAGGCTCTGAGCCTATGAACCCGCTATCTCCCATTATGTCTAAATTACTGGTGATATCACTTGGTAGGTTATTCGGATCAGTTAGTCCTCTCGTCAACGTCCCAGTAGGGTCAAATTTAGTCATCTCCTCGTCTATTTCATTCTCAATTATAGCTGGACCTCCACCTAGGAAATCCAACATCATATGCATACCTCCAGCTCCTCCGGCATACTCTTCCACATCTACTGGCAACACGTTCAGTACACCTTCTAAAAACCACACCTTATCCTTCATTTCACTTGTGAAGGATCTTAATAGCTTATAATATGATCTCATAATTCTCATGGCTTTGATATCCCCAGTCATTAATAATGATAAGAACATCTTGTCTAATAATGCAGGGAACGCAAAGATTCTTAAAATAAAATCACTCTTGTATCTTTCCTTATGTAATTTGTTCAAATATGCTAACGTAATAAGGTATGGCAGATTTACCTCAACAGGGAACAAATCTGCAATATCTGAGTCATGACATTCTAAATCCGCATAGAACTTATCTCTTGTCAGGCTCTTCAAGTCAATTTTCTGATTCAAAATATCCCCTAAGTCACTCAAATCCACTGAAATGAATTTATAGAAACGAGAAGATTCTGTCAACGGCCACACAGCTGTTAAAATAGTGGCAGCACCTTTGACATGGAAGATCCATGCAGAGGCAGGTAATGATTTAGGAGAGGTTGACGAAGGGAAGGACGCATTCGCCAATGAATCCATAATTAAAATTAATGCTGATGCCACTAAAGCGTCTGTGTTATCTGAATTGATGTTTAAAACTGCTTCTCTAAGTAACCTAAGCGCGTCTCCTCTGTGGCTTGTAACACATTGGTCTAATCCCTTCTCAGTTCTAGATAAATGAGTTGCACTAAAAGCCAAAATGGAGTGCATAAGGAATGGATAATGGAAGGCAAGCATAGGAATATCATACGTCCAGATATTAGTATCAGATATACCAGCTCCGGTTATAGTCGTAGACACTTGAGACGTGTAATGAAACATTAATCTCAAATCAAGCATATTAAGAGAGGACGTACTGAGGTCTGCTAAGCCACTCATTGGGTTACCCATATTCATTTCCGGGTTAACATTGGCCGATATGTTTGGTACAGAGCCAGATTCCTTTGGCTGTGGAAGCTCTTGCAGGTTCTCCTGCTGCTGCTTTTGTCTCTCATATTCCAGTTGTTGCGGCTTTTGTTGAATCTCTTCCTTCATGCTAGAGGATGCCTGACTCAAGGTGTTCTGGATCGAATGAGCAACAGACTGCTGTAACGTTTCCTCTACAGATTGTTGAAGAGGAATTGAACCGGATTCCACGTTTTCCTGCTGTTGCTGCTGTTGTCCCTGTTGTTGTTGTTGCTGCTGTTGTTGCATTTGTTGCATTTGCTGGAACTGTTTAAATTTTGTCCCCAAGCCAGATAAATCACCTCCCAATAAAGATCCAATATTACTCAAATCAATCGGTAAGTGAGCCAAACTAGCCAAACTGGAGAGATTAGCAATATTTCCTAGACCACTTATGTCTCCTAAACCACTAAGATTATTTACAAGATGGCTCAAGTTAATATTATTGAGATTTCCAGCACCAAACGACGCAGCATCAAATGGTAAACCTTTAGGCACCTGGGACTGATGCAGCTGAGACATCACATCTTGCAGCAGCTGCAGAACCAGCAGCAACATACTATGGCTCTGAGTCGGTGTAATTGATGGTGTTGGTTGGGAAAGGTTTGTATCCGAGTCCATTGAGTGCACCAGTGGTGAGCTTGAGGTTGGCGAAGCAAGATCAATGCTAGAAGTAGCACTTACCTTCCTCTTTTTCGTCATCATGCTTTCATCATTCCTTGTCCTGGCTTCAGGTGGGGATGGAGGTGTAACTATTTTGACACCCAGCACGCCGGGCTTGGATAACTCGTCCTGGTTATCCTGTTGCGGAAGTAAAGTGTATCCGCATACTAACCCCAAGTGCTGGCACTTCATACACGAGGGCTTGTTCTCATCACACTTGATTCTTCTCTTTTTGCACGTCAGGCATCCACTTCTGGACTTCAGGTGGAACTTCCTCTTGGCCGTAGCTTTCTGGGACTGCCCATCACTTGTACTCATCGTTAAGCGTATATGTTGAACTAACGCGTACCGACTCGATTTACTGTTTATTTTAAAAAAAATAGGGTGCCTACTTTTTATGACTGTTTTCCGTTTTTTTTTTGGTTTCGGATACAATATAAAGAAATTTGGGTTGAACTAGATCTTTATATATTGACTACCCTGACTCTAATCATACATTTAATGGATTTATATCGTGGCAAAGTTGTTTTGCTTTGTTAGTGAAGAGAGTGATCTAAAAAAAGTATGGTGCTCGTTTACGTCGTATAGAATTTTTTTAAAGCGAGCGCAAAATAAAAAAAAAAAGATCTCGAAAGGTAAAAGTGAAAATTTGAAGCCTGCATATAGAGAAACCGTTCATCATTCACTATTATACAGGAAAACATAGCCCATGTCCCAGAGCTAGGTAAGTTCACAAGCTACTGGGGTACTCTAAACGAGCAACTGAAGAAAATAAACAGTTATGACGTATGATTCATTGTCATCCATAAAGTTTGTTTTCATTTCTTAATTTTTATTTCCTAAACCCTTACCTCTCTGGGGGAGACTTTAAGTGACCCTTTCATTTGCTCTGCCTTCTATGGGGCACCATGGATTGGCTCCAGTGCTGAGGTTCGTGTACTGCATACAGAAGCATCCTTAGCCCACACCAGGATTTGAAATAGACCTGCATATAGCCACATATGACTTTCAATTGAAAGCCAAAAATACAAAAAATACACCAGTTGATTATAGAGCAATTTCAGTACTTTAGGGACTTTATTTACCGACTTATCAACACGAAGTAAGCATGTCAGAAAGACCGTTGTGGTTCAGATGGGCCAGAGTAGGGTTTGTAGGATTTTCTATAGTGGCATCCGGTGTCCTTCTCTACAAATATGCCACTCCGACAGATGAGCAACTCATTGCACAGTTTTCACCGGAAGTGAGACAGCAGTACGAAAGAAACAAGGAGTTGAGACGCCAGGAGCAAAGAGAATTGATGAAGAACGTCCAGATAACTGCTGCTTCTAACGATCCCATATGGAAAACAGGGAACATAAAGAATCCGTGGGACAAGGAGAACAGGGGATCGGATCCAAACTTAATTGATCCAGTGAAGTTCCACCAACAGAAGGCTACGGAATTTAAGAAGCAACAAATTGAGCAAGCAGAACACGACTTTCTGGAAACGGAACGTCTTGTGGCTGCCAACAAGAACAACAAAAAGTGGTACAATTTTTGGTGAATTAGGTTTATAAATATGTAACTGTAAATAGAAATAAAGCATATTATTGGCATTCTGTGACGTTTGTTTATAGTGAACATGTTCGTTCTTGTATCAATTTTCTTTCTTTCGTGTTATTCCTCGTTCTGTAGCTCATGCTCTCCATCCGAACCCCTTGGTTATTGAGAAGCCTGAGGTTATTCCCTGTTGATTCTTCTGACCGTTTGCATCGTCCACCGCTGAAACAATCCTTGCTATGTTCGTATCTATCACCATTCCGCCTTGAATTATCTCTTCCAATACCGTTTCCAAAACTTGCCAGCCGAAAACCAAATCCAATTCACATACATTGTTGAAGCATTTATCCAAACACTCAACGAACACCTGAATCAAGTCCAATATTCCCAACTCAGACTCCTGATCATCTACAATAAAGACAAAGTAGAGCGTGGCGTAATGCCTATATATAACCTTGATGTCGTCCATGTCTTCCAAAAGGGGGGGAGGCGTTATGAATGAGCATTCCAGTGCTGATCTCTTGGAGATAAGTTGATGCACCTGTTGGAGCAAGAGTCGTTGCGTGGGTATTTCCACGTGAGTGTAAAACTTCATCAACCTAGGGAGGCCGTCGTTGTTAACTGGTAAATTAGTTAGTACAGGGAAGAAAATAGGAGCAGAGCTGGCTCACCTTTACTTGAACGCTAGGTCTCCGGTGAACGCAATCAACGCCGCCCTTAGTTGAAGATATACACCTAAGGTAGCGAGAACAGTCACTTGTATTTCCAGGATCGGCCACCTGCCTTAAGACTGGTCGGATCTCTCTTTCTACGTACATATCAATACCGAATGGATCATCCTGGTGGTTAATTATCGTGGAGAAGACAACTAGGCTAGTCTTGACCGTTTTATCGGACCGCCAAAATCAAAAAGTTCGATGTTGAAGAATTCGTCACGTTATACACATCACGTGCAAACACCAGTGTGCTTTTCATTTTTTTTTTTTTTTTTTACTTCGCACTTTTCTCCTATGGAGCTTCAGCCTTGCGGTGGACAGCAGTCTGCTGCAGAGAAGCGGCAGCCCAAGTGTTAGTTTAGCTGATCGATTGAGTGAAGGGTCCATGTCAGAACGGTAGCGAGTAGCACCAGTGCGGGAAAGTATGCGAGACAGCGCAGCTAAACTAGCAGCTAGCTCTTATTGCTATTGCACCTTCCTTTTTCGCTAAGGGTGCTGAGAGAGTGCCTAAGATTCAATCAGGCAAAAAAATAAAATACTTCAAGTGCTACAATAAGGGCTCAGGAAATTCGGGCTGCCCCATACATGAGATTTTCCCACTATGTATTATTTTATTAGCATATTAATCTCACACCAGTACCACAATCCTACCGTTTACACGCTGCGGGTTGCTTATACATTCCCTGGATCGTCTATATGGGACCAGAATGTAGCCAATTCCAGACTCAGGCTACCATTGGTGTGTGCATTCCACCTCTTTTCATCTTCTTCTTGTCCTACTCATTTGTTCTGTTCCAGCGTCTGCTCACTTCCAATTTTTACGAATTAAGCGAACCTCCAGACATATGCAGCAAAATTAGAATTGATTACATGCGCACAATAGAGAAAGTTAAAATTAGCCAGTAAAAAATGCATGTACCTTATTTCTTGTTGTTCCCATTTGTCGTCAATTGGAGCGTGAAATAGAAGTAAAAGCAGCACCAAAGTAAACAGAGCACGGTACGCAGCACGGTCGGTACCGTATGCCACTCGGAATTCATCACAGCAGTGCAAAACCACACCAAGTTCTGCCAACCCTAAGGAAGCACAAGCCTGCATACGCTTCGTAACTCGTTGCATCACCTCAAATACGTTTGCTTATTTTTTGTTTTTTTTTTGGTTTTCGGTACGTATTTTTTCGTTAGTTGTTTTTTTTTTTTTATTTTTTTTTTTTCGGGGCATTTTTTTGGTATCCTCAAGCGGAAGTAGATTGAACGTTTGTTTCAGGTTTCCTATAACTCTTCATTTAGTTATATAAGGAACGAAAGTGTCAATTCTGATTAATAATTGTATCAACTGTACTATATTAGTTGCGCCCCAAGCGAAAAAAAAATCGAAAAATAGACTAGGACTCGACAAAATCTACAAAAGGACAACCACCGACACGTAATAAAGTACACGACGCGATAAAGCAAGTGAGTAGACGACCACCCCCAGACTTGTAAGCCAAACTAAAACAGAACTATGAGCCGTAATATTCAATACGTCTTAACCGCGGAGTTCCACATCGACAAGGGTCCCTCCATACTCCATCAGTACCCCACTTCATTGCCTGGCTATGAACAAGGCGGCCTCCCATATTTGGCAGAATTGATGCTTCCTGACCAAATCCACAAAAGAGAAGAAGACTACACGCTCTTCTTGCTTTACAAGAATAAAAAGACGTCGCAATTTCAATACATTTACGACCAAAAGCACTGCGAAGACTCGCCGTACTTCCTCTACACTATTGTGAACAACAAGAATGATAAGACTGTGAGAAGAGGTGCCATAATAAAGTCGCTTTCGATCATAACTAAGTTGAAGTACTTCCCCAGTTTCAAGCCGTTATTGTTGATAGCGTTGGATAGCTATTTCGACACTAGCAACACTATGGTGTTGAGGCAGTTGTACGAAAGTGTGAATGTTAAGAATTTAAGTATAACTGGCACGAAGAACACCGGAGGCAATAAGGACATAAGCTTGATCAAGAAGTTTTTGATCACATCTATTTTGGACTTGCCGATCAATGACACTGTATACCATGATGAATATTTCAGAAATAAGCTCTTGGGGTTCGATGTAGATACTAATGGGAAGGGCAATACCAGCAGCAACAATAATAACCATTCCAAGACAAAGGGCAAAGGGGGAGCTACACAGGCTGGTGCCCCTCCACAAGGTGCATCCACTACGAATAAAGATCTCTTCATCAGGAAGGACTTATCGTTTAACGCAATCGTGAACTTCCTTAATTATAATATACCGATCAAAATCCCCTTAATTGAACTCCCAGACACTATTGGAGATTACCTTAATCCTACAGATATTAACTTTAAACCAAACTTAATGAACTTACTCAATGCATCATTAGCGACTGATGTAAAGAATAACGATTTGACCATTTATGGCTTGCAAACACCACCTATAATAATTCTTATTAATGCTTTGCTCACAGGGAAGAAGATTTTGTTCCTTGGATATGAAAAGTCTTCTTCTTGTATCATTGACTACATTTTACTCACGTTGAAAATCATATCTGGTGGTGGGATATTGAGCGGGTTTTTGACCAATTTCAATGTTTTCCCTATGATTGACGTCTCGAAGATTGATATCTTGGAACTGTGCGACTCTTATTTGGCTGGAACAATCAACCCCTTCTTTAAAAACAACGACAATTGGTGGGATTTACTTTATGACTTAGATACTAATGAATTTCATATTCTGAAGTCGAGATCGGAGGACGACGAGCTGTCTAATGCTTCATCCTACATGAACAGTTTGAAAGTACCGATCATTTCAGAGGATGCAAAGTTTTTATCCAATTTGCAATTATCAATTTACAACTATCATGATGACTTGACCACAATTCAGTTGATTTTCAGAAGGCACATTAATGAAATCATTAGGATATTAATATCCTCGAAAAATTTCAATTCTGCCAATTTTCTACCTATTTCAGAACTGAATGGATCAAGTTTACAGGAAAATATACTAAAATCGACTTTATTACTTGACGGAATTGGGTACTACTGGTCAAGTGATACCACGAAATTATTGGAAATGTCCTGTTATCAATCCATTTCGAAGAAATTTCAAGATTTACTCTATAGCGGCAAATTAATTTATAACCTTTCCTTGCCTAACCTATCCAACGAGTTAAACTTGATGATTGATTTACAATATCACTTGCAGTCGTTAATAACCAGTACGACGAAATTAAATGAGAGAGAAGTGTGGTTTAATATATTGAAATATTTAATTAGTGGACAATCATTGGAAACCTTCCTATTAATCACCTATTTGATTCCTCCTCTGTCATCATCGTCGTCGCTGCTGTCGCTGGCAGGAAATATCACCACATTTGATAAAAATAAAGGATTTGAGTTGCTTTTGATCAACTTGTTTAATAAGGATGACCAGGTTAAGAGCAATATCGTCATGATCTTACAGGAACTCCAGGATAACTTCTTATGTGGATGGTGTTTGGGAAATTTCATTAAATCGAATTTGATATATGAAATGGCCTTTACCGAGTTGGTAAATGAATAATGCTCTGAAGCATGACTACTAAGTTATGGGAAAAGAAACACAAACAGCGAGCTACAGGAATCAGAATCTCTGACCACGGAGATACAACAAACTCCAGTGAATCCTCGAGCTTGTGCTTTTACTCAAATACATCCGACAACACTCGGCAGGCTACTCTTTTTTTAATTTTTTTTTCTTTTTCTTTTGACTTTTTAAGTTAGCACATCTTGTTTATGATGTGAATCTTGAGCTTGGTGCTACAGGTGGAATGAATGCCCGACCAACGTTCGTTAGAGTTAGATAAATACAGCTACTTAATTAGAAGAACGCTTATGTAAGGTAAGGTGTAACTCTAAGAGAGAGTTTACAGACCAGAGTCACCTCTGTTCCCATAGATTGCAGATTAAATTGAAACTTTTCAGTGTAACGGTTCTTGCTTTTATTGAGTTTTCATTAAACTACCACTATATACAGACAAGCAGACACCAAGATGTCAGGCTACTCGCCTTTATCAAATATGTTAAACATAGTAAACTTGTCTCCCTTCTTTCGCGAAGCGTATGCACTTCCAGCTCCTACATATTTGGACTCTCTCTGCGCAGTCTCTTGGAGAGGAAAACCAGGCCTTAATGGGTTAGATTCAAATTCCTTGGTATCTGTTATGGCATCAGTTTCCTGCAAATGTCTATTTTCCTTGTTATGCGAGATGTGTCTTTTTCCGACAACAAAAATACCTATGCTTAGCGAGCCCAATATAGCAAGCTTGACTATCACACCCTTTCTTGTTTCCATTGTGATATATACTTACTAACAGTGTGTAAGGTACACAGCATCGTCATTCGATTTTGAGATTAATCACAGACCAGCCTGAAATCTGATGTTCCTGCATACATACAGAAGCTTTTTAAACGGTCCTGCATGGTGTGCCTCGTGCGACTCTCCCCTTCCTGTACACTAGACTCTCCATCACCCTCTGCCTGGCCCATATACAGTGACACCTTTTTTATGGGGCGATTATCAATTCACATGGTAAACAGGTGCTAAGCCGCGGCTGATTTAACTACATTAGGACAAATATCCAGATACCTAGACACCGCGACTGCGAGTAGTAATTGGCCCTTTCCTTGGTTTTGCCTCGGGTACATGAACCTGTCGTTTATCCCCACAGAAACTTTTTGTTTACCTACATATGAATCAGAGAGAAAAAATTAACTTCATTAGACTTTCATCGGTTGAAAATTCTCATAGCCAAAACACATATCTTGACTACTTTCTTCTTTCTGTTATATCATCACGAAAAGTGCTCTGTTGAATTTTAGAATTTAGAAGGTATATCTTAATTTATTTTACCTATTGATTTTCTTTTTCTTTTGTTTTATTAATTCTGTTACATTGATATGAGTGACGTTGAAGAAATAGCTCATGCCATCGCTGGTGCTGGTGGTGGTGCCTTATCGATGATTGTAACTTACCCGCTTGTTACTTTATCAACACTCGCGCAAACCACCCAGAAAAAGAAGAAGCTTGAAGAAAATGGCGCTTTAGCTGGGAAAGATACTAGCTCAGTATCTGCAAAGGATGCGAAGGAGATCCATTACAAGCTCGTGAGTGCCATCGTGAAATCGTCGCTGTATCAGGCTGCACAAACAATTATCCAAGAGAAGGGTGTATTAGGGTTGTATTCAGGTTTGGAGAGTGCGTTGTATGGAATAACTTTAACCAACTTCATATACTACTACTTCTATGAATTGACATCGAACGTCTTCCTTAGGGCTAACTCGACTGGCGCTCGCAAGGGGAAAGGGTTGTCTACTTTGCAGTCTATAGCAACCGGTGCTGTTGCTGGTGCTCTTACTTGTGTAGGGTCTAATCCATTCTGGGTTGCAAACACTCGTATGATGACCAACAAGAAAAAGTCCGATGGAAATGGTCACGACGAACCTACCAGCTCTACATTTGCTACTTTGCTTGATATTGTTCAAACTGATGGATTTGGAACTTTATTTGCCGGTGTATTCCCAGCGCTTGTATTGGTTTTAAATCCAATTATTCAGTATACCATCTTTGAACAAATCAAGAATGCCATTGTGGCCAAGACGGGGAAAAGCTCCTTCACTCCAGTTAAGGCATTTTTCATTGGAGCTTTTGGGAAATTGATAGCTACTACTTTGACCTACCCATATATCACTTTGAAGTCAAGAATGCATGTCAAGAAAAAGAAATTGGCCTCAGAATTGGGAGAAGAAAAGGAAATCCAATTATCTATGGTTCAAGAGATCAAGAAAATTATTCACGAAGAAGGTCTTGACGGGTTGTACGGAGGATTGATTGTCAAGTTAATTCAATCAATTAGCACTGCAGCTTTTTTGTTTTACTTCAAGGAAGAGTTGTTAGTTGGAAGTGTGAAATTAGTGGAATTATTTAGGTTTTTGCGGGTTAAGAAGCAGATTCAAGGCAAATAGGAAAGTGACTTTGAAGACACTTTTAAATAGTAGTACTAATGTATGCTAGAGAAACCAATGAATCTGCGTATGCGACGACGATGGAATCAGATGAGACCCGTCAAATTCGGCTTGAATTGAATTGAATTAAATTGAATAGGATAGACAGGGCAGTACGATTTCATATCTATGGCGTATGGCGTATTTGTAGGGCACTGTGTATGCATCTCGCTGCATGTAGGAGCATTAATTCAATTGAATATTTTTTATTTTTAATTATTTTTTGGTCTTGACCAACGTCTTCCACACGATGAAATAGACTGAAGGGAAGATCGGAAAAAGAAGATCAGTAAAAACCACTAGAGCCTAGTTTCGTAAAACACGCGCCTCAGCGCAAGCGCTGAAAAAGTCTTCTGTCATGATCAGCCGTAAACAACATGCATTCGCCGTGTATCTAACCATCAGATTCACAACGGCCACTTCCAAGACATTTTCCCCATCTTAAATTTAATAATTTCATGTCACTCGAATGCCTTCCTAAATTTTTCATATTTTTTTGCGCTTTTTTTTTTTCTCCTGTAGGCTAAAAATACTTTACGAGGTCCCCGAGACGCCGTCCGTAGAAATCCGCTTCCACCTGGCGTGGACCTGGGCTACAAGAGATGTACACAGAGAGGACCTCCCCCTAACCACTTTCCCACTTTTCTTTCGCCTATCTTGCCCTCTGCCCTCTCTGACCTTATTCTCACCCTAGTACATCATCTCAGTCTTTTTTTGCAACCCTGCGCATCTGCACACCTTCATCACCAGCTGTCATCGATTCAGCCTTCTTCTGAATTTTCATCCCACTCTCTGCTCTCAAAATGGTGAAATGAAATTTGCGCTCCCTACCTGCAGGCCCTTGACATCAATACACACTAAATATCTGACACTCCGTCATTAGAAAAAACAAGTAAAAAAAGGTAACAGAGGCTAGACAGACCACAGCAGAGAATAACAGCAGACGTCGAAAGTCAATATTTGTACTTGGCAAATATATTCATAGATACCGCAAGCTAGTCGGCGACTAGATAATTTCCCAACAAAAAAGACTGTGTCCATGTCTAGCAGATCGTCCGCAGCATCGTCGGGTCGACGTCAAGTTGCAAAGAGAGCGTGCTTGTCCTGTAGAGAAAAGAAGATCAAATGTGATGGAGAAGCACCCATAGTGAAAGACTCGAATGGATCTGGAAGCAACCATAGCTCCACTGGCGACAAAAATGGAGATGCATTTGCACTGACGTGCTCCAATTGTAAGTTTCTTGGAATTGAGTGTGTCTTTGTGAGAAGCATGAGAGGAGGTAGAAGGAAGAAGAGACCAGCAGCCACCTCCGATGATGAGGGCCAAAATTCCGATCAGCTTGGCTCAAGATTGAAGGCTCAGAAACCTGCTGGAGGCCCGCTGCCTATCTCATCGTTGCCTGGGATTAGCATGCCCCTCACTACTAGCTCTTCATCTACTGACAAGTTTTTGGATGAGAGACAGAACGATAGATATTCCAGAACAGAAAGCGAGGACCGTACGTCGTCTTCGCTACTTGATCCACATCAATCCAGCAATGATGGAGACAAAATCGACTGGGCATACTCTAACTTCGACGCCAGGAGGGGTAGACCTCCCTCTCCTACCTTATCCTACGCACTGACTGCTTATCCTATAATGTCAAAGAATATGTTCAACGAACGAGAAGGTTCCTCAGCCCAAGACACCACAGAAAGCTCCGAATATTATGACTACCCAAGAGGCTTTGACGGAGGCCCCCATGGACATCCTCCAGGACCGTACGGACATGGCCCACCCTTCCATATGGGCCCTGGTGGAATGAAGAGGCATTTTCGGAAGATGTTTGGATTTGGACCCCATCACCACCGTGGTCCAAGACACCACCGTGGCCCAGGCATGGGATATGGTGGTCCGCCACACCACCACGGACCTCCCTTCTATCCATATCCGCCACCTCATCATTTAGGTTACGGAGGCCCAGGAGGGCCATTTCTTGGTGGTCCGGACGGACCTGGAGGTCCAGGCGGTCCAGGTGGCCCGGGAGGTCCCGGTGGCCCAGGAGGCCCAGGAGGTCCTCATCATTTTGGTCATCTTCCACCACCACCTGGAATGGGGCAGGGTCCTGGGTCTGAAGGGCCCGGTAGTATTGGATCCGGTGGTCCTGTAGGTAGGGGAGGTCCACCGTTATTGCCTCCTTTAGATAGGAAGGCTTACTCTGACTATTCCATGGACTACTATCACCAACAACAGCAGCATCAATACCAGCAAGAACAGTTACAGTTGCAGCATCAAAATCCTCAAATTAAACAAGAGCAGCAAGCCCAGCAGCAACAACAACAGCAACAACAGCAACAACAGCAAGAGCAACATCCCCCACAGCAATCTCCAACCCAACATCAAGCTTATGGCGCACCTCGTGGCGGATTACTGCTTTCTCAACTTACACACCAAAACAATTCGGGATCTCACACTACCCAATCAATTCATTCACATCATTCAGCTCCTGGTTCAGATGGTACTCTGCAAGTTCCTCATACTCCATTATCTGCATCTGTAATTCCACCTGCTGTCCCAGGATCTAATCATTCTCTGATAAAATACCAACTGGATTCCGAATCTCATCATCGTGCAGGAAGAAACAAGGGCCCAAATCCCTCAACCACAAAATCAGTTAAGAGCAATGCAAATCTCTCGTCAGACTTGGTGGATGACAAATCCATGACATCAGGATCAGACGATCGTGGAAGGTACTATGACCCAGAGGTGGCATCCGGAGCTGCATACCCACCTTCATCGTATGGCCAGTATAATACTTACCGCAAGGATTATTATAGAAACTCTGTGTTATCACAGACTCCTTCAATTCGTGGAGATGCAGGCCAGCAAACCCAAAACAACAGGAATGAAGAAAGAAATACTCCACAATATGCAGCAGCTATAACTGCCTCTCCAGTTACTCCAACTGCTGTTGCTGCGCTCAACACTTCACAACAAGATCAACTACTTGCTAAGTATGGACTTCCAAAAGATTCCTCGCTCAATTATTTACTTGATCTTTACTTTCATTATAACCATCCATATCACCAGCTTTTGCCTAAAAAGCTGATTCTTTTGAAAAACTTTCCCATAAATACATGTGCATCTATTTACCATGCCATAATTGCTACAGTTGCCAAGTTCAACACTCAAGTGTCCAGAGACGAGGAATTCTGGTGTGAAAACGTTCATAAGTATTGGGATGACTTAAATACATTGCAAATGTTTTTGTCGTATATATTAGTTCTGAAAACGGCAAAGTATTCTAACAACTTCAGTGATGGGATGGAAATTACTATAAAGATCTGGGAAATCATTAAGTATAATAATCTTATTGAATTATGCAAGCAAATGTCAAATGAAGCTTATAAAGTATTCTTTAAAAATTCAAGCACAAGACAATTATATGAAAGGGAATTACTAGTTAGACTATTGTGGGATTTCTATATCCATAGAATTTTAATGTTCAGAGTGAGACTTGGGTACCCATATAAAAGACTACATGCTTTAGAGACAGGAAATATTAAAGCTCTCTACACGGAAATTGAGACCAATAGGTTCACAGATGTAATGGATCTCCCTATTGACAATAAAAGCTATTTAAGTGGTATTAGGGGCTACAACATAGAGAATAGAATCGATTGGTCTGAGATCCATGTTCAACTTAATAACATTGACGAAGATGATGTCAATGCATTCAATCCTGAAATTATCAAGAAATTCCCGGATTCAATGCTTCTTGCTCTTTCTTCAAATTATTTAGAAAGTGCAGCTGACACAGTGTCAAGAAATGGACTCTTGAAAACTAATCTTGTTAAACTAGAGAGTCAATTGAGAAAGATTGAGAGACTTGTAATCAACAACAAGTTGTTTCATCTTGCCAAGGATAAAAAAATGTATATTAACTTAACCCATGTTGCTACTTTGTTTATATTGAAAGGAGTGAAAATGGTAACTAATCTTTTATTCGTTGAAGAAATCATTACATTCAAACCCTTCCATAAGATTGAGTCAGATATGGAAAGTGCTGCTAAGCCTGATTTCTTACCATTAGTCAATGAAGTCAATGTTCTTTTGTTACCTGATTTACAGCAATTGCCTAAGTCAATAGCAAAACTATCAATATTCCAGTGGAAGTGTCTTGTGACAACATTAAGTACTGTTTTAGACACTATAAAAATAGTTGAATTGGGAGAAGGGTTGGTGCCGGAAAATTATACTGACTTTCCAAACTCATCTACTGCCAATCAAAAGACGTATCAAGTTTGTATAGGAGTTACAGGTGACGGGGAAGAGAATTACTTAGACGAAAAGAATTGGTGGGAGCAAGATTTCTCTTCCAAATCATTCATTCCAACAATTCCAGGACAGCCTGATGCGTGGTCGCAGTATCCAGATTTCAGTTTGATGACGATGGGAGCATTAATCGGTACATTGGGAAGTTTGATAATAATAAGCAAGTATGTCAAATTTGAATTGCCTAGCAAGGCAGAAAAGGAAGAAGGAAAAGAAAAGAAGGAAGAAGGGGAAGGAATGGAGGAGGATGACGTCGATTCGGAATCTAACGAGACAATATTTGTTGATGCTATTTTAAGTCTACCAGATTCCTCAGAGCCAAAGAGGATAGAAAGGATTGAATTGAGTGATGTAAACATCTTGCAACAACTAATCCAAGAGTTCAAATCTAATTTTCTTTTGGAGAAATTTTCAACTTGTACGAATTATATTAGATCGAGAACCAGATTTAATGATGTTGCAGTTAAGGATATGTTGACAAAAACTGAGAAGATGTTACATTACATTGAAGAAATTCTGGCAACTCAAAGTGAACAAAATATATAAATTGTAGCTTAAACTTGAAATACTCTTTAATCAGAGTGAATCATAATATATTATATGTACTATACGTAAATTAAGAATTAATAAATGCATTTTCTTTTTAAATTGCAACCACGATTTTTAACCAATGGGCTTAGATTCAGGTACTCCTGCATGCTTTAAAAAATATTGTGGAGGAAGCTCATCCACGTTGTGTCGAGAATAGCCTATTGTATAAGAATTAATGCACTCTAAATTGCAAATTTATGGCTGCAATTTAATTGAAATTCAAGGGGCAACTTTAAAATTGCATTATAAATATGTCTCTGTCTTTCCTTAATGTTTTCGGGAAGAAATTGATCCCAAAAACGGACTACTTCCCCTTAAGTTCTTTATCAGGAACATCAGAAGAAGTAGACTCCAGGTTTATTGACGAATCAACACAACAAAGGCGAAAGAAAGATTATTCCCCAGGTATAGTAATCTTGCTCTTTCTAGTATCATTTGTCTCTTTTATAGCTTTAGTAATGAACACCTATTTTGGCTCAGGAAACACTTCATCTTTGGTCAACTATACTGTTGAGTCGCTCACACGAGATGTTCAGATAAAGGCAATTCATTCTCATAATGATTATTGGAGACAACGTCCGTTGCTTGATGCTTTGAGCTACGGAGTTGTTAGTGTGGAAGCCGATATTTGGCATTTCCCTCAAGGGTTGGTATTGACTTCAACTGCATCCACCACTGAAAATCAAAACGGCGACCGCTCTTTTGATAGTGATGAACTCTATGTCGGCCATTCCCTGTTTTATTTGAAGCCCAACAATACACTTAATGCATTATACTTAGATTCTATTTTCAATCTCATATCGCAGGCAAACCCTGAGCAAAAGTATCAGAATAAGACCACCGCTACCTTCCCTGGTGAACCACAATACAACGGAGTATTTTACGATTTTCCCGACGAGCCTTTATATCTTTGGTTTGACATCAAGACTGATGCCGACGATACGTATACTGCAGTTAAGCCTTTATTGCAAAGATTTATAGACAAGGGATATTTGACACATTACGATACAGCGACAAAAAGCTTAGTCAAAGGACCCATAGTATTGACATTGACTGGAAATTTACCCACTGAACTTGTCAAAGCGGAATCTACAAGATATGTGTTCCTTGATGGATCTTTGTTAAGTTTTAACCTGACTTTTGACAGCTCATCTGCTAGTACACTTTCAGAACTGTCCCAATTGTCTTTGGTGGCATCGGGATCTTTGGAAGATATCTTAGGGGGAGCTGAATCGTACCAAAATGCAAGTAGAGCTGAATTTACTGACGAACAAGCGACCAGAATTAAGGACCATATCGATACCGCTCACAAGTATGGGGTGAAAACCAGAATTTGGGGAGGAATCAACTGGCCAAACTACGTCAAATTGGCTCATTATAAGACATATTATTATATTGGAGTTGATTTATTGAATGTAGACGACTTGAGACAAGCAGCCGACGATTTCTAGGAACCGTGCAACGACTTGAAGTGAGAGGTAGACGATGGATACACTAGCCCAAAATTTTGAACTTTTAAATGTCCTTTGACTTTATTTAATTATTATACACTTGAAAATCTTAAACCATTAAAAACTTGTATTATTTACTAACTTCTATCCGTAACCTCTTCACCGGTCCGTCTCTTTACTCTATATTGTGTTGCATTTTCGCATCTATCTAAAATAAATAAAATTTTCTATGGACTTTTTTTTTCCCCATTAATTTTTGGTTGCATTTTCGCAGCCATTTTGACACTAGCTCGTGATCTACCCGTAGTTTCTTTTCAAAAGCTCATACACGTAAAAGATTATAGCATTAGCAGGAGCTGCTCTGACCAAGGTTATTCCAAGCCCATTGTAAAGGTTTCTCATGCCGCCAGGTTGCTGGCAAATGTACTTACCTACTTTAAGCAAGCTCGAGGAAGCCTTGTCGAAATCATTAGTTTGAATGTTTGATTTGATGGTGTCTACTGGAAAAGTTGAGAAATTAAATAGCACACCAGCCAATGCACCACTGAACATCAATTCAGCGTCACTATTCTCAGCGTTTTCATCACCTCCTTTTGCAATTCTTCTCTCTCTAAACACTTGAGTCATGTACTCATAGGTGCTAAACCAGATTGCGGTACCGAAGACTTCTCTAATCAATGTGCTTGACAATCCCAGCCACAACCCACTCACACCTTCATTGGCGAGAATTTTTCTAATTACAGTTGAGTATATATTTTTGGGGCTACCGGAGGAGGAGGAGGAGGAGGAGGTGGTGGTGGAGATGGGACCGGACTGTTTCACATTCTGCACTTGCAATTTACACTTGACCAATTCGATTGGCGTCAACACAAACGATGCAGTGAATCCCGCAAACCCACCACTTACACATTTGGTCCACAACGGCAACTCTCGGTCGCTTTTCAATCGGTAGTGGTTTATGAAAAAATGCGAGGTTGCGTTATAGGAAGCGAATAAAATAGCAGTTTCAAGACATGCACCTAAGAGAGGCGCTCTAATACCCTGGTAAAAGCCCCTGATTATCCCCTCGTTTCTATACGTTTGAGCTATGCAGCCTACTGTAGAAATGGAATAGTTACTAGAAGACTGCAATCTCACCTTAACGGTGTCGAATGGATACTCTACCACTTTCCCAAACATCCCAGATATGGCCCCAAACGCAATCTCGTTTATGGGGTTTAAATGCGACGACTCAAGACTATCATTATGGTGGGTGATTTTGTCCAAAGACATTTCCTCGTTGTAAAGAGCCATCCTAGAGGTACGTAGAGATGTTTCTTGATACAATTACTCAGTATTCCTCTCCATAGATCAGCTAGATAACATGTTAAGGTGAATAAAACTGTGAGATGGGGGTATGAAAAATAAATGAAAAAAAAAAAAAAAAAAAAAAGAAAAAAAAAAAAAAAAAAAAAACCAAAAAAAAAAAAAGAAACAACCGTAATAGCCATGTTAGGTACGAGTCAAGGAACAATATGACAGGGTTAAGCACATATAGGAACAGTTTGGATATGGGCCATGGATAGGATAGGCTCAATGCTTTCACACCACTTTAGCCTCCAAACCAAGTGCCTCTGCTCTCCTACAGTTTCGCCGTATCAGTATTTATATTTATATTCGATTAAACCATACATAGTACACAAGAAAAGCTTATTTTAATGGAATGAATCTGGATGAGGCGTTACCAGCTCTACCGTGTCTAACTGGGGTGTAAGAGATGGAGAATTCACCTAAGTAGTGACCAACCATTTCTGGTCTGATTTCAACAGTGTTGAAAACCTTACCGTTGTAAACACCGACAACAGAACCAATCATTTCTGGAACAACAATCATGTTTCTTAAGTGGGTCTTGACGACAGCTGGCTTTTCGTTTGGTTGAGTAGCTAACTTGGCAGCTCTTAACTTCTTGATTAAACCCATTGGCTTAGAGTCTAAACCTCTGGAGAATCTTCTTCTGACTCTAGCACCACATAATTTAGCGAAATCTTCAGTGTCTAAGGTAACAAGTTCCTTTAAATCAACACCCTTGAATGAGAAGGTCTTGAAGACTCTCTTCTTTTTGTCAGCTGGAGAGAATGTTAGTAATCAAAGTTAACATGAAAACAAAAAAAAAAAATTATAGAAAAAGGGAAAACTCAGCATCGAAATACTTGTCTTGGTATCAATAATGGTGCTGGTATGGTGACAATGTTGGAATGCAGTACAACGGTGTTCGAAGAAGTAATCTAATGTATGGGCTCTCCTCTGTGCGGTGGGCAGCAGGCGAAGTTTCGCTTTTTTCTTCATCTCGCATGTCTTCTGTTGAAAGTAGCACTCGCACTATACTACATGATTGAGGCATACTTGTCTGGGAATGATCTCCTTTCTTCTGGATTGGTATCTGAGGTCCGCCAGCTGCTCCCATGTATGATCTGATCCACCACTGTCTACACTTTGAAGTACATTTTTTTCATCTTTTTTTTTTTTTTCGTCCAAGGTCCATAGGGTCCCCCCATACCCACTGCTCTAACAACATGCTACACTGTGTATTCTCCCGCTACTAATACATTGATATCTATCTTCTTTCGACCTCTGCGGTCACTGCTATCATCATCACCTCTTTCCCGTTCAATATGTACATACTAGTCTCAGCCATGATGTATATAATTAGTTCTGATTTGATTAATACTAAATGAATGCTATTGCTTGAAAAAATTGCACAGCTTGAAAAATAGCTTGAATGCGAGAGACTGAGGTTGGTGGGTTCCTGCAGGAAACAATTTTTTTTGGCGACACAAAGTGGAAAAGTGCTCGACAAAAAATCCAGAAAAAGAGGAAAACGCTGCGAACACGACATTTCGGTCACGAGATCTGTGACTGTTAAATGTCTGCAGCGTCGCTGGGTTTGAAAGTTACGCTTCTGGCGGTGCCCATCGTTATGCCAAGCAGGTAAATTACAGAACTAAGAGAGCGACAAACTAGCGACAAACAAGCGACAAACGAGCCCCAGCGGGCACCAGTTACCACCAACAAGCACCAACGAAGCGCGAACACACCCGCTGGACGATTCCACCCCACCGTGCACCCAGCCATGCACACACCCTAACTAATCCTACACTGTACGCTGAGACCGCTGTCTACATAGCTTTAAGGGAAGTGAAAAATCCTGCACACGAACCGAAAAAAATGGAAATTTTGCATAGAGAGAGAAAAAAAAAAAAATGGAAAAAAAATTCCTACCCAGTTTGTTGATGCATTGAAAATTCACCCATAGTCACTTTTCTTTTACTAGGTTGAAATTTTTTCTTCATCAAAGGATAGTCTGCAAAAGCTTAAATCGATTATTCTAAACATCAAAAATGAAATACTTAGCTGCTTACTTATTATTAGTCCAAGGTGGTAACACCTCTCCATCAGCTTCTGATATCTCTGCTTTATTAGAAACCGTTGGTGTTGAAGCTGAAGAATCCAGAATCTCTTCTTTATTATCTGAACTTGAAGGTAAGTCTGTTGAAGAATTAGTTGCCACTGGTAACACCAAGTTGGCTTCCGTTCCATCTGGTGGTGCTGCTGCTGCTTCTTCTGGTTCTGCTGCCGCTGCCTCTGGTTCCGCTGCCGCTGAAGTTGAAGAAGAAAAGGCTGAAGAAGCCAAGGAAGAATCCGATGACGACATGGGATTCGGTTTATTCGATTAAGTTAGTTTATAAGAACATAAAATAATAATAATAAAATAAACTACAGCTTTGGAAAATGCGTGGATATTGTAGATTTACTATATGTACGGAACAACCTTTTTTGTAGGTGTTCTTCTTCCTCGTCTCTCTTACTAAATGGAGAGTCTTACGCACTGCTCTTGCTTAGATTGTAGTTTAATTTCTCCACCAATACCCGGAACTTACCAAGCTCAGTGTATAGGGAAGTCTCTTCGCTCCCGTTGCTGCCTGCAGCGTATATCAAGTTCTTTTGCAATCCGTTCGTGCTGGTGCTGTCTGCAAAGTCGTCAGCATCTGCTTCCAGTTCGATTTCTTCGTCACTATCTAGGTTCTCTCTCGATTTGGAGCCATTGGAAGTTCCTGTGGGGACTTCAAGGGCGAAAGTCTGGTTTATGGACCTTTTCAAGCCCTTCAAGTACTCCAACTTGCTGACTTTGTAGGCCAACTGTGCGTCCAACGCTATCAACTTCTCTCTGAGCTCATCGTACTCGTTCAACAAGCTGCTCCTCCCGGTGTCCATCTTCTGGATTTGCTCGTATATCTGCTTTTTGAGATGCCTTTGGGCCCTCCGCTGTCTCTTGGGCTCGTACTTTAGACTGGGATCGACTTCTACTTGATCTAGCGTTTGATACTCATCCTGGACCAATCCAGTTTCATTGACGGCATCGCTATCATCTTCATTCTCCTCCTCGCCAGACGATAAACTTGCCCTTGCACCTGTAGAAGGGCCACTGCTAACCCCACCAGAAAACTCCTCTCCAAAGAGATACTTCGATTCCGGTAACTCTCTAATCAATTCGCTAAACTGATTCATAGTATACCTGTTCCTATTTAAGTTCGGCACCACTATAGGAATCATAATACACTGCAATTTCTGAAGCATCTCATCCACCGCAAGCAATTTCTTGTGCTCACTCTTAACTATTTGCTGCGCTACCTGCTCCACTATCTGGGAATTGAATAGTATCCTGTTGTGCTTCCTGAGGTTTATGTTAACTCTGTTCACAGCCTGCTGCAATTTCTTCAATGACGCTCCGTCGATGCCCTCGAACTCTCCCGTGTTCAATACCAAGGGCTCATTCAATATTCTGACCTCAGCGTCTATAAACTTCTTGGAATACTGATATGACATCCTTTCCACGAAAACACATCCAAGGAAGAGAACGTAAGTAGGTACACCCGCTATTTGTTTACATTTCCTATACTCTTATGTGAGGGTATATGCAGGACGCCAACAACAGCACGAGAGCAGCGTAGAGCAGCTCATAGATGAGAGGTAACTACAGGCGATACCAGTGCTGGTGAAAGTAGCTGAGCTCTGGTGGCGGTCTACTGGGCTACAATATTACCCTTAAACATAATACACTATCAAATTATCAACATACTTTTGTACATATACAGATTTTGTTGTTCAACCGAAGTAGTCAGCCATCTCTTGGTCCAACTGTTCAACAGTCTTCTTGGCTTGCTTGACTGGCTTCTTAGCACCGGCAACCTTAGCACCAGCAACTGGCTTCTTAGCCTTGGCACCTTTTTGGTTAGCATGTTGCTTCTTAGCTTGTACGGCCTTGGCCTTGGCTACTTGCTGAACAATCGGAGCGATTCTTGAAGTTAAAGGCTTCTTGGTTGGGTCAATGATCAATTCCAACTTCAACTTGGAAGATCCACCATCGATTGGAGCACCATTGTACTTGCTTACTGCTAATGAAGCAGACTTAGCGGCCTTGAAAATAATAGTAGCGATACCCTTGAATTGTCCTCTTTCATTGTAGGTCAAAGCAATGTTTTGAACACCACCAACTTGAGATTGAAAAAAGTCCTAATAATGTTAGTTTATGCTTAAAGCAAAAGGAAAGAAAGCAAAAATGAAAAAAAAAAAAAAAAATCACAATGAAAATGACGAAAGAGCAAGGAAGGAGCCTGTTAAGCTTCTGCCATGAATAGTTCCAGAAGTGGTCCCCGAAGGTTCAGATTTACCGGCTAAAATCAATCCAACAGCTTCGCATCAACGCTAAGTTAATAGTTCAATGCTATTCGGGCCCATTTCACCTTCTGCTACTATTGTATTTCATTTTGGCGTATCAAAAGAAACCCAACCAGGATGCAAAAACAGAGAACGTACTCAGACGTAATAAATCTATCTTTAAGTTTGTCTTTTCTTACCCCAAAACTATCTATATTAGACTTTCTAGTCGAGTAATGGGTAGCACACAACACATGAGCTGTAGATTAGCTATGGGCGTGCAATCGAGGAATTTAACATCTCTATTCAGAAGGAGCCTTGGTGGAGCAGATGTTTGGTGTAAGTAAACATGCAAGAGCTTAGCTTTTTCCATGTTTCTGACATTCATTACACTTACATACCCACCGATATCCAGACCTGCCAGATATACTTATATCGCCACTCTGAACCAAAAAAGACAAACTGAACACCTTCCTGGAGGGAAACAAAACTATTGCACCAAAAGATGCGAAGTAATATAATAAATAAAATTCTATAACCGGAGATACAAAGAGAGAAGTCTCTCCAAGAGTCTAATCTTTCTTTCTTTCTTAATTTTTTCTTTTAGACAAGCGATACCACGGTAAGCAGTATCACAGTCTTAAACATACCTTGATAGCATCGAGCTTGATGTCCTTTGGCAAACCATGGACAACAACCTTAGTTGCGTATGAAGCGTCTAAGGTGTTAGCAGCAGGAGCTGGAGCAGCTGGCTTCTTGAATGAAACAACAGGTTTCTTATTAGACTTAGGCGTAGCCTTCTTGCTAATATTCTTACTGATACCTGGCTTTGACTTCTTAGCGACGACCTTCTTGGCAGGTCTAGCCTTCTTTTGGGAAGAGATGATGTCGTCTAAAGATTTGTCAAGTGCAGTACTCATGGTGTATGTTATGTTTAGTATTTGTATATTAAAATAATACGTTGGTAAGATGAAAAGAGTAAAATGTAGTGGGAAAGGGGGCCCTTCAAAAAGTGACGATGGTGTTGGAAATTATTTTCGTGGTCCAACTGGGTATGATAATTACGCATGTGCTGGCAGTAGTGCGTAAAATGTGGCACCAAGAAAAACCCACTCATGGGATACCCCAACCAAGATGGGGTTAGCAGGGCAGTCTTATGAGAGAAAGAGGGGGGGAAGAGGGATGGTGTTATCGCAGTTGAAGAGAATTGGGTAGAATTAGAGATATGCAGCACCAAATAGCATCCTTGACACTTTTTCAGAGGACTTAGATTACATATATCTCTCAACGTTTTATCCCAGCGAGATAATGCACGAAAGAATATTGGAATCGAAGGAACACTTTCTTATCTCAAATCTTTATGTAAGCAAATCTTAAAAGTAAGGTATTAGCGAGCAGTTGGTCTATACGCGGAGTCAATTGATGCGAAATGACGAAGGACGGGACCGTGTTCCATATGTTAAGATTGCGGAAATACAAGGAATAGAAATTTCAAGATGGCTTTGGTTCGGGTAGATAAGGATGTGGTAACTCTTAGTTGAGAGAGTGAAAGGAGAATTGACTCGGTTGCATCCGTACAATATACGCTGTGATGCGTTTTTGTTTTAGACATATTTAATTTGGGTTTTCAACCAGTTCGTTGAGATAAGGACACACTTTGCTTGAATTTGGCAAAAACGCTACTAAACTTGGAGTGGTATAGTTATTGCATTGCTGTATCTCTTCTAGATAATTGTGCTGAATACTAAAACCTTACACAGATACTGAACCAGGCTCAGCGCCAGAGCGGAATTGTATTGCGCACTTTGCATTGAACGGTAATTACTGCTTTGAAACATGTCCAGCTAGCCAAGATATGATAGAATATCCATAGGCAGCCATTGAGAAGTAATCAATGGAGTGGAAGATAATAGAAAGTGAGAATATGGAAAGAAGAGCTATCAGAGGAATCTAGATGATTATGAGAGGAAGTAGTGGAATGCAATACAAAACTCCGTACTGTCACCGGGTTTATATCCTGTGAAATGGAGATAAGGAACTGATGTAACATGAGAGAAAAGGGATTCATAACTCGAAGTAAATTACCAAATTCAACCAGTTCCCATTTAGCCCAGTTTAGGCTTATCTCTGAAATTCCATACCAAGCTGGGTATTTCCCGTAGGCTGCTACGATGTAAGTTCGTGCTGTCTTAGAGGAGGAACCTTCGAAATGATGCAGATCGGCAAAAATACGAGTCTCCATATTTCCTTCTTCCTGCACGAGCAACAAGAGATTTTTCTTGTTCTGTAAGATTTATTTCTTTTTATTTTTCGACTATCTGTCACTTAGTCTATATTTGGAAATCGAGGGTTAGGAAAGGTAAAAGCTTGTTGGGAGATCCATCATTTCCGGAAAAAAAAAAAATGGGCCCCAGCTGTAACCATAATTGAAACCTAACTCAATTTCAAAACAAACCAATGTGTAATAACAAAAGTTTCAGAGCCACCACCGTATGTGTCCCCATTTGCAATGCATTTGCAATGCATTAAGAACTGGGCTTGATTGACGTTCAGCAATTATTTTCCAATTATGCAGCAAATCAAAAAGGGAAAAAGTGCTGTGGCCTAAAAAAAGAAAAAAGTGAAAAAATAAATAAAAATAAAAATAAAAAAAGAGAGAACGAAAATAGAAGCTGCTACGAGGGACTGACACCACCCAATGAGGCATGACTGGACGATCCCCTGAGACTCAACTCCAAGAAATTTCTTGGAGTAGAACCTGAATTGCTCTCCTAAGAAATTCATTCAGCCTGTTGGAATTCAAGTTTTCCCCCCCCTTGGTTGCAAAGTAAACTATCCCAAAAGCTTAAGATTGAAATTCATCGGACTTAATTAAAATGCAACCGAGTGACAATTAATTAAAGAAAGGGCTTAACAAAAGAAAAGTATGAGCAATTCGAGCGAGCGAGCGAGCCCTGAAGAGTAAAATCTATAAAGATTGCGTACCCCCGCCTCACATATTTACGTAGCACAGTACGATTCAAGTGAGCCCGAAAACAATAGGTACATGAAATGAACAAATACACCGGGAAAGTGCTACCTAACATCACAATATGTTGGCCAATACCTTGAGTCTGTCCGTCCTCTATTGTAAACTGTTTGTATTACTCGGTAATTTCTGTACTGGATTTCCTTTTTTTTTTTTTTTTTTCCTCTCTTTTTTCCCTTTTGGCTTATGGCTGTTAGCACCTTTCCTGCCTACACAATTTCAGCATAAGCGGCTCTTTTTTGCGATGGAGCCGTACATTCGCGGCCCGAGGAGATATGAAATATAAGCATGATTGGAGCTGTCGTGCCGTGTTCCTGTACACATAGCGCAGTTTACTTAGGTATTCTCGCATTGATTTCCATGGTGCATTGTGACTTACATCCTTAGTGTGTTAGATCATCTTCTGATCACTATCTTTGAAATACACAGTTGACAGATTCTTAAAACCCAAACCTAGAAAATATATACCTTATACTGTGCAAGTAATCAGATTCCTTGACGATATTTTTTGGAATTTTTGCTTCTCTTCTTTTTTTTCCATCAATCTAAGAGAAATCTACTATAAATTTTGAGAGAAAGAAAGCACAGTGTTACACCTGGTTTTATACAACACTCAAGCATCTTACCCCATCGATTCTTACAGAAAAAAGATCGTAATTCGTTCCCCGTTATTTTTATAGCCGATATCTAAGCTTTCTTTTTATTTTTTTTCCCTTTTTTTTTTAGTTCGTTAGAGTCTATTTTCATAAAAGGAAAGAGAATACGGAGTAAAGAGTAATCAACAAGAAAGCAAAAGCACTTTTCCACAAAAGAGTAGTATTCTTCAACAACGCCAACAACTCAACATATCCCAGTTATTTGCGTAGTTCACACTCAATAGGACAACCAAATAGTTTCGATAGTCTAAGAAAGGAAAATATATCTTCCACCCCCACCCAGCCGAAATAAGTAATTCATTCCACATCTACCAACAAAAATGATTCAAGTTGGACTCCTAAATTTCTATAGGGAAAGCCCCGTATTCAATGTCCTTCAGGGCAAGGTTAGAATATTCGACTACTTGAACAAGTTGTTGTTTTCTAAAAGGCTATTATTCACTAAACCTGGAGCCTTTGACTTCGGAGGAGCTAAAACGATAGCCACTCCATGTGCTGCTGATGACCTCGACCTTTTCAACAGCTATTCTAGTGAGCAGATTGAATTCCAGGATTTCAAGACTCAAGAGAGCGAGCCCCTTAATAGCAACTTGAGCTATTACCCTTACACCGGAGGTGAAAATGGAGTGGCTCCTAGTCACCAGAACTATGGTATCACTGCCCCATTGCCAGCACAGGTTGTTGATCAACAACAAAATCACACCCAGGCTCAACCACAAGCAGATGTTTACCACCACCACACAAGCGCTGGTGCCGTATCTATTCCTCTGTCTCAGTACAATGTTCAACATGAGCACCGTCACGAAGTTCATCACAGTGCCCCAATCTCAACCAACGTCAACTCACAGCAACAGGATTACGAGCAGATGCACTTCATCGACTCGTCCCTTCCAGGCTCCATTTCACACTTCAACTTAAACATGAACCACACCGATCTCATCAACGATCAATACTTCAACGACTTCAAACCAACTTTAGATTCGAGGGACTCAGAATACCAGTCCATTTACGGATCTTCAAGTGAAAGCTATGTGAGTCCTTTGGACGATGAATTTTTCAAGAAATTAAGCCCAGAAAGCATCCCCACTGGAATGAGTGAGGACCCACTTCAAGCAGTTGAATTTGATGGTGCAACTGCTTCCAACAAAAAGAGAACGTTTGAAATCACCCACTCCCCAAATGTAAATTTCTATGATGTAAATTCTATCTTCAATGATTACTTGATTGATAACTCAAGATACAACAACAATAATAATAATAATAGAGGCAACAGTAACAATTCCGTACTGGTTAAGCAAGAATCTGAATCTTACAGGATTCCAATAAAGCAGGAACAGACACAGTTCCAAGCACAAGGTCATGAACATGGTGCTTCCCGTCAATTGCATAGCAACTCAATCGATAGAAACGAATCTATCTCATCTACTGCATCATCCATGTCATCAGTATCTCTTCCAATCTCAAAGAAAATGAGAATAGAATCTGACTTGACAGATGCCAAGTACAAATGTCATTACTGCGACGCCAAATTTAAAGTCAAGGGTTACTTGACCAGACATTTAAAGAAGCATAACTCATCTAAGGCATTTGTATGCCCCTTCTATCATGAATCTCCAACCAACCATTGCAACCCATCCAAGAAGAATGTAGTTGCTGGTACCAAGTGTCACCCAACTGGTGGTTTCTCCCGTAGAGACACATACAAGACCCACTTGAAAGCATTACATTTCATCTACCCTCCAGGAACAAAATCTAACGAAAGGAACAAAATTGGAGGAAATTGTGCTGGGTGCTTTGTTTATTTTGATAATAACCTCAAATGGTTGGAAGATCATATTGAAAAGGGAATGTGTTCAAAAATTGAAAAAAATTAGCAGAGTTTGAGTTTGAGCGATGAAAAGAAAAAGGGGATATGACTAGTGTGTATTGATTACTGACTTTAAATTTCAATTCTTGTTGTTAGGGTAAAGTAAGTTATTTGCTTTATTTATTATTTTATGTTGTTAGAGAGTGGGAGCTTATATTAATTGTGTATTTTTTTACCATGGATGTGTATAAAGGGGTAAGCCTCTCCATTTAGTTTAGTTCGTTGTGTTAGTTTAGAATTCAGATATTAATTAGTTAATGAAAAGTGATATATATATATATGAAAATGGCTAGGGTTAGAGAAGATATGGCTTGCTTGTTTGCGTGATAGGAAACATGCCTACATTCTGCGCCAAGAAGTGTGTTCTCTTAGAATAAGCATTATGCGAATGAGGAGTCTGAGCACGATGGACCGCCAGTATGGAGAGGAGAGTTGTAGATCAGAAGCTGAAGCTTAGGAGGACTGGAACTTCGCAAAAAGGAAGAGTGCTTCTCAACAGGGTGCTTCTCAACAGAGTGAGGCGGAAGCATTCTAGTAAGAACCAGGTTCGTCACACATCAGTGCAACACCACAACTAACAATAGAAGCATGCCAGTGCAACCTTCCAACTCGCTACAGAAGAGAGTCAGTATAACCTCGCACCTAACTACAGAGAGAGTCAGCAAAACGTCACATCGAGCCACAGAGGAGGTTCAATAAAGAAAATAGACAACAAATCAGACACAAGTACCTACAAATCCACCCATTCAGTCTCAATTGCATTCAGAACAGAACTGCGTGCCATATCACCAGTGCATCACAAGATCAGCTTAAACTACCAGCACATATTCAATCTGCTACAGCCTGTTACATCTACAGAGGCAGCTGAAAATAAAATCAGGTACAACACCACCAACCATGCAACTGTTTTCGAGTTCCTGCGTTTGTCACACACCAAGAAACCATCAGATCTTCTGGGTATAGCTTTATATCTTGCATGAAGGTTCTCTTGTTAGCATGCAGTTTTAGACGAAGTGAGCCAAAAAAAAAAAAAAAAAAAAAAAATACAAACGAAGCACCAGCGTATCTGGTAACTGTAACAGCACTAGTGCATATCAGCTGCATACGATTCTAGTACACACACATTCACTTACTCACTCACTCACTCACTTACTCACCACCGGAACACCTTGTAGACTATAAAAGGCAGAGAGAACTCTCTTCTAGCCACAGAGTTGGACTCACAATCGAAATAGCCATTGTAGTTCCCTTTTCTCTCTTCCTTCTTTCCTTTTTCCTTTTTCCTTTTTCCTTTCTCCCTTCTTTCTTTTTTTCCCTACTATCAGCACCACTAATTATTTTTTTTATTTCTTTTTTTATCTTTCTCCCTTGCATAGACGAAAACGTAATAATTCCTGTTACTGAGTTGCTCCCCGTAGCCCGCCCAACCTCAGCTCAATTGAACTATCCCCTTCAAATAAGCTAATAGCTAACAAACTTCCGAGCGGTCGAGGTACCAACCCGCTGGTTCGCTGTTCAATAAACTTTAAATCATAAACAATACGCCTCAAATCTAAGCATTCCCAACTAAATCATATGAATCAAACATAGTCCACTGCAACTTACTCACCATTTTCTGCCTAACATTTCTGGCCTGCCTGGTGCGCATTGTTTATTTTTGAACTTGCTGGCTAACATTTTCCTACAGTGGGATCGGGTGGGACACGACCCAGTATAGACTTTCGTTTAAACAAAAACAAATTTTTCTTCGGGACCAGGCAACGGAACAGGAGCTTCCTACTACAAATTGTGATATAGATACAAGGGTGGAAGCATATCAAAAATCTACTTTGAGGTAATTACAAGTATTCGCTAGCGGTTCAAAGTAAAAAACTACAAAGGCTTTCCAGTGACTATTATCAGAAAGATAGCCACCCAATGAAGCGCCCTACATTCGGTGAGAAAAATACATCACATCACCAACAACAACAATCCACCTACAATGCCAATTTCCACTCGCCGTCCGAGCTAAACATCTCGACACAGCGTAACAAGGCCAATGAGTATCACTCGCTGCTTAACAGATTGCCGACTTTGGGGGAGATTCTTGCTCGCAAGACAGAATCCCCAGTGGACCTCTGGTCGTTCTACATCTTCATGAAGGAACATGAAAATGCTATCGATTACTTGGATTTCTGGCTCGATGTTATGGGTCATTTGACCTTGTGTAAACACTACGTTCAAGGTTTGAGAGAAAGTATAGTGAGGAGCTCTGTGGTGCACCACAAGAACGTACTTCAGTACCAACAGAATCAAAACACAAACAACCAGTATCAGCAACAACAGCCATACAAGCACTCATCGCTCTCAAGGCTGCATCTGGCAGCTGGTGAACTCGATGCTTATCAGTCGCCCACCATCCCTGCGTCATCCAATTATAACCGTAACTCGCAAAACTCGTCACAAAGGAACTCCAACCCGCTTCTGGAACAGTCCAAGCACAAGTCCTTGTCGTCGTCTTTATTGCTTGACATGATTATCAACGATCACATGTTGGAGGAAACAGACTCTCACAGATTGTCGCAGTTTTTGAGGGGTGACTTATCTATAGATAACAATGATCCAAGAATCGTCGAATTGGTTGAGGAATACAACCGTGAACATGAAAACCAGCCCTTACCACACCCACAGTTTACGCAATCACCCAACTATCAAACGCATCTATTCGATGGTGAAGATTTGTCAATAGATAGAATCAACACTGGAGGTAGTTCCAATGGAGGTAAAAGAGTTTACTCCGGAACTCAACTTCTTGATGATTACAACGTACAACAAGGCGATGTCTCTGGAGATGTCGCTCAAGAAGGTGGTTACGTAGGCAGAGCCAACGTCGCCTCCATTGCATCTTCCCAACCTAAAATCGTAAACACTTCCAATACCAGCTCAGTTCCTCACACCCCGGTCAAAACAACCATCAACTCTGCATTACTAGAAAAACTTGTCAAGGACACCAAGGCAAAGCCCTCGGGTTCATCATCCAACTCATTCATCACAAGAGAAAACTTGAGAGAATCGTCACATAATTTGCTCTTGAAGTATTTTGTGGAAGATGCAGAAAAGAAAATTAATATCCCCAGAGATTTGAACTCATTCATTCTTAATTCCATTGAAAAGGAAGGAAGAGACGATCCTGACGTATTTGGGGGTGTTAGAGACTATGTCTTCAAATTGATGGAAAATGAACTGTACCCTAAATTCTTAAAAACCGTTGCCATTCAAAACATAACTGAAGTCTCGTCCAAAGTGAGAATGATTGCCGGATTAATCTTATTATTTTTCGGCTTTTGGATAGCTTACATCTTGTTATTCTTGAACTATCATAAACGAATCAGAGCTGTATGTGTGGTACCCTTCTTAATTGCATTTTACTTAATCGTATCATCACACTACTACCTCGATCCGGTGCTAGTTTTCCTCGGGTTCAGTGAATCTTTCCACTCAGATCAAAGATTAATCAAGTTGAAAGAAAAGTATGTTCATCGTCTCTTGATAAAAAGGGCCATCTTCGTAGTGTTTTTGGTAATACTATTCACATTAATATTGACATTGATATTTAGTTTAGTTCCAGGTCACAGACTTTAATTTAATAAACAAAAGTACTATCATACGTGGGTTTGTAAGTGAGACAAAGGAATACGTTTCACAGTTGGGTAGCGAAAAGGATACTATCTATGTCTAGTGGCTTCCTGTTGTTTTTTATACTTCTTCATTCTACATGTTGCTCCAGAGCAATTACCGCATTTGGAAGTCTCTCTCTTCGAGCCCAAAATTTTTAAAGAAAAAAAAAAAAAAATAAAAGAAAAAATTACAGAGTGAAGAGAGCACAACAACGCTTGCATTGGTCAGTAATCTTAGATAGCCAGTGCCTATGTTAATTTACTTCTCTCTTGTCTTCTTCGTTCAAGACAGCACAAGCTTCACATGCTAAAAAGGTTATCAGAAATGTGTACATTAAAGAAACAAATGAAACTATTTAAACACTATGTAGTATACGAATCATTTAGTTACCTTCGGCAAAAAGGGCTTCTCTCTTTTCAGCGATTCTTTGTTGTCTTCTTTCACGGGCAGCTCTGGTCTTGGATCTTCTAGCTTCGGCTTCTTCCTTCAATGCCTTTTCACGTAAAGCTTCAGCCTTAGCTTGGATGATGTGTTCGACTAAAGATCTCTTGTGCTTGAAAGTGTTACCCTTAGCAGACTTGTATAAGTTGTGGTACAAGTGCTTGTCAATCTTACCAGCATCTCTGTATTTAGCTAATAATCTTCTGAGGACTCTTAATCTTCTCATCCACAAGACTTGGGAAGGCATACGAGCATCCTTGGTACCCTTTCTCTTACCGTAACCCATGTGTCTACCGGCTCTCTTAGATTCTAACAAAGCTCTAGCTCTAGATCTGGAGTGGACAGTGTCTGGCTTCTTGACAATGGTACCATTTCTGTATAATTTTCTGATAGCTTGACGGGAGTTGGCGGAAGCGATTTCAGTGGTTTCATTAGGATCCAACCAAATCTTTCTCTTACCGACACCAACAACACTGGCAGCAAGTCTCTTTTGAGTTCTAAGGTTAGCCCTGGAGAAATGTTAGTATAATGGACAATTTGATGTAAAGAAAATATGTCTTAAGTGAAAAAGAAGAAGAAGAACAAGCAGTAGGACTTATGCTCAAAGAAAACTAGGAAATGAAAGGACATTGCAGTAGGAATAGCAAGGGGGTGTGGGATCTCACTCATCGAGGGAGAGATAAAAGGAGGATAGCCCTGATCTCCAATTCCAGCTTTCATCAAGAATCTCCTTCCAAGGTCGATGGCATGCTTTTTGAACATGTAGAAGCCTTCATGACACTACTGAAATGGTCCCATTAACTTGCAATGTTTTTGAAGGTCCCGGTCTCTAGGGTGGATCCTTGTTTTTTTTTTCGCCACCTCCTCTCTTCACAAAACTCCAACCATAGTTGATACATTGGTTCATCTTGGACTCTTTTTTGCTGCTTTTTTCGGTCTACTGTTCTCTAGTCTTCATCTTGCATCTATCTAGACACATTATACATGGTCATTACTTACATTTTGAATAATTACTGTGATGTAAAATAGTCTTGATTGTGATGTGAAATTTTTTTCTAAATGTGTTTTTCGCTGTCTCCCCTTCCTCAGTGTGAGTCTACCGACGGAGGCAGGCAGGGCAGGCAGGACTGGGTGGGAGACACAGAGAGGGAAAAAAGTTTTTCTGTGCCCACACACGACCGCAGAAACGAGGTATTATGCAGGAGCGGGCATTGTTTGAAGTGTGGGTGTATGGATTAATTTCACTGAAGACTGCTGATTCGGCTAGGGCTCAGCCCTGGGGTGGATATTCCAAGGAACTGGGCCACGGACTCTGCAATTGAGCACATGACTGTACACCTGATTCTAGTCATGTGACTAAGGGTTTTTTTTTTCAGCTCATCGCTGCGCTATCAATCCTCTCCGGTATCAAAAAATAGACTCTGGTTTGCAAGACAGCACTCGCTACTACTAAGTACTTATAACCTGCAAGAGATAGTATTCACAATGGGTAAGTCTATTAGATCCAAGTCTAAATTGAGAGCAAAGACCGTAAAGAGAAACGGAGAGTTCCAAAAGTTCGTAGACGGTAGAAACGACAGAATTGCAGCCAAGTTAGCTGAGAAGACAAAGAAGCAAGATGACGAAAAGAGGGCCAAGAAGGCTGAAGAAGGCGAAGACATTGAAGAAGTAAAGGAAGACAAAGAAATGCAAGTTGACGGTGAAAACAAAAAGAAGGTCAGTACCTCAGGATGGAGAGAATCAAGAACTCAAATCTATAAGCAAAGAAAGATCAAGGGAAAGAAGAGTAAGACCATGAAGTTTTAAGTCCAGTAGGAAGTGATTTATATGGCACACGGGAACATGACTGATGGCTTTTCATGAGTCTTTTCAGTGTGTGTATCTCCCTTCTTTCTTCTCCTTTTTCATTTTTGGTTTGACCTTGGCATATTTATTGCATTACTGTACATTAGAGCATCACATCATATATAATTCGTAGATATATAATTTAAGAATAACATCTTTTTAGAATAAGTGACCGGGGGAAACCTTGTAGGACTGTTGGCTTTAAAAATGGCACAATGGCTGGAAACTACGACTTGGTAATGCAGAAGCTATCGTCTGGTTATTATCGCCGTAAATGGCTATGAACGTCTCTTTCTCTGCTGTATCTTCTGCATCTACTGTGTGTACTATCTATACAATCTATACAATCTCTACAATCTCTAGGCTATCATTACTGGCTATGATCTTGTTTTATTCATTTATTTAAGTATCTTGTTTTACATTGCAATTCTATACTAGTACGCTTCGTATCCGACGGTTTCCAACTTTTCAGCCTTGGTCAAAACCTCTTGCTCCATGTTGCTCATGTAATTGTTCATTTCTTCCATCCATTTTGGCTCGTATGCTCCTAAAATACGCACAGCCAACAAAGCTGCATTGGTACTGTTGTTGATCGCAACAGTAGCCACTGGGATACCTCTTGGCATTTGCACAATTGAGTGTAAGGAGTCAACTCCGTCCAACACAGATCCCTTGACTGGCACTCCAATAACAGGTAAAGGAGTCATAGCTGCAACCATACCTGGTAAATGAGCAGCTCCACCAGCTCCTGCGATGATACACTTTAAGCCTCTCTTAGGTGCCTCAATGGCGTATTTGGACATTCTGTGTGGGGTGCGGTGTGCGGAGACAATAGTAACTTCAAATGGAACACCAAACTTCTTCAAGATGTTGGCACCAACTGACATAACTGGCAAGTCTGAGTCTGATCCCATGATTATACCAATCAATGGTTTGGGGGAGGTACCAGCAAGTTCGGAACCGCTCTTTTGTTCAGCGGTAGAAGGTACTTCTGCGGATTCTCCCAATATGTAATTTAAACGAAGTTGACAGTCGTGCATACTGGAAGATACTATATTGATATGGCCCATTTTACGGTCTTTTCTAGTGGTCTTACCGTAAAGATAGACACTTGCGTGAGGAGTTTCCAATGCTCTTTTACAAAATTCCAACTCTCCGTCTGGTTCTTGGGTTCCCAATACATTGTACATGATTGCGTTGGTATTGGAAGTAGTCAACGAAGTGAAATTCTTAGGCATTGGTAATCCAACAACAGCTCTGACGTGTGCCTCAAATTGTGAAGTGACACATGCATCTATGGTGTAATGACCAGAGTTGTGAGGTCTTGGGGCGATTTCATTAATCAATAATTCACCATTTGCAAGTAAAAACATCTCTACTCCGAAGATACCGCAGCCTGGGAATGACTTAACGGCATTCTTAGCCAAAATTGAAGCCTTTTCAGCTTCGGTGTCAGTGACTCTGGCTGGAGCGTACACCAAGTGACAAATGTTATTGGTATGAATAGTTTCCACGGTAGGGTAAGAGAACACTTCCCCTTCTATGGATCTTACCACCATAACAGCCAACTCTTTAGTGAAAGGACACCATTTTTCAGCATATAAGGGACGATTGCTCAATACCTCTAATGCTTCCTTTATATAGGATTCGTCTTTGACGACAAAGTTTCCTCTACCGTCGTAAGCTAACGTTCTGGACTTCAACATGTATGGGTAGCCAAACTTCACACCAACGTCTATCAAATTTTCCTCAGTGTTCTCAGTAACAGCAACAGATTCAGTTGTAGCAATACCGTGCTCCTGGAAGTGTTCTTTCTGTAAATACTTGTCCTGAATCAACTTTATGGTTTGAGGTAATGGGTAGATTTCAATCCCTGTCTTATCCAGAAGGGCTTGCAAGGCATCAGCATCAACGTGTTCTATTTCTACAGTCAAGACATCACACTTTTTGGCCAATTCAGCGATTGCTACAGGGTCTGTGAACGAACCGTTGACATGTTCATCCAACGCATTGATCTGCTTGGCAGGTGAGTTCTCTCCATCCAAAATAATAGTCTTGATGTTGAGTCTGTGAGCAGCTTCGACGATCATACGGCCGAGCTGACCGCCCCCCAAGATACCTACAGTTTTCGAGTCCATGATTATTGAGTCTAAGTGTGCTTATAAAGATAACAGAAGTTAAGGAAGAGTGCAAAAAAAGACTGTTCAAAGGCTAGCAACTCGTTCTATCTTCCGTATCGCAGCTCATCAACCTTTTAATTAGAGCAGAGTCAGTTTTCCTCTATGCACACTAAGGGCGCACTGTGGGGCGCACTCTGGCGGGTGGTGGTGCGCCAGAAGGTGGTGGGTGCAAATTGTTAGGGCCCTTGGGAGCGAAGCGAATAGATGGATAATGGGGAATGGTGAACAGGGAACGGGAATCTGAAAGTATAGAAAAGAGGGTCCGTGGCTTCCGTGGTGTATTTATGGATTAAATGATGTAATATTTATTGCCAGTAGTCGAGAGACGTTAAGTAGTGGTCAGGTCTACCATTCTAATAGAACATTGAATTGTTCCCAGTATTCCATTCCAGAGACAAAATATAGTAAATGAAAAATTAGGCGCAGAAAATCTAGAAGCTAAAGAAGCTTCAATAAGTTGTGGAGATGACTGATATTCGTTTATGGTCTCTTATTTAAACTGAATACGCTCAGGGCTTTCGTTATTAATCTAATACTTCTTGGCTGCTTGGCTTGTTGCTGCCTCTGGGACTCTTTCTCTTCTCCCCCTTTCACTTTTAGCTCTGTAGTTACTTCCCTACTGGCCTTCCTCTGTTAGTGGAGAGTCAGAAAATAAATTGTACCAATTAATATACCCACCTCGCAAGACATACACTACAACATTGTAGTCTGAATAATGCTCTTCTACATATTTTTTGAACCGCAATGCACATCTGGGACCTCTCTGTTGAGACCTCATACAGTGAAAAACAAATACATTTGAGCTGGGGTCTTCCAACTCTTTAGATGCTATAATAGGCAACTGGGATTGAAAATCCCGATATCCATAGTTGATTGCTCCTCGAATATGTCCACCTTCATTATAGTCATAATCCCTCACATCAAGGACTTGTACCTTGACTCCAGTCTGTAGCCAGTCATGTAGCATTCCTGGCTCCAAATACCTGATATTATTTTTAGCCAACGACATCTTACACTATGCCTATCATCTAAGTAGTCATGAAGGTGAATTGCTTTGTATTAATTTGCAATTGGTGCGACAGTTTCGTGCATCATATGCGCCGAGAGAATATCAGTTACCCCAGGTTTCAATGCAAACCTTATTAAATTAAATTACAATAGCAGCTACACTGATTTTTCACGCTACAGGATGCATTTCGTTTATCATCTTTATCTTATTATATAACTAAATTAAAATACCCAAAATTAGCGGTAAAATGACGGAAAACGATCTAACACAAGTTAAATGTACATAGAGAATTGAAGAGGGGACCAGAAAGTAAGAACTGAAAAAAAAAAAAATAGAATTATAATGAAAATTATTCATTAATCATTTACTTTCCGACGTAGGTGTTATCCATCATGTTCATGTATCCAGCTTGTTCGTTATTCCCACTAGGGTTCACAAGTAATCCTCCAAACTGGTACGATTGTGGATTAGAATGATCAAGTGAAGGCATGTGGTGTGATAGAAGTTGCTGCTGTTGAGCTTGAAGGTCTGGGTTCTGACCGTTCATAAGATCCATGCCAACAGATGGATGCATATAATTGGTTCCATTATTCACTCCAGGCGCAGCATAATTCATTCCAGCAGAAACACCACCGCTATTACCATAAGGATTCAACTGATGCATTTCCTGTAAACTTTGAAATTTATGCTGGACACTTAATTGTGGTTTTACCATATCAGGTTGAACCGGCGAATAGCCATATTCTCCCTTCACAATAGAACTAGATTGCATTGGAAGTGAACTGGTGGTCGATCTATAGCTTGTGGCAGAAGGCACATATGACGAAGCTGAGGCTGATGTAGGAGAATAATTGGAGGGGAGATTATTCTGCACAAGCTGTTGCTGTTGCAGTTGCTGCTGTGGAAGTTGTCGTTGCAGTTGCAGTTGTTGCTGCTGTTGTACATGTTGTGGATACTTCCCATATGGTTGATAACCAACGCTCTGTGGAACGATATCATTTGCAAAGGGTGGTCCAAAATTCACATCATTCTTCTTTTGATGAATTGGCTTTGGAAAAGATAATCTAGAAGTGGTTGTGTAAGCCTCTTCATAGTTCTGAACTGCTGCAAACTCCCACAACAATACCGCTTGAATCTTCAGCTTAGGGATCAAGTGTGTTGATTTATGGTTTTGATGAGTGGAAGTATCTGACTCATAGATGATTTGCTTTATGGTCACTCCTTTCAAGGTAGTATTAATATCGCTTTCATCTTTGGTTAGTAATTCCTTGAAGAAGAAGTTCCAAAACTTAAACATAAACGAAGCATTCTCATTATCATTTAAAACTTCATTAGTCTTCAAGACTTCCTGGCCAAATGAAAAGACGCAACTGAAAATAGACAGTGATGAATTTATTAAATTCGTTCTAATCAAGTAATTTGATGTCAAGTTGTTAAAACCAGAACTTAATTTAAGTATTGGAAGTTTCATGTTCACCATGTTGTGAAGGAAAGGAATATCAAGGGTAGTAAAATCGTTCAAACCAGGAAATCTAGTTGAAAGGTTAGCATCTTCTTTTAACTTGAGATTCTTGATCGGTACATTACCATGTCTTGTTAAGGTTAGGGTGCTGGAGTCATTATTGTCGTTATTTTTATTGTCGTTATTGTCGTTATTAATGTTACTGGATGCAGAAATTTGAATTGAAATGTAAAAGTTTTCAATGCTAAGTGTTATCATTTTTCTCTTCTTAGGATACATGTTTGATGGTGGGAAAGTAGTGGTTGCACTACCAGGTAATGATAGGGATCTCTTGTTCAGAGACACAATAGTGTCACTAACCCCCATAGACTTAGCCAACGTAATCTTACTGAAGATTTCTTCGAACTTATTCATGTTGTCATCTCTTTCTTGTTCACTATTGAAAATGGGACCATCGTTGATTAATTTTATAATTTCCTGCTTCTGTCCTAAGTTCTTGATGACTTGGATGTGAGATGAAACTTGCTTTCTAGTTCTAAACTTCCCTGTCTTTTGGAAGATATAATCACTGATCAACTCATTTCTACCACATGATCTACCACTGATTTTAATCTTGGATAAACCATTCTTAGGAATGATGGACAACACTTCTTCAAAAGCAGCTTCGACATCTGTAGACCAAATATCCGTAGCATCGTTCAGGGACACTGAAGACGTAGAACCCGAGGTATTCAATGCTGATAACTTAGGTGAAGTTACCGTATTGTGCATTTGCATCTGTGCTTGGTGTGGATCCATTGGGTAATGTAAATTGTTGCCAGAGCTGGTATTGGTGGGGATGAGTCCGTTACCGGTATTCGAGGGCATCATTAGGTTACTTCCCATGGGACCACTGATATAGTAATCAGAAACATTATTCTTCCTAAGATCCATTTGCGAACCAGCACCACCACCACGACGTTGGTATTGCTGCAATTGGTGCTGATGTTGCAACATCTGCTGATTCAGAAGTTGCTGAGGCTGATACTGTTCATGGTGTTGGAGTTGTTGCTGCAGTTGGTCATGGCCTTGGATCTGCGCTTGACTCTGGTCTAAAAAGTCACTATCAGCCAACTTCTTCTGATTTAAAGTACTTGGGGAAATAGTGCCCAAGATCTTCCTGATGGGTGTCTTTTCCTCATCATGAGCCAATGAGGCGCCTGTAGTGAAGTTGGTGGACCTTGGCATTTCCTTTCTAACGACCTTGGAGGACTCGTGGACTTGGTACAACTGTTTCCCATCGTCGCCAATGGCAATATCGACAATCATTGGTAGTTTCTTAAGATTATCGCTTTTGGTGGGTGTATGAGACATCGAAATCTATGGAATGAGCAATACAATACAAAACAAAAAGACAAGAAAGCGGCACAATATACTTGTGGTTGTAGTAGTAGCAGTATCAATATCAATAGTAGTAGCGGTAGGGTGTGTTTCTTCTTTGTTCTTTCTTCGGGCTTTTCTATTCTTCTCCTTCTATATATCAGGAGGCTGTCTGGCTTTTATATTGTATGAATGTAAGGAATGTAGATAGTTGGAAGCTCAGACTAGTTTTCTTTGGAAAGAAACGAAAAGTGAAAGGCTGATAAGTCGACTCGCTAGCAGATGTTCGATTTTTGAAATTGTGTGCAACCAAAAAAAAAAAAAAAAGAATTTGGCTAAGCGTTCGGTCTTAGCGATGGGGGTATACTTCTTTCTTTTTATGATTTGGAAGGGTGTTGATTATCTTTTCACTCGAAAATGTCAGGTACTTCTATTCGAGTTTGGGATTTGGAACCTTTTTAATCAACTCTTTTCTTCTGTCCTTTGTCAATGCTTTTCTTTCCCTTTTGAAATCTAGATCAAATTACCGAAGATTTTGGCACCTATATATTACGCGAATAATCAAGGTTTAGCAAAAATAAAATAAAATAAAATAAAATAAAATAAAATAAAATAAAATAAAAAAAAAAAAAGAAAGATATGCAGCTTCGTCTAACAGATACTGATTTCGACTATATTATTTATACCAAGTTATTTTATTACCCAAAAAGACAAGTGGATCGCCTTGTCTACTATGTAGCGTGTGCTTTTATGTGGATTGATAATTTGTGGTAAAAAAATTAGCGAGAGATTCCCAAAAAAACACTTGCAGAGAACGAAATTGGTAAGTCACTACTGCGATTTATAGTTCAGTCGATTGAGTGGTTAATTAAATCCATTTGCTATCCCCATTTTTCCACTTTAGATCAATAGTGCCTCTTGATGTTTCAGCTCGCAATGTTTAGACGGCGGTACCTGAGTCTAGAATGCAGGAGATGGGTACTGAAATGCAGGAGAGTGTGCGCGACAAACGCAGCTTTTTATTTTTTATCAAGGGAAATTAGTGTTTTCCTTTGCCAAATTTGTAAGAAGTCACCACAAATCCCAAAAAGTTGCTCTAAAAAATAAAGGGTAAAGTTTGGAAAAATGACATGATTAATTGGAAAATGGGGATGCCTAAAGCATATCATGCGTAGAAGGCTTCAGTTTTAGAAAGTTCAATCGGAATGGGCTAAATGATTCTTTAGTTAGCAACGCTCTCTCACTCCATTAGCTTATTTACTACAATCTAGTTTAAAAAATATCCAAAATTATAGAGGACGCTGCTGCAAAGTATAGAGGTTTTTGGGTATTGGCTCAGATGTTTGAGGTTGAAATATGACAATAGTTGATTTTTTTTCATTTTAATTTTAATTTTTATTTTTATCATTATTTTTTATTTTTTTACTTTTTTTTTTGACTTGGTGAGAGAGATGTTAAGGTAACAGTTTGGAGAGTTCAGCTCTCTCTATTTTTACAAAACACACAACAATGAGAATGATACGGCGCCGGTTTAAAAAAAACTGAGGTTTGCTATTAATGTAATTCTTCTTCTCATTATATTTTCAAACCGCTGAACAATCAGGCAGAGCCTGTTTACGAATTCGACATGATTTAAAACGAGGTAGCTTGAACAAAGCGAACGAAACGAACAAAGGCGAATGAAATGAAAAATAAAATAAAAACTTTAACCGACTTCAATACTTTACAGATCTAGATTTTGTTCTATTTTCCAGATAGGTGTTCCGGTTTTCTTAGTGACGTAACATTACATGCACACTATTTTATCAAGGTTTTAGATTTTTCTTTCTGGTGCTTGTAGGGTGGAATGTTTTCGGATTTTTTTTTTCTTTTTTATTTTTTTTTTTATTTCATTTGTTGTGTTGTATGCCAAAGCGGAGAACTGATTACACCCAAACTGATACCTTACTACAAGACCCACACTTTAAGCTGTTGTCATATTGTTCTTCTCAATTAAGTACGCAACAACCCTTTTAAAACTGACTATCTACGGTGAATGCCTCATATGTGTAAGTCAATATTTTAAAAACTATGGCCTGCATGACGACATACATGATACTTGAGACTGCCTGATGGATGGGCTACTTATTTTACGTGGAAGTGAGTCCTATTCTCCGGCAACTCGACTAAACGAACCAAAGACGCGATATTATTTAAATATGGCTTAATTATTTTGCATTATTGTCTGGATCAAACTTAATCGACAGTACGTTTGAAGAATAAAACAAGAAAAGAAGAAAAAAAAAAAAGAAAAGCTCCTTTTTGATTTTATAGTTGGTGTAGGGTTCAAGATGCACTGAGAGGGTACCCTATTTTGAGTTTCCAATACATGTTTCTTTTTCAGTTTCTTTCTTTTTGTTGACGATTCCCTCAATTAAACAGTAAACTTTATCTTTTCCTGCTGTACCTTAGCCAAGTGCACCAACTAAAACTTAGAGGCGAGACTATGCAGCAATTGGAGCACTCGGCTTCCACCTATTAGAAATAATTTTTTTGGTATCTGTAGAGAATTAACATCACCGGTACATACCTCTTACAGTAGAATTCCTGATGAAAGTTTAATAAATCTCTGTTTAAAGAAGAATTGTAAGATTGAAGCGTGGAAAATGTTTGTAAATTAAGTAAAATCAATAAACAAACACTAAAAATTACTCTAAATTGCTGCATCTATAAGCCGGTGACGATATTTGAAGAATGGAAAAGCAAATAAAAACAGTAACAATACGCTTGCTCATGATGAATTCGGCTATCCTTCCCTCCTTTTCTTTAATTTCCGGGCAGAGCCCCTCCTCTCTCTTTTGCAATGTTTTAAAAAGTTCTCATCATTTCTCCTTAGTTCTGGGGGCTAGCAGCTTCCCCTCCCCACCGTATTGTTTCGTTGTTCGGGCTAATTAAAACTTTACGATATCATGCTTTTTGAAATTTCACTGCTTATTGTTCGGGTTTATTGCTCTGCATTTTCTATTATGTGATTTTGCTGTGGATCAAAGCGGTCTCTTGTCTATCACAGAATTTGCATGAGCAGCATCCATTCAGGTTCAATGAAGTTGTGATATTTTTTGAATCGTCTCCACATTCGGTATTATAAATTCTTATCACGTTACGAATATTTTCTCTGAGCTACATATAGAACAATAAAGCTTAATTCAAGGTGCTTTCCCCTACACATTTAGTTGCCCCACTAGCCCCACCCTCATAACGTAATTAAACACAATGATTTCGCTAATCAAGGTGAAACTTTGATCTAGTAGCATCAAAGTAGAGAATTTGCTAAGCTTTTTTGAAAATCTCTTCTGAAATATCCCATTATTGTGATACATGGATGCGGTACTTCGTTAATAATATTTTCCCTTAATTTAAGGTAATGCATAAAGTATCACCAACTCAACTGAATGTGCATTGAAATGTTACCTGGTCCCACAAATTAACTTTTCTCCTTCGGCCGTCAGAACCGTAACCATGACTATTACTGGCAATTTAACTAATTTTGGTGCTGAAGCATGCTCTTCACAATTTAATCTTATGATTTTGCTCCTGACGACATTAAAACAATACATAGTTTACCTTTAGGGTTGTAATCTCCGCCTTGTTTTGTTAAAAGTCTATATGTGCATAAAATTTGGAACTAAAAATAAAAAAAAAACTATAAGCTCGTGATATTATTAGAGTAAAAACACAGTAACGTAAATCTCTAAATAGTGGAAGAAAGACATAACCTGGAGTATTTTTGAAATAGAAAAAAAAAAAAAATGAAGAATGAAAAATGAAGGGAAGTGGAAGTAGAAAAGTAACTCTGCAACTCTCGAATCTTCTGATTCTTCTCTAACTTCTTATTAAGCCATCCAATTCACTTTCTTCATCCCCATTCAATGATTCCACTTCACTTAAATCTTCTCGCAATAGTTCTTTATAAGCATTCACCTCTTTGAAATTCACATTTGATCCAGTGACATTTACATAGGGTAACTTTAAGATTTCATCGTGGTCAATATCTTTGAGCAATTTCCTGTCTAATTCTTGCCAATTTTGGCGATCCAATTCTTTTAATATTTTCTTAGAAAGTTTGGTTATTTGACTAGCTTTACCTGATTCTGAAATAATCTTGGTACAGATATTCCTCAAATCATGAACAAATGCTTCGACGCTATTACTCTCGAGTTTATACAGATCGAGGTTCTCATATAAATGATCGAATATCGTGGAATTCCCAGCACTATTAGTTGATGACTGCGAGGATCGATGCTTCCCAAGAATTTCAAGTAGCACCTGCCTTGTAGGGAAATAAATTCCATCGATTATATCCAAGCTTAGCTCTGCATCAGTTAACAATATTTCTTGTCGTTCCACCACATTTTCTACCAATAGCAAGACCCTATCTAAATCTTCGATTAGAATTCTACCAAACTCCAATTTATTATTGATTTCTTCCTGTTCATTTGATCCATATATTATTGAAGAAAGTTCCATATTATTATTCTTCCTCGTCAATGGAGCACCATTTTTCAGTTCACGTTTAAGACACCAGTATTTACAAATGTCAAAAGTTATTTGCTTTATTTCCAATTTTTTCATTTCCTTACTTGTATTTGGAGCAATTGCCAAATGCTTAAGGCTCGAATTACCATCACCCCCATTTGCATAAGCAGTATTTCTTTCCATTACTTTTAATTCCATTAGCTTGTCTTCCAAAACCTGGGAAAACTTGTGAGGTGCAATTGGGGTATCGTTTTCAGTTTTCCACTTGAAAGTGTTTAGCTTGTTATCAATCTCCTGCTTTCTTAAAATCTTAGCGTTCTTATCGTTCAATATCTTCAAGTCTCTAAAGTAAAGTCTGGTTTTCTCAATTCCCCTCATAATATCCAAATGGTCCCTTAGATCATGTCCCCCATGCTTGTCACAGTAGGTTCTTAAAGTCGCTTTATTGTTTATGGCACCAACAATACCCTTCGTGAGTTTCATATGAAGACCACTTCTCTTTGCACAGGTAACATGATACGCCTGAAAGCAATTCTTATTGTGACATTGAATGCATGCCCCGACATTCCTCTTTTTACAAATATAGCAAGTTAATTTCCAGCGATTCTTCGGTATCGTATCGACTCCCTCAATGGGTTCCATGTAAATTGGATTGGCAAAGTATAATTCTGTTATCCATAATGCACATATTACATGGCTCCACATGCTACTATCCAATTGTTTGAATGCCCCAGTGGTACTAGGACAAAATATACAATGGACCTCCCTGTTTTTGTTTATCATACATTTACGACAAAGCCATTGGCCCTCGGGGATAAATGCAATTCCATAACATTCTTGATGAACGGCAATATCACATCCATCGCAGAACACAATTGCATTACTATTGTCGCAATCACTATCATTGCAAACAGCACATTTCTGCTCCATGAAGGAGCCTTCTACTATACCATCGTCATTTCCATATTTATGTACATCACCTCCGTTGTCCAACTTTAGAATACCTTTATTAGTCGAGGAATTTTCTCTCGATGAAAGCTTCAATTCAAGGACATTCCACTCATTTTCCAAAATGGTTATCAATATTTCAAATATCTCCGGTGTGAGCTTGATGGTGTTCGAAGATTTGTCATTGCGTTGCGCCAAATATAGTAAGTCCTGCTCATCTAAGTCATATTCAACCAACTTTTGCTTTTTAACAGCCATTTCTTGAATATCGTCACAAGAGAATGGCCGTGTTAATGTTTTTGACGAGTGATTCCTAATTGGCTTGGATGGATCCTGGAATCCGTAATCAACTAACGTCTTAGAGAATTTTGGGTGGTTAAATGCTGGTTTTGCTATCTTTCTGAATGAGGGTGCCTTTAGATTGTTATCTACATGCTTTTCGCCATTGGCATTGTTGCCATTAGATGGCGATGGTTCACCAGTACCATTTAGATTGTTTACTTCTTGATTCTCAATACTCGTTCGTACATATACATTCAATATGTCAGATTCATCAAGGTCGGAATATAGCTCTTTGTAATCTCTCTCCTCTCTCGGTTTAGATGTATCTACAATAGGAAATCCTCCAGCCAGCATTCCCAGGGCAACCTTCTAGGATATATAATGTGTGTATTTCCGTCGAGCTTGTCTATATAAACATCTTTCTTCCTTCACTAATCTGATCTTACATTTTCTTTGTGCGTCTACGCATCATATCCTGCACATAACATCAACAGTAGTAGTATAAAGGTGAACATTTGCAGCAATTTATTTTATTCACTTCGTCTCTTTCAATAGTTTAACAATATTATTCGAAGAGCTTTGCCTCGAGACGTTCTGAGATGATTGAGGGCTATTTATATTGGAAAAAACGTCTGGGGTAGCACAATAAGACCCTTGCAAAGTAGTCCCTTCCTGTAGAGATGCAAACCTGGACTTCTCTATTAGTGAGAGCTTTGAGTTAGCCGAAGATAACGTACTAATGGAATAATTGGATTCTCTTTTACTTCCATGCATGCATGGTAATTTTAAATTCTCAATCGATTGTCTGAGCTTTGTATTAGATGCATTTCTCTGCAATATTCTTCTCAAGCTGTCGGAGTCGTTCTCTCTTAGCCACGCATCGTCCAACGCTTCAGTGGCCGTGATCCTTTCCTCAGGGTTTATCGTGAAGCACTTATCTATGAAATCTATAGCTTCAGGAGAAACATGCTCCCAGTACTCTGGAGGATCATATGAATAGTCACCACTACATATTGCCTCTTGGGTTTCGCTATCAGATTCGCAGTCAAAGGGCATGTACCCGCATAACATAAAGTATACAATAACTCCAACAGCCCACATGTCTACTTCAAACGAATGTCCCTTTTCCTTCTGGAATATTTCGGGCGCCATATAGCTTAATGTTCCTGATATGTCGTGAAGTTTTTCGTTACTATTACGCAAAATTCTTGCCAAGCCAAAATCAGCAACCAAGATGTTGCTACCATTGTCAGTACCAAATAGAATATTTTCAGCTTTGAGGTCTCGATGCACAACATTATTTTTATGTAAATATTCTACCGCTGAGAGTAAGGCCCTCACAATTTGGATGGCTTCGGGCTCATTTAAGTGTCCAGAATTTCCGACAGTTGGGTTCCCATTGACTATTTTATCAAACAATTCACCTCCAGTAGCCAAATCTGTGACCAAGTATAAATTGTCCGAGGTTTCAAACGAATCTACCAAAGTCAAAATGTTAGGGTGTGATCTAGATATCTTAGTAAGCACCTGGTATTCACTTTGTAACAGTTCTTCCAACCCATATAGTAACTTCCTAGGATATTGCTTGACAGCATAGTGCATACCGGTGATCTTATTTTTCCCTTCGAATACTTGAGAATTTGAACCTGAACCTATTGCCTTCTTCTTTAAGACGTACTTACAAGGTATGAGGTCCTGGTCCAACTCAACATCATTAGTGGCCGTCATTTCTTAAATAAAAATTAAAAAATTTATAATTTCTTTGCTTCAAGAAAAGAAAAAGAGAAAGATAAAGAAATATAGAAGAGAAAAATAAAAGGGAATCTTCTATAAATTGAAACCTTTGGGGTATACTTCCAACGGTGTTTTTCCGTCTCGTGATATCTCGGAAAAACTCATGTTAAAGTTGCATGGAAGAAAATAAAGCTGGCCAGAGTGTGGAGTGGTGTCCGGGGTGCTTGATGGGAAACAAAAAGAGAAAGGAGAAAGGAAAATACGAGAAACGCCTCTCACCATACAGAGGAATCAGGTATATACTTCTTTGTGAGGATGATGGATCTCGTCTTCCAAATGAACATAACTATTATCTGTGGCACTAGTTACATGACCTTTTAGAAAATCGGTATGCGCAGATATTTTCTAAGATCTAGCTTGCTCCGACTCATTCTTTCACTGGAGCAAGCATACTGGAGTTGCAGCATCGAGGTGGGCGTGCATACACCACTTTCAAAAATCTGAAAATTCACGTGACATATATTTTTTTTCTCGTGGAGAGATGAGGTTTAGAGATGAGGTAAAATTGTTAGTGGAGATTCCTATTAAGTACTACACTAAAGAGCAAGAACTACTTTACCAAACCAACAAACAATGGATGGATCGAAGTTGAACTTGACTTCTCTTAGAGAGAAGATAAGTAGTAAACTTGGGAAGAAAGAAGATAAAAAGAAAGATTCTAGAAAGGGAAGCTCAAAGAGGAAGGAGCAGCATCAGCAGACAAAAGCTAAGCCAGATCAAAAGACCAATTCCATAGTAGAAAAGAAGAAAGAAGCTGATGAAAGTGAAGAAGATGTCTTGCGTCGTGAAGCATTGTCTCTCGGTGCCACTGAGGAGGACTTGGCATTACTTGCTGGAGTTGAAGATGGCGAAGACAGCGAACAAGAATTTGATGAGGTTGACGGGAAATTAGATTCTAAGTTTTCTGAAGATTTAACCAACTTCATGAAGGGAATTGGTTTAGGAAATGGTGAGGCAGTTGTTGTAGATGATGACGAAGTTCCAGAATTGGTTGACGAAGATGAAGATGAAGATGAGGAAGATGAAGAAGAAGAAGATGAAGAAGAATCCATAGGCGATGAAGAGAACAGAAAAGTGCAAGACAACCAAGAGGAAGAAGCCGAACAAGCCAAGGATGAAGATGAAAAAGAAGGTAGCTCTTCAGAATCAGAATCAGAATCAGAATCAGAATCAGAGCCAGAGCCAGAAAAAGCGGCCCCAAAGCCTACCCCAAAGCCAGCTCAAACCCAGAAAGCGAAAGACTCAGACAGAGTTGACAACCTTTCATCTGTGGATAGCTCAAAACTATTGATCCCAAACAGAACAGATTGGTACAACTTCCCATATGACAAGTCATATGAAGCTGAGAAATGTGATAGATTTATGCTCGAAAGATTAACTGAGAGAGCTCAAAAGACTCTCGACAATGAAAATGCCACATACTTACAAGAGTTCACTTCAAACAATTCGCAAAAGAAGTTTTTATCACAAATTTTATCTGATGGTACATTAAACGATAAAATTTCTGCATTGACGTTGTTGATTCAGGAATCTCCTTTGCATAACTTGAAAGCATTTGATACGCTCTTGGGCTACTGTGAAAAGAAATCTCGTACAGCAGCTTTACAGTCCATCAACGCAATGAAGGATTTGTTGTTGAATGGTGTATTGCCAGATAGAAAATTGGTATCATTCAAAAATCAACCATTAAATAAAAATTTACCATCTGAAGTCTTGGCTATTTTCCTTTTCGAAGACCACTTGAAACAGGCCTACTTCAAATTAATAAGTGTATTAGAAGTTTTGTCCCATGATCCTATTGTTCACGTTAGAATGAACACGGTGAATCACACTTTTGATTTACTCAAATCCAAGCCAGAACAAGAATTTAACTTATTGAGATTAGGGGTAAACAAATTAGGAGATATTGACAATAAGGTTTCAGCAAAGGCATCGTACCAAATATTACAATTGGAACAAGCACATCCTGCTATGAAGAGTATAATCACTCAGGGTGTAATTGATATGATTTTCAAAGCCAACAGTGACTATCATGCTAAATATTATTCGATTTTAACTTTGAATCAAACAATTTTAACTAGAAATGAAAATGAATTGGCCAATTCTTTAGTTAAGACATATTTTACTCTTTTCGAAAAAATCTTGGTTGAAGGAGATTCATTCTCTAAAGATGGTAAGGTAGATCTTGTTGGTAAACCTTCTGAAACTGGAAGAAAATCTTCGGGAAGAAAGAATTATAAAAAGGGTAAAAAGGGTGGAAGATCAGTCAAACAAGTAGCCAAGTCTGACAATGAAATTATTGAAGAAAAGAATACCAGATTATTTCTGGCTTTATTGACCGGTTTGAACAGAGCATTCCCATTTTCCAATTTATCCCCAGATACTTTCGAAAAGCATTTGGATACCTTATTTAAGATTACTCATTCAACTAACTTCAACACTTCAGTTCAAGCATTGGTTTTAATTAACCATATTATCACCCAACAACAATTGGATTCAAATAGATATTACCGTACATTATACGAGTCACTTTTAGATCCAAGGTTAGTGACATCTTCAAAACAAGGTATATATTTGAATTTGTTGTTCAAATCTTTGAAAAACGACACTGCTAATATACCAAGGGTGCTAGCATTTGTTAAAAGAATCTTACAAATATGTTGTCACTGGTTGAACGTTGGTGCAATCACTGGTATGTTATTCTTGTTAATGGAATTGAGCAAGAACTTCCCACAAATACTTGACTTGACTGTCGAAGAAGCATCAAGACCAGAAGAAGAAGCTGAGGAAGTCAAAGCTATACCTGAGGACGAGAAGAAGGTGGTAGATGCGACTTACGACAGTAAGAAGAGAGATCCTAAGTATGCGAATGCCGATAAATCATCTTTATGGGAAATCAATCAATTCTTGAATCATTACCACCCAACTATAGCAATTTACGCTGACTCATTATTAACCGGACAATCCCAACCAAAACCTGACTTAGGGTTGTACACATTGTCACATTTCTTGGATAGATTTGTATACAAGAATGCAAAGCAAAAGGCAACTACGAAGGGTACCTCTATTATGCAACCTTTGGGAGGAAATCATACTGGTTCATTGCTTGTAAGGGCTACAAATGTTGCTAATAATGAATTGCCAGCTAACACTGAAGATTGGCTTAACAGGAAGGCTTCAGATATTAAGCCAGATGAAAAGTTCTTCCATCAATACTTCACTTCAAAGAAGAACAAGTTAATTGCCAAGAAAGATGAACAAGCTGATGGTGAAGAAATCGATGAAGAAGAAGCTGCAGAGATTGAAGATGGAGAAATCTGGAAGGCATTGGTGAAGTCAAGGCCCGAAGTTGAAGATGGTTCTGATATCGATGAAGGGTTTTCTGACCTTGATGAAGGTGACTTTTCGGATTTAAGTGATGATGATGACAATGAGGGTGGAGAAGCCGCAGAAGAATTTGAAGAAGAATTGGTTGATAATTTTGAAGAGGAAGAAGAACAAGAAGAAGAAGACGATGACGACGGAAAGGAATCTGCAGGTGTAAGAGCATTAATTGACGATGAAGCAGAAGATGACGACGACATTGAAAGTCTTGACGATGAACAAGGTGATGAAGATAATCAAAATGTCTCAGATTCAGATGATGAAATATTCGGTATGAATTCTGATGAGTATGATAGCGATGACATACCTGAAGTTGAAGATGCTCCTAAAAAGAAGCGTTCTAGAAAGGAAACCAAAGAAGAAGATGCAGTTCCAACAAAGAAATCTAAAAAGTCTAAACTCAAGAGTTTGCCTGTTTTTGCAGATGCCGACGAGTATTCCAAATATTTACAATCCGATGATGAAGATTACAGTTAAAATTTTTCATAGAGATACATTTTTTATTTAATCACATTCAATAGCTACATATACATACAAAGTAAAATTGAGCATAAAGAGACTGTCCAGTGTAAATATGGATTGCTTTTCCCATAACTTCTCTTCCACTTTCTATGCCTCTTATACTCGTCTTCAACATTTCTTTTTTTCTTTCAATTATTCTAGAATACGCATGGCGATTAAATGCAGAAAAACCTAATCATTTTGTCGCTTTTGCGTATTATTTTCTATCAACTTCTCGCTTAGCCTGCAAAAATAACGGCAAACCTGCATTTTCTGGAATACTTTTTTTGGATGCAAGACGCAGACGAAACTTAAAGCTCCTCACACCAAACAATTTAAGGTTTTTGAGGTGTTAGTAAATGTGATGTCACCACATTCTAGTCATGGATTTACCGTCGTGCTTCCCTAATCAGGTACCCATTTTGAACGTTGGAGCTAATCTTATTTCATTATGTATTGCCCATTTCCCACCGTTATTTTTAAGGAAATATGTTCCAATCACCGGCGATTTTTGCCATGTGAGGATGAAAAAGCGTTGTAGAGTGGAAATTCTTTTTTTATTTTTTCTTAATTTCTAGCGTTCTCTTATTTAGGGAGAATATACACCCGTTTTCTTGTAGTATTCTAAACTATTTGAAAGCTTTCGGTAGTCAATTTTGATTGGATCAAGTGTACTAGTGAGAATAACACTATATGTTTGAGACATTAGAGGTGTTAGAAAGGTAATAATTTGGTTGCATTGTATAGAATTGTTCTATTTCAATTCTTTTCCGTTCATTTTTCAAATCTTCTTTCTTCGAATGAGTTATTGGAGAGATGGATTGCATTCTCTTAGCAATAAGTATGATATCTGCATCTTGGGGGAAGACGATTCAGGAAAAACATCATTAGTATATTCGTTCGTCTACGAAAAATTTCCTGACCCATTCGAAGCGACCTATGAGAATCTCTACGCTAAGAATGTTGGGTACATATCTGAAGAAGAAATAACCGAAGTTACCATTTTAGACACTTCGAGTGTTAATGACTGGCTGTCACATCGGAATCTACAACTTCAGAATGCCGGCTCTATACTACTTGCTTATGCAATTAATAGTAGAGATTCATTCGAAGCAATGGTAGACATGTATGAGCGTATCCTGTCCTTGGATATCCCAATATCAGTTGTTGGCTTGAAGTCAGATCTTGACATTTACAGACAAGTTTCTACTTCAGAGGGTTTTGAATTTGCAGCTTCTATGGATGCTATTCACTTCTGTGAGTGCAGTTCTATGGTGGGGACCGCAAAAGATGCATTTAAGCCCTTGGTACAGCATTTGTTCATTGAAAAGAAAAAAGCCTTACAAGAAGTCTCAAACTCTTCATATCAAGTGTCCATTCCTATAATTGAGCAAAGTTTACAAGACCGTGCACTCCACGACATAACGGAAGTTGACTCACTGACAGAACCTGTACAAACTACTTCCAATAACGAGATAAAGAAAGTAGAAGCTGCAAACCCCGTGTGCCATGACTCCATTAAAGAATATCAGCAAATCGATCAGATTCAAACTCGTGGCATTGAAGCTCCCTCTAAGCAAAGAAGTATTATTCCCGATGGAAGATCCAACACATCACCAAATAATAGCAAATCAGAGTCTAGCTGTTGCATCGTCACTTAAGATTTGGTCTCCCGTCTCTATTTGAATTTCATCTTATCAAGTAGGGTGAAGCATAAATTTTATATCATGAACACCAAAGCTACATCATTTAGCCAACAGTATTCCATATCAAACCATTTTGCATTTTTCATTCTCATTAATTACTTTTGTTAATTATATACGTACACATTCAATATAATATACTTTTCCATCTAAAATCCTTGTTATATAGCAGCGTCATTAGAAATATATGAAAATCCACGGAATTGCTCTTGCATTTCAGATGTAAGAACTGTTTCAACAGGCGTCAACCTTGGAGTTTCGGAAGTGAATTCATTGTCAAAATTAGAGTAATCATGTTCAGAGGTTATTTCAGGTAAATATGGTGCTTGAATTTGACAATTCAACACTTCATCAAAATCAACGTCGCTGAAATAGGAATGTTCCATGATATCTAATGCATCCCTTTCTCCGTAACCCAAACGTTGTGTTGGATCTTTTGTCAATAACGCCTGCAAGACCAAAACAGTCTGCCTTGGCATACTAATTGGATATCTCACATCATCATGCTCAATAGCATTGAAAATTTCATCTTCATCATCACCCTTGAAAGGTGATTGGCAAAGTAACATTTGAAATAATAATACACCAAACGCCCACCAATCTACACTCCTTTCATATTGTTTTCCAGCGATGATTTCTGGTGCCATGAATTCAGGAGTACCACAGAATGTTCCTGTAGTGCTACCAAATGGCATTTTTTCTTTACACAAACCGTAATCAGCAATCTTAATATGACCATTTACTGTTAATAAGATATTATCCAATTTCAAATCACGATAAACAACACCATTGTCGTGGAAATATTTCAATGCTAAGAGCACTTCACAAGCATAGAACTTAGCCCTCTTTGCAGAGAATCTAGACTTTTGAATATGCCACATTAAATCACCTCCAGATATATACTCCATTACAAAGTAAATTCTGTTTTCAGTTTGGAAACAACAGTGCAAATTAATGAGGAATGGATGCATTTCCTTATTGGCAGTCAAAAAGACCCCCTTTTCAGACTTAACACTATCTGCTTCATCATTCTCTACAATAAAGTCTTTCTTTAATACTTTAATGGCACATAGCTTCAGAGTATGTCTAGATTCAGCCAACATAACCTTTCCGAAATTACCTTTACCCAAGACAGCAAGAAACTGGAAATCATCCAAACCAACCTTTCTACGGCGACGCCTAGAGTGTTTACGAGGTGACGAATTAGAAAGGCTTTGTGTTGTTTGTGCATGTTCTACTTGTTGATTTCTCAATTGTTCCTCGGAAACGACTGGCTGATCATCAACTGGCTCATGGATTGGCTCCAAAATATTCTGAGATGGAATAGAAGCGTGGGCAAATTCGTCTGATCTTGTGGAAGCAAAGGTATAATTGTGTTGATCATAGTCATCTTGCTGTTGCTGCTGTTGCTGCTGCTGCTGATATAATTCATGTTGCTGTTGCTGTTGTTGTTGAAATTGTTGTTGTTGAAGATGTTGCTGCTGAATTTGTTCCTGCTCTTGCTGCTGTTGCATTCTCTGTTGATACTGAAGCTGCTGATCTTGGTAACGCTGCAGCTGTTGCATTGCATGGTCATGACCTTGCTCCTGTTGTCTGGGTGTTTGAATCCTTCTACCAGCATTTTTATACGGCGATTCAATTGGTGGTTGGAATTGATTAGGAGTCTGAGTTGGAAGTCTTGAAGTAAACTGTTCGTCTTCTTCATCAGTTGAATTCTCAGCACCATTGGTATTTGTGACAAAACTATCGGCCTTCTTACTCGGTAAGGAAGACAATGACTCTGAACCTTGTTGAATTGAGTGATTTCTTTGATGTAAGTTAGGCTGATGAACCGGTGTTGGTTGCTGCTGTTGGTTGTACTGAACTTGTTGTGGTGCCTTGGGCTTAGGCTTAGTCGTTTTGATTGCCGTTAGGATCTTATTAGCCATTAACATAGTCATACCACAGAAGTCTGGTACAAGATGTGTACAATGGGCATGACACATAACTCCACATTCTGTACATTTTCTAACGTTCTTACGTCCCCATGGTAGGATGTAACCACAATGGCAACACCATTTTGTACCTCTATTCAATACAGGTTCGAATCTATGTGGGATGCGGTGATTCAACTTCGCTTCATCAGGGTCAATATCGTTATTCGATTTGGAAATACATTTCGTGACAACCTTCTGATAGCATTTCTTGTGGCATAAGAATTTACAATCTTGACATTGATACCCAGTGTATCTTAAAAATTCGCCACACAATGCACAGCACATAATATTGTAGAATTGCTTTTGGACAAACTGATGGCCCAATTGTTCATAGACTTCTTCTTTCTTTTGACGAATAGCACCATGACGTCCCAAAGCACCCATAAAGTTCTTATTACCTGTTTGTGTAGATTTCTCAAAGTTCATACTGACTAAAATCTGACCAACGGGTTCCAATATTAACCATGAGGTGACCTGTATTTGTTTTGCTGAATAACTTTCAGTTCCCGAAGAGTCAGGGCCGGAATTGTTTTCAAGATCTGGAGTCCTTGGAACAGCTGGAATACCTCCAAATCCAACATCGGGTGGCTGTAATTGGTTTTGTTGCTGCTGCTGCTGTTGTAAAGCTTGCTGCTGCTGCTGAGGACTTAAATTGCTCAAGTTGGATGCAGAGATCCAGCCAGCATTTCCCATATCCAAAGCAACCTTCTTCTTTCTAATCTCTTCAGCAATATCACTAAGCAATGCCCAAGTTACCGCGACAGGTATCAATATATTCCCAGATTTATCATAGACAGTCAATTCGATTTCGTTTCCCTTGTCTATATCAAAGGTGAACTCTTCATTCCATTTCCCAGTTCTAGAGCCCTTTGTTCTTGCCTTCTCGACATCGTCAACTTTGATAGATACCACAGATTCTGGCTTTTTCAGTAACATAGGACTAGCAATGTGGTTAATATCCCTAATACAAGTGATGCTAATATTCAATTTACCCGTCAACGCCTTACGCGCATATTTAGGAGTGTTCATGATTTCCATATCCTTGGTGACTTCTTCAACATCAATGTGCATTCCCTGATACTTCTTCAACGATTTATTCAATAATTGGATTCTTTGATCACTTTCCAACCGCCCGCCTTCTGCGGCCACAGACGATGATTTGTCACCATCTTGCAAATAAAGCTGAGAGATTTTCTCGTTAGCTTTGCGGTATTGATTTTCTACCTGTACCTTGAATTCTAACTGTTGAAGCATGTATTGAATTCTGTGGCCCAAAGAAGGACAATCGTACTTGATAAGGTCCAATCTTGAGTACACTGGCCTGGAGCCTGAACGAGGCTGGGAATGTTCGTCAGGAGACGATAGGTTCTGGTTTGTTCCAGCGTTATCACGACCATTTTGATCTTGTTGCTGCTGGAAAGTCAACTTCGATAAAGTTTCTTGAAGGTAGTCAATGTTAGACTGAGTTTCCCTGATCTGCGTGTTACACCTCTGAATTACCTCAGCGTTACTAGTGTTACGCTTCAACGTTTGGAATCCCTGGACAAGTTTGTGCTCACGCTCAATCTTGCCCCTGATATCCTGAAGTACCTGCTCATTTTTCTCAGACATGGTAGAGACAACGTCGATTTACCCAATGAAAAAAATGAAACCAATTTTATCTTCCTTAAGCACTTAGCTGGTGTTTAGTAATTTTGAAATTCGTTTGTGGTGATCTCAAACAGCAAAAAAAAAAAACCAAAATAAAAAAAAAAGAAAAGGTAGAGCCTTGAGATTTTCTGTTTAGCGTAAACAAAAACGGAATATCCAAGCCTAAGAGGAAAAAAAAAAATAATAGACAAAAGCTAAAGCGTAAGGGTATGGGCAGTGGGTGATACTACAGAAAAAGTTTAAGTAGAGAAACGTTTCTAGCTTGATGCCAAGTGGATGAATGGTTTCAGTTTGGGCGATTGAGTTTGAGCGAAAAAGTAGGAGGGAAAGCGGGAGAGAAGGTGAATGGGTATGTATTATTCGGTTCCATACTGATTCTCACTAGTTGCGATCTCTCTGTATATTTACTCGAAAAGTAAAGGTTACTAAAAGGGTAAGAGCAATACGAAGAATATTTCACATGAGCAGAAAGCAAGGGGAAAAAAATAAATAGACACTTGGTGAGGGAGAGAGATAGTTCAAGGTGCGAGCCCAGCTTGAGTCCAGTCATGGCGAAAGTATTGTTCGTATATACGATGTGTGTATATGTATGTGTGTGTGTATGTATGTATGTATGCATGTGGTACATGTGTGTGTGTTGGTGTATAACATATTCCTCTGCTATGCCCGTGTCACCACTTCTGTGTGGTACCAACTGAATCTCTGGGGACTCACACATTGCGCTTGCACCTGCGTGGTGCGCGCTCTCCACGCTGTCCCACGCTATATGCAACAAAAATTAGATCGAAAAAAGCAGAGAACCCTTGTGCCTGAGACACGATACCAGTCGCCTATTAATAGGCTTGACTTGCCAGCATAATACTGAACACTGGAAATTCAAGATACTCTACAGTACAGTTGATGTTATGAATTTTGTTTATTCTTTTCAAATCCTGTCTAATTTTTGCCCAGTTCTCTCCCTCTCTTTTCTCTACTCTGCTCTCTCTGCTCTATTCAATACGCGCTACTTACTGTTACATCTACAATTACAATCTGGCACAGGGCAAACATAGTGCTTTGAAAACCATTCTTCTGCGTGGTAAGCATGTGCACCATGATTACAGCTAAGACAAAAGCTGAACCACTCTCGGAAACTATTCTCGATTTTCCCTGATAATGTACCCTCATTACTTCTTTCTGTCGCATCCATGGGGATGGGAGTTCCCAATGATAATAGGCATATAGAGCATCTGGGTAATGGTGCTCCACAATGTGGACATGCCTTGAAGTCTTCATTGTTTTGAAATTGGAAATGATTGTGCGGGTTCATTTTGTTGAATTGCTTCAACATAACAGAAGTGTTCCCACTGGGTACTCCATTCACTGTACCAGGTGGACCCCCAACCCCAGGACCTCCTACACCTCCCAGTGCACCTCCTCTACCATTACTTGAGTTTGATCTCGCTTTCGATAGGTTCTTATTACATCTTGCACATTGTAAGTAAACTTGCTTTGGAGCCGCCTTTACCGTTATTTGTCCAGTATAAGTCTTCGACAATTTTGTTCTTGCCACATCAAATTTAGCACGAACATTGAACATACTCCAACTATTTAGTAAGTCTCTGTAACAATGCACCCAGTGGTCGACTCTACTATCAACAAAGTATCTTGGACAACCAAAGGAAGTTATTAATGCGGCCGTTTGAACGTCGCTTGTACGATCAACATATGATTGTAATAATGCGATCCCCTTAGGAGTGATACCAGTCAATATTAACCCTTCTAGTTCTCCCTTGCTTATGACCAGCTCTGCAATTCTATTCAAATACACTGATAAATCTTTATCTGATAAAAATCTCAATGCTACACCCAATCTCTCTCTCAAGGGTAACGAGTGTTCGTCTAAGACATCCCACCAATCATTGTCTGCAATGAATGCAAAAATGGCTCTCAAGTACGGATTGTCCAATTCTGATGCCATCTTACGACATTGATCTTTCCATGGACTATTAACAGGGGAATCTTTGTACGCCAAATATCCTGCAACTGCGGTAGACATTATTCTAAGCCTTTCCTTGTTGGAAGATCCCAAAATCTCGATGGCCTTTTGGACATCTCCGTGGAAAACTGCCCAACCAGCTGCCTTTTCATAAAGTCCAATAGCTACCAAAGCACTTAATTTCTCATCAAATTCATCATCAGCTAAATACCAGCCAGATACGATCAAACATAGCTTTCTTTGATCTTTCCTTTCACTATTGCTTGAAATGTTAATTGCTGCAGTTTTCTTTCCCTTCGAGGACACTATGGATTTGACTACATGAGAATACCACTGATCGGTGATATGGCCCATTTCCTTATTGAATCTGTTTTGCGTGTTGATTTCCTCAACGCCATTCCAGAGACCCAAAACACCTTGGTAACCTAAGTCTAACCCTTGAGAAATCATTGTTCCTTTTTCTAACGACTTCTTTGCCAACAATAGCCATTTCCACGTATTGATCAAGTAAGCATGTGGGTCGATTGTTCCTTCCAACTCTTCGAGAATTTTGATATTCTTTTCACAGTCAACCCCATATCCTAATGATGCTCTTTTTCTTATTGTATAACAAATGTCATTGCTCACGACATCCGATAATCCTAGATAAGTATTAAGAGGTATATAGTCTTCCTCGCTATAGTCCTCATCGTATTCCCCATTATTCTTTTCATTCTTTTTCTGCTGAAAGCTGTTTTTATCTCTAATGTTTGTAATTAAATCGCTACTCCTATCGCCATCGTTGTCATCGTCCTCATCATCAATGGTTGACTCCAAAACATGTTCTCTTTTTTTGTCAAGTAATGCCAAGTCAAATTTATTTAATGCAGTAGGATTATTAATATTATTATTTGGGTGCTTACCATTATTACCATTGGTGATGCCATTATTAGCCAACCTTTTAGAATTATCTTCTTGATGCTCTGTATCAAGAAATTTAGTTAAGGTTCCATCAGGTCCAGATATAATAAATTCATTATAGGAGTTGAAATGAACAGATTCAATTGATTCCTTCACCAACATTCTGAAAACTGAGCCTGACTGTCTCATACAAACAAAATGCGACGATGTGTTGGTAATTATATCTGGAGAGTAGTCAAAAGATATTACCCTTTCATATTCAGTTTTTGTATCCAAGACCAACGAGACAAATAATGATTCTTCCTTTGGTTTATACATCTGCGCGGACTGCTGTTTTAATGTTTGGGAAATATGTTCATGCTTAGAAGACGAGGATGTCAGCGTGGAAGAAGTTGCTGTGTTTCCATTCTTGCTTCTTATTGCAGGGACAGTTCCTGTATTCCATCTTCTAATAAGATCACCATTGAACACAGCAGCAAATTCACCTTTCCTAATACTTGAGTTCCTAACACATGGACTTCGGTTTTTCCTTGATGTATCGCTCAATAGCTTGTTAAACAGCAACACTGGACTTTCTGTTATTACGTTGGCACTCAGTGATGAAGATTTGTACTTAGTCGAGGAATTGCTAGTTAACTTTCTTCGATCCCACACCAGGAACGAACCATCTTCAGAGTAAGTCAGAAAGAGATGCTCTCTGAAATTATCTATAGTTATTCCCAATGTATACTTTGTAGACATTTGAAATACTGGTGTCTCTTGACGAAGATCAATTTCTCTAAGAAACTTGTAACTACCTGCTAGCAAGTTGGTTACCTTGTCGGGGTAGAAGACGGATGACAATACCGCTTCGTTGGGTATATAGGAGTGGGTTGGTCTTTTAATATGGTCATTATTGCTCGTTCTGGAAAAATGCTCAATATTCCAGATTTGCAAAGAGTTATCTTGTCTACCCTTGTCAAACCCACCTGCTATCAAACCTGCGTTATTGAAGCATATTGTGTTACATTGCCTACTTTGCTTAGGACGAAGGTGCAACACCGAGCTGTTGTTGGTTCCACCCACTCCTCCTCCTCCTCCTCCACCCATACCAGCCACTACAGGAGTTGGAGCTATACTTGTGTTATTAATATTGGCTGCAGTGGATGCAGTGATATCGAAAATACTTATGGTACCATTGGACTGACCAACTGCAGTTATACCAACATCTACAAGCGAGTAAGCGCTACATTGAATATTATCAAATCCAGTTCTACAATTTACTTTCACCATGTCGCTCGATTCTATTGATTGATCATTGTGCTGTGTATGGTATAGTATAACTTCATCTCCAATTGGATTAATGGCAATAAATCTCTGCTCCAACCCAATGTCCCAGTTGAGGGCTCGGACAATGTTTCCACTCATCTCCGTTTCTGGTCACTATTCCAGTGTATAAATGAGAATTCAAGTATGTAGCAACTAGCAAAATTGCGTGGCAAAATAGTCTATATCTACCTGTAATCAATAGATGATATATATCAGCCTCAAGCCTTCACTGCTCCGTTTGTTATCTTGCCCCAGGCGTACCCTAACACATGCCCGATAAACACATCGCACTGATATCTCGAATAATTATATACAGGAATGTAAAGGTTATACCGTCTATGATAATAGAGAAGTCGAGATGGAATACGGCAAGAAAAAGAAGAAGTGAATATTTATGACGTGTATATTTCTATATTTTATATAACAAATTAAGGCAATGTACAAATTCAACTTTTGTATCCAGAAAAGGAGTAATTGTGGGTATTATTATTTTGGGTATTGCCAGACTTTCTGCTTTTTACTGCTTGCTCTTCTTGTTGAATTATGTATTCAACGACGTTAACAAATGTCTTGAAACCCTTCTCTGGCCCCTTTTCTCTAATTATATGTAATGAGGAAGAATTAATTAAATCAATAACTTCAATCTTGAATTTCAATTTACGACCTCCAGCAAATTTAGTTGGGATAGTTCCAGTAAAAATTCCAAATTCGTCATCGAAAACAACTCTCTCCACTGAACCTTCGACTTTCTTCAATTGTAAAGTATTCTTAATGATCCTTGAGATGTCCGTTGCAATTAGAATAGAATCAATCACATGGACGTTTTTATCTCCATGTCTATCTTCAACGTAAATATCTTGTCCTTTGTTCATCGATAATCTCTTCGTTTCCGATTTGGCTTTGGATGTGGATGTGTGAATTCCTGTCATCAATCTTTTGAACCAACCGTCCTTCTTGGAGAACATCGCTTCAGCAGCAACTTCAATAGATGGTTTTTTGCTGATAGGCGCAGATGTAGGAAGTGGAAGCTTCGAGAATTTGTTATAGTTATTGTTATCCACTTGTGGTTTGGATGTATTTCCTTCAATTGGATAAACTGGAGGAGGTTTTGGAGCAGTTCTCTTTGGTTTCAAGGAAAATCTTCTAAATAATGAGTTTTGCCTCGAAACGGAAAGCCCATTGATGTCATCTTCTTCTGGGTGCATCTCATCTTGGTAATATATTTCATCTTCATCTGGTGGCAAGATCATTGTACCAACAACGCCATGTTTAGCCATGGTTTTCCTTTTCTCTATTTCAACTGGATCAGTTTCAGCCTCTTCGATTGCTCTCAAATCTTCCTCCTGTTGAGCTTGTGCTCTTTGCAAAGAAGTTTGTCTTAATGGAGCAAGATGTAAAGTGCTAAATATTTGAGTTGAACCTCTCGAATTGAACGAGTCTTCCAATTCTGATCTTACCCTACTCGTGTTAATGGGCTTTTCTGAAACATCAACTTCATCATCTGTGGCATCATATTCATCATCATCATCTCTCTCTTCATCATCGAAGGAATTAGATATGTCTCCACGATATTCCTTACCCTCCAAAAATGAAGATGAATCTAAGATATCGATATTACTATTAACACGAGCGTTGAAGGAATATCTTCTTTCAGAGCCTTCAACAGAAGTATCTTCAAACTCTTCGCTGCCGCTGCTAACCAAATGTCTCAGAGCATGACGCTTTTGCATAGAATTAAAGTCTGATACTGAGGCTTTTGTAGATGACTTCTTATGAGTAGGCTTGTCACTAACAAAATTTTCATATCCCTTATACATAGATTCAATTGATTCTTGGAATGAAGTGTCAACAGGATTATCTCTTTTTGAAACAGTGCCAATTCTACGGGGAGCATTTGCTTTATGACGTTGTTCATCTTGGCTAGATAATTGAGAGATCGAGGACTGTTCAGTTGGGTGTGGATGAACAACTAAAGTTTCCCGAGAACTATCTTCCAGGATACCTTCAATTAAATTAGGTTTATGGTTTTTGCTCACTGTAATGATGTCCGCAGTGTGTGTGCTTATAAGATCAAAGTTAGAAAACTCAGACTCAAGAATGGTAGATGTATGGTGGAAATCTTCAAGTGAGTTTGAATCAAATACTGTTGAGCTGGCTTCATCATCTACTGATATAGTTTGCTTACTGGCGAAGTTATCTTCATCGAGAATCGATGAAAATCCGGACATCTGGTTTTCCTTTTGAGATTTTACGTTTATCCCCAAGCCATTCAAATTGGTAGTTGAGGACTTTTTCAATAAGCCATCGCCTTTGCCCAATCTTATGTTAGGGTTTGCGAACTTGTTAGACTCAATATGCAGCTGTCCATCAAAGCTATCATTCAACAACCCATTGAAGGAGAATCTCGAAAATCTTGGGTTAGGTATAAGGCCACTCCTACGAGTCATTATACTAGAATTATCAGCAGCCTTCGAAGATGTCATAGAGGTATCATAATCATTGTTAACCAGAGTGACCTTCTTCTGAACCTTGTTTTCGTCTATTTCCCCAAGCATTGATTTATAAATAGGCTTTCTTGGAGTTGGCCTAGGTAATGAAGAAGATGACATTGGCTTTGAGCTTCTTTCTTGCTCATTGAATTTATTGATTGTAAAGTTTTCCTTGTTATTATCTTTTCCCTCTTTCTTGGTTTCATCCTGGTGTAGATATAATGCTAAATTTTTAGAAGAGGAAGTTTTCAAAGAATGATTTATTTTAGGACCAGGTGGAGGAAGATAAAAATTCTTAGTGGACTCCGTAGTAGGTTTAACATCAATTCCTAATCTTTGTAAAACCAAGGCAGTATTTTGGTTAATGGCCTTTGGTCCTCTTTGTGAGTTGGCCAACGATTTGGCTCGAAGAAGTGATCCTGGGCCACCTCTTGGATCTAAAGACGATGGAGTCATTATCGGTGTAGGTTCGGTGACATGACGCTTGGAGGGAGCTTTCACTTGATCGGTAAAATCGTAGTTAGAATTATGTTGCAGGAGTCTTTTTGCAGCTTGTTTTTGTTTTTCTCGTAAAAGCATAGATTGCTCTAATTGCTCTTCTTCCATTGACTTTTGATTTCTTAATTTACGCTCCTGTTCCCGAAATTGTTCCTGTTCAATTTCTATTTGCTGCTGCCTCTTTTGTTCACGTTCAAGTTGATATTCTCTTTTCCTTTCCTGTTCCATTAACCTTACTTTTTCCCTTTGTGACTCCCTTTCCCTTTCACTTTCTTCTTCTCTTCTCCTTTCCCTTTCACGATCTTCCTCTTGCCTTTTCCTTTCTCTTTCACGTTCTCTTTGTAATTTAGCTTTATTATCGTCATATATACCTTCGTCTTCGGCTTTATTCTCGCCAAATACTTCCTGGCATATTAATTCGAAATTAAGCAAAGATTTATTACCACCATTCACGACTTGATTTCTTCTATTGGTTAAACTAGTCACTGGGGAACTTGCATTGGATGAAGACCTTGATCCCTTGGTTGGTCTTTCTAATTCAATGAGTCCATCCTGATTTCTTTTGAAATGAGGTGTTGGAGGTTGTTGTTGAGGAGGTGAATGCTTCTTAACTTTAGAGGAAAGTGATTTAGATGAATTGTTTCTAGATCTGACAGACTGCTTGATAGTAGCCTTCTTCTTTGTGATAGATGTGGATGCTGTTGGGTGGTGAAATTGTGATGATGATGCAACGGTGTTTGTAATGTTCCCTAAAACTTTACCTCCATTGCTGGAAGGCTTTTCTTTCCTGTTCCTGTTGGATTTGCTTCTTTTTGGAGTGGATTGACTATAAATAGATGCCAGTTTAGGTAGTTTGGGAAGATGCTGAGGTTGGTGATGTATTGTTTTAATTGTTGTGTGTCTCTCTCCCGTAACTTCGTCAACAGTAATAGTTTTAACAATAGATTGTGATCTAGGTAACGTTTGTTTGCTTTCACTTCCTGTCATAAAATCAGTTTCGTTATCATCATAGTAAGATTTACCATTACCAGTGTGCTCGTTTCTATATTTCATTAATAGATAATAGAAAATCTTCTCGGAGCATGATTTACTAGATAGTAACTTAGAAACTATAGTTTGTTCGCTACAATTATGGAATAAGACAGTCAAGTTTTTCAAAATCTCCTTATCAATATTATCCAAGGAGTTTGAAACTGGATTAGCATAGTTAATGTAGCTCGAAGTGGCACTTAAATGATTTTTAAATCCCTTGATAGTAGATGGTTCCGGATATCTAGTTAATAAAGGATGAGTTAAAATGTGGTCAATGGTAATTCTATCCATTGGGTTCACCTTTAACATTTTGCTGATTAGATCTTTAGCCTCCCACGATAAATCAGGAGGCATGACAAACTTCCCATTTTGTACCTTTAATAACAACTTACGGATGTTTTCATCATCGAATGGTAAGTGGCCGGTCAATAATGCAAACAATATTATACCACAAGACCAGATGTCAGAGGGAGCACCATGATAATTTTTACCAGCAACAATTTCAGGTGATGCATAATGGGGTGAACCACATGAAGTCTCTAAGAGCTTCTCCTTAACTTCTAACGCTGCCATACCAAAATCAGCAATCTTTATGTTCTTATTGAAGTCCAATAATAAATTTTCAGGTTTCAAATCTCGATGACAAATGTTGAATTGATGCAAATAGTTTATCCCATGGATAATCTGCTTGAAGTAGTTGACAGCTTCAAACTCTTGCAATTTCCCACGTTTAATGAGATAATCGAAAAGTTCTCCACCTTCAATGTATTCCAAAATCAAGTACAAATCGTTTTTATTCTCCCAGACGTCGTAGAGTCCCATAATGTTTGGATGCGATATTAACTTCATTATGATAATTTCTCTTTCAATGCCGTAAGGTAATCTATCCTTCCCGTTTTCCATTAATGTTGATCTTTTGTATTTGGGATTCTCCAATTTCTTGAAGTTTGATTTAGGGACGATCTTAACAGCTGCTAATTGCCCCGTATTTACATTTTTGGCCAATCTGACTCTACCAGTAGAACCTCTTCCAAGAGTTCTGCCCAATTTCCAAGGTCCAATTCTGTTTTGAGCTTTCCTCTTTTTTGAAGACGTGGACGTGTTTGTCGATATTTGAGAGAGTCTTTTCGTGGCGTTTGTCACGGACTGGACCACTCTGTCGACCTGAGGATTCAGCAGTGGGTTGGAAAGGTCATTTTCCTGGTCCTCGTAGTCGTAAGATTGCCTAGATTGAATCAAAGTTGCCATACTTCACTAACTGGAAAAATATAATTGAACACAAATAAAATTGATAAAACTCTGACAGAGTTTATTTGAAGCGAATGAATGAATAGAGTGGGTTATTTGGTTAGTTGGCTAGTTCAAGAAACAACTAGGTTGGTTGAAATGGAGTCTTGTGTTCTCTTTCGTTTTGTTTTTTATGACGGCGTGTGGTCGGGATTCTTTAGACTAAGCGTGTAGAGAGATAAGTGGTGCTTAGCTAACGCCAGTCGCTTGTGAAGTCTTCTTGTTCTCGTTTTGAGTACACAAATCTCGAAGACAACAGATATAACGAAAACAACTGTTTCAGTACACTATGAAAAGGCAAACTTCCGATTACTGGTATCTTCCTTTCCACTACTTGTAAGCTTATTTGTATTTTGCTAAAATTTATCGTTATGTGGTTGATTAAAAATCTAAGAATCGTGCACAAGCGAACACAAAAACGCGAAACTCAAGTCAAAATATTTGGGGGGAGGGCTCGCAATCTGGAGATGGGAAAAATTAATTATTTCAGTTAGGCTAGCGGAACGAAGGAAAGAATAGCCACTGAGTGGAGGGGATAGAAGGTCAGTGGGTTAGGAGGGTACCGTGATTATTATTTCTTATTTCTATTGTTTCCAATTGAATACCGAGTATTTATTTTCATTTTGGTATAATTTTTAGGTTTTGCTGTGTGGCTACTTTGTTCTCCGGCTCTTATTTTGATGCGTTTACGATTGAGGTGATACAGGCGATGGAGTGTGTAAAGTTTCTTTTGTGTGTAGGTGAATAAGGTTTGGATAGTTTCAATTAGACGAGAGTTTCGTCGGTGGAATTGGAAGGGCAACCCCGAAAGTGAAAAATTCTGAGTGCGCTTCCTCAGCATGTGTTGAGAGATAGTAGAGAGGGAGGGAGGGCATATGCGTGTGTATGTTCGTGAGAGAGAGGGTGTGAGTGTGTTCGTGAGAGAGAGGGTGTGCGTACGTTCGTGAGAGAGAGGGTGTGTGTGTGTTCGTGGGAGAGGGTGTGTGTGTGTTCGTGGGAGAGGGTGTGTGTGTGTTCGTGGGAGAGGGTGCCTGTGTGTGTGCGTGTGCACCTGAGGTGCACTGTAAGAGCATAAGCGATTACATAGGCTCAATTTGAAGCCGATCTTATGCTGCTTGGTCTCGGTGCGCGTGCTTTGGAGAAGCCGTAGGGCTGACTTCCTTCGCTGAAGCTTTCGCTTGAAAAAAATATTTCTTAAAGACGAAAAAGAAATCTGGGGCACTTTTAACGGCAGTGTTCTTTCAACACCAGGGCCAAGTAGGAAATCTCGATAGTTACAGCTGGTGTTCTCTATGGTCGCAGATCGACGCGTAAGGGTGTCAATGTGCACATTAGTGTATAGCTAATTTTCCATCGGAACATTGTATTCCAATTCTCTCTATGTTCCATGGTCTTTATTCTTTTCTTTCTCTTCCGTTTCCGAGTCAGTTTCTCGACTCATTGCCAGTATCTCACTTTTCTCCCTGGCGTCTAGCGCTCTCGAAAAAATTACCGAATATGCGAACTTGGCTGCAAAATATATATGCGCAGCGGCACTGACACATTGGTATAAGGCTGTACAGTAAACGGTTGAAGAAAGTACATGCTCTTTTCCTCGGTCCGCTTTACTTTCTTTCTCTGTCGATAGCAAGAACGTCATGTCACCGACAATAACTATACTATCGCTCGCAACTACTTTCCAGAGCCGTGGCATCATGCATATCTATTCTGATAGATCAAGCCGATTGCTGCTTCGCCAATCTGAAACAGTGCGTGACTGGCAAGCACCGATTCATTTTTTTTTTATTTTTTTCGCTCTTTTTCTTTTTTTCGTATCTACTTCACTCGCTAGAATAGGAGAGAGTGCAGCTTGGGACAAACACACACACAAATGTTGAACAGGCTAAGTATCAACACAAGGTCTGAACATCCAACAAAATTCCGCAGTAAGTCTATCTCAATCTTTCATTTCCTTCATCTGTGCTTCCTCCCCCGCAATACAAAGAATTATCTTCTTCAGAGCCCGTTGACGTCCTCATTAAATCTTTGACACAACCTACACCGTTTGCTAATCTCCGCATATTCCGGTGTTAGTTTCTTTTCTACGGTGTTTCCCCAGCAGCACCTCCCCTAAAAAAAGGTATTTTTTCCCCCTGACAAGTCACTATATTTACTGGACCTACCCCTAAAAGTATAATTTTTTTTTCTTTCTGACCCAAACGGCTCCTTGTCAGGCTTACCTAATTTTCAACAGACATAAAAAAACAAGGAAAATAAAATATTGACTTGCCAACAAAAGTGGTGACCTACCTTTCCTCATATCCTATATATTCATATCTCCTGTAACCTGCCGGTGTCGAGAAACAATGCTTAAGTTCAAAAATAAGTTCAAATTTGGAACGTCGGGTGTCTCAGAAGCTGACGCATCATTACTGGCCCCCGAATCCTTGCACTCCAACTCCCCCAGAAATTCCACAGACTCAAGAAAGACAATCTCGATGACAAATCTATCTGATGGAATACTGAAGGTCAGTTTGAACGATTCGACAAACTCCTCAACCTCTTTGAGTCCAAATAAATCCAACAGCTCGTCACCCGTTAAGAATGAAGCAGAGGAGAAGGGAGAAAAGGAAGATAGAGAAAGCACAAAGAGCGGCTCGGAAGCTGCAACTTCACTTACCGCTGCTTCATCCGTGGCATCGACAAATGCCACCACAACTAGCTCTGCCTCACAAGGCACCACTTCATCAGCATCGTCTCCCGGTCTTCTTACCGTGAAGATCTACAACTCTCAGGGGCTCCAACTTCCAATCGACATAAACAACAACAAGCAAATCTTGCAGGCATTGGCTAGTAATGCTAGCAACGAGTTAACCACTCAGCAATTGTGGAAGAATCTCTCGTCATTGCAGACCCAAGAGCAATCAAATCCACCTGCCAGAGACATACTCCCGGGGTCGATCTCGGCCAACTTCCTTCCTTCAATCATTACGATACCGAATGGAGACAACTTGGTCAAGTCGTTGATCTATTTGACGATTGAATTTGATAATAACGTCTTGGTGATTGAACCGCAAAAGGGTACTGTCAACCAGTCTACATGGAACCAAGTTGTATCCTTCGATGTGAGTAGCAAGAACAGCAGTAAGGCTAACGGAGGAGAAGCAGGAGGTGCCGGCACCAGCTCAAACTTTCTTAACCTCAACCTTTTCATACGGTTACCTTCAATGTTGATTCCAGAGAGCGAAAAATCAGCTAAGGGCCATCTTTTCACAAACCAGCAATCAAGAGAGAGCAAGTCGGATGATGGGAAGAGATCTGAGAACATCGGAGATCTTTTGATCGGTACTATAAAACTCCCACTCAACCTCAACTATCATTCGTCTCCAATCAGATTGATGAACCATGAATACTTGAAGTTCCGTCATTTCAACCTCTCTGACAAAGAAATGGGGGATATAATGCTCACCATAGATTTTAAGCCAATTTTGAAAAAGCACTTATCAATTGAGGATTTTGACTTATTAAAGGTTATTGGTAAAGGGCTGTTTGGGAAAGTTATGCAAGTGATCAAGAAGGATACAAAGCAAATCTACGCTCTCAAGACATTGAGGAAACAGCATATCATTTCTAGAATGGAAGTCACGCATACTTTGGCGGAAAGAACAGTATTGGCAAGAATCTCAAACCCATTTATTGTACCATTGAAGTTCTCTTTCCAAAGTCCAGAAAAATTATACTTGGTATTAAGTTTTATCAATGGTGGTGAATTATTTTGGCATTTGCAGAAGGAAGGAAAGTTTTCTATGGATAGATCGAGGTTTTACATCGCAGAGTTATTGACTGCATTGGAAAGCTTACATGACTTGAATGTGATTTATAGAGATTTAAAGCCTGAGAATATCTTGTTGGATTACCAAGGCCATATTGCACTCTGTGATTTCGGGCTTTGTAAGTTAAATATGGCAAACAATGATAAGACCAACACTTTCTGTGGTACACCAGAATATCTAGCTCCGGAGCTTTTGCTTAACCAGGGTTACACAAGAAGTGTTGATTGGTGGACTTTGGGTACTTTGTTGTATGAGATGCTTACAGGGTTACCACCGTTTTATGATGACGATGTAAACACGATGTATGGTAAGATCTTGAGAAACCCATTAAGATTCCCATCATTTTTAGAGGGGACCGATGCACAAGATTTATTGGTCAAGTTACTTCAGAAAGATCCAAATTTAAGAACGAGTGATGCCAAAGAAATCAAGAACCATAAGTTCTTCTCAAATATAGATTGGAATAAGCTATTGAACAAGAGCTATTTACCTCCGTTCAAGCCCAACGTGGAGAATTTACTTGATACGTCTAATTTTGATCTGGACTTTACTAATGAAAAGCCACAGGATTCGGTTGTTGACGATTTCTTGAGTGAGAGTGTCCAGAAACAGTTCGGCGGGTGGACGTACAACGGAGACAATATATTGAACTAGAAAATATATATTATTAGAAGTTTAATAAATGAAGAATGGAATAAAAAGCATACATATATAAGGAGCAAGTAGTTGGAGCTATAAGTATAGAAAGAAAAGAACAGAAACCTCAATTAGTTGCCCTTTACTTGTTCGCAGCATTATTGTATGTTGCACCACTGGACCCTGGAAAAGCAGAACCACCAGTCTTGCTGTTTGGGTTTACATGGCCCTGGGACAATGGTGCCCCATGTTTGTAGACAGGGTCCTGGTGGCCGAATTTTCTTCTATCCTGCTCTCTCTGCTGAAATTGAGGGTACGAAGGGTTCAAGTGCTGAGGGTTAGCCAGAGCAATGTTAACCTTTTGAGGTGGCACCTTGATTACATTCGGATCCTGCATTGGGTCATAGTTCGATGGCTGAGGCTGGTAAGAGTCGAAGTTATTGCCATCATTGTAGTTGTTATTGTTGTTATTATAAGCGTGGTTGGCGTTAGCATCATAGTTTTGCTTCCCTTCACTGAAATTGCCGCCGTAACTCTGCTGCTGCCCTGCTGAAGGATCGTAGTTGTGTTGCTGCTCGCTAGCCTCATAAGATGGGGGTGGTGCATCAGAAGGATGCAGCGCTTGACCTTCGTCTTTCTTACTTCCGAACGCTTTAGAAATCTTTTCCATGTTTAATTGGTATAGTATAGCTCGTACAGAACAAATATATCTCGCAGAAGAACAGAATCTATCAATTCTACAGCTTGACAAACGTTTCAAGCAACCCAAGCAGCAATAGGAAAGTCTTGTAGGGGAAATTTCGTTCTTTATTATGTGCACGCGGTTAGGAGCCCCGCCAATTCTAATTCTCAAAAAAAAAAAAAAAAAAAAAAAAAATCGAAACGAAATTTCAAAAAAAAATTTCAATGGTTTTTAGCAGTTCACTGGCACCTCCAAGACGACGAAGAACAGGCTACTATGAGAATAAATTCCGTGAATGCTTCTACCCAGAGGGTGGTGAACCAGCTCTCGGCGCTCTCTGCGTCAAAAAAACAACCAAAATTGTTGAACTTATGTAAGGAAGATTTGATCAAACACAAGACCATAACCAATGCATGGAACGTTTACCAGAGGAAGGTGAACGAAAAGAGACACATTCAACTCAACGCACAATATAAAAGTATCCACGAGGCAATGGAAGATTTGAAGCAAACCAGCCCACAGCTCTATGCACTTGCAAACAAGCCAGAAAAGAAGAAGAAGTTCCCTCTTGATATGAGAATGCCCACAGACTACCCACCAACCAAACCTTGGGTATACAATTACGAACCTAGTCAGAAAAGAAAGTAGAAGAGCTAACGTAGGGGGAGAAAGAGAGACTCATTAGTACCAACTAACGAAACTGTAAATAGAAACATAGATATCTACATATAATATTACGTAATGCATTGTAATTAGTCTATAAAATCGTAGGTGGTAAACATGAGAGAGAATTGAAGTAGTGTGCAAGAGCGAAAGATACGAGGCATGAAGCGTGGAGTACGACAATGTAGCACGAAGGAAGAGGCGGGAGCATCACAGCATCACAGCATCACAGCATCACAACCAGTGTCATTCACTATTCATCCATCGTCCTCCCCTTCCTCTTCCGACTGGGCGTCGTATTCGCTCCTGGGGGCACTACACCTCCATTTGTGGGTTCCACCGAATCTTCATATTCATCGAGCTCGTCATTCTTTCCTGTTAAACCTTGTTTCCTAGCGAACGATTTGACAAAGCTGGCGGAACTCAAGCTAAAGATGTGGTCATCATCCGTGTAGGCGATCCTCTTCTTGTGCGAACCACCAGTGTTTGCCTTGGTAAAGTTATCAAACCCCTTCACTATGTTTCCGTGTGCACTTTCGGCGAAGTACTCGTTCTCCTTCTCGTAGATCTTGTCTTCTAGCTTGCTGAGCTTAGCATCAAGTTCCTGCTTGCGGAGAATCTGCTGTGTTAACTTTGCTTTCACGGCATCGTACTGTTCTGTGGAGTCCGACTTACTCATATTGGCGATACCGAGGCACTATTCTATGGATTTGAGCACGTTCAACGACCTTGAACAACCAGAGCTTTAACGCTTGAAAACAAAGACGAAAATCGAAAAAACATACCAATGGGTCCGTACTGCATACAACCGTAGCACGGAAATATGTCTACCTGGTTGTGGGCACGTGACCAGCAGCTACTCGCTCAGTAACCTCCCCATTCTGCCACCATGAGGTTGCAAAGCTGGACACGAAAGCACCAGCACACTAGCATATAGCTCAGCATCGAGCCCCGGGCACCTACCGAACGCCCAGTCCCTGTTGTACTAGCATTGTTTATGTCTGCACCTTTTTGCTTCGAGCAATCGGTCGTCCACACTGGTTCGTCCCGGGAGTGTTCGGGGTGGGTAAATGGAAGGGTGGAAGAGTACAAGCTGCACAATGAAATCATAAAGAGGTGCCCTGGAATCTGGGGTTAGAACACACAGGAGCGTGAAAAAAAATATGTACAGTCGACACTAGATCCACCACAAGGTCCCACTTCCTGCCACATACGAACCGTCAATACCGCTTACATAACTGAGCACCGACCATCACCTTACGCTTACTATCATCCAACATGCCAGTGTGCGCCGCTTTGTGGTACTATCCTCTCCATCCCACTCAGTCCCAACTGTGGCACACGTGATTCTCGGGCACCACACCACCATCTGAAATGAATAACCTCAATCTAAATCATAGGCACCCACTGAAAATTCGCACTCCGGCACAACGGGTGTGAGTGGTCCAGAAGGTATAAATTCGACGATTCCCACCTTATTATTAGAGTACAGCTCAATTGATTCATATTTTCTTTTTTTTTTTTAGTCAATTAATCAATTAATTGAAAAACATTATACATAATGCCAGCTACTAAAATTTTCGCTCGTACTGTCTACGATTCTCGTGGTAACCCAACTGTTGAAGTTGATCTTCACTCCGAAAAGGGTCTCTTCAGAGCAATTGTTCCATCTGGTGCCTCCACCGGTATCCATGAAGCCTTGGAATTAAGAGACGGTGACAAGTCCAAATGGTTAGGTAAGGGTGTTACCAAGGCCGTTTCCAACGTTAACGACATCATTGCTCCAGCTTTCATTTCTGCCAATGTTGACTTAAAGGACCAAAAGGCTGTCGATGCCTTCTTGAACTCCCTTGACGGTACCCCAAACAAGTCCAAGCTCGGTGCTAACGCCATCTTAGGTGTTTCTTTGGCTGCTGCCAAGGCCGGTGCTGGTGAAAAGGGTGTCCCATTATACAAGCACATTGCTGACATCTCCGGTGCCAAGCAAGACAAGTTTGTCCTCCCAGTTCCATTCCAAAATGTCTTGAACGGTGGTTCCCATGCTGGTGGTGCTCTTGCTTTCCAAGAATTCATGATTGTTCCAACTGCTGCTCCAACTTTCTCCGAAGCTTTAAGAATTGGTTCCGAAGTTTACCACAACTTAAAGTCTCTCGCCAAGAAGACCTACGGTCAATCCGCTGGTAATGTTGGTGATGAAGGTGGTGTTGCCCCAGATATTTCCACTCCAAAGGAAGCTCTTGACCTTATTGTCAAGGCCATTGAAGTTGCTGGTTACACCGGTCAAGTCTCCATTGCTTTAGATGTTGCCTCATCTGAATTCTACCACGACGGTAAGTACGATTTAGACTTCAAGAACCCAGACTCTGACCCATCTAAGTGGTTAACTGGTGAAGAATTAGCTTCCTTATACGCTCAATTAGTCAATGACTACCCAATTGTTTCCATTGAAGATCCATTCGGTGAAGATGACTGGGACGCTTGGGTACACTTCTACGCCAAGATTGGTGACAAGATCCAAATTGTTGGTGATGACTTGACTGTTACCAACCCACTCAGAATTAAGACTGCCATCGATAAGAAGGCTGCTAACGCTTTATTATTAAAGGTTAACCAAATCGGTTCTTTAACTGAGTCCATCAATGCTGCCAATGACTCATACGCTGCTGGTTGGGGTGTCATGGTTTCCCACAGATCTGGTGAAACTGAAGACACCACCATTGCTGACTTATCTGTCGGTTTAAGAGCTGGTCAAATTAAGACTGGTGCTCCAGCTAGATCCGAAAGATTAGCCAAGTTGAACCAAATCTTAAGAATTGAAGAAGAATTAGGTGACAAGGCTATCTATGCAGGTAAGGACTTCCAAATCGCTTCTACTTTATAAGTTTTTGGGAATGTGTTATAATAGGTAACCGTATATATGGTTATTGCAATAAAAGTATGAAAAAATGAAAAAAATGGAACAACAAAATTGTAGAACTGTAAGAGTTTATGTAGGGGGAATTCATAAATTATTTCTATTGATTTTGCCATATTAACTTGTATTTATTTATATGAGAACACTCTTCATTATAGTGTAACTTTGATTAGCTTGATACACTTCTATTCATCGTACTGGCACTTCTATTTTGAAGATTCAATCACTTCTAGACATTCAATTATCTTTGAAACTGCCTTAAACACATCCTCGAAGGAATTGTACAAGGGAGCGGGAGCCACTCGAATCACATCTGGTCTTCTCTCATCACAGATTACTCCTTGCACTCTCAAATATTCTATAACTAGTTCCATTACATTCTTCTTAGGATCATCATAGTGAGGTTTGAATAGTAACGACAATTGAGCACCTCTTTCTTGAGGGTTCAATGGTGTCAAAATCTGAAATCCCAACCTATTGTCCTGGGAATCCTTTAAGTAGTACTTCGATTGTGTGAGAAGGTCCTGTAAATATTGAGTGAGCTTCAAGCTTCTTTCTCTCAAAGTGTCAATGCCACCAGCCTCAGAAAAGATCTCTAAAGAAGCTTTGACGCTCACAACGTCAATGACACTAGGATTTGACTGTCTATAGGATAAAGCAGACTGTATGGGGTCAAACTCTTCCAACATTTTGAACCTGACAGAGGCATTGTTTCCCCACCAACCAGCTAATCTTGGAGGAAAGCTGTCCTTCGAGTTATTCTTTGTATACTTTTCATGAACAAATAAGCCTGCAATTGCCCCAGGGCCAGAATTTAAGTATTTATAAGAGCACCATGCAGCGAAATCCACCCCCCAATCATGGAGCTTCAACAGGACATTTCCCACGGCATGAGCCAAGTCCCATCCTACAACGATATTGTGATTTTGGGCAAACTTAGTAATCGTCTCGATATCGAAAAATTGCCCAGTATAATACTGGATACCAGGTAAGCAAATTATAGCGATTTCTTCAGCTCTGGATGCAATGGTTTTTAAAATATATTCAGTTTTCAAGTAGGTTTCGCCTTCTGGAACTTCGAGCTGAATCAAATGAGATTCGTCGTAACCGAACAACTTAACCAAGTTGAGAAAAGCGTAGTAATCCGATGGGAAAGCATGCTTTTCAAACAATATTTTGGTTTTTGAGCCCTTTGGCTTGTAGAAACTTATCAAAAGCGAGTTCAAGTTTGCAGTCAATGATCCAGAGAGTGCAACTTCGGTCTCCTTAGCTCCGACTATTGGAGCTAATAAAGGCAATACGGGGAGATCTATATCCATCCAAGAGGTCAACCCGTCATCTGCACCAGGATGCCTGAAATGAGCTTCAACAGCTCTCTCTCCCCAAGCCTTCAATTCGTCGTTAATTGCCTTAGGTGTGGACTTGGGCATGAGTCCCAATGAGTTCCCACATAAGTACACAGACAGGCTACCGGGGTTGTCTGATTCGATTCCCAAGGAGCCAAGAGTGGGGAAGACGAAAAGATCTTTATCCACAGGGTACTTCAGATCCAATTCCGAGTATGACATCTTCGAGCACTAGATAGAATGGTGAGTAACGTATAGGAAAGAAGGGACGGTTAGTCTTAAAGACCGGTGCGGTTTTTTGATGCTCAGTGAGAATTGAAAAATTGCTCCACATAAAAATTTGAGCGGTGCCGTGGCGTACACTGGAGGGAAAGTACTACCCATAAGGAAAATATAGGCAAGGAAAAAGGTGAACTCTAGGGAAGCACAATGATATACTAAGGTCATTCAGTATCGCGGGAAAAAGTAAAACAGGAGAGTGTTTTGAAGCAGATTTCAACTACATCAGCCTTATGAGCATCACATAGAAGCTTCAAATGGGTGCAAAAAGTGAAACTGTGAAAAATGAAAAATAACCTCACAATTTCATTGAATAGTCCAGATGGTCAGGCGCCTCTGAGCTAGGAGTGTTGCGTCTAAAGGCAGCGTAATACTCATTGATATGGAGACTGAAATGTACGTAGTATTTCAGGGGTCTTTAAATTGCCACATACACCATCGCAAACACTTATCTCGTACTTCTGTAGGGTGAGCTTGACTCGCATTGGGATGATTCAGTAGAATCTCTCAAAAGACGCAGCTGAAGAAAATCAGATTTCCAGCTACAGGCGAGCCGAGCCAAGCCAAGCGAAGCGATGGCCCCACCAAGCAGGAAGAAGAACACTCACATATAAGCCTAAGAAGCGCTGACACAACAGTTTTGACTGGACTGTGGTCCTAGACGAACACATGTGCTTTTTCTTCCTGAAACTCTGACTTCCTGACGTCACTACTCTAATTGGCATGCCTGTTAAATAAATGCAGGCTGACGTTCCGCAGATTCGCGGACTTCGAGCTTCTCATCGCATAACCACAGTAGAGCATTACAATTAGCAGAGCAAGAAGTACTGCCCCAAACCGAGTTTTTTTTGACCCCTTGGCCACCTGTTTGCCAGTATACGCCAGTATCAGCTAGTTTCCCCAGCGGTCACCGAAAAAAATTGCAAAAGTAAATCCAATCGACGGAACCTCAGCCTGCACTCCACTGTTCATTTTCGTCTACCCTGTAGCCCTCTACCTGCATGTACACTATCACCGTTAGGTTTATTTAAGCGATACCGCAACAATCACAAGACAGAGACGCCCTTGTAAAGTAAAAAAAAAAGCTAGCAATAGTCAGTTGGGATCATTCTAGTATCGTGCCACAAGAAATGTACGACTTGCTACGTGCTCTACTACATTCAGAGGACTCCTTAGTGTCCCAGGGTAAACATGATAATAACCCTATACCTAACCCTTCTAGACACTCGAGACATGCTAGCGTCCAAATAATAATCGCGTTGGTGCTTGGCTTAACTGCCTTTTTTTCATTTGCCTTGCTAAGGGTGAGGTACCCCAAGATATACGTGGCTAATTTTAATCACTTCAACACCAACTATGTCCACAGCTCGTCCAGACGAAGGCTTCCGAAGTTGCCCTCCAAGTCATTTTTTGGCTGGATCCCGGTCCTATACGGAATCAATGAACAGCAGGTGTTGGATCATGCTGGGTTGGATGCAGTGGTCTTTTTGGGATTTTTTAAGATGTGTATCAAGATTTTATGTGTGTGTGTATTTTTGGCAATCACAGTGATAACGCCTATTCGATATAGGTACACTCGAAAGGTTGACGATGACGATGAGTATGGACTACTTCCTGGTTTCGGAAGGAGAAGCGGTAAGGGAGACGATGGTGGCGATGGCGATACCGATGAGTATCCCCAGTATCTTTGGATGTATACTGTGTTTACATACATCTTCACTATTATAGTGGGATGGTTCCTTTTCGAACAGACTGTTAAAATCATCAAGAAAAGACAGGAGTATCTCGGAAAGCAGAACAGTATTACCGATAGGACAATAAAGCTTATTGGAATCCCTCCTCTGTTGAGAGAGGAGGAAGCATTAAAGAGACACATTGAAAGTTTAGGAGTAGGCCAGGTTGATTCTGTTGAGATCGTTAGAGAATGGAACGATTTGAACAAGTTGTTTAAGTTGAGAAAGAAAGTGTTGAGGGAGCTCGAATGCCATTGGGTTGAATATTTCAGTGCTAATGGTATAAGAAACAAGAGCGACATGCTTTCTACTAATTTGCACCCAAGTTTAGGCGAGCCAATCGGCTTGAGCAGAAGTGAGAATTCCACTAACAGATATACAGATAACGAAGTGGAGCAAGGGGTGGATGTGGAGGATGCGCCATCGATTCACAATGAAGGAGAAGGGCTTGTTTCTGAGGAAGATATAGGTCACGAAACTGAAAGCGATGACGGAGAAGTTGAAAATGCCATTTCTAGATCGACGTCTCGTAATAGTATTATTGATCAAATCACTGTATTATTGGAGGCAGATAGTCGAAACTATACCGGAGACGGAGAAAGTATATCATTACCCCTTCTCAACGATGAGGCATACACCAGACCCAAGATAAAAACCGGCTTTTTAGGACTTATTGGAAAGAAAGAAGATGCAATATCTCACTATACTGCTCAACTCGAAGTAATCGATAAGGAAATAGCCAGAGCAAGAAGAAGAGAATATCCAGCTACTTCAGCTTCCTTTGTTACCATGAAATCCGTGGCACAAGCACAAATGATTGCGCAGGCAGTTTTGGACCCGAAAGTTAATCATCTTATAACTAATTTAGCTCCGGCTCCACATGACATCATTTGGGATAATCTTTGCTTAACACGCAGAGAAAGAAACACTAGAATATTCTTGGTTACCTTGTTCATTGGATTACTTAGTATTGTTTTAATTTTTCCAATTTCATATTTGGCAACATTCTTGAATGTCAAAACGATAACTAAACTATGGCCCTCATTCGGCAAGATGTTAAGTGAAAATCCCTTGGCAGAGACCCTTGTGACAAACTTATTACCTACTTATATTTTCACGATTTTCAACATTGTCATGCCGTACTTTTATATCTGGATATCTTCGAAGCAAGGATTTACCTCTCACAGTGACGAGGAACTTTCTACGGTTTCAAAGAACTTTTTCTATATCTTCGTCAATTTATTTTTGGTTTTTACATTCGCTGGTACGGTATCATTAACCAATACAACTGAATTTGCCAGCCAATTCGCCCAATCTTTAAAAAGAGTATCTCTTTTCTATGTTGATTTGATCATCTTGCAAGGATTGGGGATCTACCCTTATAAGTTATTGCTTTTGGGAAATTTGCTCAAGTTCCCAATAAGCACTATATTTTGGTGCAAGACGCCAAGGGATTATTTGAATCTCTATAAACCTCCAGTTTTCAATTTTGGTTTACAGTTACCTCAACCAATCTTAATTTTAATCATAACGATTATTTATTCAGTGATATCTACAAAGATATTGACTGCTGGTTTAATATATTTTATAGTAGGGTTTTTTGTGTCGAAGTACCAGTTGTTGTACGCATGTGTTCACCCTCCTCATTCTACTGGTAAGGTATGGCCATTAATCTTCCACCGTGTCATACTTGGCCTCTTAATTTTTCAACTTACCATGGTTGGAAACTTAGCCTTACAAAAGGCCTACATTTGTGCATCATTCTTGGCACCCTTACCATTGTTAACTTTAGCAAGTTTATGGAACTTTCAAAAGAACTATATCCCATTATCTATTTTCATTGCGTTGAGATCCATTGAAAACAACGAGTTGCCTCACGTTGCTACCCAGAGCAGCGCAGATAGTTCAGAATCATTAGAAAATAACTACAAGACTTTGGACGAGAGAAGAGAACTCAACAAAACATATGAATACCCACATCTCATTGACAATTTAGAAGGACCGTTAATCGCAATAGATGGGAATGAGATGTTGCTTGTTAACAATGATGGAACAGTTAAAAAGTGCAAAGTAGTTGATGAGTTGTATTAATAGCTTACAAATAGATAATAATATATATTTTAATAATAATTTGATAATATAGTATTAGTTAGAATGTAAAGGAATCCATCCTTTCTATATAGAAAATACTCTCTCTATCGAGCTATACACCAAAGATTCATAGCCATGGAGCTTGACCAAAAAGTCGATCCACTCACTTATAAGAATGTCTGACAAAGATACTCCTGAAAGACTACTAATAATGGTACTCAATATCAATTTAGAAACTACTTGCTCTACGAGTATTGAAAGGAGTACTGTTCCAATTATATGCAAGTACTTCTTAGAGGTTACTACCTTCATCGCTTCGATCGTATTGAAGAAACCGACCAAGTTAATGAATAGCGAGGAATCAGTAGAATTATCATACGGCCAAATAAGCATTAGTATTGGAAATAGTCTGATAGAACTCGACATTAGCACCGTTATGAACAAAACAGATTTACTATAGCCTTGCTGTGAGGCCCTAGGCAAATTTATTGATCGTACGTCATCCCATTGGAAGAATTTATGAAATATGAATTGAATGCAAGAATTAAGGATGGTAACTTCGGTCAACAGCTTTAGTATGAAATAGAAGTATTGTAGGTAGATCTCTTGTGATAATATGAAGTTCATTGACACAGAATGCGTTGACTTTTTCTCTTCATATGCCCATGTCAAATACACTTCAAATAGTATGTACATCAAGAGAAACCTAAAAAGTTTCCGATATGTCCTTAGTATATTTTTGATTGATAAATGGAGCGAGTTCCCTTCGCTGCTATCAATTTGATAATATTCTAGGTTATGAATAATCTCCTTTTCTGTTTCATTGTAAGCTACATGACGATATGCCTGTGGTTTGAGCAAGAGTAGATCAAGAAATAAAATTACATTGTCAAACTCAATATACTTATCAGCCACCTTACCACAATTAGGACACACTTTTAGTCGAATGTACTGACTTTTGAATTTAGAATACAACACATCAATATCAGAGTAAGTACACTCTACACAAATCATATTATATGAGTGTACCAGTTCAAACTAGCAAAGAAGTCAGAGCTGGTAAGTTCAACTTCATTAAAAGTTGGAACACATACTCGTACTATATGCAGGCCACAAAGAACTTGTTAAGACCCAGATAGAACATGGTCAAGTAGTTCAGCTTGTTCACTATGATATATTTCTTGGATATTCTCTGGGCATATAGAACGACTACATGATGAATTTTACTTGCAGATGCTTGTGAATGTGATATAAAGAGTTAACTATATACATATGGACGGAGGTGGTGGGATGTCTGGAACCAGGCCTAACTTGAACGAAACTGCCTTGAAGGCTTCAATTATTTCTGGACCAAGTTCAGATAATTCAGGATTATTTGACGAGATATCAACAGAGTTGCTATTATTATTGTTATTTTGTCCAAATGGAGTCAGAGTCAGGGTAGCACTAGCCAGGTTGACTCCAAACAGGTTAGCGGCAGTTACATTGCTTGAACCAAACGGCAGAGCACTGGCTGCAACAGAAGAATTATTGGTTCCAAACGGCAGGGCGTTTGTTGGGTTCGCACCAAAGGGTGATGAAGTAGTTGGCTTGGCACCAAATGGCAGTGGGTTGGTTTGGCTGGAGCCAAATGGGTTGGAACTTGTTGTTGCACTTCCAAAGGGGTTTGAAGTTGCACCAGCACCAAATGCCAGTGAAGTATTATTGGTCGTAGCAGCATTTCCAAAGGCCAGTGGGGTAGTGTTTGTAGCAGCAGCATTTCCAAATGCCAGGGGAGCCGCGTTGGTAGTAGCACTCCCAAACGGCAGCGCAGAGCTTGCGCCCAAACCCAGGCTACCAAATGCCAGGTTTGTGCTCTTCGCAGCACCAAATACCAGACCAGTGCTACCATTACTAGTGGTGTTCGCTTGAGTACCAAAAGTAGAAGCAGCAGACTTTGCTCCGAATCCCGAACTTCCAAAGCCAGAGCTGCCAAATGGACTAGAACCCGCTTGTCCACCAAATCCAGAGCTACCAAACGCCGATCCCGTTGCTGTTGTAGAAGTAGTATTAACAGCAGTCCCACCAAATCCAGCAGATCCAAAAGCTGAGCTTGTTGCGGGCTTACTACCAAATCCTGCGCTACCAAATGCACCGCCGTTACTAGCACCACTAGCACCAAATGCACTACTAGTGCCATTAGTGGAACCAAATGCTGCACCAGGGGTACCAGCAGCACTAAATGCACCTGTATTTTGTGAGCCGAAAGCGCCAGTACTAGCTCCAGAGCCAAATGAACTGGCCCCAAACCCTGAATTCCCAAATGCAGATGGGGCAGACAGAGCACTCGAGGTGTTTCCGAACACAGATCCTTTATTTTGATTTGAGAAAGCCGATCCTCCAGTATTCAAGTTGCCAAAAGCACTGGCTCCAGCATTATTTCCAAATGCCAGATTTCCAAATGGAGAGCCTCCTCCGCTCTCTATATTTTTTACACTCTCTTCGAGCAGCATTATGAAAGGCTTCGGTGTTATATTCGGATTCTCTGCACTTTTTTGTTGATATCGTACTGCTACACTCTCTCTATTTTTAATTTGACCCACACAGTACATCATATCTTGTGCACGAAGATTCATGTCCTTTTCGAATTGCTGCACAGTGTTACTTGCTTGTGCTTCCAAGTACTTCAATCTCATTTCTTCAAAGGATAAATCTCTCCCTGATATGAGGTTGTTTACGGCAGGATGCGCAAGCCCATACGACGAAAGTGCAGGGATGCATTTAATTTCACTATATTCGTCCATATCTTGTTTAATTTCTCTTGCTTTTCTGTCAACAGCACCGTTGGAGATGAAGTCGCTCAAAGAGTAAATCTTATTCACCTCTCCGGAGTTAGTCTTGTCATTGCTACCTTGCGGATCTGAATGGGCAAAATTACAGTATGCACCCTTGTTACACTTCCCCTGCTTCCAGAACTTGCACACAGGTTTAGCCATTGTTTTACTAGACTAGAAGAAGAACGTAGTGGAGTGCTTTTTAAGCTATGACTTTTTGTTTTTTTTGGCTCAGGCATGTCTCAAAATTTTTCCATGTCGCAGAGTGAGCAGAACCACTTAGAAGTCTACAGAGGGTTTCGGTAATAGGTTGTAAAGGGGCGACTTAGAGGTGTTTCTTATCAATTAGCACTAATAGTACTTCTTTCTTTGATCTTTTACGTATGTATATTTCCTATGGGTTATTATTGCTATCAATAATATCTTTATATGCTTGTAATAGTATGTTACCCTTTTGCGCACTCTGCACAAATGCTTGTCTATAGAGTTGAATAACCTCTCTTAGCACTTGTTCCTTGGTTGTTCTTCCATCCACTATTTCCTGTAAAGAATTCTCTAATCTTTTCCTTAGGAATGGCTTTGAAAGTGAGATGTTTTCGAATTCAATTCTATCAAATCCTTGAATCAATCCCATACCGAGCTCGGAGGGTAATATATACTCGGTTCCCCTCTGCTTGGTCTTGACTACGTAACCCCTGTTGGTGATCTTGAATATATGCTCTGCAATAGTAGCATCAGTCCCTATACCATTCGCATCCATTAGCCCAATCAATTCCGGCTCTGTCATATGATTTGGTGGGCTAGTCTTCCCTTCCTTCATTTTCCCTCCTGTAATACTCCTAGATTCTCCTTCGATAAAATTGGGCAACTGCTTTGAAGACTCCCATTTTTTATATGGATAAATATTCAAGTAATTTTTTGCTATCACAGCTAATCCTGTAGCAGTAAACTCTTCCTTGCCCCATTGTAAGGTGACAGTATTTAGCTCACCCTTGGCGTCATCGGAGCAACACGCCAAAAACCTTCGTACTACATACTCGTACACCTTCTTCAATTTATCATTATCTAAAGCTGATAAATTAACGTAATTGACAGGGTGTATAGGAGGATGTGCCTTATCGTCATTCTTACCTCCCCTCGGAGTCCTATACTTATCTTCATGTAGTAATTCCGAACAATATGACCCCCATCTTGTATCTTGAGATTGTTTTCCAATCAATTCTTTCAAATCCATGGCTTGGGGGAACTGGTCTGTTTCAGTTCTTGGGTAAGATATAAACCCTTTGTTATATAATTTTTCTGCAGCATCAAGGGCATCTTTTGCAGACATCTTGAATATTCTAGCACAATCCTTTTGCAACTCAACAGTTGTCAATGGTAATGGCCTCCAATTACTTGTAGGCTTTCTTATGACTTTGGTGATTTTACCAAACGGATTGGCGATACAGTCTTGATAGATCAATGTTACAAATAACCTATCGAAGAAATGTCCTCTCGTCCACGTAAACGGCACCAACTGTACCTCACCGTCATTTTCCATCTTAATATCCACTGATATATACCAAAACTTCTCAGATATAAAACTTTTTACACGAAGGTAGCGGTCTACGATAAACCCGAGAGTGGGGAATTGACATGTCCCATATGATATAACATTGGATTTCTTGTCTTTGTCCATTGATGTATTGGCTACTGATGACTTTCTAAACAAATCAGTTAGTAACCGCGTGAAACTGGCTCCCACTCTAAGATCCAATTCCATTCGACAACTCACAGCCTTGACGGCATTTAAGTCCAACAGGATGGGGTTTTTAGCAGCGTGAAGAATGTGGTTTCTTTCCAAGTGTGAGAACTGACTTCTTAGTACATTTTCTGATGTCAAGTTGGTATTTGTCAGCCTAGCTGCTTGTAATATCTCCCAACCAATGAATTCCCCTTCTCTATCACAATCGGTCCATATCATTAAGATGTTTGCAGTGCGGGCTTCATTGGCTATATTTTTAAACACATCCTGCTGCGATACCACTTCTAGCGTCGGTGCTTCCAACAACCTACCTGGCGGGCACTTACCCCAGGAATATTCAGGAGGGAAGTCTATATTAGTGATATGACCCACCACAGAAGTCATAGTTACGTCACAGAGACCGTACTGTGGAAAATTAAACTTGAAATCGTAGTTCATTATATACTTAGCTCTAGTCTTACGCGTTCGAGTGGATTCACCGCTGAGGATCTTGGCTACTGCTTTCGAGATGGAAGGCTTCTCAGCCACGCATAAGATTTTCATATTACCATGCACCAAAGATCGAGATTCGATCAAAACTTCCAACCGGACTCTACAAGTACTAACAGAAGACGCCTAAATGTGTTTGTGTTTACCTTATGGTGTTCACCTGTTGACGTTTTTTGTTGCAACTGTTCTCTACATCTCTTAAATCGTGCGGCACGTGAAAACCTCGAATTTTGTTTCTTAGTGTGCGGCAGTAGGTAGGCAAAAAGAGATCAGAGAAGAGATGCCTTCTTCTGGAGAGCTGGGCTAGTTGGTGTTTTCCTACGGTATACAAGATGTCTCAATTGGATAGTCTCTTACAGTGGATTAAGAATACGGAAGATGAAAATTATAAGCCTTCGACACACTCGTTTATATCGCCCAAAACGGTAGTGAAAGACGATGGTGAATGGGGTCGTGGGATCTGTGCTGCTACCAATGTACGAAACCGTGAACTCTTGATGAGAATACCTCCATCCTTCCTTTTAAACTATACTACGGTGCTCAAGCATATTTCGAAATACAATAGCCAAATCAAGCTTCAAGGCTCGCATTATGCCCAAGTGTATGTACCTCCGAGTATACACAATGATGAGGACCAGTTTACGGAGATCTACTCTAGATTTGAGTTAGAAGAGTTAACTAACTGGTCATCCTTTCAATTACTTTCATTTTTTATAACATTCGAAATGCAGAGATTGCAGGACTCTTTCTGGAAGCCGTTCCTCGATATGCTTCCGCCAGCTTCTGATTTCGACCTCGTACCATTAACCTGGCACGTTTTGAAGGTGCCCCATCACCAGGACTTAATAAACGCATTGCCACCATCCACCAAAGCCCACACTGACAAGGTCATAAAAAGGTTTGAAACCGATTACCGCGTTGTTAAAACATGCTTGAAAGGTAAGACCGACAGCTGTACTGACGATATTCTACCAGTTCAGTCCTTCTTGTGGGCATGGATGTGTATAAACTCTCGTTGCTTGTACATGGACATTCCCCAAAAGAAGAATAACTCGGACAACTTCACCATGGCACCATACGTAGATTTTTTGAATCATTCTTGCGAGGATCAATGTAGCTTGAAAATTGACACCACTGGGTTTCAAGTTTACACTGGGCAATCATACACACCAGGAGAGCAAATTTTCTTGAGTTATGGTCCCCACTCAAATGAATTTTTGATATGTGAGTACGGATTTATGTTGAATGAAAATAGATGGAATGATTTAAATATTACAGAACAGATTACGAAGTTGTTATCCCGCGTTCAAACTGATTATTTGAAAGATTTGGATTACTATGGTGATTACACCATAAATGTTGAGTCAGGGCCATCTTTTAGAACTGAAGTGGCTTTGGCAACATTACAAGAACCAAACCCTGGTACTTCTCGTAGATTACAGGCTTTCGTGAATGGAATAACCGATGGATCTAGCTATGACAGGCATTCAGGAATCTTGCTAGATGAGATCTTGCAACAGGTGAAATACTCATGCACCGAGTTGCCAGTAGACGAGGTAAACGATGATAAACTCACAATACTCAGAAAGAAGGTGATACAAAAGCTTTGGAAAGATGCGAGCGACATAATGGAAGGCCAGTCAAAGTAAATATATATGAAATCAAATAGAATAAGGTGGAGCTATAGCTCTTCACAATAGAATAAAGCACAATAGAATAGACTAGAGTAATAGGTAACAGAAGAATTGATGACAAGGGGCCAAAATGGTAGAGAATACAACGTTGGTATCTATAGTTATTTATGTGTATAATATATGAATCTATTCACTTCAAATTCTCGTTGACTTGACTTAGAACGGTTTTGATAGAATGCTTTTCCGTTTCTCTAGATATAGCTAGCTTTTCGCCAACCATATCTAGCATGAACAGGTTCGTATTGGCTGAGATATCATGTTTCTTTGCTAGATTTACTATATACCCATTTATCCAATGAATTTCTGTATTCTTTAAAAGCCGTACATCTTCTCTCATCGACGAACTGTTCTTAGCTGTGCTTCGGCAGACTTGGATCACCAGTTGCAAGAGCCTATCCTCGTCCAAAACAGCTTCTGTGTCTGGTACTGTTTCTAAGAGGGGGAATTCTGCTTTGAAAACATTTATATCCTCCCTGATAATTTTCATCATAGTCTTGGTGAGAGAAGGTGAGTATAAAAGTTCCCCGTTAAGACAATCAAAGATAGCAGTGAGAGGGTTTATGCAAGTGTTAATGATTAGCTTTTCAATTTGCTTGAGTAAGAATTGTGGATATGCTAGATAGTGAGCATTCAATACTTTAGTCGATAGTATAAGTCTTATGAATTCTGGGAGTTGCTGTTGAGTTAGCATCTCTTTCACGTCTGAGTATGGTGATGTCGCATTTGAGCTTGGGCCGGAGATCGAGCTCTCCGTGACTCTGGCTATATCTAGCCTCCCAATTCCTACATGGTTAACTACGAACGGAGAGGACTTGAATGCTCCGTGGGTGCTAATGCACTGGTAAATGGCAGGTCTTCTTTCAGGATATGGCCAATATGTCAGATTTAAATGCTCCAACATCCCCATACCATTTTGGACCAAAAGTATATTTGTATCTGGGGTAATATGATCCACATATTTCCGTAACGCATCCGTTGTTTGATGTGTTTTAGTTGCTATTATCAAATTTTCGATCTTGCTCTCTACAGGGACCCGATAGTCCGAATTTATGGTAGAAAAAGATGAAGTATTGTCAAGTTTGTTCACGATTAGTTTGGAATCCTGATGCTTGAAGGAATCAAAAGATACGGAGTCTTTGAAAAGCATAGTAAAGTTTGGAACTATGTACGGATGGGCTTGTACTAGTTCATGCGCCAACAAGGAGCCCATAGACCCCACGCCTAGAAGGTGTACTTTCGACATTTAGAGATCCTTATCTTGCTTAACCTTCAGGATGTTGCAACCTCTTGTACTTAAAATTTTCTCTCTTGAAATTTTCCAGTACGTCTGACTTTTTTTCTCATTGGAATTGAAAGAAATCAGTACGAGAGTTCAGTGGAGAGGTAGCGCTCTTCTTTGCCAGTACCTATTCACTAGATATTTATTAGATATTTATTAGGTATTATTCGCCCTGATTACCTGATAAAAAGAGTATGCTTATCGTTGGCCTCACTGGGGGAATATCAAGTGGTAAATCTACCGTCTCCTCTACTTTAAATTCTAAGTACAACTTAACTGTAATTGATGCTGACTTGATTGCGAAGCAAGTCGTCTTGCCTGGGCGCAAGGCTTACACGCAAATTGTAGAAACATTTGGAGATGATATTCCTGATCTTGTTGATCCAGAAACTAAAATGTTGAATAGAGCAGCATTAGGTAAAAATGTATTCCCTAATAAGGTGAACTTGAGAAAGCTAAATGGCATAGTTCACCCAGCTGTGAAATACGAAATTGCATGGCAAATCATACAGGCATTCTTCAGGTTTCAAAAATTGGTTATTTTGGACGTACCTTTACTCTTTGAATCAGGATTGAATGTGATCTGTGGGAAAACTATATCTGTTACTTGTAGTCCTGAGCTTCAGCTCGAAAGACTTCTTCTCAGAAATCCAGAACTATCTACAGAGGATGCACAAAGCAGAATTGCTAGCCAGGGGTCTTCTAAGGAAAGAGTTCTTAGATCAGACATAGTAATCGATAACAATGGATCCAAGCTGGACTTGGAAACTGCAATAGAAAGCGTAGTGCATGAAATAACTCCAAATATTATCTGGACTATCCTTGACTTTATCCCTGGGGTAGTGCTTATTTCTGCAGGGATTACCGTTGCTATAGCACAGATTAAGGATAGTTCCAGGAGGAAGAAAATTGTCAAAAGCGATTAACTAAAAATAATAAGGTAAAAAGTTTTGGAAGTTGATGTTATTAAGCTCTCCAATACTGTGCTAAACTATGTAATCTATCTATAACTACTGGCAAAAATGCGTTGACACTATCATTGATCAAGTTCTGAAAGTGTAAGATTGCCTCTTCTTCACTCATTTCTAAGCAAAACTTTTCTTGTACCTTTTCAATCGCCCTTTGAGGATCAATTTGAATATCAGGAATGTTAGCATCAAGCATCAACAAGAATAAATTCAATATCAAGTTACTATTCTTCCTCAAAGTAGTATAAGTAATAAAACAATAATTTCTAAAAATATTGAAATTCTCATGGTTTAAGCCCCCCATGCCAACAATCACTTGGATTGGTAGCTTCATAAGTGGTGGGAATGGTTTGGGATCTCTACCCAATATATAACCGAAGTCTGCATGCCAAAACTTCCCGTTTGGCGAAAGCAATAAATTATCAAGATGACGATCACCAACACCCAATAAATATGTAATGACACAGTAACCAGCGCAAGATTTAACATAATTATCCATGATATATGTACTTACACCAAGGTCTGAGCTAATTGCATGCTTCTGAAGTCTTTGAGGGGGGTTTGTAGTGGCTGATGCATCCACATCTGAGACTGTTGAGACAAAATCATCAGTGAAATCGACTTGGTCATTGTGAAGTCTTAGATAATTTAAAATACCATTCGATGGAACTTGGGTTTCAGATGTCGCGTTAGCAACTGTAGCTTGATTGGCAGTGGAAACCACCTCATTATTATTGCTGTGGTTATTAATAGTTTCATTATTTGCATTATTGCTATGGTTATTGTTATTACTATTATCTAGTGGATTGAGAGCACCATAGTTTGCCAAAACACTATCTAAAGTCTCATTGGGCACAAATTGGATAAATCCAGCTATAGGGCTTGTTGCCAATATCTTATAAGGGGTCAATCTTAAATCAAGATTCTCATTCTTAAGCAATTGGTCCATTAAGTTGATAATTTGAATGACTAACTGATCTTGCCTCAAATCATCACCAATTTTAAACATTAATGGATATTTACCGTACCTAAAGTTCTTTTTCTTGTAGTCTGATTCATGGAAATTGACCACAGTTTTAAAAGTAATCTTAAGAGGTGCCAATGAACTCTTAAAAACTGAAGACTCCTCTGGGTAACATCCACATATTATGACACTTGGATCGAGAGGCAATGGGAATGGGTCCTGAAATTTAAGCAATTCATTCGACGAATCTGCTAGGTAGTCTCTAAGAAATTGCACTTTCTTGCTGGTAGCTTCATTCTTTTTAAAGGTGTTTCTTAATAATTCGACTAAATTCGTCAATTTCTTGATAAACCAAATTTGTCTCTTCAAATGCTTGTAGTTTGGTAATTTACGAGCCTCCGAACGTGCTTTCAACTCCTCTATATACTTGTTTAATACTTGGGAATAAATTGCCAATTTATTGTTATTTGTCTGAATGCCGGTCTTATTAAGCTGATCTTCATTTTCAACCTTAACATACCAATAGAAGAAATTTCCAAGAGTTTCATTCTCAATAGATTTGCTGATTAAAAAAGTTGCAAGCGGAGACTTTAATTCAGTTACAGAAGAATGCTTCGATAATGACGATGCTTCCATAGAATCAAACACCAACGACTCATATTTTAAAGCTTGAACCAATTGAAGTAAATATAATAGCAATTCATCAGCCGGTGCCAACTTCAAACGATCCACAGCAAACTTCTTTAAGAATGACACGTAGCCAAATATTTTCTGTAATCTGGATTCTTCTCCTCCTAAATCTTTGCTCAACGGGTTAGAATTAGTAGAAGGTGCTGCTCCGGTATTTCCAGTATCGGAAGTAAGTGTATAAGGATTAAAATAGTTCCCTAACAATTCCAACGCATCACCAATTTGAATCTTGTCTACTGTCCAATAAGTGGGAATTATTTCATTGAAAACGAGGTTTAACTCATAATCGTTGTCCCAGTTTATTGACTTCAAAAACTTGGTGAAAAAGAATTTGGTATTTTTAGTAGAGCCAACCACAACAGCGATTCTATTTTCATTCGGCTGCTCATTGTCGTTCGCAGATAGATTATTCTTGGAGAAGTAGTAACGAAATCTCCATATCAAATTCTTTTCTATATCTGTTAACTCAATGTTTGAAGGTTTTTGTAAAATTCTCATCAATTCATCTCTCACCTGTGGAGATGGCTTCAATTCTTTATCCAAAAGTGGATTGTTATTGACATGTCTTTCAAGTTTGTGATATTTCAATTCGATTGGATCCAACGTTTGCTGTTGCTGCTGTTGCTGTTGCAGAGGCTGCTGTTGCAGCTGCTGTTGTTGTACTTGCGGGTATGCAAACTGGAAATCTGGGTCATACACTTTAACATTGGCAATTGAATGTTTAGAAGATAACGGTATCTCCACAGCATTTATCAAAACATTGGGATTATTGATATCGTTTGCCAAAATCTGTTTATCCTGATTGTTGATGAACGATTCAGCTTGAAGGCCCAACAAGAAGGGCGTAGTCTTGTAAGTAACATCAGAAAATACAACCGGCATATCAAAGTTTGGAAATTCAATGTAGAGATAGTAGGGACAGATCTCCTTTTCGTCATAAATTTGACTCTTCTTACGATCCTTGCTCCTGGTTTCTTCCACCTTTGGTAGTACCATTTTGTCTAGCCAGCTATTCTTCTCGAAATCTCCATTTTCGTAACTTATAAGCTTCTTTTCCATAAACGTAAGATCAGAAGAAGATCTGTATTCCACGGGAATGCCGTTACTGGTGCCATCGTAGTCAAATATTCTCACCTTTTGAGATCCATTTCTAAGGCTCGAGTTATCTTTATTGAACAATGAAACACATCCAATTCCAAACGGAACTGCCTTTGTATCGACTATTTCCCAAATTTTTATCCTAATATACGATTTATAAGAGATTTGATTATAGTTTATCGGTAATTGGAGATATTGGTCCCATACTCTCTTGTTATTGGAGAATGTCTTGTACGGAGTTTGTATGGGGACCGTAATTGGATTTTGGCTCGGCCCGTCGAAAAGCTGTATTGTTACAAATAATTCTGAATTCGACACTATGCCACTTACCTTTTTAAATATTTCTGGGTTAGAATATTTCTCAGAAGATGGATGGAGATGGTTTGTGGAGCTCCCAAGGTTCGACTGAAGATATCCAATCTTAATTGCCACAGGCGCAATTAAGTCCTTGGAAAGCCCAAACGTACTTGTGTTTGTGTCTGTTAGTAAATTAATATCCGCCATACCTAATGTACAAGTATTCGGCAGTCTGAAGCGTTTCTGTCGTTGTAACCTCTTCCCCAAACTTCTCTGTTGGATGTGGTGAGCTCCAGAAATCTTATCGCGAATTGAAATTTTGATATCAGCTAAACGTGACTAGGTGAGAGTATAGCTAAATGTGAGTGTGAGAGGTGAGAGTGAGACTAAATGTAAGTATGGACTAGATGAGAGCATTGAGTAGGTGATGAGTACAACTAGTTTACGAAAGTAGACTAGATATTGAGTTGATAAGATGATAGTAGGGAAATTTCGATAATACCACTAAAAATGTTGGTTCTTGAGTTCTGCAACACTTCCAAACGATATTATATACTTCATATGAGGTTATGTATTAATTTTATATATGTCTACGTACAAATAAATTAAACTCTATTCTGACCAAACCAAACATAGTCACCCTTTTTTTTTGCAGAATCATTCTTCTTTTTCTCGTCTTCCTTCTTTTCGTCCTCTGAATCTTCAGAATATGAGTCAGAATCATCTGAGTCTAAGTTATAAAAGAACGGTTTTTTCCCCTTGACTGCAGCTGCATTGCTATTGCTAGCGTTTTCCTTGGTTGTTATACCAACTGCATCAGAATTGGTGGCGCTGGCGTTGCTGGAGTTGCCCTCTGTACGATGCTCGAGTAATGTTGGAATAAACGTAACTGAACTACGACGACGCCCACGGTTTGTATGCTGAGATTGTGAATGCGAACGTGTACGTCTGATAACAGAATTTTCTGGAGATATGCTATCCTTATCCTTCAGTGACTGCTTATCAGCGAAAGACAATTCAAATAATTTGTTTTGCAATGCAGTGGCTGTTGCCCTCTCTTGCTGCTTTTCAGTGATGCGTTCCAATTGATCCGAAGATGAAGAAGGCGATGAAGATGATTCTTTCTTATCTTTGTCAAAGTTGCTTTGAATATCTTCATTGCTTCTGTTGCTTTCAGCTTGCGTCTTCTCTATGTACTTTGCTAGAAGTCCGTAGGCATTAGGATTTTTCTTCTTATGATTTAATGAAGTAGACCTATTAAGCAGCATCGTCATCATATTTGGACGACTTTCATTTTGGGGTGTGTATCCACTTTGCTCCTTAATCAGATTCAAATCACTTCCTGAGCCATTTGGACTTGGTTCTTGCAGGTCATTTGCATTTGAAGGTGAGCTTATCTTAACCCCCAGAGGGAAATAGGAATCCTTAGCTTCATGAACAACTTGGACAATAGGATTTGATAAGGATCTTTTCCTATTACCAGATCCTCCCCCTGAAATACCATTTGCAGTAGATGAACTTACACTAATAGGATTGCCCAGTTGTATCGAGTTAACGAACTTGGAAAAGTCTATAATTGAGCTATTAGCTGATGATCCATTCGATCTAGCTGATTGTGCAAGATTGACCTTGGAGTTAACTTTGGAATTTAATTTGTGAATCGGTATTTCTGATGCAGTTGAATACCTTAATTTGACTGGCTTATATATTTCATCATTATCGATCAACTTACTTAAGTCAATTACTGAATTATTTCTAGTCGGTTCAGATGTTGGAGAAATTTCCGGAGAAATTGGTTTTAACGGATGATTCGTTATACTATAATCCTCTTTAAAAGCTTCCAGATCCATTCTCTTAAGCAGGAAAAGGGAACTCATTTTATACTGAGAACTGGCGTTGTCTGGCACCCAATCTTTAGCAGCTGCACATATTGGTGCACTTTTTAGTGGTTTTGGTTTATTACTTAATTGATTATTACCATTTACGATAGTCATAGAAGGATCAGATCCATTTGCAGTTTCATTTAATTCATCTCTGGGGTTGACAGTTTCTATTTTGAAAGATTTTCTAGGATAATCCCAATCTGAAGGTGTCCAAGCATTATGCTCTTCAGGTTTGTTTAACTCGTCTTTCTTGATGAAGTTTGTCTTATAATAGACTATGTCAGTTTCCAAGTTTAAAATCGTATTGATCGAACTCCTATCCCCAATAATTCCAAGGGCATCTTTAAACAACTTCCATATGAGCATGGATGTGTCAAGATCACCATCTTCTTCCACTTTCACTTCTCTATCGTTCTTTTCAATTCTTCTGGCATAGTTTATCTTGCTCTCTGGAATTTCTTCGAAAATAGGATGATTCAAGAAGTAAGACATGAAATTATTGATCATGTATCCGTGAGAAATCACTATTACTATGTCCTTATTCTTCACATTAATTGGTTTATCGTAAGTTGCTATCAATTTTTGAAAATAGTCCTTACTCCTTGCCTGGTAATCTTTGTAGCTTAAGCCGGGCCCATTGTATTGGCCCAAAGTGTTCGTAGGGCGAAAGTTCGAACAAGCTGACTTATTTTTCATTAATTTTACGTTGGGTGTATACATATGATACACATCATGTGTGTCTACAAATGGAGCTTTATCTTTCATCTTTTCATGGATCCATTCTGATAATGCAAAATCTCCCAACAACAGGAACTTTATCTTATAGTTTGGATACTTTTTCAGTAGTGATTCTTTCAAGTTCGTCAACATGATGTCAGCAGTCTGACAGCACCTCAAGTAAGGTGAAAAATGTATGAATACGTTCTTTCTCGTTCCACTAGGTTTGTCCAGATCAAACGACGTTGTACAGTCCACAATCTCATCGGATGCCGATTTGATTTGATCCAAAGCAGCCGTGGCTAGGGAAGGATCATACGGTTCATACACCGGATGTATTGGTTCTGCTGTGGGGTCTTCTTCCAATGCATGATCTATTCTTTTCCCGTGCCGCAAAAAGAACAACTCAGCCATCGTGAGGTGTGGTGTGAAGGTATTGTCTTGGCTTACTTACTGAGCAAGTTGGAGATGTGAAGGGTGGGTGTATTCCTTTCGTTTCACTTTTCGGCTCCCAAACGAATTGCTAGAATATCCTGCGGTGTTGTAGCTAAGATTTATATCTGAAACACAGAGCAATAATCAATAACCAAGTAAAACAAAAACGAGACGAAGCAGCCCAGAGGTTCCACAGCTCAATCTGGTTATTCTCAAATTTCTTTGTCAGGTGAGCAACACAGTAGTCACCTTTAGAAGGACCGCTAAAAACTGTAAAATACTACGGAGAAACTTCGATCTAGCTAGCTGTTCCAAGCCAATATTAGACTATCAAACACTTCCAAGTAAAATTACTGTAAAAGAAACCACTAACCAGTTCTTTCTTCTTGCCACAAGGCTTCTTTACTACACCTGGCGTCCGCTATTGTGTAAAGACGGTTGACAATTTCGGTGGTGCATACAGCAGCAGTTAATCTTTTGCACACCCAAGGGGAACGCAGTAATAATTTTTTTTTTTTAATTTTTTTTTTTTTTTTTTCCCCTACTACTACATGAAACACTACGATGTATCTATTCGGGATTCAACATCTTCATGTGACATGAGTAAATAGCACACACAATTATTAGGGTTCCGATTAGGGGAATGGGTAATTGGAAACTGGATGTTCGTATTTTGGGTTTGGTCACTCGATTTAAGCTTTAGACATGTCAATGTTGAATCTAAAATATTGGATCATGTCAGTTTGGATTCCTTCTTAAGACCCAGCAACTTCTATAGTTAAAAATATTTTTCCGAGATTTAACGCCCTTTTTTTTTTTTTTTTTTTCTCTCTCTCAAGTGAAATAGCTTATGATGTCATACTGAACAGTATTTCATGCATGTGCTCAGAATGAATAGTTCCAGTCAATTGTCTGTACATGTTTTTCCATTATGGTGTGTGCGACTGTTGACAATTTTTTTTGTTTTTTTTTTTTGAGCCAGGGAACATGCTCTCTATACAGGATCTCATGCACGAAATTCTCACACGTATTCCTAACTGGGCCAAAGCACAAATGAAAAAAATGAATGTGTAGTAGTTATCAGAGTAGTGAAGACACAGCTGGGGCAATTAGTAGAGCAAAGTGATACTATAAGTCGCATATTTTGTAGTGGAAGCATACGCAAATACCCACTCTTGCAATATGGAAGTTCCGTTTCATGATCCCGTGCACAGCCAGTCGCCAATTCGGAAGTCACGTACTCAGATGCACAGTATAGACTTGGATCACATTCACGATCACGATCACGACCACGACCACGGTCATACTCAGCATCTCGACCACCCAAACAGCTACCAGCCACTACCTTCAATATCGCACACTCATGCTCTAGTGGATACTTCATTGCAATCCGGGCCTACTTCACACTCACACTCACACTCACACACTCCTTCGCATTCCGGGGTGCCTATGGTTGCTTCAACGTCAATCAAGCGTATCCTCACGCCAAAGCGCAAAACTTCGTTCACATCACACCTAGTTGGAACTCTCCCAGTTCTAATTGCCTTTCCTAGCATACTATTATCGGCGCACTTGTCCCATGTGCCGTCTGAGTCCACCTCTTTGTCGGTACTATCTATAGCGTCTCTTCTGACACTTCTATCAGCAGCCTTTTTGTTGATAGCTAAAGTACTCGTTAACTTTAACGTGATCGGCAATGACACCGCAGCTGAACTAAAAGAAAGGAGCACGAAAAGCTCTACCACCACGACATGCTTGCTCTTGGTGGCTGGGACGTTGATATATACCTCCGCCCACTTGTTGCCTATACCGAGAGTCTCAGTCTTGTTTTTGGGGTTATACTTGAACCAATTCAATTTGTATACATTAGTTGCATTCATCATTGATTGCTCCTCGATAGCATCTTCAAACACAAGCATTAGCCATGTCTTCCTTGGGTACTTCTTGGTGATTGCTTCTTTCAGAATCTCGTACAAGAAACTAGTCACTAAGTCAGCCATATCGACGATTTCTCAATTGAACTCAAACTTGTTGATTGGATCATTACTAGCTCTGGCGTTTACTACATCATTCCCTGCTATTATTGCTGGCAAGGGCTTTGGTTTGGCAATGCTTGGAGTAAACATCTGTGCCTCTTTCATCCTATTGATTTCATTGCAAGATTGTCAATTGAGAATTCCCCTTGTGAATCCAATTCTCATATCAGCAATCTCTTTAGTATTGGAATACGTTGTACTTGGTACACAGTCGACTCCTTTCACCATATTGCTTAAGATTTCGCTTCCAGCGATAATCCAAATAGACGACTCTGTTGAATTGAGGGAGGAAGAGGCTGAAAAGGATCACACTGTGCCTGATAATGATACTAGCAGCAAAAGCAATTCAATAATCAAAGACGTTTTACTGCATTCAGATACAAGGGCTATATTCAACTTTTTACTTTTGAACTCTGCCTTTATGTTTATTCAGCTTTTATACTCGTTTAGATCCAAATCTCTTGGTTTATTGTCTGACTCCTTGCATATGGCATTAGACTGTACATCATTGGCGCTAGGATTGATTGCAGGAACACTACTGAAAAATCCCATTGACATCAATGGTAAATACCCCTTTGGGTTGAAGAATTTTGAGATTCTTGCTGGGTTTACCAACGGTACATTGTTAGTCGGAATCTCGGGTAGTATTATATTTGAAGCGGTAGGAAGACTCTGGAATCCAGTGACACTTCAAAAGACAAACGAATTGATTATAGTTTCTTTTTTGGGTTTATTGGTTAACTTAGTTGGTATCTTTGCCTTTAACCATGGTCACGGGGGCGAGGGAGGTGGACACAGCCATGGACACAGTCACAGTCATACACATAGCCATTCGCATGGAACAGGTACTGATGAAGGCGATAGTTCAAACTCACATATGAATGACAACATGAGAGGTATTTTCCTTCATATTCTCGCCGATACCCTTGGATCTGTCGGAGTCGTTCTTTCCACTATTCTTACCAAAGTATTTAAATGGGAAGGGTTTGATCCTCTTGCTTCAATAGTCATTGCAGTTTTAATTTTCCTTTCCGCCATTCCACTAATCAAATCAACTGCAGGACAATTGTTACTTAGTACAGACACCAAGAAGGAAAAAATGCTAAGATCTGTATTAGAGAACTTGACTGAAGTAAAGGGAGTCAAATCCTACACAACGCCTAGATTCTGGCCCTCCAATGACTGTCTGGCACTTACCGGGTATATCCACGTCCAAATATACAGAGGAGAAAACACTACCTATATTAAGAAGCAGATTGAAAGACTTTTCGAGGTGGAGGACATTCTGGTCACTATCCAGATTGAGAACGATTATGATGATTGTTGGTGCAGATCAGACAGTGAAATCAACCCTATATAGGCAAGAAGTGCATTAGAGTGATTGAAATATTTTTCGATGTACCCTATCGCCTTCCGACTCTTTAGCTTGCCCTACTCCCATATAAATACTTCCATGCACATTATTTATACACATAAGCCGTACCATGCCACTGTAGTACTCTCTTCTTCTCTTCTCTTCTCTTCTACGTTTGCAGCCATTCACTGTGCAGCACCCATAGTGGTGCACGCACGCTCATCTCGATATGCTTATAAATGTGCCAGCCTTAGAAAAAGAAAAATGCACAGAGAAGAAGAGGACTAGTCATCCTGAAGCACACCGTAACATGTCTAGGGTAGGAGTATTAGCATTGGGGCCAGCCGGGGTTGGTAAAACCACGTTTTGTAACTCAATTATAACGCACATGCAGTCGATCGGACGTCGTGCTCATCTAGTTAACTTGGATCCAGCTGCGGAGGCAACCGAGTACGAATTCACGATTGACATTAGAGATTTAATCTCACTTCAGGACGTTATGGAAGAGATGGATTTGGGGCCAAACGGTGCTCTTATATACTGCTTTGAATTCTTGTTGAATAACCTTGACTGGCTAGATGAAGAGATTGGAGATTTCAACGACGAGTACTTGATCTTCGACTGCCCAGGTCAGATCGAACTCTACACTCACGTGCCCGTGTTGCCCACCATAGTAAGGCACTTACAGCAACAGTTGAACTTCAATTTGTGTGCAACGTACTTGCTTGAGGCTCCATTCGTTATAGATAGATCCAAGTTCTTCTCCGGGGCCTTAAGTGCCATGTCTGCCATGATCTTGTTGGAGTTACCCCACATCAATATCTTGTCTAAGGTAGACTTGATTAAAAATGAAGTTTCCAGGAAAGAGTTGAAGAAGTTCTTAAATCCAGATCCCTTGTTGTTGAATGCTGCTGACGATAAGGAGACGAATCCGAAATTCGCAAGGCTAAATAGAGCAATTGCTCACTTGGTTGATGACTTCGGCATGGTGCAATTCTTACCGCTTGACTGTAACAAGGAGAGTGACTCTGTAGCAAACATTTTGAGTTACATAGATGATGTAACGCAATGGTCTGAATCGCAGGAACCCAAGGAGCCAAAGGATGAAGCGGAGATAGACGATGACGAATGAGTAGAAGCTACATGGGAGATTCCAGAGAAGAATTGAATATTGGCTGTGTATTATAGATAGGAGTAAATAGGCTACGCAACGTAAATACGTATATATATGTACAAGGACAAATTGACACGAACTCCGCTGGCTTAGGTACCTTGACCACATTACTGTAGCACATTGAACCATTACACCCATTAGCATCTCCTCCCATTACCAGTACCACCATCTCTAACCTCTGGAACTTCCTAATACATCATCCTGCATATAATCATGAAAAATAATCCAAATTTCTCAAAAAAAAAAAAAAAAATTCAATTTTCAGAATTTTGTAAACTGAAAACACCAAGACTGTTAGACAACGACCAGTTTTAGACTATTGAAGCTGTATCGGTCGTAGATTTTGTTTCTGATACGCTTACTACACATCATATTTATCAATGGTTGCAATTACAGAAGTGAGCAGAGAAACGCAGGGCAAGGAGAGCAGAACTGCTGCCCACACACACATCAAGGGCCTTGGCTTGGATGAGCACGGGATTGCTAAGCGTGTTGAAGGGGGGTTTGTGGGCCAATCAGTTGCTAGAGAAGCCTGTGGTGTTATAGTTGACTTAATCAAGTCCAAGAAGATGTCCGGTAAGGCAATTTTACTTGCTGGACCACCAGGAACTGGTAAGACAGCTCTAGCCTTGGCCATTTCTCAAGAGTTAGGACCAAAGGTTCCATTTTGCCCTATTGTCGGCTCGGAACTTTACTCTGCCGAAGTGAAGAAGACTGCTGCTTTAATGGAGAACTTCAGAAAGGCCATTGGATTGAGAATCAAGGAAACCAAGGAAGTTTACGAGGGTGAAATCATTGAGTTGACTCCTGAAGAAGCTGAAAACCCATTGGGTGGATATGGCAAGACAATCAGTCACGTCATTGTTGGCTTGAAGACCGCCAAGGGGACCAAGAACTTGAGACTCGACCCAAGTATCTACGAGAGTATTCAAAAGGAAAGAGTTGCAGTAGGTGATGTCATCTATATTGAGGCAAACACTGGTGCAGTCAAGAGAGTTGGTAGATCAGACGCCTATGCCACTGAATTCGATTTAGAGGCTGAAGAGTACGTCCCATTACCTAAGGGAGAAGTTCACAAGAAGAAGGAAATCATTCAAGACGTTACATTGCATGATTTGGATGTCGCTAACGCAAGACCTCAAGGGGGTCAAGATGTGTTGTCCATGATGGGTCAATTATTAAAGCCAAAGAAGACCGAAATAACTGATAAATTGAGGTCTGAAGTCAACAAAGTAGTCTCCAAGTACATAGACCAAGGAATTGCTGAATTGATCCCTGGTGTTTTATTTATCGATGAAGTCAACATGTTGGATATTGAATGTTTCACTTACTTAAATAGAGCTTTAGAAAGCACTATAGCGCCAATTGTGGTATTAGCTTCTAATAGAGGTATGACCACTGTCCGTGGCTCTGATGATGATAAGAAATCTCCACATGGATGCCCACCAGATTTGATTGACAGATTGTTGATTGTTAGAACCTTGCCATACAACAATGAAGAAATTAAAATCATCATCTCCAAGAGAGCCGCTTTGGAAAGCTCCTTAATCACTTCCGAAGCCTTGGACAAGTTAGCATCTCATGGTTCTACTAACTCGTTACGTTATGCGTTACAATTGTTAGCCCCAGCTGGTGTTTTGTCAAAAATTGCTGGTCGTACTGAAATTGGCGTGGAAGATATCGAGGAGTGTGAAATTTTGTTCTTAGATAGCAGAAGTTCCACCAAGATCTTAGAGGAGCAAAAGGGGTATTTGTAAAATTTAGTAATTGAAGAAGCAAGTGAATCAAGAGAATGAAACACTTAGGAGTGAAAAATGCCAAAAAAGTAAAAAAAAATTTGAAGAATTCGAAAGACACGGAAAGAAAATAAACTGGAATCAGATGTTGGTCGAAGAGGAATTGCATGATTGTTGATTTTGTGACAATGCCAGTTTAATTGAAGAATGGGAGGGAATTGGATACAAGGGTCCTGTGACATAACGTGAATCGTGAAACTTTCTTGATATTGTCAGATGTAGCCCTACAATCATCTAGACCATTTTACATTCGTCAGCGTTCACCAAAATCACATGAAATTTGCTCTAGGAAAGGCTCCCAGAAACTCTTAAGTAAATAGATTAATTTATTTAGAATGTTGAAATCTAAACAAAGAGACTTTGAAGTGCTTGTAGCTGTATCGCTTATTTAGCCGTTGTTGCATTAAATTTATACTCCTTCACGTTTCAAAGAAGAAACAGAGAAGGAAGAAAATAAACTGGAATCTAATGTAGAGAGTTCTAAACAAAAAATAGAAACTGAAATAGGCTTGGCGGCTCAAGGTTTGGAAGAATAAAATAAATATACAAGCAATAAACCTGGCTGACGACTTTTTGATGCAACGTTGGTTAAACAGAGATCCTTTCTATTTTCGATTAGCCATTAATTGGCTTAGATATCCTAGGTATGTATGGCTATTCTGATAATGCCAATATTTCTAGACGATATCATGTTAATAATGACTGCCCTTTCATTCTAGTGCGCTTCATCTAAGCTAATAAGTAGCAAAAGCGAAGTAGTTCATGATTTTTCATTTCTCCAATACTTTAAAATCTTAAATTGAAAACAAGAGCCGAAAGAAAACAGTCACCTGTGATTCATTCTTAAATTTTACTACAATAAATGAAACGTTGTAGTATCAATGTTAAATATTTAATATTCAATGAGTGCATAGTAATTCCGTTTGTAACATGAATTGAAAGGCATTCAAGAAATCACGATATCGATATGCCTTATCTCTCCATTATCTCTCCATTATTTTCTGGAATACCTAGTGAGGTCAGTCCCAACATAAATCAACCAAGTACTGTATGAAATGATGCTTACACGGATACCGTTCTCCATTTCATTCTACATGTCTCTCATAATGTATGAATTTCTCCTTTATTTTACTACTAACTACAATACAAACATTTAACTTTTGCCCATCATACGTTGAATGTTAAACTCGAAATTACTCACACTACATGATCACTAAATGTGCCCTGTATTAACTTTAATATCATCTACCTAAAAAGTCCGGATTAGGCAACGTTGCCACCTGCATGCTTGGCGCCTATAGGCAATATGGGTTAAGCTTAATGTAAAAACGTCTTTATTTTATTTCTCGTATCTTTCTAATTATTCTCTTAAAATGATCTTCTTAATCTTTTAAGCATATAATGCATATTAGATACTCTAAAAATAGGCAGACCCATAGAGTTTCTCTAAATTATCATGTGTAATAAAATAAATTTTGTATTAAAAAATAATTAAGTAAAATACAAGAATTTTTCATGCATAAATGTCGGCACATACGCTTAGCAAACGGCCCAACATAGATACTATCCGAATAGACCGATAATAAAAGATATCGGCGGCATAAGCCCAAGACTTTCAATCGGAAAGTCAGGAACTTTTTCCAGTACTGCCGAAGCATGGCTCTAATTTTCCAACTTTCCAAGACGAGCGCATTGATCTAAGAATTCGGTAGCTGTGATGATTGAGGTACTACCGTAGGTGATACTTTTATTTGGTTTGTTAGGTTGGTTGGACCACTCTTGAAGATTCAGATATTCTAGATAATTACCACCACCAACGATGAACACCAAGGAATCTTGGTAGGTTTGTCTTTTGGGAGGCTTCGAGTGCCCTCCTCTTGATTTAGGGTCAAGATATAGGTAGTCGTCGGTCAATTGAACTGAAGAAGTTGGTGCATTGGTTGGATCCATAATTGCTTCAACTACATTGGTAATAGGCAACTGCTTTTTATCAGGTAAAAGATTCTTCAAACCTGACGCTAATGAAGTCAATCCTTCAGTAATTCTTCCCTCGGTCAATCCATACAATTTGGATGATAAACCATTGAACAATGCAGAATTATTCTTAGAATCGTAGCCTCCATTACTGGACCCAGATGACCCTCCGTCATTGGCTAAATCGGTCAAAGGTAAGTTGGAAAGTTTCATAATTTCTTTATATTTTTTAATGTAATTCAACGCATTCAACTTATCCAGCAAGCCTTCTTTCGATCTTAATATAGATTCACATTCGTCTTGGAATGATTTCGGCAAATTTGTAACTAATATCAAGATAAGATATGTTCTCAACTTGTCAGCGCTGTTATCTCTTTTACTTTCGCTCTTTAAGATCTCCAAAAATTGACTCTGTATTTTAGGATCATTGTAATTCTGTTCAATTTCGAAAAATTTGTCTAACGACTTGGCCTCCAATTCTTTTAAAAGGGTAGCAAGTACATCCATATGCATGTCAAGGGTTGCCTTTCTTGCAGTTAATTCGGGCAACGCATCCACAGCCTGTTGAATGTTGGCAGTATCTGCGTTTGGATTCGAAGGGTCGATGTCGTTGAAGGATGAAATACCTGTCTTTGCAGTTAAATCATGTGCATCTTTTTTGTAAGTGTTAAGATCCATATCAGCATTTTCAACAACATCTGGGAATGGCAATTGGGAATTTTTGTACCAAAAAAAGTCATTCGGATCGACATCGTACTGCTTTACGTTTTGTTTGACTGTTCCATCAGGAGAAGTATTAGTATCATCAAATTTTACGACCTTTATAGTGTTTCTCTTTAACTCCAATACATCACTTACCATACACTGGTATATCCAAGAATGAGAGAACATTGATGCCAAATCAATTGATCTGTCCAAAAGGATTAAAACCGGTCTCTGCTGTACAGCCGTACCGTTTGAAGACGCTCCGGCATTGTTGCCCAGCTGGGTATTACTGCTACTGTTATTATTTAATGTTCTGGTATTATTGGCATAGTCTCTTAACTTCAAGTCCAATTGCGTAGCCACCAATTCGGCAGGGCCACCCCTAGAACATCTGATAATTGGAATATTACCCAATGTGATGATAGATGCTAAAATTCCGTTGGCAATAGTGTCTGCTAATTGATGGATTTCGTCCTCTTTGGTCAAAGGATTATTGAATTTGGTGTACACTTGATCTAAGTCCAAAGAAAAGAGCTCTGGCTCTGTGACTATGAAATCCAAGTACTGATCGTACACTTGATGGATTTTATGGCCCTGGCCAGATATGGCCACTTTTTTAGCAAATTCTTCCAATAATTCACGGTCAATGGTGGATGTGAAGTTAATGTAGAAGCCCTCGTACATCTCGTTGGTGAGATCTTCTATAATCTGCTTGATGTTGGCAGTAGTGGGCTCAACGAAATACACAGCAGGCACATCAGGCAACGGCGATCTCTTAGAGTGAATCAACGAGTGGATTGTTACTCCACATCTCAACAAGTCATTCACCCGGAGGACCGACGATACAATTGCCTGGGATTTGGAGTCAAGTACCAACACCTTCCACACCAACTCTTCTGTCTGACTGGCCAACGTCAAGTCCGCGGCACCGTCTTTGTTCAAATGGAGCATTCTCTCCAAGGTGCCAATCTGGCGCTGTCTCAAAGTGTCCTCAACCAATGACATTCTATTGTATGTGTTACGCAAGTGATTACTGTCTAACCGGCTCTGTATGTGTCACAGGATGCTTTACGCTCATCCTCCGCCAACTTTCATTTACGTGTTGCCATTTTGCGAAGTTTTGGTGTTTGTGATTTTTGCTGCACGGACTTCTGGGGCTAGACTGCCTGTTTGGGAAGAAAGCTTGAGACGGTTGTGGTGCGAATTAGAAACTAAAATAGAGCGCTTTTGTGTTACTTTAGCATGCACAAATACGCTTCATGCTCACCTCGATTTATTACATGCTGTTTAAAGTGCGAGGATGCATGGACAAGAAACGAGATAAGAAATAAAAAAAATATATATACGTGAAAATAATAAAGAGCTGAAATGCGGACATTGAATTCTAAGCTCGGCCGAGCGTGAAGCAGATGTACGAGTATGTCATTAATTGGGTGAAAGAGCCGGGAAAATAACTCACCAAGTTATCACTCTCTGGCGGACAAATTAACACAATTGGTAATTCTCTGCAGTTGTAGTGCTGTGGTAGTCTCGTGTCCTTAAGTTGATCGTGGCAAAGCGTCGATTCTGTATTGAGAATATTTTTTGACGCAATCTGTTTTCATTTTTTTTTTTTTTTTTTTTTCCTCACGTTTTTTCTTCTTTTGTCTGTTTTCTGCCTTTTGGGTCAAAATCGTAAGGGTTTTTAAGTTTGACAATATTTGCACCCAAAATGTTCACAACAGCAAAAAGGTGACACGACGACTATAATCGCCTGGGGAAGTCCACGGCGGAATAGGCTTACCTGAAGTCATTCCTAATGTGGTTAAACCTCAAAATGTGATATTTTCCCATCTGCGTTGTTGCCCCCTTAACCACACACTATGCACGTTGATTAGTGGCTCATAGTCTACTGCAGTTTTTCAAAGTACGACAAACGTCTTTGCGCGTCATAGAAAAATCGCTCGCTTAAAGAACTACTAGTATTAGATAAAAGGGTAGGATGTGCTGGCTGATTAGAGTTGATTACTAAGGTAGGGACGCAGGCAACGGAAAGACATCAACGCCTGTGTGCAAACGGAGAAAAATGACCCGGAATCACATAAAAAATGAGGTGAAAACAACATGTCACATATTTTTAGAAGCTCAACAAGAGTGGTTGAGATTACTTGCTAAAGACATGGTCGCGGAAACAAGTAGATTCCTCTGTTTCAAGTGTCTTATCTTCTATCCTAAAGATCTCCTACATGTTTCGTTGTTGTTCTGTTGTTTTTCTTTCAATTAACTTCTATTATTATGGACCTTATGGACCTATTTACTCTTGTACTCTACTATTCCCCTGAGAACCTTGATCTTTCCGTATAGCTCATGATCTATTGTATTTTCCTCCAACTTAGCATCCTTCTGCTTGTTTTTGTGCTCAGTCCCCGGCTTGGGCCATACACAACTCAACCCAAGTCTGCAGCACTCGGTACATCTTGGTTTTGTTTCACAACATCTCTTCTTACGCTGTCTACACGTGAGACACCCTAATCGTGATCTTTTTGTCACCACCTTGGTTCGACCTATCCCACCTGCTCCGCTTCCTAAGCTGTCCTTGGACTGTAGGTATCTGCTCCGCTTCTTGTCTAAAGAAGATATCGAGCCAGATGATGATGAGCTGATCGAACCAGAGTGGTTGAGCTTGCCACCCATCATGGAGTCTTCTGATTCAAGCTTCACATCCGATGAAGATGGATACCCAAACGAATTTAACTGGTGTCGCACTAGGGAACCTGCTCCGTGTGCGTGTTGTTGCAGTTGTTGTTGCTGCCATATGTTATACTGATCCTGGTCCAAATGACTCGACTGTTGTTGCAATAATGGGGAGTATGCTGCAAGCTGTGTCTGGGGAGAGATGTTGCTGCTCAGTTGCATCTGGGACAGTTGAGACAGATCGTCATGGTAAACGTGTGAAGTGCCGGGGTACTCAGCACCAGACCCGTTGGAATAATGGTACGAGTATGAGTGGATAGGGATCTGCAGCGCTAGCTGTACACTCCTTCCAGTAGAGTGCTGTTGGTCTTGCTGCTGTTGCTGTTGCTGTTGCTGTTGCTGCTGTTGCTGAGACAGATGGTACTGTTGCGATTGAATGGACTGTTGTTGCGCCTGGATACTGGCCAGACTCTGTCTTAAAGTTTGTGCAGCCACCAGGGTTGTGGTCGACTGCTGTAATTGAGGAAGCAGCAGGTGTTGTTGTTGCTGGTAATTCCCATTACCATCACCCCATTTGGGATGATTCCAAGAATTCATAGTAACGAAAGAAATTTTTGAGAGTTGATGAAGGTTTATTGCAAATATATACCAACCTCCGAAAGTTTCGGCGATTTATATATATTCAAACCTCTTGTGGGGTGTTCCTCTCTCTAAAGAAGAAAGTTATGTCTAATATACTCCCGATGTCACTGTCCTAGCTATCAGTTTTCTCTCTCTTTTCTTATTGACGTTAAGAAAATTTCGAAAACTCCAGGGCTCCCTCGAACTGCTGAGAATAAGCTTCTTTGAGGTGGTGCGAACAGAGAAAAAAGGTTCGGCTACTTGATGCAGAATTGTGCAGCAGTTGCGAATAGTTAATCTGTAGGAAGAAAATAGGACCCTTCTTTTCGCCAGATAAGGTGCACAGGTCAGGCTAGTGTAGAAACAAAAGTGGTGCACTGTTAGGTGGTAGTGGAAAGGGGTTGGGATTCCTTTTTTGGCTCTTTTTTCTCCAGACTTGTGTGTGGAATGACTCGTACTATAAGTCCGGTAATCAAATGCTAATGTGATTTTTTTTTTCTTCCCAGAAATTCTGCAGGTGCCAGATTGAAATATGTGGGACTATTTTAGGACTGTTCAAGTAGAAGGTGGGGGCTAGTGGCTTTTATTTTTATGGGGCCTGTGCTAGAAAATATCCACTGGGTATTGAATTCTGTTCGAATAGGGTAAAGCTAAGCCCAATATTATGAACGAAGTACCGTGGGCTGTATGTGTGGGATAGACACAATCTTAGTATACCCGAATCTCGTACCTGTGGAACCGGTGAGGGAATAAGTTCGCTTAGAGAAGCGTATAAACGTTATTAGCGGTGGTGGAGAAAACCGATAATGTGTGTGCTTGTGTCTAATCTAGGTAGTCTAGATCGAACAGCAGCTAGGTTTCAATTAGTTATGCGTGCGTTATGCTCTTCCCCTGTCGTGAAACTTGAGGCAAGAATTAACTGAACTTAACTACAAAAGCCGAGAGAGTGCTGAAATATATCCTGAGTATGCGTGGCAAAGAGCAAAAAAATAAATCGTGAAATATATGCTTTTGATCTAATGCAAGATAGTCCAAGAAGTACTTCTGTAAAGTGGTATATGAATGCTAAACTACTTTTGATTCGTAAATGGGGTACTTTTTATCCGTGACGTGCCTAGATAAAAAAAGTTCCTCGAGTGAGTGATAAGAAGCAATTTGCCTGAAATGTGACTATGTTAGTATGCTTGTCTGTCTTTCCAACGAGATACAAAAAAAATTCAAACATTTTAAGAGTTTCAGATAACCATTTGAATGAATTTATTCTGATATATATATATTATTTTCAGTGTTCCAATAAAGGTGTAGGGACATTACTTGCAAAACGTATCAGTAGCGTACACGTGACTTATGCATGTACAATAGTATTTTTAAACATTGACAACAACTTGCAGCATGTTGCAGATGGAAACCTGGATGCGGCGTAAGTGCACACCTACGCCTTTTGGAATTCTTGACTTGGTGCAGTGACTTACTTTGCACGGCGCTTTTAAATAGTATTTGCAGAGGGAAGTAAAGGCTATCTCGTGGTAATAATAATAATAATAATAATAATAATAATAATAATAATAATAATAATAATAATAATAATAATAATAAAATAATAATTATCAAATCACAATAGCGAACAACAAGAATGTTAAAATGAGCTCAATCAAGCACTCTAAAAAGGGCAATAAAATGAGCAGTGCAAAGTGTACGCGTTTGCATATGTATCACGGCCATAAGATTGGATTAGTCCATTTCATGTATGAAGGTAACGTCACTCTATGTGCCTTCCTACAGTGATTCGACGTGAGAGTGGGGTTAATCGTAGGTGAGATTGATACCATCCTTCCAACTACGTTTTCTTGTAAAAAATATTATCTCAGCTGCATGAAAGCGAACAACCAATAAACCCGACCGCATATGCACGAGATCTTAAATTAAGTTTAATATTTGAAACAAGAAACTCAGGGTAGGTTGTATTTTCATGTAATATACAGTGTACGATTAAGCCGCATACGTAATCCTTCACTCCTCTTGTGAATCAGCCCAGGAAACGTACAGCCCAAAGAAGGGAGAAAAAAAAAAGAGTTTAAATTTAATAAAAAAAAAAAGAAAAGAAAAATAAAAAAAGAAAAGAAAAGAAAATAACTTAGTCAAAGAAACTCCCCAAAAAAATAAATATCGGCACAACATTCAACGTCAATCGGCACAAAGTTAGATCTTCTGCTCTAAACGAAATCCTAATTCAATAAGGGTCGGCCGATTAGTAGGCTGGTGGTCTGCGTTGCAAATAATTACGTAATATTAGAATCTAGCCTCCCACTGGCTTGTGAAGTAATTCTATGTATTTTTAGTTCCGATTTACCCCTCCAATTTCAATTTTACTCTTAAGAAATACAAAATTTATTTTTTATGTAGATTTTATTTTTTTATTCGATTGCATTTCGCTGCGAATGATAAATCCTTTAACGAGAAGAGGCTTCTAAAAATGATAACTCCAGCAAAACGGAAATACTTTTAGCCTATCTACTAGTAGTGAAAAGCAAAGTTCATAACTCGGGGGAAGGAAGAAATAAAGCAATTGATGACACCAAGACTAATTTAGTATTTTAAACTAGAGAAAACACTGGTTGAGTCTGCCTTGCGTACTATAATTAAGCCATCGTGTGTCTGTCACTGGATGGAATTTGAAATCCAACATTTGAGGGCATAAAGGACCAATTAGTTCTTAATGCTTCTGGTTAGGAAAACGTACATTCTTTTTTTTACACCGTATGACAGCTATATTATGAAACTCTTGGACAAATATTATTAGGTTGTTATCTCGGAACCATTGGATCAATTCGTTTTGGATTATGTCAAGAAAAGTGGCTGCATATCACAGTTTACGGAGATTCGATATCCAATTAAGGGAGGGGAAGCAATTCCGAACAGTATGATGACACTGATGACTTTATCCATGCAAGGCGTGATAGGTTATTAGGGCATTTATTTTCTAATACATTGACAAACAAACACGAGTCAGCATGCAATTCAAATTAACTGACAATAATTACCGTAGATCTAGTCAAAAAGTCAAATCTAAAACTCTAAAGGTAAATTGTGAGGATGTCAATAAAAAAAAGAGATTTTATGATTTCAACTGCATCTCGACTAACTAACGGGAAATGGTGGAGATCTTGGTTATAACAAGAGAAAAGAAAAAGCACATTAGAGTATCTTGTTTTATCTTTTCTTGTTTTCTTCTCAAGAAACTAAACACTTTTGTTCTCTAAAATTCCTTGTGGTGGATATTTTTTCATTCAAAGATCCAGGGTTCTCCTGTGATCGAACCGGTCTCTTTGTTCTGCTATGCATACGGCACCTTCACGATATAGATCCTAATTAGTGCTTTCTCAAACTCTCCTAATTGACCAGAAAAAAAAATAAGCTGTTGGGCGCTAAAGGTGAGCCGTTTTAATAGCTCTGCAACCCTACTTAACGTATATGGACTCAAGAACGTATATCATGCCAAATTGTTTACCCATGGATCTAAATTCTAATATGTATCACCTTGGGCTTGACAATAATGTATTAATGCATGCTGTCGCTGTGTTATGTAACCTACTCTTTGACGCCCATTTTCTATTGTCATATACATTCACTTCCAATAGGTGATCTTTTCTTTCTTTTTTTTTTATTATTTTATTTTTTTTTTTTTTTTATCGTGAATTTAGTGTCTTCCCGGGGTTGAATTTTTGTGAGCATGCCCACATTTAGCCTCTAGTAAAGTTAGACAAGCTTGGCATTACACGGCCTTCACATAGTATGGTATAATTAGTGTGTTGCAAATATGAATTTCCCCACTTAGCTTGTAGCAGATCTTCGTAGTTAGCTGTCCATTTTCTTCTTATTTTCATCAAATTTCCTTAAGTTTTAGTCTTATTTTAGTCCTGCTTGAATCAATGAGGTACCTAGCTTCTTCTGTATAATGAATCTTGTCAGTTGCAAAGGACGGACATTTACAACTCGCTTGCGTGTGCTGTCGTAGAAAGAAAATTACTTGCATTTGACAGTAACGCACTGGAGAGATTTTGAGATAGTTGTCGTCTATTCCTGCCTTCGCAAGAGATTGGATCTTGAGGACACAGCCTGCATGAGATAAATTGCTCTCATGCAAGATGCATATTCTCATTCCAGGACCACTATCTTAACAAATATTATCTGCACCTTAGCCATGATTCTATAATGGTCTTCCAGATGTTTCGTAGAAAAGGTGTAAGATATATTTTTTATGCACCATGTTGGAGAAAGGATGTACAATCTAAAAAAAAACTTACAGCTTGTGAAATGACATCTCTTGCTCTAGCATGCCCTCTTTGAGGTGGGCCCTTACATTTACATGACTAATTTTTAATGTTCCGCCAAACGTAGCAACGATCACCGCCCGAACTGCTCCAACAACCGCTCGAGTGAATGAAACAGAGAAATACTGGAAAAGTTCACAGAACTAAAAGATATTCAAGACAGATAAAGTCCTTAGCTGGAAGGAGCACCTTTGGTTACATTGTGGGCATCGACTCAGTGAAAAACAAAAAAAAAAAAAAGAAGAAACATCTGCTCTTCGACATTCATAAACAGTTCCCAAAGGTCGACATGCAATGAGCTTGCTGCAATACGATGAAGTACCCATCATGCAAGTAATAGAGATGTTGTGAAATATTCATCGCTCACCAAGAATTTAGACATGTAAGGCTGAGTCAACGTATTCCCCAGAGGGGAAATTTAAATAATAAAATACTTAGGTGCTACCATCTTTTCGGGTAAAGACGGCGATGCTAGTGTATGCATGGAACAACTCCATGCCTTCCCGGGTATGTTTCTCACAAGTATCGGAATTATTTTTTATACAATCCAATAAATGTTGAAGGGACATATACGATAAGCAGAGGTTTCGAGTACCTGCCACATCTACTGCTTTTTTTCTTGTCCTTCATTCTGTTGTTATTTGTTCCATCTCCTTCTCTTGTCAACTCATCGAAAATAAAACAACAACAAAAAAAAAAAGTAAGAAAATTTCGATTGCAACACCGCTTTGAAAATTCATTGATCTGTACGTCCACTTCGGGATTCTTCAAAACATAGACACTTCGCTTTTATATTTCTCTTGATCGTAAAAATCCATTTGTTCTTAGTTGCAGCCTCTGTCTTGCTGTAGATCCCGCAAAGCTCTTATATTAGGTTTACCTCTGGTTGCTTCTCTACAATATGAAATCATTTAGCCTAAAAACGCAACATGTACAAAATAGAAATAATAGAACATAAGAGTTGCAACAAAGGGAAAAATACAAAAATAGAACTCGTCTTCCTTTAGAATTTTTCATTCATTAAATATATACGTTTATATACACATCATGGCTAAAATATGTACTAAAATTTAGCAGATCATTGTTACTTTTCTGTACTTCCACTTATATTACCATCAACATCTTCTAACTTACTTATTGTTGCGGACCCTGCTTCAAAGACGATCTACCGGCCTTTAATAACTCATCACACAAAAGTAAATTACTTGCAATACCTGTTGCAGCAGAAATTGCATTTCTTAAAACTCTATAAGAATCCCAAATACCTTCAATAGATGGATCCATTGGTTCTCCACTCTTTAAGTCAATTCCCACAATTCTATCGTCGTTAATCTCATCTTGACAGTTGGAAATTGTTTCTAAGGAATCTAATCCGGCATTTGTAGCTAAAGTCTTTGGAATTACCAATAATGCCTCAGCGAATGCCTTGACACCTGTCTTAGATCTGCCAACCGCAATCTTATTCTCTTTACTCAATAAATGATCATTACAACTCAAGAAAAAGGCTCCTCCACCAGGTAATAAGGAGTTATCCTTGATTACATTAGCAACTGCTCTCAAACCGTCTCTAACTGCATCCTTGGTTTGCTGCAAGATATGGTTTGTGGCACCTTTAATTAATATAGTGACAGACTTTGGGTCTTTGTTTTCAGTGACGAATGTAAACTTTTCCTCACCAATAGTATGCTCGTAGACTAATCCGGAATATCCCAATATTTCTGGCGATAAATCATCAACTGAGTTCTGGGCTTCTCCGCCGCAGACTAATTGTAATCTTTCCATGTTTCTTCTTTTGGCTCTTCTCAAGGCCAAAATGTTATGCTTAGCCAACACATCCAACGACATAGGGTCGATACCCTTTTGATTTATGATAACGAATCCCTTATTGGAGTCCAATCCACAAACTTCGTTCTTCAAGTCAACAATTTTCTTCAACTTCTCATCGACAAACTTTCTTTCACTGGCGACCAATTTTTCTCTCTGTTCAGCACTGGAGTAGAAAAATCCAGAGTTAACCTCAGTCTTTTCGTACTCTAAGGAAACGTTTAATGTCAACACAAAAGCATTCTCGACTCTCTTTGGCATATCTGGGTGTCTTGCACCGTGGTCTAACACTAAACCTTTAATCAACTGGGTATCCTTTGGAGTTTGATTCTGCATAGAAACGATTTCAATCATGTGCAAATCAAAGTTCTTGTTGTCTTCTGCACCCTTGACACTTAAAACGGCATCTGTAACGATGGGGGTCAATACTTCGGCAAGTTCGCTGTTCACCTTGGTGGCCAACGAAGTTCTGGCAACTTGTAACAATAATTCTCTATCGAACTTGGAAGGGGTGGTCTTGAATGAATCCAAATACTTCAAAGAGGCTTCTCTGGCAACCTCAAACCCATCGGTGATGACTCTTGGGTGAACACCTTCGCTGATAAATCTCTCAGCCTGCTTCAACAACTCACCTACAAGAAGCACCACGGTAGTTGTACCATCACCAGCGATTTCATCCTGCGCAGTAGCTGCTCTAGCAATCATAACGGCAGTAGGATGTTGTATTTGCATTTCGCTGAGAAGAACTTTACCATCTTTGGTCAATTTAATCCCTCCAGATCCATCAACCAACATCTTGAGTGTACCTTTGGGGCCCAAGTTGGATGCTAACACCAGCTGTAAACCTTGGGCGGCGGCAGCGTTCACTTGCAACGCTTGGGCACGCCTTAATGACTCGGCCTTAGGGTTAAGTAATTGGATAGATGATGACATTTCTTCGATATCTAAACAAACTTGGGAAGAGAACGTGCTACTTCTTACTGCTGCCGTTTTCTTCGCTTGATTTCGCTCACTGGAGTTGTGTTTATGGGTGGCGCACGACATCACTTTGATGTAGATTTTTTCTGGTAGATTCTGAAAATTTACGTGTTAGTTACCCGGACGAAATGTACGCGCTAAGACCGGATCTGGCTCAATCTGTAATTTTTCAATTGTAAGATGGTCCCTTGGCCCAGTTGGTTAAGGCGCGGTGCTAATAACGCCGAGATCAGCAGTTCGATCCTGCTAGGGACCATTTTTTTTTCACTTCGTACTGAAGTCCACTTCGTGTAGGTTGCAGCTTCTCCGAGCCGATTCTGATGGCGATTGAGTTAGTTTGCCTCACTCATTGTAGGCTGAGCTTCCTTGCATCTGAGGTTCCTGTTTTTATGCTTTTCTTCCTGCTTGATCTTGCAGCCTGGCTTCCTTCTGCTACATGGAGCGGCCTACTGCATGGAACAGGTCCCACTCAAGGCAAGGCAAGCTGATGCACAGGTACTTGCTACAAAGTAAGATGCTGTGTAGTGGCAAAAGAAGAGAATCGTGTACAGCTGTCCTATCTTCGATGCCATGTTTAATAGTCTATGTCCATTTATTCTAGTCTAAAATACCTATGCTTGAATTCTGGGGATTGCTCCACCTGGAGAAGTTTCTGTTCTAGCGGTTAATATCTCACACCCATCCTCGGTCACCAACAACATCTGCTCAAATTGAGCGGAGTACTTACCGTCTTGCGTGACTGCTGTCCAGTTATCCGGCCAAGTAACATCCCTGTAAGTTCCAATACACAACATTGGCTCAATGGTGAAAACCATTCCTGGCTTAGCAATGCCGACAGCCTTATTCTTGGCATAATGTGGAATGTTTGGTTGACAGTGGAATAACTGGTTTGTCCCGTGTCCACAGAATGTTCGTACTACGGAACACCCATTCTTTGTGGCATGCTCTTCAATGGTATTCCCTAACTCTCTGAAGGCTAATCCTGGCTTGACCATATCGATAGCTAACTGCAATGACTCCCTGGTAGTCTCAACTAAGTTTACTGTATCTTTGTCACATTTGGCCTTGTCACCAACGTAGTAGGTTTCATTGAGGTCAGAGTGGAACCCAAGGTAGTAGATGGTTACGTCTAAGTTAATGATGTCTCCGTCCTTCAAAACAGTCTTATCTGGTATACCGTGACAGATAACTTCATTCAATGATGTGCAAAAGGACTTAGGGAAGTTATAGTAGTTTAAAGGTGATGGGTATGCATTTCTCTTCACACATTCCTTGTGCAAAATAGCATCCAATTCGTCGGTAGTAATGCCAGGTCTTATGTGAGAAGCTGTTATGTCTAAGATCTCTCTAGACATCTTACCAACTTTTCTAATCTTTTCTAAATCCTTTCCAGCCAAGATGGTGAACTTACCCATTCTGTCGTTCTTGATTTCACTGATGGGCCTACCAGCTTGGGCGTAGTCAGGTCTCTTAATATGCTTAGGGACCTCTCTCCTGGCACTTAAGGGGTATGCAGCTCTTAACCCACCAGTGTAAGAGTAAGTAGGAAATGGGTCATATGGATCGTTGGTTCCATCTTCGTTCTTGTGGATTGACTTGTGAACTGACCATGTACTACGGAAGCAGTTTTGGTCACAGTAAACGCTAGTAATTCCTTCTTTCAAGCAAATAGGACATTTCAATGTGGATTCGGTTTCCTTACCACACGTAGGAGCAGCACAGATAGCAGTCATTGGATATTACTGAAAGAAAGTAGTAGTCTGATGTGGAGGCCCAAACATTTGCACACTTTCGTTTTTCAATTTTTTTTTTTGGGTGGTGATGTGGTCTGTATGCAGGATTCAATATACCATGGTTAACGATGTGTCTTACAGATGTGGCTACTACAAGTACATGGCGCCAGTGGTAGGCAGGAATGGCTTATTGAGCCTGCACTTTACTTCTCTACATTACAGCTCTTACACTGACTTGGGTCCTGAAATTTGTTTTGGCTCAAAGCCAGGCTTTTTTCCCTCGTGTTCTTGCTTTTATGTACATCATATATTTCATCTAGGTTCTTGTTAATCAAGTCTGGGGATTGCTCCACCGGGAGAAGTTTCTGTTCTGGCGGTTAATATCTCACACCCATCCTCGGTCACCAACAACATCTGCTCAAACTGAGCAGAGTACTTACCGTCTTGCGTGACTGCTGTCCAGCCATCAGGCCAAGTCACATCCCTGTAAGTTCCAATGCACAACATTGGTTCAATGGTGAAAACCATTCCCGGTTTGGCAATACCAACTGCCTTATTCTTGGCATAGTGTGGGATATTTGGAAGACGACAATGAAAGTTTTGGTTGGTCCCATGCCCACAGAAGGACCGAACGACAGAGCATCCATTCTTTGTGGCGTGCTCTTCAATCGTATTACCCAAATCTCGAAAGGCTAGTCCCGGCTTAACTGTGTCTATAGCTAACTGCAATGACTCCCTGGTAGTCTCAACCAAGTTTACTGTATCTTTGTCACATTTGGCCTTGTCTCCGACGTAGTAGGTTTCATTGAGGTCAGAGTGGAACCCAAGATAATAGATGGTCACATCTAGGTTAATGATGTCTCCATCTTTCAAGGCCGTGTTGTCAGGTATACCGTGACAGATAACCTCATTTACTGATGTGCAAAAGGACTTAGGGAAGTTATAGTAGTTTAAAGGTGATGGGTATGCGTTTCTCTTCACACATTCCTTGTGCAAAATAGCATCCAATTCGTCGGTAGTAATGCCAGGTCTTATGTGAGAAGCTGTTATGTCTAAGATCTCTCTAGACATCTTACCAACTTTTCTAATCTTTTCCAAATCCTTCCCAGACAAGATGTTAAATTTACCCAATCTATCGTTCTTGATCTCGCTGATGGGTCGCCCCGCTTGGGCGTAATCTGGTCTTTTGATGTGCTTTGGCACTTCCCTCCTACGGCTCAATGGGTACGATGCTCTCAAACTACCAGTGTAAGAGAAAGTGGCGAAAGGATCGTAGGTGGTATCTGATCCATCTTCGTTCTTGTGGATGGCCTTATGGATGTTCCAGCTGCTACGGAAGCAGTTTTGATCACAATAGGCACAGGAAATTCCTTCTTTCAAGCAAATGGGACATTTCAATGCCGACTCTGTTTCCTTTCCGCACGTGGCAGCAGCACATATAGTGGTCATGGTGCCCTTCTTAGTGAAAGAAGAGCTACTGCCAACTGATGGCGCCATCACCTTGTGACTTCAGTGCAATGGCACATCTTGTATGCAGGACATCGATTATCCACACAGAACGGTTGCACATTAGGACACTACAGCATTTCGTTGAAGATACCGTACTGGGTTCAATGTGAATTTGCTATCTAGGTATGTAAATAAGTCGACTAGGGGTTAATTCCTAGATTCTCTGGTCCAAAACTGAACGGCAAAAGGTCGTTGAGATACATCTTTTTGAACGATCCGTCGGAAGCGAACATGAACACTGGAAGCTTTGGCCCGAACTCTCTAATCACCTGCCTACAAATTCCACAGGGAGAGATCGGTTCTTTCGAGTCGCTAGAGATAGCAATTGCCTTGAACTTTTTATTCCTATGCATCTTATGAAGTTAGTAGCTGAACTGAGAATTCTGAAACATTGAGTATTTTTACGTACGTTTGCTTGGACTATAGCCGATCTTTCTGCGCATATGGCAGCGCCATAGGAAGCATTTTCGATATTTGCACCTATGAAGTATTCGCCGTTATCTGCTAATATCGCAGCACCGACTCTAAGGTAAGAAGTTAGTAGCTGAAGCGCTGAATCAAGTAAAATGAAGGAAAATGAAGAAAAAAAATGAAGAAAAAAAAAAAGAAACATTGGTTCCCACCCTGCCCACTTACCTGAACTTGGAATATGGTGAATATGAATACTCTCTTGCTATATGGAAACTGTTAGTCAAACTGTGTAAGTATGGCACACGATGCCTAAAACCCTATCGTTAACTCTTCACACTTGCCTTCAAAACACTTTTCCTTTATTTCCTTGAATTCCTCTTTGCTCAATTCATCGTGGTCTGTATATACTGGGAATGTCATCGTGATCGCTATTCCTTATCTCCTGTGATGACTGCTACTACGTTCTCTCTCAAACCAAGCAGGCCCTGCGATAGATACCAGTGCTTGTCCTGCATGGTACCAAGCTTCCAACTTGTTCCTCACTCACTCTGGCCAAAGTTACACAAAACTGCAGTGGCAATGGAAGTTCCAGTGCACTGAGAAAACACCAAATGCACACATGAAGGGTGCGGTGTTCGAGCAAACTACGGCATTAATTAGTTGTTCTTATATATCATTTGATTCATCTCTGTATCTAATTCCTTCTGTAAGGTCCTAAATTCAACCCGCACATAAAAAAAGAGAAACGAAACATGTCGACGTTAGAGGAATTGGCAGATCAAGATAACGTGCTAGATGACGAAATTTTGACGGCACCAACCTCAGATATCATCAACAGAACCAAGCTTTTGGATAACGATATCAAGGTCATGAGGTCCGAATCTCAAAGATTGACTCATGAGAAGACCGTGATGTTGGAAAGAATCAAAGATAACCAAGAGAAAATCAACAACAACAAGCAGTTACCTTACCTTGTAGGAAATGTGGTTGAGTTGTTGGATCTCAACGCCGAAACTGAGGCCTCCGAGCAAGGTGCTAATGTAGACTTAGATGCTGCCAGGTCCGGTAAATCTGCAGTGATTAAAACATCAACCAGACAAACCATATTCTTACCATTGATCGGGTTGGTTGATCCTGCCACTTTAAAGCCCAATGATTTGATCGGGGTGAACAAGGATTCGTACTTAATCTTGGACACATTACCATCAGAATACGACTCCAGAGTGAAGGCCATGGAAGTCGACGAAAAGCCAACTGAAGATTACTCCGATATCGGAGGGTTGGACAAGCAAATTGAAGAATTGATCGAAGCCGTGGTCTTGCCAATGAAGCAGGCTGACAAGTTCAAGGCTCTAGGAATCAAGCCACCAAAGGGTGCTTTGATGTATGGACCTCCTGGTACTGGTAAGACTTTGTTGGCAAGAGCATGTGCTGCGCAATCTGGTGCCACTTTCTTAAAATTAGCAGCTCCACAGTTGGTTCAAATGTTTATCGGTGACGGTGCCAAGTTGGTCAGAGATGCGTTTGCACTTGCCAAAGAGAAGGCCCCAACCATTATCTTTATTGACGAGTTGGATGCCATTGGTACTAAGAGATTCGATTCGGACAAGAGTGGTGATAGAGAAGTGCAAAGAACCATGTTGGAGTTATTGAACCAGTTGGATGGTTTCGGTTCAGACGACAGAGTCAAGGTGTTGGCAGCTACGAATAGAGTGGACACATTGGATCCTGCCTTGTTGAGATCCGGTAGATTGGACAGAAAGATCGAGTTCCCGTTACCTTCAGAAGAAGCTAGAGAGTCCGTTTTGAAGATTCACGCCAGAAAGTTGAACTGTGACAACAACTCGGTCAACTGGAGAGAGTTGGCCAGATCTACCGACGAGTTCAACGGTGCTCAATTGAAGGCCGTCACCGTGGAGGCCGGTATGATTGCCTTGAGAAACGGTAAGTCAATAATCAAGCACGAAGACTTCGTGGAAGCCATAGGAGAAGTTCAAGCTAGAAAGAGTAAGTCTGTGAACTTCTATGCTTAGAGAAGGAGAAGGAGAAGAGGTGCTTATACTATAAACGCAATTCAAAGCAAAAGAATAAACAATAAAATAGAAAAAGGGAGAACAAGTATTTTATGAGCCTGTAGCTTTGTCAACAACATCTGCCTGTCAACTTGTCAGTTTACAGGTCTCTATGCTTGTCTCTATGCTTGTCTCTATTCCTGTCTCTATGCATGTCTCTATGCTTGTCTCATAATTGCTACAGTCATGAACATCCACCATGTAGCTTAGTAAATTGCTTTATTCAATCTAATCTATCGTTATATAATTTATTTTCACCGGCTTGATCGTGCCGTCTCTTCTTTTCGTTTTCATTATCTCATTAAACCTGCTTCTGCGCCTTCTTCAACTCTTCTCTGAGTTGCTGGGCAAAGGCGTCGTTGGAATCATCGTCTTCCCAATCTTCCTCCCATAAGTGAGCTGGATTATTTATACTCTTGGCTTCAGAAGACCACTTCGTGTCATCCGGGAAGTCTTCAAATTCATCGTCTTCTTCTAAAGTCTTGATTATCTTTGGTTCTGTTTGATTGGCTTCTGACATGGTGCTGGTACGCTCTCAGTTAGGTGTGTTTTGTAGCTGTTGAACACGGAAGAAGAGTGACGGAGCTGAACTCAGTGTGCTTTTCTGGTCGCCACTTGTGATTGAGGTTTGGTTATATGCAGGATGCTATTTTGTTGCACAAGATGCAGACTAGAAGAGTAGTTGATGGAGGGAGGAACGAGAGAGGAAGGAAGAGATAGACAGAGGCAGAGCCGAGTTTTCAAGCAGGCTGTGGAATTTCCTCAGTAGTGAGAGAGAGAAGTGAGATCTGAGACAAACAAGGTAAATTTTAAAGAAAGAAGGAATTGTCCCGGGTATATTTTTAGTACTCTTCCAAATGCATGAGAAATATTATTTTCACTAAATAATTCAGACCGAGAGAGAGAGAGAGAGAGATAGAAGTGAGTTGTACCACAGAGTTCAGATAAGACACTGTCTCAATCCAAAAAAACACAGCTGGCACGAGATTCTTGGAAAGCCAGCGGGAAAAGCGACAAACCTTCACTAAAATTGAAGCATTACAGTACAATAGTAAGCACACCATATACCTGTAGTGCATGGAACCATTTGTAGGGACGGTCTCACTGGAACAGCTGCACCTACCCTACAACTACAAGCAAAACTATCTTACTTCCACGCACTCATAACTCCATCTTTCATTCTTTAAACCTGGTCAGGCCCACACCACTCACTCGCGCCACTAATTTCCAGCCCACCCCTTCGAAACATCCAGACCCCCTACTCTATGACTCTTTAGCTCCCTGGTAATGGGCTCTTATCATTTTGGTTGCAATTTTCCTGTATACACGCATACTTCATTAAGATTTTTTTTTTTTTTTTTAATTTTTTTTTTTCCAGCTGTGCATTTTTCAGCAGATCATCAAGTAAAATTTCACTGCAACGAATACATCTAGAGTCTTTGTAAGCGTTCACCTCTCCATCAGCGTCCTTTCAAATCGACAATTCACACTCTCTAGCATCATTGAAAATGAAAGAGGTTGTTGTTGACGTTGCACCAAAATGCATTAAAGGTTTGGAATTTAGTGCATTGTCTGCAAAGGAAATCGTTGCACAATCGGAGGTTGAAGTTATTAGCAGAGATTTTTATGAGCGAGAAAAGACCCCCAGACTGGCCAAAAGTGGCGGTGTACTTGACCCTAAGATGGGGATATCATCTAATTCAAACGAATGTTCAACTTGTCAGGGAAACTTGGCGTCTTGTCACGGACATTTTGGTCACGTTAGGCTAGCCTTACCTGTTTTCCATGTTGGATACTTCAAGTCGATTATACAGGTGTTACAAAGTATTTGTAAGAACTGTTCCAGTGTGCTATTGGACGAGGAGACGAAGTACAAGTTCTTAGTGGATTTGAGAAGACCAAACAACGATAACTTGAAGAGAATGAAGATCTTGAAGAAGATCACTGACCAATGTAAAAAACAAAGACGTTGTTTAAAGTGTAACCACATCAACGGTGTTGTTAAGAAGGCCGCTAGTGGTGCTGGGCCAGCAGCTTTGAAAATCGTTCACGACACATTCCGTTGGATTGGTAAAAAGTCATGCCCCGAGAAGGAACTATGGGATAACGAGTTCGACGGAGTGTTCACCAGAAACCCCGATTTGGAGAAGTTTGTTAAAAGAATTCACGACGATTTAAACCCCTTGAAGACTTTGAACTTGTTCAAGCAAATCACCGCCCTGGACTGCGAACTCTTTGGTTTAGATCCTTCCAGAGGTGGAAGACCAGAGACTTACATTTGGAGATACTTACCTGCTCCTCCTGTATGTATCAGGCCTTCCGTTATGATGGAAGCTCAATCTAATGAAGATGACTTAACTGCTAAACTTGCTGAAATCGTTTGGTTTTCCTCACTTATCAAAGACGGTATTGAAAAGGGGATTTCCATTAACAATTTTATGGATCACTGGGATTTCTTGCAATTATCTGTGGCCATGTACATTAATTCAGATCTGGCTAACCCATCTTTAATTCCATCACCTGGTGGAGGTCAATCTTCCAAAGCTTCAAAGCCTATCAGAGGGTTCTGTCAAAGATTGAAGGGTAAGCAAGGTAGATTTAGAGGTAATTTATCTGGTAAGAGAGTTGACTTTTCTGGTAGAACGGTTATTTCTCCAGATCCGAATTTAAGGATTGACGAGGTTGCTGTACCTGACAGAGTTGCAAAGATTTTGACTTACCCAGAGAAATGTACTAGATATAACCGTAAGAAATTACAAAAATTGATTCTCACTGGTCCTTTAAATCATCCAGGTGCAAACTATGTCTTGAAGCAGGACGAATTGGCCAAAATGAATTTGAGATTCGGTGATAGAGTGAAAGTAGCAAAAAATTTGAAAGTTGGAGATGTTGTAGAAAGACATATTGAAGATGGGGATGTTGTTTTATTTAATAGGCAACCGTCATTGCATAGATTGTCAATTTTATCACATTACGCGAAAATTAGGCCCTGGAGAACCTTTAGGTTGAATGAATGTGTTTGTACTCCCTACAATGCCGATTTTGATGGTGATGAAATGAACTTACACGTTCCACAGACCGAAGAAGCCAGAGCTGAAGCAATCAATTTGATGGGAGTCAAGAACAATTTGTTAACCCCTAAGTCAGGTGAACCCATCATTGCTGCTACCCAAGATTTTATTACGGGTTCATACTTGATTTCCCATAAAGATTCATTTTACGATAGAGCTACTTTAGTTCAATTACTTTGCATGATGTCAGATGCTGATACACAGTTTGATATTCCACCACCCTCCATCTTCAAGCCAGTAATGCTTTGGACGGGTAAACAAGTGTTCTCATTATTAATAAAGCCAAATAAGAAAAGTAAAGTAATTATAAATGTTGATGCAAAAAATAAGACTTATATTCCGCCTGCCAAGGGATTACCAATGGAAATGTCACCAAACGATGGTTACGTTGTCATTAGAGGTTCACAAATTTTGAGTGGTGTCATGGACAAATCCACATTAGGTGACGGTAAGAAGCATAGTGTATTCTACACAATATTAAGAGATTATGGTCCTGAAGAAGCGGCTAACGCCATGAATAGAATGGCCAAATTGTGTGCTAGATATTTGGGAAATAGAGGATTCTCTATTGGTATCAATGATGTTACACCAGGGACTGACTTAAAGAACAAAAAGGAATTAATGGTTGAACAAGCATATGTCAAGTGTGACGAATTAATTGATTTGTATAATAGAGGTAAGTTAGAAACCCAACCAGGTTGTAATGAAGAACAAACATTGGAAGCCAAAATCGGTGGGTTACTATCAAAGGTCAGAGAAGAAGTAGGTGATGTCTGCATCAGTGAATTAGATGCGGCAAATGCTCCATTGATTATGGCTACATGTGGTTCCAAAGGTTCTACGTTAAATGTTTCTCAAATGGTGGCTGTTGTCGGTCAACAAATTATTGGAGGAAATCGTGTTCCTGATGGATTTCAAGATAGATCTTTGCCACATTTTACGAAGAACTCCAAGACCCCACAATCTAAGGGTTTCGTGAGAAATTCTTTCTACTCCGGATTATCCCCTCCTGAATTCCTTTTCCATGCTATTTCTGGTAGAGAAGGTTTAGTCGATACGGCTGTTAAGACTGCAGAAACAGGTTATATGTCAAGAAGATTGATGAAATCTTTGGAAGATCTTCTGGCTCAATATGATAATACAGTTCGTAATTCCTCGAATGGTATCGTTCAATTCACATACGGTGGTGATGGATTAGATCCATTTGATATGGAAGGTGACGCAAAACCAGTGAATTTTGTTAGGCAATGGGATCATTCATACAATATCACTTTTGATGTAAGTGATGTTGGGTTACTACCATATGAAATTATTGACTTGGTAGATTCTGTCTTGCACCCCTTAGAAGATAGATTGATAAGATATGATAATCTTGGCCGTGAGTTGACAAAAGAAAGTGATAAGGAGTTGGTTCAATATATTGATCAAAAGGATGCCGAAAGAGCATTTTACCAATCTATTAGAGACTTTACCACGGGAAAGGCAGCTAGGTTAGCAAGAATAAGAGAAGCTAAGGGATTAAAGGCTTATTTCACTAATCCATCGGATGGCTCTAACGCCAAAGTTGATACTGATGATGAATTAATCGCTGTAAACCAACTTTTGAAGATTTCATCATCATCAATCGAAAAATTCTTGGAACAATGTATATACAAATATAGAAGGGCTAAAGTTGAACCTGGTACAGCAGTTGGTGCTATTGGAGCCCAATCTATTGGTGAGCCAGGTACTCAAATGACGTTGAAGACTTTCCATTTCGCTGGTGTTGCCTCTATGAATGTTACTTTGGGTGTGCCTCGTATCAAGGAGATTATTAACGCTTCAAAAGTTATTTCAACCCCAATCATTAACTCGGTATTAGTTAACGATGAAGATGAAATTGCTGCTCGTGTTGTTAAGGGTAGAATAGAAAAGACCTTATTAGAAGATGTTGCCTTTTATGTTGAAGATGTCTATAAGAACAACATGGCATACTTGACTATTAAGATCGATTTGAAAACAATTGAGAAACTTCAATTAGAATTGACAATCGAAGGAATAGCATATGCCTTAGTGAACGCTCCAAAGTTAAAAATTTTAGCTGGAGATGTTTCCATCAGTGGTAAGGACAAGATTAATGTTTTAGTAACTCTTCGTGAATCTAAATCAGAAAATTTAATGAAATCAATAACCTCAGATTATAAAATTGGAGGTTCAACATCAGGAGAGACTGCAAATCTGTTGTTCTTCCGTATGCAACAATTGAAGCGTGCTTTACCAAGAGTTTGTATTAAAGGTCTACCAAACATTTCCCGTGCTGTCATTAATATCAAGGATGATAATAAGAAGGAATTACTTGTTGAAGGTTACGGATTGAAGGAAGTTATGTGCACCGACGGGGTCATAGGCTCAAAAACAAAAACAAATCATGTGTTGGAGATTTACGAAGTATTGGGAATTGAAGCAGCTAGAAAGTCAATTGTAGATGAAATTGATTATACCATGAGTAAGCATGGTATGAGTGTGGATCCTCGTCATATTCAGCTTTTAGGTGATGTAATGACATACAAGGGAGAGGTTTTAGGTATTACTAGATTTGGTCTTAGTAAGCTGAGAGATTCGGTGTTACAATTAGCTTCGTTTGAAAAGACTACTGATCACTTGTTTGATGCGGCTTTCTATATGAAGAATGACAAAGTCGAAGGTGTTTCTGAATGTATCATCTTAGGTCAAACCATGAGTATTGGTACTGGTGCATTTAAACTTGTGAAGACTTCTAATTTCGAAGAGAAGGATTTGTTCAAGAAGCCAACTTTGTTCGAAGAGATTTGTGTTTGAACAGAAAAAAAAAAAAGAACAGAAATAGAACCAGATTTTATCTTAGATCCAAAACAGAATAAATATATACCTATCTGTGTATATTTCATATAATATTGTATATATATAATAATTATTTAATTAGCATTACTTCAGTGTAGCATTTTCCATCCAGTTTATTTTTCACTCCCCGAAGGGAAATCTCAAATGGATCATGCGCACAAAATTGTGATTGTTTACCTTTCAGAGATGAACTAAACGCTCTTGGGCTCTCTTGAGTAACGTCAGTATCACCAACTTTACAATGTCTACTAGAGATTCACATTTCTCCTTTATACATCTTGAAGACCCCAATCATGTATTGTACATGGAAAAGTGGAACGAAGAACCGATACCATTCGATGACATAGACACGCATGCGCTCTTCGAAGCAACTGCCAACTTATTTCCCCAATATTTGCTTGAGGAGGAAGAAGATGGCGGTATACCTATATCCTCTTCAACTATTGGTGCAAAGATATTTAAGGACAGAAAATTGCTAAAGGAACGCACTTGGACTGATATAGGAATATACGAAAGGTTTCTGAAGACTACGGGATCACTGCAAAGAGATGAAACCATCTTGAAACACATATACACCAACTCAGATTCTGTCGATGAATTCACTATTGCAGATTTCTTATCAAATGGATACGAGGCTGATGAAGATAGGGATCAGGATCCTGGATCTCCAGATATGGTTAATGATAGCATAATGGGAGGAACAGGTGATTTGTCTTTGAACTCAACTTCAGATTTCATTGGGCCTTCTTCTAATACATTCACTATGAACCCTACAAGGTCAGTGTCTAATTCCTCAACCAACCAAATTCAAACTCCACGACCACCAAGAACTAGGCAGCCATCTAGCGATAGGAACTTCCAAACTCCAATTACAAGAATAATTCGATAAAAGCTGGTCTTATATTAATTTTAAGTGCATTCTCTATAAATTTAAAACTATTTATACATACTTCCCCTTTCTATATCCGATTTCAAGTCAAATAATTGTAGCTTTCTCTTTTCTGCTCGTTCATATCTATTCTTAATACGAACTCCAGCCAAGACAAACTTGGCCAACACTTTAAAGGTCAACTTCTTCCCTTGATTTTTCATTGTACTATAATCTGGGTAAACACCACATTTAGTGAGTTTTACGATATCATCTTTAAGATATTGATTTGAATTCTTTATTGAGCTCATTATGAACTCTTTCATAACTTTAAGATCGTTTGCCATTAAATTCACATCGTATAGCTTAGCCTTGTAGTACTTTAATTCGTTTTCTTTGGTTACCGAAATTGGGGTCGTAGATTGAAATTTGGCTTCCAAAGTCTTGAGCTTTCTTTCTAATTCGGAATTCTTAAATTGTAACTCTTGAACTTTCTTAAACTTGTGGTTTGCTTCATAGTGATTTTGTGAATCTTCTTGTTGTCTCATTTCTCTTACCTTATCTGCCAATTTAGAACAGTTCGCCTTTGCTTTATTCAACTCTTGAGTTAATGTCTTCGTTCTGATCTCCAAATGAGAGTTTTCAGATTTGTACATTGACTCACTGGCTTCCAAATTTGAAATCAATTCAACAAGTTGTCTATTTTCCTTTTGAACCTTTTCTAGCTTCCAGTCAACTTCATTTGCGATCTTCAATTTATTTGACAACTCTTCCTGCTTAGACTTCGAGTCCTTGAGCTGCTTTTCAAGAAGTGCAACAATTGATTCGGAAGATGATGAGATCTTTGCTTCATCCAACTTCTTTTTAAAATATTCAATTTCAGTTTGTAAGCTTTCATTTTCAAGTTCCAAAATCTTTATCTTTGATGCTTGGTTGGACTTTAATTTGAATAAATCCGTTCTTTGTTCGTCATCTACCAAATAACTTAATTTATTAGCACGATCCATTTCCCTTATCTTGACTTCCAAGGTGTCAATAGTCGAATCTTTTTCGTTAATTAATTGTTCTAATCTCCTTGTCTTTTTCTGAAGATCTCTGATTGCATCGTCTTTGTCTTCCATTAGATGATGATAATTCGAAGTCGGAGTTGTAGGAGTCATTGGCATAGCCGCGAATGATGGATACGATCTAGAGTCTCTGGATTCGGTATATTGTTGTTGTTTCTGATGCTGAAGCTGTTGCTGTTCTCTCAAAGTTCTTTCCATGTCCAATTCTCTCTTTAACATACTAAGTTCATATTTGAGTGAATCATTCTCCCCTATTAACTGTTGCTTTTCGCCTTCAAGCTTTCTGCGCGTTAAGGCTTCCAACTCATCCAAGGCACTGTGGCTGGCACTATTGTTCACATGAGTATTCTTGATTTTGTCAATTAGTTGTTGATTTTCAAACTCAAACTGTTTGATTCTTTGCTCATATTTTCTTTGCTCGTTTTGAAGATCTTCTTCTGCCTTCTTAAAAGCCCTCTCTAACCTTGCATACTCTTCTTCATAGTAATCAAGCTTGTCATTAATTTCCCTATTTTCTCCTTGGAGCCTCTTGATGTGATCGTTTACGCCAGCAGAATGATCCAATTGGTGACGCAATTCTTTATTCTCAACTTGAAGTTTCTTTACGTTATCATTTACTCCAGAGGAATGAGTTAATTGTTGACGTAACTCTATAATTTCGATTTCCATTTTCCTCAATTCCTCTTTGAGTTTTACTTCCTTATTTTTGAAACTTTCACATTGGTCTTGATAGTATTTGAGTGATGAGTCGTCTTTTAAATTGGATTGGGCCTTTTTGATAAGCGCATTGATTTGACTTCTTAAATTAAATTCCTCCTTATCCTTTTCTTTCAACTCATTTAATAAGTTTTCAATTTTCGAAGTTAACCTTGAGATCTCACCACTTTCTACATTCTCACTTCTCTTAATTGAAGTATTTTCAAACTCCAAATCTCTCAATTTAGTTTTCAAGCTCCTGATTTCTTCTTTAGCCAAGTTCAAATCTTTTAATGTTTGTCTACTCTCATTGTTGGAGTCATTTTCTGCCAGTTGGTACTTGGACCTCCAGTGAGTTATTTCTCTTTGTAAAGAACTTAATTCGTCTTTACTACTGGAAAGCTCCCTCTTTAAATTCGAAACAACATGCTCAGATTCATTCAATTGCTGCTTTTTGTCCGCCAATTCATTGTATAAGTCCTCAACCTCATGATTCGACTGTGAATTTGTGTGTTGTATTTTTAGGTTCAACGCTTCGTATTCTTTCTGTAAAGTTTCATGTTTACTCTCTATAGCATCCAACTGTTCCCTCAATTCGGAGTTATTACCTTGAAGGCGACGGAAATCATCTTTCGATTCTTCCAACTCAATAAGTAGTTTATTAACTTCTTGGGATAATGGCTGTATCTTCTTCTGAGACTGTTCGCTGAGTTGATCAAGGTCCCTCTCATATTTTTCAACCATCATCTTATATTCTTCTCTCAACCTTTCCTTCTCATGCTCGAAATCCTCCTTGCTTTCGAATTGATGCTGCAATACATCATCGTCCACATTCTCCTTATTTGTCAGATATTGCAATTCTCGCACTGTTTCTTTTAAAGTACGAATTTCTGTAGCATAGTGCATTAGTTGTTGCTTAAGATCAATATTCTGGTTCAACAAGTCTCGCTGTTCCTCGGGAGTCTGATCAAGGAATTTGGTGAGGGTAGCCAACTTGATCTTAAGATTGTAGTTTTCTGTCTCAAGTTTCTGATTTTCCAGTTGTTGTTCCTTGATGGATGTGAATCCACCGTTGTTAAGAATATGCGAATTACCATATCTAGATGGTCCGACCTTGGCTACATTTGGATTAAACTTGGCTTGCACAGGCTTTTGCTGCTGTTGCTGCTGTTGTTTGAAGGAGTTAATGGTGGAATCCATGTAAAAATCATCACCAGTATGATCAAAGGAAGAGTTCATGGTATCATCGAATCTATGCACTTGAGGTCTATTTTGGTTGTTTTCTTGCAAGTGTACGTTTCGCTTCGATCTACCTATTGGCGTGAAGTCTATCTTATTTGAGCCTGCATTAATATTTGCGTCCCGCTTTGGAGTGCCTATTATATTTCTAGAGGAGAACATCACAGAAAACCCAGTGATATATCCTTATTTACACTATTTTGTCAACCAATGTGGTTCTTTTAACTCGTTTCCTTTCAGATCGGTTTGTTTTGGTTTGCAATTTTCTTAGCGCTTTGTTTTTGTTTACAAAAAATATTGCGACACGCGTATATGCAGGAAGAAAGATGGAATGGGTGCAAAAAAAAAAAAAGGTGCCAAAAAAAAAAGAGTAGACTCACAATGGTGAATGGCACTGGGCTAATCAGCTAGCTCTGGTGTAAAAGGATTGATATAAGCATATATCTACGTATCTTCTATATAATATTAAATATTTTTTTGCATTACTCTTTGTTTGATTTGGCTTCGACTTCACTTTTCACCTTTTTCCCTTTCTCGTCAGTCTACTGCTGCTTGCTCTTTTCAATTGCATCTTTGAAGCCGTCCAAGGCCTTCAATGCACTTCCTGAAACGATCGATACCCTTGCAAGTTCCACACCTTCCTTCCAGTTGGACGCCTTTCCGGCAGCAAACGCCAAAATAGCAGTGTTCATCAATATATAGTCCACCAATGGGTGGTTGTTGGCGCCTACCTTCTTTATTCTGTACTCAGGCTTGTCTTGACGCAAAATATGAAGCAAGATCTCGGCATTTTCTTCTGGGGTTCCTGATTTAACTAGCGATAGCTCATGCTCAGGCAATCCGAAGTCCAATGGTGAAATTCTGGACTTGGTTATTTTAGCATTTTCATCAACGACCCAAATCTTGGTGAATCCAATTGGGGAGACCTCGTCCAATCCAATTTCCCCAAAGACAACAATAGATTTCTGATGAATCTTACGTTCTGCCTCAAGCTTTGCCGTAGCCTCGGCATAGGCTTCACCTAGTGCCTCACTGTATACACCTAAGACTTTGGCTTTCAAAGGGATTGGGTTTATCAATGGTCCTAAGATGTTGAAGATCGTTGGTATACCGAGCTGAGCTCTAATGGCAGCAACTTTACCCATTCCTGGGTGGAAAGCTGGGGCGAAAAGGAAGCAAAAGTTGGAGCTTTTTACAATTTCTGGAACTGTCTCAGCAGTGACATGCATTAAATCAATTCCCAAGCACTTTAAAAGATCCCCAGAACCCGATGTAGAAGTAGACGCCTTACCACCATGTTTACAGACGGGTAAGCCGATACCTGCAGCGACGATAGCTGCGGACGTGGAAACATTGAATGTGTTCTGTCCATCTCCTCCAGTCCCAACAATATCAATGTACCCTTCTGGGGCAACCAGGTCTGGAGAAATCACGTTTGAAAACTCCAATATTGTGCTCACAGCTGCAGCTATGTACTCAGGCTTATGATCTAAACCGGTCATCCTTAATGCGGTAAGGAAAGCTGCTATTTGGGTGTCATTGACCAAGCCCTTGAAGATGAACCTAAGGCACATGGCTAGGTCATTAGGTGTCAAATTTGGATGTTCAAGGAACAATGACTTTATATAAGGAGTCAAAACATTTGGAGAGCTCATAATAGACAACAACTATCGAATTCAGATACAAGAAAGGTGATCTGGAGTAGATTCTCTATGATGGTAATAAAGTTGAAAAATTATGGTGATTTTTTGTTCACACTTGTAAAGTTTCCATGTTGACTCACATAGGTCACGTGCACGCGCACGCTCTAGGGTAAGCTTCGAGTATAGACGGTGTCTTACTAGAGATAGATACTACTGGATACTAATGTATTATTGTTATTTCATTAATTTAATGTACAGAATGCTATTTTATTGTGTCTATAATACTTCCACTTCAAAACTCACTTCTTTATCTGTATCGAGGTAAGAATCACAAATGCACCACACGCTTAAATTATGATGACCAGCGTTTGGAATGGTAAATTCTAGTGTCACATCTTGTGTCTCCTTTGCAATAGTAGTCTTGTTAATTGCATAAAGTTGTCTTGTCTTATTATCTCCAACTACAACCCACCAGCTTTCCTTCTTTGTGAAAGGGTATGCACCAGAAACCACTGTTAGATCTTCTACCTCTTCGTCTCTATTTAAAGTAACTGTAATTTCATGTGGCTCGTCATGTTTAATTGGTTTACTCAAATCAATGGAATAGCTGATATCAACATTTGGATACAGATTCACAAATTCTGCAACTTTGTCTAATTTTTCACCAGACATTTGCAAAATTTCATCTCTTTCTTCGTCTTCCAAGGACATGATGTCGTAGACACTTTCAACATTACCCTTGGCACACCTCTCTAAAATTTCTTTATTGTCAAAATGAGGTATTTGCTTAAGTGGACTGTCTCCGTCCCACACTCCTTGAACAATCATTTGAGACAAGTCCATAGCGTTTAATGCATTCAAAAAGCCATCACTAGATAAGGTATCGATACATCCATAGAGAATATTCAATACTTTTTTAAGCACGAATTTTTGGTCCAAACTTAAATCAATCGAATTCAATTTGAATTTGGAGAAATGGGCCTGAAGTAGAATAAATGCTTTAAAGTGGGGAGAATCATAATTCACATTTGCTACTTTCACTGGAATACGTGCGTAGATTTTACTCAAAATTCTAGACTCATTTTCACGAATAGGTAAGGATTCGAATTCAGCAGCATTTGTAAGTATTTCAAGAATCTCTTTCATTTTAGTTTTATTAGTCAAGCGAGTAAATTGTTTCATGGTCAAATACGAAATATTATAGTAGCCCGAGATCATTGCGCCATCTAATGGAGTAAGCTCCTCATCTTCCTCATCTTCATCTTCATCATCATCATCATCTTCATCGTCATCATCTTGAACTTCAACAAGTTTTGCTTCTTGTAATTCCTTCAAAGTATTCTCAATAAGGTCAGATAAATATTCCGATAGCCCTATATGGGATGTGTCTTTCAAGCCATAAAAACTAGGATTTTGTTGCAATCTTCTGTAGTAGAATGTGAAAGTTAACCAATCAATACAATCTTGCCTAGTTTTAAATGTTCTTAGTCCTATTTCAGAGGTAAATGAGTCATGGAAGTAGGAGTCCATAAAACTTTCAATGGGTAACCCTTCATTTAGAAATTTTTGATAATACGCCAATTTATTAGTGCTTGTCAAGATTAGCACTTTAGAATTGCTATTATCAGCTTGACAACAACCTATCATTTCCAATATATCATTGATAGCATAGTCCACAAATCTATGTTCTTTTCCGTCATACTGCTTAGTAGTGAGAATTACAACTTGATTTGCTGTAGGTGCAAATGTGCAGCATTCCTTTTCTGCAAGCAAAATCAGTATGACATTGCTCGAGTATAATTTATCAACAATTAATTTATCATATGGATTCATTCCTTCATAGTAATACGCTATACCATTCAATATAGATTCCTTGAGCGTCTTATCTGTTAGTTTAAGTAAATAAGGTTCAATTGATGCATCTTCTATTCTCTTTAGAGAAAAGTCAGCAGTTGCTTGAGCAAGAGAAAGTAATTCTAGGCCTATGTCTATGCAATGCTTTCTAGTTGGGACGAATATCAAGGATCTTGAGTCTTCATCTAAGGAAAAGTTTTCCATTAAATGGGAAAAAACAGTATTTATAACTGTAGAGTCTATTCCCGAAGAAGAATTGCTTTGCTGAGCAACCTGTAACTTAATTTCACCTATTTTGTTTGATCGACTGAGAGGGCTGAAATTGAAGATACCCGATTTTGAACATTCTAGCCACTCTGCAAAATCTTTACCATTTGCTAATGGGGTAGATAAGCCGACTAAACGAATAGAATTTTCTAGATGACTAGACATTAGCTTGATTCTTGAGATGATTGATTCGTAAATCATTCCAATGGTACTACTTGTTCCAACCATATGCACATCATCTAGTATCATCAATTCTATAGATTGAATTACCTTTCTTTGCCTCCAACGCCTTGAAACAAGATCAAATTGGTCAGGTGTGGCCAATGTAACATGACTTGAATTTAAAACAGAAATATCGGACTTCAAATCTCCAGTTAATTTACTGAAGATTCTTCCCAGTGAGCTAAATTTTTTCTTCCAGTCTTTTAATTTCAGATCTATAAGTTCTTGAGTTGGGTTAATATAAATAACACGCCCCTTGTTTTGACACCAATTATTCAATATTGCCAATTCAGCACATATAGACTTACCAGAGCCCTTTGCTACCCCAAGGAACACATTGTCATTAGATTCATATAGTTGTTTAAAAGCCTGAGACTGAAACTTATTGAAGAAAGAGAATTCATCACTATAATAGTTGATAAAATCTGGCTGCTTCAATTCTACAACTGGAATAGATTGCAAATCAAGTAGTTCCGTGAATGGAGGGAACTTTTTGGGCAATTTTATGTCTTCTAACATTAGTGGTAATTTCCAATCGGAGTGTAACCATTTTTCACTAATCAACGTAGCAAAATATAAGGGCTGCATAGGTTCGTTTATAGGAACTGTGAAGTCTAAATAATGGACTTCATTGACATAGTTACGGTAGACCAAAAATTGATCTGAGAACAAGATCTTTTCACCGTCACAATCTTCAATCATAAGTAAAAAGGGCTCAAAATTACCAGAGTTTTTAATGCTCCAGTTCCATTCCGGAAGGACTTCAAGATGAATCCTTAACAAAGAAGGAGTAATAGGCTGAGCTGTGTAGCTGAAAGATAATTTGGGAAATTGATGTAACAATTCATACGCTTTATTACTGTTACTCTTTAAATTTACAGCTTCTGCTAATTCTGAGGCAGACAAGGTAAAATAAGACATCCATGGCAAATGAGACTTTTGGGTTGCCCTGATTATGTCCTTTGGTACGTCTTCTTGGTCGAACTGGCTAAATGGAGAGCTACTCAACCACATTCTCTTCTCGACCATTTTTACTAAATTAAGGGCCACCTTTGTTAAGGATGCCCAACCTTTTTTCAATGAAATTTCGTAGATAGCCCTTAGTAATCTACCAGCGGATTGTGTAACGTAAATCATGTCAGACATCAACGCAAACCCATCCAAAGTTAATTTCGAAATATAAGTTTGAAGTAAAACGTTCACCTTAGCTAATGGATCATTTGCACTTTCCTTGATAGGAATAGGACATTTTTCCATCAACTTGACTAATTCCATTTTTTCTTCTTGCCTGATTGCAATGTACTTAAATTCCCCTGCATTTGCAAAAATTCTAATGATTTCAATTTCAGTTTGCCATGGTTTTAGTTTACTGTTGAACATATTAATGGTTGGATAATTTATATAGAAATGGGATGAGATCTTTCCCAAATCAGTCGCCTTGACATGATCATTAAGTTCATCATAAATAATTAACTTGTTATCGGAAAGCACAGTAAATGCGGAATGTGCAAGATCCACTCGTTTCCAGTACAAATTTTTATCATCCTTGTAATTTGCTCCAACTTTATAAATTCCAGGCGAATGCATCATTCTGACATAGAGATACGTGTATCCTAGCCACTTAACAGCATCCTCTCTGGATTTGATTGTACCCAATACTATCTCTGCGTTTATGTTATCTGCTAATTTTGCCATTAATTGTGATTCAATTGGAAGCTGCTGATTTAGAATGGCAAGATAATATTGGATTTCTTCTTGAGACGTAATAATTACACCTTCACCAGATTTGTCATATCTAGGCCTACCAGCTCTACCTAGCATTTGAAGAATATCTTGTGGTGATAGTTGTACCCAAGATCCCTTCTCAGGAGAGTACGTTTCTGTGCCTTTGATGACAACAGTATGCGCGGGCAAATTAACACCCCATGCTAAAGTAGCAGTAGAGACCAAAACTTGAATATGGCCCTGTGCGAATAAATCTTCTACCGTCAGTCTTTCGGTTTTCTCTAAACCAGCGTGATGAATTCCGAAACCCAAAGGGATGATTTGTTTCAAGTTGTTATTTTTCATAGACTGAGATTCTTGTTTCAATATTTCGTTAATTGCAGAGTCTTCTTTCAAGATCAAGTCATGTTTTCTCTCTTCAATCAATTTATCAGCAATCCATTTAGCAGTTTTCATAGTGTCTTTTCTCGAATGAACAAAGATAATCAATTGATGGCCATTTTTAGCACATTCGAGTACCTTATCATAGCAAGCCTCATTCATAGCATTTAATTTTTTAATAGCTTTCTTTTCCTTTATTCCAATAAATTGTTGTTCCAAGGGGCATGGTCTATATGAAGAGTCGAAGTAAAATAAGTTTGAATCAGCGTCAACCTTCAAAAATGTGGCGACGTCCGTATAATTTGGCAATGTGGCAGAAAGACCCACTATCCTAACAGGTGAGACAATCTCAGATTGCCTCAAGGTCCTACTTATAATACCTTCCAATACAGGACCTCTTTCATCATGCAACAAATGGATTTCATCAACGATAATAAGCTTAGTAATATGGGTAATGGATAAATCAGAGCTAGACTTTCTCGTGATTACATCCCATTTTTCGGGTGTTGTCACTATAACTTGGGTTTCCTGAATTTGTTGTCTACTGAGACTAGAATCACCAGTCAATTCATTGACAACTATGCCAAAGTTAGGAGTTAACCTTCTTTGAAATTCCCTCATCTGTTCTTGTACCAAAGCCTTCAAAGGAGCTATATAAACAATTTTGAAACTATTCAAGTCAATGATGCCGGTTTCTTTATTCCTGTGATTTTCAATGGTACGTAACATAGCTAACATAGCAACATTGGTTTTACCAGCACCAGTGGGTGCACATAATAATAAATTCTCATCATTACCGAAAGCCAGCGGAAACACTTTAGACTGAATTCTATTTAATGAAGTGGTTTCTGAACTTGGGAAGACACATTGACACCATTCTGGTAAACTAGAAATATTCACCAATGACTCTCCTGTTTCTTCTAAGCTTGGTGGCAGTTCAGGCGCTGGGATGGTTATAACATCGTATAATTTCTTCTTTTGTTGATAAGAACCCTTTGGGAGTTTGACCTTGGTAGCTGTCATTAAGTGAGAACCCTGGTCAAAGCTTAGAGCGTCTAAATCGACAATTTTAGGCTCACGTTTCCGAGCAAGTTTATTTCTCTTGGAAGCCGTAGCTTGATCTTTTACTTCTTCATCCGGTGTTCCAGACAATTTTCTTTTCTTACTACTTTTCCCAATTCCATCGAAGTCTTCCAACTCATCGAGAAGTTCATTTAACTTCAAATCAGCCATATCATTAGCTATTTGTTCCTTGGACTGCTGTTTGATCCATTTCAATTTGAAGACGATTCTCCAGCGGTTTTCTACACATAGCTTGATGAAATCAAAATGGTCATACTGGAAAAGATCCATCAACTCATTTTCCAAGTCTCTCTGCGTCTTTTCGTAGTCTGATAGTATACTGTACAATGAATCTGTAGTAGCTGCTATGGACTCAGGGTCACTTTTCAAGAGGCTGGCAACATTTCTCTGGAGGTAAAATTCATCAATTGAATGGAGTGGTACAACTAAACCATCGGCGCTACTGCTCTGTTCACCAGATTCTATCACAGCTTCATTCTCTAAGGCCTCATTCTCCTCATCGGCCAGCTGAGCACCATTGACTGCGTCACCCTCGATGTCGTTCTCGTATTCCTCTTCATTTTCAGCCTCATCGTCATCTTCAAACGCTACAGCCAAGGAGTTGGAATCATCTACAACATCACCTTCGAGTTCGTCGTCCTCGTTATTGCTTTTACTATAGTCTGTTATTCTCTTCCCAAGCTGAACCAACTCATTAAACTCTTCATCCAGCACCTCTGTATCCAACAATTCCGAGATAACTTTGCGACTTTGGGACAACGAGTTTGAACTTTCAACCTTGATGATCTCCAAAACCGTATCTGAGGCAGATAATATTACATCGTGGGAAGCATCTGTCAAATATGAGTGCACCCAGTTCATAATCAAGTCGAAAATATGCGCCGTTTCTGCATTCGTAGGATGGTAAATAATAGTCTCCGAAGAGCTCTGATACGCTCCAGCGTTGAACGTGACAGAAACATCATTATTCTTATTAGTCAGATCGTCATTTATCTTCTCTTTCTTCAGTGTGTCCTGAGAATGTTCTTCTTTCCTGATGGCGGATCCCATTTCAGACTTCGAGATTTGCCCCAGTACAGTCTGAGGGTTGTAATTCACCCCATCATCGTTTGTTCTTCTGTGGCCCGATCGTATTACCTTATTGGACATCTCATTGTATCTATATTCTTTATTATCAGACATGATTTATAAGGCAATCGGATGATCTAAGTGACCTGAGATGCTGTTGTACTTATCTAGCGTTTTCTCTTTAGTGTGCGATGCAGTTGTAGGTGCGATTTTGTGTAACTTTTCATTTTTCACTGTGCAATGAAAAAGACTTGAAGCAGCTAAAGGCTACAAGAACTACAGTACTCCATTAAGCAAAAGATCAATATTTATTATGTTACCTTCTTCATTCTTTTTTTTTTCTTTTGCAATTTATATACTCTAGATACATTATATATATTTTCAAACAATAAAATTATAAGGAAAAGGGATACCTCTTCATCTTAAGGCTTAAATTTTATTTCATCCTCCTTCTATTTGGTTAAAACTCTACTGCGTTTCATTTTCTGGGTACTGGGCTGAGCCTGGGTGACTTAGTAAACCTTGTTGGAGAAAGTACCCTTTTCGAAGTTCCAGGTGTCATCAGAGATTCTACCTCTCAATTCCTTGATTTCAGAGCCTGGGACGTAAACATCTTCGAATAAAATGTCCATCTTAGCTTCCGGTGGAACATCTTCTTCAGCAGCGGCAACTTGTTCGTCAACGTACTTTCTGGCGTCCTTGTCCCAAGCCTTGATTTCATCTTCAGAAGCAATATCTAATTCCAAAAGGGTAGCCTTTAAACCGGAAATAGGATCGTTCTTAGATCTCATGTGTTGAACTTCTTCTCTAGTTCTGTAGGTGGTACCTGGGTCAGACATGGAGTGACCACCGTATCTGTAAGTTTCGTATTCTAAAACTAATGGACCATTACCGTTGGCACACCAGTCCTTAGCAAACTTGGAAGCCTGGTAACAGGCAAGAACATCCATACCGTTGACCTTCAAACCCGGAATGTATTGACCTCTCTTGTAGTATTCAGTCATAGCTGAAGAACGAGAGGCAGAGGTACCCATACCGTACTTGTTGTTTTCACAAGCAAAGATACATGGTAAATCCCAAAGCTTAGCCATGTTGTAAGACTCAAAGACTTGACCTTGGTTAGAAGCACCATCACCGTAAAGAGTGAAGGTGGCATTCTTTTCACCTCTATACTTATGAGCAAATGCTAAACCAGCACCAAGTGGGACTTGGGCACCAACGATACCGTTACCACCGTAGAAACCTGGGGCAAACATGTGCATGGAACCACCTTTACCGTAAGAAACACCACCTCTCTTACCCATCAATTCACCCAAAACAGCCTTGACTGAGGCACCTCTCAAGTATGCAAACCCGTGACAACGGTATGAAGTAATAACGGTATCTTGAGCAGCGATAGCGTGTTCAATACCAACAGCAATAGCTTCTTGACCGACAGACAAGTGACAGAAACCTCTGATCTTCTTGGCTTTATACAATGCATCGGCAGCCATTTCCATTCTTCTGACAATGATCATATCCTTGTACATTTGAAGGAGATCGGTCTTTTCAGCTTCGAAAGTTAATTCAGGAGCATCAAGGTTGTAAGTTTCAAAAGATGAAGCTGGTAAATCAATTGTAACGAGATCGGAAGCTGCTGAGGCCAAGGTTCTCGTGGCCATGACTGGCTTCATAGCAGCCCTAAGGGATGCAGTGGAACGAAGCATTCTATATAGTAGTTGATCAATCCAAGAGAGATTATAGCAATATCAAATAATACAATTACTCAAAGGGAAAAACTGTCTTAAATACGTTTCAATTGTATTTCTTCTCCAGGTAAAAAGACAATTCAACTTTCCTTTCTTTGATATCTAGACTGATCGTTGTATTTTTTTTCCTTTGTTACTTTTAGATTGCACACTAAGAGCTCTCGGACTCTCATCAGGACGGATTGGTGAAACCCGGGTAGTGCAAAATGATAAATAATCGGAGGTACAGCTCCGGCGCCTCAGAATCGAGTGGAGCCAGGGGAAATTGTTGAGAGGGGAGGAGTGCAGGGGGAGTGCAAAATGGGAGGGCCGGGGCAAAACCGGAGATGGCCTGGTGAATGCAGGACGGAGAGAGGTTGAGCTGATAGGAAGGTCGTAGCATTGGGCGGTAGCGTTGGATGGTGGGTAGCTGCCGTGAGTGCGGTTCAGGTTGTGCAGGTTAGAAGGTGCACAGTTGCGGTGATGCAAATTATTTTTATCTCAGGCTAGATTGCAAATGAATTGTTATTAGGCTGCCACAGGCTGCCACAAACCACCACAGACTCCACCAAGTTCCACCAGGTTTCATCCAAATGCTGCCACTGTTGAAATCATCCCTAACATCGACCCCTATAGTCGACCGCTGCTTTGTCCCTCATTTGCTGATTAGCTGGTATTTTTTCAAAATTTTTCACTCTCGGTGTTTCACTAAAACAACTTCGCAGCGATTTTAACACATTTTCATGGATCAACTGTGGGTACCGACAAATGTGTTACTTCTACAGTTTCAGATAAGAAACAGACTACATCCACATGTATATAAAATGATACAATACCGGTTAATTTGGATCGTTTTCAGTGGTGGGATGTTCTGCTTTGCTTCTGTATGTGACTTCACCGTTGTTGCAAACCTTCACTGAATTTTAATTATTTTTTTAGGTTTTGGGCTATTTCATTTTTTTATTTTTTTATTTTTCGTTTTTTGTTTTGCAGCCATGAAAATTTGGTTCACCAAGAAGAGTCCCGATGCTAGACTGGCATACACCAAGCCAAGAACTAGCGCAGATGTCGTTACTCCTGTGTCTACTCCCAGGCGATCGAGCTTCAGATTTTCGTTCTCGTCTCCTTCCTCAAGTTTGAGTAACCCATCACCCGAGAGCAAGAGCTCCAGGGTTCTCCAAGATTTTTTCAAAGATGTGAATTTCAGTCCTGGCCCGAAAGTCAAGCCATACGCCTTCTCGCAAACAACACAGCCAGTTCGTTTTAAGTTGCCGGAGTCCGGCGAAAGAAAATGCTTTGTATGTGATGAAGATATAAGCGTATCCTTCTCCAATGAAAAAAGCGTCCTGTTGAAATGTGGCGACAGTGTCCATGGAGAATGCTTTGCCGTATTGATTCGGTCTGGCGATTATTCTAAAGTACCACTCTGTTGCGGGACGAACTGCCAGAAAGCCCTAGAAGATGGAAAATCTGCAAAGCAAATGATTCCGGTCGATGAAGAAGTAATGCGCTCAGCTATGGTAGCTACTGCTAAAATTGACTCAAGTCGCAAGTATCAAACACAAAAAAGATCGAGTACTCAGTCTTCCTCTGATCCACTCAGGAGTTCTAGAAGCAGCATGAACAAGCGGCCAATGTCACTGACGGGCTCAGGACTTGGCGATGTTTATTCAAGAATTGTGAGAGAATCATCGCCTGCCCCAACGGAATCTTCTCATAGAACAATAACTGTCAGAGTCGAGAACAACAAAGAAATCCCATCTGAAACGCTCAGCAACAGGTTCATTAAATATCTAGTGGAGCATAACAGGAACTTTTCCTTATCCAGTATTCTCAACTGTGGTAAATTACGCTTAGTAGATACTCTATTCGGCACTTCCGTCGAGAAAGAAGGAGAACTGCCCTCAAACTTCACTGTGGCTTATCTTTTCCAGCACAGTCTCTTGATATGGTACAAGACTATGAATTTAACAATAATCTTGAGCTTAGCAGAGGCAAAGTTTAAAATACTACTGAAAGATTCCATTTTGAAAGTTGAATCCAGGGATCAAAATGGCATCTTTCATGAGCTTTGGTTAGCCTCTGAAAATCCTTCAATTTTAGAAAAATGGGTAATTGCTTTGTCAGATTACACATTTGAATTTCCTTCTGAATTGATGACATCTACGCTTGATAAGTTGGATGAAATAACGTCGGATTTATTGTCTCCAATTGCAACACATTTTCAAATTTCACAGAAGCTAGAAAGTATTAGTGGGAGGGATGTGATTCATGAGGAATATGAAGACGAAGAAGAAATGAGGTACACCCCGGCACAGCCTCTAAGCTTACTACCAATGGATGAATATACGTTAAAAACTGCAACTATTTCGAGAAGCTCAATCTATTCAGACGTTGATCCACTTTCTCTTACAAAAAGAATGAGTGCTACAATGCAAAATTTCAATAGTTCAAAGAAATCAAATTTGAAAGTGAACCAACCAAGGTTGGCTCAATCATTGTGTGAAGAATCACATCCTGACTCAGACGCAGACTCAGATTCAGACTCAAACTACGATTCTGACGAGGATAAAATACAGAGCTACTTAAATTTACACAACAAAGGTAAATCTATTATATGCGAAAGCCAAGCCAGTTTCCCGTCTCCTTCTATTTCAGTTATTGATACTTTCGAAGAAGAATTAAGGATAATTACTCAGGTGCCACAGCCTATCGAACCAAAGATGGTCAAATCAGAATTAATCTCCGATTCAATTTCTAATGTGAGTTCTAATACAAATTCCGACTCAGAAATTGAGTCGGAAATTGATTCAGATGAAGAAATAATATCAAAATATAAGAGACTAAGTCAAAAAATGCCATCAGGATGGTCAGACTTACTAGTTCGATTAGATTCTGCTATAGTTAACTCTATATAAGATTCTATAGAATATAATGCAACATTAATTAACGCTTCCGTGCGATTGATTTGTATCTATCAGTTTCGATTAAAATATTAGTCACCCATAGTTCTCTTTCTTGCCTTGACCTTGCCATGAATAGTATGGTTTTACCAGTCAATCCAAATTTTTGGTACATTCTGACAAATCCTGGATTTTTAGGTAATGTGTTTCTTGCATTACCGAGGTTTCCCGACTCTAAACCTTCGTAATTTGACTTAGCTTTTCCAGTATAATTTCTCTTTTTACCCATCCAAATACTGAAACAACGTATTGGTTCCTCCTCAGCAGATTTCCATCCGTTAGAGTAAATTCTTGGTAAAGTATGATGACCAGGGTGTCGCGAATCAAATTCTTTCCGAGTATACAATAAATCGCCTGCTGTAGATTCACCAGAATGTAAATATGTACTGTTAAGTCCGATGGTCATATAATGCTCGTATGATGAAGTTTCCTTACTCACTCCAGTTCTTTTAGATCTCTTACTGAATGTGAACAACAACAAAAAGCCAGGACATAGGACAACAAAATACTGAGCAAAATCTGAATGTACTTTGGGCTTGACATACAAATACCCACTCATTATTATACAACGATTTAAACTCAAGCTGTCCATATTATAAACATGAGAGTCAGCAACTGAGTGAGCTAGTTCGACTTTTCCCACTTCTTTAACGATATTGGAATCAGTATATTCGTTTATCATCAAGTTATTTTTGTTTTTTAGCCGTACTTCGGACATCTTTGCCAAATCATCGTTTTTCCTAATAAACCAATAGTTCTTCAAATCCTGTAACCTCAGGATCCATTGATCTCGAATTAGTCTGGATGGGGCTTGTAACTTAAGGACAGACCCATGTATCATTTCAATTTCAAGCACTGAATCCATTATTTCTTCGTCGTCTTCACTCTGATTGTTCAGATACCAAATTAAATTCATGAATTTCTTTTGCAAGAGTGAAATAGATTTAAATGGCACTTTACGAATTTCCCTAACCTGGCACAAGTCAATAGCCGCCTCTGCCTTCACTATTTGATGTATTCTCCTCTCTAATTCTGAAAGTGCCAATTTGTCCATCTTCTCAAAGTTTTCATCATTAAACCATTCAATATGATCATTTTCGTCTAATGGAAATGGATTTTGTTCAAATACATTTGGCATTTTGCTAGCTATTTCATACATATCCGTACCTTCATCGCAAAATAGAAATGCGCTATCCGGAGAAGGCGGTATTGCACGATAAAACTTGGTGTAGAAAAGAATATTGTCACTAGAATAGAAATACAGCATTCTGTAAAACTTACTCAAGATTGATTTCTCATCTCCAAATATATCGGTCAATCTTGATAAAAATCCTTCTATTGGAACAGGCTCCTTTATTAATTTCCCACTAATACTTCTTGTCAGTCTTGGACTAATAGTTTTGTCTCGCAATTCTACCTGATATTGATCAGTCTTCACTAAGTTTTGAATATAAAACATATGGCTATCAAAACTGGCCCATTCCAATCTATCATAGTACTTATAGCACAACCAAAAATTATGAGCTTCCCGTATTGCCTTCTGTATTTTCTCTGAAGTGGTGGCATTGATTAATGATTTAGCCAGTGAACTTATTGCCTCTCTTAGATACTTAAAGATACCAACATATTCTATTGAATATCCTTTCGATAGTTTATTTACTGTTATAGAATCTAAATTCTTTGAAATAAAGCTATCTTTCACAACTTCCAATGGTATTTCAATAAAGATGGATAAGTCCAACATTGGGATTGCAACCTGGAATGCAGATGGCATATTATAGCCAAGAACTCCTTTCATTAAGTATAGCCATTGGTAGGACGAACTCTGCGCCTGGCATTGTAAAATATATATCTTTACGCCCTTCGCTACCTCTTCTTCTTCAGTGTCGGGATCATGATCCCCCACAATTAAGCTGATTGACTTATCAACTGCGCTATAAAACTGTACTTTCACCTGTTTACTGGTCAACGGAAATGATATATCAGGTTTGATCAACTTTTGTGATTTCTTCTTCTTATTAACATCATATAGTTGAATTTCAGTAGATGTAGATGACCGATTGGATTTTCTTAGCACAACCATATATTCTCTCCATCTCTCGTATACTCTGGAATCGCATGGTTCATTTTCGCTGAACAGAGGTAGCTGATTCACAGATTTTGCTATCTTTATAAGGACTAACATTTTATCGGCCTTTATAATTTCTCCATTTTGGTACGACCTTAAAAGTTTCTTTACCAATCTTTGTTTAACGTCGCCAGTGCTTTTACGGGCAGACTTCTTACCCCTCAGAGCAAGCCGTTTCATCTTTTTCATTACTTTTCTCTCTTCCTTTATGTGAATCCTTCTGACTCGCTGATTTCCTGATAGTACTGGTTCATCGCAAGGCTGAGGCATTACTACTGCAATATTCTTTCTACTTTTACTGATTCTTCGAAAGCTTAACCTGCGCAGAAGATTACTACGCTGGGTATTGAACCGAACGACATGACTCTGCGCAGATACGTCTTCGGCCCCCAGTTTGCTGGAGTCAAAATCAGAATTCATCGTCACTGAATAAGCTGCCAGAGGGAGTGATGTTCGGCTAGAATCGAGCGGTATCTGGTATTCAGAATTATCGAAAGTACTAGGAGACTGTGCAGGCGAGTAGATATCAATTCCAGTAGCGTCATTAGGGTCAACTTCCTCATCTATGTGTTTATTTACAGGCCCCTTGTTGCCATTTTTAGAGAAATGAATATCTGGTGATTCCAGCGGGTGGGCCGCTCTTATCTCAGTATGCTGATGCGAAGGATCATCGCCTTTTAATGGCTCTTCGGAATGCAAAGACAGTGGATCGTTATATGAAAATTGATCGAATCTTTCACTCTCACAGTCGCTTCGATCGCTATGACTTTCGGCCAGGAAATCAGAATCGTCCTCTGGGTCAGCATTAAGAGAGGTCTCCAAGATATCCATGACTTTATTCTCAATTTCATACAGTGAGCCTGAGGTGGATGAGCCCAATACTCCACCTATCACATTTTTGAAGCTCGATCGAAGCGACTTCCTAGATGACTTAACAAATCTATTGACTAGCCCCTTACTCTTCTCCTCGAACCATGTGTCGGGTATCTTCCCCAATAGCACAGTTTTCGAAGACTCGCTTATATTGTTTGCATCATCATAGGAAAGTTTAAATGCTGAAAACGAGTTTGACGGTATTTTAAATTGGTCCTTAGACAACGTCTGAAACTTGAGTTCATCGCCCATAGTCCAGTGCAGAGGTATTACTTCTAGAGTGACTCGTTGCTACCTACTACTACAAAACTCTTATATCTCTTCTCTGGTTCAGTACTAAAGTCTCCAAGCTTACCTAGCCACACAAGCAATCCATAAAATTAATGTGCGCAAGCAGCAATCAGTAGCCTAAATGTAGCCGGAGATTAAAAATGCTACCGGAGAAAAAAATATTTGTAGAGCTTAAAAGTGCAATACACGGCAATTACATGTAAGATATACATTCAGAATAAACTAAGGAACACTAAAAAAAGAGTAAAATTAGACCACGTCCTCTTCAAGTCTGGTAGGACCTTCTATATTCATGTTTTCTGGCAAAGAAATGCTTGGAACATACTCTAAAGAAATGTATACCAAGCCAACAATGAAAATCAATAAGCCTGTAAATATTCTGAAAAAGCTGGCTCCATTAATGCTAGCACCAATAAAAGTGTAGACTAAGGTAGTTAGTAAATTAAGATAAAAGCAAAACTAAAATAGAAACAGATGCAAATGAATCTGCATTCATGACATGAACCAGAGATAATAGATACGTACAAACACCACGACCAATGAATGAAAAGAGGAATGAGGCATATGAGTGTGCTTCAGGTGGCACCCGGAACTCTAGAAGTTTGATTGTTAGTAAAGCGCTTGAATGTGTCAAACATAATTTTCACACACAGGTTGCAATAATACGTACCTAAAAGTCCAATTGCTGCTCCAAAGGCAATTATGTAAAGTCCAATCACAAACTAGAACAATGTAAGTTAGTAAAAAAAAATAATGGGAAATTGTGGTATAGCTACCCTCGCCAATCTTTATTATCTAGCGAGCATGGAAAGGGCAACCGTGTTTCGAATGCACCCCAGATATCAAAAAATATCCGGCTCACTTCTGAAAACTAAGCTAAAAAATTCCTATAAAGTACATACAGATTGGCTAAAAGTCGTTAGTAAATCAAAGTCCATAACAGTCTATTCAATTGTCTCGAGAAAATACTTACATTCCACTGAAAAGTTGGGATATTCCTGATAAAATCTATAATTTCGAGGTTAGTATATATTAACAAGTCTATGTCTAAAGCAAGGCAAACAAAATTACTTACTGCTAACACAGCAACTGTTAAGTTGGCAACCTTGAAGGCACCACTTAAATCTTGCCCATTGACTTCGTCTAAATTCATGATTTATGTAACTTCAATTATTAGATTGGGATAGTTAAAGAAGAAAGGTAGTTTCTATATTTAATTTTTTTCATCGCCTCGCCACATCTTTATATTTATTTATTCTCACTGAGGACAAGCGCGCACACTGTAGTTAGTCAGATTACTTGAATCACTTTAAGGTCGTACTTATATTAGAATAGCTCATATATATACGATGTAAAATTCCCATATTTGAAGTTTGCATAACGAAGAGTCTTATAATAGATCAAAATCATCTTCGTCAATGTCCATAAACTCGTCTTTATTTGCTTTTTCTTTTTCACTCTGGATAGCAAATCTTGCAATTTGCTCTTTTTGGAATTGTTCCAATTGCGCCAAGTTCCAAACAGAAACACCCTCTTGATCTTTAGGGTTGGTCGGCTGTGCCAAATTTCTCAAAAACTTCTTTGCTTTTGCCAACGCCATATCACTAGAAAGATTTATATCTGAAGGGTACAAAGCTTGTGAAATCCATTTTGGTAACTGTTTCTTCTTCGTACTAAATCTCGAGTCAGCCAAGACCATAATTCCGTAGTCATCTTTCCCTCTTAAGACTCTACCCAAACATTGCGCTGCATGTCTCATGGCATCGAAAGATAAGAAATCGTTTTCTCTGATCTGATAGTGATCTCTTAAGAACTCCAATCTCGCTTTCAAAATTCTGGATTCCGTATATTGAAATGGGATACCAATCATTAGTACGGTTCTACCATATTGGTGATCAAAATCAATACCTTCTGAAACCTTACCACGCGCAACTGACAATAAAACTGCACCTCTTCCATTAGAACATGCCTTACGATACGTCTCCAAGGCAACAGATGTTTCCTGAGCATCTGGGGTTTCCACCAAGATTAACTTATACTTCCATACTTCATCGAGCACACCCATATTCTGCCACATCGATATAATCAGCTCCATGTACAAGTAAGATGGAAAGAAAACAACCATACCATCTGGAGTGACCTTGGAAAACTCAACAAGTAATGACCCATAATTTCTGACGACTGAAGGGTCGTTTCTTGTTTCGAATTTGGAAGAAATATTGACTTGATCAGATCCCTTAGTTACAATCATAGGTAAGAACGACTTTCTTGCTAACGTCATACTATACGATTCTTGTATCACAGTCTGGAAATTAAGCATTCTAGGGTACATATCCAATGGGGACATGGTACCAGAAGTAATGATGACGGAAGAAAATCTATCGAACACAGGTTTCATTGCAATTGAGGCATCAAGACATGTGAAATGTAATATGGGGTTGGGAACAGTAGAGCCTTCAGTTTCAAATGGCTCCAATATCAACTGGAAACCAGTCTCGTACGTAGAGACCAAAGTGGCGAATGTCGCAATATCCTTTAGCGCAGCAAAATCTTCAATGTCAGATAATTCCAAAGTTCTGACAAGTAATGATAATCGCTCGGAGCAGAACCGTAGAGGTTTCCTATCAATAAAGGTTAATTCTTTCAAATGCTGCAAAAAACTTGGTGGTGTTTCACTGATGACATGTAATACCTTCATCCTTGTCTTCAAGTACTCTATGAATCGTTTCAAAAATGATATGAAGTGTTCGGCCTTCCTTATATTTCCTGGAACTGCTTCTTCCAATAGATCCTGAGGCAATGTGGGGTTACTCATAAACAATTCCTCATCTCTGGCTATTTCCGCTTCTCTTAACCCTTCAACCAATTTTTCATACTCATTCTGCAACTTGGCGCTATCCTTCAACTTCATATCTTCGATAGCATGATCCAACTTGTTAGCCCCTCTCGTGGCTCTCTTCATGGTATCGTCAGTCAAATCTAGCGATAAAGATTCAATACAGACATTATCTATATTATGCGCTTCATCAAATATAATGATACTGTCTTTGGAAAGCTCTCTAGAAACTCTTTCGGCAATCTTAGGATCCAAAAGATAATGATATGAATAAATAATGATGTTACAGAAAGGGATCATTCTTCTGACTGTAAAATATGGACATGTACCTATTTCCTTACAGTATTTTGTTAACTCGTCAAATGAATAAACTCCAGCAGGGATCAATTCATGCTGATCCATTTCATTTAGTTTCTCATGGAACGAACACAAGGTACTTGATTCAGGGTTGAATTGCTGCTCATTCTCAGATATCTGACCAGACTCTATTCTCTGCTTCAATTGGCCGTTGGTTATTCTTCTACATTTCTCGTCTACGACAGCACCTTTTCTTTCTTTAGAAATTGTAGGATGAAGGCAAACATTTTTTCTACTTGTCAACCCTAATCCTCTGAACTCTTCTACATAACCCAACTCTTTGGCTCTGAAATCCATCAATGATTCCAATTCAATCAAGGCCTTTTCAATTTCCGACATGGTACGAGAGCAATAAACAATCTTTCTGTGCTCAGGATAATGCATTTGATAGGCTATGGTTAAGGAAAGTAAGGAAACAGTCTTCCCAGTACCGGAAGGCATTTCCAATACACAGTTACCTCCCACATCCAAAGTCTTCTTGATGTCACACATATAAGCATACTGCTCAGGGTAAATTCGGGGGTATGGGAAAATGACCGGAAGGTCCTCAATAAAGAATTTCATTTCAAATCAAGTGAAGTGAAGATTAGATCAAGTTCCTTACTCTTCTAGATGGTGTTGCCTTTCGTTCTGCAAATTTCTTAGTTTCTTGTAAACGGTTGAAAATTGAGAAGGATCATATTGGATCACGTGACCAGATATAGTGTATAAGCTATTTGCTTGGTCTTTGCCTAACCTACAGCTAAATTATGCACTTAAACGTCGTATTCACAATAACTAGTAATAATAGGAATGTTAATAAGGATCTAGGTATATTTACAAAGTTGGAAAGCTTTCAAGTATATGAGAAGGAAAAAAAAAAAATGCTTCAAATTCTTCAAAAAAAAATTACTTCCGCTTTCCCTCACTTCACAACTTCTTCAGCTCCTCTTGAATTAACTTGATGAACTTAGGGAAAATTATGTCCGAGGTGTTACCTGAAACTACTCTTAGAACACCCTTTGATTCGTAAAACTTCTTCAAAGGTTCTATTTCTTTGTTATACTGGTCAAGTCTCTTTTGAAATACCTCAGCTGTGTCGTCCTCTCTCTTAGTTAAAGGCTCACCGGTTACGTCATCATGGAAGGGTACCTTTGGGGGATTATAGTCAATATTGTACACTCTTCCACTCGGAACATGGACCCAACGTGCTTCGATTCTCTCCAAGATAACTTTTTGGTCAACATCAAGTTCCACCGCTAAATTAATAGGGCAATCGTTTTGGGAGAGCACATCGTCTAACGCCGACGCCTGCGTGGCAGTTCTTGGAAAACCATCGAGTAGCCAACTGGATTTAGCGTCGAGCCAACCTTTAGTCTTCAACTCTTGGGTTATCAAGGAAACCATCGTTGAGTCTGGGACCAATTGGCCGCTTTTGATGTACGATGATGCTTCCTTGCCGATACTAGTTCCATTCTTGATGTGGGATCTAAGTATATCACCAGAAGAAAGTGATTGGATAGATGGTAATTGCTTGAGAAGTCTGGATGTTTGCGTTCCTTTTCCCGAGCCTGGCGCTCCCAAAATCAAAAGACGAAGAGACATATATTTATGAATCCAAAAAGGTTCAGGTTTAGGTGGAAATAGAGTTTCGTTTAAATAAAATTAGTTACCCATCAATCGTTTCGCTTATACCGTTGATTGACCACAATATGCAGGCGTACCCCAGTAATCGGGTGTAAGGAGAATTCGGATGATCATCGAGGTGATTCAGTGCTTTCCAAAAAAAAAAAAACTGTAACCTTTCTTCGCTATCAATCGCCTGAGAGAATTCTAAAAAATAAATGTGCTGAACTATACAAAGATAAGATCAAGTGTAAGTGTCAATGCAAATCACAGAAATGTATAGAGCTGGTTTTGAACTCGCGAGCTTTCTGAAAATACTCGGCTCTCAGCACCCAGAGCTACTTAAATAACGAAGAGAAGCCGAAGTCCAGCCTCATTTCCGAAAATGGGCATTAAATTGAGATGCGAAGGGAGCAGGCAAGAGATTAAGCAACGGAGTACATGGCCTATGTAACCAAGACTTATCACTTTTCAAACAAAGTGATTTTGCAAGGGACTAATAGGAGCATGTCTGATATTTGGAAGAAGAGTGCAACCGGAATTATGCGCTTAACGGAAAATCATTTTTCGGTTTTTTTTTTTTTTTTATTTAATACGAAATTGAACAGGCTTAAAACGTTAAAACTGCAACGCTGTACCGAGAAGCATCATCGCCAACGGTTTAAGCAATGTGCTAGTCTCGAAAAGGTAGCTACTTTTCTGAAATGTTTCATATTCTGTAGCTTAGTAGTCAACTATCTTCCATCTTGTACTCGGTATCGTTCTTCTCTCTCTCTCTATCGATCAAATAATAATTACCCAACAAAATCGAAGCACATGTTTCATTAGGCACTGAAATCGGTTCTGGATGAAACGGCTTTCATTTATTAGAAAATATAGCCGGTTCGCGTACTTTTCAACCGACTTGAACATGTTATGATTTTCTTTACACCAGCGAACTCATTTGTAAGCGAAGCATTTGAAAAAGAGTAAGTAGTGTAGGCAACATTATCCTTAACTCATAGTAGAAAATGTTTTTTAATTGGGGATATCGTGCTAACCTTGAAATCCATCAGTCTACCGATGAGAATCTGGTTGAGCTTCCAAGGAAGAATAACGAAGGAACTTTAAAATTCTCCAAGTTCATCTCAGACTTTCCTGAAGTTGATCCTTCCAAAAAGCTTTATTTAAATCCCTGGTTGTTCAATGGTATTTTCCAAACTTTGTATTACAGTAGTGCAGACTCTTCCCATAGATTTCAGATTTACTACGGAAGAGAAATATTTAAGTACCACGATGGTGGAATCTGCTCTCTTGACTTTGTAATCCCCGAGCCAGAATCGAAGGAAGACTTCCAGAAAATCTATAAGGAAACTTTACCAGAGGGATGGCCCAGATTGATGCCAAGGTCAAGATTTTTCACCGAGGAGGAATTGAGTGTAAGTCAGAAACATGACCAAGATTCAACCAAACCAATATGTGTAGTTATCCATGGTTTGGCTGGTGGCTCGCATGAACCATTGATCCGTAACTTAGCTGAAAACTTGACTAGGGGAGAAGATGAAGGTAAATGGGACGTAGTAGTAATCAATTCAAGAGGTTGCTGTAGAACTAAGATCACCTCAGCTTATCTTTTCACTGCACTTTCCACTGATGATATCAAGGAAGTTGTTATTGAGCTTAGAAAGAGATATCCAAAGAGACCTATCTATGCAGCTGGATTTTCATTTGGTGCAGCTGTATTGGGAAGATATTTATCCACAGATCATGCGGCCCAAGAAATCAAGGCTTCAACATTAATTGGATGTCCTTGGGATTTGAATGATAGCAGCAGACACATTCTGCTGTCGTGGTCGGGAAAATACCTTTTCAATCCCGCCGTGTCCAGCTTTTTAGTTAAACTTATCTCAAATAACTTCAAGGAACTACACGAGGGACTTCCAGATGTGTTTAGTAAAGAAAACATGAAAGAAGCTAGGTCTTTCAAAAGAACCGTTCAGATTGATGATACGTTTACATCCCAGGCACTTGGGTTCAAGAATGCAGAGGAATATTATACTTTTGCTTCTCCTCAAAATGTTCTTGATAAGATCAAAACCCCTACTCTTATTTTGAACTCCACCGATGATCCAACCGTGGGTGTTAAGTTACCAATTGAGCAGATCGAAAAGAATCCATATCTTTGTCTTGTGAAGACAGACTTGGGAGGACATTTAGCGTGGGCCCAATCTGGAGGAAAATTCTGGAGTGTAGAGTGTGTTGAAAAGTTTTTCGATAAGTTTGAGGAAGTATACTGATGCATATGTAATATGGTACCTGTGAAATAGACAGTATATGCGAATTTAGTTGGCCAACTTCTATACTACCTTTTGCACCCAGAGTGGTTTAATTAGTATTTATACAGTGGAAATTTATGCAATACGTAGTGCATGCAATAACATATAGTACTGGGTACATAGAAATACACATTATACAGAATGAGAGAAACAAATGAAGAACAGTGAAAAACGGGATGCAATCTGCATGATCTCTGTACATAGACTGTGGTAGAACAATTGAGAGAACCATTTGCAACCCAAATGATCGTAGCACATAGAGTACACAATATATATGGAGATTGGTAAACGACCTGAAGAACCATTTGAGGGCATAAATTCCGTACACATAAAGTGTGAATCAACTGGCAAATCGTATACAGTCTACTCCTAATCTCGGTGCATAGCATATGGTTGACCAACTGACGAGCCGAACCTTGTGCAACCTTCATGATAGCAGTGGATAATTTTTTTTTCGGCTCTACCTTTATGCACCATTATGCACCCACAATGATACAAACAGACCCTAACAAAAATTTTTCGAGAACAACGTAATCACGACACAATGTCAATGAAGTCAAATATACGTGACATATATACACTCTAGAGAGTAACTGTAGTATCACGAGAACGGAGAATGCTCGGTCTGGTATATTTTCTTAGTTCTTCTTAGCCTCCTTTTTCTCCGTTGTACTTCCCTTGTATCCCCGGGAAACCGTTCACAACGCCATAATTAAACTTCTTTTTTCTTTTTTCTTTGGTAATGGTGCATTTATTCCATGCATATCTCAAATTTTTGTTGCCCAAGGCTACCGAGAGACAAACAATCGACTCAGGTGAAATTGGAGTGTAACATGTGTGGGGTGAGCATGAATTAGACTTTGTAGTACCCTCTAGTCTGTATTGAGTCTAGCATAGCCTTCTCTTCCAGCCAGTCATGAAACCCCGAGTGTGTACAACTGCATGTTCTCGCCATCTACGGCATTCCCCTTCATCGGATAAAATAGGTTGATATCTAAAATAGCAAGTTTACCTGGTGACACGCGGCTTGGACATCTGCTTAGATTCTGGAAAAATATTACCAGGCAGGAAAAAAAGGGTCGGGCCATTGACATCAAGTTACCTGTTTCATATCCGGAGCTGTAGACGTACCGGTTTCTTTTTTCGTTTCTCTTTTCTCTTCATTTGTGATTTCATTGTATCCTTCTTCTTGCTCTGCTTTTTTGTTTTAGTTGCCTACACTGAGTGCATACACTTAAATATCACCTTTAGCACTGGTACATCTCGACATGTTACAGAAGAAACACGATCTTGCACTTTTTGAGATTAGATTGAAATCACCTCACAAAAACTTACTTCTACTTAAGGGAAATGAACACGAGTGTGAACAAGTTCCTTTCCAAGGATCAATCAAATTGTCACTGCCTAGTGACCTACATGTCAAAAAAATTTCGTTGAGGCTAATAGGAGAGTATAGATTGGACTATTTCCAGCGTGATTCACATGGGACTGTGATCGACCAAGTTAGTGAACACCATTGCGTGCTAGATGTGGAATGGGGAAACCTTCTAACTGATGCAGAAGGTAAAATAATATTTGGGGATTATGGTGATTCCTTGACTAGAATGAATAAGCACCATAAGAAAACAAATTCCGGCAACAACTCGTTCTCATCGCTTCCAAAATCAAACGATGGATCGTCATCGAACCTTCTTCACCCGAGTTCGGCGGCTCCCAGTTCAAGGCCCTCATTTTTGAGGTCTTCGTCTCAACCACACTTTGGCTTCAACAGTTCGTCCAACTTGTCGGCAGCCTCTTCTTCATCCCTATTGCAAATTCCTAAATCTGGTATTGATGGAACTCCATTTAAGGATAGAGGTGCAACATCATCAAGTTCTTTCCTTTTGCCAAAGGGTAATTACAACTTGCCCTTCCAGGTCTACCTTCCTACTAATATATCTGAAACGGTAGAAGGATTAAACTGTGGACAATTACTTTATCGTCTTGAATGCAATATTGAAAGGGGCAGATTCGAAAAGGCCTTCCATAAGACCAAGCATGTCAGAATTATGAGAACCTTGCATCCTCAATGTTTAAGCTTAATTGAAAGTGTTGATATTAACAATACTTGGCCAAAGAAGGTACAGTATGCTGTTAGTTTGATGAAAAAGGGTGTGGCAGTGGGAGCAACAGTCCCCGTTATGATTCTTATCGTGCCACTTGCCAAGGGATTAAAATTACAAGGAATCAACGGAGTATTAGTGCAACATTACCATGTCTTGACCCAGGATGGTAGATCCCCAGAATTTGAGGAAATTTATGGAAAACAAGACATGCCAATGCCTGATGTAGACTCTTTACCTTTGGATCAATGGCAAGTAAAGACCCATTTCAAGATCCCAACTTCATTAAAAAAAGTAACCCAAACATGTGAGCTTAAGAATAGCTTAATTCAAGTCAAGCACAGGTTGAGAATATCTATACAATTATTGAATAAGGAGGGACATATTTCTGAGTTGAGAGCCAATTTGCCGATTCACCTTTATGTAAGTGCAAACACTGGACATGTTGTTGGGCACCATTATGAAGCAGATTCTCATGGTAACCTTTCGACTGTCGTTGGTGGGGAGGACATTCTATTCAGAAAAGATGATCCGCATAACAAAAATCCTATTCACCAGCATCATCACCATCATCATCACGAAGGCTCTGGTCTGGGTAGTGTATCTCCGAACTTGACTGTGAGTAACACCGAAGACACAAGCTCTTCAGTAGATTCTGATAACGAATTAGATAGAGAAGAAACCGCTCCTCCATTGTATCAGAAGCATATTTTCGACAAGATATACGACTCTTCCTTACCACAAACTCCATTAGAACAATTTAGAAGTCAAACTGGTTCGCCCGTTGGATCCAGCGCAAATCTTGCTGGATATTTCGATTCCATTCCCACCAGTTTAGGAGAAGCGTTTGAGAGGAATTTAAAGAAGAATGGCAAGTTACCAGGAGCCCTTTCGAAAACTCCATCCGCACTCGATGTACTTCAGCTTTGTAAGGTGCCCTCATATGAGTATGCTGCAGATGAAGATGTTGACGATCAAGATGAATTAGCACCAACGTATAGTAATGGTGGAAAGGATGGTAGCGACAGCGGCAGTGGTAGTGTTTCAGACTTATTAAGACCGAATTTGGGCAGATCGCATACAGTCGACAACCTTAAGCTTAAGGACAAGAAACACTCACACTCCAAATTACACTTCAGAATCGATAGAAAGAAGGACTCATAATACACAGAAATATAGCCCTTCAATATTGATATCCAGAGGAAACATTATGGATACCTACTATAGAGTTGACATTACGAATAGTGTGCACGAATTTGCAGCCTACATAACCTGCACACATTCACGCTCATATTCATAATCAAGCACCTACGAAAACACAATACATATTATTGACTATATTCTTTTATTTTGTTTCTTTTAAATCGTAGGTATTCTTCTATGCTCATTCAGAGTGGTGTCTCCTGTCTCACATCAGTAAGAATATGTTAATACACCCAACCCACTTCTCCCTAACCTTGTCTTCACATCTACCGACGGTTGCACTCTCGTAATTTCCTTATTGGTACCCTGCGCTACCTGCAGGATTTGAACACGTTAATTTTTTCAAGTTTAATTTTTTCTATGGCAACTTCAGAATTTTTCACCAGCTCTACCTACTCTCCATCTGCCTACCCTTCATCTTAGTCAATATGAACCAAAGTATTCCAGGCATTCAAGGAGGAGTTCCCCAGGCACCTGGTGGGGGTCCAGGACAGGGAATGCAAGTACCAATTTCGGGCCAAAAGTCGCCAGTTGCGATCAACATTGCCAACTTCTTGAGAGACCACCCCATTCTTAAGCAAAGAACTGGTTTACTAAACAATAAAGAAGATATCGAGTTTTTCAGATTCAAAAGATACATCAGAGCATTGACCAGTGAAGAATATAAGAAAAAGCAAATCAATACCAAGAATGGATTGCCGCCAATTAAAGGTGAGCAAGAGGCTGCAAAGTTATTCATCATGTTAATTCAAAGTCAGATGATTATCCCAGTAACCAAGTTACATTATCAAGAAATTAAGCAAACGAATAGAAGTTGGAAACCAAACAAGGCTAAACCAACATTAGTCCCTTCAAATAAGGCCAACTTGGAGCCAGATTCGTACTTTGCGTGGACATACACCAAACCAAATCCATTCATGTTGCTCTACGGTGTGTTGACAATTGTGGGGATCTTCGCCGTGATTTTGTTCCCATTGTGGCCCAACTTTATGAAGCGTGGTGTGTGGTACTTGTCTATGGGATGCTTGGGATTAATTGGGTTATTCTTCGGTATAGCAATTATACGTTTGATAATCTATGTTGTCACATTGGTTGCACTTCCAAGAGCTTTCTGGTTGTATCCTAATTTGTTTGAAGATTGCGGTGTGCTTGAAAGTTTCCAACCATTGTACGGATGGGAAGAACCTAAAAAGACCAAGAAAGGTAAGAAGAAGGCATCCGGTACACCAGCTGTTGCAGGCTCTGGTTCCGCTGGATCTGCTACTACATCTGGAAGTGATGCACAAGGTGGTCTGGCTCCAGTGAAAAGAAAGGTCATATTAGAAGAAGTTGAAGAGTAGAGTCGTGAGGTCCAGAGATCGAGAACCAGATACGACAACACTCTTTGGCGAAACGAAATAAAGAACGAGGGTGACTTTATTTGGAATTTGAATACTTATCTATTAAAGAATATAAAAGATTTTCAGTGGCAAGTGGATCCAATAGTCTAACCATCGATAGAGAACTGTAGAATACTACTTCTAAATGCCCAATGTCAGCTCTATGCCACCTTCTTGGCACATCAATCGTCCTCTGTACACCCTTCCCCTCTTTTCAATGCTCGAACTTCCTGCATATAACTTCCTCTTTATCTAATGGTTTTAATCTAAATTCACCACACCTGGAGGACAAGTCCATAGGTACCCTCTTCTCTCGTCCGGAAACCTCCAATATCAGATGACCATTATCAATAGTCTAGAGTTCAACCAGGACTACTCTTGCGTGACTGTCTCCACTGATGAATACTACAAAATTTACAATTGTGACCCTTTTGGAGAGTTCTATTCATCCAGTGGAGTTAGAACCACAACAAGTGGTGGGGAATACTCATCCAATTTGCTGCAAAATCACCAATACCAGAACCAATTGCAACCTACATCGTTCTTCAAAATGCTATTCTCTACCTCCCTTACAATAATAGTTCCGAAAAACCCTACTCCGACAGGCGGTCGCTTGCTAAAATTGTACAACTTGAAACAGAATTTGAAGATATGTGAACTTCTGTTTCCGTCGCGTATTGTTGATGTTAAGCTCAACAGGAAGAGGTTGTGTATTATAGTGGAGAGCGGCCATATCTATATCTACGATTTGAGCTGTGTAAGACTAGTGAAAGTATTGGAAATTGAGCCTCCCGTACGCTCCAACCCCAGCCATAGTCAGAGCCAAAACCACCGTCCATCTGATCCATTATCGCCGCCATATCCATCTTCATCTTCCACGTCTTCCTATTCATTTGTAGGTGACTTATCAGCAGATGACAAGTCATACCTTGTGCTTCCACTCAGCGTCACCAAATCACTGACAGATTTGTTCAACAAGGACCGTAAGCTGAGCAATCCCGGATCTTCGTCTCCTTCAACGCCTCGTCTTGCGCCTGTCGATGACAATCTTTCCCGAATCATCGAGTTCACTCATAAGTCGAAAAACTTGGACTTGCAGCCAAGTCAATTGACTACTGTTGAAGATTTGAACAAGCACTCGAATGGTTGGGTGTTGGTCTACGATACGATCCACCTTAGGCCCAAACTTATCTACAAAGCACATGACTCGTCTATAGCCAAGATATCTATATCGAATGACGCCTCCAAGATTGCAACCGCATCTTCCAAGGGAACAATTATACGAACTTGCACGCTTAGTACAGGAGCAAGTGAAGACGACGACGAAGAAGATATGGTAATGGACGAATCATTGAAAAGGTTAAGGATATCCCATTTCACGAACCTTCGGAGGGGTCATAACTTGACCAAGGTCACTTGCCTTTCGTTTTCTTTGGATAATAATGTCCTTGGCTGTGCCTCAGACAGTGGGACTATTCATTTCTTCAAGCTCGACGAACCTGATTCGTTACTGGATCCAAGCTTAGACGATGATTCACTGACTGAGGGAATGGCGAAATCATCTGACGACTTGAATGACAACTTGGCATCGTTGTTGATTGAAGAGCAACAGAAAGAGCAGCAGGAACAGCAGCAGCGGCAACAACACCAGCAACAACAACAATCGCAACACCTTCAGCAGGACTCCTCTCAAAGCATGGACCACACCGTTCTGCACCTGTATTTCCACAATCTTAAAAATATGTCACTACTCAACAATACCTACACAAAATCGATATTGAAGAAATTGCCCTACAAGGGCTATCTTGAGAATTTGTGGGAACCTCCTCGAAGGTCCTTTGCCTACGTAAAGATCCCGGAGCCTGAAGGATCTAAAGTAGAAATAGGGTTTGTTAGCAGCATGCAGGTAGTGCTAGCTAGTTACTCTACGGGGGAGTTCTACCACTACCAGCTACCAAATAGAGAAAGAGAGAGAGAAGAAGCCATTCTCGTAAGTGAGTATAAATTGACTTAACGAAGGGCATGTGAATATATACACACATAAACACATACATGCATACATACGTACATACGTGCATACGTACATACATAAAATAGGAACCTTTACTATGTCGTAACCCTTGTAGCTATCGGGCATCCTTATACTATACCTTCACTTCGTAGTTGTTCTTTATAACCCACTATCTGATGTTACCTCTCTGTCTCAGTTATGCGGGTGCACTGATGTTGACCGGAACTCGCAACCACTCTCTCAGATCACATTTTCTCGAGATTCGGTCGGAAAAAAAAAGAGGAGAAAATTTAAAATTTCACACGCCATTCACTAACACTAACAATTCTTCAACAGTATAGCAGTTCCAACAGAAGAGTTTAAAAGGACAAGCACACCCCCACCCTCAATTTTTTTTCCTTTTCTCCATAATGCTTAGAAGAATACCTAAAAACTTGCGTATTCCAATTAGATCTAAGTTTGTCAACCCTAGTCCACTCACATCCTTCTCGATAATGTCTTATTCAACAAATAATGGTGGATACCTTGAGGACGATGTCATTTTCTCCAACAAGAACCTTGCCAGAGTGATTGAATTGAATCGTCCCAAGAAGTTGAATTCGCTTAACACGTCTATGGTAAGCAAGATTACGCCAAGATTGCTTGAATATTCTAAATCTTCAGTAAACAATCTAGTTGTATTGACATCCACATCTTCCAAAGGACTCTGTGCTGGTGGGGACGTTGCAGAATGCGCAAAGCAAATTGTTGACAACAACCCAGGCTATGGTTCAGACTTCTTTCAAAAGGAGTACAACTTGAACTATTTGATTGCTACTTACTCCAAGCCGTATGTGGCTCTCATGAACGGTATCACTATGGGAGGTGGTGTAGGGTTATCAGTGCACTCTCCCTTCAGAGTTGCCACTGAGACCACCAAGCTTGCAATGCCTGAAATGGACATTGGGTTCTTCCCCGATGTTGGTACCACCTTCTTTTTGCCAAGATTGGATGAAAAATTGGGGTACTACTATGCCTTGACTGGTAACATCTTGAGCGGATTGGACGCCTACATGCTTGGATTTGCTACTCACTACGTTTCCAGTGAAAAGTTAGATCAATTGACTAATAGACTTTCAAACTTGCAGCCACCAGTCGTGAACGATACCCCAGCTGAAGAGAATCACTCGTCGATTTTACAGAGCACCAGACAGTTCTTCGCTCAAGTCAACCAAGTTATCGAAGAATTTTCTGAAAATAAGTTACCTGAAGATTACAAACTCCCATTCACTACTGAAGAGATCGATCTCATTAACCAAGCCTTTCTGCAACCAACTGTGGAAGACATATTAACCTACTTGCACAAAGATGGTGGCGAATTTGCCATGAAGACTTACTACAAGTTGAAGACTAAATCACCAACTTCGTTGAAGGTTGCGTACGAATTGTTAAACAGAGGCTCAAAGAACTCAATCCGTCAACAATTCGAACAGGAATTGATAGCTGCCACCAATATTATGAACATAAACGTGGAAAAATCCGACTTTGTAAAAGGTGTGTACCACAAGTTGGTTGACAAAGTAAAGGACCCTTCCTTCCCAGAATGGAATGAAATTCATAACACTGAGTTGATCACCCCTGAAGAGGTTGAAAAGATCTTATCCAAATCAATGGCTACTGCTAAATTGGACCAACCATTATTAAGTAAGTTCTTCGGTGTAGACTACAAGGACTATCCATACAACATGGGATTACCAAACAACAAGCAAGTCGAAGCCTACATTACAGGTAACGATGGCAGTGGTAGAAGCTACTTACCAACTCCATCTGAAGTTGTAAAGTATTTCAAAACCACTACTGGAGACAAGTTGGGTGTTGAAGAAAAGGTTAAGTTCATTTTAAGCTTACACGGAGAAGCTTCCAAGTATGACAACAAGTACGTTTCATGGAAGTAATGAAATTAGGTATAATGCGGTAGAAGAAGATGGAGTCAGAGTTTGAGTAACTTGTACATACACATAAATATAAAGTAAGAAACGATTCAGTTGGCTTCCTTTTAATAAAATATAAAGAATTACACATATATACCTCTCATCATTTGTTATTTTCCTTTATTTCTTATTTATTAATTCATCTAGTAATACATTTTATTTAAACTTTTCTAATATCAAATCTTCTCCCAACTCCTCATAGTCGCTCTTCGTAACGTACCAGTTATCTAAAGCAATATTGACACTATTATCTTCCTGGTTGCCGCTACTACCGGTTCCATTTAACATACTGGCCAAGTTGCATGCACCTAACCAAGAACCAAACTTCTTATCCCAGTCAAGGTTATTTATTGAAGCAGGTTGAATGGTAGCAATATGTAAATGGCCAGGTTGGGTGAATAAATAGTTTGGGAAGTACTGATGCAAAGACTTGTAGACGCTATCTATAATTCTTGGAGTTATTCCAGCTGACAACGATCCCCCACCAGTTATCAACAAGTTTGTCAACAATTCTCTCAATATATCATTAAATCTAGCGTGGTGACTACTATTGGCAGAGGTGTTTGCTGTATTCTCAAGGATTGCCTGTGGAATTATTGATGCTTCAAGAGCCTTTAATGAAGATAAGATTAAATGGGTCAACCCTTGGGTGGATGGTTTATCGAAAATTGGTTGCGGCAAAGTCATATTAGGCAATGGATATGCAGATGGCTGGAACAAAGGTTCCAATAAATTCACTTGCTCATTGGCCACTGGTATAGTCTTACCGTAGGGCAAGTAGAAGTTTTTCGACTGGATTTGTAAGGCAGCATGAGCCGCTGGATTGTTAGCAGGGAATTCTGAAACACTTAACATGGAATACTTGAAATCTTCCACAACTCTATTGGTGACCTGGAAGTTCTTAAATGAAGCTGATAATTGAGCAGTTGGGTTGTTTACGAATGGCTTAGGTAATAAATAGTCCAAGGATGGCACTTGCTGGCTCAAGTAGTTCAAACAATGTAAACTGATGAAATCACCTGCATATTTGGAATGGAACGAGGCCTTAGACTGGACTATACCATCTAAAATTGGGGTCACACTGGTTATTCCAGAGCCTAAGTCAACAACAAGTCCACTGGATTTCCCTTGGTGATATAATTGAGCCAAGGGTGTTTTTACAAGAGAAAAGATTGGAACTTGTAAAGTTTCAAATGCAAGCTGTGTAGCCGCAAGTTTGTTCTTGTCGGTATTCCAAGGTTGTTCGGTGAGCATCAATGGAAATTCCTTGGGGTCAATGGGACTTGAAGCATCCAAGTTATCGTAGGCATATTGCCAATTATGGATAATGTTATCCCAATTGTATACTAACCCGTTATCAATGAGTGTCATGACTTCATTCTGTGGGTTACTATCTCTTTCATCATCTCCAATAATAACTTTCTTGGGGTCGCTAGGGTCTATCAGGTAAGTGGAAGAGTACACCAAGGATGGTAAGTCTGCAGATGCAAAACCTGCCCTGGTAGTCTGCGAGCCGTTGTCGATAACAACTGCAGGAGAAGAATAGGACATGATATTGTAGATGTCTAATGTGTACACTACTTCTAGGTAAAGCTAGCTACGCGTTTGAAAAGTTCGTAGACTTGAGGTTTTCTGACGTTTATGTTTTTTTCTGTTTTTCTAATTTTGTGGTTATTTCACTTAGAGTGTGCATTTGGTAAATGCACAACCTTACTTTCAATGTATCGGAGAATTGTATTGAAAGGCGTACGATGATGTGCCAAAAGGTGTTGCAGGAGGGTTCAAGAATTATCATTAGTTTATTTCTACTCTCAGAAATGAATCTGGCGATCTATTTTTTGAGTCTTCAGAGTGCTTGTAGTCCAATATACGAGTCTAATACTTCATATTGTGAAGTATTCAAGTAATGTAAATGGCTGCAAATTATTCAAAATGAGCATAATTTTCAATTACGCTATAAGGCTCACTTCAGTTAGTTGTATATTAGCTGGGTAAATATACAAATATGTATGTAGACAGCATGCTAATTTACCCATTTTCTGTGCTTCTTTTGTTCTGCTCTCGTTCTGGTATTAATATTTTCGCTTTGCAATATCTTTTCACTTTATTTTCTTAGCAGTTTATTCATTGACCTCTCTTACTTGGTATTTTCTGAGATAATTCCCTTTAGTTTGTTGTTCTCGTCCCTTAATAATCCGATTTCGATAATTAAACTTGATTTGTTACTGCTGGAGATTATTTTCAACAAATTTTCGTTCTCTGTGTCCAACGCTGACAACTTACTGATAATCTTGTGACTGATTTCCTCCTCATCATAATATCCGTTGAACGTTCTAGCTCTCTGCGAGTTCATTGAAATTGCAGTGACGATTGATTCAAGTCTTTCTTTTGTTTGTTCAAGTTCCTCACTCTTTTCTTTGTATTTCTTATTCAATGTTTCAAATAACTGTAAGTAGTTGTTAGGAATTCTGATCGACCCATCCCTCGAATCTTCAACCCGGTCTGTACTCGAAGCGGAAATTTGTTCGACGAGGCTCTCGATCATTTGATTGCGTAAATCCAAGTCAAGTTGAAGTGTCTGCGCATGCTGTTTGAGCATTTCATGCTCATCACTTCCACTTACATTGTCTATTTTCATAACTTTTGGCATCGAATCCATGTTCTCTTGTTGCCTGGAGGTAGGGAAATTGTCTAACTGCATTCTCAGATATTGAATAAGATGATTGTTTTGTGGTTGCGGATGCTGGTAGGTGTAATTCTTATTATCGATACTGCCATTGTTAAAAGTGCTATCAGCCATGTAGTTCCCTGTAGATGACCCTACAGGGACATAGCTCGGCGCATTAACGTTCATAGAACCTTTTCTTGAAATTGAACTATTTCTCGTGAATGGTGAATTGTAACTTTGCTCTTGACTTAAAATAAATGATGGAGTATTCAAGGTGAAATTAGAGCTAGCCAATGAATGGGACTGGTTCATACTGGCGGCCAGCCAAATGTTGGCTATATTCGGTGTTGTATCAAAACTGCTTCCCCCACCACTAGTAGTAGCATTCAGCATTACCGAAGTAGAGTCAAGCAGGATATCAGACATTAATTTGTGGCCCAATAGGTTCGTTTCCAGAGTGAAATCCATTTTTGGTTGCAAAAAAGAAGAGGAAGAAGAGTTCTAAGCTTATTTAATCCAGCCAGGTAAAGCCAGTAATTCGGTTGAGATTGCTTTTTTTTTTTGAAAGCCGTATTTTAAGAGTTTGTCAGAAACAGTCTGTTTATGAGAAGGGAAAAGAATGCTGTAAATATCTCGTCAATAAGGGATGGATTACCTCCTCTATTTATAGCCTTCCCTATCATCTTATGGAACTTTGCAGCATTGTCAGACAACACAAAAAAAAAAAAAGAAAAGGTGCGATTTTTGCTGCAAAAGTTTCATAATTTGCATTAAAACAGACTCGAAACTTCGCTTGAAACTACAGATAATACTAGGCTTTTACCTGCTACTAACTAATTTCGTCTCATTATAAACGTGTATTCAGGCGATCTCTGTAGCTCCATCACCAATCTAATATTAATACAATTGGGCAGTCTATAAAAATATAGTAACCCTCAAAAAAAATGCCCCTTTTCTCAGTAGCTCATGCCTCCTTTTAAGCAATTTGTCCACCTAACATTTGTCGTAAAAATTGCCCATTAGGTGTGGCTAACACCTGTTGCGGTAATTTTAATATTCTATCCTCTAAATTTTTGCCCGATAAGAATTCTCCCACCTTATCGGTAAAGTGGTTGCAGTTATTGTCGAATAAATCGTATGCAAGTGCAGTGTACTTGAATTCTTGGTTAAGTTCACCCATAAACTCATTGAAAATATCTTCTGTAACGTAGGTTTCGCCTAAGTCAATAACCTCCCTGGGCACTCCATATTTCGTCGTTCCTGGACTTGTGGTCGTCTTGATACCTTGGTCTATGTAGTACTCCTTCCCGTATACCACTACAGATGTGTGATATATGGCGTCTAGCTGTATTCCTAAAACCATAGGCGCATACACTGCTGCGAGGCCCCTGGAAATGTCGTAAACGTACACCTTAACTGGGAATGCTTCTTCGTCTTCGGACATATTTAATTATTGTACTGTGTTATCTGTATAAGAATGCACTCTTGAGCTTCTTGTTATTCTTCTTAGTTTTCCTAGTGGCACTCTTACGGGTCTTATATACGCCCTGGATTTGCCTTCTATTTCACTCGTAAGCAGCATGTTACACAAAGTGAAAATCAGCTGCACTGAATCTTTATGCATAGAAAGTGTCAGAATAAGGTAGAAAGAGCGCCATAGAAACGGGCCAAATCTGGGCAACTGGAAACCTAGAGCCCTAGAGAATGCACCAGAAGAATGGCAAATGGGGAGACATACTCACTATGTAAATGTCACACTAGAGAGAATGAGCGTGTGGGGAAGCACTGACTACCGTATAAATCCACATTTAGTCACTGCTTAAGCAAGCGGAACTTCGGAACTTTCAGTGCGACCACTATCTTTTTTCCTCTAATTTGCATCTTTCCCTTTCTCAGGATCTTCCGCACCATGAGAAGCTCAGTGGCTCGAGATGGGGCCCTACTTTTGTTTTGGTACGCTGTGACTTTGCTAAGAGAATTGCCAAATTTTTTTTTTTTTATTTTCGTCTTAATTTTTTCACTTTTGGCTCGTTTCTTTCGTTAGCATTTCGTTTTTGCGATCGGTGCACAAACTCTCTGAAGAAGGAACTAAAGCAGCTACTTTCTTTTACGTCTTGCTCTTTGTACATTAAATACTTGAGATATCAGCATTTCTTTATTTTCTCGTGGACTTAGCTGTTAATAATGTTATAGCATTCTTCTTTAAAGTAAACAAAATCAACCTTCCCCACTCAAATCATTCGTAAAGATAAACCAAAGTACGAACAAAACTAAGAAGTAAGAGTGAAACACTACTCACTAATACGTTAGCCACATAAAATATCTCTGTAAGACATACTGCTACACTGCACTCTGAGGAGATGTCCACATCTAACACTCTTCCAATAGGAGAAACGGTTCATAATTATGAAACCCAATTGAAGGAACTACTTAGTGCTCAGTATGTTGACCAGTCCATACTCTTGGGATTGATAAATCTCATGCAATCCAAATTAATATTAGAGATACTCAATCTTGTTAAAGTTGAAGAATTGACAGAAGCACACATTGACGAAACTATAACGCAAGTCACTTCTATGTGGAACAAACTTCAATATAAAGTAGTGAATTTTTTCAAGCTTCAGCACAAAATCTTGTTCGTTGAAGTTTCGGAGCAAATGTTGAAGAGCAAAAAATCCAATCAGGACGAAAATAGTAAAGTCAAATTGAACTCAGTAGAGATGAGGAAACTCAACGACAACTATTTAAAGTTCAATTCCCAAGTTAATCATTTCTACTACAAGGTGATGAATTTCTTCGTTGCAAATTTTAAATTGAGTAAGCTCCCTCCCAAATTGATCGCACAGTTTGCAAGGAAACTGGAAGTGGAATTGGAGGAACCTGAACCGAAATTAGTATCCCTGCCAGTCCAATGGAAAATAGTCATAATATTGCATCAATGTCTCTTGAGTTTGGGAAATTTATCTCGAACAAGAACATTTATCGAGTTAAACTACCTCAAACCAAGTCTATCAGTGAGGAGCTATTATGCTCATCAGAAAGATACTGCTAAAAAGGCAAAACGTTTAGAAGCATATTCCAAGGCGTTTGAATACTATAAGATTTGTATATTACTTGATCCCAATTTGAATGAGCCTTATAATCACATTGGTATGATTTACAATTCAAACGATGACTACTATAATGCCTGCTATTGGTTCGTTAGGTCACAATCTACGTTTAAAACTACATTCCAAGTTGGATTGAACAATTTGCAACTGGTTATGAAGAAAGATGAATTTAAATCAGCCGTGATTAGTCGTAGAGATGATATTGATGTTGCTTTCATGTGCCTCATTGGTTACTACTACCTTCCCGAAATATACAGTGAAAAATCGAATCCTAGAAACGTTACAAAATCCTTGAGATATGCTGACCTTGAGTTGAGATTCTGGTTGTTGATCGAGAAATTGGATTTAAGTAAAATCTTCAATACGACTAATGCTACTGATAATATTATCATCAAGCAGTTGGTTTTATTAATCAGTTTCAAGAAGTTAATTAATAAAGATGCATACGATAATTTTATTATCAGATACCTTAGTAAAGTAATGACCATGTTAGAAAGAGAAACGAACTCCGATGAATCAGTGAAGCAATGCACTCTTGTATGCTTGCGATTCATATTCTCAATATTCAGAGAGATTAAAGAATTAAGAAATAAAACAGATATGAGATCAATCCAATCCCTTGTTAATAAACTATTACAAGAACAACCAAAATTTGATTTGAGCAATAAACCAACCAGGGCAATTTTATTTGAAGAAGACATTAACTTTAAAGGTTTGTCAATCAAAGAATATAGTAAGAAGAGAGACTTGAAAGATATAGATTCATATGCCTTCAACGATTTCCAAGATACTGAATTATTGAAGACTGAAAATAAAGGTGTATTATATGGATATTTTTCGGATTCCATTAATGGAGCTGGAATTCCTGACTTCATTGAAGATACACCCGACCTGCTGGATAATGACGATACAATTGATAAAAAGGTGATTCAGTACGAAAATAACTTAAGAGAGAGATCCTTAATCATTCTAGGAAAGAAGTTATTGGACATATCTAAACACTTCAAATTTGATGCTGATGAAAACAAATTCACTATAGTTACGACCACTAAAATCAAAGACGAGCAGATTCCTCAAAAGAGATCTGACAACAGAAAAGTTGAAAGCAAAACCAAGCTATTAAATTCAGAAAAGAAGGGACTGAAATCACTGCAGCATCTTAAGGCTAAGGAAAACAGTTCTTTGGAGAATAATCAAAACAAAATGAACAGCAGAAGTAAGGGTGAAAATAAGAACATCAGAGATAATAGTGCACATGATGATACTAACACCCAAGCTACCAAACAAATTAATGATCTTCTTGGTAGTGTGGATAGAAAATCAGGCAGCCCTGACTTCAAGTCCAAAATTATGACAATGTCAGAGCTTGAAGAGTTGGTAAGCAAAAGTGGGAAAACGAACTCAGTTTCTAGAAGCAAATCCAGTTCGGGATCGAATGACAAAAAGGACGTTTCTCCGACCGGTATTCCAGATTCTCTTGAAGAAATAGAGTCATTCATTTTAAAGCATACAAGTGTATTACACAGGGTGACCAATTCGGATGAAAGTGCAAATAAGCAAGAACATTATCAGGACAGTAAACAAGAAAGTCATAATGAAAAGACTTTCGAAAAGGTCCACAATGTAAAGCTTGGAGATCCATCACAAAAAGCTTCAGAGCCAATAAATAATGTTGAGAGGGACGAAGGTTTACAAACAATGGTAAACTCATTGGTTTTAGAAAATACTTCACCACAGAAGCGAGACCAAGTTACAGGTAATGCTCCCCAGTTTCATCAAGGCTCAATGCCTGTATCAAGTGTTCCATTTCAGCAACAGCAGCAACAGCATCAACAGCCGCAGCAACAATTACCAATGCAATATCCGCAATACACTCAAGGGTTTGGTCAGCAACTTCCATTTAACTATGGACCAGTTCCAAATGGTATGAATTCATATGCGCCTCAACCTCTCATTCAACCATTTCAAGGGTATCCTATGTATGGAAGTAACAACCAATTCGCTGCACCTCCAATGTTTGGTAATGGTAGTGCTCATCACATGCCCCAACCACCAGTTCAACAACCAATGCATCCTCTAGTTCAGCAGCCAGTGCCTCACACGCAGCATTTGGTGCAACAGCCATTTCAACAACCGATACAGCAGCATCAGTTCCAGCAGCAAATTCAGCAACAACAACCGCTACCCCAGCCATTGCATCAACAGCAGCCAATGCATCAACCAGTCCCACCAATCGCACCAACTACTGCGAAACCTTCCACCGGATTCTCCAAACAATATTACTATAATGTTCAGAAAACTGGATATCAATAAAAGGTTTCCGGAGATCTTCCACTTTTTTGGCATATAGATGTAAATACCTTCCTTAGCCAGGTTAAATGCATATTACTGACCCAACTGTACCAGAGCTTATACTGTAGAGCACGTTGTACTTACGCGTACATGCAGGAGTACGTATTTCCATTTCCTCCTACTTTTTTTTTTCGCATGCACCACAAATCACCAGATAGACAAGAGAAGAATCAGGCTATTCTCCATCGTATAGGGGCTACATCTTATTTATTGACTTCATTTTAGAACATATCTTGTCATTCGCTAGCTCTAGAAGTATATACTACATACCCTCACTTTCCACTAATATGGAGTCAATCAAGCATAGAAAGAACAGTGAAACGTACACGTTCACTACACCTGCTGCTGATTCTTCGATCGAGATCTTGAATGAATTTTATTGGACTCAGGAACTGGAACCACACGTTGCTAGGAGGAAGGCTATATTGAAAAAGTATCCTGAGGTAAGTAAGCTCACAGGGTATGAACCTATCACCAAATGGTACGTTTTGGGGGTGGTTGCCTTGCAATTACTGGTTGCCTACTACTTAAGAAACACATCACCGATCTCATGGAAATTTTTCACTCTCGCGTACGTAATTGGTGCAACATCAAACCAAGCGATATTCTTAGCGATACATGAATTATCACACAACTTGTTGTTCAAGAAACCGTTACACAACAAGCTCTTTGCCATCTTTACCAACGTCCCCATCGGAATCCCATACTCCGCCTCGTTCCAACCATATCATCAATTGCATCATAAGTTTCTCGGAGATTCCTTTTTGGACACAGACTTACCTACTAAATACGAAGGTATTTTACTTTCGAATGTTTTGGGTAAAGTTTTCTTTGCAACATGCCAAATCTTCTTCTATGCGTTGAGGCCAATGTTTATAACACAGATCCAATTTACTTATATTCATTTATTTAACATAGTATTTCAGATCTCCTTTGATGTGGCACTTGTAAAGCTATCCGGGTGGAACTCATTATCATACTTCATTATGAGCTCTTTCCTTGCAGGATCATTGCACCCATGTGCTGGGCATTTCATTGCTGAACATTATGTGTTGAACGAAGAGAACAAGCCAAGATCAGCAAAGGAGTTGGACAATCATGTAAATATTGCTCCTGAATTGTTGCCCATGGAAACCTTTTCGTATTACGGACCATTGAATGCGTTGACATGGAACGTTGGTTACCATAATGAACATCACGACTTCCCATACATCGCGTGGACAAAATTGCCAGAGTTACGTAGAATTGCGGCCGAATTCTATGAGCCATTGCCTCAAATTAGCTCTTGGTGCGGAGTATTGTGGTGGTTCTGCTTTAACGATATCAACACATTATGGAATAGGGTGAAAAGAGTAGGAAAACAAAAGTCGGGTAAAAAGGTCGGGATCAGATTAGATTTGAATGAATGATCAAACCTGATCTTGGTGTGTATGTACATATATCTTTAAATTTGCAATAAATACAAACGTATGCCACTACATGGATACCCTAAATATATTACTATTATTGGTCTTGTATTTATGTTTCTTTAAATTACTATCAACTACTTACAACCCTTTGATTAAACGGGTGACTTCATCCAAACCATCAGTGTTTATGGAATCTAATTTCTCTTTAACCACTTTGACTACGTCTTCAATCTTCACCAATTCACCTTCGTCACTGTCATTACCTTGGCCTAGCACTTTAACTCTAACTTGGCCAGTTGGGAACTCTTCCTTACCCAAGATAACTGCTACCTTGGAACCATTCTTCTCGGCAGCTTCGAATTGCTTACGAGGGTTGGCTTTGGCCTTGTATAAGTATTCAGTGTTTATGCCTGCAGCCCATAATTGCTTGGTAACTTCCATTCTTTCCTTCAAGAATCCAGTCCAGCCTTCGCCACCACCAAAGGCCATCACGTAACAGTCAGTTTCTGACCCACTGACGGCTTCTAACTGCTTAGCAGCTCTAGCCTTGATGATAGAGAAAATCCTTTCCACACCAAATGATATACCGATACATGGAATAGACTTACCGTTGGAGAACATACCAACTAAGCCGTCGTAACGACCACCAGCGGCGATAGATCCGACACCAACATATTCAGAAGCATCGTCGTCTTCAGTGTTTGCATCCTTCTTCTTCTTGGCATCCTTCAACTTCTTCTCTTTCAATTCTTGAGCGTTCTTTGGTGGTGCTGAGGCCTCTGTGACACATTCGTAAATTAAACCAGTATAGTAATCTAAACCTCTTGCTAACGACAAATCAAATCTGATCCATGGGCCGACTTCAAAAGCATCAACATAGTCGGCCAATAACTTCATGTCTGTAATACCAGCTTGGGCGGATTCGTTGCTAGCTAAAAGTTCATTCTTGGCCAAAATTTCGACAACTTCACGAATTGTTCCGTTAATCTTGACAAACTCTCCGATCTTGTCAGCAACTTCTTCAGATTGTCCCTTTTCAACACATATTTCCTTCTTGACTACTTCCCATGGAGACTTATCTAATTTATCAACGGCCGATGAAATCTTTCTGACATCTTCTTCCTTGACACCACAAGCTTGGAAAATTCCATCCAAGATCTTTCTGTGATTCAATTTAACCTTGAAATCCTTAATTCCCAAGCCGGTCATACCTTCGACAATAACACTCAATATTTCAGCGTCTGGAACCATAGAGTCGTAGACACCGGCAACATCGAAATCACACTGGTAGAACTCTCTCATTCTACCTTTAGTCATGGCCGGTTGATCTCTCCTGTATACCTTAGCAATGTGGTAACGTTTAATGTTGCTGATGTTATTAGAGGCAACAAAACGAGCAAATGGAACAGTTAAATCGTATCTCAAAGAGGTCAATTCCCCACCTTGGTCTTCCAAATTGTAGATCAACTTGGAGTCTTCACCATACTTACCAGTAAGGATTTCTCTCAATTCAAAAACTGGAGTGTCAATAGTCACACCACCATGTTTCTTGAAAAGAGTAGTCAACGAACTGAAAATGGCTTCACGAAAGATCATATCTTTATCAGCCCAATCCTTAGTACCCTTTGGGGTCTTCAACAAGAATTGATCATTCTTCTTGGATTTCTTGTTATTCTTCTTTTCAACCGATTTCGCTCCTGTGGCCGCTGGTGCAACTGCTGCTGCCACTGCTTCTGGTCCTTCTGTAGACATATTTCTCAACGATATTTTTCTAGTGCTTTGAATAAACCTCTTAAACATACAGTTCAGAGAAGGGTCGAAGGCTTCTCAACCTTTCATGAACAGAAAACTCGAAATGAAAAACTGAAAAAAAAAAAAAAAAAAAAAAAAAAATAAACAAGGAAAAAATATTCACAGTGTGATAGCGGTGTTAGCGCTTAATTGTGAAAGGTGTTGGTGTATTGGGCGATAGTGGGTAAAAATTAGAAGAGATGG